AGGAGATTCGTTCAATTTTGACAGCGTTTTGGTTCGACATCTGTCTCGCCCATTCGGTGTTCCCCTCACTTTCACCGGTTGTGATCTGTGTGTGAATCGGGATGCCCATTACCATAAGTAGCTTCGGGCGACGGATCAGTTTGATGCCGTCATCCCCAGCGATTCCAGTAGCGATGATCTGGTCCCGTCGGGTAGTGGTGGGAACCACGACCGACACCTTACCGGCTGCCCGGTGGTGGGGGATGATCGCTTTCGCGTCTGGGATTACCTTCTTGATTCTCTGTAGTTTCTCTTCCGTCGTCTCTTCTACGGCTCCTGCCATTTCAGAGAGGCGCACTTCAACGACCGCCTTGGTCTTTCCCCCTGCGGCGATCTCACTCCAGGTTCGTGTCTCGGTGGTTGGGGCCGCGGCTGGGCGACCGCGGTCTTTCGCGATTCCAGCTTCAATACGTCCAAGACGCTCCAATATTTGACCCATCGCTGGGTCCCTGGCGGGTGTTCCCGCCTGCGCCTTTTCCATACTCTTTCTCTGTGCCAGCTCCGGAATGAGCCGGAGAACGGGCGTTAGGTGAGCCTCAAGAACTCCACGGAGCGACCCCGCCCCAGCCCATCCACGGCAGCTCTCCAACGCGAGTTTTATATGGTTTTCCATAATTTGGAGCATCCGCCCCTCATCCATCCGTCCATTTTGTTCTCCCACTCCGTTGCGGGTGTTGGGTCGTGGGTGGTCCGCCTGCTGGGGACGCGTCGGGGACGCGTCTTTGGCCTGCGGGCCTTTCCCCCTCATGCGCCCTCCAACCATTATTTGAGAGGGCTGCAATAGTTGATTATAATTGAATGAAGTGTAAAGAATCGATTACGATCATAATCTCAGCTAATTTCCAAGTTGTGGGCTGTTTTGCAGAAAAATGTTCAGCTCCATACGGTATAATATGTAGGAAAAGCAAACTTTTGACTTAAGTAAATATGAGCGTCAAGAATGAACCACCGAATCAGAATACAGCCATAGGGTACCTCCTAATAGATTGTAGATTGAGGCCTTCTTCTTGTGATCAAGCTGTATCTGCCATTCATTGCGGGAGTTTAGAACTCACTCGGTCTTGAGAATTTATGAAAGGGACAAAGAGCAACACTTAACCTCCGAAGATAATGCATGCCGTAGTGAATAGGAAAAAGATAGCTGAATACTAAATGGACATAATGACGAATTGTAGTTATCACAAAAGCTTCAGACTGAGAATTGGCTCCTTTAGGCTTAGAAGTCCTGCACGGTTTCGGTCCATTATTGATAAGAAAGGAAGATCCGAAGACTGCTTGAAAAGAGATGCAAGATGTTGACAACAAGTTGTTCTACAGAATGAGAGGTGATGTTTATGGCAGGCAAACCCCTCCACCCCACACACTCCTCCGCCAGACTAAGACAGATCGAGTAATTCCATCCTCGATGTGACCCATGGATGCATTGCGGACGGTTGACTCAATAACCGGACTCTTTCCTGTTACTTTCATGTTGCTCTAGATTTTCTTGTCACTGTATAACCGGACTGTGATTTCAACATCATTTCCTTCGGGTAACTGCTCTGGACGAGATGGAGTTGAGTAACCCCGCATGGGGCGTTGATCGTTGGTCATATATCCACATGCTCTCGCTATGTGGAATAGTATTACTTACCGGATGGACCATATATCTGGGATTGATGAGGAGGAACCGCAAGGTATGTTACAAGAGCGGACAAGTTGGTATATACTCTGCGTAATAATTGACATCATCTCCCAAGGCTCAGACTGCCCAGACCTTCGACGATGACCCGAAGAATGCTGATCCATATTCTGACATTGAACCACTCGAAGACGTGGACTGGAAGGCTGGGGAAATCCTCCAGATGCGGCCTTTCAAACCCAAGTACCACTTGACAATGGGTAAGCCAATACACAGTCGGTGACTGGCTTGATGCTCGACTAACCTCAACCAAGCTCTGTCTCCATGCTCCTTATCTGAATTGGTCAAGGTAGACTCGACATATATGGATCGGATCGAACTCCGACGATCCCTCATAAAGAACAATCGCGCGGACGTGATCGGTGTGAATCCGGTGGCTTCGCCTGCGATCCAAGAGCTGTACTCATGGCTTGTGGAAACCTATCTCCCGATGCGTTTCCCTTCCATGTACGCCGTTGAACACCGGGTTTCAGAGCCCAACACCCTTCGTAACCGTGCGACGGGGGAAGTCATAAACCTAACCCCACCACCGACATCCGAGGAAGCCTTAGCCATTCTCGGGTCGCATATTGACATCGACTTTCTGGTCCTCCTCCCATCAACGACCCATGCTCCGAGTGACGCACCACCCGAACCTCCCGGATCTTCAAAAACGCAAGAGCACGCTCCGTACATTCTCCACGCCTTCATCACCTGCTTCCCTGCAGGATTTGCGACGGCTCAGAAGATTTCGAACACGCTCGCTGACATCCACATTCCGGTGCCGGGATACGATAAGATCCGCAAAAGCATGGACCGTTTCTTCGCGACGTTGCCGGTGGGGAAGATTGTGCAGCGGGCAAATTGGAGCATTACGACGGGTGGGGAACTTTTCGTCATGGCTGGCAGCCATATGAGCGAAGAGGAATACGCGTTGAATAAGGAGGAGAAGGAAGCGGTGAAGGAGATGGCCGTGGAGGAGGTGGAGGAGAACAAGAAGAATATCTGGGTCAGATGCGAGAGACAGACTCTCCATCGCTTGCCAAAGACGAAAGCACTTGTGTTTGGTGTCAAGACGTATGTGTATCCCATCGAGGATATAAAAGCGGAAGGCAACGCCGAAGTGCTCGCAGAGGCCATTGAAGGCCTCGGGAAGGGCAACGTAGAGAATATGCGGGTGTATAAGAGAAGTGTCGTATGGGGACCTGCGGTGTGCGAGTGGCTGAGGAAGCCATAAGTTGAGAACGCCCCAGTAGCCGTATATCCTCTCTGAGATAGGTCAAATCCAGCCTTTTATCCACGTGCATGGGTCCGATTCATTCATCCACCCCAACTTTAGCATGTCGGAAGTATTTCATTCCCACCCACGCAACAATGACCCACACCCACGCCATCACGGAGCTCAAGATCAGCAGCGCAGGATAGTACCCGACAATCGGCAGCGTCGGATCGTCTTCCAGCTCCGGCGGTGCATACGGTGTCTCCCCAACATCCCATGCCCACGACCACACCCCTAGGCAGGAGCCCATGCCGACGATGAATACCACCCAAGTAAGAATGAGAATCACCCAGCCCCACGTCGCCGTCTCGGCGTAGTCCCATTCTTCGAAGGGGTATTCGTCCGCAGAGGGGTGTACATGCGCGAGTGGATGCGCTTTAGGCGGGCTGTGGTGGGTCGACCTGGCACTCCGTTTGCGTTGGAGTGAATTCGGGGGGTGCAATGAGACCGAGGATGAGGAATCATCATCATCGGTTGTGGAGGCGTATCTCAAGCGTGAAACGACTTGGGGAATCGCGAGCGGGTTTAGCTCAGAATGCAAATTTTGCGACGGAGGTTCAGTAGGAGATGTCAGTGTTGGGTTTGGATTCTGATCGGATGGTTCTGAAGTGCAGTCGTTTGAGGAGGACGTGGGGGAATCCACAGGAATGGCGGCATTCGTGCCGTCGTCCAGAGAATGCAGGACGGGTTCTGGCCTCTCTATTCTTTTCTCCTCTGCTGGGCCGCTAGAACATTCTTCTTCCACATCCAAGCTCTTTTCAAGTTCGGGTAATCTATGTGGAGAATTACTCTTGGACCGCAGACGTCCGGGTCCTAGTAGTGCGGTCTTTCGGAGTGATCCTTTCCTCTTCCGCCCTTTCACTGTATACAACGAATTGTTCTTGACCTCACCATCTTCGGATGGACCGTTCTTTTTCTGCGATTCCGACGGCATAGTTAAAGTCGCGTTATCGATCTAGGGAGATGATCCAGAGGAGGTATTGAGGATCTTAGTTGTTGCCATATCCAGCAGGCTCCGTTTCCAGCACCGAGTACAGATATTCATTGTCCTATAGCATCACTGTTTCTCAAGGCTGACCCTGTCCCATTGCATTTTATGAACGGTTTCCACTGTACACGAGAATGCTGCTCCTCTTCGGCAACTAAAGTCGGACGTTGTCTGGAAGTTCCAAGATAAATAAATATTATTTCATGACGGGCTTGGGGACACGATTCAACTCTTGATCCAGATTCTAGATTCTAGAATGTGTTATTGCCTAATGTGTTATTGCCTGATGGCCTTGTGGCCTCGCCGATCTGATGTGAGGACTGGGAGGCCTCCAGCATATCCCAGACACTCCATGTCGTTGAGATACTTCTATTCCATGGTGTACGTTATCAATTTACCATTTCTTCTGTACCTTTGCAATTGCACACTTACACCATTGAGACCTCTCCAGTGATTAGGCGTTTCACCTAGTCTTAGCAAGAAACATAGATATGCTATGACAGAAACCCTCAGGGAACTATTGCAAGATCCGTGGTTGGTGGACTAGACGGAGTTTGCTTTGTGCATTTTTTCGCAACAGGCGATATTCCTAGTAGAGTCGAGATACCCGGGCCACGAAGCGATTGATGGTTTCCTCCGCTGTTTCGAGAGACCTTTATCTAACAGCCACTGCATAGAGACGGGCGGGGACAGCTGACCAGGCGTGGATATTGAAATGTCCATTCTTTAGATTTCACCAATGTTCAGATATAAGCATCTTCAATTGTAGACACCCTCCATGTGATTTGAATCATCTCCCCTCTCTTGGTGCATCTCCTTGGTTTGTGCTTTTTGATTAATTTCAGATACCGGTCTCTTATCTGAACCCATGAATTCTCTTTGTAGGCGACCTTGCCATCACCTGATATTCCGTCGTTCCATTGAGTTTGCGGGTACGCAGCTTCGTTACACTCAAATGAAATCTCCTGTATTTGACGTCAAACTTTTGAGCGACATGGAGAAGAACAAGCTCGCCAAGCGCGAACGAAATGATCCCCTGGCGAACTCATGAACCCCTTTCTGTCACCCTCTGGAGGCCCCACGTGCGGCCCCTGTGTAAGGCATCGCCATGGCGCCGCGGCCTAAATAGATCTGCCGCTCCATGTTCCAGAACCTCATCTGCACTGTGATATATTCTTCGCCACCTGGGCATTTTATCTATCCATTGCTATGAGCTATCGTTAATCTCATCACCTACAGAGGCAATTAGTCGCCGATTCCATGGCTTCTGTCTCCACCATGCCTCTCCCAATCCCTCCGCGAACCCCGACTCCTCCCCCTGATGACGGGACCGACCCTCACTTTGAACCCTACATTACCCCAGCTGAATTCAATCCCGACGCTCTATCCCCATTGTCGGGTGCCTTTCCATCCCAGAAATATGGCTCTCTTACAGCTGCAAGCTCGAGTGTGGCTCCATCGCCCCGGAGCCCACTTACTCCGGCGACGGGGAACTCATTGTACACGCCATTGGCGGTGCCGAACGACAATGAGGGTCTGAAGAGCGGGACGAGTGATAGCTTCAAGAATCCATTCAACTTCCAGACGGTTCAATATACCGCTGGAAGAGCAGCGCCGCCCAATGCAGCGAAGTCGGTACGTTCTTCGAGCGTCGGTAGAACCTTGATGTCCCGCACGCTAACCATATAGTCTCTACAGGACCTTGGACGACGTCGCGGACACAAATACAAGCACTCCTCTGTCTCCCATCAGATCATCCTCGAGCCTCCTCCCAACCGGACACCTCTCCAGATCCCCACATCCTTACCGATCCCTACCATGGCCGAGTTCCGCCACAGCATGTCCCTTGACCAACGAACGCGCCTTGTCTGGTGCTGCTGTCATCTTGCCGTCGCCGGATATGTACAATGGACGTCCAAAGGAAGCCTTGCCACAACCGCGCTCTCGCATCTTCTGTTCTTCGACGCCCTGGGCGCGTTCCTCTGTGTCGCTGTGGACGTTGCCCGGGGGTTTGATGTCTGGGGACGTAGCTCGGTGGCCCACCCGTTCGGACTGTCCAGACTCGAAATCTTGACATCGCTTGCCATGTCTGTTGGACTGCTCTTCATGGGCATCGACATCATTTCTCACTCATTGACGCATTCCCTGGAGGCTGTCGGTCCCCATGAGCCACATACTGATAACCATGGCTCGGGCCATCTCCGTGTCCCGGCTTACTCCATCGATTTTGCCGCCGTGGCCGCAATTGCCGCAAGCCTCGTCTCGGCGACACTGCTGAAGAACCACGCCAGAATCGGTCGAACAGTGAAATCCTCCACCTTGTTCTCCGCCCTCCCTTTCACGCTTCCTTCCATCCTCGCAAACCCATCTCACCTTCTCACGCTCTCCTGCGCCGCCCTGCTGCTCATTCTCCCTCTCCTCGGCCTCCCAATCACACCATTCGCCGACGCAGCCCTGGCCGTCCTCACCGCGGCGAGCATGATGACCCTCGGTGGACGCCTCTGCGTGGCGCTGGGTCGGATCCTACTCATGTCCTGCCCTGGCGCTGGCGGCGCCAATGCCGTGCACGAAGTAGTTGAAGCGATCCGACGAGACGACGCTGTCCGAGATGTGGAAGATGCGAGGTTCTGGCAGGTACACTACGAACTGTCCATGGCGAATCTGAAGGTCGCGGTGGAGGGGAGAAGGAAAGATGAGGTTCCGCGGTTGAGGGAGAGGGTGGTGAGCTTGGTTCGGAATCGATTGGGAGGGGGATATGGAGGGGGGAAAGGGGCTATCAAGTGGGAGGTGAGCGTCCAGGTGAAATTGGTTAGTGACTGAACACGATACCCCTATGACGAGAGGAGGGTTTGGCGTTATGACTTATTATGATTTCTTGCATGATGGACTGGACTGGCTGGCATTGTTTTCCTGTATCTACCTACTATTCTAGATATACAATACTGTATTCATACTTGTGATATATACATGGCTGCCCGATATCGTGAACATCAAGCAGAAGCACATGTCTGTGCACGTGATTCTCGGCTCGACTTGCCAACTCTCTCGGCTCGAATGTTTCAAACGTCATTTGAGCCGAAGCCTCTAAAGTCCAAACGGCTTGACATGACAATTGACAGCAGATTCGCGTGGATTTACGGCTCCAAACTATTCGCATAAACATATACCTGACTTAATTACCTTAGATCTGTCTCTATTCTTGACCCTAACTTTTCTCTATCTCCTATGACCGACAAACCCATTGGTTATGGCCTCCCTACCACCGCGACAGCGACGCTCCTCTCCATCTAGCCAGCAAACACCGAATATCGAATCGCCCGACGCTGGACCAATCCATACGTCACAGTCCACCGCCTCCATACAGTCCGCCGATTCCCAAACCCTATTACCTGGGTCGCAACCCAACCTTGAAGATAACCCCACTTCAAAACCGACCGAAATGTCCACATCACAACCGCCACCGGCTTCGACATCGGATGAGCCCGCAGACGATTCCGAGGCTCGTCGATGCTGGATCTGCTTCTCCGATGAGACCGAAGATCCACAGCCCACTACGTGGCGGACGCCTTGCCCATGCGCGCTCGCCGCTCACGAATCATGTCTGCTGGACTGGATAGCCGACATGGAGTCCCCCAGCTCCAACCGACAAGCAGGGCAAAGTCCGGAGCTGAAATGTCCACAGTGCAAGAGCCCGATCATAGTTACAAGGCCGACGAGCGTAATCGTCCAGGCGGTGCGGGCGATGGAATATGCGGTCAGCTTCATGATGCTCCCCGGCCTTGCGGTGGTCGTGGCCTATCCGATCTACCAGGGCATGCTCGGACATGGCGAATGGACGATCAGGACAGTCTTTGGGCGGGAAGACGCGGAGCGGATACTCGCTCCCATACACATGGCTGTCGAGCAACGGGTGGCTCTATTCCACAACGCGGAGGGCTGGGGTGACGAGCTGGCGATTGCGATGGGCCACTGGGCCACGAACTGGCATCTGAACATCGGGCTTCCGCTAATCCCCGTATTCCTGACCCTGAACCGAACCTCCGCGCTCGACAACTACCTCCCGCTCGTCCCGATGCTGTTCTTCGCAAGCGGAGCAACATCGCTCTCCAACCCCAAGGTCACGGACCTGTGGCCGCCCAGCGCGTCCGCCTCGTTCGCGATCCTTCCCTACATCCGCGCCGCATACAACGGCCTCTACCACCACTTCTTCGCCTCGTACGAGAAGCAGTGGCTCAAAGAGATCCAACCGCGCCACGGCACCAACGAGAACGGCCAAAACAACGACGACAACGACGACGCCGCACCCGGCGTCGGCATCGAGATGGAGATGATCCTCGAGGACTCCGACGGCGACACCGACGACGAGATGCCGCCATTAGTTGAACCCGCACCACCGAATCAAAACCAACCACACACGATAATCGTCCCCCCAGACACGCAACCCCCCCACACTCCTCCCGTCGACCAACCCACTCCTCCTCACGGTCCCCCGCAAAACGGCCCCGACCCCAACGGTGGCGCCCCCGCCCCAAACATCCCTGTCCCCCCCCAGGCCCCTCCCGGCGCCCAACCAGCACCCAACCGCCGCGAAGACCGCGGGGGGCAACTCCTCCTCCGCACGACGTGGGCTGACACGCTCTTCGGGGCGCTCCTGTTCCCCGCGATCGCCTCGGGGGTAGGGGAGCTCCTCAAGCACGCGCTGCCGGCGTCATGGGTGATGGCGCCGACGCTGAGCGCGCGATTCGGTAAGCTCGCGGGACCGACGGTGGTGTCGTGGATGGATAAGCTGACGGGCGCAGCGAAACCGACGGGGGTGCTGCAGATGCGGTGGGGGCGGACGTTGGTTGGGGGGTGCGTGTTTGTGGTGTTGAAGGATGCATTGATGTTGTATGTGCGGTGGCGGATGGCGAGGGATCATCGGATGAGGAGGATTGTGGATTTCGAGGGGAGTAAGGGGAGAAGGAAGGAGGGGAAGAAGGCGGCGAGGTGATTTTGGCGCGCTGCTGTACTAATAGAGGGACCTTCTGCGATTAACACGACTTCCGGGATGGATTAGGAGTCGTTTATCCGGTCTTGGTTCTTGTTCCGCGGATTGCGCGGCGCTGGATTAGACATGGGATTTGGTTGTTCACGATAACGATACCAAGAAGATTAGATATATTGAATTACTCCTTCTCGGCTGACTCGATCCGCAAGGTTTTAGAAGCGTTGGGAGCCAATCTCATAGTAGGTTGAGATCGAACGCTGGATGGGGTTCTCTGCCTTTCAGCCGTCCAATGAATATTCCAGCGAGGGCTCGACTGTAACAGAAACGGATATCCTCCCATCACACGTAGCCTGATGCTAGATAGGAGTTATGATACCATCTTAGACCAGTTAATACAGGTTTGCCAGATGTACGGACGCACATGCTTGTGGTACGTTGCAACTCCCTGACGCAGAAGCACACTGGATTAAGCCCATGCCTCCGTGTCTCCCTGTCTTCTAGCTTCTCCCCAGCGCTCACCGAGCGCTCGCTAGCACCTTCAAGCCCCGCCTCTTCCTCAACCAAACCCATCCCATATATATAAGCCCCGTCGTCTCCTCCCCATCTCATCCCTCCTCCACACCACCCTCCCGCCTCCCCATCTCCACCACAATCTCCTCCCTCGTCAACGGTACCCTCCGCTCCCCCCACCTCTCCCTCTCCCCCTCCACCCACCCCTTAAAACTCACCATCGCTACCACCAAAAAACCCAACTCCTCCCTCTCCACATCAAACACCTCCCACCATTCGCACTCCGGCAACCTAACCCCCACCTCCTTCGCCGCCAGGTAGATCGCCGCCGTCGCCAGCGCGCTCGGCTGCTGCGTGAGGTACAGCGACTGGGGGTTGAACAAACAGGAGTTGAGGTGCTTGAACGCGCGTTTCGCGACGGCGGCGCCTTGCGGGGAGAATCCGGTGAGCACGGAGAGGGATTGTAGGTAGGTGAGTGCGAGCGCGTGCGGGAGAGCGACGTGCAAGTGGTGGCCGAGGGTGGTGAGGAGCTTGGATTCGGCGGAGAAGAGGGCAAGGCGGCGGCGTTGGAGGTCACCTTCGGTGAGGTGGTAGGTGGATGGGTCGGGGGCGCTGGGGAGGTTGCGGGGGGTGAGGAAGAGGGAGGGGAGGGTGGAGAGGTACGCGTAGACGGTGAGGATGCTGCGAGGGGAGAGGGGGGATAGGGAGCCTTTGGTTGTGAGGTAGAGAGATGCGGCGGATATATCCTAGGATCGGTTAGTATTATTTTGATCGCAATCCATTGGGATATGCTCACTTTCGCTCCGTGTATATCAAGAAGACTACCCCCTTCGGCCCCGACCCAGTACCGCGTGAAGATCACAATCGCTTGGGTTATAATCTCCTGCGGGAGACGAAGTAGTATCCCCGCATATTGAATGAGTTTCTGACCTGCGTGAATGATTGATCTCTCGAGATCTGCTGGAACGCCATCGAGTTGGGATGATGAGATTGATAGCTGCTCAGGGGTTGCGAGCGGGTTTGCGAGGAGGCTGTTCTTCACCTCCAAGGCTGCCATTGAGTTTACTGTGGCTGTTTATGTCCCTGGCCTATTTGGATAACTTTATGGTCTCATTTGAAATGATTGATGGCAACAACACAAGATTTGAGATGAACTGGAGTTTTAAGATCTCAGGCTTGGATTGTATTTGATAATTGTTGATGGACGTCATGGTTGAGGTCAAATCTGATTGATAGAGTAACGCTTTTGTGCCTGAGGCACCGGTGTGGTTTTACTGCGTATCATGATCACGATTCTCACGACAATATAAATATCGATGCACTCGGTTCTATTTCGAGAAAATACCAGGCGATACAGTAGCCAGGGCATTATTTCTTAAGGTGCTGTGATGGTAGTCACATGGATGACAAGTCAGTTCGATTAAGATCATATATTCATTTATAACCATCTGACTGATCCTTAACCATCGAACTTTGATATCAATCCCATCTGACTCTCATCGTCCGATATGGTAACCGACTGCGATGACCCGACCCTGTCCCAGAAGCGCTATTCTCTGCTGCACTCCCCGTTGATGCCGCTACCACGGCGTGAGCCAGTTCGCAGGTGAACACCTGCCCTGTTGGATATCATTGTTTGGTATAAAAACCACTTTTGCCAAACCCGTGAAGTAGAGATGTCCCGAGACCCGAAAATAAAAGAAGCCCCATTACTCTCGAGAGCGCCGCGCGGACACTCGACCGAACGAGTCGGGGCGGGAGAGTGGAGTTGTTCGAGTTCGAAGAGGGGATGACAAGCCTGTCATGTCCGTGTCCTATAGCTCCGTCCTGTGTTGTTTCGCATACACTCCAAAAACCCACAGCAATTGCACCGATTTTCCCACAGCGAGCATGAGACACCGCCCGCTCACTTAAACAACCCAATCGACAGCTTCCTTCCCTTCCTCACCGCCTCCTTCAAACTCCGCTTCCGCCCTCCATATCCGTATCCTTTCTCTTTGTGTTTCTCTCCCAAACTCGCTGGAAGCCCTAATCCCACCACACTATCCCTCCTCGACCAACCCCCCTTCGCCGAAATTGCAGGACCTGACGCCTCGCCTGCCTCACTCCCCCTATCCTCCTCCCCAGCTCCCTGCCCCGCACTAGTCGCCGAGCTCGCCGGGCTGCCCGCGCTCGCGCCCGATGCACTCGTCGCGTAGCTCCCACGGCGGTGCGCGAGCATCTCCAGGTTGTCCCCGGGGGTGACAGTGGCGGACGAGTCAGGACGGGATGCGGAGCCCGGGGAGCCGCCGCCGCTGAGGATTCCGCGGTTCGGGGAGAAGTAGGTGTCGATGCGGGCGAGGGCGGCTTGGTTGCGGATGGAGGTGGAGGTGGCGATGGGGCAGTAGTTCGCGGGGTGAGGGGGGTAGGGGGCACCGGCGGGGATGGTGGGGGTGGTGAAGGTGAGGGAGGAGACAGAGCCGGAGGGAGAGTAGCGTGGGGTGGAGAAGGTACCGGAAGAGAGGGGTGGGGAGGGTGTGTGGTTGGAGTAGAATGATGGAGGTGGAGCACCGCCACAGGTGAGCGCGTCGACGTAGCTGTCGCTGCGCTTCATCGCGTTGGATAGGGAGGCGCTGCGCGTGGCGCGACGCGTGTCGGCAAGGCTGGAGGAACGCGACACGCGGGTGGTGAGGCCGAGAGAGGTCTCGGTGATGAGGCGGTAGGTGGTGTAGTCGACTGCGCATGAGTTGCCGGATGGATCGACCGAGATGCAGAAGGGGCAGGATGCCGATCGACTCTCCCAGCCGGAGAGGGCGAGCTTCATGGGGCAGTTGAGGAGGTTGTGGCCCGGAGTGCAGGGTCGGAGGAGGCGGTAGTATCGGTGCTTGCAGGGCAGCGTGGAGAGATGCAGGTCCGCGAGGCACATGATGGCGGGTTGATCGGAAGTTTCTAAAGCGCTTGGATGGGAGAGAAGAGTGCGTGATCCCTCAGGTAAGTAGCTGGGATTTGGTGAAACTGTAACCCTTTATGGAGGTTGTCGAACTGATATAAGTGGTTTGCGAGGATGAGCTGCGGAGGAGAACGACGACGCTGAGAGTTCGCGCCGAGAAGTACCTTTTCAACCACGCAAAATCAAGTCGTGTCAATCTTCAACAAGTAGATTCCAATACAGGTGTCACCCTGACTCTTTTATCTTATCCCCTTATCTACAGGTCCCTGGCCTTCTTGCCAGCTGAAGATTGAGTCACAGATCTTAACAATAAGATGCCTTCTCTCAAGGAACCTGCCTCGCTCACATGCGATGATATCGCTTGATATGGAAGGAGTAATAGTGAATTGCTTAGCTCAACAATAGAAGCGGTTTCTTCCAAAAGTCTTCACTGCGTGATAGGTGGACGAAGCATATTTGGTCCTTGATAACACGTGGGTGGACTCCCACCTATTATTGGCGCAGTGGAGGAGGAGCGATCGGGGAAGAGATGGATGTATTGTATACGGTGCTCCGGGTTCCGTTGGTTCGATGTGTCGATGTGTCGTTCAGGAATGCGCGAGGCACGAAGTCGTGTCACCTGTTGAGGTTTCGGCGGTCCAACTTGTGTTCTGTTGAGAGTATCGAGGTCAAACACGGCGATTCTCGACGGTCTTATGTTCGTTAGAGACGATCGGACTATCTCAACCGCGGAATTCCTGTAGGCTGGAGTCAGGTTACTCTGTTCTTCCAAAATGTTCGTGCCACGGCTGGCTAGCGGGAGCTTACAGGAGATGATATTAATGGTATGACACGTCTGCAACTCGATGTACTAACTCACGCTCTACCGCGAGCCTTGGTGAGCCAGTAATCTTCCGGTTAGGCACACCTGATGCGTTCGAAAATGGTGAGAGCAGACGAGACGAGCTGCGTTGTTAGGGTGAGTAATGATTGCGTCAGATACAATCAACTTGGTCAGGCAAGCAATAGTTAACGAAGTCAGCCTCTCTCCAGCAGAGACAAAGAGACAGTTGGCAGGTCAAAGACTAAAAGCAGGTTCGGAACGCCTCGAAGAGCAAGGACGTAGAAAAAAGATATCTCACATGTCGGACGTTTCGGAGCTTATGAATTTACGGCTCCTGCACAGAGTGTTCCAGTCCAGCTAGAGCATACGATGGTCCAAGTGCCAGCTGGCCCCAAGGATCACCAGTTTCGACGCATCCACATGGCGTTTTGTCGAAAGATGGAGCTTTCAGCCATCGATGGCATGCCCAGAACTCTGGCTACAGTGCGATCCAAGGTCCTGGACGATGATTGCTGGAGGCGGTGGTACACATTACCGGGTTGGACAAAGGTTAGGTTGCCGCTCCGCGAACCTCTCCAAATCACTGCATTCGTGCAGATCTCCGCGTCTGATTCGCAGGAGGTTGATATTTTTACAGTCGATGGAGGAGCTCGCTCGTCCTGGTCCAGACTCCAGACTCCAAACTGGACTCGGAATCGCGGTTAGCGGGAGCCGGTCTGTCGGGAGCCAGTAGAGGCCAGCCATCGGGGAGGTTTACCCTGGAGATTAGAATCCTGGATCCTTGATGGATATGGAGCTATTATGGATGTTGCTCACGGCTAACAATATGCAATCATGCATGACCATTGACCACACAGCACATATGCAGCTCTTCGCCTCATCAGAATTCCCCCGTTGGTCGAACCTCCGAGGCGATCACCGTAACCGACATAAGCAGTCATATAATCTGACATGTATCAAGTGGCAAGTCCTAGCTCCCTCTTCCATCTCCAACTTTGTTCAGGGGAGCTTAGCTCATGCAATCCAGCCACTAGTTCCCATAGCTTCCGGCCGTGAACCTGGCATCCCATTTATGAGCCCAGGATTTCATTCTAGCTTCTACACCAGGTGGAGTTGGAGCCCAATCCTGACCTCCGACCTACTACGTACGTGTGGCACAAATTACAATTTACAGAGTATAAACCCAGGTAGTTATTAATTATTAAGGAACATCAGGTTAGGTGCCTCACCGTCCGAGAGACGATCGGACGACCCATTCCCGTTGCTTATGCCTATCGCGTGGCGCGTCGACCCAATGTGACACCTATGCGGAATACGGACTCTTTCATTCCTGCTTCTCGGCAACGGAAAATCCAGAATCGCTTCCTCGGGATCCGCGATGTTACGTATGACACCAAAAGTGTACACGTATATCCTAGGACGCCTTAACTTTTCTCAGCTAGAACAATTAAGAACCCCAGTTTAAACAAAGCAGAGCAAAGCAGACCCGACTCCAGCGTGAGGTCAGCCCAGTTGCCCCGCAGTCATAAAATCTTAATCCATGGATTAGAGAACGAGAAGTTTCCACAAATTGAATCATTCTCTATCCATAGTCTCGTGGTCGACAGACGACAGCCCAATAGGAGCGATGCTAGATACACGACGCGGTTGAGATATATTGACCATCATGATTGGCTCTATTCCCGGCTTCAAGCAGTCCCTCCATCAAGTCCTGCTTTCATCCGATCAACTACAAAAATGACGGGCTGAAGCGTTGCATGACCAACCGCGAGAATTTTCCTCCTCGTCATGCATCGCCACTCCTGGAAGCTTCGCCATGTGCTTGATTACAAGCCCCCAGCACACATCCATGGCAGATGCCAGTCCATCGGATTGGTCGATCCCGCTCCCGTTCCGATCAATCCGCTCCAGTCCCAGGTTGGGACATCCGAAACCTCGAGATTGCTTCGTCTCGCCTTGACAAACCATGATTGGAATAGATGCATTGTACTTATACCGGGCAATCACAGTACATTAGTAGAGCACGTCATATCGTCTCCCAAGGTCGCTGCTACAAAAGCGAACCACGACATTCTATAGCGACGAAAGGGACAGCAGCTGTCTTTAGATGACATCGACAGTGTCACGGAGACAATAGCACAACACATTCTCTCGGCGTACGTTGTGGAGATGGTGATAAGGCTCTATCGGGTACTGGGTTCCTACGGGGGCCTTCAGGAAAATGGGGCCTCCGTCCATCTACTGGTAATATCCATACGATTTCCCACTGTCGATCGGCTTGTTGATATTCCTATTTGAACAATGCAGCTGTTCAGAAATGAGCGCGCCCTCCCCACATCCGCTCGGCACTTACATATATGCATGTATCCGCGGAGTATTTGACTCGGCAACAACCTGGAATTCTGGATACAATATATCCACCACAGCTAAACTTCGGGCTTGGGAGAGCAAACCGATTATGGGATATCCCCGTGACAGGAAGGCGAAGTCGATAGGTGTGCTCCGTTCAGCTGCTCCATTCGAATACCGCAGAAATATCATCATCAACATCGGGGTCTGCTCGCTGACAACTCAGCAAGAGGTAAAACCTGGCAAATCATCGGCCCCCGTTCTCTGATATATTGGAGTACTCCCTGGTCGAGAGGAGCACTTGTTCGTTATTCACACCATCCCGTTTCATGGCATGCGGTCATGATCATCGTACAGGAGCACCGCTTGACTGCGCTGATCTGATCGCGAACGTCGGGTTAGTTGCTCCTCAACAAGTCCGGCCGTGCATGCATCAACATGATATTCCCGTTCGGATCCAGTTTCGCGCGCATCACGGGCTAAAAGCCGTTCTAGGTTCATATTCCAATCAAGATGTCAGAAATTCCACGTCATGTTACCTTACCATATAATTGCTCCATTATCAGCAACTCTCATTTCATCGACATGCGCTCTCTGCCGGAGACACTCTGCTCTCCGCCCCGTATATTTCTCTGGTTTCAAATATGGGAAACCGCCGCTGATTTTCCCTCCAAGCGCCTCGGGGACGAAGCCCGTCGTTCCGTTTCTGTGCGACCCGATTTACACAGCCTCACTGCAAGCATAGGTTTTATCCGAACCTACGGGCGGACCAAGAGTTCTTGGTTTTGCCAAGTGCGTCGACAAGAGATGGATCCTTCGAGGCCCAGCATTGGCAAAGAATGCGTGGTTACGACCGCGGACAGTCGTTGGGAGAGGCGTCAGTAGCGAGAACGTGCTTGTGGCGCTTAAGGTCATTGTCGTTCGCAGATTTGAATACTTTGGTACGTGTAGTCCGTCTACTCTCGCATTCTTTAAGCTTGTCTGTTCAATACCAGTATAGTTGCGAGGAAGGCCTCCAGTCGTATATGATACCTTGATTCACCAGAAGAATGGGCGTTTTACCGTCCCATTTTTAACGACTGAAGTTGCTCTCAGTAACCATTCCCTTGGCAAATACGACTCAATCTAGTTGCGGATACATATAGTTTCTAAGGATCAGATATCTCAGAAAATATAATTAGTTCGAGTTTCAAAAAGAGAGGGACGACTGAGACTCCACTCTAGGCCCATAATTCCCCAATGGTCTCAATATCAGACCATTCTAGCAAGGCGACCAGTTGACTCACCTCACTGCCCCCTTTTATTGGTCACTTTCGTCCTATCTAACCCTTTCCTTGCCTTCTCTTTGCATAATTTTGCTCTGTTACAATGCCGCTGTCTCGAGCACATCCGTTTGGGAGTCCCTCTTTTACGGACCTTTCCTGCTCACGGGGAAATAAGAAAATAGATAGAGTTGCAACTGCTAATTCCAGCTAGAGGTCCGAGTCCGTCGACTGTAAACAACCCGATATATCGAAGCACGCATCCTAGACCCCCTTTTTCTTTCCCGGGAAGCAATAAACAGAACGGATGTCTACCGCTATGCATATTGCTGACTGAGTGAAGTCAGTTTAAGATAGGAGAGGCGCCGGTGCCATGAGCGGCGCCCTGAATTAACACTGCTGCTCCGAAAAGCCGAATTAAGTCCACTGAGAGGTAGAAAGTTGGAATAAGCACCAACGTGGGAGCATTGCAATTGCTGAGCGGTTATCAAGATAAGGGAATTAGGAAGCAGGAAGGAAAAGGTGGCAGGACTGAAGTCCTAGGCGAAGTAACCAGATAGGAGAAGTGAAAATATAGAACTGAGAAGATAATAGACAATAGTGAAGTGATCGCAGGGCTGGTTTCAATTTGTACTCATCTTTTCGATCTTTCTACTTCCTCATTCCCTCAGACCATTTCATTTCTCTTCCTTCTCTCTTACAAGAATCTCCGATTATCGCATTATACACAACACTCAACCATCACGAAAGTCTTCGCTTTCGCAAGTCGAACCAGGCAGAAGTCAGATTAGGGGTCTTCACATCTTCATAATCACATCATCAGTTTTTAGTCGCAATGACTTTCCTTGGGCCGTCCCTTGGTAGACTGGCTTTCATCTTGTCAGTGCCGTTTAGTCCAAAAGTCAGTCTTTTCGGTGGTACATAGAAAAATATAATTGGATACGCTCCCTTCTCTGCTGGTTCCCATACTACATAATAACTCGTCGTCAAGTCGGAGGAATACGAGCAGCGTAGCGGATCGGTTTGCTGACTAATGGCGTACCAGATCAACTCTTCATGGTATCTCAACTGACGCAACCTCTTCCATTTTATTTCAGGACAAATATCCAACCAGCTCTCAAAACCATGTCATCTCTTCCATATCATGAACCTGACATAATTACGCTCCTCACCCAATCGTCCTTTCTTCTGCTTCTGAATATCATTGATTATCTATTGAACCATGCGCTCTACTGCGGCCTCCTAGGACAAGTCCTACTCGGGATCGCCTTCGGAGCCCCAGGCGGAAATCTTCTCTCCTATCAAGCACAGGAGATAATCGTTCAACTTGGTTATATAGGCTTGATTCTACTAGTCTACGAAGGCGGTCTCTCCGTCCCATTGACGTCACTTAAAGCGAACATCGGCCTTTCCATCGGAGTTGCCGTGACAGGTATTGTCGTTCCCATTGGCTTATCATTCGTTCTCCAGCCGTTACTCGATGCGTCCCCCCTTCAAGCCTTCGCCGCGGGTGCAGCCCTGTGTTCGACAAGCCTGGGAACGACCTTCACCGTACTCAGCACCAGTGGACTGACCAACACGCGGCTCGGTTCGGTCCTCAGCACTGCGGCCATGATGGACGATGTTGTCGGGCTTGTAATGGTTCAGGTGATATCAAACTTCGGGTCGTCTTCCAACATGGTGGACCCCGTTACCGTTGTTCGTCCCATTGTTGTATCCCTCGGGTTCGCGATTGTGGTGCCGTTGCTCTGCCGGTATGTTGTGCGGCCTGTACGACGTGCTCTTCACGGTAAAACCTTTGCGTATAAAGTGCGAGCCATTTTCGCCTATCGGAGAGCGCGGTTTGTACTCCATTCCATTTTCCTATTCGGACTCGTTGCCGCGGCGAGTTACAGTGGAACCTCGGTTCTCTTCGCGGCCTATCTCTCAGGGGCTATAGTGAACTGGTGGGATAGCGAACCGGCTATGGCTCCGACAACTAGCGGAGCAGTTTCGGAGCCGGTAGTCGGTAATATAACGGGGGGTAATGCGGTTGGTGGACGGGCCGAAGGGATGGCAGGAAAAGATGTAGCTACGTCAGGGATTCCCGTCAGCAGTGCGGATGCGGGTATAGATCTGAATGGACTCTCCGGTATGAGTACCTATCAATCATACCTTTCCCAACCGGTAGCAAGGTTGCTGCGCCCGTTCTTCTTCGTAAGTGATTCCAGCCCGACCTTGCCGACCCAAGAACCTGACAAATGTCGTAGGCCAGCATTGGCTTCTCCATTCCCATATCCGATCTTTTCCAAGGCGCGGTACTTTGGCGTGGAGTTGTTTATACTCTTCTTATGATCGTCGGAAAGCTAGTGTGTGGCACCTGGCTTGTCCGATTGCTGCGTCTTTCCGGGACGAGTATCAGTGGCACTCCGCTATTTACTCGCTTTCGGAGACGTCTCGCGATGAAGTTGCTACGACGGAAGTCCCCTGAGGAAAAGGAAACCCCGAGGCCGCAGGAGAAGAGCGAGAGTGCGGCCCAGAGTAGGGGAAGTCCGACTCCGATTGAAGGGGTAGAGTCAGAATCAGAACCCAATCAGCCATCCACGCCGCATGAAGCCCCTGTATCCCTCTATCCTGGAGCCATTCTCGGATGTGCGATGGTTTCCCGCGGGGAAATCGGATTCCTGATCTCCTCGGTCGCGGAGAGTCAAGGCATCTGGCGAAAAAGGGGGACTGAAGCCAGTGGCCAAAGTACAGAATCCAGCAGTGATATATTTGTCATAGTGACGTGGGCCATATTGCTGTGTACATTTATCGGCCCCATCGCCGTTGGGCTCATTGTACGGCGTCTCAAACGACTGAAACGAGCCGCTGAGCCTGGGAGGAGGAATGTGTTAGGTTCGTGGGGAGTGGATTGAGATTCACAAGGGGATGAGTATTTACTTATAGGTTGAGGTTATTAAAACCAATTTCATTCTATAATGGTGACTGTGGTAGTAGGGCATCGTTTGCATGGGCCAAAAGCCAGTGGTGACTTAATGAGATACGCGCCCCACGGTGTCGGTGTCGCCTGAGTGTTAGGGGTTCGTCCCCCTCAGTTATCAATATTTTTTATCATTTTTTCTTTCCCCCCAACTGCCTTCCTTACTCAATCAAGGCATCATAATTATCTTTTCGTCTATCGCTCTTTTTTGCACACGTGGGAGGTGAGAACGCAGGAGAGAGCGCCTTGATGGCTTCCCCGAAACTCTGCGATGTTATGGCCAATTCGCCTCAACCTTCGGAAAAGCGAGTCACGTAACGGCTGAGCGGCTGGCAGTAATGCTAATACCGATGGAATACGGCTGCTATCCTGCGAAGTTCGGCGACAGTACCGCGACGGAGGCAACCAAGGAGAGGAAGTCCCGTCGGACGTCTAATTCATGAGGGACACTCGCCTGGATAGCTATTGGCACTCGTGATGTTAAACTGCTTGGTATTAGGATGCTCGAGGTGGAGGCTGGCTTTGGAAACAGAGTTTATACACTGATGCTATGCACAGACAGGCCTGATGTACAAGAGACAAACATGAATCACAATCCAAGGGCCCAAGTTTCGCGAGCCGTTTCAGGGCATTACATCGATTCATTCAATCGAACATCTATGCGTTAGTCCACTCCGGCTTCTTCTTCTCCGAAAACGCCGTCATTCCTGCAACAGTCAGTGCCTAATCTCACACAAATATCTGCGATCCAACATACCAATCTTCTGATCCTGGCTGCCAAACAACCCGTGGAACACTCTTCGCTCGAACTCCACGCCCTCCCGAATCCCCAAATCCTGACTCTTATTCACCACCTCCTTCCCCGCCTTCACCGCAATCTGACTATACCCCGCGATCTTCTCCGCCGCGCCCAACGCCCCCTCCACGCACTCCTCCGGGCCTTCAAACACCTTCGCCGCCAGCCCCCACCGCTCCGCCTCCACCCCGCTCCACGTGTCCCCCGTCAGCACGTAGTGCATGGCGCGCGCCTTGCCGATGGTCTTGGTCAGGCGCTGGGAGCCGCCGGCGCCGGGGATCACGCCGAGCTTGATCTCCGGCTGGCCGAAGGTGGCGGAGGCGCTACAGTAGAGGATGTCGGCCATCATGGCGAGCTCACAGCCGCCACCGAGGGCGTAGCCGTTGACGGCGGCGATGACGGGTTTCTTGATGGCGTGGGACATGGTGGACCAGAGTTCGATGAAGTCGGTGGCATAGGCGGTGGAGAAGGTGAGGTCTTTCATTTCTTTGATGTCGGCGCCGGCTGGGGGGTTGGTTAGTTAGAATGAGGGGGGATGGAGAGGGGTTGGGAGGCAGGAGGGGGATGGTACCTGCGAATGCTTTGTGGGAGCCGGTGAGGACGAGGGCGCCGATGGACTTGTCGGAGTCGAGGCGGCGGAGGGCATCGTTGAGCTCGAGGAAGAGGGGGGTGTTGAGGGCGTTAAGGGCTCTAGGGCGGTTGAGGGTAACTAGAAGAGGGCCATATTAGACATATATTCGAATGGATGTGCAAGACTATATCATACTTAGACCAACACCCTTCTTCGGCGTCGATACCTGTACGAATTGATAGCTTGGAAGCTCTGTAGAGTACATTCGGACCAGACGTGGTAATGCGGGAGCCACGAATTTTGAGGCCATTGGCCTTGCTACTTGTAAGACTCGGAATGAATTCATTTTGATCAGCGGATTCTGATGGGAATATTTTAGTCAATTAAGCCGTATATGATCGTGACGAATAAATGTTTGCCAATATCTGAAGCTACAGGACCAACTCCCACTATGGCCCTGATATGCCGTCAGGTTGGAACCTGTTACCCGGTTGTAAGCCGAAGCTACCATGTATGCACGTGATATCCCGCATTTGTTTCTTGGCAATAATATCTCTGCACATTCCGCTCCGTTCCGCCGGGAGCAAATCTCCGCCATGTCCGAATTATGGGAAGCGGAGCCTTACAGCGGACCACTGCGCCTCGATTCCCATTCCACAACTTTTGTTTGATGATCTGTCGACAAAGTTGCCTTCGTCACCACCGAATCGTTAATACACGCCACGCGACATATTAAACTTCCCCATACCACCGACCCTATATTCTCCCCTCGCGAAACCGATTCCCCAGTCCCCACCCGAATCGCGGACGCGGAACTCTTGGGCGTTCTCAGACGTTGGGAGTGGCGCACGATGGACTCTCCAGAGCCGGATACCCCTATGGCGGCCGTGTCGGCGCAAACGACGAAATACGGAAAAGTACGTGGCGATGCGTCCGAGGGATAGGTGTTGCATGTGAAGGATAACCGCTAACATCTTTCCAATTAGCTATTCCAATCGTACCTTGACCGAGCGACCCCTTTTATCTCATATCGATGGATTGGCACGGGAGCCTTGTTCTTCTTCTTCGCACTGCGGATATTCCTGGCCCAAGGATGGTATATCGGTATGCTGCGATCACGAATGTCATATGGAATCCTCGGGACAGGAGCTAACGGGAGCAGTGGCGTATTCATTGGGCATCTACCTTCTCAACCTATTCCTCGCCTTCCTATCCCCTAAATTCGACCCGTCACTAGAGCAGGATGAGGATATGGAGGACGGCTCCGCGGGCGCATTGCCGACCAAGGAGACGCAGGAATTCAAGCCGTTCGTGCGGCGGTTGCCGGAGTTCAAGTTCTGGTACTCCGCGACGCGGGCCATCGCGATTGGATTCATCTGCAGCTGGTTCGAGATGTTTGACCTACCGGTGTTCTGGCCCGTCTTGGTGATGTACTGGTTTATTCTCTTCATATTGACGAGTAGGTTCTCCCGACCCTCTGCTTCCGCAATCGCGATACTGACATGCCCACAGTGCGGAAGCAAATCCAACATATGATCAAGTACCGATACGTCCCGTTCACCGTGGGCAAGACACGATATGCGGGTAGCTCGAGATGAACGGATGCGGTCGATCATTGACGACGGCCTTTACATTCAGCGGAGCTTTTGAACTTGGGTAATATAACGAGCATTCGAAACGCAAAGGGATCATGGCGAGTCGTCCTGGCCGACATGTGTCGATCAGCAATGGCGTACGGGCTTGGATTCCAATATCAAAAGGTAATGAGTATCGGGGGTCATCGATTTCCGTAGCGGCTGCTGCGGGTGGGGGGACATGTACCATAAGGATCCAGTCGAATATAATACATGTGATCAGGTTATTCCAGGATAGATCCGATACCGGGATGGGTGTGTGTCTACCGATTTCCTCGTTCTAGCAGTTGGCAGTGTGGCGATGGACAACTTAGTAACGGCGTGGGAATGTGGGGTTGACGAAGTAGGAGTTTGGACTGCTGCATGCAAGAGGTCGTTGATTTTGCCGTTCAGTGATGCACCATCCATCGATCAGCAGCCCTCAAAGCCGATAAACCACAAAATCCAATCACATATGAAACACGCATTGAGATGTTAGACGAAGATCAATTGAACATTTAGACCCCTCCACCGATTCTCAACGACCACAATTCCCTCCCGTCAAGGCGTGTTGATTCTCGCCCTTCGATTGGTCCGTTTCGTGGACCCTGCCCCTGAGCTTAACTGCGGGATTTCGTGAAAAGAGTTGATTTGGGTTATCGTCAACCGTTCCGTTCGTTCCACATCCCTTGAGAAAACCGCATATCAGCCAACACCCGATCGGCATGCTGTCATAGCCTGTTGCGATAGGCTTAACATCACTGACCTCACTGTTGACGCGGGGCAGCCTTGACCCCCTCCATTCACTTCCTACATTGCCCATGTTCACACCCATATTCAATGGCTGGATTTTATCGTCCTCGATTCCAAGTCCGCTTTAATATAATACCGCTGTGTGACCGGATCTGTCTCAATGATTGGTCACTCCCCCTCAGCTACCTGTCTACCATTCCCATCATTACTAGCATCTCTCCATAGTAATGATGATTGCAATGGAGAAGATGCCAGGGGATGCGGCAAACGATGCTCATCCCGCGTGTTCTCCCACCGCCCTGGGTGATTGTGGATGCAGATTGCATTAACACGGTCGATAAGTGTAGGGTCTGGGATGATCGTGAATATATCAGAAGGTAGCTGCCCTCCGCTGTCGGTGGCACTTGCGACTCCCCGCCTGGCAAAGATGCCTATTTCTATCCAGTCGCCCTTTATCACCGCTATCCCTCCGGCCCTTCACCTCCTCCCCTCCTATCCACCTTGGTGTATGCGTGTAGTCGTTCTCTGAACGACCCCCAAAACCCCACCATGTTCGACGCACTGCTTAGCCCGCTCACACGGGACCCCATGCTCCAAGTCCTCATTGTCCTCGCCTCCCTCACCGTCTTCCTCTCCGGCATCTTAGTCGCTGCCTTCTCCTCCCATTTTAAGTACGCGGACCTCAAAGAGTCCGCGTACGCCTACGGCAAGTTCGCGTACGGCTGCTTCCTCAAACCGCATAGCGGAGACACGGGAAACCAGCAGGATGCCCTCGAGAGCTTCTACCGTGCCCAGGCGTCCGCGTATGATGCGACGCGGGAGAAGCTGCTGCGGGGTCGGGAAGATATGTTGGGGCTCGTCGCGGCGCAGATGGCGCATAGGAAAGAATCAGGAGCGCTGTTGAATAAGATCATCTGGGTGGATGTGAGTTTCCCCACGCTTTCAATCCACCGCATATGCATGATGTTAAACGAATTATGTTTGCTTCCCCCCCCAGCTCGTTATTCCCATGCAGCTTGACTAAGACAACCCCGCGCGCTATGCAAGGCCGTCCCAATTGACCAATAATGACCGTCGTTGCAGATCGGAGGCGGCACGGGCTGGAACATCGAGGAGATGGGTCGCTTTCTTGACGTTCAGACATTCTTCCACGCCGTCTACCTCGTCGATTTCTCCCCGTCGCTGTGCGAAGTCGCCCGCGCCCGTTTCGAGCGGCTGGGCTGGGCGAATGTCAAGGTCATCTGCCAGGATGCGCGGAAATTCCGACTCCAGGACCACGAGACACCCGACGTCGAGAAAGCGGCGTCGGAGATATCAGGAGCGCCGTATGAGCCCGATCAGCCCCCTGCTCTGGTCGGCGCAGATCTGGTGACGATGAGCTATGCGTTGTCGATGATTCCAGAGTACTATTCGGTGATCGATAGCCTCGCAAACCTCCTGTCACCTACAGGGATCTTTGGCGTCTGCGATTTCTATGTCCAAAGCCGACACGACTATCAGAATCGGAACTACACCGGCGGCTTTGTCGATCGACATTGTACTTGGATATCCCGTACCTTTTGGCGCACGTGGTTTGAGATCGACCGGGTGAACCTCGAGCCTGCGAGGCGGGACTATCTCGAGTATAAGTTTGGGACAGTGCTGAGTACCAATGGCCGAAACCACTTCTTTGGCGTGCGGATCCCGTACTACGTCTGGATCGGCTGTGCGAAGGAGAGTGCCCTGACTGAAAACCGAATCGCTGAACTAGATGCCGCCGCAACGGAGTCACCGTTCCTCTCAGCACTAGACTTACAAGTGAAAACGCAGTACCAAAGAACCAACTACTTCGATAACCGATCGAAGGCGTTCATGTCTGCAGTCGTCAATCTTGCGGCGAGTCTGCCGCTCCCTTCAAGCTGGTATCAGAACCATCACTGGAGGATATACTACGATGACCGGCTTCCGAAGCACACGCAATTCAACAATGACTACATCTATGCATTTACGTGGGAAGACAGCCGCGTGGATGCTCGACTCCTGAAAATCCAACCAGACGACGTCATTTTGGCCCTCAGCAGTGCTGGCGACAATATTCTCTCATACCTTTTGCAAGGCTCAAAACGCGTGCATGCTGTGGATCTCAAGTAAGTTCGAGGCGTTCCATCTCAACCCCCCCCTCTAACGATATCTAGCCCCTCACAAAACCATCTCTTGGAACTGAAAGCAGCCGCATTCCAGGCGCTTGGGTATGCTGACTTCTGGAAAGTCTTCGGTGAAGGCCGCCACGAGAACTTCCAGCAGCTCCTCATCGAAAAGCTCTCCCCTCACATGAGCAGCGCAGCCTTCCAATTCTGGCTCCATCGCGGCCCCGATACCTTCGGCAAGACCGGCCTCTACAGTACCGGCGGTTCCCGCCACGCCATCGTCCTACTCCGTCACCTCTTCAAAGTCCTCGGCATGCGCACGGAAGTCGACCGCCTCTGCACCGCCGGCACGCTGAACGAGCAGAAGGAGGTCTGGCACCGCAGCATCCGCCGCGTGTTGCTCAGCCGCCTCCTCTGCTGGGCGATCGTCAGCAACGAGAAATGGCTCTGGAAAGCCCTCGGCGTTCCCCCCAACCAGCGCGCCCTCATCGAGCACGACTACATCCGCCAAGGCGACGCGCAGGACGCCTCGCGCGATATCCCCACCGCGCGCGCGAACAACACCGGCCGCGCCATCTGGGCGTACGTCGAGAACACCCTGGATCCGGTCGTCGAGAACACGCTGCTGAGCGACGACAACCACTACTACTTGATGTGTCTTCAGGGACGATATTCCCGGCGCTCGCATCCCGAGTATCTCAGTCCGTCAGCGCACGTGCAGCTCTCCCGGCCCGGTGCGTTCGACGGGCTGCGCATCCATACGGACGAGATCAACGAGGTGATCTCGCGCATGACGCCGGGGACGCTGTCGATTGCGGTGGTGATGGATAGTATGGATTGGTTCGATACGGATGGGCGGGAAGCCACGACGCAGATCGAGCGGCTGAATCGCGCGTTGAAGATGGGCGGGCGGGTATTTTTAAGGAGCGCGGGGTGTAATCCGTGGTATATTCAGCGGTTTGAGGAGAATGGGTTTGCACCGAAGCGGGTGGCGGTGCGGGTGCCGGGATCGTGTATGGATCGGTGAGTTTTTGTTAGAGGATTTCGGTGGATGGGTTGGTACTGACTACATCTAGGGTGAATATGTATGCGTCGACGTGGATCTGCACAAAGGTCGGCGAGATAGAGGGCCACCGCCTACGAAAGACCTCCAGCCCTGTGACGCCGCTTGAACTCTAAGTTGGCATATTGAGGGGGTACCGGCGTTTGGAATCGGGGTGCATCCAACGCGACGATATAATTGAAAAGGTTCCCATTGAACAGTTTTAGCTACAGTGGTTCGCGGCGTTGTATACCAGTTGATCTATCTCTTTCGTCGTCCGTCAAATACCCCACAAATCAATAGACCAGGTTTCCGCGTCGTTGGACTTTGATAGCAAAGAATGACGGCACCTTCTGCGCCAGACAGCTGCTTTTACTCCGAGATAGCTTCATGCACTTGATCTATTCGAACAAGCTCGTCTCACATCGAGACTCTGATCCGCCCAACATTGCTCTACTCGTGGATCTAGCTCCCCGCCGCCTTCTTCCCCTCCGCCTCCAACTCCCGTTCCGCGTTCCGGTAGTACTTCGCCGTGTCCACACCATGCTAATAAATGCAAGTCAGCTGATCTACCCTTAATGAAAGCATACCACCCCATGCCGGACTAAACAGAAGGCTTACCATGTTGTGATTGACGATGTTGAACATAGGAAGGACGTGCAGCAGCACTTGCGAGTTCCGTGAGTTCCTCGCCGCCACGCCCTGCATGTACTCCGAGAGCCGAGACTCGCCGTACAGCGGCAGACCCTTCTTGACGCGATCGGTCATCTCCCGCATGTCCATTTCCGTCTCGCGGGCGTTCTCACGGAAGCCCATAAATCGGTCTGGTTGGCAACAATCATTAGCATCCATCTTCCTATCCCGTACATTCGAATTTGAGGAATCCATGGGAGGATGGGCGGACTCACAGGATGAGCGGACGTAGAGCACGCAAAATGCGGTCATCAACCCGACCGAGAAGTTAACCCGTTGGCACGCTTTATATGCCATCTTGGTGTCGCTGCCATAGCGGCCGTGCCACCAGTGGAAGAATCCGACACCGGTCCAGGGGAGGATGGCGAATTCGGCCCAGTCGGATGGGCGAGCGTACTTGACGACTCGGGTGAAGTGGCTGAGGGAGCGTTAGTACCAGGGAGGCGTCCGTAGCATGTTGTCGGTTGAAGGGGGATTTGTCAATGGGATAAGGACATCAGACGTACGGATCGAGGTCAATGGGCTGTAGAAGATCGGTTAGCAATCATCTCCGTGCCGTAATAGAAGCGGAAGCATCACTTACTGGATAGGCCGTCACGGATCGCTGAGGTGGGATGACCTTGCCGGTCTGCATGGGAGCCACATTGGAGGGCTCATATTCGTCGTCCGCCATGATTACCGCTTCCCCCAAGGCCAATTGAGATGGAGTGGAAAGGAATCGTCCGGAGTGAATGGAAGATATCAAGGTTCAAGAACGGGTTGCAGCTTGAGCCTTGAATTGCTCCTCCTCAAGTCCTCATTCAGCTGCGCTCTCATTGGTCGATGGCCCGTGCCCTGGCAGCGCCGGCTGAACTTCGGCTAGAAACTTGATATGGCGCTGGGGAACGCTCGTTCACGTAACGCGATCAACTTTTGGGTGAAAGAAATCAAGGCGCATGAACGGGATAACGACGAATGCATTAGGGATTCTTTCTCTTTCTTTACAGCCTTTGATATGACGCGTCCGGCTGTGTAATTCCTCGATATGGAGTCATCATCATCATCACGTCCGTCGAACGGCAACTCCGTACCGTTTCGACACTCGCCCACGGCAAGAACTCCTGTCGCGGACCTACAAGGCGATACGGCGAACGAATATGCGGAACTTGCGAAGAAGCACTGGCTGAAGAGCTCAAAAGCCGTCAAGGTCAGGCCGAACGTTGTGAAGGAGGAAATATGGGATCCCTTGGAGAAGAATAACTTCCCCTATGGAGAGCTTCTTGCGCTGGAAAACCTCCAGGTCGTGGAAAGGTAAGCTGGGTTCTGGCATTTTCAGGAAACATACGGATGGCGCTGACTGTATCTAGCTATCTCTGGCCTGGCTTCACTGAGAACTCGTCGAATTTCCACGTCCTGCTCCTTGCCCTCTTCGTCAACGTCAAAATCCGCGAAAACCTTCCGGCCTGGGATCTCTTCTCGGAGCGACCAGCCGAGTTCTCAGCATTCTTCCGCCGAGTCCTCTCTCTCACTATCGATGAGTCGCTTTCTATTTCCCTCCGGACAAACCTGGTTTGCTTCGTCATCGGTGCTTTTGGGTCCTTGGACAAGGGACTAGTCCGGAAGGAATGTGCCCCATTGGTCTCCATTGGAGTATGGCACAATCTACACAGCTCTTCTACCCGGGAACGGATATTGGAGGATAACTCCATATTCAAGAAAGCGTGGAGGGCCGCGAACAAGCGGTTTGATGCAGCGGACGAGCCCACCAAAGTCAAACTGAACTTCGATCGTGCATGGCTCGCAACGCTACTCTCGGAATTCCTGAACCAGCTGTACTCCTCAGAAGCGCTTCCTTCCACTGCAGTGGTCATCTACTGCGAGCGGGTTCTGGAGCTACTGGTCGATTTACAGAGCCAGGTACCGACCAGGCGCTATGTGAACGCTCTGGTTCGAGACCTTAACCTTCTTCCCGCCATCCGCCTTTCTCCAATCCTCAACGATGAAGATCAATCGTTGCTCCGTGACATGTGCAGCCTCCTTCAGCATTATACGAGCTTCCCCGTCAATGACCAGACCGGTCGACCTTACTCACAGCAGGAGTATCATGAGTTGCATTGCAAACAATTAGCACGACTGCAACGGGTGGCATTGAAAACCTTGGACTCAAAGTTGAAGCTACTGTCGCTGTCGAACTACGGTTCGTTGGAGCAACGAGATGAGTTGACCGCGCACGTTAAGGACCTCGATCTGGAGGAACTCAAGCAATTGTGTGCAGAACTTGGATTCAGAATCGAGTATCATTCATCTAGCAACGTTGTCCAAGATAGAGAATTCTACTTGGAAGTTCTGCTTTCCGCCTTCGAGCGACAACCTACATTCCAGGACACAGCACGCAAACTTCAGGTTGTCCCAACGGAACGATCGCTGTATGAGCCGGCAATATCAAGAAGCGAATCATACGACGGCTCCAGACCCCTTGCTCTCCCGAAACTCAACCTTCAGTACCTCACGGTGGGTGACTTCCTATGGCGCTCCTTCGTCCTCTACCGTTCCGAATCGTTCTTTGCCATCCGCAATGATGTCGAGCTTGTCATCAAAAAGATGCAGCCACGGCGTGACGGGCTGAACACGGTCCGATTTGATGGCTCCTCGAAGATGGCGTTGCCAATATCCAAACCTGCGATAACGGACGTGGCACCAGCTAAGGTCGGAGAGGTCCTCCCTTCGCAGGTTCGCGCCGAGATCATTCTGGATGTGGCCAGGCTGCCGTATCCGGTTCGGCGAGATTGGGAATCGCTGAAACCCGACGACGTCGTGTTCCTCGCCGCGATTAATCCGGCTACGAAAGAGTTGATGACAGATGGAAATGATTTCGCCAAGCCAAATGACAAGATTGGGTTGGCGCATCTCCGTTCAGCGCAGATCATTCAAGTGCAAGACGAGAACGGCAAACCGCTTCGAGAGCAGCAGCAAAATCAGACGAATGGAGAAGGTCGAAGACGGAAACAGCTGAGGTTGATTGTGAATCTGGACCCTGCGGCATACCATGACGATACCGATCCGAGCAAGAAGTCCCGAGTCGAGGTCTACGAGAACATTAACCTCATAATCCGAAGAAGGGCCCGTGAAAACAACTTCAAATCCATCTTGGATTCCATCCGGAAGCTAACACTATCGGATATACCAGCACCATCCTGGCTGCAAGAAGTCTTCCTTGGTTATGGCGACCCGTCAAGTGCGTCCTACAAGAAACTTCCGAACCGTCTTCAATCCATTGATTTCCGAGATACATTCTTGGATTGGCCGCATCTTGTCGAATGTCTCCAGGGCAGAAGTATCGAGCCAAGCGACGATGCCCAATCTAGCTTCGCTCCGCCTTACGTGCTTGGTTTCTCCGAGTCCGCCAAGGACGAACCTCCGCGTACTTCCAAAAAACGGCGGAGAGGCCAGGACGATGAGCCTCAGCCAGTGGTAGAGTCGGTCAAGGTATCGACGTACAAGCCCACGAACATGGGCCCATACCCCTCAGACGCGCCGAAGCTGAACACCGTACGGTTCACCCCTACCCAAGTCGAAGCAATCATATCCGGAACGCAACCTGGGCTGACCGTGATTGTCGGCCCCCCCGGAACCGGAAAGACGGACGTCGCCACGCAAATCATCAACAACATCTACCACAACTTCCCACAGCAACGGACTCTCCTAATCGCGCATAGCAACCAGGCCTTGAATCAGCTCTTCCAGAAAATCGTGGCTCTCGACATCGACGAACGCCATCTTCTCCGGCTGGGCCACGGCGAAGAAGAACTCGAGACTGAATCTAGCTACAGCAAGCATGGCAGGGTCGACTCTTTCCTGGAGATCGGGCAAAAGTACTTGGGCGAAGTGACTCGCCTAGCAGCGAACTTTGAGGCACCCGGTGCGCATGGAAGCTCGTGTGAGACCGCCGACTACTTCAATTCCGTCTACGTCAAACCGGCTTGGACGAAATATTGGGACCAAGCACAAGATGCCTCGACTACCGTCGAGGAGGTCATCGAGACGTTCCCATTGCACAACTACTTCTCCAACGCCCCACAGCCTGTTTTCCCAGCTACCGCCTCCAAGGACGAAGTTCTGGAGATCGCCGAAGGCTGCTACCGCCATGTCAGCAAAATTTTCTCGGAGCTCGAAGATATCCGTCCGTTTGAGATTTTACGGAGCCCGCGAGACAAAGCGAACTACCTATTGATCAAAGAAGCCCGGATCATCGCCATGACATCGACGCACGCGGCCATGCGTCGGCAAGAAATCGCTAATCTCGGGTTCCATTACGATAACGTCGTCATGGAGGAAGCAGCGCAAATCACCGAGATTGAGAACTTCATCCCGCTTGCTCTACAGAAACCCGACAAAGGTGACCTGCCTCTGCAGCGCATCGTCTTATGCGGCGACCACTTCCAAAATTCCCCAATCATTCAGAACATGGCCTTCCGACAGTACGCCAAACTGGAGCAGAGTATGTTCCTACGCCTCGTCAGACTTGGAGTGCCAACCATCATGTTGGACCAGCAAGGTCGTGCCCGGCCTTCCATTGCCGAGCTATACAAGTGGAGATACCCCAAACTTGGAAACCTACCGAACGTCGAAACCGGGGCGGAATTTCTCACTGCCAATGCGGGATTCCGATATGACTACCAGTTCATCGACGTCCCAGACTATAAGGGCAAAGGCGAGCATGAACCGAGTCCGCACTTCATGCAGAATCTCGGAGAAGCCGAATATGCCGTGGCGTTGTTTATGTACATGCGACTGTTAGGCTACCCAGCTTCCAAGATCTCGATCCTCACAACGTATGCTGGGCAGCGGGCTTTGATCCGCGATGTCCTCCAGCATCGGTGCGCGAAGAATCGATTGTTCGGCATGCCAAGGATCGTGGTGACGGTGGACAAGTATCAGGGCGAGCAAAACGACTGTAAGTGGAATGGTCTCAACGTCATGCGTCACAATGGCTAACTTTACTACAGATATCATTTTATCTCTCGTCCGGAGTCGCCGTATCGGCTATCTCCGCGACATCCGCCGTCTCACCGTCGCTCTTTCCCGTGCACGACTCGGTCTCTACATCCTCGGTCGCCGCGAAGTCTTCGAATCATGTTACGAGCTCCAAGAAGCCTTCGGGCAGCTCTTTTCGCGCGATACAAAACTCAGCCTGGTACCCAATGAGTTCTTCCCGACCCCACGCCTCCTCGACGCGCAGAAAGTCGAGTCGGTAGCGATGGAAGGGGTGGAGCATCTGGGCCAGTATGTCTATGAGATGACGCAGGCGAAGGTCGAGGCGCTGAAGGCGGAAGGAGGGAAGATGCCGGCGTTGGAAGCGCCGGTGGAAGATGTGGATATGGATGATGAGGTGGATCGCGGATATGAAGTGGAGGCGGGGGTTGAGGTGGACGAAGATGAAGATTGAGATATTGTTGGTGCCGAGCACCTCATTTTTCAAAAAGTTTGATCATAGTCGGATGCCATTGGAGGAACGACTAGAGTGAAGGACCTCTTTATAGCGGTTCTAAAAACCCCGTGGATTGGGTGTATATGATGGCCTTGCCGTCATACTCGGGATAGTTGTGTCTTTTTGACATACTATCCAGGTTCATAATTGGCCACTTTCAAGTACATGTAAGATTAATGGATTCAATATTGAAACCGTTCTCGCATGACTCCCACCAAAGTAGGATGCCTTATGATGCCTCATGATGCGTCATGATGCGAGATTCTCGCTTCTAGTACGAACGGGTACGGTACTGCTACTTGAAACTTTTGTAGAAAGCAGATTGGCTTCGCTACCTAGAGGACCTAATCTATGTGTGGTTAAAATGAGTCTCATCAATCCTAATGTTTGGTTCAAGAATGCGTAGTCTTTCTGAGATGTTCTTACTTTAAAGTTGCCCAGTCTCCCTTTGGTCCTTAATGCCCTAACTTATCCCTACTAACTATACTAAATTCGATCGTGTCTTCTCCGCCAATGTTTGGGCTGTCAGTCATGCCAAGGATACTGTACTATGTACCGTATGGAGCTAATTTCCGTAGCGTCCCGAGACATATTAGATTTCTTGATGCGAGTTGCAAGTCATCGCCTGTCGAATGTAGCAAATCAGTCAAGATTCCGATCCATCGCATTTTATCACGAGGCATCAGGTGGGATAGCAGATTGGTAACATCCGTTTCTATTGGTACATTCAAATCCAACCAAGGATTGATAATAAAAATACACGGATGTTCCCATTCCGGTCATATATACCTTGGAACAGACATTATTGAGAGGTGACCAGGTCGCATGGTATCTCTCCACCCTAACGACAACTCCCGAGGCGACATTGCGTGTCCCATATCCTTTGCGAGTTGGTGGTTGGTGTATTGAGAATCCTGAGGTGACATTGGGTATCCCATTTCCTTTGAGAATTGGTGCTCCCTGTACCGTGAATCCTCTGAGGATGTCTCGGAATAATAATTTCGTTTCGAAAGCTTTTTGCTTGGGGTCCGCACCCGAGGAGCTCGTGGAGCCTTCCCACGCACATGTCGTCTCATACCCCTTCGGATGTCTTTCCCATAGACATACATGATCGGTAGGCCCATCGAAACGACGCCTAACATGATGGCATATATGATCCAGATGAACATATATCCGCGCTCTTCTACCCAGCTGGATACCTTGAAAGACAAGGCGAATCCGACGATCGATCGGAATGCGGAGACGTTGATCAACACGGGTCTAAAGGAAAGTCAGCATATATATCTGAAAGTCGAAACGATCCCGACATACCCAGCCCACTCGGGGTAGCTTTCTACGCAGTATACCGAGCTAATGGTAGCCCCTGAAAGGTACATAATAGCGATGAGGAACATTCCAGAGATGATGACCATCCAGTGCAGTTCAAGATGTTCGCCACCGAACCCAATAAGTATGCATCCGCCACAGCCGCATGCGATGGGGATGATGAGGTTCAACAGATGCATTTCCGGCTCGCGGTTGCCGCCATTCTTCTTAGCAGAGTAGTTGGCCAGTGCATCGCCCCCCTTCCCGCAGATGAGCCATGAAACCGGGGATGCGACGAGGATGGCAAACGTAGCAAATCCGAGTCGTTCGAACTCCCACCCTTTCGCAAGCAGAACAGGGGCGACCATCTGAGCAGCAGCGCTTGCGATCGCGACCATGGCGCTGTTCAGGAGCACAATCCAGAAGATGTTCGGAAAGAAGTATGACTTCGCGGTGTAGATAAACGACTTGTGTGTCGTCCTCCAATTCGCCTTTCGATTGAAGATCCCGAAGTTAGAGGAGAAATTACGACTTCCATATATCTTTGGGTCAAGCTCCGGTCGATATTCGCCGATTTTCAAGTGGAACTTGGATTGTCCATCTATTGTCATCAGCTTTGCTCTTACCAATCAGTCCATTGAACGTACTGAGCTCCTCTGGAGTCCGTTCCCATCGGGTTTCAGGTACGAATATACAAACGAGCAACCAAGCGACGAAAACTGCTCCACCAAGAATGGCGTATAGCTCCCGCCAGCCCCAGTGGATGATCACTATTGGGGAAAGGACGCCAGATGCGACACTGATAGCACCCTGCTCACGTCAGTGTACGAAATCACATGGTACAAAGTCCACAAACCTGCATCGCCCATAAGACACTGACGTTTCTGTTCCTCTCATGGATGAAAAACATGTCTTGAATTACTAGTCGCAGTTAGGGACGCCTGTAAATGCACTGAGTATAAAGATATTACTCACCAAGGGGTAGGACATTCTGCGCTATTGCCGTCCCAACTGCAATATAACAGAGGGCGGCAACATGGCTGTCGAGCGAAGCGCTAAGGCCCGCCCAGATAGCTCCAGTCCATGCTATCATACCACAGAGCACAAGGACGAGTCTCCGTCCTAATGCAAGGGTGAGAGGAACAATCAGATACTGTGACAGTCCTGTGGTTAATAACGGCATGGAGGCCAGAAAGTACACTTTCCAGACTGGTGGGCCATTCAATCCAGCATAGAACTCCAGTGGATTGTGTGATACTGAATCGGATGGAAGCTTTTTGATCTTCGCGACTTCCTTTATGCTGATTCCGGAATAATATATTATGAAGACGGGGACGAGACTGGCGACTGCAGTCTCCGCTGCGATGCTAACAGCACCAACTGAGACATGTTAGGCCAATATGGATTTCGAATGCTCTTCATCACTCACATATCGCTAATGAACCGACGGCAAGTCTCTTTCTCCATGGAGGAAGATTGAGAGGATCTACGATTTGATCAGTCTCTTGTTTCTTTGGGTCAGATGTTCTCCTCACCTTTCGGATCCGGTGTAGGTATCGGTATATATTTCAGTTGGTTGTTCGTATCGTAGAGCTTGGTGGATCCTCCAACGAAGCTCTGTCTAATCGATGCGATGCCGTTCCGGAGAGTCTGTCGCCGAGCATGTCTGACGTCCGAATGAGGCCTTTCCCGTCGACTCATGGGCTCACCATAAGTGGCCAATATTTCCTTGTCCAGGACATACTTCTCTTCCGGCATGTCGAGAACATCAGGCGATGATGGAAACTGAGAAGAGCTATCCCTAAGCCACCAAACCAGCAGCAGTATACATGTATAATGTAGCTATGTGGTCCCGTCTTTCCACTCCATGTTTCGCTTTATGCAATACGACATTAGGTCTCTACTTAATAGAACAGCCAATACCATCATAAAATTGATACAATGGATAAGCTGGCTGATGTCCAGCATATCCCTCCACAAATACTAGGGCCCGTGGCCTCAAGAGAAAGCCTGTGACAATGTCCATAATCAACATATAGCATAAACTATGGGGCCTCTGGATCCGATTGGATCCTCGAGAGCAATCAACACTGCGTTTGGCAATCAAGCACACGACGAGTGTCAGTGACACGCAGTAGGCGTTTCGCTCCGGTCCTGGAATGTATGATTCGTTCCATTTTCTTTCGATACAGGGTTCTGGGCTCTGGAAGGAGGAAGGACCATGAAATGACACAATCAGGATCAATTTGGCGTCGTCTAGCACTTTAATCCAAAACGCGGGTGTGGGCTTGAGGCTCAAGCTCGTAAATTACACACATTTCGCATTGACTAGGTTGCTTGTTAGGCCAGACTTCTAGGCGTAGGGCTTTCTCGGATATACCTGCGATAGCACAAATCATATTACAGGAGCGTTACGATCCCTGTCGATGTTTGAAACGGTCGGATGTCATTCTGTATGAAGCGAAAGCACTCTACGTGCTGATTGATCAGAAAGTCGGAAGAGATTCTCGGTAGACCTGCCACCAGATCTCGCACTCCTTCGTCTCGCTAAGGCCCAGGGGTGATTTCATATTGATGATGCATTATCCATGGATAACCTATGCATGTGATAGTCGTTGTCAGCCACCCTACTAGGATGTCCTAGGCTGTTATTGCCCAGAGCAGAGGGATAGTATTGGCGCTTGGAAAGTACCATCATCAATAGGTTTAAGCTGGCGTATGCTTATTTTCTGGGGATATGATAAGTTTGCAATTCATACATTGAGATAATGATTTCCACATACCCCATATCTGTCTCCACAACCACCCTGGGGGGGTGGTACGGTGACGCCGCAGCTCGCAGGGCATGTCCCCCACCAGGGTCGTGTATTAGTGACGGAGCTAATATCCCACTTAACGTAGAACCCCATCATCTCGTCTCTTTTCTTGAAGAAACGCAGACCTTGCACATGATAATATATTATTTTGTGCACCAGACCTCGTCTCCTTGTGCACAATGGCTGCCCTCAAATTTGTCAGATCGGTACGGCCCCGCAATCGAATTGTTGTTAATGATCGACGCTGACAGGTATCTTATATCAGGTTTGGGACTCTTTCCGTTCTAGTTCCGGCCTAGAACCGAGGTGATTCATTTCAGGTTCATATGAAAATGCTTATGCTAACTGACGATAGACTCCTGGATGGCGTGCGTGGGACCCGAGATGTTCAATTAACACTAGAACTTACTAATGAACACTATCAGCTCCGCGTTGTTTCTGCTACTCCAGGCAAGGTATTCGCAAACAATTACCACCTCGTGACATGCCAAGTGGTAATCGCGATATAGGTCAGATTTGAATTAGACATTCGGAAAGAGCATACGGTAGAGGAAACCGTCGGGAAATCCGAATCAATGATTAATTTCATCGCAGAATCGATTGAAGATCCTCCATGGCGGGACGATCGCATCAATGGGTGGGCGCCGTCCTATTCCGCTGACAGTAGCATCTGATTAACATTTGACAACGTAGTTGACTTGGGAGGCTCCCTTGCAGTAGCTTCACGAGGACTCTTTGCTACCGGTGTCTCGACCGATCTCAACGGTATGGCGTCTTGGCATCGTACTGAATGACGGCACTAATAATGCGTAAGTCACATACCTCAGCTCTGGAGGGAAAATAGGAGACAAAATCCGCGCAGTAAGTCGGAAGTATTTCAAACTTCATGCGATGCTCTAACATCTGATAGGAGGTTACATGTGACAAGTGTGAGTTCACCACCTCTGGATCTTTCTCAAAACTGATCATGGAGAAAGTCGGGAAAACCCTGGCGTATACGTCAATCAGGTTCATGAACGGTAACGATGAAGTGTTTGCTCGCGGAAGTCATACAAAGTAGGGCTTTCTTACTCCTCGATTGGTCTCGTGTGCAGGCTAACAGTTCAGGTATGTCGCACTGGCATGGAAAGATCCCAACAACGTCACGGAGCAGATGAAGCCGGAACAGGAAAACTTGACTAAATGAGCTTCCCCATGGGTTCGCATAACTAATAGATTGTCTCTTCAATGATACCTACCTTAATATCTAACGATACTCCAAGCTATGCAATTTCTCGAAGTCTTCTTCCAGCATTCCATGGAACCGTTTCCGGAGTACGCTCGTTGGCACTCAATATCTGCGTGTCTTGACGCATGCTTCCATGGAAAACCTGCCACTGGGACGGAAAGTCCGAATGATATCGTAATTCGTTGAGCATATGAGGCCATAACCAGAGCGTACGACCGGACAGGGAGGCATCCGTCCTCGTTCTCTCAGGAGCATGTTGTCTTTTGCAAATTTACACTCTCTGAAGTGCATCCAATATTCCCTCGAGCAGTTCTTATCCAGTCCTCAATTCCTCTCCTAGCATGTGCTAGATCATTCCGTCCAGTAATTCTTTGAAGCATTTTTTGTCTTCCCAGCCATTGTTGAAAGAGCGTTTGCAACCACACCAGGAGAAATCCATCTTCTCGGGCTTGCGATGGTCTGTCATCCCATCAAATGGGATCTAGCACCAAGTTGCACCCAAAAAGCGGGTTTTCAAGAGCGTGGGAACGGATTCCGCCGTAGCTTGAATCTTTCGATCGGAAACAAGTCTACTGGCCGATCTTACGATACGTGGTCGGATACGGGTCAAGTTTTCTCATCTGGCGGATGAGATGCCCAAGCATCTCGGGACAGCAGTCGTCATAGCAGACATGAGCGCCATCAGGAATCTCCTTGAAAGCATACTACTCCATTCATGGTCGCCTTTACAAGCCCAGTCCTCACGTCGTTCATCAGTACTACAGTCCACCTGTTAGCAACGTCATTCCTTTGTACTAGTTGCCGATGCTTCGTTTATACCTATCACTATTCCTGGTATTACTAGCTCGGTCCGCTAGATATATCTCGCGCTCCCTATGGTGAGGCTTTGGCAAACTTGTGTGAACCGAATTTCGCTTCGAAGATTATGGAAGCACAGCATCTGAAAATATACTCCAGCAGGTGTTACGAGATTTCAAATGATTCCGTTCGTCCACACCCTACCGCCGCCCTCAATCGCCTCGTGACTATGGAGGTAGTCAGTCAAGGTCGAGAAAGCCGCCGGAATACGTCGGGGGGAATTGGCAATCCTCGTTTGAGTCGGTGGATGATAGAGAGGAGAATTAGGAAGTCCCGCGAGCGGCTGGTTTACTCACACTGAGTGGATCTCCGAACTGGCGTTCTTCACATCTTCAGCTTCCTTCCATGGACCAGAAATTATGCAGTCAACGAATGGTGAGATAGACTTCAACTTTTAGGTAGTAGATAAATGGAATCAACTCCTTGATGTTCTGACATTTGGTCACTTAGATGGTGAGCACAACCGTGGTAGCCTCGCAGGATGGGGAGCCGGTCGCGGCCGAGAAGAACGGCGAGTGCCTGGAGACGATCGCTTTGGATATCAAAAATTCTCTTCACATCGGATTTGTAAATCCACGGAGGTATCAACATGATATAGTTAGATGAGACCAGATAGCTAGCGCGACTCGGATCGTTTGTTTGCGAATAATCAGCTCTACTTGCTGTTCAAGGAGAATCTCGACCTCGTACTTGAGCGTTTCCTTGTTACTGGTTGGATATCTAGCGACAATTGGCAATCTTTTCATTCATTATATACGCCGTAATGGGTTTCCTCTGTGTGGTGTAGAACTGAATTCACTGTCGTAGAGCGAATTTTTCATGCATTTATTTTTTTGGTGACTTCCGGACAGTCGAGTGCAGCAAGATCATGAATATGCGGTAGAAATCCTCTCCTTTTCTTGTGCTCCTAAAGCGATATATTCATTGAAGCACTAGAGCTAGAATGAAATGGAGGATGTCCCCATTTAGTCCTCATCTTGGTATATTCACCAAGTCGACAAGTAGAACAGTACAGTGTTGCAATTCCTTATCACTAGAATTGGTACCGAAGTTCGAGGGCAAAGTGATTAGGGAATATTCGCCATACAGTACAGTGCGGGATTTGTAGTAGATTAGGTCTGGAGCAAACGTAGTCTCTCTAGACATCCGGGCCAAACAGTAGTAATCAGGTATTGAAGTGCTGGATAAAGCTACGACATGGAAATGGTGTAGGAATGCTGTAGGAATGCTGTAGGAATGCTGTTTCCTTTTCTATTGGGGTTTTATTATGGAAATAGTCATAGAATGAATGAATGAACACAGTATCAAAAACCAGTATCTGCCTGGCTAATAATTATCGGTTACAGAAGTTTTCCCTTCAGTGTCTCCCAACGGAAAGTGCCCATATTAACAGCCATATCGGCCACTCCGAGATGCATAGAGAAAGGCATGGATAACTCTTAACGCCCATTTAGGCCGAATTCATCCCGCCAGATGTCCGAAATTCCGATGCAGCTCCCCAGGCTCAATTTTTGTTAGTCCCAAGTTGGCATCAGCTCGTGTATTGCGTAGTAGTTATATCGAATCAGTGATCTTCCCATTCCAATAGCATGATTGTTATGAAGGACAGGCTATTTCAAGACAGGAGCATATGCGAGTTCGGTAATGTATTGATGTCGATGAGAGGGGTTTGAGGTACAATGTCAGGGGTGGAGGCCCAACATACTGGACACATTAGTTGAGACTTGTTGATACTAAGCCTGCATCGAGACCTTCCACTTCAGGAATCGCTTTTGACAGATCCTCACGCTGGAGAGCTTGAAGATCAAGACCAGAAAGCTCTGTGCTGCTTTCAGAAAAAAGAGCTACTTTAATGTGCTGGACGGTGTGGTACATACGGGAGTATGGCCCGATCCCGCCGCAAATAGAGGGTTTAGTAAACTCGTTAGTGATGTTGAATAAGTTGTCATATGAAATGCCTTCATAACCGTGCTCTCGCGATGTAAAATTGCCTTCCGCGTTCCCTCCAAATGCCGGGAGAACCTGCAGCTCGGCCAACTGTTTGGCCAGCAGTCCAAGCATATAAAGTTGGCAGGCCGGCGTGCTACAAAGTCCTCTATTGGACTGATCGAAGCCGGAGCCAGGGCCTTCGAAAGCCAATTGATCGAAAACCTTTTCGAATCTCGTCATCACATTGGATACAATATCAATTCTTCCCCGATCTATCGCATCTAATAAAGGGTCAGAGTATGGTTTGTAGTCGTGGAGTAATTCGTATACCTGTGACGATTTTAGGGATTGGCAGTTCTCCTGGATCGACTGCCTTTCTTGCCTTGCGGAACCAGTTCTTTGAAACTAGACGAAAAATTGTGGAACTGGGAAAAATCCAAGAGAGGAAGAGCCACTCGAGACTCGTTTCGCACCTTCAAGTGCAAATTTATCGCGTTCGAACGTGTCATCTACCCATCGGTCGGCATGGTATTCGATAACTTCTAGGCACTCGTAGTAATCGACCAATTTTCCGATCTAGACCAGTTCCGCCTTCGACAACGAGCTAGGCACTTTTCGAAACCGGCCATGCATTGCATTCAAAATGATTGAGTAACTTGTTGGTCCACATGAAGGAAGGGCGTCGATATCCAAACTTCCAGACTTTACGGACTCTGACTCTTTCCAAGGGCCGGAAAACATGCGATCGAAATAAGGAGAAGCCACAGATAAATGACGTGAGGAGGCGAGGAACGACTCACGTTTGATATCTTCTTCTGGGATGGTGATATTAACGGTCAGATCCCCCTCTGGATCGAGGGTTTGAAAGTTTGAAGTCATAATTGGAGGCCCAGAAGAGGACGTCGGCGTTTGGTGAGGAAACCCTGTGGCCGATATGCCCGCGGTAGGTAGACTGTTAATTGTTCCTATCCAGTATGAGGGCCTTATTTCATTGATATGTATCAAAATGACTTACTGCAGAAACACGATTGACAACAAGGAGTATTGAGCGTAGCTGTCAACTCGATGATCTAAATTACCGCAATACGCATGTGTTACAGGTACCGGCATTTAGATGTATCTACGGAGTACTTCAGATCACTTTCTGTTTACAACAGTGGTTTGAGCAGACGGAGGTAGAAAAAAGAAAAGTGGGCCAACAGGGACCCCCATCGGTTGAAGTTCGGTTGAGTTCCCGAGCATCATTCGCCATTACCAACGAACGACACAAGCATCGTAAGCTTCATCTGCCTGAACTCATACAAACATTGCTTTCCATTCTACCTGCAAAGTGAGATTCCACGGCAGAAAAGCCTCCAACGACCATCCCCCACCTATTTTACTCCTCTAACAACACCAAATCACCAGACCTCTGCCAATCACACCGCCACATCATGTCAACACTAGAAGACCTCCTCGGCGACGATGGACGCCGAGATGACGATGAAGAAAAGAAGGACGATGGCAAAGACAAGAAGATCGATGGTGGAGAAGGTGGAGAGGGTGGTAAGAAAGATGGTGATGCGGATATGAAGGACGCCGCCGAAGCCGAGAAGGAAGAGGAGCTCATTGACGAGGACATTCTACGATCCAACACACGAGACATCACATCACGGCGGCGGCTGCTGGAGAATGACACGCGGATAATGAGGAGCGAGTTCCAGCGGTTAACTCATGAGAAGGCTACGATGCAGGAGAAGATCAAGGATAATGTGGACAAGATTGAGAACAACAGGTAGTTTCCCGCCACTCAAGAAAACCCAGGAAAGCTAACATCATCGACAGACAATTACCATATCTCGTCGGCAACGTTGTTGAGATCCTCGATCTAGATGTCACCGAGGAAGCTGCCGAAGAAGGAGCCAACATCGACCTGGACGCCACCCGCGTTGGGAAATCCGCCGTCATCAAGACCTCCACCCGCCAAACCATCTTCCTTCCGCTCATCGGCCTTGTCGACCACGAGCAGTTGAAGCCAGGCGATCTCATCGGCGTGAACAAAGACTCCTACCTCGTCCTAGATACACTCCCTGCCGAGTACGACAGCCGAGTCAAGGCGATGGAAGTGGATGAGAAGCCGACGGAAAAGTACACGGATGTTGGAGGCTTGGACAAGCAGATTGAGGAGCTAGTGGAAGCTGTCGTGTGGCCGATGAAGGAAGCGGAGCGGTTCAAGAAGATAGGCATCAAGGCTCCAAAGGGTATGCGCAATATATCAAAAACCTCGAAACTACTTCGACTAACTTCAACTAGGTGCCCTGATGTACGGACCCCCCGGAACCGGTAAAACCCTCCTCGCACGAGCCTGCGCCGCCCAAACCGACGCCACCTTCCTCAAGCTCGCCGGCCCGCAACTCGTCCAGATGTTCATCGGCGACGGCGCCAAGCTCGTCCGCGACTGCTTCGCGCTCGCCAAGGAGAAAGCCCCCTCAATCATCTTCATCGACGAGCTTGACGCCATCGGCACCAAGCGCTTCGACTCGGAGAAGTCCGGCGATCGCGAGGTGCAGCGGACGATGTTGGAGCTGCTGAATCAGCTGGACGGGTTCGCGAGCGACGACCGCGTCAAGGTGCTCGCGGCGACGAACCGCGTGGACGTGCTGGATCCGGCGCTGTTGCGCAGTGGGCGGCTGGATCGGAAGATCGAGTTCCCATTGCCGAACGAGGAGGCGCGGGCGCAGATCCTGCGGATCCATAGCCGGAAGATGACGGTGGACGAGGCGGTCAATTGGCCGGAGTTAGCGCGGAGTACGGATGAGTTTGGGGGCGCGCAGTTGAAGGCGGTGTGCGTGGAGGCGGGGATGATCGCGTTGAGGGGTGGGCAGTCGAAGATCACGCATGAGCATTACGTGGACGCCATTGCGGAGGTGCAGGCAAAGAAGAAGGATGTTGTTAGCTTCATCGCGTAGGGTTCGCGCTGGTCTTTGTTCGGTTCATCGGAGCGTTTGGGAACAAATCATAGAAAAATAGCACCGGCCATCAGGCGTCCGTCTCAATAATGGGCACCATGAGCGTTTGGTCCTGACATTACTATTGCAGCAGGGAACACGTCGAGTGTATCCCGAAACTACTGCTTCAAATGCGCCCCCTGGAGCTCCTCCTGGGCATCCTTGATCATAAAACTGTACGCACGTTAGCCATCCGTCTTTCATCAAACCGCGCCATCTCCACTTACTTATACCACCACACCGTCGGCAACACCGTCCCCAAATGCCACAAACTATGCGCATCCACCATCCCCCCCCACGGCGGAAAATCCAACAACTCCAAACTCATCGCCATGATGATCCACGCCACGATCATCCCCGGCCACGCCGCCCACCCGCGCTTCACCGTCCGGTACCGCGCGATGCTGAACCACGTCCACAGCACGTTCGAGATCGTCCCCACGACCACATTCGCGGTCATGTTGTACGTGTAGTCCCACCGCCACGCGGTGAGGTAGGTGACGTGCGCGATGTACAGCAAGATGCAGAGGAGTGTCCACGCGCGGCGGACGCTCTGCTTCCGCGGGGTGGGTTCGTCGAGCCGGAAGATGCGGATGGGGGAGAAATACAACCCATACAGCACGTTCGCGCCCGCGGCGAAGTAGTCGAGCTTCTCCGTCCAATCAAAGTCGCGGGTGTGAAACAGCATGCTAAAGCCCCAGCTCACCAGGCCGACGTAGCCGAAGCAGAGGTAGTATGGACGGAGGGGGTAGGAGGCGGGGAGGCGGTCGCGGAGGAGGGCGATGCCGTGGTCGTGGGCGAGGTAGTTGAGGAGGGAGAAGAGGACGGCGAAGGGCTCTTGCATGCCGAGGGAGCGGTAGAACGGCCATTTGCCGTGGAATTGGACGACGGGGTCGGGGGGGGGAGGGTGTTGGGAAAGGCGGGCGTCGGTGATGAGGTGTTGGCAGGTGTAGTCGCATTCCGAGGGACAGTCCCAGAGGAGGAGGCGGTTTTGGAGAGCTGGAATGGTTAGGATGCGGTGGATGGAGGTGATTGTGGAACGTACATATTGAGGGGCCATTGGCGATGCAGTTCGATTCTTTGCAGACCTGGAGGAAAGTCAGCGGGGGGTTATACTGCTGGGGATACATTATGCGTCAACCTCCACGCAGTCCTTAAACTCGGGAAGACGGTCCCCGATGGATGCCTTTGCCACAGCGGCGAGAAGAAGGAGGGCGCCGACAGACAATCGGCGCCATGACAAGGCCAGCTTTCTCATCTTTCAACCGGATACGTATTGTGTTTGGAGAATGATGACTTCGGAGGGATGCCACTGAACGATTGTATTCGGTACCAATGAGGACTGCACGTCGGTCTCTCAGAGCAGCATCAACATACCGATATCATTCATAAACCATATCATTAAGACGGTATCAATTATCAAAACAACACCACATCACGGCGGCTCTGGATCCTGAGGCCCGCCGAACGAAACCCCAAGAGAACCCAAAGGGACAGTGCACCTTTCTATATATAAAAATAGGGCCGAGGGTCATAAATGGACCCAAGGGATGCGGAGCGTAGGGAGCAGAACCTCCCAAGTTTTAACAGCATAATTACCCAGCCACAGTTTGTTGATGAAGTCCTGAACCTCTGCGGCCAATAACAGCAACTTTTGATTTGACCGTGTGCTTGATTCATTCATCTGTGTATCTTGTATCGCCCTTGGGCGATCAGAGTCAAGCACACGCGCTTATTAGTACTGATTCCATCGGTAGCTAAACCGCCTATAATTAAATAAACAGCAGATGGTATACTATAACTAGTTGAATTTGATCTATCTACGCAGACTCTATATCCGCAATGTTATAGAGGATATGAATCAAGCGATTCCCGCTCACTTAGGTCACACCTAACAACCAACCTTATTGAGGTGTTCTTTTGATCGATGTGACGATTAAGCAAACCATGAACTTTTTTAAGCACTCCAAATCTCCATTCAGGAACCTTAAGTGCCGGACGGATTAGACCCAGTTATAGGTGTATCGATCTCACTCGCAAGTGGCGGGGACGACCTCCGAGGTGGAGAGGATGATCGGATAGGAAGTTGAACACGTCGTAGAGGCGGTGGCATAAAACCGACCGTGAATTGCTGAGGATCCTGTATAGACACATTAGCCATGCTGCGCAAGGAGTAGACGGTATATAGTATGTACGGAGGACGCAATATGATGCAATGCGCGTCGAGCGACATCATCGTTCCTGGCTCGAGTTGTAGCAGTTACTTGCATGCCCAATCGCGGTAGATCAAACGATTCTTCAAATAACACCCCTTTCAGCGACTTAACACGCGAGACAGCTACATAAGTTAATCCCGGCGCAAAGTCCCGCTTATCAGCGATGTTCAAAACTGCCTTTTCAAGTGTCACTCCCTGGCTCTTGTGGATGGTGATAGCATACGCCAGGACCAATGGAAACTGGGTACACAGGCAGGCGACAGAACCGCGAACGAAGTCTCGGCGGGACCGGAATATAGGCACGAGCTTTTCGCCGTTAACCTCGCGATGCGGGATCGCTCCGACGAATCTCCAATCGACAGTATAGACTAGGATGCTAGACCGATAGTAGTTAATTGATAGAGAGTCGACAAAGGTGTTAGGAAAGCGATAAGGTAGAGAAGGAAGAAATAAGGAAGAGATGAAAAAAGAGATAGATTTTAAGCAGAGGAGCTGAGTAGAATCTATGTGATCGGCCCTACTTTGTTCACTCTTCTACCTCGATTATATGTATATCTGTTTCTACCCGCTTTCGCCCGCATGACTTCCTCTGGTTGATTTTGAGGGACGGAATCGCCTAAGACGACACTATATCGTACACGCTGAAGGCAACGAGTGTTCATATAGATGGTTTCAGGACTATAGGCCGTATAAGAACATAGATAATGCCCGGAGATGTCTCAAGGATCTTGCTTTCCTTCTCTTTACTTTCTTCTATTAATATTGTCCGTAAGACTCGGTTGCTCTGCAGTGTCGAATTATCTATACTTTGCGATACTATATCTCACTTCCCCGAACAACCCCCTAGAATGTAGAAGACTACATACATGCTAATCTGCTGTTGTCCCATTGAAATCGGATATAGGACGTGTCTGATGCCGTGATGCTGGTGAAAAGGTGCTCTATGTCGAGCTTTGAGCTTCTAGTTAACGAGAGCGCAGGCCCTGGGGACAGCGACGACAACGAAGTCCACAGAGTTAACAGAGATGGAAGAACAGGTGGCATATAATTACAGTAGAGAATGATAGCAGTTATAGGATGATAAGTAGACAGCGTCTCGACCACAGCGACCCAGCAGGATTCGACAGTAGACAGTAGAGATACATGGAGAAGGAAAGAATGATGTGACACGGAACTTTCCGGACCTTTTTTCAGCCAATCATTTTGCCAAGGAATTGTATGGACAAATCACAGAGACATTTCAACTGTCCAATGAGCGTGTGTGCTTTTTTGGAAAAGGAGCTCCATTTGGATTTTAAACTGCTCCACTACGCTGCGCAATTAGGATACATGCTATGGCTGGGTTGGCTGAAATGCACCTGTTGCAGCTAGTGGCGGCAGTTGTGGGTACTAGCTAGCAAGGGGCTTTACGCGTGTACATATTACTAACATCACCTTACATAGTAAATTTAACTTCAATGTTGCCATTTTTCAATTATTCTACAGAATACACCCCTCAATAGTCAATACGGATACTCATCAATGTATCGACATTGACCTGTCGTTCAAGTGGAACGGTCCAATTGCTGGCATGGAATATCCCTCCGTGTCCGAGCGCCTGAACTTCGGTGGCCTAATGGCCTTGGATGCCGAGACTAAGATTGTCCCCTATCCATAACTACATTTCATGTGACATAAATACGGACTCGGGCGAACCATATGTCCGATTTCTCATCTTCTTTTTCTCTCTCTACCATTTCAAGTGTGAAAGGACGCCGAGTCCTTCGATCTTTGGACAAGATTGGCGGAGTTCTGTGGGGCGTTGCTGGATCTGAAGTGATGCGTTATTTAGGTATCAGTTTGGTGAAGATACCTGGGCCTCGGTTTACTGGTTAAATGCTTAGACTTTCTAACTTCCCTTTTCACGGTTCGGGGTAATGGCATTGCATTCTCCAATCTAAGTTTTATAAAACTGGAACTGTATTCCTATCTAAGTTTTTGTCAAAGTCAAGCACAACCGAATTCTTTCTACATTCCCTTTCTAAATTGTAGATATGGCTCCTTCACTCTCCGATCCGGTTGACCTCCCCTGTGGACTTCGATTACCCAATCGCTTGGTAAAGGTAACAATTGGTCTCCTAATCAGATATCCCCGCGCCCAATTATTGATATCCCACACAGGCCGCCCTTGGGGAAGGACTCGCCACATCGTCCCACCAGCCTAACCTCAAGTTCTTCGAGGCCTACGGCCAATGGGGCGCTGGGGGCTGGGGTGGTATCCTCACCGGAAATGTAATGGTTGATGAGCGCCATTGCGGCAGTTCAACTGATGTCCTTTTCGAAGCAGATCCCTTTAAACGCCCGGACGAGGCGTGGGAGGCGTATGCCGAAGCTGCTCAGTCACATGGCACCCCTGGGTTCGTACAGATCAATCATCCGGGACGACAGTCGCCGGTCATGGGCGGTAGAAAATGGTTCTGGACAAAAAATATGGCGCCCAGTGCCGTACCGCTGAACGTGGGGTCCGGGCTGCTGGCCTGGTTCCTCAGCGCTGCGATCTGGGGCACGCCGAGGGAGATGACCATCGAAGAAATCCGGACGACTACCCAGCTATTTACAGACGCCGCATGCTATGTTGTGGAAAGGGGATTCAAAGGCGTTCAGATCCATGGTGCCCATGGCTTCCTACTCGCGCAGTTCCTGTCGTCGAAGTCAAATCGACGAACGGACGAGTATGGCGGTACTCCGCTGAAGCGTGCCCGGTTTGCCGTAGAGGTCACGAGAGCAATCAGACAGGCCGTGCCGGCGGACGTCGCAGTCGGGATCAAATTCAACAGCGTCGATCATCAACAGGAAGAGTCATTACACGATGCCATCGAACAAATTCGGGCCATCGTGGACGCCGGAATCGACTTCCTCGAGATCAGCGGCGGAACTTACGAGGATCCCCAGGTATGCTCTCGCCAAAATCCGTGCGACTCCAAGAAATCGTAGCACTGACAACCCTCCCCAGATGTTACACGCGCGGTCTGCCGCCAACATTCAGAGCACCAAATCCTCCGCCCGCGAAGCCCATTTCCTCGACTTCGCCCGGGAAATCCGCCGATCATTCCCGAACCTCACGCTGATGCTCACCGGCGGATTCCGCACCCGCGCCGGCATGGAAGCCGCCCTGGCTGACGGGGCGTGCGACCTCATCGGTGTGGGGCGGCCGGCCGTCGTCAACCCGGCATGGCCAAAAGAGGTGTTGTTGAACGAGAACATGGGCAACGAGGAGGCGCAGTTGTTGCTGAATCCGGTCAATATTCCGAGTTTCGCGAAGAAATTAGGGTTGAATTTCGTGGCCGCGGGGTCGGAGACGGTAGGTTTTGGTCGTTGGCTTGAGGTGGGATCCAGTGCTAATCGGTTGTTAGGTTTACTATGTCATGCAGATAGCAAGGATAGCGAAAGGGCTTCGGCCAATGGCACCCTGATGACCATAAGGAGTAATCTATTATCCTTGGGCTCATCGGGCTTACAGTCGACCTGGGCGGACTGCACAATTCCATTTGCGAAAAGGGTCACGGAAGGCTTCCAATCGCTCAATCTGGAACTTTCATCCAGGTTGTTAGACATATTATACCTAATACTAACGTTAGAGACAAGGTTTCTATGCTATCTTAGAAATACTTGACCGGGCTTTGCGGGCGTATCAGTCCTGCATGGTATTCAAGCATTTGCTCAACAGGGGAATACTTTAAATAACGTCAATTGCCATAGACCACATGGCATTGGTGTACATAGATTCATTAGTATTAAATATATTGATGCATACCAAGCGTTTCTTCACTAGACTCATTTCCTATGTAAATCTAGTTATCCCATGTGTGGTGCCATTTCAAGGCAACAACGGACATTCCCCTCTAATCACGATATTCCAGCATGGGCTCATGGCAACGCCTATTTCCACAACCGCCCATCTTTCTGCCCTCTTCATGCCTCTTGATCATTATCCAAAAAAATCTATCTGCCCCCCATATGTCAACCCCAAATTGCCAAAATTAAATCAAAAAGAAAAATCATAATGGATAAACAGGGGATTGAACCCCGGACCTTTCGCAAGCTAGAGATGCAAAGCGAACGCGCTACCACTGCGCCATTTACCCAGAATAAATAAAATGTACCTAAGATTGAATAGGTGGTTAGTGCGGATTCGGGTATATCAAAGCATGAAAGATCAGTATCATGCTGATAGGTAGGACCGTATTTGCTTACCTGTAGGTGTGGAATATCTTACAAGGAATTCATCCTGCCGTATCCTTGCTCCTCGGCTCTGTAATGGAATCCAGAATGAATCTGATTTATGCAACATGCATAGTTCAGCACGACCCGCACCGTGCATGCTCATTCTCTGCGCTGACATCCGACTGATGCCGTGAGACTTCAACTTCAACTTCTCGCCGTTTCATCAATCGGGAAACAAAAGCTGGGTTACTTAATTATGTCTTGGTACCAGACTGTTGCTGTAAGTCCATGTTTTTTGCCGTATCTCGGAGACCTCAATCTCATAGAAGTCAGGCCCTGCTCGCTATAGCGGCAGCGTTTTATCCGTCCATTGTGGGGCGGTATCAGACCGTTCGCATCATTCTGGACAATGTCCCGGGAAAAATGATCGAGGTGGATCAGTTCGCGGCAAAGACGATCGAGTTCGAGAATGTATTACGGAATTGCGAGGACGTGATCATGGTTCCGGAGCACAAGTATGCGATCTTGAGCTGTGACCCCGGACGGGATCGCTGGAATACCGTCCTGGTAAATATGGTTGCTTGAATCAGAGACGCACAACCCTCATTCACTGGGTGTAGGGGATATTCATTACGCCAAACATTTCGGGTCGGCTGTACCATTACGATTATACGGACACCGCGGGCGAGAGCAATGGTTTGTATCCCATTGAGCTCCACCAGTACGACAAAGTTATCCACGCTCTGGGGGTTGAACTCCACAAGCCCACCAACACGCTCTTCTTCGTCAACCACGACGCCGACGGCCCCACTATAGAGGTCTTCCAATACCAACCCCAGCAGCATCGCGCCGTGCTGAAGCGTAGCATCTCGCACCCGCTCCTGAACGCGCCCAACAACCTCGTCGCGTTGAATGAAAACGAACTGTACATCACCAACGACCACTACTTCAAACCCGAGTACAGCCGCCCGCTCAACCTCCTTGAGACCTACCTCGCCCTCCCCGGCGGCACAGTGACGTACGTAAACCTCGCCACCAACGCCTTCCGCACCGTCGCCCGCGCCCCCTTTGCGAACGGAATCGTCATGTTCAACGCGACGACCCTCGCAGTCGCGTCGACCACCTTCCCCGGCGTATATCTCTACTCCGTCGACGCGGCCACCCATGCCCTGACCCTGCAGCAGACCATCCGGGCGGGTTTCTTCACCGACAACCTCAGCATGGACGGCGACGGGAAGCTGCTAATCGCGGGGCATCCGTTCCCGATGGCGTTGGGGACGGTGGCGAGGGAGAATCATAGGTATGACTTCGAAGGGACGGGGGAGGGGCTGGATGTGAAAGAGCGGCCGAGGGCGGCGAGCGGGGTGGCGGAGTGGGATGGAAATGCAGAGGGGGTGCTGAGGCTGTTGTATTTGGGGAATGAGTATGGGACATCGACGACGGCGGTGAGGGACGTGAGGGAGAAGATCGGGATTGTGGCCGGGCTTTATGAGAAGGGGATTTTGGTCTGGAGGGAGTGATGTCTCGTCGAGTCGGGTTGGATGGCAGGTGGAGATATCCTGGGTGGGCAGCAATAGGTAATGGCCAGTGGAACTGTGGGTGGGCGGCTCTAAAGGGTAATGTTAAAATGGTTCGCTCCTTGTTATCACCTTTTGACATAATTTGAAGTCCCAAGTGGGTAATCATCCCCTCTCTAGGAATAGTGTAATACTCTATGCAGCGGACCGATCCCCCATTCGATACTCACTCGCCAATCGCTTCCTGGACATATCAAGGCCGTGTCTAAGCACTCTTTATTGATAATACACACCGTTCCCACCGAATCGCCAAACACCTCCCTTGCAATGCAATTGGTCACTTTTGTCTAGTTCTTGCCTTTGGCTTCGGCCTCCGCAGCCAACCGGTCGTGCTCCTCAATATCCCTATATTCCAATCAGTAGTGTTTCACGCAGGGGAATCGGAAAACTCACTTCGCTTCCCACGGATAACAAATCCACACATCTCCCACCGTGCGCGCGGCCATGTACCGTCCGCCACTCATCATATCGGTCGGGAGCGTCCCTTTCTTAGTTTTATCTTTGTTCTACATTCAATCAGCATCCGCCAACACGTTTCCAGAGTCAACCCAACCCACATGCAGGACAAACACCCCCCACCGCGTCTCCATTCCCTCCGCCTCTTTTCCCATCCGCTCTTTTGCCTCTTGCACATCCTTCTCCAGCTCGCGAACCGCGTACTCCAGCGTCGTGCGCGTATCGTCCACCTCGTCGACGATAAGGATATTCTTCCCGACTAGGCTCGTCATGCTCAGGGACGACAGGTCCAGCCATTGTGTGCGGGTGACTTTGGTGCCGGGGGTTTCGATCGGGTTGTCGGAGACGCCTAGCTGCTCGTAGAGGGAGAGGCCGATGGCTTGAATGGGGATGTTCGGCGCGCCTGGCTGCTTGAGGAAGGACCTATATGAACCATCTCAGCCATCTGGTTTTGTAGGAAGATCACGGTGGAACGAGAGAAACTCGGACGCTGTGGGCGGATGTTCACATACCGCAGGATCCGTGCCGGCACATAACCTCCACCACCGATGGCGATCATGAGAGTCGGTTGGAACTCATGGAGGATATCCTTTGCGGAACGGGCACAGAGTTTGTGGACCTATACGCCCGAATAGCGTGATTAGCACATCTTCATGTTACCGGTACTAGCCTGCCTTCGAAGCGCCAGATACGGCTATCTGAAGCGACGCGGAGGGGTGGATAGTGGGGAGATGAACCTCATTATATGTAACGTAGATCTTCTCGGCCATCTTGAGAGATTCCCACCGTTCGGAGTAAGGATTCGAAAGTGAGAGAAGAGAGAGGCGCTTAAGCAAGTATTTTGCCAGAGAAAAAGAATTGATGTTGTACTTTACGGTGGGCGTTAACTCATCATGACTGGAATTTCTCTGTCGGCGGAGCCCTCCGATGGACCGCTAAGCTCGATCAGGAAAGTATACTGGCAAATCCACTGAAAATTGAGGTTATGTAAGAAGCATATTTCAGCCCTTTCAACCTCACTCCGTTTTCTTCAATCGTAGTCGCCTGGGGTGGGTGTTCTGGTGATGAATGAACAGAAAGACGCATCCTATATCGCACCGATGAACGTAGGGATGGCAAGAACGAGTCGAACTGCGTCATTGCTTGTAGTCAGAGTGCAGCCGTCCAAATGGGAACATGGGCTGACCAGAATAGAGGGATTCCATGGAAATTGGCAAGGCTCCCCTATTTACCGTCTGTATGTCCTACATATCGCCAGGTATTGCCATTCCCATCTCGGTTTCATTTGCCCATTCCCAATATTAGTAGAAAGTAAGGTATCAAGCTAGATGCAATATCAAGAGCATTTATTGCAGATAAGGATGAAATAAGCCAATCTCATTTCGTTTGTACGCTTCCACCACCGTTACACGACTCGAGAATTTCATCTCACGCGCATGAGGGTGGATATGGGGCACATCATCGACAATGCATCAAGTGTGTACCAATGTCCCTCAATGCATAGGGGATTGCATATGCTTCGCAACCACGAACAGCGCCCTCTCAGTTTCGGTACCAGACCTGTATCCGTTGCACGAGAAGGCGCTCCACTGGTAGTATGTATAATAGCACGTGTGCGGCGCAATATTCATGCGATGTTACTTCCCCTTACAGGCGCATTTCGCATACAGCTGGGATGTGATTGCGAGAATCATCTTCCATACTAATGGTAAGCTGTCCAAGGAGATGTAGATTAGGGCTTGATATTAAAAGTACATTAGGCATGGGACTGGGCATGTGACCTCATCCATGATTGTTATGGCTTATGAGCACCTTGTATACCGCCTACCGGACGCCGATGTTGAAGTCTAGCCAGGAAAATACGCTAACTGATCAGGATTTTCAGGAGCGATCATGGCTTCAACTCAGCTGCGAACACCGCTCGGAGATTCTTCTCGCCTCCAGCTATGGGAAAGGAGAAGCTTCCATCCCCACCCCCCCAGCGTTGGCACGTCCTTTTCGGCTGGGGATCCCATTCATGGCGACCCCGGGTTTGAGGGGCGCCGAATTGCGTCCAGGAACAGAGCCAACGTGGAAATGCTAAATAGACGACGACCTCTGCCGAACTCAGATGCCTGTCGATGAGATTAATCGGCGACGGTAGGAACGGTCGCCACAGGATTCGGCGAAATTTCGTCCTGGGCAGCACTGAGCACACGCGTCGGAACGAGCAATGGACGCCTTCTGGCGGCGCGTCGTCGCGAGTTCGGACGTTCAGAATCAGCCATCAGCCATGGACCCCAAGGTTGAGGTGGCCTGGCGGCTGAGTTTGAGGCAGTGAGAGGAACCGGGAATCGGAGATCGCTCTGCCGATGGCTTTGACCAACTCTTTGACCGTGCTGATCAGCGGGCTTGATATCCTGTCACTGTTCGCAACCGCCAAGGATTCCGATGCGATTTATCTTTCAATCTGCAACATGTATTCGAGGTACAGGTACCTAGGCATGACAACTGCTTCATATTGAGATTGATCGGCGCCTATTTTTGGGGCCAATTTATCGGTTGGCCAGTCTTTGCAAGCTCCCTCCCTAGAGTGCCAAGGGAATGTAAAGCTGTGCCGCTGGGAATAAATCCAGTCAACAGCGCTCCTATGAGCATATCGCATCATGGAGCTTAATGTGGTGGGAATTTAGCAGTCGCGGCATGTGACGCTAACGACACTACTACTGGCACTATTTCGGCTATGGGAATGTCGTTCATTTTCGAGTCAATACAAAAGCATTGTCAATGATACGTGTCAAATCATAGGCCACTACTATACATGGACCGGAGTAATCAGCAGGTTTCCACAGACGAGCAAGTTAAGAAATATGCCGTTGGAAAAGCACCTGCGGCTGTACAGCGTTATCGAACTTATGGCAGGAAGCGCCGTTATCATTGCCCAGGAAATCTCGCCCTCCATTTCATTGGAGTTGAAGGCGGAAAAGGAGCTCTGGCCAGGAGCTAGGGCACCCGTTCCGCTGCCTGTCATCAAACCGGGGATCCCATCACCCATGTCAAGCCGCCAAGGTCTCAGTTAGGGGGAGCGCATTTACTACGAAGAGTCTAAGACTCTCCCGCAGATGCGCCCAGGGGATAAACGGTCCCAACTCCCAAATGTCAAAGGAACGGGAGGGAGAGCAAGACTTGCGGAACCGCCATCCCCACCGCCTCTGAATCAGGCGTTCTGGAATTGCGTCGAGCGCTCGGCTGCTGCTGATCGGTTCCATAGACCCTGGAGAAAGTGGCTCTCTCGAGCTGTCACTGGAGAAACCGACCGATTGCGGCGGTATGCCAGCGTTGTACAATGGCTTATTTATGATATGGCTTGAACGAGGAATTTGGGACACCTCGTGGGCAGGGAAGAGCCATGGTTCTGGGCTGTCAGGACCCATGAAACAATTTCCGGAATGGCATTTTTGCGATCCTTCTCGCGGGAGAATATAGCGAATAGGGAGTGAGGCGTTCGGGGGGTTCGATTGGATTCCTGCAGCTGGTTAGGAGGTTAGGAGATACGGAGGATACTTGGGGAACCTGGAGATGGGGGAGGCGTCACGTCGCTTGCGTTTATGCGTTAACGGGCAGCACCGCACTGACCATTCTTCCGCCTCGGAACTCTCCATCTCCAGCTTAAGCAAAAGCCACCCACCATGATGCCAGCAGCCCAGCAAGCCAGTAAATCGACATGGAAACTCCATTCTAAACTCAATACAGTCTTCTCAAACCTTCACATCCATGTCCGCCATATACCCAGACTGTCCCAAAGTCTCCTAAACCGTCGTTTCCTGCGAGACTTGCGCTTTACAATGAGCCTGCCCCGATCCTCGCTCCATCTTTCTCTTCTCCTCGTCTTCTTCGCCAGCCCTCACGATCGAGTTCTTTGTTTGGCGCACTGATCCATTAGTCGCGACAGCTTGGGTGATTCGTGTTCAAAGACCCCGCGACCACCACTTGACGATTTCGGTTCTCCTTTCCGCCGACTTGGAACTCCTATTCACGGCCGATCTTCGCGACGCATATCTTTGCCATCCAGCATTGCTCTGCGAAATCTATCTTATCTATTCGCACATGTAGCGTTCTCCAAGCGACCAATTTGGGGTACTCATAGCTAAACCGCCATTGGTGCTGCAGTGAACAAAGACTTCCACATTTTGTTCTTGACCTTCTCACGGCCTGTCCTGTCATGATCTACGACCGTCCAATTTCTTAGCATCGCGTTAGCTTTGGAAATCGAGCCCAACGAATATCTCCGAGGTCATATACACTCCTTGGACCCGACCTCGTGAATAGTTCTGCCAGACTCAGGGACAAACGGGCTTCCCCTTACCTTCCTTGACATTGCGATGATATAACGGGCCATCTGAAACCGGTGGCACATTTCTTTCTTTATTGGGGCATTCATCCCTTGCTGCAGTTGCTCCTCAGTACGTCGGGATTGGTGTCTCGTTAGCGCGCTGGGACATTCCGGGGAAGTCTGAAAAATTTGGTGTTTGAAGCCTTCAAGGTCCAGGATTTACATGCTTCAAGTCGGCTGAGAAGCAAGGTCGACACGATGGCTTCAACGGCAGAATCAATCCGCCGAAGCCCCTTCGCAACGGATCACAATCACGGGCCGATACACAAGTCAATACCGATTTTACCTTCGTCGTCCTTCACTCCCCCAGGAGATCCAATGGATATCACACCGACCAATTCGAACGATTCCCAAAGAATGAGACCACCACCAGCTGCCAATAGCCAAAATGGCGATCGACCTGCGGCCTCCCAAAATCAGAACCAGCAGTCGTCGCAAAGTCAATCGGAGTCTCCGGCGGCAGCTTTGGATACACCACCCACTACGAACGGCTCATCTTCTCTGCCAGTAGGTGCTGCCGCGGCTGCGCAGCAGCCTAAAGTTGTTCAGACCGCATTTATTCATAAGCTATACAAGTGAGTGCCGACAAATTGCCACGAAGGGCCGTGAACTCAACTAACGGATGCCAGTATGTTGGAAGATCCGAGTATACAACATTTGATTTCCTGGTCAAGTACAAATGAGAGTTTTGTCATGTCGCCATCTAGCGAGTTTTCCAAAGTGTTATCGTACGTATATCGCCAGCGATATGTACCAGTCCAAAGCTAACTATTTATTGGCAGATCCTATTTCAAACACACTAATATCTCATCCTTTGTTCGCCAACTGAACATGTACGGATTCCATAAAGGTATGCATAAGCTCGCAACAGGTCCGACGATAGTATTGCTAATTCTTAGCAGTCAGCGATGTCTTTCACACCGGCCAGCCCGATTCTCCATTGTGGGAGTTCAAGCACGGGAATGGCAGCTTCAAACGAGGCGATTTGGTCGGATTGAGAGAGATCAAACGCAGAGCTTCAAGGCATGCACTGATCCATCGAGATTCGTTTTCCACTGCACCGAAAGTGGCGCCGCCACCACCTGGCGCCCAAGCCAGTGTGGAGCATATGCAAGATCCGCAAGCCATGGGAAATGCACTCGATTCCCGATTACAGCAGATGGATCACACTATGTATGAGCTGCTGCATCGTGCCAACCGCACCGAAGACAGCTACGCATACCTTAACCAGCGATATCAATTTGTCAGTGATGGCTTGTTACGGTGCCACCAAGTCAGTTCTTTCCCCGCTCTTGTGTCGAGTACAATTGAAGTTCGATTTCTGACTCGTGTACAGTGGAACCATGAGCTTTCCAGCTATTTGCTCCACATGATTCCCGATCCTGAGAATCCTGTACACAAAGATGGTAATTTTGTTTCCCGGATACGAACGTGCTACGCGAGTCAGATCCAATATGCTAACACGCGGCAGTGACCATGATGCAGCGGGAAATCGCCCGGCAGATCGACCAGATTCGATCTTTTGACGAGCCTCCAGAACCCCTGTCGTCGTCTCGACAAACATACTTCAACAGCCTCCACGACACGGGCCAATCACTATCCCCACGTCAGCTACCGCAAGATATCCTTGAACAGCGCCGCGGGTCCCTCACTGCTTCCATCCCCCGACCGTCTCCATTCCGCACTCCTCTCGCGCCTCACCTCGCCATCTCCCCGCGTCGCTACGGCTCCATCGGCTCCTCCAGCAACACGTACTCACCCTCATCCGCCCGCACCCCCCAGCACGTGCCTCTACAACCCCCGGCACCCCCTACACAACACCCTCTCGCCACCTCATCCTCCTCTTCTCCTCCCGCGAACCTCCCCCGCCGCCACACATCCGCTGACATCCGCCTCCACGGCTGGAACCCCTCCCTCGCCGGCCAACCCCAGTCCTCCCAGCCCCCCCTTCCACCTCACGCCCACTCCCCGTACGCGTCCGGCGCCAACTCCACCCAATGGCCCTCCTCCCCCTCCCGCGCCCCCGTCGGCGACTCCGCCATCCAAGCCACCCTCGCGCAATATGAACTCCCACGCGGCCCCTCTTCCACAAACCCGACCTCCAGTCTCGCTCGCAACGTCACGCCGCCACCCACGCTCTCCTTGACTAGCGACGGGCCCAACGGTCCGCCGATGGACGCGCCGTTCGGGTCGAGCTGGCAGTTGCCGGGCGCGCGGTTCAACTTTAAGGGGTTCGGCGCGCCGGGTAGCAGCGGGGGCTTGGAGCCGCCAGGTGGAGGGAGCATGCCGCCGACGAGGAGGAGCAGTATGGCGAGCAATGTGCATAGTCTGTTGAATCCGGCGGAGACGGTGGAGCGGGAGGGGGAGGATGAGGGGGAGCCTGGGGGTGGGGCGAAGAGGAAGAGGGTGTAGACGATGTGAAGTAGGTGGAGAGGTTGGAGATGAGCGTTTTTATCAGGTGAACTTCGGGGATTTATGTGCATGGTAGGGTCATTTCGTTTTCATGTCAATGTTGGTGAAGGGGCGTTCGACTTTTGTGCTCATTGTTCAGTAGTTTTGGCAAGGGTAGGAGGCTGTTTGTATTTTTGTCGCTCATGGATGAGGGCTTTGGATGTACTAATACCGAGTTCTTGGACATACCTAAGTATTTACGATAATGTCACCGGCAGGAACTGTGTCAGGCCATCATTCCCCTTCTATTCTTTAGTATCTCCCCCTGAAAATCTTAGAGTTGTCTGTCTTAGTTCAATTATTTGGTCTTCAAGAGGCCTCTCCTGCTGTCCATCCGAATCCGATGCCTCCAACTGGGATTAGCTGCCCAACGTAGGGTCCATTTCCACTTGGGGCGACCCTATGCTGCGGCGGCCGTTGCACCGAGTCCCACGGAGTTGAAGCCGCGTATGCGGGGAGAATTTTCAGAATCTTGGACTTATTCCTCTTCACAATCTCAGGGATTTCAATCGCGCGAAGTTCTTAGATCAATCCCATCTCATCTTTCGATTCCATAAACTTCTGGGGTTTCGAGACCACTTCTGGATATGCGTATCAAGTCCAACGCGTAGGCGATGAGAGACGCCCGGTTATGACACCTTGTTTCTCATGTACAACGGCTTGAATAATGTCACCAATAAAGCCCCTCTCATCTAAGCCTCCGCGTGGTCTGCCGGAAGTGGTTGCGGCTCGTTCGCTCGGAAGTGCCAAGTCGGCTTGACTGGTTTCTCCACCCCTCTTCGAAGACCAAAATTCGTTGGCGTGGCCAATGAGCGGGCAATTTGCGGAAACTCTAACAAGAGTTGTACGTCCAGCTTCGGTTTCCTCCACAGTTTGTCCTTGGACCATGTTGGACAAATCACAAGGGCCTTCCTTTCAACAAGTGCGTTCTCCACTCCGGTTAGATTCCCGATATGGTGCTTTCTGAATTTGAGTGTCTCGTCCGGATTTGTCAATGAAGTTCAACAGCAGACCACTGGCATTTGACGGGTCTTGTCTGATAAAGGGCCCAATAAAGGTCCTTCTCTTGATATCATTTCCTCTGATGCATAGGAGATTAGGAGGCCTAGATACAGATCATCGTCGGCTGTTTGGTGCACCGGCAACGTTATCTCTACACGTAGGCTTGTAATAGCGAACGAAGCCCTGTTTGCATCCGGATCATGGATAAAATCCCCAGAGTCCTGAAATGCGCCCGGTGATACTGCAAACATGCCGGGGGTGTAGGTTTTGAGTATAAACCGCGCAAACTGGGGTAATATCGTCCCCGGCTCATTCCAGTCAAATATTGTATAATTGGAAGAACTCCTAATAATTTATTCCTGGAGCCGCTTGAAAGCCTCGCTACCTTCTCCATATATAAGCGGTATATTGACTTCGAAGATTCCGAGCAAAGAAGAGGTCCGGTCCTCAAGCCTTCTTGTGCTCCTGTTGGCTGCCCAGGACCTCTTCTGAGCGACGCTAGAATCTCACAATTGATTTCGGCTTTGAAGAAGCGCCGTGTCGATATGCATGATCTCCTGGGGTGTTTTCACCATTCCGTATTTGTCGCCGATATCGTGCTAGGATCTGTTGTAGAAGATGACATCTATAGGTGCAATCAGTTCCTGAAGAGTCTAACCTCCCCCGAACCACTTGCAATGTTTCAACGAATCGCGCTCCACAGGAAGATCGAGGTTGAAGGGGACTTCACTGCAATAGTCGGAAAGATAGACATAGCACACTGCGGCATCCTGATACCAACTGAACATCGAGTTATGAGGGAGGATCGCATAATCTGGAATGTCACCCACAAATTCCCGCACCTCATACGTTTTCGTATTGAAAAGTTTCATTTGGATTCCGTTCAAAGCCTTCAAGCAAATGGCACGCTTGAAGATTAATGTCGACTTTGCTGGCATGCTGCTAGAGAGACTAATAGGAATACCCAGGCGAAAGATTGGTGCAAGATAAGGTAGAATAAGAATTTGAGAGGGGAAAAGACAAGATTGAATGGAAAACTAGAGCGAAGGATAAGGGAGCCTATCGGAAGATATATAAGGCGTTAAACGTGTGTAGACAGCAAACAGCACTCAGTGCTTGCAGTGAAAGTTCGGTCACCTATCACAACGGATGAACAGCGCCTAAAATGTACCTGCGGTGAGTAACTCATGAAAAACGGGAGTGGATGAGGATATACCTTATGTATCAGTGTAGCGCCGGCTTCATTGCCGTAATGGTAGGACTGAACCTAGATCCTTACTTAATTTGATTGACTGGTTAGGTTTCAGCAGAATGGTAGAAGAATGCTGGATAAAATCAGAGGTGTGTGATACTTAGGATATTACCTTCTCCGGCGCTGCTATTTTTCGGGTTTTCAGGACCTTGACATGCCATAGTGCTCCGAAAACTAAATGTAAGAACAATAGGAAGAACAATAGGAAGTATTGTATGTTTCTAAGCCCAAAGTATTAGCTGAGCGTCAATACTATGACACTTTGGTGCAGCATTTAGTCCCGTGGGATTGGACGGCCTTCCAAAAGACGGTCGGCAAACAATCACAGCTCACAAGCAATAAATGGCACCATGAAGTTTTGAGGCGGCCGAATTTCTTTCTACCTAGCACGATATACGCTTCTACGCGCGCCTCTCAACAATTTTCCGCCTCCTAACAATCCACAACATCTACTCTCTATCTCCTCCATCCATCCCCGCTATCCTCGCACCCACTCCACACAGACGGGATTCCCTTCTCCCCTCCGCTTTCGCCGTTACTAAGCTGAGCCGTCCATGACTACTTGACGAGGGGAGAAGCAGGAAAACCGTGAATGTCTGCGTGGTACGGATGAGGGTGTTAGCGGGGGTTTAGAACAAAGGAAAGGTAACGAGAAACGAGTGTTGATGGCGTGAAGGAGGTAGGTGTAGTGGCAGCCGAAGTAGCAGGCTGGAAGGAATTGATTGACAATTTGGGAAGTAGAGGTGCGATCAGCAATGGTCCAAACAAAGGAGACGGGTGTCGTCGCAGACGTCCGGTTTGTTTATTTCAGTTGCGTGATATGGATTTTTTTGTTCCGTTTTTTGGGGATTTATGGATCCTGGCTCTGGGGACTCTCAGTCCAGTGAGAGACCAGAGGGTCAGGGGAAAACACTCGCGATAATTGACGGGGAAGAATGTTTCCGAGGAGAGGGGTTCCAGGGGTGCCGAGGGTACCAGAGTGATGAAGTTGGCAGTCTGAGGGAACTCGTGGTAAGGATAAGCAATCCAGTCGACTGAAAGAAAGGGGAACGAGGACCATAGCGAAGTGGGTTCCGCCAAAGCAAAAATCCAGGTAAACGCCTTGGGCACGGGTTCGAGGTTCTCGCGGTCTGAGGGTTGCCCAACATCGAAACCAGTTGGGACCAATCTAGGGTTTCTGTTTCGGTGGTCTGAAATAGCAAACATGACTCCGACCTACTCCGAATCGCACATATGAAAACCGACATTGTTAGATGGTTCGGGGAGACGCCTTAGTGGACAACCCCTCCAAATCATCCATGTGGTTGCACATGGCGACGAACAGATCAAAGAACAGCTTGCCACCCATCTCCATCTCCATCTGCATAGTGCCACTACGCTTGAAGGTCTTGCGGCAACGGATGATCAGTGCTAGGTAGTGAGCGCGCAGGCGCGAGTCGGTGTCCGGCGTGTTCTCGTAGGCGTACCGGGCGCTGCGCAGGATGATGGCGACCTCGATGCCAGACTGCAGTCCCTGCTTGCGCAGAGCCACTTTCTTGAGCTCGTCGAGGCCGTATCGATGCGCCGCACAGTACACGGCCGTGTCGCGGAGAATGAAGTCGCCCACGCCGGAATGGAAGATTGTCGGCTCGACGGCCCCGCGACCGCCGGTTTTAAGGTCGAGGTTTTCGCCCTCGAGTAGCCAGGTGTTCCGCCGCTTGTCGTGGACGAGCCGCGGGTAGTAGTCACCTTTGTACAGGTACTCGAGGATACAGGAGAAAACCTCGGGTTCTTCGTCGGGAAGGAAGATACGTCGAGAGTTGGGTTCGAAGAACTGGTCCCGACACACCTCGGTGAACCAAGGTGAGTGACTCAGTACGTCTTCGTGAGCGGCGAACAGTCGCTCGTCTCGTCCCACGACGATGGTGACGATGGCGCTGGTGAGAGGCGGCGAGGCGCTGGGAGAGTTGTGAGAATGATTCCGTCGGTAGGCAGCAGCGGGACGATCATACCCTCCCTCCATCGGACTGTCCACCTTCTCGATGATCTTCTTCTTCGCAGTCCCGCTAATCGATCTCTTCGTGGGTTTGGTGATCTTGCCCGAACGATCTTTCGGGGGAAAAGAGCGTTTGAACATTTTGAGCGAAGGAGAACGAGTAACGAGCGACGAGAGGGGGGATGCGGAAAGTGAACGAGGAGAGTTAGATTGACGCGATGGAGGGCATGAATGGAGCTCCGGAAGCCTTCAGAACGTTCCCCCGCAGCGAATCGCGATTCGTCGGACGGAAATCGGCGTTCTGGCGACTCGGCTGGATTCTGCACACAGTGTTGTGTGAGAATACCAAGTGGTTTCGGCTGGCTCTAACTTGACTTGCTGGCGTGCGGAGAACAGAAGGCACCGAACGGTGGGGGTCTGGGGTGGTTTATATACCCTTCCAAACAGGGCTGGGGCGCCTAATCGTCGACTCACCTTTGGTTCCACATCCCCTGCATGGGCGCCAACACATCCCGGGGCCCGGGCTAGCGATGCGGGATGAGGCTGTGTAAGCCGTGCTCAACCCGAAAGTTGGGGCATCCGGTTGGCTGGGGTTCGCACCAATCGCCCTAAAAGAGTTCCATTAATGGCAACTGGAAACTTTGCTCATGTGTTCCGTGCATGGCTATGCACGATACAGGCATACAGCGGTACGATTGGACAAGTACCAGATATCAACCAAGAAACTGGATACTTAACAGCATATGACGGCAACAAATAAGACTTCGCAGATAAAAACAAGGCAATTGGACAAACTAGAATTGAAAGGGCGCTGGCCAAACCTTGCCAAACCTTGCCAATTGAATGAAATTCCATGCTCAATTGGTTTTGGCTGAGACTCGCCCAAGTTTGTAGTTGATAGCGATGGAATGACATCGAACCATTGAGGATGGGGCAATGATTAAACGAAAGGGAACATCGTATTATTTGTACCCTTCACTTGAACGAAATAATCAGTGTCCTAGAAGGGCTTGAGTCACACAAATTATTGCCCTGAGCCCTTTGGAGAGTACGGAGTACGCAAGCTTGAATGACGCACAGCGGCAAGTGAATGGTTCGGATCAGAGGTTGAACAAGCAGTAAAGAATGAAATGCAAAGACTGGTCAAATGGAACTCTCATGCGATTCCGATTATCAATGGGGACGATCAAGCATTTATATTTCCCAAAGAAATGAGGAGAAAGTAGTGAGTGACTGTTGGTGTCTGGGGGCGTGGAGAGAGGAGGGCGATTGGCTGTGGTGGACCCTGATGATGCTGAGGCCATGAGGCGTTGACGTAGGATGAGACTTCGAGAGAGACTCTTCATACCCAGTTGGTTCCTCAAACATACTTTTAATTCACTTATGAACACTTCCCTCTTTACTGTCTAGCCGGATTTGAAACGCCATCCTATCATCTACGAGAAAAACACCGTCCCGGATATAAATCCCCTCGTTAGTGCTGAGTACCCCGCTGTCGAACAAGCATCCAACAGGCTACACGTCACCACCATATTCGCATCCCTCGTTGAAGGACTCCCTTCCTTCCAACCACTCCTCCTAGGGCTGTATCGATCATCTGAGACTCCTCGGTGATCACTCGCATCATCCACTAGCCATGGCGACCGCAGGAGCAAACAAACGCATTGCGAAGGTGGGCGGACCGTCCCGCACCGAACCGCTACCCCAGACTAACAACCGTCGTCCTAGGAATTGAACGAAATCACCAGAGAACCTCCGTCGGGGATGAAAGTGCGTCTAGTAGACGAGAGCAATGTCCACAAATGGGAGATCATCATGGACGGTCCCGCGTCATCACCCTACGAGGTACCTCCTTTATCTATCCAACGCCTCTCTAGCTCCACTTCGCTCACACCCACCAGGGCGGCCACTTCAAACTCCTCCTCACCCTCCCCATCGAATACCCCTTCAAGCCCCCAATCCTCTCCTTCCAAACCAAAATCTACCACCCCAACGTCAGCAACGACGACAAGGGCTCCATGTGCCTCGGTATGCTTCGCTCCGACGAATGGAAGCCCCCGAACAAGATCCTCGCCGTCCTCAACATGGCGAGGAACCTGCTGGTTGAGCCGAACGCCGAGGACGCCATCGAGACGAGCATTGCGGAGCAGTATCGGGGGGATCGGAAGGCGTTTGAGAAGACGGCGAAGGAGTGGACGAAGAAGTATGCGAATGCGAAATAGTCGGGGGAAGAGACCGTGAAAGAGATTTATGGGGGGGATGGAATACGTTGTTTTTATGGAGCAAGGGAAATACATGTCTATCCGATGGCGCATCATGGACGTCGAGCGGCTGCATTTCATGGAGTCTTAAGGTCTATATATTGGTTGGATTACGGTTCATTGATACCGGTAGTCAGGTATATGAGCAGTATGTGATCGTCGAATTCTAGGATATACCGAGCTGCATTTACACTGTCCAGTATCATCATAGCTTCCCGTCCTCAGGACTTGGCGAGTGACGCTCTATCACTTCCACGTTCCTGTGCCAGTCGATGAAGTCCCTAATCCTGGATTACATAATACAAAGGGTCTGGATGGGTTACAGGCAAAAGTGACGCCTGGAACGTTTGTGGGGTAATTACCAAGGCAGCAAGGCGGCAATGTGATATCATCGCCAGACAAGAGAATGAACTGTATGAATCGGCCTCACTTCAGGAATATATATTTCCACTCCATCAATCCAAGGACTTTAGATTCCAGAATCAGTACAATGCCTTCCCACGAGCGACAACCACATGGGCACCGACACCAAACCCATGTCACCCGCTCCCGTTCCCGCAGTCCCCGTCCCCGACACGTCGACTCGCACCGCGGATCCAAGCGACGTCGACGGTCCTCCAGCCCTTCTCGACACGCCGACAACCTACCATACAATGCCCGTCCGCTAGAGAAGTCCGATCTGTCCGCCTACCGCGGACTTCTCGGGCTATACCTTGATATCCAGAAGGGCATGGCCATCGAGGAGCTCGATGAGAAGGAGGTGAAGGGGAGGTGGAAGTCGTTTCTTGGAAAATGGTAGGTTTAGTTAGCTAAATGGAGGGTTTATGATAGGTGTGGAAGCAAAGCTGACTTGGGTGAGGAATCGGGGGATATTAGCGAGGAGTTATTATGATCCTGAGATGAAGAAGCGCGTTGAGGAGCAGGTTGCGGCAGTTCCGTCTACCAAGAACGAGCATGAGAGTCGAGAGCGTGGCCGGAAGATGGAGCGGACATCACGAGAGTCATCGCAGGAGTCGATAGGTCCGGTTCTTCCCGAGCAATCTGGCCGCGGGAAGCGATCTGGTCCCGCCATACCTACCGCCCAAGACCTGGCATTACGAAGCGGTATTTCCGACACCTTTCGCGTCAACCGTTCCACTACTGACGCCCACCACAGAGATCGCCGCTGAAGACCGCCACGACAGCCTCCAGGCGCACCGCGCTGCCCGCAAATCCGACCGTGCCCTCCAAACCGCCCGCCTCGACGAGCTCGCGCCCCGCGCGGACGCCAACACGCGCGAGCGCGCCCTCGAAAAACGTGCCGATACCACCGCGATGCACCGCACGTTCGCGGACCGACGCTCACCGGGTGCGGCGGAGGTCGGCGAGGGGGAGCTGATGGGCGACGATGGGATCGAGGGATACCGGGTGCAGAAGAAGGAGGAGGAGCGGAAGAAGACGGAGCGGGAGGTGAGGAAGGAGGAGATGTGGAGGGCGAGGGCAGAGGAGCGGGCGGAAAGGTTGGAGAGGTATCAGGATAAGGAGAGGGGGACGATGGAGATGTTGCGGGCGTTGGCAAAGGAGAGGTTTGGGTGAGGGAGGGTGGGTGGCCTGGGCTGGGGTTTTACAGAATGGGTCATAGGATGCGTATGAAACACAGCTGGATATTGTTTCATTGCCGCTAGGGATACGGAATATACAGTATGGGGTTGGCTCAGCCCTCGTTCGATGTCACTGAATGATTTATGCTTAGAGAGCTGGACTTGCGAAGACGTGCCCATTCCGCAAGACCTAGGAGGTAACGCAATAAAACCTTCCCAGCCGCTTTGAATACCTTCAGCCTTGAATCTTGCTATTAGGAATCTCCGAATCTCCATGAGTCCATGTTTAATCACCATACATAGTATGTACCTGTGCAAGGGTCCGATGGTGGCTGCGGACGCAACCGAGCTTAACCAACACGAGGAAGCTTGTTTAAGCCTGAAATAAGGGGCAACCGAAGTATTACAAACAAACATCCCCGCAACTGCAGATCGGTTTGTTTTGATTCTTCTACTATGGTCATCCTCTTACTCTTCAACCTATCCCAAGGCCTCCAGAACATCTTGATACCCGTGTGATACCCAAGGAATGGTGGCACAGTGGCATCTCATTTTCCCCTTCTACGTATCAGGACATGCAAGAGAGTGATACAAGCACCGGCTCACCACCGACTCACCACCGATCTCCAGTCTTGCAGCCTTGTACAGACGTCGCCCCCACGGACAACATCTCAATTCTCAACGAGACAACAATTCACTTGCCGCTCTGGGTTTAACTGCAATTACCACGATAGTGGATGGCAGGGGTTCCCCATCGACAGCGTGATCCCAGCCTTGCACAGTGATCTTCCACCGTTGATATTGCAGGGTTGGAAAGAGTGGTACCGTAGCTATATGAACTCGCGTCGATCGTTCTTACTTTGACCTCACCTCAACTGCGCTGCTTCAATTCTGCTTCGTCGTCGAAGCCTGCGCTGCTCGAGTCATATTAGTTACATCCCATGCGGTCGTCTTCACATGTGACGCTGTGACTTCTTTGGCATTGGTTTCCGGTCTATATTGAATAACCTCTATATCGGTCGTTACTGCAGCGCTCAAGCGGTATTTCACCAGCGGAAGAAAGTCATTCGTTCTGTTCACCGGCGCGATGGAGTCGTTTAAAGAAACGCCGCTAAAAGGCTCAAGGAGCGAGGAAAAAATACCCTTCTTGGATATCGAGGAAACGGAGCAAGATATGGACCACGAACGCAGGATTCGCGAAAGTCAATCGAGGACTCGAAGCCTCGTGAAGCTGATAGTCTACATGGGGCTTCTCCTTGGACTGGTAGCGGCTTATAGTTGCCTAAGTCGACATATCAGCTTCGGGTTAGGTACGCGCAACAGGAACAGGACGGCTAGCCTTCTGCTTTCCGAGGTTTCTAATGTCGAGATAGCGCCTCCCGTACCCGTATCAAGGCTCGAAGCGCACGATATCTCTGTGCAGTCTACGCTGGAGAGGAGGCGGGTTATACCTCTGGTTGATCAATCACGCCCAGAGTCTGGTCCGAATGAGACGTCGGTTTGCGAAACGGAGGCGTGCAAGGCTGCAGCTGCGGAGATTCTAACCAATATGGCTTCGAACTATACGGTGATGGATCCATGCACGGAGTTCAACGCAATGGTTTGCACCGGGTTCGTAGCACGCACTACCTTATGCATTGCGATAGACTAACTCGGCGTAGTTGGGAGGCTACTCATGATTACCGGCCGGAACAGTCTAGTAAGTCCCTGCTAGTATATTACCTGCGCTAAACTAACATGATACAGCCATTGGAACCCTCTCTGATATGGACGACAAACTGCAGGAGGTGCTCCACACCATCCTTGAGTCACCCTATACGTCCAATTCGATCCCACCAGGCACAGACCCTGCGGTTGACAAAGCCAACTTTGACAAGATGCAAAGTGCTTACCATGCCTGCTCTGACGAGGAGACCATTCGGTCGTTCGGCATCAAGCCGCTCACAGATATCTTAGATAGCTTTGAGGAGGTCTTCCCACTTGATGGACCTGAGACCGTGGGAAAGGATGAACTGACCAAAGCAATCTTGAATCTGTCCGGGAAAGGCGTGGGAGCCCTGGTGGGCGCCGGTCCATCTGTATGTTTGCAATACAATCGTATTTCACCCAGCTAACGAAACACAGGCCGATGATAAGGAGCCCGATGTCATGGCCGTATATCTGTCTCCTGGCAGCGTCGGACTTCCGTCGAAAGAGTATTACAACATCTCCGATGTCGTGGAGAAATATAAAACCGCCATCACCGCCATGTTCGAAACCATGTACGGAAACTCGACTGGTCCCGCGGCCCCCTCAGGCTATCGAAACCGTCAAGCCGCCGGGTTTGCAGACTTAGCGAAGAAGATCTCGGATTTCGAGGGTTCACTTGATGTCCTTACAGCTGACCCGGCTGATGCTGCCGATGTAACGAAATATTACAACCCCATGACGCTTGCGGAAGTCGATGCCTGGATTCCCTCCATCTGCATTACGGATATTGTGAGGGGCCAGGTTCCGAAGAACTTCACCTCTGACCGAGTCATCAACACTGACCCGGCCTACTACAAGAATGCATCTGCAATCATTGCCAGCACTCCCAGAGAGGTCCTCCATGGTTACTTTATATGGGGAATCATACGGCGTTGGTCTGGACGCTTGCACAAGGATTTCAATAAGCCATGGCGGCAATTCAACAATGTCCTAGCCGGGCGCGATCCAGACGCCATTGCCGATCGGTGGAGAACATGTGTAGCAGAAGTGGATGGAAATCTAGGCTGGCTTGAGAGTGGAGTATATGTGCAACGTGAATTTGGTCCAGACCAGAAGGCATTTGGTGACCGTATCATCGCCGATATCAGGTCTCAGTTCAATACCAAGTTGATTGGCTTGGACTGGATGTCTGAAGATGTCAAGAAGGTTGCCCAAGAGAAAGGTGAGCTGAATATGCAAGGGATTATTCCCACTGAGACTGGTTTCACTGATAATTATCCAGTTCGCAACATTGTCCAGAAGATCGGATACCCCACCAAGTCCCCCAACGTTCTGGACCCGCAAGACTTGTCGGACTACTATTCTGGACTATCTATCAGCAATGAGACGTACTTTGCCAATGGCGTGGCCTTTTCCAAGTTTGGCGATGCGAAGGAGTGGATCCGCCTCCTTGAACCCACTGACAAGGACCGCTGGTACATGACCGTCCCCACCGTAAACGCCTACTACAACCCCCCCGGCAACGAGATCGTCTTCCCCGCCGGCATCATGCAATACCCCGTCTTCCAACTCGGCCTCCCCGAATACGTCTCCTACGGCTCCTTCGGCGCTGTTGCCGGCCACGAACTCTCTCACGGCTTCGATAACTCCGGCCGCAACTACGACGTCAACGGCACCTACACCGACTGGTGGGACAACAGCACCGTGACGGCCTTTGAGCAGCGCGCCAACTGCTTCGTCCAGCAATACGGAAACTTCACCGTCCCCGGCCTCGACAACCAGCCGCTGCATGTCAACGGCGATCTCACCCTCGGCGAAAACATCGCTGACGCAGGCGGTGTCTCCGCCGCGTACGGCGCGTGGTCACTGCGAGAGTTCACGCAGCCGAACCAGCTGCTGCCTGGGCTGGAACGGTTCTCGAAGGAGCAAATGTTCTTCATTAGCTTCGGGACGACGTGGTGTGGGAAGGTGAGGAAGGAGACGGCGGTTAATCGGGTGTACACGGATCCGCATAGCCCGCCGCAATACCGCATTTTGGGCACTCTTGCGAATTCTCGGCCGTTCAAGGAGGCATTTAATTGTCCTGTCAAGGAGCCGACTTGTGAGCTGTGGTAGACTGCGGCTGTTCATTATTTCAGTCATGTGGAACATAAAAATTGTTTCACACAGGACATGTCCACTATTCCTACTGCATCCCTAGCATTGCTACATCAAATAATGAATTAATTAGTAACAAATGCGCCAATTCCATACCTTTGTGATGCTCATGAGATCCAGTCGTTTCAACAATCGTCAAATCGCCCATTGTTACTTGTTACTTTCCAACTATGATGCTTTCTTCAAATCGTCGAGTGATTTCCAAAACTTCGGAATCCATGCGGCTTCCACCCAAAAACATGACTCCAAACGGTAGCATTCCCTCCTTGACATCTTCAAGCCTCAGTTCAGAGGCATGGAGCCTCCCTGAAGGCACTGAAATGCCGCATAAATCCAAGACATTTGCGCACTGTGTAAAAGTGCCATTGACGGTGTTCCGCTTAAGAGGCGACTCCTGAACCTGTTTGATCGTCCAATGTGTGGGCAATGTCGGGCAGACGACCACGTCTACCCCTTCCGCAGCTTCCGCAAATACAATCTCTGCCGCCCGAGTCAACGCGGCCCTTTCTTGTAGATCTCGATAGGCATCTACGGCGGTTGACTTCCTCCCTTCCACAGCCCCAAACAGCTCCCGAATGGCAGGCTGCAGTACATCCGCATGTTTCGTGAAGAAATCATCGGGTAACGACGCCAACCGCTCACAAACAAACGAACCATCGTACAACAGCCGGCCAGCCTTCTCGAACGGCGACCAGTCAATCGGAGTTAAGATCCCTCCTATCTCCTGCATCCGCGCGATCGCTATGTTGAACATCCGGCGATAAGGCGGCGAGCAGCACTCCAATGCTTCAAAAGGCGGAATCCCAAATTTGAATGTTTTGCTCGCTTTCCCTGTACTATTGATATGGCGGGATACCGCGCGGGATTCAGGAAGTTTCGCGTACGGATCCTGTGGGTCATACTCCTCCAAAACATTCCAGATCGCCCGCGCATCCGTGACGGTCTGCGTGATCAGCGCGACACAGTCTAGCGACAGACACGCCGGCGTAATGCCGACGAAGGGAAGCAGTCCCCGCGTCGGCTTGTATCCGACGACGCCGTTCAGCGCAGCGGGCACGCGGCCAGACCCCGCGGTGTCGGTGGCGAGGCTGAAGGTGCAGAGCTGCGCGGCGACGGTGACGGCGGAGCCGGACGAGGAGCCGCCGGGGATGAAGTCCGAGTGGAAGGCACTGCTAGGGAGGCCGTAGGGGCTGCGGCAGCCGGTGAGGCCGGTGGCGAGTTGATCGAGGTTGACTTTTCCGAGGAAGAGGGCGCCGGATTCGAGGGCTTTGGTGTAGATTGGGGCAGAGATGGTGGGGGTGCGCGTGAGAGGGGGACATGCGGTGGTGGTCGGGAGACCGGCGACGTCGATGCTGTCTTTCACGGTGAATGGGATGCCGAAGAGGGGAGGAAGTTTGCTGCGGTCGGGGAATCTGGTGATGCACAATTCTGCTGCTGCCAGGATATCGGATTTGGGGAGGAGATGGATCCAGGCACCAGGGTTGACTTTTTCGTAGGCTTCGATTTTCTGATAGAGGGCTTCGATGACGGCGACTGCTGGGAGCCCAGATCGGTACGCTGCCTGTAGACTTGCGAGACGTAAATCACCATCCCACTCTGGAATAGTCTTTAGGGGGCTTGGACCGCTGGAAGGTGTGGTGATAGAGAGAGGCTTGAGGACATCAAGGAGAGGCTGTAAGTTGGCCACAAATCCGAAAAGTCCTTGAGACCAATGCAACATATCTAGAGCCGAGATCTTGAAACCGGGGTTGTATCCATCGGTAGCTTCGAAAACAGCGCCTATTGTTCGTTAGCCATTCTTGTTAACAGTATACTAACATTCCGATGATACTCACAGCACTCAAAGCCTCTATCATTTGCTTCTCGATATGTTGTTGTCACGCAGCACTCTGTAGTCACACCTGCAATCAATAAATGTGTGATTCCGCGGGATTTTAGCCTGTACATGATCTGGGTATCCCAGAATGCCCCCTTTCCGGGTTTATCAATTATTACTTCTCCGGGCACAGGTTGGAGCTCATCCACGATGTCATGACCGTACTCGCCGCGGATAAGCAGCCTTCCCATCTTTCCTTTGTCGCCAATTCCGAGTTTGTATTGCGTATCAGGCGCTTCTGCTTGTCGAACTGTCTTATTTGAAGGCATGTCGGACATGTCTGGCCTCTGGCCTTCTCGAGTATGGAATACTGTCATTCCCGCATTTCGGCAAGCTGCGAGGAGTTTCCCGACAGGCTCAATTGCAGCTTGGACGTCGGTTAGATCACCCCCTTCGATCTCACCGAAGCCATCTGGAAGCAGGAAGTCTCGTTGCATGTCAATGATGACCAGAGCCGTCTTCCTTAGTGGAAATGCGTAAGGGTATGGCTTCGCATCTACCGTGAGGAACTCCATCTTATTGGGCACTGCGCAGTCGAAACGCATGAATAATAACCTGAAAACAAATCGGATTCACGAGTAGGTTTATCTTCAGGTAATTCGACAGGGCCTGCCGTATTTAAAAGTAGCGGACGTTGCAATTGCGTCTTCGACCACCGGGTCCAGATAGGAGGAATCTGGTTAGGAGATCGTCACAAATTGCTCTCGATCCTTGAAATATCCCAAGGCAAACATTCCAATCTCCACGCCGTATCAGCTGTGCGGCACCCCGACGGCGGGCCTACCGGCGCGTCGGCGCCCGCTTATCGTGTTGCGAATGATCTTTGATACACATTTCAGGGATTTCCCCACAGTGGATGGTTTTAGGGCTTGTCCGAAACCGTACAACCATTTCAGCCTTCTTTTCACTCCTTCAATCACAAACGGTCGCAATTCTTGACGTTGTGATAGATGTGGTCTAGAACACGATCTTCGAGGGCTGGACCTGCAAGGCTGCAACGTGCTGTCCATATCTGCGATGCCGATATATCGGGCGGCATGGGGGCCGTGGAGATGGCACTGGGCGACAGGCTATCAAGGCATTCCCGTCGATCTATCTCTAATGCTGGGGTCGATTATCGTCGTGGTCGCGAAGGTGTATGTATCAACCAGATGATGTCCGTATTCATTCCCTATACTGTATGCTATCGCATTTCTACTCCGCAATTTCAAGTCAGAGTTGAAAGTATTCAGAAGTCAACGTCCTGGGTCTCAACTTAAACCAACTTATTATATTCATTGTACCTTATGGTAGATCCACGCTATGCGTCGGCCTTCATTACTGAGTGCATCAAGGCTAAGAGCCAAGATCGAGCCTCAGCTCCACAGGAGAGTACCATTTGAGCCTGGTATCTATGCCAACAGTCCACGATGGTCCAACAAAGACCTAGATCCCATTCCTCCAGAAGGGAGGACTTGGGGTGGGTTGGACTATTGGGCATATTGGACGTCCGATATGGTGAGTGAAGCTCTACTATAGTTATTATGATGAGCTGACCGTGTAGCTCGCTCCGCCGCTTGCATCGACAGTGTCCAGTGTCATGGCATTAGGATTCACTGCTCGAGAGACCATTCCCATTGTCTTCTTTGGTTTCATGATCTGCTCCGGGGTCATTACCCTGACCGGGAAGATGGGCGCTACATATAGTGTCCCCTTCCCTGTCATTGTTCGAAGCATCTTTGGCATGTACGGGTCTCTGCCGGCGATCTGCATTCGAGCATTTGTGGCTCTCATGTGGACTGCTATTTTGACCGTCCAAGCCGGTTCCTTCCTCCAGCGATGCATTGAGGCCATCTGGCCATCATTCATCGTTTTCCCGAACCATTTACCAGAGAGCGCTGGAATTACTTGTAAGTATGCCGTCAACCGGAGCGTGAAATGAATCTGACACAAGGAAGCCGCTGGACTTCTCTCATTTTTCCTGTACTGGTTCATCCAGACAGGCCTCTCCCTCATGCCCATCAGGAAGCTCCGAATTCTTTTCCTGATCAAGGGTGTCGTTGTTCCCCCCACATTCCTTGCCCTCTTCCTCTGGGCTGCAATCGTGACGAAGGGCGGCGGTCCACTTGTCACCGGTCGCACTGAGCTCACATCTAGCTACATGAACACGGCGTACTCCGCGTTGACTGGACTTAATGCGATAATCGGCCTGTTCTCCTCAATGGCAGTGAACATGCCTGACTTTGGTCGGTACGTCACCCTTGCTCCGCTCTAGCCTTTCACATACAAGGGGGTGAAACGGTCCAGCTCTGACAGGCTCATATAGATTCTCCAAGAACCGGCTAGCTGGTATTCACCAGTACTTCGCTCTTCCCATCATCGGAACCCTTGGTTCTCTCACACCCATTTTTGTCACTTCGGCGCACCAGTACATCTGGGGAGAATTTGAATGGTATATGCCAGCTGTCATTGCCAACTTCGATTCCCGTGCCGCCAAATTTTTTGTCTCTGCGTCCTTTATCCTCGCTACCATCGGCAACCAGGTTGCGGCTGGTGAGTTTCATCCCAATGTTGCCTAGCATAACATGAGATATTAACAGTGTATGCCACAGGTACATACCCCTTCTCCAACGACGTCAGCGGACTCTTCCCTCGTTACATCAATATCTTCCGCGCCACCCTTTTCATCTGCCTTTTCTGCGTGGTCTCCACGCCATGGAACATCATCAAAAATGCCGAGGGTCTTCTCGCTTTTTTATCCGGCTACTCCTGTCTCATGGGTCCTCTTGCTGGTGTTATGGTCTGCGACTACTACATCATCAAGAAAGGGAAACTTGATGTCCATGCTATGTACCAAGATAAGAGCATCTACTGGTACACGGGAGGCTTCAATTACCGTGCTTACATTGCATTCATCGTCGGCTTCGCGCCACTGATGCCGGGTTTCGCTAAGAGCATCGACCATGATCTCAATGTCGGCGGTGGCTGGAGGATATACTCCTTCGCATGGATCTTTGGGTTCACCTTTTCGTCTTTGGCCTACTATGTCATCTGCACGTGGATCTGGCCCCAGAAAGAGAGCTTGGTTGAAGAGGCAGTGCTTCCGCCGCAAATCGGAGACGTTACTCCGAGCATCGAGGGAGAGGCAGTTGAAGAGACTAAGGTCGAGTATACTGCTACGGAGAAGAATGTTAGTCCTGTTTAGGTCCAAAGTCGCGATATTGTCCAAGAGAGAAGGCACAGAGCTGTAGCTAGACGGTCTTTACTGGATATTATGTCCCCGCGATTCTGATTGAGCCTTGATTATGTACACAGTTTTCCGCTAGTTTTGAGTCTAGGTATATTGCACAAGCACCAAGTGATTATCATAGGAGCAGCTATCTTGGCTGGTATGTTAGTAACTGGAAATGGCAAGGCCATGGTCTCAGCCAATGTTAGTGGAATTAAAACAATTTCCGCAGTTAACCTCAGTCCTTTCCCCACGGAGCGGTATCAGAACGTAATTTAAACTATTCCTAAATCAGGCAGAGGTGGAGTGGCAACATGAGTCTGCAATTAATCTAGTACTCTGTAGAAGAGGGACGTTTACTTCCATCAGTGGACAAATTCCCACGTAGATATTCACGTTGTCTTCATCATCCAAAATGCTAAGGTTGGCAACAATCGTTTTTTTATATAGGGCTTGACCACTTTCTACAGAAAAGAAGATGTACTGGCGCGTTGTATCAGCCGCACTTGATCCTTTATCATGTTTACTTTGTAGTGCTGGCCTCGCCCTCACGTCAACATTTCCAAACTGAACCACGATACTGATGATGATGCGAGGAGTGTCCCTGGTAGCTACCGCGATGTCCTATTGTAAAGCAGGCGATACCCTTGTGGCCAATAGTTGGCAGGTTATAGGTCAAAGAGGGGTTGAGAAAATTATCCAATGTGATTATGTGGTCAGGGGTTCCATGTCTTTGATTAGCTCGCACAGATCAGAAAACATAGAAAGTGCATACATATTTGCAATTAACCGCGCCCCAAAACCAATGTAGTGGCCGTGTCTATCTCTACTAGGATGTCAAAAGTTACACAGACTATCCAGCCTGATATCGTTATGGTGACCGGATACTGTGCTTGTAGGATCTGTGGACTTTGTTTAGTCCATGACAATATTTGGGAGTTATGACTTGTTCTTTTCAATTGTTCGCTTACCTTAGGACATGACTGGGACTGACTGATCCGCTTTGGAATGAATCCAATAGTCTGTGATTAAGTATCAGCTTCATGAACTAAAACATGAAACGCAGAACTATAAAATCATAACATTGATACCGAAGAGCGCCAATTTCTGAAATATGAAAGTACTTGCGACGGTTTATTGGACAATACAATCCATTCCTCCAGCTTCTCCCCGGGTCTCTCTGCATTTTTGGAAGATCGACGCTTCCAGACCGCGAGTTTTGCTTTGGTCCATTCGGAGATCGACCGACACCCGTTGTTCGTAAGGATGCACTGTTTCATTTCATGCTTGCACGCAGTGCACATGATCGGCTTGTCAGTCCGTCTAGAGCCAACTTCACCGCATACACAGCACCGGTACGAAACCGGGATGAGTTCCTGGAGGATTGCGTTTACTAGAGTCATGGTTGTGGCAGTCTCAGATGCCGAATAGCAAACGAAAAGAAAAGAATCTGCTCTAATTGGACATGCTGCAACTGAGTACTAGATGAGGTGTATAATGTAAAGGGAGCTTGAAAGAGGAGGAAAGTTGGATAGAGCAAATGCCAAATGGAACCCATTTGGGGGAAACGTTTGATAGACACTGTGATAGTGACAAAAGCACAATGGGTATCATTCAACGAAGCAATTCCTTTGTACAATAGAGACAATTCTCCGAAGGAAGAACTTGGTAATGCTTGTCCTTTGTCTCTGTAGACTATCTGTTGCCATAGGACAGACAATTGATAAGGGAAGAGAGTTAACACAATGAGACGTGTTTAAACTGGTTGTGATAGGAAGAGCAGAATTCATGGGGACTTCGACTTTCTTAAGCTCTTTTCATGCGATCAGTTAACAAAATAATTCAAATGAGATGACATTTGCCCACCCATATTACCTACCCTCGACATGTTAGCAAAATAAACTAGCGACTATCAAGTTCAGTTGTAGGATGAATGGGGATATATGAGAGACGTAGACAGTTAGATTAGCGAACGGGAATTTGAAAGCAGGCTTCCTAGGACGGGTGGCATGAATGCAACACATGCACCGGCCTGTAGATGAACTCTTGATGTATCATATGGACCTGTGAGATAAATAGCAGTTTCGCTCAATCAGGTGATTGGTGCAGCGACACAGTGGGAAAACACCGTTAGATTCCAAAAGAGCATAGATAGATTGACCTTGATCCTGAAGAGCAGGAATTGTTGAACTTAACGGACCATAAGCTTCTCCGAACCGAACTCATTTAGATTGAGATAGCTAAGTTAGTTATAGAAAAGCAAGATTAGAATACAGAGTAACCACGGTCTTAAAGGCGTTCCTAACACTGCCGTGTTCTTTCTTCTTAGTACAAAGGTATGCCAGACTATTCTGGAAACACAAACTTCCGCCAGGCCTTTCCAACAGGAATCCTGCGAAAACAGGCTGTTCCTGCAGCTATTTTATATGATTTACAATGGAGATCTAATCCCTAAAAAGGGACAGAATAGAGATATAGAATCGAATATGGAATTAATCCCTGCGGAAACGCCAAGAAACATATATGTATATTCTGTGACAGCACTGAGAGCGCCATATCAGGTCTATATCCGTACTGTCGTGACTTGGAGTTCGACAGCCGGATGCACTTCAAGAATCATGTGGCCACAGTACATGGTATCCGCCTGCATTGTACGTGCTTCTTCAGATAATCAGCGAGGTTTCTGCTAGCAGGTAGCAAAGTTGACAAAAGGATTTTGCATATGCAGTACGCTCAGGTTTCATGGGCGATGGAGTGATGAATGAGTCTTTCAAAGCATACTTCTAACGGGGTTCATTTCATGGATAGGCTACTGTGCTGGATCTTCTTTCCCATTCCTTTTACCTTGGGTCACGGCAAATGTACATCTGCATTTCCTAGAGTATCCACTAGTAGTAATTAGTGGTTGAATCCCCTCTACTACCTTGCCTACCCACTGAATAAGGGTCATGTCGGATGGGTCACTCTCAGCGACTATTTAGCAAATCCATGCTTTCAAATGAATATTGATTTTCGAGGCTGGGCTTGCACAACTCGGTATTTCCCGCAAATAAAAATATTCTAGTAGAAGGAAGCAATTGACAAGGCACAGTGGGCATGATCGATGGGTTCAGCACCAGGTGTGGGATAGTATGCCATGGATACATCAGTGAAACCATTGTCCAGGGACGACGGGAAGACAAGGGAAGATGGGAAGACAAGCGAAGATAATATCTGCTAATTATCGCTTATAACGATCAGTGTTAGCGCGATCAAACAATACGAACTGCAGGATCATGCAAGAACCGGCGCACCAACTTCACCCATATCTGTCTACCAGAGAGGCCAGGGTAGGGCAGGACCTTCTCTTACTTCACGGTAACTGCTTTATTTTGAAGTTCTATGCTTTACTGGAGCTGAGAAATGATATCGCTTAGAGTTCGTATAGAAATCAAGTATATATACCTAGTAGATCACTGGGTGGTTGTTCGGCGCTCCTACTTGGCCAGAAGCACCAGTCGCAGCACCGAAACCGTCCCCACTACTTCGTTTTCAATCAAAATGCCCACGATAGGGCAGCTGCTGCGACAACCGCTGGGAGCAGCTAGGTATACACTGATCAGTGCCCCATCGCTCTCTGCGAAAGAGTGGGCTCAAGCCTATGAACCTCTCATTAACCCCGTTGTACACGAAGAATCTTTGCAAGAGACATTTCCGCTTGATGATTTTGACGAACTAGTCCACGATGAAAATGCGAATGGGCTGAACGAGGCGATGGAGGTTATTCAGTCAGAAGGAGACATTACCCAAAACTGGCACCGAACATTTGGCTTACTACACCACGCACGGAAACGGTTGGAACGGGTGCTTTGGGCATGCTCTCAATGCGGACCTTCCCATATAAGTGCTAATTATAGCAACCATTTTTGCTCTTTTGGCATGCATATGTATAGAGATAAGCACATTGCAACACTCGTCAGATAGTGATGATATGTGCTGCCTTCCGCCCAGCCTCTGTTGCAGATTTCGGGTATGGTTCTATGTGGGAGCTAAACCACGGTGCGGATATTGAGGTGGGCGGGTGAAGACTCCATGGTCCTCATTTCGTGGGGATGCTTTGAGATCTTGCACCTTTCCGTTATATCGCGCAAAGGTTGGGGTTGTCATGCTGTTAGGCGTTCATAGTTGGGAGATAGTCGTAGAAGATGCGGAAAAGCGGTGGATTAATGCGCACTAAAGGCGCTGCGTTTCCAAGAGGTTATTGCCGTACAACACAATTGCAAAGTGCTCTAGTGACTCTACCATAACGTATACATCGTTTCACACGACACAAGACGCAGCTCTTTAACTACAGCTTCGCCCCCAGCGCCTTCGAGACCTTCAACTCCTGCCTCACCGCTAAATCCGAAATAATCTCCTCACTCCCCCCACCCACAGAGTACATCCTCAGATCCCTACTAATCTGCTCGACCTGCCAACCCACCCCCCCTCGCTGATACCCAGCGCCCCCAAGCACCTGCTGCGCCTCCCTACACGCCAGCTCCAGCAACCTCGTGCCATTGACCTTGGACAGCGCCATGCGGCTCGCCAGCTCCGGGCCCGACCACCCTCGGCGGCTGGCGTGGTAGGCGATCTGCTCCAGCCACGCGAAGTTCGACTCTACGCCCCGCGCGATGGTGGCGAATTTGTCACGGATGATCTGGTTGCTTATTAAGGGCGCGCCGAAGGTTTCACGGTCTTGCGCGTACTTCAGGGCCGTGGTGAGGCAGGTGCGCGCCTTGCGGTTGGAGCCGACGGACATGAGAAAGCGCTCTTTGTTGAAGTCTGGTGTAAGGTGTTAGCATGCGATGGGTGGAGGGAGGAAACAGAGGGAAGGGGGATGGGGACGGGGCGTACTTGTCATAAGGGTGAGGAAGCCCTTGTTTTCTTGCCCTATTATGTTCTCGACTGGCACCTTGACGTCCTCGAGGTAGACCCACGCACTATCTGGAGAAACGATCAGTACCATGCGCCACGACTCGAAAGCCTAAAAGTAGGAACGCTTGTCATACTTGCTGCGTTCGCACCGCTGTTGTAGATCTTCTTGGCCGAGAAACCGGGCAGATCGGTAGGGATCACCAGCACGGAGACGCCGCCCGCGCCAGGGCCTCCGGTCCTCACAGCGGTTGTCATATGTGTTGCTTGAAGTGCGCCCGTGATCCATTTCTGTGCGTAACCATCAGCGTCCACACTGTGTTTGAATGCCCGAATATCTTTCTGAAAAAGTCTCTGCCCACCTTTGTCCCCTTCACAATATAGAATTTCCCATCTGGCGTCTTCCTCGCCGTCGTCCTCAGATTAGCCAAATCCGAGCCCCCAGACGGCTCCGTCGCACCGAGGCAGAACTGCGTCTCGCCCGTAAAGATGCCTGGCAGCCAGGCCTGCTTCTGCGCCTCCGTGCCGAAGGCGATGATGGGTGGGACGCCGATTTTCGTGCCACCTCCGGAGAGGGCAGTCAGCACGCCGGACTCAACGCGGGCGGTCTCGTCGGTGAGGATGAGGTGGTGGAAGATGTCCCAGTCTGTGGAGTGGAGTGTTAGTGGTGTTTTCCTTTTCAAGCTTTTGAGGAATTGCTGGGTTTCCAATTTCATACCATCGGCTGAGATGCCGGCAGGAAGAGAAGTCCCCGGACGGTACTTTTGCGGGATGCTCTGGAGTACGAAGCCTGCGCTGACGAACTTCATAGTTTCCTGGGATGCGTGTCAGCCGCCGAGTCTGGTTGCTTTCGCGGTGGAACTACGTTTGCGGAGGCATACCTCTTTTGGGACACATCCGGATTCCTCCCACTCCTGCGCGTACGGAAGAACATTCTCGTCGATGTAGTTGCGGGCCCAGGCGGCCAGCTTTCTGTGCGTGGAGTTGTAGTAGGGCGAGTCGAGGATGTTGTACCAGGCTGGCTCGGCCCAAGGGCTGAGCTCGCCGAATGTTTCTTTTGGAGACATGGAGAAGGGAGTGATGACAGAGAGTAGAGATAAAGAAACGAAGAAAAACAATAAGAATCGCTGAGAGAGAGTGGAGGTGGTACGTTACGGCTGGTAATACTATAGGACTCACCTCATTTTTATGCTTGGCTATACTAGTTTATGCTATTCTAGAATAGTGCAGCTAGTTAGTACATGACATCATTAGAAGATCTCTGACATTCTTTGACCACCCTGTTGTTGTTGCATTTCAAAACTTAGGAGGCATAGACGGTGCACGTTATGAGGGCGGAGCTAACAGCGATAAGTATTCCTGTCATCTTTTTATGACGAGCCGCGATTACGGGTTTGGTCGCTTATCCTTTAGCTGCAGGTGCCCCTGTACTAGCTTCCCCACAACGTCACACCAACCCATGTACGCGGTACGTACCCCGCAAAACGTCGAGACATGCAAACGAGTAAACAATGAGCAAATCAAATCAAATCTGTACGGAGTATGGATACAACGGGAAAGATAAATTCTCACATAGTTAACTTATGGTACACGAACTAAAATACTGAGGACTATAGATATAGACATGGCTCACGATCTGCAACCACGTCGGGTTTCAATTGAGATTTATTTTCCTTCAATATGCGCTATTTGACCCGTCACGATAAACTTTATACTGTCTGTTCCAAATAGCAGTTGATTGTCTGTTGCCATTCTCACCATTCTCGCCGTAACAATGGCAGAATCCCAATACGACCCCAACCCCAACTTCGGCCAATCCGCCTCCCTCTCCGACCGCCTACAATCCGCCTGGCTGCTCCTCAGTCTCCCCTTTCACCTCACAACTGCAGCAATCACTCGCCCATTCATGAACACCTCTCTTTCCTTCAGGGAGTACATGAGGCGGGCCCTCGTACGCAAGTACGGCTCCCATCTCCTCCTTCTCCTCCTTCTTTCACTGCGCCAAAACGCGCCTGTTTTAGAGTTGACGTGCCGATCCTAACGTTTGCCTAGCATTCTCCACTTCCCTGTGCTGTCCGTGAGCCGAAAAACAGTCAGTCTAGACCCTGTCAAGACATCCCTGCGCTATAAAGCGCTTTTTGATGGCGGGCACCTCAATCAGCGTATCCAGCGCGCAGACTTCGCTGGAAACTGGGTCTGCAAGGCCAACTTTGACGGCGGAGCCGACGTCGCAAAGTCAGACATCGTAATCTTTTTCATCCATGGTACGTCCCCTATGGTACCCTCCTCAACCTCTTCTAAGTCCCCACCCCCGCCATTCTAATCCCCAATTTCAGGCGGCGCGTATGTAACCGGCCACCTACACCAATACATGCCTCTCCTTCTCCGCCTATCCGAGACCATCTCCGCCACCAGGGGCCTTACCGTCTCTATCTTTGCCCTCGACTACTCTCTCGCCCCCGAACACCCCTTCCCTTGCCAACTTTCCCAAGCTGCAACAGCGTACACGTACCTCACCACTGAACTAAACATTCCCCCCTCTAACATCGTGCTCACGGGCGACTCCGCGGGGGGTTCGATCGCGCTGTCACTGCTTACACATTTGCGCCAGCCGAATCCCGGGGTGGAAATGGTGCTGCCGAGGGAGGAAAAGCCAAAGGCACTGTTCTTGCTGAGTCCCTGGGTTAGCCTGGCGAGTGAGAAGGGGTATAAGGAGAAGGAGGCGAGCGATATATTGCATCCCGCGAGTTTGGCGGGGTGTGTGCGCTACTTGCTGCCTACTCCTGCTGCCGTTGCAGACGCAGCGCCGTATCTTGAGTTCGCCACACCAACGCCTAGTCGCTCGTGCAACTTTAACGAGTTGTTGCCTGAGCACGTGTGGGTGTCTGCCGGCGAAGACGAGATTTTTCTGCATAATATTACGAGCTTCGTGGATGAAGCCAGGAAGAGTGGGGTTAAGGTGGAGTACGAGATTGAGAGTGGGAAATTCCATGATTGGCAGCTTTTTGATAGTGTGCAGAATGCTGGGGTGTTTTTGGGGAAGGAGAGGGGGGCGAGAGATGAGGGAGAGATGGAGGGCGTGGAGAGGATTGGGAGGGCAGTTGCGGGGGTTTTTGATTGAGGGGTGTGGATGCGCGGATAGGGATGGAATAGAAAGTTAGAGGGTGAATAATAACTTATTTGAAAAGGTATGGACGGTTCTGTTTAAATAAACATGGAATACTTCAGACCTGTTAAATGATTGGTGCATAACGTGTCTAGATTGACTGCAGCTGTAGCCACTACAACTCTTATATGAGACTACACAGCGTGAGTTTATTCTTGCTTGCGACTTTGGAGTAGTCGATGAAATTAAGATCAAGCGTCAGATTTCCAATCATAACGGCTATGCTAACAATTTCTAAAGATTTACAAAACGAAATAAACCTCTTCAAATCTGCCTCCTTCACTCTACAGCTTCGTCTTCGCGGCGGCCGCCCCCCTCCCCGCCTTCTCCTTCCTGGCGGGCAGCTCACTCCTTTGAATTTTCCCCGTCGGGTTCTTGGGAATCGCATCGATTGCAAAAACGCCCCCTCTTAGCTTCTTGTACGGGCTCACAATCTTATCCACTGACTCCCGGATGCGTTTCAGCGCCGCTTCACGATCGTTCTGCGCCACGGAGGACGAGAGCACGACGTAGCCAATTGGAACTTCGGTTTGGCCATCTTCGTGCCAGAGGGCGCAGACGGCTGCTTCTTCGACTTCGGGGTGCGAGGCGAGGAGGTCTTCGAGTTCGGCGGGGGCGACTTGCATGCTGCAACAGTCAGCTATCTGGGCAGCAGATGGTGGATTGTCGGACTTACCCCTTATACTTAATCATCTCCTTCTTCCGATCCTTAAACCATAAAAACCCATCCTTATCAATTGATAGTGTATCGCCAGTGCGCAGCCAGCCATCATGGAAGGACTCCTGCGTGCTCTTGGGGTTATTGCGGTAGCCCGCAAACACGGTGGGCGCCTTGATGAGCGCTTCGCCAGGCTCACCTAGCTTGACGTCATTCATGTTGTCGTCAATGATGCGCATCTTGCTAAGACTGGTGTTAGAGCGGTGTAGTGAGAGACAGGGGAGGGGGAACGTACACGCCTGGGTAGAGCCGTCCTACGCTGCCTGCTTTCTCTGCTGAGCGCCGGCCGCGGAGCCCAGCGACGGAAACTTCACTCATGCTACGCCAGACGTTAGAAAATGCTTGCAACACTGCAATTGGAGGACAATTTCTGCTTACCCGTAACCCTGCGTAATGCTAACCCTTGGCATGATCTGCTGCAGCCTCTGCACAACCTCGACTTGCAGCGCCGCACCAGCGCACATGAGCGTCTTGACGGTCGTCAGGTCGAGCTGATCGATGCGCGGGTCCTTGGTAATCGCCACGGCGACTGCGGGAACCATCCTCATGACCGTGCTGCCGACTTTAGAGCAGGACTGGATATACTGGTCGTAGACGAATGCCGGAAGGATGGCGATGTAGTTTCCGAGGAAGGCGGGGATGAGAACGCCGCCCAGGAGACCGAATAGGTGTGGGACTGCGCGATGTTAGCATGTTAGTCTTGCAGGGTAACGGTTCAATGGGTGTACGGACAGGGACCGAAGAAGACTTCGCGCGAGTCGGCGTTCGCGTCCTCGGGATTTGCGGTGCGGTTGCTCAATGCATTGGCAATCATTCCGTAGTGGCTCAGGTGTACACCCTTTGGTTTTCCAGACGTCCCGGAGCTGAAAACAACGGCAGCCGGGAGGGTGCGGTTGTCGATGTTTGACAGGTCGACTGGCGGAATTGGATTTACGGCAGTCGAGCGGAGATACTTGTGTGGGAACTGAGACCGGTTAGGTTTTGATTTGGTTGGCGTTTGGAGTTGGACTTCTTACGGCAACCGCCGATTGATTGTCAATGTTGATAATTGGTGCCGAAGGAACGGTCGTATGATGGTGGGCCACTGTCCTCTCAACGACGCCGCGACGATGAGGCTCCACGACAATTAACTTTGCGGCCGCTACTGAAAGATAATGCCCCAGATCATGTTCCGAGGTTGCAACATTGATTCCGCTGCTCTACATTAGCAAACTTCATTTCGCGACATCACACCTGAAGAAGCTCACATGATCGTTCCACCAAACCACATCACGGCATGTGCCAGTAGAATATAATTTGCCGAGTTTGCAGCGTACACAACTACGGCATCGCCCATCTTTAGGTTGAAAGCATGCACCAATTCGGCGGCGAGCTTTGCGGCATCTCTACGAAGCCCGCCATATGTAATCTTGCTGCCCTTTGGGTCAATGTCCTCGTAGATGACCTTGTCCGGCGAGATATCATCTGGATTGACATCGAGCAGGTACTGACCGAGTGATTTGTTGGTTGGGACCAAATATTCGGGATAAATCGAGCTGTAGATTATTGGTGCCATGATGTGTGGACGTGTGGTTCTGTCTGGATGTGCGGAGCAAGGCGAAAAGAAATCAACAACGCAGACAACACTTCAACTCAATATTTTAAAGTAGTGCAGCAGCGCGTTAAGAGCCATGACGGTAATTGGGCGACATTACATAGTCGCCTCTCCAAGCAGCCGAGACGAACATAATCCCTAGTCAGAAATATCATATCACGGCATCATGGTATAAATGGCAACTTGTGCCGTGAACTGCGGTCGTAGTTGCTGGAATGAGTGTAGCATGAGGAGCAAAGTACTAGTATAGACATTGACGCTAGAAAGGAAGTCATCCATTTCTGACAAAATGAGACCGGCAAGTAGGGTACAGGTATGGTGTACATACACGTTAAACCGGAGCAGGACTAACTTAGAGCACTAATTAGTGCTAACTAGTTAGAGGTGATAAACTGAGGTAGATTGTGGGGAAAGTACCTCGAATAGAAAGTCTGGGGAATATGCAGGGTTAGCGCCTTGGCGGTGACCAGCGCTAGCGCATCGTAAACGCTAACTAACTTAGCACGCTAACTAACGTAATCCACCACCGAGTTGCGAATACCACCGAGCTGCGAACTTCGAATCTCACCAGAATCAGGATATTTCATATCCCGATATCTCAACAACAACATGATAATAAAATCTAAAAGTTGATAGATAGACTTTACCTAACTTAGTTGGCTTAACTTAGTTAAGTTAGGTAAAGTAATGTACGGGGCAACTATAGAGTCAAAGAATACTTTTTGGGGAGGTGGATGGGGCGGTTTTGGACTTCCAACTCTCTGTTTCAGTTTTTCTACCTTCACGACTTCGATGCCTCCATGCTAATTTCGGAAGCGTGATGATGTTAAACACTATGGGTCTGCAGCGGAGTCTCCCTCTGTTTTCTCATATAATGGACAATGTTTATGTGTTATGATCTGGTATCAGGGATACAACACATGGGTTTAGAACTCTTGGAGCAGAGTGTGCAGTCAAGGAGGCACGCAAGTGAGTGAGTGCAGGCTTTGCTCAGTTATATACACATAGCTGCCCAGCTCCCATTGTCCTGGTCCTGATCGCCTCTGATCATTCTGATCGATCCGATCATTGTGATCATTGTGATCATCGACCTGGTGATGTCCTAACACAGCGGCGCCGATTTACATCGAGCTACGTCCAGATTGTCTGTCTTTGTAACTATCGTAGAATCTGATAATAACCGAAGGATGAACAGCGAGCAGTGCAATCTATTTGTTAGGTGACTGGATGCATATAAGCAGGATATCAAGAGGATAAATTGTGCAACCGAAAAGACCCTTGAGCAGCCCTTCACCCCTTGCCGGCAGCTTGTGTCCTTACAATAACTAGCCAGATTGTTTGCGCAGATAAATTCAGTGGCAAAACCTTTGCTGAGCTACCTTCTGCGCTCGAGCTAGCCTCTCCACCTGAGGCTGAGGCAGCAGGCTCGTCCGACTCTTTCTTCACGTCTGTAGGAATTTCAGCGGGAAATACGGGCATTATCCGTGGCTCTTCGTCGAGTCGTTCGCCTTGGATGTCAACATCTTCGAGAATATCCCTTAGTGCTCTCAGCTGGATACCACCGCTGGCAGACTGCGAGTTAACCGTGTTAAGCACCTGTGCAACTGACACCCCAACCAGGTTACAAAGCTCTTCAGTAGTCATCAAAGATAATTGCAGCCCTCTGGAATATAGCCAGTCTTTATTTGCCGCCGCCGCGTACGCCTCCGCTCGGCCTCGGGGTGTTTGCGGGTTCGCTGCTGTGGTAATCGCGTTACCAGGAAGCGATAGAACCGAGCCAACTAGACGAGTAGCAGTGCCCACAGTCAATCTAACTGCTCCACCAATGGCACCTCCAACGACGCTGAGGATATTTCCCTTTTTCGCATGCTTGCCAAGGTCCTTGACTATTGGTTTGGCGTGATTTACGGTATCTTTGCAGAACTGCTGAGGCACCTTTCCGAGCCCAGCAGCGATATCACCAGCATGGCTGATGGCTCGCTTCCCGACACGCGCAGTCAAGAATGCGGATATTGTATCCACAAAAGAGTACCAAGTCATCGCTGGGATGCCATGCCTTAACAGCGACGGAGGATAAGCTGCGAGAAACGGTGATGCCGGATCGGGATATCTCTGGGGTATCGCAATTGGTCTGCGACCGGTGGGAGGAGGTGTATTACCAAGAGGTAGATTTGTAGATGGGAAGGTGAACGGAGAAGAGACTGTCGGTCCTAGTGGTGCTGTCGATGGCCCATCATTTGATATATTTGCGCTTGGGGATGGACTTTCCACGGTTTCCTGGTATGTTGGTAGCTGAGAGTCGTGTTCCTCTTTTCCGCGTGCGACATGCTTGACACCATTGCCGTCATGGCTCATTCCGCCCATGCTGGCATATAATAGTGGCCGTGAAGATGAGGTGAAGACTCTAGAACTGTTTACTGTAGATAAAAAGCCGTTCGTGAGGTTGGATTAGTTGCCCGCTGTCAAAGTATAAGTTCTCCACGCTTTACATACTGCAGCGATGGCCTGTAAAGGTTGTGAGGAGCCATGAGTATACGTAGTAAGCTTCGTCATTCCCGACTACGGAGGCGCAGCAGATCTGCTAAGCCCCACGCTAATCCTCTCTCTTCTAATTACATGTACTATCCGTGCCCATATCTGTCGCCCCACACCGTCCTACGTACGTAACTAGTATATGAAAACGGATAAACAGAATTACCCGACATGCCAGCGCTAAACTATACATGAATTTGGTAGCACACAGTCTACGGAGTAAATGTGTGTGCTACCGAAATTGCCTCGCCGTTTTCTGCGGACTTTCCGCCTAGGCGAAACGCCTTTGTTTCGTTATCGGCAGTGCCCAAAACTCTCTGCTACGGTGCCAAGACCCTGCGGGGGCTCACCACGCCGGATCCTTGCTCTAACTACCGTAATTAGTCCAAACTGGGAGGGATCCGATTTTGGATTCCATCTCCCAAGTTTTGGTATTTCGACCTTCGCAACTGCTATGCCTCCATGCTAATTTCGAAAGCATGATGGTGTTAAACGCTATATAAGATCTTAGCGCGACTATGTTATGGTCCCGGGCCTGTGGCCTGGGCCTTTGAGTATGGCTGACGCCACAGGGATGTGGCTAGTGGATGGCATGGAGGATTATCAAGGAGATAGTCATATAGAAGCTATGTTAGGACGGAGCTGTGTTAAGGAGCTGTGTTGAGCTGTGTTAGGATAGCAGAGAGAAGAGTTTATACCTCGCGCACAAAGGCGCTGGGAGATTTCTTCCTTCTCTCTCTTCAGTTTAGATTAATGGAACTTGGTAATCGCAGACCTTGCGCATCCAAACCGTGTCAGGCTGTCAGCTACGCCTAGTTGAGAGATTATTTTCCACCATTGCTAGCCGGGGGGAAAATCTCACAGGGGGGGAAATCTCAAATACGGGGGGGAAATCTCACCAGCTTTGCACGTTGCAAAGGTTGTGTTCACCCCAAGGCCTACTTATCATCCCCTCACACAGCGGCTTGTATTTTAGATCTTCTTTCCTCCTTTGTAGATTGATTCTCGTATATCACGAATCACAGAGTTTGACCTCATCCTTTCGTGCCCTGATACTCTTATACGATAATATAGTTAATTGTTTATGTATTGTACATATAAGAGTCTTGGGCTGTACGCCCAGACTATTGGTTACGAACTATCGGCTTTAGAGGCCTCCAACCAAAGTATTCGGGAAGGTGCAGAGGATGGCAAACGTGCATTTAGAACTTCGGGAGGAGAGGCCTTTTTCTCTTCTTCTTCTTTTCTCCAGTAATTCGATAACGTCCCTACCATTCATAATCCTCATTTATTGTGAACCCTCACAGTACAGAGTATAATCATAGATTAGAAGAGACCCACTGTGGCTTCTTCTTTGCTGCAAATGCTGCCAGACCAATTCTAGCATTCTCGCCCCTCATCAGCTTCTCCGCCCACCGATCGCCAGTAAGCTGCGTGGCTCTCTCCACGCTGGCCGTCTCCCAAGCCTCACGGAGTCCCTGCCGGGTGACAAACGTCGCATCCGGAGAGATATCAGCTATATGTCTCGCCAATTTCAGTGCTTCCTCCACGACAGACTCGGGCGTCTGCGCAATCACGTTGACCAAGTGAAACCCCTTTGCCTCCTGTGCTGACAGCCTGCGTCCCGTAAGCCCGATCTCAGAGCCGATTTGCAGACCACAGTTGCGTACCACTCGCGCGAGTCCTCCAGCTCCGGCATATAGGCCGACAGTTGACTCGGGCAGACCAAACGATGCCTTTGGGGATGCGACGACAAGATCGCAGTTTAAGCAGATCTCGAACCCCCCTCCAAGCGCAAAGCCATTGATAGCAGCGATGACCGGCTTTTTCCCAAGCCGTCTGCTCAGAGCTGCAAAGCCTCCTGGTGGGTGCGAGGATCGAGAGACGTTGGTGGATTCTGCTCGCTTCTTGTTCTGCTCGATGAGGTCTTGGCCGGCGCAGAAGGCCTTCGTCCCGGATCCGGTGATAATGGCGACGCGTAGGTTGGGCTCGTTGTCGAACCACTGGAAGAGGTCGTGCGCTTCCCAGTGTCCGGCTATCGGGATCGAGTTCATGGCTTGGGCCCTATCGATGGTGACGAGAAGGACATAAGGACTCGGGTACAAAAGCAAGAATGTCGTGGTTTGAGGAGGAAGCGTAGTAAAGTTCTTGGCTCCACAGTCTTCCGCCATTGTAGAAACGGTGCGATGTGTGATCTGTTGTGGTTTACAGTTTGTTACTGTTGTTGAGGGTGGCTCTTTGTATTAAAGAGGCCTTAAAAACTGGGCAATGCATATATAAATTTGAGGATAAATATGTGACAGGTTTGGGCCCATGAAAATATGCGCCTACATAAAGCGCAGTCGATAATAAATGGCTTGGTAGACCACATCTTGTAAATGCCGCAGAAATGTTGCAGAAGTAATAAGATCTGTCTGTCACGTATTGATGACATTGAGCCTCTTTTCAACTAGTTAGATGGTCTTTGGAAAACCGATAGCACAGGCGGTAGGGTGCCTAGCCAACGGGCGGGTACTAGGCGCGGTAAATCGAATATCCGGCGCCCTTGGTTCGAATTAGGCTCTGTGAGACCTAGTTAAATTAAATGCCTAGTTAGTTGATAGGCAGTCTAGTGCCCGTGGTAGGGCTCTCGAAACCGCTTATATAATCAAGCCACTCTCTCGGCGAGCAAGAACTTTTGAAATGGAGTGTGCCAAAACTTTATTGACGCACCTCCGTACTCTATCTACAAGCTCACATCATGTCCCAATTACTAGCTTTATTCCTTGATGCTAGACTAGCTGAAAATAAGCTTTCCTGCGTAAAGTGCCCGGATTCAGCTACTCTCAATTTTTCTTTGCTGGTCTATCGAGATCCTCTTCACTTAACCAAACGGTTGTATATTTTATTGGTATACCTGTGATAGAGAAATTAAAAGATGCTTAGGAATTTCAACAAGCTGCGAGCAAAGGGCACACTTACCCATATCAAAAGGAAAAACGCAGGACCACAATGTATATCTCCTCAAAAGTAGTGTGACAGAGAAAACGTAATCTGCCAGCGAGTCGCCCAAACCACTGAGTCGCTCATCTCAACCATGGCCTACTATTATAACTAGAATATCTCGATACCCACGGAAGCTTTTTATTAGTTAGAAAGTAGGCTAGGATCAATGATTTCTGGTATAGCTATTTGAGGCATTAAATAGGTCTTAACTCGATGTTGTAAGATTATGAAGATGTGCAAGAGTTAAGATGTGTCGCAAGGTGCCCTGTTGATTCCAATGCCACGCAGCATTCCATTCGCAGCCCATTACCCCTGAGCTAAGCCTAATCAGGACTCCTCAGTCTTGATTTATGTCCCAGTTATCTTCAACTGTTTTGCTAGTTAGCTAGATCTCTTTTGGGAGAGAATGGGAATAATAGTCAATACCAATTTGCGTTGTGACTCTGGAGTAACTGAGCTTAAGCTGCGAACGTGCTTAATCATCACCCACGCGTAATGCGACAAGATGTCTCTAGTATTTCGATAGGACTATTTTCTAAAGTTTACAATTGTCACGGCTGCACTTTTCGTTGCTTTCTAGCCTTGATGGATGGATCCCTTGGCCTGGCGAGAGGTGAAGTATGTTGTGTAACCGTTGATAGCAAATACAAGCATTAGGTTCTTAGATATTACATTTGGATTATCTCATTACGACCTTTATAAGAACATGCTCATAACTCGCCGATCACAGCTTCGACTTATTGCCACTATCTAGCGTCTGCGCACCCTCTGCAAGCAACTCCGCGGCTTCCTCAACCATCTCATCCACAATCGTCTTTGCCCTCTTCCTTTCCTTCACCTCCGCCGCCACCTTCCCCATAATCATTGGAAACGCATTTTCAGTGAGCTCGGCATCATCAGGAAACTTGTCAAAGTCGTTCTGAAGAGGTATAATACCCTTCGCTTGCAGCGCCTGCATTTCATCCTGCCGCTTGCTAATCCACCGCTCGATGTACGGCGTCGACCGGACGTGCATCGGGCGCCCGGAGAAGATGGTTGTCCGCACAATTTGCCCATGGTCGGCGGAGCGCACGGCCTCTTGGTGCTCTGCGCCCGATCCGGACTCCTCACAGAGGATGAACCGCGTGCCGACCCAGATGGCCTGGGCGCCGAGCATCATCGCGCCTGCGAGGGAATGGCCATTGTGCATGCCGCCGCCGCCGACGAGCTGGATCTCCTTGTCGGTGAACTTGCTGATCTGGCCTTTGATGATCTTCTTCACAGCGGGGATGAGGATGACTGTTGGAACATCGCCTGTGTGGCCCCCTGCCTCACCGCCGGCGGCACAGAGGAGGTCGGCACCGAGATCGATGGCCCGCTGCGCGTGCTTGGGATGGCCTATCATGTTCATGTATAAGACGCCTCCGGCATGGAGGCGGTCGACGACTGCTTGAGAAGGTATACCGACAGCGCAGACGAAGAGTTTTGCTCCACCTTCAACGATGACGTCTATTAAGTCCATGATCCTGCCTTTGTTATAGTCATAGCTATTGAGAGCAAGGTTAGCTTGTTTTCTGAAAGTGGTTCCCGTAGGAGACCTGCGACCTACTTTGTTGCTCTTGCGCCGTTGCCGACCTTTGGAATCAGCAGATCCACCCCAAACGGCGCATTCTTGTCGACAAGATATGACTTCAGTTCTGCGATTGACTCTCGCAGGAGCTGGGGCGTGTACATCCCACCGCCGATAACACCGAGCCCTCCGGCATTTGTGACTGCGGCGGCAAGCTTGGGTGAAGCGGTCTTGTTCATTCCGGCGAGCAGGACAGGATGCTTAATACCTAGAAGGTCTGTCGCTCCGGTGCGGATCTTCTCTGCGTCGGTACGTGAGCTGCATAGTCCATTGAAGGTATGAGGAGAGGAGAAGAGTTACGTGGCGATGCCATTTTGTGTGGAGGCAAGATTGGTGTATGTTCAAGACTCGGTTTTTGGGTTGTTGTTTCAGAAAATAGAATGAGGCCTCAATTGCAACTTATTTGCCCCTGGCATCTTGGATATTTCATCGATTATCTTCTCTTCTACTTGACGCCTCGGCGAAAACATAGGTTTTGGACTTTGGACTCTAGCTCAGGGATTTTGTCGAGTATATCCCTGGTATGGACCCTTCTTGCATGTTATGAAAGTAGTTACTGCCATCAGGTCTGTCAGAAAAAGATGACCTGACCGCTTTGGCTCCCTCATAAACATCCACGCATAACTTTTATAGTCCCCGACATATTAGATTAGAGGAGATACGTAGAGAAACCTACGCATTCTATTATTCACGTGGGTGACTGCTGTTCATGCAGAAATCTGGATATCCCAAGGGCTCTGATAGTCTCCCCTGTCGTACTCCGTAAAAGGCTTTGCGACCAGTAATGGGAACGAAGTGAGCACCCATCCCCATGCTATTTATGGATATCACAAAGCATTTCCCCTAGACTTACCCTCTTCAAGAAAACAAGCGGATGCGCGGTGTTGAGTACTGAGACGAGAAATAAACCCTAATATGTGATACTAACATGAAAGAATAAACTTTAAGCTCTTGTTTCTATCTTGACTTTGTAAAAACACGTCAATATGGAATTTGGTGTAGGCCAAAGTTACAAAGTTAAGGTTAGAGTGTATTTGTGCTGTCAGACATTTCCGACAGAACATATAAACGTAATATTGTTGCTTGCATACACATATGGTCGAAAACATATAGTTTCAAGCCTCCCCATGTTTCTCCCACAATAGCGGCAGAACACAATTGTACCCAGGAAAATAACTGCCTACAGTCGAGAAATGGCCGCCAAGCTCATCACAAACGATGTCCCATCAAAGCTATTCCTAAACAACGAGGTCAGGATCTTAAACCATACACATGGATACCTAACTGACCAAACTTCCAGTGGGTGGCCGGCTCCGGCCCCTCTCTCACAATCACCAACCCCAAAGACTCCAGCATCGTCACCTCTCTCCAGGAAGCCAGTCCGTCCGACCTAGACATAGCCGTCCAGTACGCCACCGAAGCGTTTGAGTCGGGTCCCTGGTCGACCTTCCCCGCCCTCAAGCGCGCGGAATGCATGAACAAACTCGCCGACCTGCTCGAGGCGCATGTGGAGGAGATCGCCTATTTGGAGAGCGTGGCCTCTGGGCGCCTGCTGTCCATGGTGAGGTATGAGATCCCGCTTGTTGCGCGGGTATTCAGGTGTAAGTCTGCGTGCACTCGCCTCCCTGCGGTGACGTGAGGTTGGAAATGTGCTGACAATACGTAGACTATGCGGGCTGGGCCGACAAAATAAAAGGCGACGCCTACCCCCCCGACGACGGACACTTCAAGTTCGTCTCCCACGTTCCCCTCGGCGTCTGTGCCGGCATAACCGCCTGGAACGCCTCGCTCCACTTCCTCGCCTGGAAATCCGCCCCAGCGCTCGCAACCGGTAACACCGTCATCATCAAGCCGTCTGAGAAATCCCCGCTCGGGTCCCTGGCCATCGGCTATTTGATCGCCGCCGCCGGATTCCCGCCCGGCGTTTTCCAGATCCTGCCGGGTGGTGGCGCGCTCGGGGCGGCGATAAGCGGACATATGCGGATTGCGAAGGTGAGCTTTACGGGGAGTACGGCAACGGGGGTGAAGATCCAGGAGGCAGCGGCAAGGAGCAATCTCAAGCGTGTCACTCTTGAGCTGGGAGGCAAAAGCCCGTCCATTGTCTTTGACGATGCTGACATTCCATCGGCAGTCCAGTGGGCGGTCAGAGGCATTACTATCAACTCGGGGCAGGTCTGTGCTGCTTCTTCGCGTTTGTATGTTCACGAAAGTATTATGGAGCCCTTTATGGGGGCCCTGAAAGATGCATTTGAAGGGATTGGAAATGCCCTTGGTGAGGATCCACAACAGCTCGCAACAACGTTTGGTCCGGTGATCGACGAGGAGCAGTTCAAGAAGATTTGGGAGTATATTGAAGCTGGTAAGAAGTCGAGTGCTCAGCTACTCACAGGAGGATCGAAGTATGACGGAAACGGAACATATATCGCGCCAACAATCTTTGTCAACCCACCCGAGGACTCGGTGATCTACAAGGAGGAGATCTTCGGCCCAGTTCTGTGCGCCAAATCTTTCAAGACGGAAGAGGAGGTGCTCAAGTGGGCGAATGACACGCAGTACGGACTTGCCGCTGCGATATTCACAAAAGAGCTTTCCAGGGCTTTGAGGGTGAGCTCGAAGCTTCAAGCTGGCACTGTTTCGGTCAATTGCGCTTTGTCAGTTGGTCCTCAGGTTCCGATGGGAGGAATGAAAATGAGCGGGAGTGGGCGCGAGCTTGGAGAATATGCTCTGAGGCATTACACTGAGCCGAAAACCACTTGGATCAGGTTAGAATAAGTGCAATAATTAAAGGTTAAGCAGTTCTGGTCACCGAAAAACACAGGCGCATGACCACGATTGTAGACTCTCACTGATTATCGAAGTATCGACATATTCATTTGTCCTACTTCCCGCTGAAGAGTTGCATGTATGTGTTTGATAGTAGGTCTATTCATGGCTGTGGTCCTTTACAAGCGTTTAAATCTGCTTTCACTTACCTCTAGAACTACGCTAGCATGCATATAACTGCTCAGAAACATATAATCCTCCACTCCTACATGACTAAATCTATCTAAATCGGTTTGTCGGTATTTACCAAGCAACTTCACATTTCAGGGAGTATCCTCGAAGAGTACATCGGATACAACGCCGTAACTGCGAATGTCAGTCACTAAACCGGTGAGCTGTCAAGGAGAAAACTCACCACCAGTGCAATCAAGCCAAGGGTACGCCATCTCAAACTCCTTACTCAGTTTCCAGCGGTCCAGATTGTCGAGCCCCCATCTCGATGACAATGGTTGCTTATCTGCGATAAGCCTGTTAAAGGGCGGTGAGCCCCTTACCGTAGTAGACGATGGCTGGTACCCAGGAAGCGTGGGGTCTGGCAGCTGCTGCATCGTGTGTTTGAGGCACTGGAAAATTTCCTCGGTGCCTGGCGCGCTTCCGCTACACATGAAGCCCTCAAATTCTGCGCTGAAATTGCTAGACTCTGAATTGGAAGAACTAAAAAGAGGGTCAGTGGAGGTAAATGCAGGGTAAGGAGGTATGCATACCCAGTTTCAAGTGATGACGCCACTTGAGAAAACACCCGAGTAATGAACGCATCATGGATGTTGATGGCCGCATGGAACTCTGGAAACTCAATAACCGTATGCAGAACGATATCATGACAGACACCAGACAGCTCGTATGTTCCCTGCTTATATATTAGTTGATCCCTTATCGAGGGCCAATTGACAAAACTGATAGCGAGCGGGTGATCCGGGCGCATAAACTGCAGCGGCGTCGGCTTGAACGGCTCGGAGATTGCAGTCCGATTACTCGCGTTCGCCGCGAGCCGCCACAAAAGTACCTTCTCCATGCTTTCATTCGCACCAACACCGTATAGGTAGTTGGTTAGCCCGCTCATTTTGGAGGTCAGGCTGATGCCGGCCTTGGCGATGATCGCCACAACGGGGTAGCTGATGCTGTTGTCTAGGGTCGCGATGGCTGCGCGCAGGGGCTCGTAGCACGAGGACGGCTGTTCGAGACCGCGAGCGACGCCGTGACCTTGCAGACCGAGCTCCTCCAATAGGTACCAAAGACAGGCTTCTTCGACCCTCCAGACGACCATTTCTGACTGGGACGACAACCAGCGTCTGGGAATTTCGGCTGGGACATGATCTGGGATTTGGGGAAAGAACTCGTAGGCCGATGAGAAGTCCATGTCAGCACCCCAATCGAGCAGATTCAGCATGGGATCGATAAAGCAGAGCTCCTTGTGGAATTCGCCTTTTGCGGGACCGGGCCCCTCGTCGCCCTCTACGACGTACCCAGACTCAAGCCTGACATTGTATGCAGGTCCACTTGTATGGAGCGCCTTTTGAGCTGGTAGACCAGAAGCATGGGAGCTGGAGGATCCCAGAGAGCCATGTGGCGTAGAATTGGTTTCAGGAGCCAATGACAGGGACATTCCGTCCAAGTCTCGATGTTTCTGGCGTTGGAGCTGCATAGCCATCTCTTCATCGTAAGCTGGGATCTGGTCCCTATCATCTCCGGAATCACTTCCAGCATCCCCTACACTCAGTGCCGGATTCAGCGGTGATCCTGGCGCGAAGCTTGCACTTAGACTAGAGATATTCTTCGCTTTCCGTTTCAACGAGATTTCTTGACTGGTTTTGCTGAATAACTTGTCGAATATCGCATCATCTAGAGCCAGGGGGTAAGAATCTTGCTGAAAGTCCTAAACTTCCCGAGCAACAGACATACCTGCAACGGCCGACAATGCCGCACTCAGCGAGAGTGTTTTCTTCCTCATCCTCAACAGCGCCTCCCGCAAATCTTTGTTTTCTTCGATCAACGCCAGCTGATTGCTCATCAGGGCGGCTCTGAGGCTGCTATGGTCCGCATCCTCACCCGTCGAGATCTTCATGATGCTCGCTAGCGTTTCCAGCTGCTTGGAGTGTGCAAGCTGCCGCTCACGGAGACACTGTTGCGATATCCGGTTCTGTTCTCTTTTTCGGTTGATCCGTTCCTGCTCATGGCGAGTCTTTCCATCAGTAGCGGTCTGCTTTTTTCTGGCGTTTCCTTGTCTTCCGACGCCTCGGTTGGAGGTCCGGACGCCAGTGGTATTCGAAACCATGCTGCTGTGAGGCTGGCGTATGATGGGGAGCTTGTCCACTTGTCGTCGACGGGAATCACCTGCTGAGGTTTGGTTTTCAAAGATATCAGAATATGGGTGAGGACAGGACGAGAGCAGGAACCCTTGGGAATACAACTAGGCCTCGGATGGGGTCGGGTTATCTTGGCGTGCGGTTGAGGTGGGTGGGGCTTTATAAACCTAGCACCCTAAGTCCCTAACCCCAACCCAACCCGCAGGCTCAGACAATAATAAGGTAAAACCCGCCGCGGGTGAGGTTCTTAGCAACCCCAACCGCAAACCCTGGGGTAATGGGGTTAAACCCCGCCCCATCCGAGGCCTAAGTGAGGGCGGGGTTGTGGGGTTGTGGAGACATTTGTGTAGACTTTGATACAAATATCCTGCGCTATTGTCATAGTGCCATTCCTTCGTGTTACCTGATTCGTGTTATGAGTGATGTATAAATAAATATAGCCGTTCATAACTAATGCATACCGTTCAACTCCGCATACATCTTGACTTCAAACACCTCAAACTTGTATATACACATATACGACATACTACCAGCAGGAGGGGGATACAAGGGAACCACGGGATTGATTGACGTTGATAAGATACCGAACATTTGCTCCTCAGCTTCACTCCTCTTCTTGCTTTCGCCATGCACAAACCATACAAACCTCCTACAGTAGCAGAACACTTATCCTCGTATCTCCATCATCATCATCATCATCATCATCATCATCATCGATCAAAGGTAGAGCGTGACACTGATAAATCTCAAAACTTGTACACCAAGCGGCCATTAACTTTGCCTTTCATCATGTCCTCAACCCCTTCGTTGATCTGGCTAATGTCGCGCAACTACACGTGTTAGAATTGAATTCTCAAGTTATTAGGCGGTACAACATACTTGGTACACTGGTTTGATACCTGCCGAAGCAGCCAAGGTGAGTGACTTGCTCAAATCGTCCTTCGTACCCTGGTTCGTAGCTTTGAAACGGTCAACGGTTGTGCACTTTGAAGAGTAAAGCCGTTGGCTATCTTACCAATGAGGGAGAGGTCGTTCAGGATCATGTTCAAAATGTTAACAGCTACAGGGCCGTTTGGCGCACCAATGGCAATAACCTTTCCATGTTTTGCCGTAATCTTGAAGGCCAGATCGTAGGCTGGAGCTGCGCCGCTGACCACGACTGTGCAGAGTGTCTTCTCGAACGTGGCTGCGTCACCGGTCATCGAGTTGAAGACCTCCTCAGCTCCCGAGTCTTTCGCCAGTTGCAGCTTGTCGTTCGCAATATCAACTGTTGGGCCGGTTAAACGTGACGGAATAGCTCTGGAGAAGGATACACATACAAGCGTGGACCCGGTAGCCCATGGCCTTGGCGTACATGATCGCAAGGTGACCTAGGGAAATATGAGCATGCATGTTCATTATATCAACGGCTAGACATCATTCACCAACACCCCCGCTTCCAACGATGTTGAGCAGCGTGCCTCCGGTCTGGAACTGGGAGACCTTCTTCAGGGCACCATATGCTGTTACACCAGCGCACAGAAGCGGTGCAGCACTAATGCGGAATTCAGTCTCTGGCTCTTTCTGCTCATGTTGAAGGATCCTCAAACCTCTCGTCCGGCAGCCCGTCTGGAATTTTGACCGTAGAAAGCGGATCCGCGACACAATATTCTGTAAAGCCACCCTGCATACCGTTAAAGCCGACAGCCGTTTTGCCAGAGCAGAATCGATGCTGCCCGCTCAGGCATTCGCTGCAGTCCACTATCACAGAGTTACAAAGTGTCATAGTTTGGGTAATGGAGGCCACGACGTACGGCAAGTATTGCTCGCTGGCATGAAACCGACTCTGTCCCCAACGGCAAACCCTCTTACGCCCTCTCCTAGCTCTGCGACCGTGCCGACAGCTAAATGAGACATACATCAGAAGTCTGTGACTCAAGATATGGCCGTCCCGCAGAGGGGTCGTGGCTTACGTTCGTGACCAGGGCAATACGGGAGGGCTCCGCCGACGTGTCCCTGGATACCGGAAATGTCGGACATGCAGAGCGAGCAGCAGCTGTTCTTGACCAAGATCTGGTTGGCACCTGGTTTGAGGATTGGCAGATCGTCTCTGATCACGAGAGGTTTGTTGTACTGGGAGATTGTCGTCAGTAAAGTGCAAGATGTTGCCGTGAGATAAACTCAAGGCGAGAGCAGATGCTACCTACCTCGACTACGGTTGCGCCCCTCATTGTAGTTTTGGTTGCCATTGTGTTGAGTTGGATCTTTGTGATAGAGAGAGTTTGGGGAAAATTTTGGGATATTTCGGATAATGAGATAGAGTCAAACAAAACCAACAAGACATGAATAGCTATCAAGGTTTCGGGCAGCTGAATATTCCCTCTAGATATTGTTTTTCTGCCTTGGCTTCCCTATTCTGAGCTAATCGGGGTTTGATGTCGTCTCACAATGATCTAGAGCACTTTGACCAGATTTTTAAGGAATTGTGGTAGTGCTGCTTATAATGAGAAGCGCGCTGTCAGACAATGCTCACTTGAATGTGCATTGGGCCATCGACTTATGTTCAAATGCTCGAGTTGTAACACCAAAAACTCTATCTCTGCGATTGCAGGGATATGGGATTCTCTAGCAAATCCAAAAGGGGTTACTGCTTGCTAGTCTTGCGCTAGCGCAATATGGCTCATGGGGCAATCTCTCACGCTTCCCGCAAGGCGGCATGTCATGCTTTCATGACAGAAATATGAATTTACTTACTTTACACTGTAACATGCATGAGGAATGGAGAATGCTACAGTTTTTGTGGGCGAATACATGGAATAGTAAAGCTGAAACAAAAGCCATGTTCATATGCGCAATGCACCGAGTATCGGGCACTGTGGCAGCTGCAAAATCAATCTCCCTTGCCCTTAAGGTCCCTTCTTTGCGTAGTTCGTCTTGTCACAAACATTTCTTTTCATTTAAGATTTTTATGTTTTCAAAATTATCTTCAGAAACCGACGTGTTGCTGACTTGCTCAGTTATTTATATCAGCCAGTTCATTAATAATGGCGCAACCCGCACTAATTCCTGTTATTGTTGGCGTGGGTGATATCAAAAACAAAAAGTTAACAGTTGAGGATGCGATCGAGCCGATGCAACTAATGCGCCTGGCAACCATACGTGCTCTTGAAGACACCGGTCTCTCATCCGAAGCTTCGAAACAGTTTCTGGCAAGTGTTGACAGTGTCAGTGTCGTTGCAACATGGACTTGGAACTATCCTGACCTGCCTGCCCTTCTCTCAGAGAAACTGGGAATAAGCCCTTCTCACAAGACTCTGAGTCCTCACGGCGGAAACTATCCAGTAAGTCTTATAGATGAAGCTGCGAGACGGGTTTCGTTGGGACAGAGCCAAGCCTGTATTGTAACCGGTGGAGAGGCCTTGGCTTCCGGTGAGTAGCTGGATGTGATTGACTTCTCATCTTAAGAAGCACATTCTAAACCTTTGGCGTTATAGTAAATGCATGTGCTGCCGCGAAGAAATCACCTCCGAGATGGACACCAAGCGATCCAAAAACGAAAAGTGTGTCTACATCTAAACTGCCAGACACCCAGCAGAGTAGGTCTCAAATGCTAAGCTTCAAAGAAATTTGTGTTCCTAATCTCGTATCATAGCTCCCGGCTCCGTCCACTCCATTGGGCTACCAATCCACATCTATCCATTATACGAAAACGGATTCCGAGCAAAGCGACGCCAAACACCCGAAGAGAATAATGCAGAGTCAGCAAACCTGTACGCAGAATTTGCCCAAGTTGCAGAGCAGAATCCCATGGCTTGGAACTATGGACAACCTGCCAAATCAGCAAAAGAGATTGGCACTGTCACCAAAAAGAACAGACTGATATGCTCCCCTTGTAAGGCTCAACTATGGCCCTCACAGGTGATTGCCGCTGACTCCAGTCTCAGATCCGCTACTTATGAACGCCTTCAACGCTGTCAACCTTGCTGGAGCATGCCTTTTGACCTCCACCAAATTCGCGACAGAGTTTGGTATTTCTGAGGACAAATGGATCTATCCGCTGGGCGGCGCAGGGGCAGAAGATAGTGAGAACTGTGTGTTGCGTTTACTTCATCCTTGTACACTCTGTGAGGCCAGGGCTAACCACATGGAATCAGTTTGGGAGCGTCTCAACTACTACTCTAGCCCCGCTCTCTCAAACGCACTGGATGCGGCATTAAGAGTTTGTAAACTATCAAAGGACGACATTGAAGTCTTTGACTTCTATTCATGCTTCCCCATAGTTCCTAAACTCGCATGCCATCATCTCAGTTTGCCTATTGCCAATTCTCCTAAGCCGGTAACCTTTCTGGGTGGACTAACATCGTTCGGTGGTGCTGGTAACAATTACTCTATGCACGTAAGTTACAATCAGCGGACAATCCCAAAGGCATTCCGCATGATATTGACCATACAGTGCAGTCTGTGATCGAAATGGCGCGCGAGTTGAGAAAGGGAGCGCGGCAGTACGGCCTCGTATTGGCAAATGGGGGGATACTCACGAAACACAATGTGCTCTGCCTTTCCCGCAAACCCCGCAAGGATGGCTCTCGTTATCCCGCAACGAACCCTCTAGCACAGTGGAAACTGGAAGCTGTCATTCCACCAATCGCAGAGCAGGCAGATGGAAAGGCAATACTTGAGGTACGTGATGAGAGTAGTCTGGATCAATACAATGATTCGAATTGACACGCTTCTAGACATATACCGTCGAGTTCACCAGGGAAGGGAAGCCGACTCGCGGTCATATTGTAGGATTATTGCAGGGTGGACGTCGCTTTGTGGCCCATCATGGGGACGAAGGTACCCTGCAGCAGCTTGCAAGTCAAACGAAAGAACAAGTTGGAAGGAATGGGTGGGTGAGGGCTGGAGGCAATGGAAAGAATTACTTTGTGTTTGAAGAAGCGGGACGGCTGTGATGAGTTTTCAATGAATACATATTTCATCCGCAAGACCAACTCGTGCTTTATTTGAAAGTTATATAACTACCGCTTTTTCCAGCATTTGCTTCAGTTACACAAATCAACGGTTTAAGAGACCATTGGGAAGTTTTGATCTTACCAGGTAAGAGCAAACGGAGAACTAACAAAAAGAATTGGCCACCAAAATTCCGCGGAGATACGGATGGTCGCGCAGCGTATTGCGTGTTGAGTTAGGTAGCTGGACCAATGCCTGTGTTAACTTATCGATTTCGACATTGAGGTGGAGATGATAACCACATTTTCAAACATAAGAGAGCCGTTCATCAGCTGTCGAATACTCCAACTTGTAATTTCTAACCTAATAAACCACCTCAAGGCTAATTCCACAATGACTTCGTCCGCTCTTGTTCTGAAGTAGTTAACTAACTTAGCAGTTAGCCGTCAGTTAGTTAAGTCCCAGTAAACTGGGACTTTACTTTTGGCCCATAATACAATCGTGGGTCCCTTGATATCAGCAATTCTGTTAGTTCCGGCATAGAAGAACGCTACTTCTTTTCGTCCGTGTCCCTGTCTTTGGCTGCCAGGCCCTCTCTCAGCTTGATGTCAACCTTCTCTGTCATGAGGTGGCCAACTTCGGCAGTTGAAAACGCCGCCAAACAACCAAGGATACCGAAAGTTATGGATACATAGTAAACCAGCTTGAACGCATTGATATACGCCATTTTCATGGCAATCAGTCCAGCGTCCACGACTGACTGTGGCAACGTCCGAAGAATTGCGGCGTTTTTCTCTACGATTGCTTCGATGGCTTCCGGCAATTCTGCTTGGGACAGACCGGCGCCAAGCAATGCCTTGGCAATGCCAGGTACAAGATTGTGTCCAATTTTGTTCTCGATGATGGAGGTGTAAATGGTGGTTGCTAAACATCCGCCAATAGAGCGTGCCGTGATGGCCATGGCAGTAGCGATGCCAATATACTCGTGCTTCTGACCCAGCTGAACCATGGTCGTAGAACATAGCGTTGCGCCTGTGAGGCCCATTCCCAACAAAACGGTAAGCACCGTGCAGCTGATATTTGTATTGATCCCTGTGTCCATGTTAGCTGAAGAAATTTTACCGCAAGTGAGCTTCAGAACGGGACTGAAAAATCCAAATGCAACTTACCAACATGGGCTTGAGCGCCGCAACAAGCCGTGAGGAGCATGGCATAAAGCGTGAATTGATACCTTGCAAATTTCCCCCATTTCCTGAATGCCCAACCGCAGATGGGCGAGGCCAGGACACCGCCGGCTCCAAGAGCTGTACAATACCAGCCGACCTGGATTTGGTCTTTTGCAAACAACTTCTCGACCATCATTGGCCAAAGCAGGATAGTAGAATAGTATAGCATGCCGGCCAAAGCGGTCGTGAGAAGGACCATTGTGCAACCTCTAATATTTCCCAGGACAACTGGCGGGAACAGTGCATATTCGAGGCTTGCGTGAGCTTCGTAAAAGCCGAGAGCGACAAGTGTCAAGAATCCAAGAACGATCATGCATATTGGCCCAGCCGATTTCCTAATTCTTGAGTGAGTTTATTTCTCTCGGACTCATAATATTCGGATAAAGCGTTACTCACCATGGGAATTCCGATCCCCCAAAGGTAATTCCGAGAAGGAACAGGGTAAGGCCGGCAGCAAAAAGGAATAAGCCAATCCAGTCAAGTTCCTTGAACTGCTGAAACTTCGTTTTCCTTTCAGGATTGTAAAACTGATTGATGGGATGGTAAAAGAGTACAATAAGTACCAAGCCGGCAATATCGAGCGCAAATGGAATCCAGTAACAGTATCTCCAGCTTGCATGAACGACGAGAGATTTGCCTGTGAGCGGCTAGGTAAGAATATTCCATGACATCTTTGGATGAGATATTACTTACCAATAACCGCAGCAAAGAGTGACGCTGGTGTCAGAGATACTTGGAAAAGACCCAAAGCAAAGGCTCGCTGGCTTCTTGGCACGACCTCGGCGAGGCACGACCATGCGAGCTGATGCATCGCTGCACCAAACCCGATGAAGATGCTGGCAACGATGATTGTGCTGACCTCGTGCGCGGTTGCAGCAACGGCGCAGCCTACCGCGCCAATGGTATTGCCAAGCAGGAGGAAGGTCTTTCGACCAAAGATGTCGCCGAGACGTCCGACAAGAGGCGAAAGTACGGCCGCTGAGATGATCTGGGCCGTTGCCATCCAGCTGTACGCCGTGGAGGGGCCTGAACTGGGGATGAGCGGAGGAAAAGGAGCTGCGGTGGCAAATAAGGCTTACCAATATCGTTGTTGATGTCTCCCAAAACGGCGGAAGCAAGTGAGATGACAAAAACATCGCTCAAGTATCCAAACTGAAAGCTCTGGGACATGTGTTAGAGGGTGAAAAGATTAAAAAAGATGTACTTACCATGCAAGCCAGGAACTTGCTAAGTGTGAACTTGAAATCCCCATCAGGATAATCTTCAACGACCTCCTCCTTGTCTTCTTCGAGGGAGGATGGAGACCAGTCGCTCTTGGGCTTCATTCCCATCTCTACATGATCCGTTTCCGCTTTATCGTTTGCAGCCATGATTACAAGACAAGATCAAGAGTATATTGCTTAAGAGTGAGAGACGGCGACCAAGTGTTCGTCGATAGTGCTTCTTTACCCCAGATTTGATGTACAGCTAGGTTAAGTACTCCATACGACTCCACACGTTTCGTTTGGCCAAGCGTCTCCTCCTATCGCTTACCCCTCATTTCCCCAGATTTTCATCCAGCAATTTGGGTGGATCGGGGTCGAGAGATGGGCTGTCAGGTAACAATGACGGAAATGATACTTTCGGTTTTGGACCTTTTCCGTTGACCCGCCACATGGACTAAAGTCTTGGAGTCCAGCCCTACTTGAAGCCACTAACAGCCCCTCTCCTCTCCACAAATCTGGGCATTATCTGGAGTCAAGAGCGCGAATACAGCGATCGAGTAGCATTACCTTCAGTGATGGAGACGAAAGTCTCACCGGTGACCGGTCTTTAGTGACATGCACAGACGATGACCCTTTCCACGTATCGCCTTACCGGTTAGAGTAGTGCGGAGGTATGACCATGTGGGGGATTCATAGTTTTGGGCTAGTTTAACTGTTTAATGTCCTTTTGCGTGCGGCTAGGCCGCGTGAACAGTAACATGATTAAGGGGATGAAGAGTGCAGCTCCTGATTTTCAAAAAACAGCCTCAGATCCAACATGCTATCCCTGACATGGCCCACTTAATTTATTCCATTTTAGCGCCGGATGGCGCTTAATGGCGCACACTTAGCGTACTAGTAAAGCCCAATCACGAGGCGAACTAAAAATTACTCAGCTTTACGGTCTTTACACCCAAACGCAGCTTCGATCCCAGGAGCATCGAAGCAATCAATAATCATGTCGTCTCAACGTATTGTCTAATGTCGTCTATACCGCTCCCATCCGCCCCAGTGGCCTCCTCTATCTCTGATGATACATCCGACGATGAGCTTGCCACCGAATTTATATCAAGAGCTCGATCCGACGCGACATCCGCTGCAGAAGTGGACCCAGACGTACCAGAGTCCCCATTACAGCCACCTCCAGGCTCTTCCGCTGGATATCTTAATTGCCCAATTGGGCGCCATGGAGAGGCCTCTTATATAGCTATTGATCCGGCTAGTAAGAGGCCTCTGGGTCAGACTGGAACTCCATTTCAGAAGATGGAGGGATACGTCTCTTATTACCATAATCCGGAGGCGCTGCTTGATCTCCCGATTAGGATTCCAGGCCCCATTGATCCTACAGACACCCAAAATGTTCTATGTGGAAATCCTAGCTGTATAGGCTGCGGCATTTCCCATAGTGATGGCCAGTACCTAGATCCATTGCTTCATAATCGCCGTCCATCATCCTTCAAATAGCTTATCGAGTGATGGGATCTCCCGCTGGTACTCTTCTCGCAGATATTCCATCAGCGCGTACCGACACGGTAAAATTAAAAATATCATGGAGTTGCACCGGAAATTTAAGCTTCCTTACCATCGCCTCCGAACTCGCATCCACGGTCGTCCTTTAAGGAAAACTCTACGAACTTTTGATATTACTGAAGATGATGAAGAGAGACGAATCCTTAAAGCCGTTGATATATACTGCAGCGGTGATTGCAAAAATATCACAGAGTTGCACCAACAAATTGAAGTTCCTTACCATCGCCTTCGAGGGCGCATCAACGGTCGTGCCTCCAATAAAACCCCACGAACTACGAACCGAGCCCTTGATAAAACACAGGAGGATGCACTTAAACTATGGATTAAGCAGCTTGATGAAGCTGGCCGACCACCAACCAGTGAAATGGTAACAAACTGTGCAAATGCCATCCTCTGTCGAAGCCATGATCCTGATCCTGAGACGCCCACACCCGCACCAACTGTCTCTAAGATGTGGACCTACCGCTTTCTCAAACGACTTCCTTCTGAATATGAGCGAGTTCAGCAGAAAACAAAGGATCCAAAGCGTATACAAGCAGAAGATCTTGGGATTGTGCAGAGCTTCTATGACCACTGGAAAGTCATTATTGAGAGCCATCGCATACGCCCATGAAATATATACAACATGGATGAGACAGGCTTTGCAATTGGTCAAGGAAAGGTTGAGAAGGTCATTACTGCCTTTCCAGAAAAAAATGCAGTCCTTGGAAGTGCCATGTCACGCAAACTGGTCACTGTCATTGAGTGTATTTCTGCTGAGGGTAAACCTACCAATCCCTTTCTTGTTCTACCAGGAAAGAACCATCTTGAAGATTGGTACAAGGATTGTGGGCTTCCAGATAACTGGATAATTCTGGTCTCTCCTAATGGGTACACCAGTGATGAAGGAGGCTTTGACTGGGTTCATCATTTTGAGATTAAGACGCGTCCAGCAACCTCCTGGGAATGGAGACTTCTCTTGCTTGACAACCATGGTTCACACCTGACATATGACTTTCTCAAGTTCTATGAAGATCACCGGACCATTCCCTTTTTCCTCCCTCCACATATGACACATTATCTTCAGCCTTTGGATGGAGTTCCTTACAGCCTTACCTGGGATACGAGCAAAAGCCTTCACACCACGCGTTTTACGAGCTGGCCGGTCAAAGCGAGGAGTATGGCCAATTAAACCTGATCTTGTGATTAAAGAGTTGGAGAAAATCTGTGCGGATGAGGGGCCTGAACTTCAGGATTTTAATGGCTCTGAAGCCGAGTCAGAAGAGCCCCAATCTACCTCTTCTTCACAACTTTCCTCACCAAAGTCGATTCGAAAACTCCGCCGCAGCATTGAGAAAGTGAAAAAGAACCTTAATGAGCTGGGTACCTTGCTTGAGGAGGCCTCTCCGTCGCTCAACAAGCGAATAAATAAGGTGTTCAGTGGCAGCCTTGTTCAAGCCGAGCTTGGCGCGCAGCGAGGAGATGATTTGGATCGCTACTTGGAGGCTAGCCACAAGCGCAAACGAAAAGATACTAGACGGCAGGTGAAAGCAGCAGGTCCTCTTTATGTTAAGGATGCAAATCGCGAGATTGAAGAGCGGAGGGCGAAGGAAATGAAGACTGAGTGGGCGCAACGTGAAAAGCGCCGTGCCCTTGATGCGAAGAAGACGCGTGAGGAGCAAGGAAACAGAGAAGCGGACAGAATTATTGGTGATATTGCTGCTCTGGCTACTGGACAGGAGGAAAATCCTCTTTATTTTGTAGATACTCAAGGCACGTTGCAGTAATTAATCATTTTGTTGCTTTGTATAGTCCATTTTGCGTCTTTGCGTGGTTTGCGTCTTTGCGTGGTTTGCCCACCCCGGGTAGGTGGGTGCGTAGGGCACGGGTAGTTAACTATCTACTTTTGTAGTTATGAGATTCTGGTGCTAATCGAATGTGACGGTATGATTACCCGGAATTGGGCTTAGTGCGACCGGGGGCACAGCCAAAGCGGCCATGCCAAGTGGTATGAAAAGCCTGTAGCGGATGCTGTAAATGGTCAATGTTTGAATAGGCTCCACATGTACATATACGGCGTCCCAATCTGATCTTCACACTAATTAGTGCGTCCACACAGTTTGCGGAGGCCTGGAGAAATATACGGGGAATCCATGGGATGCTGGCCTCGAGATGCATGGCTTGGCAACCACCACGCGTCGGTGCTTGTCATTAAAATCTGACAACGAAAAGGAAATATGACAATACCACACCAACTACTCGAATGGGGAATGAGCAGCACAGGTACAATAAGAAACTTTCGATTGTCATGGTTACCTGGTATTCACATGTAGTTCGCATAGTATGATGGTAAAACGCTGCTGATTGACTACGGGTGAAAGGAGATATAATAATACAGTGTTGTCAGTTTGAGAATATACCTTCGAAACCAACAACTCTTGAACAACTTCTTTGCAGTTTAGCCTACTCCACTTCACTTCTCCCCAACGACGCCAAGATGCCGCATCTTAACGGAAACGGAATAGCCAACGGCCATGGCATCGATCACCGCAACCTGCCCAGCATTTTCACACCACAGCGCAAATTGAGCGTGGTTTGCATTGGTGCTGGCGCCTCGGGGCTGCTGTTGGCATACAAGCTGCAACGACACTTTGATGACTTCGACCTTAAGGTTTTTGAGAAAAATCCAGAAATTTCGGGCACATGGTTTGAAAACAGTTATCCCGGGTAAGGTCACTTCACTCAGGCGCTGCATCTGCCTCCATGATGGGCGAGAAACCAAGTGGAAAGTCACGATGCTAACTGCAATATTTGCAGCTGCGCATGCGACGTCCCGTCCCATTGCTACACCTGGTCTTTCGAGCCCAAGACGGACTGGTCCGCCAACTACGCGGGTTCCAAGGAGATTTTCCAGTATTTTAAGGACTTCTCCACCAAGTACGGTCTGGAGCAGTACGTCAAGCTTGAGCATGAGGTTATCGGCGCGATCTGGGATGCGAAGGTGAGCAAGTGGCATGTGCAGACGAAAGACTTGCGGACGGGGCGTGTGAGCACTGACTCGGCGCATGTGCTGATCAATGCGGGTGGGATCCTGAATGCGTGGAGATACCCTCCAATTCCGGGTATTGAGACGTTCAAGGGGGAGCTGGTGCATTCCGCCGCTTGGCCGGAGGATCTTGATCTCAAGGGGAAAGTGGTCGGACTTATTGGGAATGGGTAAGCGGAGACGGCGGCAAACAATATCATGAATGCATATGAGACTGACCGTTGTGTAGATCGTCCGGTATCCAAATTCTGCCTGCAATCAAGGGCGAGGTCAAGGAGCTCAAGACCTTCATCCGCGAGGCCACGTGGGTTGCTCCGCCCGTGGGAGAGGGGTTCAAAGCCTTCTCGCCCGAGGAACAGCAAAGGTTCGCCGAGGATCCAGAGTACCATCTCGCGGAGCGCCGGAAAATCGAGGCGCGCATGAACAGCAGCTTCGCGATCTTCCACTCTGAGTCTCAGCCTCAGAAGGACACGCGCCAGTATATGAAGGGCCTGATGGAGGAGAGACTGCAAGATGAGAAGCTCTCCAAGCTACTAATTCCGGAATGGTCGGTCGGCTGTCGACGATTGACGCCGGGCACGAATTATCTCGAGTCGCTGAGCGATGATAATGTCAAGGTCGTCTATGGAGAGATCACACAGATCACGGAGACGGGAGTGATTTGTGATGATGGTGCTGGAGAGCACTCAGTCGAGGTGCTGATTTGTGCGACTGGCTTTGACACTACGTTCAAGCCCCGCTTCCCCTTGATCGGATCGACTGGAGAACAGTTGAGCACGCTTTGGAAGGGTAAAGCGTCTCGAGTGACCATTCATACTTGCTCACAGGCTAACGCTGGATGGCAGACGACCCGAAAGCATATTTTGGTATTGCAGCTGACAAGTTCCCGAATTATTTCTGTAAGCATCGAATGGGTCGCCTCCAAATGATGAAAGCTACTGACGCAAATGTAGTTACACTTGGCCCCAACTGCCCAATTGGAAATGGACCAGTGCTCATCTCCATCGAGGCCGAAATCGAGTATATCATCCAGATGCTCTCAAAGTTCCAAAAGGAGAACCTTGACTCGTTTGAGGTCAAGACGGAATCAGTGGATCAGTTCAACGAGTGGAAAGACGAGTTCATGAAAGACACTAGTAAGCAATAGGCCCATAACCTTGCGGCGCATCCATTATAGCTGACGTTCATGCTTCTTAGTCTGGACCGAGGAATGCCGCTCGTGGTACAAAGCAGGCAACAGCCTCGGAAAAGTTCTGGCCCTCTGGCCAGGCAGCACCCTGCATTACTTGGAAACGATCAAGAGCCCACGCTGGGAGGACTGGACCTACAAGTATCCAGCCGGCAAAAACAAATACATATACCTGGGTAATGGCCACAGCGCAGCCGAAGTTCAGCAGAGCGACCTCAGCTTCTACATCAGAAACAAGGACGACTCGCCGGTTGATCCGGTGTTGAAGAAGCCGGCGGTAAAGGCCAAGATTGAGGCGGTGCAGGGCGCAATTCCAGGAGTGGTCACGTCTGAAGCCTCGGGGCACTTTGGGGGAGTGGAGGCTCGCTTCCCTATAGGAGTATCTAGCAAAGTCGCAAGTTGATTGAGGAGCTCGCGGAAGCCATCGCGTATCATATTCAGCGTTTCCTACTGCAATTCAAGCCCTTTGTATTGATTGCGGCTCAGACCTTTTAAGATGTTCAATATTCCGCGCGGCTAGTCCTGGCTCGGCAGATGAGGAGTTGACTGTAACGGTGGAGAATTGCTAAGAATCCGAGGTGGTGGTGGTGGTGGCGGAGGCGGGTGTGGCTGTAGAGGAAGGAGAGTCGAGCCAGTAGCGATCTGGGTCAAAATAATAGGGTCGACTTACAATCCTAGGCCCCATTGAAGGCGAAAATGGGTTGAATTCTATCTCATAGTTCCCCTGGGGCGGTAAGTGACTGGTTTTCTGAGGAATTGCTTGATGGACGTGGGATCCAAGCACCGTATCACCGGTTTCAGGGGCATATCGGGATGATGAGTGAACACGTCGGCGGAATGTTGATCCGGAAGCCTGCGACGGAAATGATCGAGGATTTGGTTCATCACATATGTCACCCAAGATGGGGTGCTATAGTAGGAGCTCCAGGAGCTATGGCCTGAAGAGGAGGAAGCTGAGAAGGAATGGAGGAAGAAGGCAGGTGCTGTACAAATGACGACTCGAGGGTATGATTCCGCACGAGGATGACGATATGGTCAGGTAAACGCAGCCTGTGGTGGAGCCAGGCTTTAACGATATTGGTCTCATCAGGACAAGTCACCACCAGAGTCTCCTGTCTATTCGCCGGTTTCACGAATGCCGAACAGTGTCCACTTGAGAAACGGGCCCTGAGAAGCTTTGTTGTGTTGGTAGCAAGCTCCCGAGACCAGGGCTCGTCCGTCCCCATCTCTGAGACCGGTGCTGGTAACATTGCCGTTGCCTTTGAGACTGAGCGCGCGTAAAAAGAGAACAGCGGTTTTTCAGAGAGAAGGAGACACAGAAACCGACTGGAAAAGCTGACTGGGTTCCGAAGGGATGGTATTGCAGTAGAGGAGAGTACCAAGAAAGCATAAGAGGATGCAGAGGAAATGGAGCAGAGGAAATGGAGCAGAGGAAATGGAGCAGAGGAAAAGGAGCAGAGGAAAATGAGTAGAGGATGGTGTTGCAAATAAGTAGCCAGTGGATCGAACGGTGGTATCGCCCCACTTTATAGGCATCTTGCCTCCCAGCAGCAGAAGGGAGTCCCTCATTTTGACGCTCCTAGCTCTTCCCTCTGCTTCTCCCTTTCTTTGCGGCGAGGGCCTGAGAAGCTATCGTAGGCTGTGGGAACGGTGTCAGGAGATAAAGTTAAAGACAGGCGTAAAGGTGGAGGAAACGAGTGGACGATAGCCCTGGACTTTCCAAGTCGGTATCTCATGGAGGAAGGAGTCGGCCTAAGGTTTCCGTTGACAATGTGACCGAGTCATCCATGTCCCTGGAATTTCGTTGGTTCGCTGGTCGCTGGAGCTCCGAGTTACGTTGGGGTTCGGGACGTCGATGCCGATACCCGAAAAGGATGATCGGTGGCAGAGGAGAGTTTATCAACCCCATGCAGGGGGCAAGAGATGAAGATCTTACCGCTCAGGTTGAAACAGAAAGTAAGGGACCACCCCGCATGCGTAGTAGTAAAAGAAGAAAGAGGGTTGGCTCATGAAGTGTGGAGAGAGGGGGAGAGACTCACTGGCATTTGGGTCTCCGCCACAGGCCCAAACCAAACTAATTGTATGCTGTACGGTCCGCCCTGTAGCAGGGCGTTGTTTCCCTGAAGGCATAGCCGGATCTGCTCCGGATACTCACATCGAATCAACTTCACACGGTCGCCGTCAGGCTGAGGACTGGCCTGACTGAACTTCTGGGTAAGGAAATAGCGACGGAGACCATCGATGATCTGGCGACCAAAGCCAAGCCACTCCCAATGCCAGGACACATCTGTTTCAGCAGATGTAGTAGATACGGATAAAATATCGCGAAGAGAAGGTAGGCGACGACAGGACGAAGGCCGCGAGGCAGAGTCGCGACGTGGTCATTGCTACCCAATCCCCTAGCTGGAGGAATGGAATGAGAGAACCCTCCCTTTCCAACATCATCAGTGTTGAGGGATCCCCCTCAAACAGCTACTAAGCTCGTTGGCCCTGCGCTAATATCTAGCTGCGGCGTGCCACTTGAGAACCATTGTCTGCTCTCAGCACGTTGTTGATAGCTAAGCAAGGACCGAGTGGACGATAAGCCCTGACTTGCAAGTGGGCTTTAAGAGCCGGCTTAGCCGCCTAACACGGTCAGATCAACTCATACAAAACTCTCGTATTTGATTAGGGCGTTGGAAGTCTCCGTGAATTCTTCGTGTTCCTTCATGCGAGCAAATTGGAGTTCCAAGGACTACTAATATCGCAGTTGGTGGGGGAAAGGCGGACTTGAAAGTAGTAGTGGGTTACCAAACGGCACAGTGACAAACATGAAGGCCTCCTCACTCACTTCCGGAAGAGCGCAACCCCAGAATCCTTCAACAGGGACAGACCGAATTGGGTCCCCTACACTAAATGAAAACAGCTGGAACAGGCCGGTTTGGAAGGGAGAACCGCCCCTTTAACTATTGACCATCAATAGACAACCATGCCCCCCTTTCGGCCGAAGAATCATTCCCAGATTCCGACTTTGAATGGCTGCGCCGCCACGCAACTCCTTCGTACTCTACTTTGTATGCGAGACAAGTTTCCAGCGATGGTTCAACGTAGCCGGGTTTCGATCAGTCGGCATTTGCCGATTCAGTTCTTTTGTGACGGTCCCCTAGTGGCAGTTGTGCTTCTCGGCGAAGCGAAGAAGCAGGCCATCTTCAGCATGACTGATGGGAATCCTCTTTCGCATCTGCTTCGCCCGCTTCTTCTCGTGCTTCCCCTGCTGATCCCTCTGGTCCCTCTAACTCTTCGGATTCCGGATCCGGATCCGCAACGACAGGTTCGCTGCCGGTGCTAGCGCGGGTGCCTAAGTCCGTCCACTATCATCAGACACGCTCAGCTCACCCTCTTTTGGCGGCGAGGAGGTGTCAGGGGACCCGTAACCTTCCACCCTAGCCGTTCGCAGATCCCCCCGCAGCTCAACGTAGTGGTCGAGCATCTCACGTGCCAGGTCGTTCGAAACCTACTGCGAAGCAAGTAGTTCCGCGACCAAGCGGTTCGTTTGATGGGAGCCGTCCGCAATTTCAGCCAGGCACTGGTTCCGGGCACCGGGAAGCACCATGACGTGACCTACTGGGCGCGGTTCAAATGATGAAGAAGGCGGGATCCGCAGTGGCGGAGGAGCCGGGGTGGGATACTGTACCAGTGGTGGCGAGGAGTTATGCGTTGCATGGCGTTGTTGCTGCTAGTAGAACGAAGGAAGGATAGATCAGGGACTGGCCAGGGACGTGGGTGAGAGTGGAAGGGAGGCGAGAGCAGGAAGAAGGAAAGAAGGATGACGGCGCAGCTAAGTGCAGGTGATACCGAGCGCAGCTGACTTACCACCTTAAAGCGGACATGGAGCTGTTGCGTCAAAGATGGACCCTGTAACATGCTCATAACGAGCTCGTACTCCCTAGTGGACCCAACTCTCCACGGAGGCACTCCTTGAGTTGCTCCTCGTTCCCGCCCCGCACTTCTAGGATCTTGATGGCGCCAAAACCATATAGTTCTGCCTCGAAGCGCTTGCTCGGAAACCGATCTTGAAGATGGCGTAACGCTCCATGTGCCGAGTTGCTGCTAATCCTGCTCGCTCCAAGGGCTTCTGTGAATCCCGGACCCATTAATAAGTCCGGCATAGCCTGGGGGAGAAGAGAAGAGATGGCAGCAGTAGCTGCAGGAGCGGGAGCAAGAGGGGAAGGAAGTAGTGGTGGTGAAGGAGGTATCGTCGCCGGCGTCGGGTAGAATTATCACCGTAAGAGAGATCTAAAGATGCCGGGGAAATTAGGATGGAAGAGGTACCAGCCGACGAGAGTGAAGCGGTAGGAGGAAGCCTGAGTAAGCTAGCAGAGAAAGGAATTGATCAAAACTGTCATCATCGTGTCCTTTTAATAGTCGAACCGATCGATCCCCGGATCAGGGGGAAGCGGCAGACAGGATCGCCCTCCCTCTTAACAGCCCTCGCAATATCCTCCTCATATTTTTTCTCTGCAATTGTTGCAGCCGTGTGTGTTGGAGAGCCGAGAGCGGCACTGTCGGTCGTAGATTGGAGCGAAGGGGCTTGGAAAACCCCAGTCCGGTCTGATTTCGAGGAGCAGCATGATCGTGAGGACTTGATCTAGGTGGAGTGTTTAGGGAGGGGGAAAACACTGGGGGGGTGAGGGAAGTGGGGGGGGGGGGTGAAGCAAGGGGGGGAACGCAATGTGATCGTTCCATTTCGAGGAGGAAGGGAGCGAGCGATTGGGCGAGGTCGGTTTGGGAGGAAATTCGTTGGGAAAAGGATACGAGGCGAAGCGGTCACCGATACCGATTTTGAAGAGGAGAAGGTAAAGAGATTTCGAAGACGGTGAAGAACGTGAGGGCTAGAGGGATGGGGGGTTGGAGATGGGACGGAGAGGGTGTAGTGTATTTCTGGAAAAAAGATTGGAAAGATATGAACGATATCGATATGGAGGATTTAAAGTCGAAGAGGGCTGGACAAAAGAAATCAACTCGTAGGCTGCGAGGCGTGTTGAGGTCATCATTATTGGGACAGCGAAGCGTTAATTCCTTGTGGATAGCACAATCTATACGAGTATGCTTCACCTTGGAAGGTTTAATATATTTGGATATGTCCGTGTACGTGATTATCACTACGAAGATTCTGGGTTTACGTTCTTTAGGATGTTAAGGTGAAGAAGATGCAAAATGTGAATAAAAGTACCATTTATTAGATGGAAAGTGAAGGTGGTTTAACTACTCTAACTATCCATAATAATAATTACGAAATGGGATTTCTGGAGCGTTGCACTACTCTAGGTCTCAAACGGAAGCTCGCGGTTCTAGCGTCATCTGCGATAACAACTACGGCAATAATATCCCGCACTTTAGTTAAGTAGGAACAGTCGAACCTTTAGGATTCGTATCTTGAATTTTGATAAAATCAAACTGAGGAGTTTATCGGACGGGCATTCGTCGTCAATCTGAAGATTCTCTCGCTTTCCATTTATACCTGCCTGTACACTCCGTCAATCGGTTTAAGTCATATCGGTACTCTTTCGGTGTACGATGCCGGACAACGCTTCAGCAATCTCGGTACCGACAATCGAGGTCCAAAACTTAAGCTACAAGTTTCCCGATGGATCCTCTGGGCTACACAGCCTTGACTTGAGTTTGCCCTCCGGGAGTAGAACACTTCTCATCGGAGGTATCGTCCTTCATTTCATTGAATGATTCCACGATCGTCGGCTTACACATCCTTAGCAAATGGTGCGGGGAAAACCACGCTGCTTCGCTTGCTCTCTGGCAAGCGCATGCCCCCGACAAACACCGTCAAAATTGCCTCCGTTGACCCATTTACCACGGGATTGGAGGGCGTCACCTATCTTGGAGTGGAATGGGTGCTCAATCCGATTGTTCGCACCGATATTGCGGTCCCCGAACTGCTCAAGTCCATTGGGGGAGACTTCTATCCGGATCGACGGGATGAGCTGATCCGCATCCTAGACATCGACCTGGAATGGCGCATGCACGCCGTCAGCGATGGCGAGAGACGGCGCGTGCAGGTAGCAATGGGATTGATTCGGCCTTGGCGCGTGCTGCTGTTGGATGAAGTAACCGTGGACCTAGATTTGCTGTCCCGCGCGAATTTCCTAACTTTCCTGAAGAAAGAGACGGAATCCAGACCATGCACGATTGTGTATGCGACGCATATCTTGGATAACCTCTCTACGTGGCCGACACATTTGGTGCACATGTCGCTGGGGAAAATCAAGAAGGCAGGCACCGTGGAAGAATTGGCTCGTGGAGAACGGCTCGATACTTGGGGAAGCACCGGTAATTCGAAGCTCGGCGATTTGGTGTTGGAATGGCTACAGGAAGATTTCATTGAAAGAGGTCCAAGAAATGAAAGGGGGAATCAGTATCTGAGCTACCAGAGTCACGAAGGAAAGGGTGGGTATGGCCTTGAGAAAAGGCCGTGATGCCGGTATGGAAGATGTTCATTTCCTATCGTGAATCAACGGCGTTTAGGATGGCTTCAACAAGCCGAGGGATGATACCCGGATGGCTCAACGTGGCTTTGTCTTAGCATGACCCGTGTTTTCAACACTGAGGATTCAACAACTAGAGACTAGGCGGGTATATAACGAGAACATGTGTTTTGGCAATATTATGGTGCTAGTATATTCGATTCCTACCCGTCGTTATAGCATCCCCTAGGACTAGCTCCACATCGTCCAACCCTGGATCATTGTTCGGAGAAAGTACTTGACCTTTCCAAAGTGCACGTAAGGAAGCCCCCATCACAAATATCCACATCACTATGAGCAGGAGAGTCAAGCCAGCTCCAACTCCTTGCACTCCTTTACTCCCCAACGCATCCCCAATCTGAATGCACGCAATTGCTAACCCGACATTGGGGAAGATAAAGGCCCACCAGTTCAGTGTCCAGCTCATTCTTCGTACGACTCGAAGCACCGTAATGGTAGCAAGTGCGCAAAACCAAAAGGCGACAAGAAATAAAAAGATTCCCGATACGAACCCGAGCACCGCCATCACTGAACCCACTGGGATAGGTGTGGGTGAGGCGGAGCTGAGATTCAAGGTAGGGAATAGTCCTGGACTCGCACGGCCAAGCGATATGAGCCCCGCCGATGTGTATGCTGTGGATATCAGCATTCTAGCTAGGACAATGTAGGTTGGGTGAATGCATACCAGCCGGACCAACAGCAACGTACATGCCCGGCCTCATCCCATGGGCAGGCATCTTATGTGTAGTGAGCCGCGTAAGATACATCGTGTATATGATAAACGCGATTGTCCATCCCAGCCCCTGAATTGCAATCCCCGCAATTAATATCCGTTGGCCACTTTCCACCGGCTGTGACTTCAAAAGTACACCAGCCAAAGGCCCTGTGACGAGGGAAGGGTATGCGGGCAAAATCCATGCCGGCATGGCGTCTGCGATCAGCAGCCTCTCCACTGAGAAAATCGCTTGATATTGGAAAATCGCCACGCATAGGGAACAAGATATATAGACCCAAAAGAGTACTTCCAGCGCCCGGATGAGCCACGGTCCAGACCTAGGAACGCCATATGCTTGAATGGAATAGATGATCAACGCAACGCTCACCCAATATGCGCCGAAGAAGAAAGACTCATTGGGATGATGGAGACTCGCAAGCCATGCACGAGGATTCCGCGTGATACGGATGAACATCATGAGATTGAATATGAAGAAGAGAACGGCATCGAAAATGAAGAACATTGTGCCGATCGCTACCAGCCCACGGAAGGGAAATGGCTGCTGCGAGAGGAGTGCGGCGATAGCACCAGTGGACATCGTGCACGTAAACCATGGCCAAGTGATGCGGGACAATCGATATATCAGGGGTAGCTTCACTGGAGCGTCAGTCATATCCAGACTCCCTCGCGGAACGGGCGATAGAATAGAACAAAAATGCGATGGAATTATACACCACCCTTCAAATAACAAAGACAAGTTATGACTCGCTGTATAACTGACAAGAATTGAAAAGTTTTAGATATGGATGGCGACCGATTTCACAATGCCGTTGGAGAAACGGTCGGACCGAACCAGGAGGGATTACGGTGTGCCTCGTGATGGAAGTGTGTACCGATGACGTAGATGGGCACCAACCCATGGTAGTAAATAGACCATGCGAAAAATAAACCGCGTCTCAGATATGAAAGTATCCCATCTTGATTCAGGTTGTTGATCGAAGTCATATCACTGCCGTGGATGGTTTCCGGAAGCACACAGATCTTAGACCTCAATCAGCTGAGAGAAACAAGATGGAAAGTGGAGTCAGGAATAGAGTTGAACGGATCATATTGATCAATGACAGGTGCTCCACAAAGCGCCTCGCTCCCTGACATACACTATGCTCGGGATGCTAGATTCAACTAACTCTGGTAGAGTTCTGGTATTTACAAACCATGAATCGCTCGTTTCCTAACCACGGGACGTTCGTTCTGCCAATCTCTCCTGGGCAACTGGTAGAGGAGCCCGATGAAACAATGCTTCGCAATGCCATGTGAGGAGTTGACGCCATAAAATCGTAAATAGACCGCACTGCGCCGTCTCAGCCATCTTCCGAGCGTACTTTCTCCTATCGCTCCTCACTCCCCTGGCCTACATCTCCAGTCTGGTCTGTCGTTCCCGCTCCGTCCGTTGGCCTCGGTGACAAAACCTGCAATGGACCCTGTTCACTCGGTCGACTATTCTCCTCTTCTTCACCATCCACTGTCTCCGGTATCCCACCAATGCAACACGCCACTTTAACCTTGCTTTACGCTGCTCAATCCACTTGACTTGGGTCAGTGGCAATCAGGTCATCGCCCCCCGCCGTGACTGAGCTGTCCTTCGAGTCGCGGAACCCCCGTTGTTTCGTCCATAACTTGAAGAACTTCCCCTTCATCGCGAGTAGCTCGTCGTGCGTGCCACGCTCAATGATATGTCCCTTGTCGACCACGAGGATCAGATTCGCATCCATGATAGTGGACAAGCGATGGGCTATGACGAACGTCGTCCGTCCGACACTCAACCGACTGAATGCATCTTGGATCTGCCCTTCCGTCTCGGAATCCACGGCCGACGTCGCTTCGTCCAGTAAGACGATCTTGGGATTTTTGAGCAGCACCCGCGCAATGGATACGCGCTGCAGCTCGCCACCGGAGAGCTTGACGCCTCGCTCGCCGACCTTAGATGCGTAGCCGTCTGGGAACGATAGGATTTTCTCGTGGATGGACGCCGCTTTGCAAGCTTCGTAGATTTCCTCGTCGGTGGCCTCCAGTCGTGCGTACCGCACATTCTCCATTATCGACTGGTTGAAGAGGGTGGAATCTTGGGGAACTACGCCCATGTGCTCACGAAGGCTGGAGAGCGTGACGTCCTTGATGTTCTGGCCATCGATCTCGATACCGCCGCTTTTCACGTCGTAGAAGCGGAAGAGGAGCTTCAGCATCGTTGACTTGCCACTTCCCGTCTCACCTACGAAAGCAACGGTGTTGCCCGGCTCGGCGGTAAAGTTGACGTCGATCAACGTCGGTTTCCGCTCGTCGTATGCAAAGCTCACGTTTTTGAACTCGACTCGTCCATCGGTGATGTTCAGTTCCTCGGCTTCTTCTTTGTCCACGACCGCCGGTTTGGTGAGAACAAGCTGCAAGAGCCTCTCCGCGTCAATCAAATATTGGGCGACATTCCGGTAACTCCTTGCAAGTACAGAGATCGGGTGCGTCAGCCCTTGCCAGTAGCTGATGAGCGCAATGAAGCTTCCGACACTCTGTTCGCCACGAGCGATCTTGAATGCGGCCAGGAAGCAGGCGCATAGCAAGCCAAGCTGAAGAATATTTTGCTGAAGGCCGTACCAGATGTCGATGAGTATCCAATACTTGAGTCGCAGTTCCATCACTTCGAGGGTACAGTCTCGAAACCTCTTCATCGAATGGCTAAGGCGGTTGAAGTACGTCACCGTCTGCCAATTCCCAATGCTCTCGTACATGACATTGCTCTTGTTCCGGCTGAGTTCGACGTATTTGCGACGGATCGGACGGAATGCTTTTGTAGATCGAGCAACGCACCAGGTGTAGGAGACGGAGCTGACCAATAACACCAGAGCGAGGTTGACGTCGAACAGATAGCTCACAAATGAGACCGTCAGGAAGACATGGAAGATAAGCGGCATGAGCTCGAAGCAGACGTCCTCTAGAAGGTTTGTGAGAGCTTCTCCTTGGCTGATAGCCTGGGTGACCTCTCCCGAAGCCTTGTCGTTGTGAAATTCCATAGACAGGCTCATTATGTGGTTAAAAGTGAAGGTCTTCAGTGCCACCGATTGCCAAATGCTGACCACCGTAAGCAGTAGCTGCTGCGCCATTTGGATGAAGAGTGGACCTCGGAGGAACTGCAATCCCATCCATATGGAGATATCTTTCCAAGGAACAACTCCGGTCCCCGTAACCTCCGTGAGCTTGTTTGTCAAAATTCCTAGCTGCAGAGGAATAAGGAGGTCGATTAGGAGATCCACGACGGTTAAGATTCCACGGAGGACCAGGAAAACCATAATTCTCCGCTCTTTGACGGGGAAAACGTAAGGGATGAAAACCGAGAAGCGTTTGGCATATGCGTACCAGCCATCTTCCTTGATTTTCTTGCTGATATCAGCCTTGGTTTTGTCCCCCTTGTGGATGCTCTCGCCATCGGAATCGTAATTGGAGTCCTCGACGACTATCAACGGCTGGCGTTCCTCCTCTGTCGATGGGCCGTGTGTGTACTTGCCGACCAGGAAGATCCCGTTGATAACGAGCATTGATAGCAATATGACGCGTCCTGCTTGAAGTCCAAGACGGGCGTCATCGTATATATTTGTCCGGGTATTGCCCGTAGCGCTGAGGATGAGCAACACGACCTCAAATATTAGACCTAGAATCCATCCGCCAAGGTATGGCATCCAGAACACGTCGACGACATCGAGCGCGATGACTTCGACCATCCCCCAGACACAGCATGCGAGGACCACCCGCACCACATTCTCTTCTTGAAGCTCCCAATTCGGATTCCGGGCAATTCGGACGACATAGAGGATCCCTTCACCGAGGTAACCGAGAAGCAAGAAGGACATCAAGATTACCGCGACGATTCGTTGTCGTTTGATGTATTTGACTTTTGTTGAGGTGTGGAATTGCGATGCGGCGTATGCGGTGGATGCTCCAAACCAAACCGCGAGCACGATGCCTTGAGCATAGGATAGAGCCTCGAGTGCCGTAATGGCACTCACATCCTTTCCCAGCATCATGATTTCAGGAAACGAATGAATGTTTATCCCATATGAGTTGTCTGGATAGACCTATGAAATGGGTAGTGATATGTTTTCAGTGGGAGGCGAAAAAGGAAAGATAACAGGAGGAACAAATTTATATTCCCGCAGGAATGGGCGTGTATTTATGATTCACACTCCAGTCTCAACACAAATCAACACAGATCACTTCCCGCCCGGATCTCAACCGTTCATCCCGTTTTAAGTGAAATACACCCTGTAAAGGCGGTGACTCCGTTGGATCCAAGCACAGCCGTGGCGCGATAATCCTCGAGCCGATCAACTGATAACGCCATGACAACTCGGAGGGATTCTGACATCGGGTGAACGATGGCTTAGTGGAATTTGGTTCACAGTGTGACGAGGGTTCTTTGCTTGCATTGTTGCTGAAGGCGCAATGCGGTATTCCTGTTCAAGTTGAGCGATCCTGCAGCTGTTCTCTCGTGCAGCACCACTAGGCAGCAATTTGATTGGTAATGGGAGTTGTGCATCCTTAGTATACCACCCGATTCGAGACAAGCAAACAATCTTGTTAGTTCTGCAAGCTTTTGTTTGTAGGGCTGACCTGCGGGCTGATGATTACAAGTGGAGAAAATCACATCAGCCTCGGTGCAGGCAGAAGTATTCTGGGGAGGATTACTACTAGAGCTATCCAGGAGAGGAGGCTATACGCAACCGATACAAGCTGAGAGCAAGAGACAACAATGCTTTATGTATGACAGTGGGTGTGGCGCTAAATTCATGCAATTCTGGAGCTTTCCCCCTGAATGTTACACTGTTAAGCCATCAATCCAATTAACTAACTAGTTAACCAATTGGTTAGATATCCCGTCAGTGGCGCAGCCGCCATCTGGGGTTTGATGAGTCGACGGAAACATAAAAAGAGCTAGACCCCCCAGCCCCAAGGGTCAAGCTACTTTCCTGGAAACCTTTCCTTGCAAAGCATTTCGTCCAAACTCCAGCTCCTCCGCTCTTCAGCACTCAGCAGTCTGGCCGCAGTCGTGCGCCAGCGGCTCCCAGTCATATTATGTCCTTCAGGGGCGTTAGCAAGCCACCTATTTAGTCTCCGTTGTGGCGACTCCGCATTCCCACGAGCGGGATGGTGCATGCGGTCATCAAATACTAAGTACGACCTCCTTTATCAGATAATTAATACCAATAGGTCATGCGACGCATTCGGGAGACACCTTGATGGATGCGATAATGAACTATTGAATGCGCGCAGATATATTCCGTTCCTCGCCACGGGAGAGCCGCATCGATGCAGGTCTAGAACTCTAGATGCCACCACTGGAGACCGACTGGAAGCGAGACCAGGAGGCCATGAACTAACATATTACAAGGCTAGGCAACAACGCCGGCTTACGTCCACATCGATCTTAAGATCTGCAACTGATATCCCGGACGTAATATCGGATGATGACATTGACCGGAACTGGAGGTAAGAGCTGGAGAGTTCACTAACGAGGCCAAATCCGTCAACATCCGTTATGGACTCCATATCTGGCCTGTAGAAGGTTTCCATCCTGGACCCCTATGACTCCGGACACATATTCTCGTCTCTCGTTCACTGGCGCTTTGGATCCCATTCATCAACCTGGGTCGAATGCAGTGTAAATGCTGAACCTGATCAGAATGCAATGCGCAAGGGTGTCCATTAATAGGCTTGGAGCCATCGACCCTATTTATTAGTCTCAACGCCCAGAGACTTGACTTGGGGTCTGCGCCTCAACGGCGCATAAAGTGGCGCGCTGTTTCGAGGCTCTCGACCTCATTTAGCATTGTCCAGTAGCGCGCATGATACGTTTCTGTATTGAAATTATGGGGGATACCATAGCTTGACAATGTTCACTGTATGAAAATATATGGAACTACGAGTAGGCGCAACTGAATCAGACAGGGACGTAATAGGAAAGTGCCTATATGTCGAACTGAAGAAGTGAAGAACAAAATCCAAGGATCGTGAATTCACGATGTAATGATCATGCCCCGCTTTTCAACAGTTTAACGACGGGAATGACATCGTGCTACCAAACTTGCATCGTTCAGTTTGATGGAGATGTTCTCCATAGAAATCTTTTATGAGATCCACGTCCTAGGAATCCGCTCAAGCTGCAGTCAAAATTGCAAGCTAATTCGCCTCAACTCCAATTCACTGCTGCTATTAAATAGACAAGGGCCGTCAACTGATCTCTAATCCTCAGGAAGCAACATCAGTCCTAGCCTATACACGCCTCGAACTCTGCCGACGTCGTGAGGTATTCAGTCGCTTACATCCCCGCTAGATATAATTGCGTCCTACAACGATTCAACCTACCGATATGTCAAGCATGGACGTCCCGGTCGTGAAATCCGTTGACGGGATATATCCCGAAGATGCTGTCCGTGCCCAGCAACAAAGATGGGACCACCTACTCCAGACCTTCAAGTCGAGGTACGGGCGAACCGCGGACTTTGTCTCCAGGAGCCCGGGGCGGGTCAATATCATAGGAGAGGTTTGGGAAACCGCCACGCACTTCTGGCCGCGATTGAGAAGCTAAGATGAATGCAGCATATCGACTACTCATTATATGAGGTCCTTCCTATGGCGATCACTGCTGACGTTATCATCGCCGTGGCCATCGCGCCGTCCAATGGCCCAGCCAAGTTCCGCGTCCAAAACGTGGACGCTGAGAAGTTCGCTGCCCGGGAGTTCGAGGTCCCTCAGAACGGTGACTTCGATATCGATGCGACCGCATTGGAGTGGTCGAATTACTTTAAGTCCGGGCTACGAGGCGCCCTGGAGCTCTTGAAGTCAAAGCAGAAGACAAGTGAGCCGTTCCAACCTGCTGGGATGGACATCCTCATCGATGGGACCGTACCTCCTGGAGGCGGACTGTCCAGTAGCGCTGCTTTCGTCTGCGCAAGTGCTCTGGCGGCCATGCGCGCTAATGGCGTGGAGAAGGTCGATAAGACGGAGCTTGTCGAGTTGGCCGTTGTGTCGGAGCGAGCAGTCGGAGTCAATTCGGGCGGGTAAGTGCCGAAGCGGTTTCGGATGTATGATTACTGACAATATCGAAGGATGGACCAGGCTGCATCTGTCTTTTCTGCGCGTGGTTCTGCGCTCTACGTATCATTTGTCCCCGAGCTGAAGGCAAAATTGGTTTCCTTCCCTGAGACCGACCCGGAGCTTGTCTTCCTGATCGCGCAGTCGTTCGTTGTGGCGGATAAGCACGTCACGGCTCCCATCCACTATAACCTCCGTGTTGTGGAGTGCACAATCGCAGCAAATGTGCTGTTCAAGATCTTTGGGTTGAAGGGGTCGCTCCCGGAGGATAAATCACCCCTCGGAAACTCCCTACGCAGTTTCCATGAAGCGTACTTCCAACAAAAAGAAGGCGTCTCCGACCCCTCGGCGGTTTCCGTCGACGAATTCCAAGTCCAACTCACCAAGCTCGTCCAGCTAACTGAAGACTATATGATCCAAGAAGAAGGCTACACGCGCGAGGAAATCGGCGAGCTCCTCGGTATCGACCCCGCGGAGATCGACAAGCGATTCTGCAGCAAGTTCGCCGTCCGCGCCGAGCGCTTCAAGCTGCGGCAACGCGCCCTGCACGTCTTCACCGAGGCGCTCCGCGTCGGCCACTTCTACAGGATTCTGACCGATAGCGGCTCGAAGAGTACGGGTAAAGAGGTGCTCGAGGAACTGGGTTCGCTCATGAACACCACACAGGAATCATGTCGCGATATCTACGAATGCTCATGCCCAGAGCTCGACACGCTGTGCGAGCTCGCTCGTGGCGCCGGATCGTATGGCAGTCGGTTGACTGGGGCTGGATGGGGCGGATGCACTGTTCATCTGGTTCCGAAGGATAAGGTGGAGGCGATCAAGGACGCGTGGAGGGTCGGGTATTATGCGAAGAAATGGCCGGAGGTGGGAGATCAGGATTTGGAGAAGTGGAGAGGGGGAGCAGTGGTGGTCAGCCGTCCGGGCAGTGGCAGTGCTCTGTACCAGGTCCCGCAATAAGGTGAACACACGATGATGGATTCATAAGGATCGCGGAAAGCAGGGGTAGGCTTTGAGGGCCTCACATTTCTTGCATTATCTGCATAATTATCGCCCGCAGAGGGGTACCCTTCCACTGGAAATTCGCTCTTCCAGCTTGATCTTCGTGGATAAGATATGACAACGTGATATATGACTGACAATCCTTGAACATAGCTAGGTCATCCCATCGTCGTGGCCGGATCGCGGAAACCCCCCAAGCCCACAGCCCCTCTACGCCCCCTTCTCCGCCTCTGCACCCTTCACCGACACCAACTTCCCCACCACCAAATATTTATCCTCAAACCTCTCTTCCCACCCCCTCAACGCCTCCATCTCCTCCCCCCCCAAATCCGCCAACGTATCCAACTCCGCATCCAAATCCTTCGTCAACATCTCCTCGTCGAAGCTCCCGCACGCCAACCCGCGGCTCGCATCCCGCCCCGCGAAGTTCTCATAGGGGCCGCCGGGCCCGTAGAAGTTCCGGCCGGGTGTGACGTCGAAGACGCGGCCGCGGACGGAGAGATAGACGGGTTGGTTGTTGGTGCCGTTGTACGGGAGGAGGGTGTGTGGGGTGAAGGTGCGGAAGGTGATGGGGGCGGGGGGCTTGGGGAGGGAGGTGGGGGTGGAGGGGCGGAGGCGGATATAGACGAGGAAGAGGAGGAATGTGAAGAGGACGAGGTTGGTTGGAGTTGCGATGGATGCACTGAGAGGAGGTTAGTATAGTGTTTTTGAGTGAGGATTGGGGGTGCTTACACTTCTGGCGCCGGTGTTTCTGAGGACATATTTGCGGATCTGATAGGGAGTGAAGCTTGGTGGTTGTAGTAGTCCGGGGAAGCTGGCTGACTTGGACTTAAATAAAACTGCGAGATAGAGAGGTTGACGATGGTTGAAGATGGTGGAAGATGACGATGGAAGACGTCGGAAAGATGAGTCATGTCCTGCTGATGTGAGGCTGCATCTGAGTCATGTAAGCATACTTTAGAGATGTGGTTTGGCAGTCGTGAACTCTTCACCGTTTGCTACGCTGGTAACATGCTTCAGGAGCATCAATTTTACTAATTCGTATGGTATGTACAGAGTACTGTTTATTGTGAAGAGGGTTAGGATACATACCTTATTCTGCGTTGGCATATCAGCCCTAGGGATGGACGTCAATACCGATAACTGGACACAGCGGCAAACCTCAACATAGACACGAACTCAAACTGGACTATAAAGCGGGCGACGGACACGTCTCAAAACGTGGGTCGCGGATATACGTCCATGGGTGAGATTGGGGACCAATCTCTTGGCCGCTTTACGCCCCTGAAGAAATCTCTATAAGGCCGTTCTTCTGTGGTTCCGGAAACCGCTGTAGTGTCGACAGAAGCCTGACGGCGCGTTTCGGGTCCCCTTTCCGCCAGCTTTGCCGGCTTCCTCTGCAGTTCCTCCTCACATATCCGCTTCGTCTCCGCAGCATGTATCCTCTGCCTGCTCCGGGCCTCCTTAACTGCATCCTTTGCTGCTCTCTTCGCCTTCTTCTCTTCGCGCTTTCTGAGCATCTCCACCCTAGCAGACTCGCGCTCGAGTTGTTTTAGCTTGGTATTAGAAGACTCATAAGCCTTCACCTTGTTTCGGACAGAGGCCTTGCGCCGTTCGTCCTCACGCTCCTCCTTCCTTGCAAGGAGCTTTGCCTTGGATTCCGCCATCTCAGTTTTGCGATGTTCGGGGTCCTCGGACAATTCGACCGAAGGCTCTGCTTCATCAGCGATGAGTGCGACGAAGTGGTCCTTGAGCGCCTTTTCGGAGTAGATCGATTTCGGTTGGATGCGAGTGAAATGATCTTGCACGAACTTCCAACGCTTCTCCTCAAGTCGGATGTGTTCTTCCTCGATCTCGGCGTCAGCATTGCGATATGCCTGGATAAGAACCTCATCCTATGAACATATATTAGCATGATATTCAGAAGGATAGGGTCGTGTCATCAGTACTTCTCCAGCGTGCCAGCCGTCCGCGCCGCACTTCAGCTCTTCATCTTTCCGTGCATCCAGCTTCTGTTTGAGACGGAAGAAGCGGGAGGTGATGGACTTCGGCTCATACTTGATGCCACCAAGCTCGACAATCTTTGCACGCATGGCATCCTCGCTGTAACCGTGCAATTTCATCTCGATCAGTGTTTTGTCGAAGATATCAAGATCGGCAGCGATGGGATTCTTGAAGGTAGCCTGGGTGGACTTCGCTCGGTGCCGTCTACGCGACTCAGAGACTCCTTCCCGGCCATCTTGTTCATCATCCGAGAGCGGGAAGACAAACATCGCGGTGCTCGCTCTGGGAGTGTCGCCAAGAGTGGTACGAGTTGCTAACATCTCCGGTGTGGGACTAATAATCTCTAAGGCCTCGTGCACCTGACGATGATATTCTTCGCGATCGGTAATCTCTGCCGGAGGATGATGTCGGCTGGTATATTGATGGTACGTACTGCCTTGATCAGATTCGTCTAGGATTGATGGGAAAGACTCTGCAAGTGCCTTGGTAACGTCTTTCGTGAAATCGTCCACAGAAACAGTTTCGAGGACCGCTTGTCAGTACTCCTCGTCAATGCTCGGGGGGCTCGGAAAGCGTTCGGGGGAAATGGTTCCTTCGGAATTCCCACTGTGATGGTCAATATCATCAATGATACTAAGAACAGGTGATCTATCGCTGCCAACGGAAAGGTCAGATGTGTCGAGATTGTGTTTCACTTTCGCCTTAGATCGACTTGGTCGGTATTCTTCGTCAATACTCGGAACACTCGAGGGAGTAGGAGATATTTTTTCAACGTAATGTGAAAGCACCTCCGGACCATCGTCGGTGGCGCCACTCAGAACTGACTCCTCGCTTGAGAATTCATCCGATTTCTTTTCCAAACTGAGTCGATAAGATCTCCTTTGTCGCCCCCTCAGTTCGCGCCTCTCCGTCTCTGGAGTGTACTCTTCGTCAGCGGGATCACTCGGAGAAGAGCGATCGTCAGGAGAATCGGATTTGCGGTATTGAGGTTTTGGAGGAGTGACCACTTTCGTCTTCGATCTGCGTTGACTGTTTGTTGGAGCGAGTCTATCACCTTCCACTCTGCTGATAGACTGCTCCTTTCCAATGCTTCGAGAGTGACGTCTCGCCCAGCTCCTGGTTGACGGACCCTCAAGTTGACCAAAACGTCGCGCGATCTCCCCGTCACTCAGCTCACCGACCACATCGCTGAAGGTGATGTTGCCATCAGCATCGATAATGAGTCTAGTGCCCATGGCCTCTATCCATCCCCAAGCCTAAGTAGTAACAATTGGGTGTATGCTGATTTAATGAAGCAATGAGTGATGGTAACAGGCCAAGCAGGCGATATAAGATGGTGTTGCGTTAGGCGAACGATTGGAAGTGTAAAATGAATGAGAAGTACGAGCGTTCCGTTCAGGGAGAGGGAGTTGTTTACATCGCGGGAAGATAACTCGAATTTCCGCACCACCACAACAGTTAGCCATACACGGCTGTCTTATGCCAAAATTCACATGTTCCTGAAGCGAAAAACTCAAGGTTTCATTTCTCGTTACTCTCGAGTCTTTCTGAGCGCGCAACTCACCAGATTCACCCGTTCGCCTTTCGAGGGCCGGTTCTTTAATGGTTATTGCGAAACCAATGCTCAGAGAGTTGTAACAAGAGTTATTTCGTCTCATCCTCCGCGAAGGGATGGATACTTAGTATGCCCCGGTGGCTGTAAGTGTTTGAGGACATTCAATGCCTGTTCGAACAGAATAATTGTCCGTGGAGTATTCCCAGGAACTAGTTATTCCAAATCATCAGGTTGAAACGCCCCTGAACATTGCAGTTATGAATCCTAGAACTGAAAGTCATCGTAGTGTCGCCAGCAGCATATTAGCAAGTCCATCCTATTCGACGTCAGTTAGATACCACATGCATGAGATATAGCAAACGATCATGAACATGAGGCAAGCGACATGCGTGGTAGCCCAGGAGCGAGCACTTCTATCACGGGCATATACATGTGTTGACATGGTTGTCTTTAACGACAAGCCAGTGTCTTTGTTTCCAACCTGAATGGAACTTGATGCTTCAGGTATCAAGATCTGGTTATGGTTAGTGTTTGGATAACCACTTCAATGAAGTGGTTAATCTTTGTTAAAACAACCTTTCCTTTATACGAACGCTGCAAACGGATAGGCAGGAGGATTATATAAGGAACGGTTCTGTACTGTTATTTAGTTTTAATCACAGCGCAACTATTCTACAGATATTGGACTGTCATTCTGAGAACAATGGCCTACAGCTTGTATTGTTCTTCGTCTTATCTTTCTTCCTTTGAACTATATGAAGTTCCTTACCCACTGTGCCTAAGGTTGAGCCTCTGTAGATATTCCAAACGTGGAAGTTTGAGCCTCTACAGACATTCCAATCTTAGCACAATCTCAACAACATGTATGCCACGGTGCAAAATCAAGGCGATGTTGATACCCTAGGAGCAACTCGTCGTCATGAGGACATCATCGATGCGTGGTCGCCGAGAGAATATCACGTACCCTCGGGATATAATCGGCTGGTATCTTTCCTGACAAATCCCGTAGGGCTCAGGTGCGTCGATATGCGGCAACTTCAGTGCTTGGTTCAACAGCAAGGTCAATATCTCAGTGTAGGTGAAGCCGAAGTGCCGCACCGCCAGGACCGCTCCTAGGGCTCCATAAATCTGAACCTCTGCATCCTATAAGGTTAAGTAGGTATTGAGAGCACCGTCAGTCAATTTAAGGAAGATTTGGCAAGTTTTATTCGCGTTCTACGTTATGGAAGGTTGGAGGTTGAAGAGAGGCCGGAGTTAGGTCAGTGACCCTGCCATGCCCGCTAGGCCCCTGCCGCCCCAATATAGACTGCGCCACATATATTAAGTGTGGCGGTAATGTTACCTTGCTCGCTGCTATGACGTCGGGGTTGAACTGGATCGCTAACTGGGTTCTGAGAGTTGTTGGGAGGCGTACAGAACTGAACGTCATGATAAATTGTCTTTTACCTTATACTCATCCTTAAGCTATCCCTAAATACGGGCGAGACTGAATCATCTGAATCCTCTTCGTATACTCATTATAACTTGCTGCGCATACGAGAGTCGCCACAGCCAGCATGGTTCTCGAATACTTCCACCTGAAGAAGGGCGCGAAGGAGAAGGAGACCGAGAAGAGCGAGGGTGTTAAATCACCCGTCTTAAGTGCAAAGGACGAGGAGTTCCTGAATCGGATCGCGTCCGCAGACGACGAGAACCCTCCTCCATTACCCGCGCGACCAACCGTGATCCTGGACAATGGGAAGCAGATCGAACCAGACGACGAAGTGCAACTAGTGGCAGAGAAAGTCCCTTTGCCTATGTCACCTCCAGAAGAAAAGGACATACGCAAGGCGGAGTTGACGACGACGCCCGCGAAGCGCTCATACCTCGCATTTCTTCCTGCGGTAGCAATGCCAAAGTTCCTCAGCCAAAAGGTCGGACTTCCTCTCCCTGCGATGTCCGAATAGATACTAAAGAACAACAGGAAAAAGCCCGCACTCAAACCGCCAATGACCTCGCCTCCGCCGCCTCCGCCCTCAAGACCGGCATCAACCTCCCCGTCGACGTCGACGCCGCCACCGCCGAGCAAGAAAAAGCCGATCTCTCCTCACTCCTCGACCGCCTCAACCTCTCCGCCATCAACAACCGCGTCTTCAGCATCTCCCAAGACTCACAGAAGCTCATGGACGACTTCACGCAGGTGCTGAAAGACATCGTGAACGGCGTGCCGACCGCCTACGACGACCTCGAGAGGCTGCTGACACGCAATCACAAGCAGATCAAGAAGATGTACAAGGATCTGCCGCCGTGGCTGCAGACGCTAGTGAAGAGCTTACCGAGGAAGATGGGGGCGAGTTTGGGGCCGGAGTTGATGGCGATGGGGTCGGGGGTGGCGGGGGTGAAGGCTGCGGAGGCGGAGAAGGTGGATAAACGGAAGGAGGAAGAAGGGGAGGAGAAGAAGAAGAAGCAGAAGAAAGAGGGGACGGTGCCGTCGGTTAAGAGGCTCGTGTCGGAACAAGGCGCCATCGCGACAATGCTGCGAAGCATCTTGAATTTCTTGAAGCTGCGCTTCCCTGCGTTGGTCACGGGGACGAACGTGCTCATGAGTCTTACCGTATTCCGTAAGTTTCCCCCAATCATCTCACCCAACTGATCCGTCCTAACACAACCCACCAGTCCTCCTCTTCGTCCTCTGGTACTGCCACAAGCGCGGCCGCGAAGTCCGCCTCGACCAAGCGCGCCTCTCGGCGGAGGCCGACCCCACCGACTATTCCGACTCCGATCTCGAGAGGAGCGTGTCGGACATGGACACTAGCTCCATGATAGCCAGCGATGTGAAAGAGGGCATCGCGCCCACCGAGGTCGACCCGCCCGTCATCGACGACAAGCCGGCGAAGGCGCCCGCGCATCTGGAAGCAGCGCTGAATCAGAAGGATCCGGCGGAGGTGCCGTTGCCGAAGGAGGAGGAGGAGACGAGACAAGAGAAAGAGCCGGGTTTGGGGAAGTGAGTGGGGGGTGGGTGATTGATGATGGATGAGGATTACGAGACCACGAAATCGGCTTGATGGCTAAAAATTGGATAATGGCCTACTTTTCCGCTTCTATGATACCAGAGTAATTTCTGTCGCTTCTCAATGTTTTTTGGAATAGGAGTACACTGAAAGGAGACATGCAGGGCGCTGATGGAAAGGTAATGAACATACGAGCGGTTGTGAAGTTTCCTTGGTCCGGCAGCACTGAGATAAATGGATACATGCAAACCAAAAAAGAATAGATTTGATTCCTCCAAACACGCGAAATTGAATTTGACCCGAATCCTTCGCGGAACGGCATTTGCTCACAAAATGTTTGCCATCGAACTGCTGTAAAATCGCACAACGCACGAACCCCTCAACAAAAAAACTCACCCGTCTCCAACAAACTCTCGCTCGCCGTAAAGCTAAACCCCCCAAACGGATCCTCCATATCGACATCCACCCCCAACCCCACCCCATCGCCCCCATTCTCCCGAAAATACATCTCATCGATCCCCGCCCGCATCCCCCCTCCCGGCCCCTCCACCGGCACCTCCGTAAACTCCCGCGCGAAGTTCTCCGCCAACTCCGGATCGGTGATCAGCGGCTGAATCGGCGGCTCCGCCTCCCGCCGCGCCAACTTCCGCCAGTCGATCGCCCGGAAAAACCGGTGCTTCTTTAACGTGTCCAGGTCTTTCGGCATGTGCGCGCCGAGGCGTTTGTTGGGCTCCTTGCGCATCAGGCGGGTGAGCAGGTCTTTCGCGTCGGGACTGAGGTAGTACGGGAGGTTCAGCTTCGCCTTCACGATGTTCGTTCGGAGCGCCTTGTCGTTGTTGCCTTTAAAAGGGTAGGAGCCGGTCAACAGGTCGTAGCCGATCGCCCCGAGCGCCCACCAGTCGACCGAGAAGCCGTATGAGCGGCCGTCGATCATCTCCGGTGCCATGTACGGGACGGTGCCGGCCATGGTGCTGCAGCGCTCGCCGTCGTTGATGCGTTCCTTGCAGAGACCGAAGTCCGTGAGGAGGAGGTGGCCATCCGCATCGAGGAGGCAGTTCTCGGGCTTCAGGTCGCGGTAGACGACGCCGACTTCGCTGTGGAGATAGTGCAGCGCGAGGATCATCTCCGCCATGTAGAAGGAGACAGTGGTCTCTGGGAGCATGCGCTCCTCGCGGAGGTGCTGGAAGAGCTCACCGCCCGGCGCATATTGCAGGATAAGGTACAGCTTCTCTTGGTCTTGGAAGGCGTAGAAGAGCTTAACGATGAAGGGGTGTCGGTTGATGCTTTCGAGGACGTTGCGTTCGGTTTTCGCGTTCTCGGCGCGCTGCTTGTACACAAGGAGAGATGCCTTGCGGAGCTGTTTCTGGGCGTACAACCTGCCCGACTCCTTGTGCTTGACCAGCGAGACCGTTCCGTATGCTCCTTTGCCAAGATACTTCAATGCAGTGAAGTCGTCTTCTGTCATCTTCTCGCGGCCATTGCTAAGCTGAGACTCCGTCCCTATCGCATTTGCACCGAGGGAAACTTGAGCACTAACGAAGTCTTGCTCAAGCGGCACTTCTACGTCGCACGTCCGCGTCTTGGCTGCATACTTCTCCCCATCGCTTCCCCGATCAGAGTCGGATCGAGGCGTGCCGTATCCGCTATTGTTCACGGTTCGCAGTGTTGACGCGCGACTATCAGTCCTGGAGTTCAAAGCTGCAAGTTGAAGCTGCAACGCGCTGACCTGTCCAGCGGCGGAAGTTGGCCTGAGTCCGGGGCTACTCGTGATGCTCGGTAGGTCAGTGAGAGTCGGTCCCACTCTCGGCGTGTTCGCTACCGATGACTCCGATTCCTCGCCGCCTGACGTGACGGGTGTGTAGAATCCACGAACAGTCGTCGTAGCGGGAGCGCCAGGTTTCATACCTCGCTTCTTCTTTTTCTTCTTGGAAGCGTTCTCCTGCACTTGATTGAAGTCTAGCCGTTTCTCGGGTAGTGGAATATCCTCCTGATTCCTCCGCTGAGCTATCCTCCCTGGTGATTGCGACGGGATTCGCATCGGGGGAGTGTGTGGGATTCCATCGACGAGACTGGTAGGATCGAAGTGGCTGGGTCGGAATGAATCGGATTCGGGCGATGTCATGGATGACCTACTCCACGTGCTGGATCGAGAGAGATTACTCGTGTTCGAGTCCTCATCGGAGGACCGCTTAGGACATTGTGCGGCCGCAGATGGAGCCATTCCGTATGAACGGCCACTTTGGAGTCGGTCTAGCTTGCTGTGTGTTAGATACTCAGCAGCGGCCGTTACGACTCTAGCCAGAGATCTAGCGTGATTCGCTTGTCCAGAGAAATAGTGTTGTCAATCTTTGTCCCGGTTAGTGTCTGGATTTGACCTATACCGCATATGCAATATTTACCTTAGTAAATCCTTCGGACTACCGCAGTAAATCCTTCGGGAAAATTTAACGTCCGCTCAAGGCGGACCACGCGCCAGTAGCCACACCAGGGCAGCAAAGGAAGCCTCACTCTTTGAAACCAAGAAACCCGAGACCCCGTTTGGGAAAGCCGACAGGGCAAAGCCGGACAGAGGGAAGAGAAAAGCGTTCTGGATGGGTGCGAGCGAGGACATAGACGGTAATTTGGCGGAAATATTAACTCTTAGGTATGGAACTGCCAGTAGATATACTGGCAAGTCGGTCAGATGTGTGTGTCGATGATAGCCGTTGAAGTGAAGGTGAAGCTGGAGAGTTGGAAAAGTGAAAAATGGCAGCGCTGGCCTTAAACAGGAACTTTGGGTGTCTTTCCAAATTTCTACGGGAAGGCCCGCCTACCAGATTCCCGATGCACGTGATGCGGGGCCCCACCGCCCCAGCCACTCTTTGTGGGTTTGTCACGTGCCGTCGCGCGTCCAGCGCGACACCACTCCCAAGACCAATTCATCTCCTCATTCTTCCTCATTCTTCAATAATCGTTCAGATACTTCTACACCCATCTTGAGCCTCTACACATCAAGGCAGTAAGATAACCCTACTGGACTCAACATACATCTTAGGTTGGTCCTCGAGATTCAACTTGACCCAGCCACACGTCACAATCCTCGAAACCCCGTCCGTTCTCAACATATTCCTCGCCTACCTAGCATCCTGCCGAGTGAGAACCACGGGTTTTGGACATGCTCAGCAATGATTTTTAGCTCGTTGGCTCAGAATGGACGGCTCGGATGTGGTTGTTTCAATGTTAAACTAAACCAGGTGGTTTTGCATCCTGGCTGGATGGGCCTGAAATGCTGAGTGGGCGACCAGACGCAAGATTTAGCGCCGCTCCACCCGGCGGTTAATCCCCAAAATAGGAACAAGACATCTATTTCCAAGTTGCAGTGGATAAACGAGAAACACACGACTTATTCGAAACGGAATTAGCGGTCGGTGTACAAGAGACATGCCTACGGAGCACAGTCATCGATGTTTCAGGAAGCCTTTTCGTCCCTCTCCTGCCCCCAACTCAACCCCTGCAGCGCCTGATCGAGTCCCAAACTGAACTGTCTGGATATCAGACTCCCAGACAGCTGTCCACCACCACCATTTCAAGCTTCGGTTCCACATTGAATATGACTTCGCGCGTCGCCGTGGCTTGGTCTAGGCACGATTTCAATCTATCGTCGAATCGCAACCGCATGTTGCTTCGGCTGCCTACGGAGTGGCTTGATTCGGTGCAAACATTGGAAGCTCACGGGTTTCATGACCGATCAATTCCATCCGCGCTGGTAGGTTGTCTACATATTGAAAGGGATGAGAACCCTTCGTATGTTCTCTGTTCATCAAATGCTTTATTTCCTTTCGTTGTATAGTGGACACAGACTCGTTCGTATTTTGTTTCACAGAAGCCTGTCGTTTCTTCCTGCTCTCGCTTGATCAGATCAATATCCATTACCTTCTTTGAAGTCAGTCTGGGACGATTTCGCTTGTTAGTTAATCCGTTGCCGTTTCATTCGTATACCTCAGTCATGAAAGTATCTTCTACTCTGCTTGTTGCCATTGGCCTGGTTGCCGATCAAGTCCAAGCGGTAAGTACATATTGATGAAAAGCTATACCATGACATATCCTTATGTTACTCTAGACTTGGAACGTTCGTGCGCAAGCATTCGATTGTCCGTCGAACACGAACAACATCTGTTCGGATGCCCAAAGCTCCGGGTTTGATTGGAACGACCTCCAGACTGGCTCGTTCTCCCAATACCAGGGCTTTGACTTCTCTGGGTTTACTTGCGCCAATTCCTTCGGCAAGCGTGATGCCCTATCCAAGCGGGCCTTTAACTCCAAGTGTATCCAAGGAACGGCTGAATGGGAAAGCGGACCGAGCATCTCCCGCGGCCAAGGTCAGCAGGGCTTCTCGATTACCCAGATGCACATCTCCACGAGTCGAGACAGCGATCTGGAGTTTGTATTTGGCATGGAGGATGGATCCACCTGCAGACAGACCTCTCCTTGCAATTCTGGTGGTTCCATTATCTCTAATACCCAATGTGGAGGTGCTACGCAGGTCATTGTCAAGGTGCCGAAGCATGAAAAAGAGGGCTGTGATGTTGGTATTCACAGTGTTATCTTCGACTGCAACACTTCTCAAAATACGACCCCACCGTCGCAGTCATCCCCCAGCTCTTCCGCAACGGATTCATCTTCCCTGCCGGTTACCACCCTCGTCGAGGGTAGGCCAACTGGGAGCAAACCACCGAGTTTGAGTTCTCCAGTCCCTTCATATCCATTGTCAAATGCAACTACACCATCCTCTACTCCAGGATCTCCGACCGAGCCAACTTTGTCTTCCAGCGTCCCAATGACGACGTCCACAATCTTTTCAACTCAAACCTTCACAATCACTTCCTGCAGCGAAGCTGTTACCGATTGCCCCGCTGGATCCACAGTCCTTACCACGTCGGCTGTCGCCGTCTCGACTACCATTTGTCCTGTGTCCGAGGTTCCTACGTCCCCTCCACCTCCTTCCGGCGCCCCTGGTGATGCTGTCCCATCGTCCTCAACTCTAGCGGAGTCAACTCCGAGCGAGTCTTTACCAGCCGTTCCTTCAGATACCCCTCCTGCGGTGCCACCGCAATGTCCAGATGTTCTCCCCAAATGCATGAACACCTGGATGTTCAAGTCCGGCTGCAACGATAATACCGACTTCGACTGCTACTGCAAGAACCCGGAGTTTACCAAATATGTCATTGATTGTGTCAACTCATGGGGCGTTGACGAGACGATCATCGCAAAAGCGTTGACGTTCCTTCAGGGAATTTGCGCTGCACAAATCCCCGAGAACCCTGGCATCGTCACCGATTGCCCGACATATATCTCAACCGAACCAACTCCTGTACCATCTTCACCAGCGCCTTCAGCCTTCACTCCCGAGCCCTCAGCGCAATCATCGACTCCTGGTTCGCCAGAGGTACCATCCCAACCCACGGAGTCCGATGTCATCGCCACTGAGATCGTTTCGACCACTCTTACCACCTGCCCCGCTGGCCAGACAGTGACCTCTGGGACAATAACCAGAGTCCTTGAAACTCCAAGCGTCTCCACAATCCTCATCACGACGACATCCACAATCTGCACCAAATGCACGGGGAGGCCCACTTCCCCTGATGTTTCCCCCTCAACCACTCCCGGAGCCCCCATCGTCCCCCCGGTACCCTCCCCACCTGGACCAGTCCCCCAAACCCCCATGACGACCATTTACATCTCCACAACCGTCACCGTTCCCTGCTCCACCAACGGAACTCCCATCCCCTCGTCCAGCACCACCTCCCTTCTCACCACCGTGGTGACTGTCCCCGCCATCCAATTCACCATCGGCTCGAGCTCAAGCATTAATCTGGTGCCGGTTACCACTCCACCCGCTGCCGGGCCCGCCCAGCCTAATCCCGGGAGGCCGGTTCAGTCCACTGTTGCGGGCTCGCTGCCTACAGCGTCGACGATCGTGCCGCCCGTGCTTCAAACCACTTTGGGTACGCTGGTTACAGCCCCGAGAAGGACGACGACAGGTGCGTTGCCGGTGTTTACTGGGGGTGCGGAGATGAAAACTGGGAAGATTCTGGGGGTTATGGCCGGTGGCGCGGTTGCGGCTTTGGTGTTCTAAGGATGTGGAACTGAGGGGGTACGGAATATATAATGGACGATAGGGGCCGTATGCGTGTCAAATAGGGGCTTTGGATGAGGAGTTTGGAAGAAGCAATATAGGGATAACATATAATTGTCGGGGCATAGTAATTCTGAAGATTATATTATATTGTATACATATTAGCGAGTCATTTTACATCTCGTAATTTCATTTAGTGACGTTGTGCGCCAGGTCTGCATATAAATATTCGGTCATGGAAACCCTTAAATAGGAGACTTCAATCCATGAGGGCATGATTGATGATAGACCATTGCTGATTAAGCAAGTTCCACTCCAAGTCTCCAACGTAGGTCATGCACCGATGATTCGACTTGACGGGTCGCAGCTCAAGATTCAATAATTCCCTCCTCCTTCTTTGTTCATTAATAAGCGGCATTGAGCTTGAATGATTTCACATGTATGAATTGGTTCACCTCTGATATGGAGTCCAGCAACTCCACTACAAAATGACTTGATACCCCACACCTGGCGGACCGACGCCTGTCCTTCAGTCACGACATATACGGCCGCAGAATTCTACGACGCTACATAATTTAATCTCCATCCGACACGAGCACCATGCCCACCGAAGTGTTTAGCCTCCGCCTCTGGCGTTCCAGCGGCTTTTCCCGACCCTCCGCACTCGAACTCCTCCTCTTCGCCCCCATCTCCCTCTTCGCCCGCGCCATCTACAAGCTTCTCAACCTCCTCCACAGCTCCCCCCGCAAACCCACCCACCCTATCCGCGTCGTCTGCATCTCTGACACCCACACCATCATCCCATCCGATATCCCCTACGGCGACATCCTCATCCACGCCGGCGACCTCACCATCCACGGCACCCTCTCCGAACTCCAAGCCCACATCGACTGGCTGCACTCCCTCCCCCACCCGCATAAAATCGCCATCGCCGGGAACCACGACACGTATCTCGATGCCCGCTCACGCCGCACGCTCAAACCGTCCGACTGTGACGGCGAGCTGAACTGGGGAACCATCCACTACCTCCAGCACGAGGAGATCACCCTACATTTCCCCGGTCACGGGAAGCGCTCCTTGCGGATATACGGCGCGCCGCAGATTCCCGCGTGCGGCGGTCCCGAGTTCGCGTTCCAGTACCGGCGGGGGCAGGATGCGTGGAGCGGGACGGTGCCGGCCGGGGTGGATGTGTTGGTGACGCATACGCCGGCGAAAGGGCATCTGGATAATCTGCGGCCAGGGTTGGGGTGTGAGTGGCTGTTGAAGGAGATGTGGCGGACAAGACCGCGGTTGCATGTGTGTGCGCATGTGCATGATGGGTGGGGGCGAGAGGTGGTAAGTTGGGATGGGGGGCAAAGTGTGTATGAGGACTTGATATGTCGGGATGAGCGAAGGGGAGTGGTGGCTGCGTGGATTGATGTGGAAGGGTGGGTGGGGTTGGTGAGATTGTTGGTGGAGGGAGGGAGGGGGCTGGTGTGGGATAGAGTGTGGGGAGGGGGGCGGAAGACAACGGTTATGGTCAACGCGGCGTTGACGATTGCGAATAAGAAAAAGTTGAGGAAAGAGGTCCAGGTGGTGGACATTTGAACATTGGTGCTCTGGTCGTGGCCTTGAGCTCGTCAGATTAATTCGGAAGATTGCATAGCGAGGTGCTTGGACTGTCGGAGCCTACTTCTTATACCGGTATTGCTCAACAGCCACTGTTATTTTGGTCATCTGATCTTCTAGTCTCCCATGAATTCAGGTGAATGGTGAAAATTGAAAAGGGAAAGGTGAATCAAGCAAATTGATATCACAGGAGCATGCATGACTGCAGCCTACTTACGCTACACGTTGACGTCGCGTACTTTAATCCAACATCATTGGAACCTTCAAAATTCCCTCTTCTACTTCACTTCTAGAGTTTCTTTTACTTCATCTGGACGTACAATTACCTCCTGTGTCATTGACCTTCGTGCACCATTCATTCATTTGTCTTCCTGTTCTGTAGCAGTCGAGTCTCGCCTGGACTTCTATCACATCCTAGACCTGGATTGAACACGCGATGACATTGCTGTTTCACCTCGAGTCAGTACTTCATTCACCATGCCCCTAGTTCTTACCGAAGAGAATGGAGTAGTTCCTGGTGAAGAGGTACCTACGAACGAAGAAATTGTCATGGTAGAAAATGTTGTGGATACGGTAAGACTTGGAACCTACACAAAAGCAGTGCTGGGGCGTATTGAGATCTGTAAACCCAGTTTACTAATTCTTGTAAAGGATCTGTATGAGAGTGTTAAAGTCTTAAAGAACGCCTAGAAAATAAAGCGCCGCGGTAGGGGGGTAGGAAATTGAGACGACCATGGTGTGTCAAAGTGCAGTGTATCGCTTATGAAAGAAGAAATAATATAAATATGATTAACCTGTCATCTATATCGAATCGTAACGCCCGTGGTATATTCGCGGACCAACCCGCCCAATGGACCTAAGCGCAAAACCCAAACCATTCCAACCCACACCGGTCTAACCCCTATCTTCATTTATCCAACCGCTTCATCACCACCTTCCCCACCCCCCTCACAATCTTCCACCCGATCTTAAAAAACCACCACACCACTTTCGCCGCAAACACCAACACCCCCAACACCACCCGCACCGGCCAACTAAACTCCTTCTCCCCCTCCTCCCGCTTCACGATCTTCGACCGCCCCTTCCGATCCTTCTTGATATCCACCCCCAGATCCCCACCGATCCCATCCATCATCTCAAACACCTCGCCCTTCCAGTCGTACGTCTTGAGATCCTGCCTGGACGTCGGCCACGTGCGGGAGGGCTCGAGCCCTGGACCACCGCGATCGTGGTGATTCTCCTCAGCAATGCCGTTGGTTGCGGGCTTCTTCGTCTTGAACCGTCGTTTTCGAGATGTTGGATCCTCCTGGCTCCACGGATCCGTCTCCCACGGCTTGATTGGCGGCGCCATGAACTCGAGACCCCGATCCTTTCCCCTTCGCGCCTCGGCTGCCGCGACGATGAATGCGGTCGAGGATAGGAGGTCGAATGCGTACGCGTTGTGGAGCTTCTTCATCCCGTCCACGTTCAGGGAGAGCATGCCTGTGGCGAGATCGAGGCGGACGAGGGTGGACCCGTCGGGGCCGTCCTGGGGGTTCTCCCGCGCTGGGAGAGGAGGTGGACCAGGCATTGGTGGTGGTGGAGCGGGGCGGGAGAGGGTGGGGGAGCTGGTGTCGAGCTTGAGGGTTGGGATGCTACGGGAGTGGGCGTGGTTAGGCGGTTGTGGGCCCCCGGTGTGTGCCGGTTCAGGAGGTGCGGGAAACTGTGATGAGGGAACATCTGGGGTCACCGCGGCGTTGAGAGAGGATGGGTTGGCGGCGGGGGATACGGCGGACGTTGGATTCGGGGCCCCCTCAGGTTTGAGAATACTGATGCTGATCTCTTGGGCGCCCATGGGAGCAAGGGTAGACTCGGACGGCCCAAACGCAGTGCGAGATATGTCGCCTTTTACCACGACCTTGAAAAATCCGAGTCGTGGATGACGCAGCTCGTACTCCCCTGTCTTCGGGCCCGTCTTCGACCAGTAGAGATCTGCGCTCTCTTGGTCCGCAGCTTGTGCGACAACTTGCTGAGCGAGTGCCTGGGCTTGCGGCGACTGAGCACATGGATCGTCAATGGCGAGTTGCTTTGCCATGGGACTTGCGGCAGCCATTTCCAGTGCTTGAAGGCTCGCAAGGATCGGGAAGATAGTGCTGATGTGCGCACTAATCCCGGTGGGCTGGGTCGTGCCTTGCGGGTCGATAGCAGATGCCGGCGAGAAAAGACTGGCATAGGGAGTGTAGGGAGTGTTGATTGCGAAGCTGCCACTTTTCGTGGTGGATGCATCGGGCGGAGGCGGTGGCACGAGGCTGAGATGTGCAATAGGGAGGATATCCGGACGGGTAGGATGATGACGGAATACGATCAGTTCATGCTCTTGATCCTCCGATCCAAGCGGATCGTCGGCAGCGGGGAACGAGGACTGCGCGATGCTATAGAATGGGAGATGGGCATTCGGCCCAAAGCTGAGACCAGGTCCTTCTTTTGTCCTTGTCCTCGCGCTGGTGGGATGCAATGCGGCAGCGGAGCGATGTAGTTTAAAACAGTAAGGCCGTGTACTCGGAGGCGTGACCATGCCGTTCGATACGTCCCACAAGCCTCCAACCTCATGCACAGGCGTGACGTACGGCATGGCAGAGCTCCGCGGTCGCTCAACGTATAGTTGTGCTGGGTACGCAAGCCGGTTTCCTTGTTCCATCGGGAACGCATAAGGCTGCTGGACGGGCGGAGCACGAAAGTGTTGCATCGCGGTCGGCAGTGTATGATTGTATTGCGGGAACATGGATCGGATAGGAGGGGCCTCGGCTGACACGGGAGTTTTGGTATATTCTTCTGCGCCTCGCTCGGGGGAGTTCTGCTGGGTTGGAACCGCTGTCGTTGCTGGCGACACAGCAGACATGGGTTTCGATGATGAAGGGGTGGTGAACACGTTTGCTGACATCGGGCCGACTGCGCTATTGGCGTTGGACGCACCGGGTCCGGCACTATCGTTTCGATCAGGAGCCTTGCCCTTAATGTCCACTCGGTTGGTGGCGCTCGACGCAGACACAGGCGCCGTATATGAACCGGTATATCCCCCATAGTGCTGAGTCGGCACTTGCGGGGATACCGCCCTCCTTCTATGCACCGGAACATATTGATCCATACTCGGTCGTTGCTCTGCTCGATCGAAACTAGGTCGCCGCCTCTCCATACTTGGCCTCGCGCTATCCAAGCTCGGGCGTGAACCTGGTCGACTACGATCTAGACTCGGCCGCCCTTCGACGCCCTTGCCCTTTCCTTCCACCGTTCCGAGCGAGATGGCCGAGTCGTTCACGTCAGGAAACCCGACATCCATCCGCTCGACGGGCGCAGACAGCTGTTGAGCAAAGTCCGGGGAGTCACTGTTGCTCCGCCTGGGAGGGGACACAGTCCTTCCCCTCCTTCCGGCTGGAGAGGGTCCTCGCCTTCCTGTCGGAGAAGGCCCTCGCATCCGTGGTCCTGGTGATGTGGTCCGCAAGCTAGGTGGAGGTGTCGCGGACGACTTACTACGTTGCCGGGGTAGTGACGAGGCCCTTGGAGGATGGGGGTCGCTGTTCCCACCGCGATTGATGATCGGTCCCGAAGCTGCCGATCCTGAGCGATGGTATGGGACAGAATTGCTCGGATGTTGTGGTTGGTCCGCGTACGGGATATGGACTGGTGCAGGCGCCGCGATTGGGACGGGCTGCGGATCGATCTTAATGGGAATCTCCTGGAAGTCGATGGGGGTGGCTCTGGTGCCGGTGGACGGGGTGATCATGTCGTGGAAGTCATGGCGCGGGGTTGGTGTATGGGGAGAGGCGCCTTGCTTGGTCTTTGGGATAGTAACGGCTGGTCGAGAAGTATGATTGCGGCTCGGTGGACGTCGAGCAGGGTTCGGATCGATGGAAGGGAACAATACCAGAGACGGTCGACGTTGCTGCGGGTATTGTTGCGTTTGCTGCTGCTGCTGGGCAGACTGCTGTTGGACGGTCGCCATCTTTTCCAGAGTCTCTTTCTCGCTATCGGGACAGACCTCTGAAGCTATTTCGCAGCGATTGCTAAAAATAACACCAGCACCAGATGAAAAGAACGTCGCTCACAGAGCAAAAGTAGAGACGAGATACACAACGAAACTCTCAAGGACTCAACTACATCAAGGACACAGTCCCTTCAGCAACGCGATCCGAATAGAAAAGAAAATGCAGAGACACAGACTCCGCTCGAAGTTCACCGATCAAGAAAGCAGAACAACAGAAAAGCTACGGAAACCTCCCACCGAGCAGCGGATATGCGCCAGGATATATCCGTCCATCAAACATCTCCTCCCTTCCCCATCCAATCGCCCTCGCTGCTATACCGCATGAATAGCGTCTACAATGTTCATTCTTAGCCTCCCACCTTGCACTACCAGCCAGATGCATCCATCCTCTACGCGGTTCTGCACCTCCTCCCAGGATCTAACCCGCATGCGTCGCCCTCCGCGCCGCGGCCGGGGTGCCACCGGGTGAGGAAAGCGCTGGCATCGCTATTTCTGTGCGATGTGACGCTCGGCGAGGAAGGGATCGAGGCAGCGAGAGGTAGGGTGCGGGAGGGGAGAGGATGTGGTTGGGTGGAGGTGAGGATATAAGCGCTGTGATGGACATGGGGGAGATACTGTGGGACTGTGCGGTGGAGTGGGTGATTGGTGGGGAAGGGACCAGGGGAGGAGAAAGGATGCGGGCTGGGAAGCCACAGCGCGAAGAGGGCTTGAGGGGTATGGTTTTGGTTTGGGTTTTTGTTTGGGAGACGATGATCGGGGTTGTTTATTATTATTGAGCGCTGGGATGAGTATATGTGAGGGAATGGGTCATGTGAGTAAGACCATATTAAAGGAGGAAACAAAGGGATACCAAGTGCGAGGCAGTGAAAACTCCAGATAGCTTTACAAATCTCTGTACAGGAAAGATCCAAGTGCTCGGATGATATATATACGGCCTCCACGAGGCTCTCAGATTCATATACAAATTTGCAGTAAGAAATGGCAGAAGGAAAGGAGCCATCGCAGCTTCAACGCCGCCCACCGGAGTTCCCCTATCCATATCCGAATCATGCATGCTACCTATCCATCATATCGACATAAATCATCCGAACCTTTTCGTCCCGAACGCCATGAACCATGCGAAGAAATCGTGAACGCCGCCAGGTGAGCCGCGCTTTTATATCGCCGTCATAAATCGTGAGGATCGCATCATCGCGGCGCATCTCGCTCGGGGGCAGCGGTGGAGGCAGAAGCACCTCCGTCGCCCATCTCTTCCTCTCTCCTCGATCTCCTCTGCAACACGTCCGCCACCCTCGCCGTCAATCCCCGGCTCCTCCTCCTATTCTCCTCCCCCTCCTCCGCTCCATCACTCCTCCTTTCCTCCGACACCAGCTCCACGCCTCCCGCCCCACCAACCGCCTCACCACGTCCCACCGCCGCGCCGTTCTCGCCACTCGCACCACCGCTCGCCTGCTCCTGCGCCCGGCTCTGCTGTCGCACGAGCTGCAGCGCAGCGATGCGCTCTTCGCGGGAAGCTGTGAGCATGTGGTGCCGGTTAAGGAGGTCACGGATGGCGGAGAAGCGGCGGGAGGAGCGAGGGTTGGCGGATACGGGCGGGGGGGCGAGGGTGTCAGATGGCTGGGTGGGGGTGGATGGATCGGAAGGGTCGGGTTGCAGTTGGGATTCGGCCGTAGAATCGGGGGCGCGGAGGTCGACGCGGCTGGAAGAAGGGAAGTTAGCAAGGTTCGAAGGGGGAGGGGTTAAGACTTACCAGAGTGGACAGGTTCCGCTGACATTGAGGAGCCATGGGTCGATGCATTGAGGGTGGTATTTGTGGTCGCAGGGTAAGACGCGCACTTCTTCGCCTTTCTCGAACTCCTCAGTGCAGATACTACAGCCAATTCCCTCGTCCTTGGGCTCCTGGCTTGTTCTCGAGGGTCCCTCCTCCACGATAGAATCAGGTTTGGGTCCCGCTTCTAACTCCCGCTCTTTGTCTATGCCGTCCGTCTCACTTCGCTCATTCGTGCCCCCTGTGGAGACAGTGATAGCGCCCGTCGGCTTCGGAGCTCCGCCGTCCGCAGTAGAGGTCTCACTCGAACGGCTCGCTGCGTTCCCCAACTCCGTGTCTCGCTCTTTCGGCGGCTCCGTCTCGCCCCACTTCACAATCGGAAGCGTCTCCAACATCGCCCTCGCAATCCCCTTCGCCCGACTCTGCCGCGGCCGACCCGGCACGTTCCGCGGTCCATACCGCTCCGGATGCCGGTGCGCCCGGACCGCCCCTGTCACGATGATGATCAGAAATAGCGCGGTGATCACCCCCGTGATGCTGTACAGGATGATCATGGCCACGGCGGTGGATTGAGGCGAGCCGCCGCCCGACGAGGGGGACACGGATCCAAATGACGGTGGCTGCTGTGTCCCGTTGTAGATTGATTGGGCGATCGAGGTTCTCGCGATGAGGGCGGGTTGGCTTGTTTCGGGGTACATGTCGATGCTGCCGCCGACCATGTCTGCAACTGATGGGTTGCTCATGCTGTATACCGTCACCTGGGAGAAGCTTTGGCGGCTCCGGTTGTCGAAAGCGCAATAATCGAGAGTCTTCGTGTAGAGGACTGCGGCGCGGATTCTGCGTTCGAAACAGCTGTTCAGGACGGCCGCGACAGTGATAGTGGGGGGGTAGTCGGATGGGTCGCAGCTGATGAAAGCGATATTTCGATTATCGAGTGACGCTATATTCGACGTGTTCGCCCGGACCAGTTGGCCCGTGATACCATCGGCCTATAAAATACCATCAGTGATCCTGTCCACATAAGTTTTCAAAGTCCACTGGCATAACTTACCGTGAGGGCGGTTGCGCCAGTGCCCTGAAGCGGTATGAGATCCACGGGAGGGAACAGGTAATTGGTATTACCCCTTCTCCCAGTGAACAACAGGAGCGAAACCCGGTCTGTCAGCTCGTCAGGCGGCGTGGAGTTTGACGGTATGATATTCTGCGCGGTGGTCATGCTGTTGAGGAGCCATAAGCTCATGAAAAGCAAACGTCCGAGCATCTTGGGTTCTTGGTGCTAAACCAGACGATCGAGAAGGTAGCGAGAGGCAGCGTGGGTTTTGAAGAACCTTCTTCGCACACTACCATATGGTACGCCGCAGAATTGTGACAAGACGACGCATCCGTGGTAGTGGGGCGGCGAGGACCTTAAGACGAGTCCTAAGAAAGAGATATATAACCCTTCAAATAGACGTAAATGACCACTCAAAAAGATTTGTCAGGTCTCAGGTAAGACGACCGGTCGTCCGCAGCGCAAGTGGTTCGAAATCGACGAGGCGATGCAAATATGCGGCGGCTCTATCGCGAGGTCCAGCGGGTGGTTGCGGGGATATCGGCGACACTAGGCACGGAAGCGGAGGTGCTTAGAGTAGATGTGGTCATCGTCGAGCAGATCCGGCCTGATGGGTGTGAATACCTGGAGAGTTATGGACAAGCTCAGGACTCAAATTGATCTGACGGACTTGGATGTGACAGATCACAGATGAGTAACAACTAATAAGGAGCTGAGATGCTGAGCAAAAAGCTGAGCTGGAAGATGAGTCGAATGAAGGGTCTGGATTCATCATTCATGACCTGGACTGTCGGAGCAATTGTGGAGCGATCCATAGGAGCCCACGCAATCGATAAGACTCAGCAGACTCACGGATGGCTTTTGATACATCGCCAAGTGTTAAGACTCGAGAGAAATCATGGGACATCGATGGCGTCAACGGGTATTCCGTAGAGTGTGCCGACATTTCGATCCATCGCTCGACGATGGATTGGGGCCAAGAGATGTTGAAGAAGGGCGAGACATCCCACATCTTCCCCGCCATCGCTTCGGTCTATCAATTAGATGCGGCAGCTAATCACTAGATTCAAGTTCAAGACGTAGGGATCCAAAAAGCATTGGTGGCAGATGGAAGGTTTACGATATCAAGAAGCGTGGCGCTTAGCGATCAATGTCACTGTCGAATAATATCAAATCTCACTTCATCTTCACTTCTGATGTGTGACAACTTTTTGCACTGCCCCTTCCACCCCCGCGCACGTCCTTTCAATGATTTGAATTTTGAGACGATAATATTTCTCCTCTTCCTTGTACTGTTCAAGCAGGGTACGTACTCGTATATCAACCGTACTCGTACTATGTATAGTAGGAGAGAGTGGCTATCAAATCGTCGGTCGCTGAGCTTATTCAACCTGGCTGGTGGGATTGTCGATGTAACATTCATGATGGTGAGACAACCTAAGACCACATATAGTACCTATATCCTCGAGATCCTTTGATACGAAGGATTTAGCTGTGTCACGAAAGGTACGTGTACTTTCAACGATGACGCTGGATGTATTACTTCGTCGATCGTCCGTCTCGTCGAGTCCTCTATGGTTTGTGGTCTTGTGATAGACTCCAATTGTTCTCTTCTCAACTGCTCAAATCTGGGTTCAAACTTCAAAGTCATACTGAAGTTTCATTCGTGTCTTCCTCGTTTCAGACATTGCTGCGCCTCGATGGTGCGCGTTCTCCCGTAGAATCCAGTCACTTATTGCTCCCGAGAACTGATCTTTCGGGAAACTGATATTAACAACCCATGAACGATTCTAGAAGGAAAATTATGGCCACTCAAATATCCGTTTCGGCGATTTGAAATCCAATCAATTTTGGTTTTCGACTTTCTCAACTTAGGATAACTACTGATAGAACGACGAAATTATGATAGGACATCCGTACCGCTGCTAATTGAGTCCCAGCTATTGTTCTTATCACCACACTCTATTGATCGTATCGTGACAATCATGGAGACTATCGAAAACCCATCGCGTTCCGCCAGCTCCGCTCCAATAATTTTTGATCACGCGTCCCGAATCGAAAACCACCGAAACACCAGAGTTCCCCAGCTCAGACAACCCATCCCTCAACCGCCGTATCCACCTCCCTCCTCCACCGCTGCTGGCCCTCGCACATCTCCCAGAACACCTTATACTTTGCCTCCAACAGCTTCTTCTCCTGATCGCTCTTGCCCGGATACACTGCCTTCCCACTCTTACTCATCCGGTCCATAATCGACCACAGATCCTCCCCCTCCCCGCCCTCGCTCTTTGCCCGCGCCTCGCTCGCCGCCTTCGCCCCCAGCATCGCTGCGCCGTGCACTACTGCCGCGTGCACGTACCTCGGAATCAGCACCGGCATGCCGCAGGCCGTCGCGATCAGCTTCATCAGCACCTCGTTCTGGCACTGCGAGCCGCTCATGAAGATGCTGCTGATGCTGTGCCCGGCCGAGTTCATCGCCTCGACAATCTGCCGCGTCTGCAGCGCGATGAACTCCATCGTCGCGTAGTAGTACAGCGCAAGCCCGTCGACCGACTTGTCCGAGGACAGGCCGACTACAGAGCCGCGCATGTTCGGGTCCGCGATGGGGGAGCGGTTGCCAAAGAGGTCGCCGTAGAAGAAGAAGTGGCGGCCGAGGTAAGTCATCGAGGGGACTTTCGCCGCCTCGACGAGGTCTTCCAGGCGCTGGTTGAGGTAGTCGTAAACGTTGAGATTATGTCCTTCCGCGAGTGCCTTCGCTTCTAGATGCGACGGGTGCGTCTCGATCTGGTGCTTCAGCAACTCGCCCGTGGCACTCTGTCCGCCTTCCGCGAGCCATTTGCCTGGGATCAACACGTCACGGTAGGGTCCCCAGACGCCTTTCACAAAGACCGGGTCGGGACTCAGTGCGAGATGGCAGGTGGAGGTGCCGGCGACGGCGGCCAGGCGGGTGTATGCTTGGTCCATGGAGTTGTTGGGCATGGAGGTGTCGAGTTCGTCTTCAGATAGGGACACTTTCGCGCCGACTGTGCCGACCCAGCCGGCGTAGGCGTCGATGACACCCGAACCAACGGCGATGCCGGGAATGAGGCCCATTTCTGCTGCCGCGCGCTCGGATAGGGGCCCAACGTATTCACCTGCTGTGAGATAGGTTCCGTTCTGATAGGAGTAAAGTTAGCGTGCTGCATCTAAGGTCAAGGTGGCAGTGAGGGTTACTACTCCATCCACTCCCCCCATCCGCTTAAAGTTGTCTTCACACAACTCCGGTAGTCCAATCTCAGTCAGGAAATCTTCCTGCCATCCTTTCACGCTCCCATCCACACCCACCGGCACAAACCCCTGCTTGCACACCGTGCTGCAGAACGACCTCGTCTCTCCCCCAGTCGCCATATGCGTCAGCGCGTCCGCCAAATCGTAGAACTTGCACCGATTGAACAGTTCCGACGGCATGTTGTTCTTCAACCACAGCACCTTTGGAATCTCCATTTCGATGCTCATTGTTCCTCCGACATATTTCAGCAGATTGTGTCCGGTGGCGTTGATCTTCTGCGTTTCTTCGACGGGGCGGTGGTCGAGCCAGAGCACCACGTTCCGGTCGTTTCCGTCGCGGTTAGAGAAGTCCGGGCCAGTTATGCAGACTGGCTCATTGGTCTCGGCGTCGAAGACGGCGAGAGAACAGGTCGCGTCGAAGCCGATGCCGCGGATGCTGTTCGGGTCGATATTATGTTGCGACATGACTCGGTGGATGCAGATGCAGATGCAGCGCCAGATATCGGTGGTGGATTGTTCCTGATGTTCGATTCAACGATCAATAATTGTTTCTGTTGGATGGCTGATCGGACATGTCATACATAGTATTCTGTTTGCGGCGTCCAGAGACCGATGTTCTCGGATGCGAGTCCGATGATATCACCTTGGTCGTTCATTACACAGGCACGGGCACTGCCGGTCCCGACATCGATGCCGATGAAGTTGTCCGCTTGGGGACGAATCTCGTTGCGGGCGTCTACGAACATACTGGTGACTTCCGAGTGATCCAGCTTGTCAAATCCGAAATATTAGAAACCACAGCAGGTTAGAAAGAGTTTCAGGGGGTATCGGAAGCTTCTGACGACGTAATTGAACGTTGCTGAAGAAAGTTTCGAAATAAAGAAATCTTCGCGTGTAAGCTCTTACGACGTATGTAGCTTCTCGTGACTCGGAGATTCAATTCCTCCATAAGCTCATGATCGCCACCTTCGTTGAGGTCGAGAGCCGTTCTTCAACTCAACGATCTGCGGATGCGGTGTCGTCACATTCAGGTCGGGTGGGGCTCCTTTTTGGCACTGGGTCCCACCGCTCCACCCCGCCCCACCTTGCTGGTCCGCTGCCGCATCTGGTAATCTATCCGGCGATGATTGTATGCTAAACCTCCCCCTTCAACGCTATCATCACATCGGTTGTTCTAGACCGGTTAACTGGAGGCAGACTTAAGTTCAATGCCACGTATTCTAAGCCTAGGTACCTGTCCCAGCCAGCCTAAGTGGTCTTCTCCGAGGAAAATTGTATCAATATCGTCTGAGATTGGTGCAGACACCCACGTCTCGATTCTGGTTAGCAATGATTACAGATAAGGGATAAGGGATAAGGAGCAGGGATGAAACATAAGTGGAGAAATCAGAAGAAAATAAGTCTGAAGCGGAGAGTGGAGAATAGCGATATCGCGAAAACGGTCACTCTCAGTTTCTTATTCAACTGAGTGTTGGCACCACCCTTTGATTCTCTAGCTCTGTCCTCGACCTAGCCGTCTGCTGGCAACTACCATTAGTTAGAACGAACAAAAGAAGTGAATTCCCGAATTATACCGAATCTTAGCGACCCGAAATCCCGCGCGAACGACACACCGCCTTTGAGATGCGGCCCTTGTTACGTCACCGTATATTCAAGGCCTCTCCATCAAACAATGTATAAAGCGTGCCCCATGCGGCTATATATACCTAGCGTAACAGCACAGTGGTGCAAGAATTCACATTCCGTAGGGCATCACCAGGCAGATGAGTCGCTATTTGAGACGAATTCACACTATGATCCTCGCTATCAGATCAGATAGAAGCCAGAGACCTTATTGCCCCCATGGATCCTGTTTGACGGTCGCTTAGGAAATAGGGATCTGATCTTCCACGACGTGCTGGGATATATACTCGCCGTTCGGACTCGTGTTGAGACCGCAGTAAAGTTGGCAATCCCGCCCGGGAAGGGGTTCATGTTAGTCGCGACGCCAGAATCAAGTGGGTAGGCATTGAGCCTGTTGACATCACCGAAATGGTCGGCAGTATGTTGGAGCATGACGACTCTTCTCTACTCCCAACCGCGGCCCCCTCAGCCATGAGACTTGATGTCTTTCATCTAGAGAATACGAAAGAGTTCAAGGTACATCCTAGCTGTGAATCATCCCAGAGAACCTCAGGATCCAAAGCCTTTGAAACACCTGCTTGGTAGAATTAGCGAGCGAGTATGCGCTTGGCCTTGCGACGGTGCGGGCCGCAACACCCTGCCTCGTCATCGATGACAATGTCGGAGATGCTACCGAATTGAGATGATGAGCGGAGTTGGGTTGTAGGGGGCTGCTGCTGATAAACGAGCGCCTTTCAAAGACCATTTTGAGAGACGCCACAGCAGTAGATGCACCTTCATAGCTGAATGAAGCATAAAGGTGAATCGAGGATGGAAATCATGCGGTATAAGATAGTGAGTGTGCCCACGGTCGAAATGACGAGGGCTGATTGACAGGTGAGGTCCGAGACAAAGGAGATCACCAAGATTTCAGGGGATTTGTAGTTCTAATATAGACTATTGATGAGCATAGAACGGAATGCAAGTATTGAAAATAGTAAACTGTTAGAAGGATTGATGAACTGGGCAATGTGCTTCACAGAGCATCTCGGCTGCTTGGTGCATATTATCAGGGAACCATGCGTCTGGTGGCAGAGGAGGCCTTGCATCTATCCATTGTGATCATCATCGATACTTAGCCCTGAAGTGTGTCTTATGGTAAACCAAGTCGTAAGAAAAGCTGTGGTAGGTGGTTTAAGGGATTGGGAAATTCAATATTGAGAATGAAGAACTGCAGATGAAGATGGAGATTATGGATAAGTGATGAGGGTTCATCCAATGATGTGGACGGGACAGACACCCCGGACAGTTCAAGGGCATCAAAAAGAATCTATCAAGGTCGGTATGCGATCTTAATTCCATTTCCGCATAATGCCAGATGCATTTTATTCTTATTCTCGACAAATTCTAATGGATGTCAGCTTCGTGGTTAGGAAGATTATTGCAGATGACACACCGACATGTACGGACACGCCCGTTAGTGGTCGTCGTTGGCGCGACTGGAACGGGGAAGTCAAATGTCAGTGTCGAAATCCTATGATATCATTGAGTCTGATTAAGTTGTTTGATCTTTATATGGATTCTATTCTGAAAATGCCCCAAGCTGGATAAGTCACATGGCTGACTTCTTGCAGCTCGCGGTTGAGATAGCCCGTCGGTTCAATGGTGAGATTATCAATGGCGATGCCATGCAGATGTATAAAGGTCTGCCGATCACGACGAATAAAGTTACCGAAGAAGAGCAGAAAGGTATCCATCATCACCTCCTTGGATGTATTGGCCTGCAAGAAGCACCGTGGACGGTGGGAAAGTTTGTCAACAGCGCCCTGGCGATAGTAAGACCATGGTTCCCTGTCTGAATATGCCATTGTTTAACATGCGTCAGATTAAAGACATCCATACTCGAAATAAGGTTCCAGTCGTTGTAGGAGGAACGCACTACTACACGCAGTCGCTCATCTTCAAGGAGGCACTTAGCGACTCGGGTGATGGGAAAGGTGATGCCACCGTTTTTGAGGAGGCGTATCAACCAAGCAAAACGCATATCATTTCATCGCAATTCCCAATCCTTGATGCCCCTACTGCGGAGATATACGCGAAGTTGCAAGAAGTTGACCCGGTTATCGCCGCCAGATGGCATCCGAACGACAGGCGAAAGATCCAACGGTCCCTTGAAATCTATCTGAAGACGGGGAAAACGGCATCGGAGACATACAGCGACCAGATGAAAGTCCGTGAGGCGCTGTCTTCTCCTGCTCTAGAAACTCCGTCTGCTCGGGAAGAAGACGGCCAAGAGGCTTCTAATAATGAATCCTCGCTAACACGCTTCCCCACCCTCATCCTCTGGCCACATACCGACAGCTTGACGCTCTATACCCGCCTAGACTCCCGTGTCGACACCATGCTCTCTACAGGCCTCCTCTCCGAAGTCGCCGAAATGGATTCCTTCTTCTCGCAATCGCCTCAGCCGATCGACTTAACCCGCGGCGTATGGGTCGCGATTGGCTACAAAGAATTCTCTGCCTACTCCGCTGCTCTGCGTTCAGGGCCAACTGAAGGAAATGAGGAAGAGAATACTGCTAAAGACGTAGCGCAGATTCAAGCGCAATCAATCGAGAAGACGAAAGCAGCGACGAGACAATACGCAAAGCGACAGGTCCGTTGGATCCGGATCAAGTTGTTGAATGCCGTGAAATCTGCACAATCACTCAGTTCTGACCCGCTCGCTGTCCCGAAAATGTATCTCATTTCTTCAACCTCCGCACCCGATTTCGATAAGCAAGTTGTGGAGCCGGCATTAGACCTTACCTCGAAATTCCTTGCAGGCGAGGACCTGCCCGATCCCGAGAGCTTGAGCGAGATGGCGAAGGAGCTGCTGGAGGCGAAACGGGGGGATTTTGGGCAGAGCAGGGAGCTGTGGGAGAAGAATGTTTGTGAGCTGTGTGGGGTCACGACACTGACGAAGCAGGAATGGGAGGTACATGTTAGGGGCAGGAAACATAGACAGGTTTTGAAGAGGAGGGCGAAGCGGGAGAGACCGTCACGTGGTGTTGAGGGTTCAAAAAAGTGCGGCGAAGAGAATGAGGAGGGATCGGGGGATGTCATTGACGGTTATACGTCCCCTTGATCGCGAATTTTGGGGGCAATAGCCTTCATTGAGACATGAATGAGTATACAAGCTGTCATATTGCAACAGTCCCGATACGACGGCCCAGCCGCGGCCGAGAGTACCACTATTCCACACGTTGGGATCGTCTCATACACTACCAAAACAAACAAAAACAAGCGGACCTTCTCATGCTCCGCCTAAACCAGCAGCGTAAGCGAGATAACATGTCCGACTCGCTCCTCCGTCAAGATAGCCGTCGTTGAAATCTGGCCCCACGAAGAAGTCAAAGGCCTTCTGTGGGTCGAATATTGCACGGTTGGCTTCAAGAATGCCTCGCCACCCAGACTTCATGTTTCCAAGCATGTCATCGTTGAAGAACTGGTCCCATTCAAGCTTGGTGAACGCTTTTGTGCGGACATATGCGCTGACAGGGCTTACTGGAATCATGTGGATACTTCATTGCGGAATTGGTTAGCAGGATACGGAGAAAGAAGGGAGTAGTGCACATACCCGTGGATATATTCGACGTTGCTTCCGAAGTAAGTGGTATGGTCAACTTTGTTCTCGAAAAGCTGTCATCCATTAGCAACAGTTTCCCTGCTTGAAGAAGTGCTCGAAGCCACTTACAATACCGGTCACCCTGTTCCCGATAAACTCCTTCGGTTGATTTGTATTCTTCTCATCCATCAGGAAGTACGCCCTCATCGACCTCGCCTTCACCGCCAACTGCAAATTCGCCCGCGCCTCCATGTTCGCATCGCCCACCACCCTCGCCCACATCTTCACCGCGTAGCTCGCGAACGCATCCTCGCTCGTGCTCTCCTGATCCTTCCCATCCGCACTCTCAAACAATCCCTTCGCCCACGAGTGCCCATGATACCAATCCATCGCCCGGCTGACCGGGAAGAACCGATCCCCCTCGGACGGATTATCGAAGTCTCGGACGAGTGCGTTCACCCACGCCTTGTTAGTCCCTTGGCTCAGCCAGTCCTTATCGAGGTAGCCGATGACCGCGGCGGCGAAGATATGGTACCCGTAGTGAAAGTGGTGGTCGTTATAGCCCGTGTTTCCGAAGTCGTGGCCAAGGTCGCCGGAGCCGTAGCTGGCGGTGCTGACCACGCCTTTCCACACGGTATCGTACGCAAGGGGATGCTTTTGGCGATTCTCAACGAAGCGGGCGAAGGCGGATTTGAGATTGTCGAGCCCTGGGGGCACAATGCTCGCCGACCCAGTGCGGACAACGGTGGATTCCGCGTAGAGGATAGAGGCGAACTTGGCAAGAGCCTGTGAAGGGAGTGAGTGGCTAGCGTATCAAGTTCGATATTTCAAGGGGACGTACCTTGCCACTATAGTACATGCTATCCAGATTGCTCTGGTCATCCATGTTCTGACTTAATTCCACACTCGCGGATTCCTGGATCGCTTTCCTAGCCTTCTCCGAGAGAGCTGATTTCCTGACCTCCGTCGCTGCGAGATCCGGGGACCACGGATCGAACCCAATCTGATCCGGCAGGCTTGCTTCAATCATGGTAAGCTGATCAGCCTGCACTGCCGTTGCAATGCCCTTTGTGATGCTCTGCAACTGGATGTTGGTCTTCTTTGACCTTGTCGCATCGTCAAACGAGTCGACATGGTGCGGAAGTGCGAACATAAGCAGTGGACGATCAACCAGTCCGCCTTTCTTCCATCCAATCGTGTACGATCCATTTCCGCCATCAACCGAGCCAGTCAGTGTACCCCCGATGGCATACACTCCGGCAGATAGATCGTAGATCTTCTCGCTTTCCTCGCTGAGGGGATTCTTGGCGACTTGGATGAACCCATCGAAGTTTTCTGGGCCTTTAATGGTCTTACTGTCCATCAGCTCGAATGGAGGAATACCCTCGGTCCCAACCGGGGTGGCGTACAGCAGCCATGTAGAACCATCCTCGAGGCGTACCCGGTATTTTGCAGTTTGGTTTTTCTCCGAGACGAACCCCACACGTGTGAGAGTGCGGAACAGAACACCACTTTGGAACAGAGGCTTAGCGCCGTGGTAGTTCGCAGTAATGAAACCCATGCCCTGCACCACGGGAAGTGATATCAGTGCCTTGTCGCCCTCCTTGACTGACAGCTCCACTTCAGCGGAGAATTGTTTCGGGTTCCTAACTCTCAGTTTTGTCTCTGAGCCCAGTTCCTCGGCAGAAAAAACGAACGATTGGATCCCGATGGGAGATATATAATATCGCGACGGTGTCGACGGCTCGAAGGAAAATTGACTCCTCTCAGTATGTGAGACACTGATGCCCCAGCTATTGGCCGGTCCGCCGCCATTAGACCAGGTGAGAGAGTACGGATGCGTCCATGTACCATGCGATTGACTGCCCAGGAAGAAATTCGCGTAGAATTTGTTGGTCTCAACCGGTTCGTCTCCATCACCGACAGCATTCCTGACGATGGGATGATCTCCTCTGTTCTTAATCTGCGTCGGTGGCGCATCTGTTGCGATTGGCTCGAATATATTCATCGCTGCTGACGCAGTTTGGATTGTTGGCTTTGGAACGATAGCGGAGCCGCTGGGCTGGATCGTTGAGGCTGGCTCAGGAAGTATCGTAGATGGGAAAGGCTGCGTAGAAGATCTAGCGGTTGTGTCAAGCCCGGTGTGGATTGACTGCGGTGTTGTTAGCTGGACTCAGGATATCAAAACAACACCAAGCTTTTTACAATAACACAAGCAGTCCATATCATCTGGAAGCATGGCGGTCCTCGACCTCCAGATCCTGGTATCCTCATTGTGACTAGCAATAACAGAAATTGAGGAATGGGACAACATGGAAGAGTGAAGAACCAAAACAAGTATATGAAACAGCCAGTGAAGAGATTCGCAGAGAAGATACAATTGTGAAGAACCAGAAAGTATCTGTGAAGAACCAGAAAGAACCGTAACAGTAAATATGGTGAAGGTGAACACTGATGTAAACAAACTCACTCCGATAGTGGCTGGTTCTGTTGTTGGGGTGCCCAACTGGGTCACTGGATTACATGTAGAGTAACTCGTTGTGACTTTAGCAGACGAAAGAGACAAGTAGAAGTCTCGTCGGCCCTCTTCACTGATACCACGGGGCTCCTGATCTATCCCAAAATGGATGACAGAGTCTGGTGATGGGTTTTTGTCTTGATCCTCCCCATGTGGAAGGGGGAGGACCATCGACGATAGATAAAGAAATATCAACAATTGAAGCACCGCCATTTTGACTGTTAGAACCGTCACTGAAGGATCATGATAAATGGAAAATCGAAGCAATATATAAACGAGCGAACTGCCATTAACTTGAACGTAGAACTTCATCGTGTAGATGCGCAGCTGATGAATATAAGAGCGATCTTAATCTTCATCACCACCTCCTGACCCCAAATCACCGATAGCGATGGCACTCTGAAAGAATCTCTCAGGTCATTAGTAATACGTGGCCTATTAAGTTCCTCAAGATATCCAGGTATGCAAGAGATATGCATATCAATCCAGGGAAGGACGCGATAGTGGCTCCCCAAGTCCGTAAGGGGAGGATGTGACTTTTTGGTTCATGTCATCTGCCGGCGAATGGCATGAGCAGATGTCACTCCAAACCCGGTTCGGATGATCGCCGAACAAGCCGAAAGGGGTTGCGCCCTCATGTGGCGCACGGGATTCAGCCTGAAACGCGAAGGTGTTCATTGCCAAATCTTGGTTCTGGGTGTAAGATTGGAGGCTCAAAGGGATGCGTAAAATAGAGTTAAACCAGGATTCCAGCCATGAGACAGGGTCCAATCAAAGAGATCTAGGTGAGGTACCTAGCTAAGGATTATGCTCCTGAAAACTGCCCAGCATCTTAGGACACGGAAGGATACTGAAGAAATTGAAGGATAAGAAACAATGAGGACTTCCATCAATCAAAAAGAAGTATGAATAATGACTTTGGAACAGGTGGAAGTGGCTACTCTCCACATTCGACCATCCCACATTGATTCCAGATCCTCAGGTTCTCTGGTACGGTACTGGTGTTTGTTTGAGATTCAGCCGCCATCAGATCGACCAAATGGCCTCTGGGAAACCTCACCCTCTTCCCAGAAGTAGGGTCATGGGTTAGTGGTCATTAGATCGATCCAAGTCAGGGTCCTACCGGATACCGGTATCAGGGAAAGTCATCCAAGCTATCAGGCACGGGTCTCGTTGCCGACGTCACACTTGTGAGCGGATGATCGATCGCTTTGTCCGACTGAAGAGGGCGATAGGCGGCATGACTGTTGCTTGCAAGTTTTTGACGGCAGCATGATGCCGGTGGAATCAGAAAACGGGCTTGAGATGTAGCGTTGATGTTGCATCTAGCATGGGCGCATTGGTAGAGAGATAGGAACAGAGCATATAGGTGGAGGTAGAAGAGATCCAACCTTTGACCGCGTATACGTTGACTAGTGACTACTCATTGCAAGTCAAGATCAAAAGAGACAGACTGCTATATTCCAATACACAGTACCTAAAGGGAAATTGTGAATATGGACGACTGTTGAGTGTTGATGAGTGATCTGAAGTCGAGACGAGACGCCGTGACCGGGAGAACCTTCCTCCAGCCTCCCCACTCCCCTCCACACTTTTGCCGCTCCTCGAAGCCGATCCCCAGATCCGTCATCGCTCCCGCTCGACGGTCACCCGAATCAACTCCGACGATAAATATGGCTTGAATAATCCAATTCTCTCTGCGGGCAGGTCTCCAGAGATTCAATATTCAGGCTGCTCTGCCATTTCACTCCTTTATCTGACCCATCCAATTGAATACAGCTCTCACTGTGAGGTACAATCTAGAGGACGTATTATTGTAGATCGTGAAAAGAGCCATGGCAGGCTACCTCCACAAAGGAGCGAAGCAAATCCTCCAGAAACACCCCCAAGATGTCGTCTTCCTCTCTGCTCTCCGCACACCTGTCACCCGCGCGAAGAAAGGCGGTCTAAAGGATGCCTACGACCATGAGATGCTCGCCTGTGTAAGCCCCCATCCCTTCCCCTTCTCATCCCCCACTCACCCCCCCAGGTCCTCAAAGCCACCCTCGACAAGCACCCCAACCTCCCTCCCTCCCACATTGAAGATCTCCAAATCGGCACAGTCCTCTCCGAGCTCGGCGGCTCCAAAGCCGGCCGCATGGCCTCCCTCCACGTCGGCTACCCCTTCACATCCACCTTCCAGACCGTCAACCGCGCCTGCAGCTCCGGGCTCGCCGCCATAACTGGCGTCGCGCACAGCATCGCGGTTGGGCAGATTAGTGTGGGCGTCGGCGGCGGGATGGAGAGCATGACGCGGAACTACGGGTCGCGGGCGATCCCGACGGGGTTGTCGCCGGATTTGAAAGAGAGTTCGGTGAAGGACGCGCGGGACTGCGTGATGAATATGGGGATCACGGCGGAGAACGTGGCGGAGCGGTATGGCGTGACGCGGGCGGAGATGGATCAGTTCGCGGCAGGGAGTCAGTTGAAGGCGGCGAGGGCTCAGAAAGAGGGTTTGTTCGATCAAGAAATCGTGCCGATGACGACCCGGTTCGTGCCGGATCCGACGGTGCCGGAGAATGTGGAGACGATCACGGTGTCGAAGGACGATGGCATCCGGCCGACGACGACAGTGGAGAAACTCGCGTCGATGAAGCCGGCGTTCAAGGAGACAGGAACCGGCACCGCGGGAAATAGTAGCCAGGTATCGGACGGCGCTGCCGCAGCGCTCATGATGCGGAGAAGCACGGCAGAGGAATTGGGACTTTCAGGGTCAATTATCGGCAAGTGGGCAGGGACTGTCGTCGTCGGCTGTGCGCCAGACGAGATGGGCGTCGGTCCGGCGCTGGCGATTCCGAAGCTGTTGGATCACACGGGAGTCAGCAAGGAGGATATTGGGATTTGGGAGATCAACGAGGCGTTTGCTAGTCAGGCGGTCTACTGCGTTCGAACGGTGGGCATTGATGAGGAGAAGGTCAACCCGAAGGGAGGCGCTATCGCGTTGGGTCATCCGCTGGGTGCAACCGGAGCACGGCAGCTCGCTACATTGCTCCCGGAGTTGGAGCGGCAAGGCAAGGAGTTTGGGGTTGTAAGCATGTGTATAGGAACTGGTATGGGTATGGCGAGTCTGATCGTCAGGGAATAAATTGTCTCTGTATCACCAACAACGGCATGCACGCTCCGTATTCATGACTAGTAGTTCTAATAGGTCATGAACCCTCCGCTGCTGCGTTCCCTTTATTCTTTTTATTCTTTTTCCGCTTCTTAGCTTTCTCCTCGAGCATATCGTCGAGGAAGGTGTTCGCCTTTCGTTTGGGTCGATTGACCGTTGGGACTGGCGCCGTTTCGCCATCCGCCGCGGTATCATCTGCGTCCGACCCCTCCTTCTTTGCCGATGCGACCGAGTCTGCGGCCTCTGTAGAACCATGGCCATGTCCTGTTCCTTTCCGGGTCCGCTTCGACGAGAAATGCGCTGTCCGGCCTTCGTCCGTGTCGCTCTCATCCTGGGTCGCCGTGTGCTTCAGCGGTAGACCTTTGTGTTGCGACTTGGTTGCTTGGAGTGAGGAGGATGGGGCTTTGGCAGATTTGCCTAGAAGCTTTCTCCGTAAGAGATCGGTGGAAGTCCTGCTGGACCATCCTTTGCCATCGTCGTCTGGGATCTTTGCGCCGACGCCGAGTCTGGGGGAACAATTAGCATTCTATGGTTACCAGTCGATATGCGGACATTCCATACAATTCAGGCGTAGACTTAAACAGTTCGTGGTCCTCTTTCTCCAATTCCTCCTCTGTTTTCCGTTTTGCTAGCTCTGCCGGTGTTGGGGCAGGCAGCCATGATGAGACCAATCGCTGCTGTTTTGCAAGGGCGACGTTCACTTTATTGAAGATGATATCTGCTTCCGAGGGCGGCTTAGACATTTTGAACCGGCTGTAATGTCCATTTGGGGGTTTACATGCAATATTGGTCGATCTGATATTGTACATACAAATGCCGAACAGAACTGCAGTGAAAGTGCCCCACTTAATCATCCAAACCCTGCTTACCTAAGACGCGGGTTGTCGCTGTTTTGAAGCTTCCGCGTCTCCTCACGGTAATCCATTGTCTCCATAACCGCTCTTCCCGAACCTCTTTCCCTAATCCCTTCTGCTGCGGTATTTGCTTCGAGCTCCATACCGCACAGATGTTGAACCTCATTCGCAGTCGGCCCTTGACCGCCGCCCTAAGGTCCACCGTTGTAAGTACTCGGTTGTTCTCCGTATCACGGATGAGAGCACCCGGATCTGATTGATGTCGTAGATTTCTCCTCTCAGACAGACGGTCGTGCAACAACGACGGAATCTAGCCATTCATGAATACCTCTCTGCCGATATCCTCAAGTCATATGACATTGGTGTTCCACGGGGTGAGGTCGCCCGTTCGGCCAAGGAGGCAGAGGAGATCGCGAAGAAGATCGGCGGAGATGACATGGTCATCAAGGCACAGGTCCTCGCCGGTGGGAGAGGGAAGGGGACGTTCGATACTGGATTCAAGGGCGGAGTGCGGGTGATCTACTCGTGCGTACTCCATTTGAACATTCTCTCGACATTGGCTGACATGCTCCTTCAGACCGACCGAAGCTCGAATCCTCGCCGACCAAATGATCGGACACAAGCTCATCACCAAGCAAACCGGCGCCGGCGGCCGTCTTTGCAACTCCGTCTATATCGTCGAGCGTAAATTTGCCCGAAGAGAATTCTATCTCGCCGTCCTGATGGACCGTGGCTCGCAAGGGCCCGTCATCGTTGCTTCTTCGCAAGGTGGCATGGACATCGAGGCCGTCGCCAAGGAGAACCCGGAGGCAATCATCACGACCAAAGTCGACATCCACACGGGCGTGACTGACGAGATGGCGCGGAAGATCGCAACGGATCTCGGCTTCTCGGAGCAGTGCATCGAGGAAGGGAAGGACACCATCCAGAAGCTCTACAAGGTGTTCATGGAGAAAGACGCGACGCAGATCGAGATCAACCCGCTATCCGAGACCACAGACCATCAGGTGCTCTGCATGGATGCCAAGCTGAACTTCGACGACAACGCCGACTTCCGCCAGAAGGAGGTCTTCTCCTACCGCGACACCTCGCAGGAAGATGCTGACGAGGTCAAGGCCGCGGAGCATGGGCTGAACTTCATTAAGCTGGACGGCGACATTGGCTGCTTGGTCAACGGTGCGGGTCTGGCTATGGCGACGATGGATATCATCAAGCTCAATGGCGGGCAACCGGCGAATTTCCTGGATGTCGGCGGCGGCGCCACTCCGGAAGCGATCAAGGAGGCGTTCGATCTCATCACCAGCGACCCGAAGGTGACGGCGGTCTTTGTGAACATCTTCGGAGGGATTGTCCGTTGCGATGCGATTGCGAAGGGCTTGATTGGGGTCGTGGAGACCATGGATATCCGAACGCCGATTATTGCTCGGTTGCAGGGAACGAATATGGAGGAAGCCCATCGCTTGGTATGCCTTGTCTTTTAAATGCTTCTTGCTCAGCTAACCATGTTCCCAGATCAACGAGTCCGGCTTGAAGATCTTCTCCATCGAGGATCTCCAGACCGCAGCGGAGAAGTCGGTGCAGTTTTCCAAGGTTGTCAAGATGGGTAAGTCAGATTACGATCCATCGTTTTGATCGATTACTGACCATATTTTCAGCTCGCGATATTGACGTTGGCGTCGAATTCACTCTGGGTATTTAAGCCCATTTCAAGCTTGTTAATTCGGGTGTTTAATCGATTACTCCGGTTCTGCCCCTTTGTATTACCCGATAAGTGTTTATTACATTACTGTCTACCAGCTATATGATCAGGCTCGCTTAGATCTGCCCGACAATGTCCATTCGATCCATTTCACTCAACCAGCCCATGACAAGTGTTCCATTCCCAACCCCGTTCTAACACGCCTCAGGAGATCGACCATCCTAGGAAATCTAGCTTTGGATGTTGACCCGTCCTGTGCAGGCTGTCAAACGCTTTTATTACCCCAACCAGGTGGCAGCACGCTGCGATCAGGACGAAGAAATGGAAGATTTGGTGGGAGCTACCCCAGATGTCGAAATGGCCAGGTTTTAGCCGCTCCGGAACACGACACTGCCAGCCGGTCAGAACACGGATAATTGGGTGTACAGTAACGGGCGAAAGGAAAAGCATACCGCATAGATAATAGCTCCGATGATATACAAGGCTCCCTGCGTCGCCATCCATCTCAAGGATATCAACTCGTCGATGCGGCTCAGTTCGTAAAGCCGGGTGCCGTGCAGAACCGGAATCACTCCTGAAAGTCCCATCGCGATAAACATAGTAGCTCGCAGCGGACGATACTTCGAGGAGGCGAATTTCGGCGACATAACCACCTCGGCACAACAGGCGCTAATCGTTGTGATCTTTGAGAACACTATCAGCATCACCAATCCCTCCCAAAAACCATCGCGACTTACCATGACCCAGTAGGTCTTGATCAGTCTCGGATGTTCGCGAAACCCATAATATATACTCGGAATAAAGCTCCCCCAGATCAAAAACACGATGCCTAAATAATCCAACTTATTCGAGAACTGGTGCACGTTCGGCGAGTGGTTCGCCACGGTATGGAACCACGCTGACAGCGTGAGACACATGGCCGCGCCGAGGAAGAAGCACCCGAACACAAACACATCCTCTCGCGACGCCGTCTCGTATCGCGCGGCCAGCTCGCGGTAGAGGAACGCGGACCCGACAATCGCGGCGATGGAGCCGAGGAGGTGCGAGTAGATGTTGACGGTCTCGTTGTGGATGTAGGCGAGGCTACGAGCGGATTTGCGGACGGAGTTGGACGCTGGGCGGTAGCCGCTGCGGATGTAATGGTTGTCTTGTTGCCAGTGCTCCAAGTCGTTCCACAGCACGGTGAGCCTCTCTTTTAATTGTTTGGCCTCGTCACTGGCGGCATTCGTCACCGTTTCTACCGACCGCTTGACTTGCTTCATGGTCCTCGAAACTGAGTCGTTATAATCTTAGTAAATCTATGAAAAGGTGGACGGAATCTATGGGGTGACGCATAACAAAAACGGGGAGAACACCTATTTAAGCGTTCGATACTCAAGGACAACGTGGTGGTATTGTCTTAGCATGTGAAATTGGGTGGACTGACGTTGACATTCAATGTCGAGATGAGATAAATATTGATGATCCGAGTCATGTAGCATCCCACCTGCCTTCCAACTCGAGTCATGCACACTTTCTTCATATCAACACTCAAGAGCGACGACCGTTGTCGACATCGTTCTGATGCATAGGTGAACGTGAACAGGTTCCGGAACCGGTGAATCCTCCAGCATGAATCCTCGTTTTAGCAATGATCGTCATGTGTCCTCCAGCTCGACACAGAGGAAGACACCACAACAACATCCAGCCAACCGGAGGGTAACCACTGGAGGATGGGGACGGTTAAGATCACCAACGCATGAGCCACTTGAAGCATATGGGTTACCTTCCAAAGGGGAGACACGGTATGTCTATCTCCGATAAGCCATTCCTTGGGGAAGTCAAGTCATGCGCCCTTCTTCCTCAATTCCCCGCATTTAGTTGAGAGACCATCGCTGAACATAATTCCGATCCACAGCCTTAACGACCCGAAAGCGCAAGAGGCATACTACAACAAGATCGTGGAACGCTACATGAAATTCTGCGCCTCCCACGCTTCCGCCCCCGAAACTCTCGCCGACCAATTCGCCGCCATCTCTCTCACCCCTCCCACCCACCAACCACCCCCCTCCCCCTCCGCAACTCCCTCCCCCACGACCCCCTCCCCCGAACTCCAAACCATCCTCCACGCCATGCGAAAGCTCCGCGAATCCCTCACCGCCACCAACCGCCTCGACCCCTTCGCCCAGCGCGCCTACGTCTTCATCACACGCGCCGCGCTACTCTGCAAATCCTACGAGTCCTACCACCCGGCGCTCCAGCGGCTGCTTGGGCCGATCCACGCGCACGTCCCGCTCTCGGACGTCGAGCTACATGAGTTTGTAGGGTACGAGATCTTGGATCTTGCGTGTCGGCAGGGGGACTATGCGGCGGCGCATGCGCTGCGGGTGCGGGCAGGGTATGCGGATCGGAGGGTGGAGGGGGTAGTGAGGGCGTTGGTGAGGGATGATTGGGTGGGATTTTGGCGGTTGTGGAGGGCGGTGGATGGGTATCAGAGGGGGGTGATGGAGTGGGCGGTGGAGGGGTTGAGGGTGCATGTGTTGAAGTGTTTCGCGAGGACGTATTTTGAGGTGGAGAAGGAGTATTTGGAGAGGGTTACCGGGGAGGGGTGGGAGGGGTTGGTGAAACGGGGGGTGGGTTGGGAATTGGTGAAGATGGAGAATGGGAGGGAGAAGATTGTTATTCGGAGGGTGAAGAAGAAGTGAAAGTGGTGGGAGTTGGGCTTTGATATCCCTAACTAAACCATTTCCTAACATGCATTAGCACCATGAGTTGTAGTATCATACATTTGGTAAGTCTCTGGATCTCGGAGTCTCATTTGTCGCTAACCAAAATCAAGGGGCTTACACAAGGCCTGATGAAACCGACTATGCGATGCGGTGTCCTAGACGATTAAACGACTATACGATTAGAATGAAGACCTTATGACTGCTTTCATTCGTCTGCATCCTCCATCTCTTCATCTTCCACTCCGTCCGCATCAACAAGCTCGTCGTCGTCAGAGACATCCTCGTATGCCATCTCATCCAGGTCCTCATCGTCCAAATCCTCAATCTCATCCGTATCGTACTCATTCTCCATCTCGTCACCTTCCTCGGCAGTCTCATTCGGCTTCTTTTCCATCCGCTTCTTCTCAATATTATCCCGCTGTTCCTTCCTCCTCGCATCCTTCTGCGCTGTTCTCCTCTCCCACTCCTTCTCCTGCTTCTTCACCTCTTCAGGGGACTTGTCGACGAACTCATGCCACATGACCTTCCCTGAACATACCCCATCCTCGACCTTCACTAACCGCATCCGCATCCGCGGTCCAATTTCAATCAGCTTCACGGCGCGCTTCTCCACCCTCGAATTCTGCGCCGGTCGACTCGGCTTCTTCGCTCCGCTCTCCCCGTCCTCGGCTACCCTCGCGTTGCGATTGGGGAACGCCCGCTTCTCCATGACCCCGACCTCGACCTCTGCATCCGTATCCGGCTCGCTCTCGCTAGCCGACGTGTAACTCCCAGGGTCATCCCCATGAAGGACCCAATCACTGACATCCGGAAGTGATCCTAGATTCGGCACGCTTCTTCCCTTCTTCTTACCCGCACCGGTCGGAGCTGCCGCTGCGCCTTTCTTCGCTGCGCTTTTCAACCGCTTCACGGCGCGAGAGGCACTGGCGGTTTTGGTGGTGATCGCGAAGTGTCGGAAGGTGAGGATATATGAGGGGTTATCGGATTCGTCGTGGGAAGTTTGAGGGTCGGTGGAGGGGGAATTTGGTTCGCGGTTGAGAAGGAGGACTCGCTTGATGCTGGACAACGGGGTCGTTTGTGGGGTGATGGGTGGGAACAGGGATTGGAAGACCGTCGTGCACAGCTGCTCAAGATGCTTTGGAACGCCCTTTGGCTGACCCTCAGAGGACTCTTTTGAGCCCTTTTTAGTGGTTTGAGGCGACATGAAGTTGTTCATGACCAGCTATGATCACAGTTAGACCTGAAGTGCAATTCCGAAGCACTCCAATACATACCAATGGCGGACTCTTGTACAGATTTGTATCGTTCTTGGGATGCCTCATCGCCTTCATTATATCCTTACAAAGCGAATAATTGTCCACTCGAAAATGCAGCGTCGGTCCTCGAGGCGTAATCGCGATCCGCAGATTCGTATTCCCAGCCGGCGACCGCGAGAACAGAATCAAATGCGTCACTCCCAACGGTCCACACATCGTCGTGTAGTCTCTCAGCTTGTTCGCTTTCCGTTCCTGCGATCAAACATGTCAGCCAGGGCACACGCCATGCGCTCGCGATTTTCAAACCCTTAATCGGCTCGCCGTCTCGGGCTCCATCACACTTCGAACGTCCTGCGCAAGTTGGCTGATGCTGGGCCCGACTTCTCCTGCACCTATCCGAAGGACCATGCTCTTGGGTGTGCGCTCAATGTTCCTCCCGGACTGGTCTTGCACATTGCGCGCTTGCGTCCGCTTCTTAACCCTTCGTCGCGCCATTGTGTTGTCGTGAGAAACTTCGGAGGGGTATGGAAATTCGATCTGGCGAAGTCGGGATTCCGGTAGAGATTCGGAATAGCGAACAAGAATAATCAAAGTTGCTTTCGAAGGATGTTCACTAGATCAAGGCGACACCAATACCGTTGGCCGAAATTCTCAGTTTTGAAGTTAAGAAATTTTATGGGTCTGCGCGCGGACGGATTTAAGCGGATATAAGGGTCCAACGGTGCAGTTCCAATATCAGAAACAAATATTCCGTAGCTACCGTAGGTATGGAACGGGTATTTGACCTCCCTACAGTATGTCTGGACAACGCCTTGTAGGTGAGTATTACTACATGTCTAGTACACGAGATTGGGCTTAGGTTGCGTCCCATTTATATTGCAAATATCGAGTTCCGAGCCCTCTTGATACTTGCAGCTACTTACACAGTTTCGTAATCCCAACGTTACGCATAAAACTGTGATCGATTGCTCTGATACCTTCGTCTAGGTCTACATCTAGCCATTTACTTTTATAATGACTACGCTTGACAACATAGGAAGGAATTGAATAATTATTCCAATTCGATCGTTCCCGGCGGCTTGCTTGTAATGTCGTAAGTGACGCGGCACACCCTAAGAAGTATGTAAGTAAACGGTGGCATAAAGATGCATTGGTTATCCTAGATGGCTGTGGTAGAAATACGTACCCATGAACTTCGTTCACAATCCGATTCATGACCCTTTGTAAGAAGTCCCAAGGGAATTCAACTATCCAGCAAGTTAGCCTGTGTCATATCCAGGCCAAGGTAAGCACAGCTGCTGGGATTAGATCACTTACAGGCTTCCGCGGTCATGTAATCTGTGGTCGTAACGGCTCTCAAAACGATGATATAGCCGTAAACACGCCTATCTCCCATGACACCCACGGCGCGACTCGGGTCGACTGCTGCATAGGCCTGGGAGATATTGTTGTACAACCCAGCCTTGCGAATCTCGGAGATGAAGATATGGTCAGCTTTACGGGCAATGTCGACCTTTTCCTGAGATACTTCGCCAAGGATTCGGACGGCTATGCCGGGACCGGGGAATGGATGCCGCATCACCAGTTCTTCTTGGATTCCGAGTGTTCGGCCGAGCGCACGCACCTCGTCCTTGTAGAGGCTTCGAAGCGGCTCAATCAGCTGCATACCTTGCCCATTGGTCATTCTCTCCGGTAGGCCACCAACATTGTGATGAGTCTTGATCGTTGCTGAGGGACCCTTGAAGGAGAGACTCTCGATGACGTCCGGATATAGTGTGCCTTGGAGGAAGAAGTTGATATTTCCGGCCTTGCCGGAAGCGGCCGCTTTATCCTCAATTCGCTTAGCCTCCGCCTCGAAGACATCGATGAACTTGCCACCGATGAACTTTCGCTTTTTCTCGGGATCTGAAACGCCCTTGAGACCGTCGAGGAACTGTTGTGAAGCATCCACAACGGTTAGATTGATCCCTAGGTGCTCCTTGAGATCTTTCTGTACTTGATCGCACTCGTTGAGTCTCATGAGACCATTGTTGACGAGGACTGCCCAGAATCTGTCACCAATGGCCTCCGTCATGAGTTTCGCCGCAACAGTGGAATCAACACCTCCGCTAACAGCTCCTAGGACCTGGCCTGTTTCGCCGACGAGCTCACGAATCTGCGCAATCTCTTGCTCTAAGAAGGCATCCATAGTCCAGTCTTGTTTGCAGGCGCAGATATCGATGGCGAAATTTTTCAGTAGCTGAGTCCCATTCTGCGTATGGGTGACTTCGGGGTGAAACTGCAACCCGTAGATCGGCTCTGTTTTGTGAGCAATGGCGGCGTACTCAGAGTTGTCAGATGTTGCCACGGTGTGAAATCCCTCGGGAAGTTTGGCCAACTTGTCACCGTGACTCATCCACACGCGCATTGAACCCTCAAGGTCTTGGAATAGACGGTCGACATGCCCATCGATCTTTTGCGCTTTAAGTATGGAGTGACCATACTCTCGGTGCGTGCCGGCGATAACATTTGATGAATCCGCACGGTATGCGATCTCCTGCATACCATAGCAAATGGCAAGAATGGGCACATTCAGGTCAAAAACCGCGGGATCAACGTGAGGGCTCCCTTCTTCGTAGACTGAATACGGCCCTCCTGAGAGAATGATGCCCTTGGGTGTGAAGTCCAGCTCAGAGATCTTCTGAGTGCATGGGAGCATCTCCGAGAAGACATTGAGTTCACGGAGTCGGCGGGAGATCAGGTGGGTGTATTGTGACCTATCTCAGCGTAAGTGCGGATCCTTCTATCATCTCATTAGAGAATAAATTTGACAAATTCCCCTGACGCACTCCTCCTATCTCATACGGTGAACATGCTTTGTAAGATTAGACACCGTATATTTAGTGAATTGATAGAGGAATGAGTCACCTCCAAGGAGAACAGCTCAGCAATTGTTCACCATCTTAATAGATCTGAGGGGAAGTGCTTCAACATATTCAAGCCATGGATTTTTCCTGCTTTTAATAGAGAACGCAAATTTGAATGGGCCTTACCCGAAGTCAAGAGTTAATATGGTGTCGAATGATTTGTGAGGAACAGCCATCGCGATGGCGTGTCTTGGCGCGTAGCCGTTGATAACTTCTAGGCAGAGTAAGCGATAGTTCAAGACGGCCAGTCGAATAAGAATTTACAAAATTGATTCGAGGAATAGTTGTATTCCCTATTTACGGTACTCTGGTGATATGAACATTTGCGAAATTTCAGTGAGGTTGATTTTCTGCGCCGCACGATCTAATCTTATCTGATCATTTCGAACACACGTTTGGTCACGTGGCAAACGAAGTAAGAATGTGGCCGTGCTCTTGGCAACCTAACTTCACTACTTCAGTCTTTCTCCTCAGTTCCAACGTCGAATAACATCCAGCAGATGCTCTATCAATGGGTAGCAACGAACGCAGCACTGTAACTTTACTTCACGTCCTATTGACGAATCTAATCAATTATTTCAGCGTAGATACGTTTGTCCAGCTTGTCCAACTCGACAAAATAGCGGCCTACCTCATATCAGTGCTTCGGATTGCTAAACGCCTGCGACACTCAAACCTCAATCGTTTCCTCTGCAGCCATCGGTAAAGCCATCCGACGCGAATTGGACCTTATTATTGTTAAAGCAACGCGCTCGAACCCAGATTGGTGTGTTGAATGATGCACCCCATTCATTTCCGTCCTCATCCGGCTCATCGTAGTACGAGAACTTCCACGCCGTGAGACCACCGCCGATGCATCCTCTTGCATGCTTCATCAGTGTATCCTGGCCATAATCATGGCCTGCCCATCCGTGTCCTCGGATCTTATATTCACCCCAAAACACCTTGTACCACCCCTCGCAGTATCCATTCCTCTTTTTAATGGGGGGCCAGGGACGGTTGGTCCGCTTGACGTTTACCTCGTAGGTATATTCGCCCTGTTCGAACTTTCCACCGAACTTCCAGTTCAACGGGTTGTTTGAATCGTTGCCATCGCATGAATGGATGATTTTCTTAAATGCAGAAAGACACGCCGATTCATCGAACGCCGAGGCAAGTTCGTCAAGCTTGATCACAAATTCATGCTCATCTAGCGTGCCTTGATGGTATGTCTTCTTGACGGTCCAGCCATTGGTGTTTGACGGCGCTTTCACCTGCTTTTTACAGAAATCTTGATAATTCGTGTCCATACGGGCGGAGCTAGCATATCCCTTAGACCCTTTCTTTTGCCAGCACGTAAAGATCTCTGCCGGTTCGCAGTATGGATTTTCCTTATCGAGAATCTCACCCCTTAAGGAGATTGCGGTCGCAATGGCAAAGGCCGCCACTGATTGGTGGCCCAACTCGTTAGGATGGAAGTACTTGCCCCATCGATCGGGGATGCCAATGCTGCCACCTATGCCGCCATCTCCTGGACAACCGGGCGGATCAGGGGCACGAGGGTCAAGCTTGTGGAGCACTTCGGCCTGCGGATTTGGCTCCATCCAGAGAGCGGAACGGCGGATATCTTGAGTGCTTGCTTTCAACGCAGCAATTTCGGCCGGACTCAGTTGAAGTTCTCGTTTGCGTTTCAACTCATCATGCCCATTGACCTGGCGAGTGGAAGGCTTGAAGAACTGCAAATCGGGCTGGACTGGATCTGGGTACAGCCCTGACGACTTCTCACCACACATGAGACCACTAACACCCTTCGTCACCCAGGGACTCCAGTCCGACCACCCAATCTTGTATTTGATATTGGACTTAGTTTGGAACTCCTCGACCACCTCTTTCAGAGCCTTATTCGCATTGGCCGCCAACGTGTTGAAGGTGCGCCGACGCTCCTTAGTCAATTCCAACGCATTGCCGAAGGGCAAAAGGGTCCAGTCCTCCTTGGTTTTGTCTGCACAGCTGCTCGTCTCCGCGTCAAAGAATGGCGAGTAGAGGTTAAAAACCACCACACTGTCGTCGTTCATTTTGGAGTTCAATGCATCCAAAAGCGATCGAATGTTGGGTTTTAATATGTTGTCGATGTTATTCTGTGCAATATCCAAGACCTCCTCACACCCTGATTCGCTCTGAAAGCTCATCAGGATGCAAGTCTTAACAATACCGGCCTAACAGAATCAGTACAGCACTGCTACGATGCAGTGTTGAAGCTCACCAGGCAAAGATCGTTCCCACCAGCTGTCATCATCACTAAATCCAAGTTCCCTTTCAAAGCGTTGATCTGGTTGATGATGTTCACCGATCGATCCCCACTGCAGGCCGGATACTGGAAATCTTCAACGTGCGATCCGAGGAAATTATTCACGAGAGCCGGATACCCACGATCATATCGAGAGCAAGCATAGTCATCTTTCCGCTGTCCCCAAAGACGTCCAGCCCCGATAGCGGCTGTATAACTGTCTCCGACTGCGGCCCATCGTTTGACCCACGAGAAATCGGTCACTGTGTTGGATTGCCTCTTAGCATGGACATTGTATGGGAAAGAGCTATTCTTCGTATACGCGGCATCATCCTCATAGATATAAGCAGAAGCAAGGGCTATGCCTTGAAGGAAATATAGAAACAGGCGCATGATGGTCATCATCTGGGGATCATGCCAAAAGAGCGACTGATGAGAAAGAGGTGGATGTTCAAATCGTGGAACGAAGAGAAATGAAGTTGGCGATGTGCCTCTCCGTGAAGAACGTCTGAGAGCATAGGAAACTTGGAGGCGGTCAAACTTCTCACTATCCAAGGTATTTCCCTTCTCATGGCTCAAGCGGGCTCGGAGTTTCGAGGGCCCTTGGAACGTTTGACCCCCGTCCCCGGGTGGGCCGATTGTTTCCCATGCTGCTGGTGAGAATATCAGATATTAATTCATTCCATGCAAAGGTCTTCCGCGTATCGGACGATATCTCGATATGCCGGACACCTTGGGCAGGGGAAGCAATCCATCAAGCTGTTTTTGGGGTACGAGTTGGATATGATGGATGCTACTCTTGTCGGAAAACGTTCCCGTTCCAGAGCCGCAGTAGTTGCACTAACACGGAATTTGATATTGCAATTTACATTCGTACGCTATGAGCAAGTTGCATCGGAGCGGCTATCTGAATCACGAGCTTGATCCGGCATCGTATTACTCAAGAGATAATGAGATGGGTGAATCCTCACGCCACTGACGGGCTGAAGGTCTTCAGCCTTGGAGGGCGCACGTTTTGAGCTGACCCACTTGTTGCAGATCTTCATCCCGCCTACCATAGTAGGTATCGTTTATAGAACAAGCTTGGGTTCAATGTTCTGTACATGTTAGTACCTGCATATAGTGCGAACATGGATGGCATAGGAAGTCCGATCCTGCATGGAGGATCGAGATCCCAGTCCTGTTGGTGCCATGGAAATTCCATTCCGATGCATCGACCCCTATCCAGATTCGAGACTTGGAGTCATCTCAGTGTCCTACAGAAGTCCCCAAACATCCCGGACTGAAAAGAGCTTGGATATTTTCTTACCTGATCTACCGGAAGCCCCTAGCAGGCTACGATGGTTCGTTCCGCTCCTGGGGCCAAAGACATGGCTAATTACACACCCCTACTATTGATGGGTGGTTCCGGCAAAGGGGGAATTGAAGGGTATCATACTCGGTTGCTGTGCTTTTCGGCGAGCATATGTGTCCGGGAAAGTAACATCTCCTTCAGTTGATTCTATCGCTGGCCTCGTCTTCTTGCAACATTCCACAGGAGTGAGTTGCGCTCCATATGAAGCCCAACCCAATCGCCCTCCGAAGTTTGTATCTTTACGTTGTTTAATTTTTCAAAGACTGACATTCACGCAGATTTGGATTGAGCTTGGCCACAATGCAGTCGCAACATTTCTGTCTGATCTTTCTCCTATGCGCCTGGCGATCACTCGCCGGCCATGCATCATGGGAACAGCCAGTCGACAACTCTACCATGCTACATCATGATAAGCGATATTTCACCGTCGGTATTCCTGGACAAGGAACGGCAAACTCTATTGGAGAGAATTCCCAGCCATGGCCCAACGCGAAGATTCGGTATTGCTTTGCGGACGACGAGGCCGAGACCGAATTGAACGATCATGTCATCAGTGGCATGCAGTTATGGTACGAGCATGGCCTGAATGAAAATGTGTTCAAGATGGTAAAAATTGGCCGAACAGAGTGCATGGGAGACCGAGCAAATCACTTGGTGGTCAGTTACAATGGTCAAGGCCACCTTGGATCAAGCGTGGGGAAGATTGTCGCGAACCCCCCCGACCAGCCGGGCCCCTCGATGATGCTGTCGACGTTAGATAGCGTCGGCATGCTGGATGTTCGTGCGAACGTCGCGCATGAGATCGGACATGCTTGGGGTCTACTTCACGAACACCAACGACCCAATCTCTGGAGCGCCTTCAACTATTTCACTGGTTCCTCCCAGTATTACGACGCCTTTCTGTTCACTTGTCAGAATATGCGAGACTATCAAGCCAAACTGGCAGAGCACGGTCAAGGAGTGATGGATAATGCCTGCAAACTTCGTAGCGCCGCAGAGGCTATCGACTTCTCAGCCAAGGAATATCTACCAATCTTGGCACGAGGTGTATTCCGCGAACCAGATTTTATTACCTCCCCTGACGCCGTTGATTGGGACTCTCTCATGCTCTATGCGTCAGGGTGCGGAGGAGCAGGAGTAGCTTCCCCAGGAAATGACCAGCGAGCACCTGTTCTTCAGCGACGTGATGGCACGGCCCTGAGCCCGATTGTTCTCAAAACTCAACCGAGTGTCATGGATGTCGCTGCTCTGTCGGCACTTTATGCCGAGGCGGAAAGAAGTATGTCCGATATGACGCTGCTAATGGATCCGAAACATCCAAAGAACAGCCGGTTCAGGGATCTCTTTAAGTCATCGTCGGGCAGGTGTCTGTGAGAGGTTGAGGAACAAGCCAGCAACTCTCGAGATGACCCAAGCTAGTTGCAAAGAACCGTCGCTTTCGCCAATGCCAGGCGATTATTTTGTTCCTATGTTTGTACTTTGATATCTCAATTTTCCGTAAAATCGGGGTATTTATATTTTATCCAGTTTCCGCAACCTCGGTGTCTGGTGGCTTTGATATACAGCAAGGGTTTCCCGGTCCCATCCATCGGTCCACGCTCGGATGTTGGATCCCTGTATTTCGCGTATCGAAGGATTTCAGTTTCTCTCGGAGCTTCTGGAGTTCTGAACTCCAATCTCCAAGTGAATCGTTGGCCGTTGACCGTATCATCTGATCACTGAGATCCTTCATGAATCCTCCGCGGGACTTAAAATGCGGTCGCCCAAACCCCGCCGGATCAGGGGGTTGTATATATTGTTACATTGCTTGCAACCGCCTGATGCCTAGTTAGCCTACTAGGACAAACTGGCCCCTGAATTAGGATGGGAAGACTTAAGGTGGAGTCCGGTTGAACATCCAGATTTGATATAATCTCAAAAGTTGGTTACCAGGTATATCGGACCACTGGAGCGTGCTAAATCCAATGCGACTAGCCTGCAAGGCCGACAGCCATCAAGGGTGAGGTTGAACCTGCTCGACTATTCCCGATATATTCTTGTTTGCCTCGCGACATGCCTGTTTTCAGAGGGTCGGGTTTGGATCGTGGACTTTCGTCGAATTCCAGTTTTCTATGTCCTTACTGTCTTTCGTTCAGATTGTCTCCATTGTAGTCGTGACAAGAGATCAGCCATAATGCGTCTCCAACTATATTCATTCCTTTGGTGTCTCCTTCTCCAAGTGGCATTAGGACAAGAAGATGACCTCTCTTGTTCCAAGACAAAAGCGTGTGAAATCGGATGTTGTGGTCCCCCGTACGAGATACCTCTCCAACCATTCAGCTGATACTTACTTGAATAGCGATCCAACGACTGGCCTTGGGGTTTGCGGCCTAGGACCAGATTTCTGCGGGACAGGATGTCAGGGCACTTGCGATTACAAAAGCGAATGTGACCCGGGTTGGGGTCTGGACTGGTCAAATGCAACAGACTGCCCATTAAATGTCTGTTGTAGCAAATTCGGTTTCTGCGGTATGAGGATCGAAATTTTAAGGAGATGCAGACACTGATTCTTGGATAGGAACCACGGCCGATTTCTGCAACGGAAAAGTCGTCGTGTCTCCTGAATGCTCAGGTCGCAGCTCAGACCAGAAGACGATCGGATATTATGAAGGATGGAATTTACAGAGAACTTGCGGAAGTACGTCTACGCAGCACATTCAAAGACCGAGAAGGTCTAACTGACACCGATTACAGCAATGGCGCCAGAGGATATCCCCCTTGGCTATTATACCCACATCAACTTTGCATTTGCACTAATCCACCCGACGACCTTCCATATTGCTCCAATGGATGCGGGAACTGCGTCCTTATACACCCGTGTCACAGCGCTCAAGGAGAAGGACCCAACGCTGAAAGTATGGATAGCCATTGGCGGCTGGGCAATGAACGACCCAGGCCCGACCAGGACGACTTTCAGTGACCTTGCGAAATCGGAGTCCGCACAAGATGCCTTCTTCGAGTCACTTATTAAGTTCATGCTGGAGAACGGATTTGACGGCGTGGATATTGACTGGTATGAGAGCATCCCCTCATCATTTTGAGACGTAAATTCTAACTGAATACTAGGGAATATCCAGGTGCTGAAGATCGAGGCGGCATACCGGAGGACTTCGACAACTTTGTAACCTTTATGCGCAACCTGAGGAACAGACTGAATGGAAGCGGTAACGCATTTGGACTGTCTATTACCTTGGTGAGTGGTTCAATTATCCCTACTTTGAAGCACGTATCTGACCATGTCAAGCCTGCGAGTTATTGGTATCTTAAAGGTTTCAATATCATTGAACTTGACCCCATACTCGACTGGTTCAATATCATGACATACGATATCCGTAAGTTAGCTTGACTTGAAATTTTCGACGTTCTCACTAATGCCGCTGGCCTAGATGGTACCTGGGATAGTACGGTGAAGTCGATCGGACCGTACGCATTTGCACACACAAATCTCACCGAGATCAATCAGGGTCTTGAACTTCTATGGCGAAACAACATCAACCCGGAGCGAGTAGTCTTAGGTCTAGGGTTCTATGGAAGAAGCACGTACCCTTGTCAACCCCATGTTAAGAAATTACGCTAATGCTATCACCGATAGGCTTTACAATGAAGGACCCGTCCTGCATGCATGCTGGTTGCGAATTCAGTGACGGCGCAAAAGGGGGCGCATGCACTGGAACACCAGGTGTCCTATCTGCTCATGAAATCGTCCAGATCATCGATGATGGTGCTACGGTCACCTTTGACAAAGAGGCTGCTGCGAAAATCGTCACCTGGGACAGCGACCAATGGGTCAGCTGGGACGATGCTGAAACGCTCGAGTTGAAGCTTAACTACGCTAATCGAAGATGCCTTGGAGGGTGAGTGAAGTTGCGTGGGATATATCAGTGCGATCAGTGTACTAATTCGGGCCATAGGACGATGGTTTGGGCAATTGACTTAGATGACGGAACCTTAATCGATGCGCTGGGAGGGCTCTTGGGAAGGGAGAAGAAGGAGACGTACCCAACCGGCGGATGGAAGTGGCTCTATGCCGATCTTGGGTCGGGCCAGGAGGAATAGTGATTGGGACAAAGTGGTTGGACATGTATACCAGTTCAAACTAGCTTTGAAGACTTCGTAGCTCATCAGTTAACTGTCTATTATTCTGCCCTTGCTTAATCCTATTTTCTCGGACTGTAACGGAATAGCGTACTAGGAAAGTGTGCAAAAGGCCATCTACGGGCAGTGTAATCTCTGCTAGTCCGGAACACTGATCCAATATGAATCACCGGGCCTCTCTGCCTATGCTTTGCGTCGGAAGATTGAGCCAGTTCTGATTTTTGTCACCGTCAGATAGGGGCCAAGAGCCTGCGCTGCTGTTCTCGACAAGCCGTACTACTAACAACCTATCGACATGGATGTTCAGGGCCTAGGCGGAATAACTACTATTCAACAATATCATTTACCACGTTTGAACCATCCCGTATTCCCGCCAATTTACCACACGGTCAGAGGAGCCGAAATCAATAAATCACCTTGTTATATCTGAACCCGGCAGTCAGCACTCCGTGGAGCACTAAAACGGTGAAGCAGAACCGTTAATGCGCCTACCAACCCTGGGTCGTTGGTCTCCGACGGAGTGGAACCAGGAAACTTCACCTTGGCGCCACACCCGATACATCTGAAGTTTTAAATGGAGCTAGAGAATGGATCTCATCCCTGAAGACTGATACGAGAGATTCAACCAGGATTATCGCCAAGATGAAGAGATGAACAGAGCCGCGAGGCTTGAGCCTGATCGTGTGGCGTGAGGGCTGAAGCGATTGAACGGGGATCTCACAGACACCATCGGAAATTCGGAATCCTTCTAGAATGTCCGGCGATTCGCAAGGGACCTATTTCGATACTTATTAGTCAATTACCCCCCGATATGATATTCATACTCCCTGGATAGTTGTAGTGCTTATATACTAGCGCGGTATCTCATATTGCCCTGCATGACACCAGCAACCACTAAGTCCAACAGTGGCTGGGCTAAGGAGAAAGCCATACCCGCAGTTGCAGGTGTTCCTGCATTAGAAATATTCATGGACTCATGGTTACATCGCGAGCGGTGAACGGAACGGTCAACCGTGATAATTTTCCATTCACAAGGCAAGGAATCCGATCCTGTTCGTGAGAGATTGATTCGGAGCTTCGGTCGGCGGGTGTCGGAAGCTGAAGGGAGAACAGAAGAATTTGAGACTCAAATTCAGATGAGAGGAGACTAATGGCATAAGGGAATGCCTTCGACGAGACCAACGGAGAATCAGGGAATACTGGCCGTCATCGGTCAAGCACTTGGGAATGACATCTGGGTCCCAGACGATCGCCACCTGGAGAACTCAACCTCATCGTGACTTCTTTCTTCCTGCTCTAGTATTGTCCTGAGAGGATAACCCCAAAGCACAGTACGATGGCTACATTCGTTTCATTTTTTGTCACTCTTTTATGTCTGAGTATTGTGGAAGCAGGTCATATCTATCATCATCCCCACAGACTTATTCAACGTCAAGAGTCGACTCCAGGAGCACCAACGCAGCCAGGAATCACTCCAAAATGTAACAAGTTCTATACAATTATTTCCGGAGACAGTTGTAATTCAGTCGAGACCACGTTCGAAATCACCCATGAGGACTTTATTGCATGGAACCCGGACGTGTCATCGGACTGCATATCGAACTTCTGGCCCGATTATTCTTACTGCGTTGGTATCGCCACTCCAGACGCGCCAACACTTCCAGGAACCTCTCCGAACTGTAACAAGTATCATACAATTGTTGACGGAGATACTTGTTCTACAGTCGAGGAGGCGTACGGGATCACCCACGAGCAGTTCATCGAATGGAATACCGATGTATCATCCGACTGCGTAACGAACTTTTGGCTCGATAATGCCTACTGCGTTGGTGTCGGGGCTTCCCCTTCAGCCGCCCCCTCTACTTCTATTCCAGTCACTTTTCCAAGCTCGTCTAGCATTCCCATTACGTCCGCGCCCGTCAATTCGACGTACTCGACGCGATACCCGGTTACGTCAATAAATATCTCCTCGACAACGGTGGATGAGACATGGCCTCCAGCGAAGACGCAGGCGGGCCAACCTGCCTCCTGCAACAGGTGGCATTTGGTACTGGCGGCCGATACCTGCGAAACCATTTACAGGATGTATTCTTCTACTCTCAATAAGAAGCAACTGTACGTCATATAAACACCACAAAAAGAGACCTGGAAACACGATGCTGATATCGGAATGGACAGGCTTGAATGGAATCCGGCCCTGAGTGCCGACTGTTCGGGCTTATACTATCAGTGGTGGGTATGCGTTGGGATTCAGGTCCAAACAACACCAGCTCTCTCGTTCCCTCCAGTGACATCGGGGTCTGATGCTCCGCCGGAACCCACTGAATACACGCCAACATTAGTGCCGACAATCGATTCGAGCTTTATTCCGTCTCCTACACAGCCTGGCACCGCGCCTGAATGTGACGGGTGGTATAAAACATCAACAGTCAGTCGACGATTCCAAGTCCATCATGTTCCCTTCACTGACGTCTGTTTCCCTAGAATGATACCTGCTATGACCTCCTGCAGAACTTCGGATACGTTTCGATGGAGCAGTTTGTGCTATGGAACCCTGCAGTGGGGGCCGATTGTACTGCCCTGTTGGCTGACACCTACTATTGCATCGCAGATTTTCCATCTCCTCCTCAACCCCCTACCGTGCCACCGACCCCCTCGCCTGTATCAGGTGGAAACCCCGCTAACTGCACTACGTGGTACCAAATGACTGGGTCCGATACGTGCGATTCGATTGCACTGATGTTCGGGACGTTCTCCAAGGATGAGTTTATGACTTGGAATCCCTTAGTCGGGGGCGACTGCTCCGGTTTGACAGTAGGCTTGGTCAGACTCTAAGCAGACATGACGCATTGCTGACCGAATAGGAATACCTGTGGTATTGCGTTGCCATCCCTGGAACGCCAGCGACTCGCACTGCCCCGCCACCAACTGTAACCACATTGCCACCGGGAACAGAGCCACTGCCTCAACAGACAGGTATCAGTACCGGCTGTACAAAGTATTGGCTCGTGGGAGGGTACGAAAATCCAACTCTTGACCAATGTTTCGCACTGACACACCCCCAGAGACGATGACTGCTACTCCATCATATATGGGAATGAGATCTCCGTTGATGATTTCTATGCCTGGAACCCGGCAATCGGAGCCGGCTGTCAGGGCCTCGAAGAAGGATATTTCGTCTGCGTTGGAACGGATGTCCCTATGACGACAACGCCAGGCGATAGCAGCTCTACCATTATTCCTGACCCGTCGAGTTCCTCTATCCCGCCCGGCACGCCGACGCCAGGCGACGGTAGCTCTACCATTACTGCTACCCCGTCCAGTTCGGCTCTCCTGCCGAGCTCGTCTGGCACGCCGACGACGAGCGATACTCCTGTCACCACGCCTGACCCGTTTCAGACTGACATGATCTCTGGTTGCCGCAGATTCTATCTTGTGCAAAGCGAGGATGGATGCTTCGACATTGCCGCCTCCGCTGGAATCGATTTAGAGTAAGTCAACTCCGCGTTTCGCCAACTCGAGATATCTAACACCCGTGCAGTGACTTTTACAAATGGAACCCAGGTGTAGGAACAGATTGTGGCGGTCTGTGGCTTGATTACTACGTCTGTATTGGCATTGCAGGCCCCGCAACCACTATTAGTAGTGGTCCACCTGTTCCAACTAGTTAGTGGTAACTATAAGTAATCACAGAGGGCATGTAAATCTTACAAAGATGCATGACACTCGCCTTTGAGCATGGTATTTCTGGAAATGTAGAAAATCAATGGGATTCGCCACTAAAGCACGTTGCATACTACCCATAGTTGTTAGCATTCGGTTTCGCGGTTTCGCGCAGGAATTGAAAGAGAAACGCCAATTCCAAAACTGCTTACCGTGGCAGGCGTATCGACATATGCGATCCAGTAGCCAACACCCGGATTAGAATCCACGGAACGCCAAATCTCGAGCGGACTGCCAATCCACGGATTCTTCTCGACCAGTTCTCCACCATCTCCCAAGCAATATTTAAGGGCGAAAAATTCCCGACTACCAATGACGAGCCAGCAGGAAAACGGGCGCAAGGCCGCGTAATGAGCGATAAGTCGATCTACGGGCGCCAGTTCCTGGTCAATGAGGGTTTTCGAGATCGCACTTTTTGGCAGCTCGGGGCTACACGATACCAGTTTGAGTGACTTTAGGTTTGGGAAGGTATCGATGAGGCGATTGGGGAGGTCCACACAATAGCGGTGTCCATCCCAGGGTTTGGCGGCCGTGAAACATTTAAAATAGCAAGTCAGTTCAAGAGATGTGACTCTGACGAGATGGGACTCGGGTAATATGCTTTTAAAGTTGTGGAGAAGCGCCGGAGCGGCGCCCATTTCGAGGTAAAACGTATTCTCCGAGAAGAGAAAAGGAAGGCTCTCGTGATACCTAGGATAGAGTCAGAATACGTCGATAGCTCGGGCCTCAGTTTAGTTGTGGCGCGATCATGCTCGGCCGCTCGAATATGCAATAATACCTACGTCTGTCGACATGCAAGAAGCAATCCTAGAACCCCAAATTTCTCTAGATCTGGGCCCCAATCCTTCCCTAAACACATGTCGTACGCGAAGGGTTCCTGAAAGGGTATTTCTCTTGTCGGCTCATAGCGGGTGTCTCTTAGCACCTCCCATTTCCGGCGACAGATCTGGCCCCGCGGTTCCCAAGTCCCCTGGCGCTTTCCGTGTCCGAGGTAGAGATGGATGACTCTACCTCCGAAAACCTCTTTGTATATCGCATTCCTGATCTCGCTAGGCAGCTTTAGGAAGGATTGGCAGGGAACAGCTTCGTCACCAATGGGCTGTGCGGCTCGCACGGGAACGCGAGAGTCGTAAGATGGTAATACTGGGAATACCATCGAATGACGCCAATACTTTGGTTGAGGTTCTTTCCGAGCCCGGCGCTCTTCCCGCCATCTTCGGAGGTGATCCATGGAGACGATGACTATTGGTGTCAAATATCAAAGGCCAACTCTGAGCAGAAGAAATAACAGTGCGTCTGAAATGAGAGCGCGCAGAGTTGGTGTATCAGGACGCAGTAGCAGCTAACACTGGATGAAAAAATGTAGCTGTGCAAAAAAGCGCAGATTCTAAGGCGGAATTATGTATGCTAGATAAATTCAAGTTACATGAATAAGAGTAAAATGAATAATACAATAGTTGGAGTCTCGTAGCCCTGCGCACGTTTAGGCACGACTGAATGTTGAAGAAAGGGGGGGATGTTGAAAGAGTATGGTAGTTAACTATTAGAGGAGATTCTGGTCACCTAATGTAGTTATATCGCAGGCTTATCTCAGTTGGGACTCAGGCGGCAATGGTACCCCCTGGCCATATGGCGTTCCGCTGCGGCGTGCCGCCATCTCCGCCACTAACCACCATGAAGTTCTTCATCATGCCCACGCTTAAATGCTCTTCGCGAAAGAACATTGAATACACATTTGGTTTCGGAGCGGAGGTTGAAAGTCCCGGGAGCTCCGAGTACAACTTATTCATATGTACGTAGTTACTTGGAGAGACAAGAATGTCCACAGGAATGCCTGATGAACAGAGATATGCAGCCTCACACCACTGCCCAGTCTCAATACCAGTGAACTTGCCGTAATGCAAAACCAGGCCTGTGAGAGGCGGAGCAATTGCACCTGTCTTGGATGGATAGAGCAGAGCATTCTCCAGCATACACGACAGTGTATGGCTTTCCCGCTGCCCTGACTTCCGCAAATAAACGTCGACCACAGGGCGTTGATATTTGCGTACACCAGGTTCTCCTCACGATCGTTGGTATGGTCCTCGTCGTTTTCACCTCCATATGTCGCGGATCTGATACCAAGCAATGCGTATTGGGGCAGTATTTGCTCGGTAGAATCATCTGTGGAGGGTACATCACGAGTCGGTCGCTTGATTATCGCATGAACATCAGAGGAGAATAACGGTGTCGTTCTTATCTCTTCGAAACGCGCTTGGTCACGGCTGTCAGTGTCGATAACGCTATTCTGAGGGACTAGCATAAGATGACTCTGGACCTCAGCGTCCAAGGCTAACTGCGCCATGATGTCGAATATGTGCGAGCTTCCGTCCACTCTCGGGTTATTGGTCAACTTAATTGGAGATTCAGCGAGGTAAGGCCTGGGAAAGATGAACAACGTGTTGAGATGTCTCAAAAACCCGGCGAAGAAGGAGATGATATAGGACAGGGTCTTCTTTCAATATACAAGTTTGTACAGATATGAATGAAAATGGGTATTGTGGAAGAGCTAGGAAATGTCTAGCTCCAAACAAACAAGACATATAAAAACCCAAACAAGATATGCTTTGGCTAATCACATCTGTTTTTACTAGTAGAGATTGTCCTGGAATCATCATGTTGATGCCAGAGAACATCAAATAGAGTACGGGATATACTAGGCCGCGTTTCTGCCAGGATGCCCCAAAGATTGCGACCTAAGGGCCCTGGAACCGTGGAGAAAAAATAAAATAAACAGGTAACTATCTGGTTCTTACTCTTTAGCTACAAAATTCTTGGTACAAGCTTGCAACTCTGCCACAACTTATGATTCGGATTAGCGAGCGTTCAGCGTTTTCTTCAGTAATGGCTTGTACTTCCTCACATTGCTGGCGCCTCAAAGATTGATACTCTAAAGAGAAAGTGCGGGGAGAAGTAACTAAGTTAACTTAACTTACAGAACTAACTAAGTTAGCGTAAATTTCGGAAAGAAGCAATTTATGTGCATAATTTAAATTCTATCAGTCATCCGAAGAAATATATATAAATTACTGAAATTCAACCACCCTACACCCGAGGGAACGGTGGATCCCAAGAACGGGGCCGATCAGACGCCGGGCGGTCGAGAAACGAGCGGTAGATGAAAGCGCGGGTCCCCGTATGCGGCTCATATCAGGGAGAATAACTAGAGTGCTTGCTACTGTACATAGTTAGTACCATGGTCACAAGAAATCGTCGGTAGATTTCTTCGGATTTGGAGTGGGAGGAAATCCCGACCGTGAAACTTACTCTTTTAAATTAGAGACTTAATATTACGCTTCATCTTCTACACCGACTGTCGTCATATACTTCTTACTATGTTTCCTTCAAGCAACGAGAACAAAAGCTACACCATGGGCCATACAAAGTCCTCCACGGCCAGCCATGCCACGCGAACCATCTACTCGGATGCATCTTTCCTCCTTCCATATATTCAGCCATACTACCAAATTCTCGATATCGGCTGCGGCCCTGGTACTATCACCGCTGGCTTTTCGGAACTGGTTCCGCACGGCAGTGTGACAGGCATCGACCTGGGCCACACTATACTGCAGCAGGCGCGGGAGAACACGCATGCACTTATCGCGCGTAGCCCCGATGTGCCGAGAGGGGAAACCACCTACCAGGAAGGTGATGTTGTGGTAGGATTGAAGTTTGAAGATAACACGTTCGATGTGGTATTCGCGTCGCAGGTTCTTATACATCTTCCGGAACAAGTCTCAGTGGTACGAGCGCTGAATGAGATGAGACGGTTGGTCAAGCCTGGAGGAATTGTCGCTACCAGGGATGGCGCAAAGATGCTCTTCTATCCGGACTATAATCTTGAGAAGTTGTGGGAACAGAATCTTCTCAAAGGAATCGGCCTTGATGAGTGGCCAGGGCCAAAAATGCGAGGGCATTACCGTCAAGCTGGTTTTGACGTAGATGGTCTTAGAGAGAATGGGCAGAAGCAGGTTATTATCGGTGTTGGAAGCAATGTATACGCGGGAACCATGGACGAAAGAAAGGCATATATCAGGTATAGAAAACATGGACGAAATCATACCAATGCTGATCACTTCTAGGACATTTACTAGGAGATTCAATCCTGGAGAACCATTCAGAGAATGCTGGATCAAGGTCGGCATATCTGAAGAGGAGATCCAAGACTGCATTGGGGCGTTTGAGAAGTGGGCTAACACCGAGGATGCATGGGCGACGACTGTCCAAAGCGAGGTTCTGGCCTGGAAGTAGGGATTGATGCACAAGGAGGACGTATGGACTTCAGAAGCTTGACTGGTCGGTAAGAGATGTACATGCTGGCCGCAGTTCCTGTGCCGTCCTATGTCACAGTCTTCCCCAAGGCGGGTGACTATCACTTCAGGAGACAGGCCATAGGTGACAGGGCTGGAACAAAGAAGCAAGAGCCACTCCGATCCGCTGTATGGAAGCATCAGTTGCCGAAATTTTACTGACTTGCACTCAGCTCTTTGGCAGGCCGAAGCCGTAAAAATGTACGATGTCTACCAAAGCAGCTCTTTCAATATTGTCACCGTCGATTCTCTAGACACAAACAGCGGTTGCTTCCTCGATAGTCTTGGTCCCTGAGTCAGTATCCCGTCTTTGATGCTAATGACAGATACTTGTTCGCTCGTATACCCCTTTCTGAAAGAGACGTTATCAATTCTACCCTTCTCGCTCGCGGGTGGTAAGTTTACAACCCTTCTAACTTCGTATTCTCATCTAACTCTAGGGACTTTCAAGGACTGATACTCGCACCACGACCCATTTACTTCGTCAAATCCCAGTGATACTGGCAATGCCAGAATCAGGTGCACTCAGAAGATGTAGTATGTAGTATTTCCGAGCTCTCTAGATTAAATATGATGTGGGCAAAGGCATTGCGTTTTGGAAAGCGAAGAAGACCGGTTTAGTCTTGGACTAAGTACCACGAGGGGAGAATTTGTTAGTCTCAAGATGATAGTTATCTCTATTTTGTTGCAAAGAAAGTCTTATAGAGGCGATCGGCATCGTTTCAGTACCGAAACTGGTCTGTGAAGGGCCCCGAATTAGCTGATCAGGTCCTCCATCCAGCTCTACATCAGTGGTTTTAGCAGCTATCTTCTCACAATTCAATCCTACCCATCTGCTTCAAATCTCTCCCATACTTGGTCTCTCTCTTTTGCGTTTTCTCGGGCTAGAGATACAGATATCGGAAGAAGTCAATTATTCAATAGGATTCAGCTTGAAAAGATATTGTCTCGAGGGGATATTCAGGTATGGTGCCTGGACGAGTCATTTCAGACCGTTGTCAAGTCTCCGAGGAAACCCGAAGATGCACCTCACAACGATCTAAAAACTTTCCTCCATCACGCCGGAAATGATATCTATGTCGAGCTGCTGCTTCATAGTGCTGCTCAGATCGCAGACGCCCTCACTTTTGTCCATGAGGAGGGAGTTACCTACGGATACCTAACTTGCCAGAATATATTGCTAGATAAGTATCTTAGCATCAAGTTGCCGATTTCGCCGGATCGTCGTTGGATAGTTCCCCTCTCCTGATCACGGTCACAGTAACCATCGATCCGCCGAATTGGCCCAATCTGCAGAGAGTGATCTCTTTGCGTTCGGTTCCTCCTTGTATGAAATCATGACTGGAGCCGCTCGTTACCGGGATGTTGACGAGGAGATCCGGGTCGGTATTTGAATGCAGAATTTTCTGAGACCGAGTCTCTAGGCTAATTGGACCAGTCATCAGAAAATGCTGGCAAGGCCAATATATTCGCTCTGACGCTGTGGTTCGAGCCCTAAGAAGTAAGTTTGATCTGGCCGTGCACCTGGTCATACTTCGACCCTGATCTTCATCCTGATGGCGAGCAGCCAGGCAGCCGGTGATGCGCTTACTTGCTTAGGAAGGCATCTTCAGAGCTAAATCATGCAAAGAACTCTAATCATTTGGTGATATGAGGTTCAATATTTTATACCGTCACAAGATTTAACCCAAATTGATATAGATGAGACAGCCCTTCCCCAGAGTCTTGGCAGTATCGGCGATATTGCTTCGAACTTTAGCATTCGTTATCTCATGCGTCGTACAACTCGGCTGGAGTCCGTACCCGCATGAATATTGGATTTGAGCAAGTAAATCGAATAGCCGGAATTCGTGTCGAATATAAGATGTTCTTGGCGGAGGGGATGGGAAGCCGTCTCTCAATCTCGGCATGGAATGGCTTGATTATGAATTCGAATATAAGACTCATGTCTTGGACAGCTACCAGATACGGTAGGCAAAGAGTACCGGTCTTTCATAATACCTTCGTTTGAGTCGCTCTCGGTTTGTCGCGCTGTCGAGTAGTAGTCAGTCCTTCACGATGCATCTCCAACTCCTCCTCACGAGTCTTTCCCTTACCAGTCTCTCCTTCGCCGCCCCCCAAGGCCCTACGCCCGCTGCCCCAGCCCGACAATGCAAGCGTATTCCCACCGACCCCGAGTGGCCGGCCCCCGAGGCCTGGAAAGCCGCGATGCCCGCCGTCGTCGCGCGCGGCCCGCAAGGCAATCCTACTCGACCCGACTACTCCATCGAAGCCTTCTCTGTCGCCGACGTGCAAGCCGCCGTCAACTTTGCCCGGACGAACAACATCCGCCTCACCATCGTCAACAGCGGCCACGACTTCCTAGGAAGGAATGACGCGCCGACCGGACTATCGTTGATGGTCGGGGATCTGAAAGGAGCGAAAGTCTTGCAGAGTTTCACGCCGAGTGAGAAAGGGGCGGAGAGCCCGGATTACGAGGTGGGGGCGGTGGCGAGCGCGAATAAGATCACGGTGCTGCCGGGGCAGCAGCCAGCGGTGACGTTTGGCGCGGGAGTATCAACGCAGGAATTGCATGATGTGTTGGCGCCGAGTGGACTGTTCACCATGGGTGCGGCGCACGGAGAGGTGAGGACGGCGGGAGGGTGGGGGCAGACTGCCGGACATGGGCCGTTTACGAGCGTGTACGGGTTAGGGGTCGACCAGGTGTTGGAATATAAGGTCGTTACTGCCGACGGTGAGTTGCGAGTTGCCAATGCGAAGGTGAATCAGGATCTCTTCTGGGCACTGAGAGGTGGTGGAGGAGGGACGTTTGGGGTCGTGGTCGAGGCGACAGTGAAGGCGTTCCCAACTCCGAAGATTACAATGACGAGGTTCTGGCTCAACGCGACGGAGGTCGGCAGTGGAAGAATCTTCGAAGCTGCTGCGTACCTCCATAGTCAGTTTCCGGAAGTAAATGCTAAAGGGATGCAGGGATACGTGAGTGCATAATTTTCCCCTTATCATCCAATCTGCTGACCAAAACAGTACTACACCCAAGAGAACACCCTATCAGCAACTTTCTTGAGCATTGGCGAGCATGGCGGGGTTGCCACCGCAAATGCCACATGGCAACCGGTCCTTCAGAAACTGGCCAGCCTGCCGGGCATCACGACACCCATCACCTCGTTCCTCGAGTACCACACCATGAAACAGTGGTTCGACTCCGCATTCGGCCCTATCCCCGCGGAGACACACACCGAGATGCCCGAGGAAGGAGGCCATTCTCATGGGGATACAGTCGGAGCCACCGAGGAACCAGCCGGGGGACATGATCACGGCGAGCCCACCCCAGCGACCACCGCCATCGCCGGAGGACATGACCACGCCGAGCCTACCCCTGAGGCCACCACCATGGCCGGCGGCCACGACCACGCCGAACCCGCCGCCTCAGGGGGTCACGCCCACGCCCAGCGGGACACCTACCACCTCGACCCACGCTCCGCGCACGAGCCCGAGACGCTCCGCGAGTTCTTCAAGCGGCACGGCCCCGGCGGGATGATGGTGCTGGACGGCAAGCGGCCGATGGATAGCCGACTCCTCTGGGCATCGCACCTGAAGGACCCGGCGCTGGCGGGGGCGCTGAACGCGACGTTTCCGCGGATGAAGTATGGGGTTCTACGGGGACATCTGATCGGGGGCGGGGCTGTGTTGAAGGAGGAGGACACGGAGACGAGCGTGAACCCGGCGTGGAGGAAGGCGTATGTGCATTTGATCTCCACGGGGGCGGAGGTGCCAAGTATTTCGCCGGTGCGAGATCTGAGTCCTTTGAGTGGGTGTTATGTCAACGAGGTAATCCTCACCCCTATCATCTTTCCACCCCCTCCTTCTAACCCCACAGGCCTCCTACAACGAACCCAACTGGAAACAATCCATGTGGGGCACCCATTACCCCCGTCTCCTCTCCATCAAAGACAAATACGACCCCACCGGCCTTTTCTGGGTGACCCCGGGCATCGGCGCCGACGCCTGGTCCGTCCAAGATGGCGTCCGCCTTTGCCCGGCCACCCCGTCCCCCGCCGGGCCGATCGAGTATCCGCCGGCGAACGACAATCCGAATATGCGGGATCCGGAGACGGAGTTCCGGAGCAGCGGTGCGTGGCCGCAGAATCAGACGCAGGCGGATGCGAGTACGAGGGGGGGGCAGGCGGCGTTGGAGGCGGCATGGGCAGCGGGGGCGGCGCCGGTGGTGGAGGCAGGGGGGCATGATCATTGAGTGATAGGAAGGGGAAAGAAAAGGGGAAAGAAAAGAGAGATGAGAGGGACTGCGTCGGGTTTGCAAGGACGGACTTGGGTAGCATACATCAGTTCATTCGATAAAACGGAAAAACACGAAGGTTATCTTACAGAGCGTGATTTAATGATGAATCTAAGCCGTAAATACGCACAATACGGTGAACTCCTGACCACCGAAGCGCGCTTTTTGGGGACCCAAGAACCCCAGATCCGTGGAATGTATGTGAAAAGGAAAAGGACGCAGAAGGACCAACACACCAACACCCCCTACAACATCGCACAACACCACACCACACCGTCCATTCTCGGTTTCCAAACCCCACTCGCTGGCTTCTCTCGCCAGGTGCGCCCCTCGCCAATATTAATTAAACCCGCAGCAATTTCGCCGCATAATCCACAATCAACTGCTCACTCGGGAACGCCATCTCCTCCAACTTCTGCGCATACGGCGTCGGCACCTCCGCGCCCGTCACGCGGACCGGCGGCGCGCGCAGATAGTCGAAGCCGAACTCGCACGTCAAGGCGATCAGCTCGGCGCCGACGCCGAAGCTGGGGAAGCCGCTCTCGACGGCCATGAGGTGGCCGGTTTTCTTGACGGATTTGATAATGGCCTCAACGTCGAGGGGCTTGATGGAACGGAGGTTGATGACTTCGACGTCGATGCCGTACTGGGATTTGAGCTGAGCAGCGGCGGTGAGGCATTGGCCGACGCAGCGGGAGAGGGTGACCATGGTGAGGTCAGAGCCAGGGCGTTCGATTTTGGCTTTGCCGAACTAGGTGATGTTAATATAGATACGGGGAGGGAGATATGACGGAGTATACCGGAATAACGAAATCGTCTTTCTGGGCCGCCTCGCTCATGGGGAACGAGAGCCCATATAACAATCTATATCCCAATGTCAGCTGCTTCTCTCCACATCATCGCACCACACGTACTCATTCTCCAACACCATCACGGGATTCGGATCCCGAATCGCCGCCTTCATCAGGCCCTTCGCGTCCTCTGCGCTATACGGGACCACGACCTTCAGCCCGGGGATGCTCCCGTACCACGCGGCGTAGTCCTGCGAGTGCTGCGCGCCCACGCCGGAGGCGAACCCGTTCGGCCCGCGGAAGGTAATGTTGCAGGGCTGGATGCCGCCGGACATGTAGTGCGTCTTAGCGGCGCTGTTGATAATTTGGTCGATGGCTTGCATGGCGAAGTTGAAGGTCATGAATTCACACTGGGAGGCGTTAGTTGGTTTGCTGGAGCACAGAGGGGGGGAGTGTGGTGCGTACGATGGGGTGGAGGCCGGCGAGGGCGGCACCCACGGTGAGGCCTGCGAAGCCGGACTCGGTGATGGGGCTGTCGATGACTCGTTTGTCGCCGAAGCGGTCAAGAAGACCTTTCGTGACTTTGTAACTATCATCGCAACCAAGTCAGCCCAACTTCACTCCGAACATATCCCGGGGTTTAAATCAGCTCCTCAAGGGTGGAATTGGCCATCCAACCGTAGGACTACGCTCACGCCATCCCGATGCACACATATAAAACTCCAGGGACCACCTACGCTCCATTATACTGCGCCACCTCCTCCCCCATGATGAACACCTTCTCATTCTGCTCCATCTCCTCGGACATGGCCTCATTCAACGCCTCTCGCACTGTCATCTCCTTTGTCTCCGACGCATATCCTCTCCGTCCCGCCCATGATGGTGCCAACGACGCCGCCACACCGCGGAACGCCGGCCGACTTGACTGGCGGACCGATGCGCGGGCGGCGGATGCGAGGGTGGCGGTCGGGCGGAGGAAGCGGACGGATGCCATGGTTCGGCGTGGGTGGGGTGCTACCGGAGGTGGAGGAAGGGAGGGGGTGGAAGGGGATTAGTCCGGTGCAAGTGGAGGAGTAAAAGATGGAGGGTAGGAAGACAGAAGAGACAAGACGGAATTGAGAGGTTCGGAGTGGTGAAGCAATGGAACGGAGCAAAGTTGGGAGAGAAGCGATTGCAGGGATGAGGCTAGAAGTTTGGTGATTCTCAACGTTGGGCGGTTCCACTGTTTTCGGATTGGGGATGCGAGTCGGAGTACGGAATATTACTATTGGAATATAAACAAAAGAGAAGCGAGAGATTCAATTAGAACATAATATGATAGGGAAAGGTAATGTATGCACTCGTATATCTTCAATGGCTCGCCCATCGAGGTCTCCCTTTCTGTGACGGACTAATATTAACTCTTCTAAGTCTTCTTATGGTTACCTCCTACAGAATACTACACGCTGCAAGCACCACACCACAAGCGAGCTATGCATCCCATCAAACGCCAAAGACTAAATCAGCCTACCATGAACATAACCCCATCGCCCGATCATCTCATGCCGCCGGCTTCCTCGCCACCATCAAATACATTGGTGTGAACAGCTTCTCCTTCCCCCCCTGCACCAACGCATCCCCGCCGATCGCTAACGTATCCGCCGTCTTCTGCGATCCTTTGGGTGCGAGCCCTATCGTCTCCAACACACCCACCGCATTGTGCACGATGCCCCGCCCCAACTTCGTCATGCGGAAAATGGTCAGGAAATCGAACATGCTGCCCAGGTACTTGAAGTCGCCGGACAACGGCCAGTACCACGGGATCGCGTCCGGTCGGTCGGCCATGTCCTCGTTGACCTCGAGTTCGAAGCCCGCGTCCTTGATCGCTTTAATGGCGACATCGACCGGCTCCATGTTCGAGATGCCGTCGCCGATCTCGATGTCCAGCCGGATCTGGCGGTGGCGCGCATCCTTCGGGTTGTAGTTGTCGGTCATCACCCATTCGTAGACGCCGAAGACGCCGCCAGGCTTGAGGACACGGAAGATCTCCGAGTAGACACCGACGAGGGCCGGCGCGTGCACGGTCGCTTCGATGGCGTAGACGGCGTCGAAGCTGTTGTCGGGGAACGACATCTGCATGAAGTCGCCCTTGACGAACTTCAGCTTGTCAGACAGCCCTTCCTTGGCGGCGTAGTGCGTGGCGCGGTCGATTTGGTAGTCGTTGTTGTTCAGCCCGACGATGTTGGCGCCGGAGAACTTGGCGATCTGCCGTGCCGGTCCGCCAACGCCGCAGCCGACGTCGAGGACTCGCATACCGTCTCGCAGGCCCATAACGTGGGCGAGGTAGTGTTCGTGGCGGGCAATGGCTTGGTGGAAGGATTCGCCGTAGGCGAAGCGGCAGAAATGGAAGGAGGCACCCCAACCGTACTCGTAGAAATCGGTGGCGAGGTTGTAGTAGCTGAAGGGAAAATGGTTAGCGATGGCACTAGTTGTTGGATTGGCCGAACATACTGTTTCGTCAACGTCGCATACTCATTTCGGCGTGACTATTGATCCAGATGTTAGAAAGAACCCCAGCAAGGATCGACGATCGGAAGAAGTACACACAGCGCGCGACTCCTCTGTCTCCTCAGCGGCGGCCATGTCGTCGAAATGCTTGAAGTACTCGTCCACTGCGGCCTTCTGCGCGCCGGTATCCTTGTTCAACAGCGAGCCCAAGCCAGCCCTCTTCGTGGCGGCCTTCCCGTGCATGGCCTTGTTGAAGGCGGCGTCGCGGGCGTGGTCCTCCACCTCCAACTCCACAACTCGAGCGGGCGCCATGATGTCGGATGGGGGATATGAAGGGATGTAGGGTATCGAGGGGTATCGAGGGATGGAATGAGGGAGTTGGAAGGCAATTGGGAAGGATTGAGGGTGCAATTGGGTGGAGGAAGTCGGGAGGGATAAGTTAGATTGCGTAGAATAATTTATCAGGTTGATGGAGAGGGAGTTCCCTGCACTGGCACAGCAGGGATGTAAGGCGATAAGGCGTCAAGGTGTCAAGGATCCTGGTGTGGGTGACGCTTGAATGTGGCGGAGTCGGGTGAGCCAATCAAAATCAAGGAGCGAGAAAGATTGACAGGGGCAAAACGATTGTAATTGGATTGATTCTTTAGTTTTGGCGGCGTGTTGACAGGGGTCGGAGGAGCAGATATCGACTCAATCGTTAGGAGAAAGCCACATGCACCGCTACAATTCCATGCAACCTCAATTGAAGAAGTTGGAATATAAACGATCTATCTAATAAGATAATAAGAATTCTTACGAATTAGTCAACTGTGGGCCGGATATCCTGATCGGTACGCCGCGAGGTGAGAATTGAGATACACAGGCCCAGACAGGGTCAGCCAACAGGGGAAGGGGGCGCGCAATCCGCGGACGCCCGGACGCCGCGGATTGCAAAACCCACCCCCTGTCGGTTCAGGTCTTTGGGCTCCTGAATGAAACTTTTAGCGTCATGAGCTTCTAGACCGAATTTCCTAGTGACCGCTGGATGGAAACGAATCCACTTACTCGAATTGGCATGTTTACCGGACGGTTGGGAACTAGAGATGCAATCTGGGACGTCGCTCACAACAGATCACCTGCCGAGAAGTGATCCGTTCAGTTTTCAACTTAGGATTTCCAGAGAATCCCGTGTATGCCAAAAATGTATGCCCAGTCCACCAGTGATTACCCCTCCCTCAGATTACCAGTACTGACCGCCACTCTCTGCCGTGCGACAATGCAGGTCCATGTGCGCTCGCCAACTAGATCACCTCATTCGTCTCATGTTCGGGTTGAAGCGTAGCTAGAAGACGGAGCCAAAAGATATCGGATGTTGCACCTTGACCTTAAAACCCAGAGGCCGACTCTTTCCAGCCGCTCTTTCCAGCCGCTCTTTCCAGCCACTCTTTCCAGCCACTCTCGAACATTGGCGTCAGATGAGAGATCCCAGCCCAGGGGAAATCGAACGTCGAATGCCGAAAACAAAGCCCCATCGCTCATGATCTGCAGGAAGCTCATGAACCTCGCTATCCGTTCCATCGACCTCATTCCTCGTATCTGGAGGTAACTCGGCGATAACACTCTCTTCATCCCTCATCACCGGTTTCCCGTTTAGTTCGGGGCTGGAGTGCAAAGTTTCCCCCCTGGCTTTTGCCTCCGCCTCAGCCTTCTTCCTCCGAAAGATGAAAATAATCACCACCAAGAGGAGGAGAATCACCCCGCCGAGCGCACCACCGACCGCGCTGCCGAGGGAGATCGGTTCACGGTCTATAGTGGCGGTATTTTCTGGGGGACTGGAGAGTTCCGATGTAGGTGTCGAGATAGCTTGAGTTGTGTTTGTGGCCGAAGATGCCGTAGTGATAGACGATGGAAGTTTGCGGTTCGATATAGTGTAGACCGGCAATAGAAGTTTGCGGTTCGATATGGCGAAGACCGGCGATATCCCGGCTGCGAAATAATCCTCTGCCAAGAGTACATAGTTATCTGCCGCAGGAATCTCATCCGGGATGGACCACTTGTAGCTCCCATTATTTGGCACATCAATAGTCAAGACGGCGTTGTTGACGATCACCTTCGTGAGTATGGTGCTAGACACCGCCCGGTAAAGAGCCAGGGAAATGAAATCTGCACTGTTCGTTACTTTCCATCGTATTGTATAGGAGGAGCCCAAGGGGACGATTTCGCCGGTCGCGGGTGCGAAGATCGGGTTGACACTGGTGTCAATTGTATTATTTGCCGGAGCCGTCGATAGTCACATCGTATATTTCGGCCTGGGCCAAGGTCGCCAACAATATTAGAGTTGTAGTGAGAAACATGACACGATGTGAGATAGAGGAGTAAGAAAAGACTGTCGCGGCAGAGAGGAACGGCTGAGACTCGAGAGGGTCCAATATGACCGATAGAGAGAGAGCAGTTGATACTTATCCTGATTCCATACGGACCGCCCTGTGGTTTGTTGACGTTGTGATACTCTCGCGTGCGATGTCTGGCTCTCGCCAGCGTGGCACAAACCTATGTTTCTCGCTCGACGGTCCTTGGTTAGCTTAACGTGGGGTTAGGACCTTGAACATCTACGGTATGCTGTGCGAAGTTGGGAATCCTTTCACTTATAAGTGTTAGTGGGAAGTTCATCAGATGTCTGCAACGTGACGGTTCTGATACAAGACAGTGCCAGCCAATTTCTACGGCATATGATTGGCTAAGGCCGTACCACCAAAAGTTGGGCGACAAAACCACAACCAGCCGCCACCGTTGATGACATTTGACATTTGATATTCCGTACTCCATCTTCAGTTCTTCACATCACGAATCCTACGAATCCCCGACATCCCACCATAAGGAAGCTCGACCTCTCAACCTCCTCCAATCACCCCAACCATGCCCCCCCAAATCAAACAAGACCTCAACCGCTCCGGCTGGGAAACCACCGACTTCCCCTCCGTTTGCGAGAACTGCCTCCCCGACAACCCCTACGTCCAGATGCTCAAAGAAGACTACGGCGCCGAATGCAAGCTCTGCACGCGCCCCTTCACAGTCTTCCGCTGGAAAGCCGATCGCACCGCCCGCCAGAAGCGCACCGCCATCTGCCTGACGTGCGCGCGCCTGAAGAACTGCTGCCAGACGTGCATGCTCGACCTGTCATTCGGGCTGCCGATCGTGATTCGCGATGCCGCGCTGAAGATGGTGGCGCCGGGGCCGAACAGTGGGGTTAATCGGGAGTATTATGCGCAGGAGCATGAGAAGGAGATCGAGGAGGGGAGAGGCGCGGTGGAGGCGTATGAGAAGACGGATGAGAAGGCGCGGGAATTGTTGAGGCGGTTGGCAAATAGTGAGCCATTTTATAAGAAGCAGAGGAGAGAGGAGTTAGAGGCGGAGGAGGAGGGGAGCGGAGGGATGAAAGCCCTACCGGCGCCAGGCAGTTCAGGAGAGTCGCGAACACCCGGACCGATTCGAACACGGGACTCGAAAGCGATGGTAAGCGGCCGAGCAGCCGGAAGAGGCGGAGCCACACGCCCATCCGCCACGAAACCCATCGCCCCCTCTGACATCCTCCCCCCCTCCGACCCTAACGTAACTTCCCTCTTCCTTACCGGCATTGAAGACGACCTCCCGGAGCACGCCATCCGCGCCTTCTTCTCGACCTTCGGGACGCTGCGCTCTCTTGTCTGCTCGCACCGGTCGCACTGCGCATTCGTCAACTACGTGAAGCGTGAGTCCGCCGAAGGGGCAGCGGAGGCGTGTCAGGGGAAGGCGGTCATCAAGGGCGTGCCGTTGAGGGTGCGGTGGGGGAAGCCCAAGCCGTTGGATACGTTGGATCGGGATGAGCGGTTGGCGAATGCGAGGGATGGGAGGGCCGTGGCGGGGCCGTCGAGGGGGAAGGGAAGGATGCTTACGGAAGGAGAGAAGGGTGCGGAGGAGTTGGATGATTTGGCTGCGGTTGCGCCGCCGCCGGGGGGTGAAGATGCGGTGCAGTATGCGAGCTTGGCTGGGGAGTGACGGATCATTCTCTTAGAGATGTCACATTGCATGGGAAGGCGTTCAGCGACGTTCATTTATCACGGGAAAAGCATTACGGCGCAGGACAGATGGGTCAGGATCTAAATGCTTTGGTATTCGTCGGGTGGCTCTTCTTCTTGCCCGCCAACTTTATCGACTCGTTATCCCCTCGCTCGGTACGCTCATGTATCCGGAGTTCTAAAATGCTTCATCAGACCAAATCAATTACAACGATTTGACATGTTCACACGTACTGTATCGCTCCGCCTCGCCATCCATCGCTTTTCCTTGCACCAAGTTCTCCATCAGGAACTTCGACACCGCTTCGGCGTGCACGATGTTGTTGACCGCTTCTTCGCTGTCGGGTTTGAGAGCGCGACTCGATTCAAAGCCATCGCGTGCGGCTTTTCGAGCGGCTGTGAGGCGATATGCATCTCCTGTGGTTGGTAAGGTTAGTGCTACGGGTTGGGTGTAGTTCGGGGGTGATGCGGACCTTCGAAGGCGATTCGGGCGGCGCGGAGGAGGTGGCGGTACGCTGCGAGGGCCATTGTATCTAGGATCCGAACGAGAAATCGCAAGATTGATTAAATTAAGATGTGATCATAGTCCCACGACAATTGAATGGCCGGAGGTTGTCCAATTGTCATTGATGGATGGAATAATTCGGGTTTCGTTACATATCACGTGATTGCTGTCCGCCCTGTTCCCCCCAAAAAAATTCCAACCTTCCAACCTCAACAGACTTTTCCACCATAGTTACAAACCGGCAAAAACGTTGCCAAAATGCCTCACACCTTCACTCTCCCCTCCCTTCCTGAAGGTTGGTCCGCCGACAAAAACTTCAAGGCCATCGGATCCCTCTCGAAGCCGTCGCAGCGGATCATCGAGCCCGTTGGACCGCACTTCCTCGCCCACGCGCGCAGGAAGCGACATAAGCGCACCTTCTCCGAAGATGAGCGCATCCAGGCGCAGAATAACGTCAAGAAGACCGAGGATGATGATGAGGGAGATATCAGCGAGCCGGAAGATCCGGTGATGTTGCAGCGGGATGCAAAGGACTGGAAGGTACGATCACATTCGCAAGGCATTCAGGTGACCGGTAGCAGAGCTAACATGACGATTAGGGTCAAGATCACTACGCCGTCCTTGGCCTCTCCAAATATCGCTGGCGTGCAACCGAGGAGCAGGTTCGCAAAGCCCACCGGAAGAAGGTCCTCAAGCACCACCCGGACAAGAAGGCCGCCGCCGGCGGTTCCGAGGACGACTCCTTCTTCAAGTGCATCCAAAAGGCCACCGAAATCCTCCTCGACCCCACCAAACGCCGTCAATGGGACTCCGTGGACGAGGCCGCTGACGTGGAGCCGCCCACGAAGAAGGAGACGCAAAAAGGCAACTTCTACCGCCTATGGGGCCGCGTCTTCGATGCGGAGGGACGCTTCTCCCGCAACCAGCCAGTGCCGAAACTCGGGGACGAAAACAGCACGAAACCCGAAGTGGAGGACTTCTACAACTTCTGGTACACCTTCGACAGCTGGCGCACGTTCGAGTACCAAGACGAAGACGTGCCGGACGACAACGAGAACCGTGACCAGAAGCGTCACGTGGAGCGGAAGAACGCGAACGCGCGCAAGAAGAAGAAGACGGAGGATACCGCGCGGCTGCGGCACCTGGTGGACGACGCGCTGGCGCTGGACGAGCGGATCAAGAAGTTCAAGCAGGCGGAGCACGCGCAGCGGAACAAGAAGCGACTGGAGCGTGAGGCGGAGGAGAAGCGGGTGGCGGAGGAGGCAGTGAAGGCGAAGGAGGCGGCGGCGCGAGCGGCGGTGGAGAAGGCGGAGGCGGAGAAGGCGGGCAAGGCGGAGACGAAGAAGGCGAAGGAAGCGGCTAAGAACGCGGCGAAGAAGAATAAGCGTGTGGTGCGGGGTGCAGTGAAGGAGGCGAACTACTTCGCGGGTGCGGGCGACGCGCCGGCGAAGCAGGTGGAGGCGGTGTTGAATGAGGTGGATCTGATCATCACGAAGATCGACAATGAGGAGCTGGCGGGGTTGAAGGCGAAGCTGGATGGGAAGACGAAGGCGGAGGAGATTAAGGGGATCTTTGCGGAGGAGGTGAAGAGGTTGGTTGGGGCTGGGACGCTGAAGGAAGGAGAGGCCAAGGTATTGGCGTGATGTTGCTATCCATAGATTCGATTACTCAACAGGAGGGTATACACAAGCACAATTAGCAATAGAGGTTCGTGGTATTGTCTCTTCATATTCGTCACCATCGTGGTATTCGACTTGGCATCCATATCAAACCATCCCACCCCCGTCCAGGCCAGCAACAACCCAGCAATCGAGTCCCAATATTAGCATCAAGACAAGGAAGCTTATCCCCAAGGTAGCACTGGGCATCAGATCCAAGATATTTTCCATGGTCTGGAGCCCACAGAGAGCGAGCCAAGAAGCATGGCGGCGTCTTATTCTCAGCCAAGACTGCATGGCAAGAAATCTTGAATGATCAGACGATGAATGACTCCAGTCTACAAGTCTACAACGTGTATCCACGTCCTTCCATCCTTCACCTCTCATCAGCATTTATGGAATACTTTCTTTTCTAAATCGACTTGGACTGCTTGATTTTGCTTCCTCCCGGTTAAACCGTTTGGATCTCGAAATCCTACTAGTACATCGCACCATATTACACCGTCTATATTCTCCCAATTGCTGCGCCACAGCGGTGCCCACACCCCCCACCTTCGGATCTCCCCTCTCCCTCCAAACCGAAAGTCGCGATACTCCAGGAATCCCATCCCAGCGGCCAGTGGCATCGACCTCCCCAATCCATATCCCTAATCCTCCCTCATCCCCCCTCCTCTAATCCCGTCCGTCACCCCGTCCCTGCGCACCGTCTCCCTCTCACCACCACATGGCCCCATCCCCCCCACCTACCTCCTCCCCCTCTCCCCGCACCCATCCCACCGACCCCGTATCCAATGACCCAGCCCACCCCTCCGATCCCCATTCTTCCGGCGCTGCGCCGCCCGCCGTAGGTGCCGTCGGCCCGACCGCAGGGGCGTCAAGGCGAGAGAAGAAGACATTCGTGCCGGCGTTCAAATTGTCTACTGAGGAGGATGATACCGGGCTGCGGAGACCTAGTGTGCAGTTTATGCCGCAGGATGATGGGGGGGCGCCGACGGTGAGGAATAAACCGCCGTCGGTGAGAAGGAGAATGAGCTCGCCGCCACCTCCGCCGTAAGTTCGACTTCACCTGAAGTGTGATGATATCAACCTTTCTATTTTTCAAGCCTTTCTTTCATGTGAAATGTTGCAGGAGTCACGCGATTAAGGTTACTTGATGGGAAATATCTCTGGATTATTATCGCGATTGACTACTACTTGGATAGCCTTGTCCTATCAAAATGTCCAGACTAACATCTCCAACTCCCAGCCTATTCGAGCCTCGCGTATCGTTTGATACATTCGAAAGAGTTGGGGAACTCACGTCATTTTCATTGATCAAGAAACACAAGGACTACGCATACACCAAACTTTCTCGGACGTTCTTATGCGGTATCGACTCGAACGATTACTCCGAGTATGCACTCGAGTGGCTGATCGATGAGCTCGTCGACGATGGAGACGAAGTCGTCTGCCTCCGTGTCCTAGAAAAAGACTCCGATCTCGCCACGCCGGTCAGCGTGAAGCAGAAACAGTATCGCGAGGAAGCGGAGCAACTCATGGCCAAAATCCAGCATAAAAACGCGGAGAACAAAGCTATCAACCTCATCCTCGAGTTTGCCGCTGGCAAAGTCCAAGACGTCATCGGAGACATGGCACGTATTCCCCATGCCCTGCCTTCCCCTCCGCTAACCGTCCCAGATCAAACTCTACGAGCCCGCCATCCTCATAGTCGGCACCCGCGGCCGCTCCCTCGGCGGCATCCAAGGCCTCCTCCCCGGATCCATCTCCAAATACTGCCTCCAACACTCCCCCGTCCCCGTCATCGTCGTCCGTCCGAACTCAAAGCGCGCCAAGAACAAGCAGAAGCGCCTCCATGACCCCAGCCGGCAATCGTACCGCGACCTCGTCTACAAATCAGGGGACGGCTCCTACACGGGGGCGTCGCGGGATCCGTCGCTGGCGCCGCAGTCGTCGACCGATATTTCGGCACCGGCGGCCGGCTCGGAGAATGAGCCGCCGGCAGTGGCAGAGGCGAAGGGCCCGGTTGAGAGGGAGAGCTCCAGGACGAGTCCGTTGGCGAACATGGAGAGCGTGGAGCCGGAGGCAACGGACACAATCAATCCAGAGAGCGAGACGAATCCGGAGGAGAGTAGGAGATTGATGACAAGTCCAGTGATGGAGGATGCCAAGAGGATGGCATCGAGTGATAGCGAATTTCAGGAGGAGGAGGGCCCCGTCGCGAAGATGGCGAAGCGGTTGGCTGCGACATCGACAAGCGACTGAGAATACGAAGCACAGGAGACGCCAGGAGAGAAAGGGGTCATGGCGGAGGGAGAAGTATCGAGGGGAATGGGTGGACGACTGGTTGATCACCTATAAGATTACAGCGCAGGTGAAATAGGGTTGGAATAATGTCTCTTGGACGATAATATCCCCCAGGCTGGCTTCATTTATATTATGCTTAATGACGGAGTCGGGAAACGTTCATGGTATCACAATATCACAATACTTAGAGAGGGTGAGACTGGGAATTTAAGAGACAAGATGGCACTGCAAGGGTCAAGTTTCAGCGAGTCATGTAACACTTGGCGCTGTGACGACGTCAACCCAAGGGATTCCGATCCAACTTTCATCCACTACATCAACTCCAATATTACTCAACCAAAGTAACATCTCCCTCTAATAAATGCCGAGCGCCTGCGATTGCTTCAATGTATTGCAGTAGCACCGCCACCCTCAATCCCGATTAGCAAACCTCCCTCCGTCTCATACCTACCTACGAAAGTCGGTACCACCAAGCAATCCCCCGTCGCATCCCTCCCCCTATGTCCTCATCCGACAACGATTGCGATGATTGCACACCCGAATACCTGCGGGCCCCGACCCTCCTCCGCTCCTCAACCCTCATCTCCTTTGCCCCGTTCATCCTCACCTTCCTCCTCGTCTTCCTCGTCGCCCTGAGCAAGCTCTTTCCTCGCCTCTCCGGCTCCGCGACCTCTTCAACCCCTTCGAGCCGCCGCAGCCATGAGCAAGGCCCTCTACATACCCGAGATGGGCCAGCGGGACGCACGGGGTGGACGTTCCAGGTGCCGCGGTTGTCGAAAGACAGGATTGCAGCGGTGACATTCTCCGCAAGCTTTGCGCTGTCGATGGTGTTGATCGAGCTTATACTCTGCGAGATCTCGGGCGCCCTTGACCCTAGAGCTCGGGCAATTTCTCTGCGGATATCGATCCCAGCGCTGTTATTCCTCCTTCTAGTGGCTGCGCCGGCCCTAGAAATCCACTCCGTCCTCTCTGCGGCGGGTTGGGGCATCAATGGCACTTCCAGTGGAGACTCCTCTCGAACAGCATGGATCTTCGAATGCCTAGGCCTTGCGATGTGGCTCTTCGGCTTCTGGTACTTTGGTACCGCCATGCTGAACATGTACCGGAGCGGGAACGGCACCCATTCCGACAAAAACAATGGCTTCATTGCCGCACTGCTCTCTCGCATCGGTATTTTTGGCATCTCCATGATGGCCTGCCTCGCCGGTTTTGCGGCCATCAGTGCCCTGTGGCAGACATTCGGAGTGAAACCCGCCTCCGTGAGCGAATCGGACGTATCACGAAAACAAGCCGGACTGAACGCCACCTCCGAGCTCCTTGCGGCCAAGGAATCTCGCCTCCGCGCCCTCACCCGCAAGATCTCCGAATCCCCCTCGGAAGGCATCTTCTCCCGCCTAGTCGGCGCCATCCGCGCCTCCCCCGACACTCAAGAACTCCGCCTCCTCCGCCTCGAGATCTCCGGCCTCGAAGCCACCCGCTACTCCCTCAGCGACCAGCTCCTCGCCCTCCAGACCCGGCGCACCGTCCAACTCCGCGCCCACACCCCCCTCGGCCGCCTCCTCCACGCCTTCTCCTTCCTCTTCGCCCTCTACTGCGCCTACCGCATCCTCACCACCTCCCTCTCCTCCCTCCACCGCGCCGTCTCCCCCTCCTCCGCTGCCGCCACCTCCGCCACCGACCCCGTCACCCAGATCCTCACCCTCCTCGCCAAGCTCTGGGATCCCTCCCTCGACCGCGCCACCTGGAGCCGCCAGCTCTCCTTCCTCCTCTCCGGTGGCATGCTCTTCGCGTCCTTCAACAGTGCCCTACAGACCTTCCTGCTCCTCGCGCGCGCCTTCCCGTCGCTCGTACGCCTAATCCGCGTGAACTTCGCGCTGCTACTCGGGCAGATCTGCGGGACCTACGTCATTTCGTCCGCGCTGTTGCTGCGGGGGCATTTGCCGAAGGAGGTAGGCGGGGTGGTGGCGGAGATTCTCGGGGCGCCGCTGGAGCCGAAGATGGGGGAGGCGTGGTTTGATGGGTGGTTTTTGGTGGCATGTGGAGTGACGGGGTTGGGGATTTGGGTTGGGAGGCGGGTGGTGGGGGACTGGGATGGGGGAGATGATGGAGGGGGGTGGGGGGTGGATTTGGAAATTGGGAAGATGAGCTAGGTTCTGGTTTAATAGTTGGGAGGGTATGCTGTATATCAAGTATATTCGGAATATCTAGCTGCTCTCGATGATTAAGTGGCATACACATCTGGCCCAATGACATCTTGATCCTGTTTTGAAGCCTTAATAGGCAATATCGCTTTTTCACGTTATACATCATCATTCATGTTTTACCTCAGTCCATGTATTCCGTTGGCGCACGCGAGAAGTCATCTTTTGAAACATTCGGTTCTGGACTCCTGTGTCATGGTCGCCGTCCCACAGTCAAGTCGAACTCTTCCGTATCACCTTATACATTTTCACACTGCCGTTCCGAAATCATATTTTCTATGACAATTTACGATGCAAAGCCCGTTCCAGTCACCATGGGTACTTTAGTGCTTCGTTTCGTTGTGCATGCCGTATAAATCTTGTGCCGTTTTCATGGTCCATGCCGACGCCGCTCGAGACGCTAGAAATGTTACCGGTTGTTTGATTCCACATTTCAATAAGGTTCTTTTGCATTGGCCTCTGCTCACTTTGCAGCACCAAAGAATGTCTGAGCAACACTATAAGTAGCGGAGCGAGGAGCACAGCCGGACCGACGTGAACCTTTATCGCGTCCGAAGTCATTTCGCACAAATCCTCGAAGCATCAACTCTACCAATCCGCAGCTACTAGACCATCCCGAAGTAACGCCCTTGGTTGGTCCCATGGCTATGATGACGATTTGATGAGGGGCCATGGGAGAACCCCCCGGCTTCGCTCTGCAACTTGCGATGCGAAGACTGTGAGCGAACCCATCAATAGTTACAGGAAACATATTTCAAATGTAGCCTAGCCGAATATGTCCTTGGTCTATGGTCCATGTGAATGCTCCTGAAGGTTAATCTACATGGACCTGCTATCACCACCAACACCGAAGCATTCCCGTGCGTCCACTTGATAATGAGACATTAGTGGTGCTCTCGACGACTAGAAGTTCGTCTAGCCTAAACTGTTATACAGATATTCTAGATTGAAAGACGGGTCAAGAAGGGAAATGGCTTGATATTGCTATCTAACTTGAAGCAGTAACTTGAGACATGTTTATAATACCGGTCCCATTAGCAATCCCAAGGTATTGAACCATGTTGACTGCCTTCATCAAATCATTGAGTAAACCCTTGTCTTGCTGTTGTTGCCCAATCCAATTGTTCTTCGCGTCTTCTAATTGAGACATATACAGCCGAGCCTTAACATAATCTCCCATCGTGAGGTTGTGCTCCTTACCAACCGATTTCAATGTGCCTTCTGCATCTTGTTGGAGGGTCTCCAAAGGAGCACCTAAGAGGATTAGCAATGCGAAAGGCTCAACAAGGTGGGACTAACCTGAATTTGCGTTGATTAAGAACGCCATTGACAATCTTTCTTGGTCGACCGGGAGATGGTCGAAGTTGATCTTGTGTAATGTAGACTTCAACGTCCCGCTCCAGAACGACATGGCGTCCCCGACATTGACGACGACACCCCCTGAAATTAGGGGCACTTCCATCCACCGGTTAGAGGGTGTCTCAACCTCAATGCCGCCTGATTGTGGCCACACGAAGGTCAAAGAGCCCCACTCTGTATGAGTATAAAGCATTGGGAAATTCTTGTCGGGTCGTTCGTTTAACGTCGGGTAATGGAGCATCCTAACACTTCTCCAGGGCCATGATCAAGTTTGTGTGCGTCTAAGAAATAGTTGGCTGGCAACCCGAACTGTCGAGCAAAGAGCTGTAGCAGTTTGGAGCCGAGTTTATGGCAGACTTTTTTGAAAGCCTCGATTTCCGAACGCATCGACGGTGTCCAGAAGGAGGATATGTTTTCGCCTCTAACTATATCACCTCGTACGCCACCGAAGACCATGCCTTCATTCACTCCGACCCTGAAGTATTTCAATATTCTCTCCAAGACAACCGGGAAAGGGAATGCTATACTTGGACTCCTTGAGATCGTATCCCACTTGACGTCCATCCAGCTTGCACTCATTCTTCACTGACACCGGCTGTTTGCAAACGCCTCTGTGCTACGTATTTCCATCAGCCTATGAAATCTCCACATGTATCATTAGACGCACCAGTTTGAACATCCGAGCAACCCGTTCCTCGGGGCTGTGGCTACAAACACTCAGTGCTGTCACTGGCGGTTACACCACACTTGCAGCCAAACATCCCGGATTTTTCTCGATTCAGCAGGACAACCCAGTCTCAGTGGTGGCAGTTCCCGATTGTTCCATTCTTCAAGACCTTGACCTTCATCTTCAGCATTGTTTGTGCTGGAGCTTCGAAGAATCTTCTCGGCAAATATATCTGGGACCCGATCACATTGATCGAACTCTGGGGAACGAGCGCTGGCGGCCGATTCCTGGTCTTTCTCTGCTCGACGATCTGGCTGATTTGCCAGATCAGTACCAACGTCTCGTCCAACTGCCTCATTTTTGCGAATGACCTTACCACCTTGTTTCCGAAGTTCTTCAACATCAAACGAGGCGTTATCTTCGCTTCCGTTGTCGGATCGTGGGCCTTGGTCCCATGGAAAGTAATTGCAAGTGCTAAAACATTGCTCAGCTTCATGTTGGGTGGGTTATGCGATCTTCCTAGGACCGGAAGGCCGCTATAGGTACAACAAGGTATGTCGGTTTGCCAATTCGATCTGGGATCCCACTGACAAGATCCCAGTATGGCACCAACTGGCGAAGCCTGACAATCATTGTAACCATTGTTACTCCACTTCTTCCAGGACTGGCCCAGGCATTGAGCCCTGAAACGGTTCATATCAATATAGGGTTGACGCATCTGTCCTCATTTGGATGGCTATTTGGGTTCGCGACATCTGCTGTCACATATTACGTCCTGATGCGCGTCTTTCCGGCACGTGGAACCATGGTGCCTAACACTGTGCTCCTGATAGGAGGAGTGCGAGTCTGGGTCAGATCGAGACTACGATGCAGTCCACGAGGCTGTCAAAGTGGGTAAATAATATCTTTCTGTAGTTAAGAATGTTGAAATTATACTAGCGCCATCGGAATAAGCATCTAATAAGGCTCCTTTGAATGATCAGAAGGTAGCCAAGTATTCATATATCATACAGCCATTGCCCCTTACTCCTTACATAACGCTGCATGGAATAATGCAGCAGCTGCATCCGCCATCTCCGTCGCCGCATTCGATGCATGTATTGGTCGCAGGTTTCGGTTTGAGGACGGGAGGGAAGGACGTAGTTGATGAAGGCATTGTGCTCGACCAGCTTTTGCGTATGACCGGGTTGGGATTTTGAGAATCTGCGACTTATGAGCCAAGTGGGATCGGAGCATGGGACTAGTACTGGCCTTTGACAAAGATTACTGTGACACCACAATAAGCTAGATGGTCAATGATGTGAAAGCGATGGAATTGGTGATACGAATACGGAAGTAAGTAGGTACAGCCATGTGCATCTCTCTACCCAGTGTTACACACTGGTAATACCTGTATGATACGATGGAGTAAGAAAATAACTAACTAGTTGAAGTTGTAATTAGTTATCAAACAGTTCTTATGTCTTAGATATGGTATTAAAATGTTACAAATATTATTTAGTCGAATTGTTTCAGACTGTTCCTCGCCCGTAGCTTTGACATCCCCATCGCCCTTATCGGATGGGTCGTCCGCCACAATGTGATGCCCAACACCAGGGTTGGAGAACTAAAGGTAAACAGAAGGGATAGGTATTAGGAGTCGGAATCAGGGGTGAGGATGCGAGGAACGCTAGCCAAAGGGCAGCTCAAGCCTCAAGGTTTCAGTGACAAACGGACAATTGCAAAGACAAAATTACTGTACCACTCAGTTAAACTTCGACGCAGGTGGTACAACGGAAAAGACGTTCGAGATATTAGGACGAAACAGATGGCGGGATCCTTCCGCTGGGCATTTTTTCATCCATCGGATCAGACCCATAGCCTAGACTCTTGGAGCCATCAAAATGATCAAACGGGTCAGCATGATCGGCTTCGTTCCATCTCTCGATCTCTATCCGTCCTCGATCATATCTCCATTCTCTACTATGCAGAATATCAAACAAATCGATCAACGCCCTCGAGGCTCGAACAATGGCCTTGTGAAATCGTGATCAGCGATGTCCATGTCAATCGTCAATGGCGTTTTCCGTGCGGTGATTACATTTCGAGGAATTCCAGGCCCCTGGGTCTCAAGCCTTGTTTATGATTTCCCATTTCCGGGCATTTCCCATTTCCTTGACATCAGATCCTAGATTTCCCTTCAATTGCAACTTGCAGGGTCACTGGCAGTGCGGCTGAAAGACAAGAGCCTGTCGCAAGAAGATTGGCTGGACCACTGGAGGGATCATCCGTCAACAAAACCCTAAACACGCCATCAGTCAACGGTCCTTGAACCCACCCAACCCAGGCCCAATCCCGTTGGCTTGTGACATGAAACACAGGAAACGCAACGGGTCCGATGCCCCACTTCGTTGCCCTTGATCTGACCGTGGAGGACTCGAAAGTTGAAAGTCATCAAAAACGCGAGAAATGAGATGAGGAAGCAAACAAACCCAGCTGAGAATGAAACATGGATTGGTGGTCTTAGCTTTGTATTTGTGTCGTACAATAATACTGTCAGAAATAAGTATTTCCAGCAACCAGGCAGGATCTTCGAGCCGAATGGGAGTATTATTCATACGTATTACAACTTAGAAGTGTAGAACAGTAGAAGCTTTCCCCTCCCGATCGATCTAATGTGTCGATCTTCAGCACCTTATCAATAGCTCACTCAACCAAAGAAATCTGGAGCATCGGGCAATCCGACAGCTAAGTATGGAATAGCATTCTATCCAACCCATCGCCAGTGGGTTAGCTCTGATCATTCGACGTCATTTAGCACCTTCTAATAGGACCGATGGAGGATTAGTGGTGTTTTCAGGGTCGGTAGACGGTAAAGCCCCTTAGCCCCTGATCCGTAAAAAAAAGTTGTCAAACGCACAGACATGTGACTTGACCAACCCCAACATCCGAACTGGTGGATCAAAAGGAAGTGGAGGACGGCAAGCGTTGGTATTCTTAATTCTGGGCTCTTCCCTTGCCACTTCGTTCTTTAAAGGTAATGAATTTCTTAGGTTTGCTCGGTTGGAACTTTGAAGCCCCAGAGTTTTACCATCGTAGTTGAGTGCTGGCAATCGATCACGACAGAAGAGCCGGGAGGAAGACAAGGACGTGAACGCGCTATCATCGGAAGAAGGGATAGATCATCGCTCGTTTTTGCTGTCGCTATTCGACCTCACACCTCCATTCCTTCGTTTCGGGAGGTGATTTTCATCCGCTAAACACTCTCGCTTCTCTCCGTTCACATTCTCGGTTCTCCGCTTCTACTCTTGAGGATTCGTAGCATTCGGGCACACCCGCCATCTTATATATGCCACTCTCATCCCCCCGATCCCCCCGATCACCCCTCAGCCGATCTCCCTTCTCCCACGACCGCGACGGCTTCCAACCCCTCGAACCGTCCACATCTCCAGAGCATCCCAACCCTCACGCACCGAGCTCTCACGACCTCAGGCAATCGGTCATGGCGTCCAACGATGCTCGCATCAACATTCCTCTCGAACCCATCCCTCCCGGGGACCGACACCGCGGCACCTCTGGCTCCACCGCCAACGACAACCTCACCTACCCATCCGAGCCGCTCAATGAAAAAACCAGCGCGACCTCCAAGAGCGGGGGCATGTTCCAACGGCCCGACAGCAGCGGCCTCGGTCGACGTCGGCTGAGGAAGATGGATAGCCAGGGACAGCCGATTCCGGAGGCGGAGGAGGAGACCGATCGGATCACCCGCATGGGGAGGATTTATTACAAGATTCTGAACTTTAGCATCGTCACGAGGTACTTCATTTATGTGCTGCCGCTGGCGTTGGCGATTGCGATCCCCATCATCGTGGGGGCCACGGCGGCGAAGAAGGCGAAGTTGGGTGGGGTGAGGATCGTGTGGTTTTTTACGTGGATAGAGATCGGTGAGTTGGTACCTCTCTGATGGAGGACGAGAAATGTTTTGGAGAATTTGCTGACGGTACGGTAGTATGGCTCAGTGTCTGGGTGGCCAAGATCGTGGCACATTTCCTCCCAATAGTCTTCCAGGCTCTCGCCGGCGTCGTGAGCTCAGGGACACGAAAGTACGCATTGATCCTCAAGAAGCTCGAGATTCCCATTTCCTTAGTCGGATGGGCAGTCACCTCTCTCGCCACGTTTATTCCACTCATGACCCGAAACCCGGATGGCCGTGAAAAAGGCGCCGAAGTCAAACCGTGGATGTCCATCGTGCAAAAAATTCTGGCGGCTGCACTGGTGTCCGCGATTATCCTCCTCCTGGAACGCGTTATCATCCAGCTCATCAGCATCAATTATCATAAGCGACAGTTCGAGCAACGGGTCAAGGGTTCCAAGCGGAATGTATACTTGCTGTCGATTCTCTACGATGCGTCCCGAACGCTCTTCCCTGCCTACTGTAACGAGTTCGCGGATGAAGATTACACCATTTCCGATACCGTGGGGATGCTCGCTGGTCCGAAGGCCCACGGGAGGCGCCAGGGGCGCGCGACGCCAATGCGACTGGTCAGGGATGTTGGAAGGGTTGGCGATAAGTTGACGTCCGGTGAGCACCCAAATATCTCCAGAGACCAAGCAATCTGACACTAACATCTGCTCAGCATTTGGCAATATTGCTTCGGAGATCACTGGAAAGCAGGTCTTCAATCCCAACTCCGCCCATTCCATCGTAGTCCTTGCTCTCGAAAAGAAAACTTCATCGGAAGCTCTCGCTCGCCGGTTGTGGATGTCCTTCGTCGTTGAAGGCCGTAACGCTCTTTTCGAGGAGGATATAGTCGAGGTCTTGGGACCCACCCGCACGGAAGAAGCTGCCGAATGCTTCAATGCCATCGACCAGGACGGCAACGGCGATATCAGCCTGGAAGAGATGATCATGACCGTTACTCAATTCGGACGCGAGCGAAAGTCCATCGCCAGCAGCATGCATGACGTCGACCAAGCGATCAACGTCCTCGACGGCCTCCTGTGCGCCGTCGTTTTCGTCATCTGCATCTTCATTTTCGTCGCGTTCCTCAACGCATCGTTCACGACGACCCTCGCCACCGCTGGTACCGCGCTTCTGTCGATGTCCTTCGTCTTCGCCACCACCTGCCAAGAGGTGCTCGGATCCTGCATCTTCCTCTTCGTCAAGCACCCCTACGACATCGGCGACCGGGTCGACATCTCCAAGGAATTCCTCATCGTGGAGCGCATCTCCCTCCTCTACACCGAGTTCAAATCCGTCACCACCAGCAAATGCGTGCAGATCCCCAACATCGTCCTCAACTCCCTCTGGGTCGAGAACATCACCCGCTCTAAAGCTATGCGCGAGCCTATTTCCATCTCCGTCTCCTTCGACACCTCCTTCGAGGACCTCGCCCTCCTCAAATCCGAACTCACCGCCTTCGTCACCCACAAAGACAACTGCCGCGACTTCCAACCCGACCTCGACGTCGAGCTGCTCTCTGTCGGCGACATGTCCAAGCTCGAACTCCGCGTCGACATGCGCACCAAGTCCAACTGGTCCAACGAGACCCTCCGCACCGCCCGCCGCAGCAAGTTCATGTCCGCCCTCGTCCTCGCCCTTCGCAAGGTCCCCATCTACGGCCCCGGTGGCGGCGGCCTCTCCCTCGGCGACGCCGGCAACCCCAGCTACTCTGTCGCCATTACTCCGGACACCGCTGAACAGAACAAGAAAACCGCCGCCGACACCATGGACGCGAAGCGCATGGTGCCCGCCAACCCCAAGCCAGACGACTCCACATCCCCCGGCTCCAACACGGCATTCGCCTCCAGCCCCGGCTCCAACGACCCCCCACCTCAAGGCCACTCCACCGGCATTGCCCCCCACGCCGAGCTCTCTGCCATGAACACCCTCACATCCCGTCCCGTCGGTTACGACCGCGCGCGCGACGACGCCTTCCGCCAGCGCCGCTCGGAGGACAACATCTCCGCGCTGTCCGGCCCTGGGCTCGGCGAGCGGCCGAGCTACGACGTGCGGGAGATGGACGAAGTACGCGGATTACTACGAGAGCAGAGCGGCGGGAAGCGGAAGGCCGGCGGCGGACCGGCGTCGACTCCGTATAGCGAATCATCCGCCCCACCAGCCACCTATCCCGCCACCGGGCAGTCGAGCACGCAGGGCGCGGGATACCCGCCGCAGGTATCCCTGAATCAGAGCACCGGCTACGGGCAGGGGCTCAGCATGACCCCCTCCACGGAGCACAGCGTGTACCCGGTCCCGTACCAGCCGCCCAGTGGCGCGTCATATCAGCAATACGGCGCACAGCCGAGCATGCCGCCGCCGCAGGGACCGCCGCCGGTGTCGCCGGTGTCGCCGCCGACGCCGACGCGGAATGCGTTTGCGCAGCAGCATATGCAACAGGGAGGGTATGCGCAGGGGCAGGGACAACAGCAGCAGCAACAGCAGCAGGGACGAATTCCAAGAAGGGGGGTGGATAGGGAGGAGTAAGGGAGAGATAGACGAGAGATAGAGGAAAGATGAATAGATACAACCCTCGCGCGTGATTCGAAGCCGGCTTTGATTGGAAGCGCTCCACCGGCTGATGACAGGATTTGAGAATGGCATGTTTTCGGACGGATGTAGTTATTGATCTGGTATGAGTGGCATGGTATAATTCGGCTAGTATTGTCAGTCAATAGATTTTGTTTGTCTTCGGATGCTGAAGCGCACCTAGACTAAACCGCAAATGAGGTATGAAATGGGAGCCACTGAGGACTTTACGGTAAACGTGCGTTTGCAAGGTGGATTTACTGATCAGCCAAAGGTTGAAGAACTGCGAGTTATTAGACTTGATGCATTCATGTTTTCTAGTGTTGAAAATCCTAACAATAACAAGCCAACAAGTCCAATGAACCCCCGATGTCCCAACGTGCGTTTCGATTCGTTCCATCATGAACCATAGTACAGTAGTGTTGCCGTGTGAGGGGACAGTAAAAAAGATTGTTTTTGGGAAGAAAAGGAAAGGAAATATGTATGTCCACCAACCATCGATGAGAGAGAGACGGTGAATTAATACACGGGGCGAATTTGATGGAGTAGCATCGATGTGTACGCATGGAATAGCCACACCCTCCATGACAGAACTCCCTCCACGGCGATGACCCGACCACTCCTCATCCTTCATCCTCCACATCTCTTACAACTCCTCCTTCACCTTATTCTTATAATACCCCGCCGCTCGGCTCGCGCTCGCACTCGCCGTCTTCGCCGCCAGACTCGCAATCCGACTCGCCCGGTCCACGCTCGCCGTCGCGCTCGGAATAAACCCGAACTGCGCCCTCGCCATATCCACCAGATTATGCATTGCGACCCAATAATCCTCGAACCGCAACTTCCCCTCCTCCGTCGCCTGCGCGCCCTCGTTCCCCGCGCTGCTCGTCGCCGCGTTGAACGCGCTCTTCCCGGACTTGGTGGCGTGCACCGAGCCCGAGGACGCGGACGACACAAGGTTCTCGCGGTGGCGGCGGGCGAGGGCGATCAGCTCGTTGCGCTTGGAGCCCTGCGGGACGGGGATACCCTGCTCGTCGGCCCAGGCCTTGATCTGAGCGTCGCTCCACGACTCGAGGAGCTTATCGGAGAGGTAGTTAGTCGCGGAGGCCATGGCGGACGAATCGGAGGCGGACCGCGCGGAAAGGGACTGCGCGGCGAGGCGGGAGTTGCGGCGCACGGAGGCGATGAGCGTATCGCGGGTGGTAGGCTGCGGGACCGGGTAGCCGCGCTCGTCGAGCCAGGCTTTGAGCTCGGATTCGGACCAGGTGTCGTAGAGCCAGTTGCCCGGGTAGGCGGCTTTTTCGCCGACTTTGTCGGCGACGGATTGGTAGGTCTCGCGGGCAGAGGCGAGGTAGGCGTCACGGGAGCGGGGTTGGGGATTGGGGACGGCGTGGCGGTCAAGGTAGGATTTGAGTTGGGATTCGGACCAGCTGGAGATGGGATGTTAGTCGGGTTCATCGGTTAGAGGGAACAGGGGGAACGTACGAGTCGAAGATCCAGTCCTTCACGCTGTTCCATGACTCGAAAGCCTTTTCTTCCGTGTCCCACCAGTTGTTCTTGACTTGCTGCAGGAGGGAATCCTTGTTCTTCGCCGCAGCGCCTTGAACCTCCTTGCCCTTGAGGGCCAGGTAGGATTGAAGCTGCTGAACGTCCCACTCCTCGTAGGGAGAGACGATCTTGGCCCGCCAATTCTTCTTGACGAGATCCTCCAGTTCCTTGCGGTCAGAGGGCGTGGTATGGGGGATGCTGTGGTCCGACAACCATCGCTCCAGCTCCGTCTCATGCCAGTTATTATAGGCTGTTGGTGACGATTATTAGTCGATGCATCTTCCATGAAAGTTAGGACAGTGGATACATACCAGCTTTACCGAACCACGTCGATCCGACAGCGGTGTCAGTAGCGAGAGCGACCACGAGGGTCGATAACAGGGAGAACTTCATGCTGGTGGGTTCAGCTTCAGCCCCAGGTGGTGTTTACGCTTGATACGGGATATTTCCAAAAGAACTCAACGACAGCGATTGATTGTGAGAATTCCAAGTTGTGTTATAATCATCCAGATGAAAGAGGATGAATTAAATGGGAGTGGGATTGGTCAAGAGGATGATGGGCAAGTTATGTCATTCGAGAAGAGGACAGAAGTGCTGGTGAAATGAGATCTCAGAAAACATCCAGGCGAAGACCAAGTTGGGGAAATGGGGAAGAAGCTCTGACGTCAAGAGTCTCGAACCATCTACAGGCGAATTACGGAATACAGGCGTACAGGCGTCAGGCGGAACAGCCGAGGAGGAATGGAGGATAGACCGGGTTACATAACACATCAGCCACAGTGTATTGCCTGGCACGTGACTTAACACCTTACGCAGCCACAGTTCATCTAGCACCGAGTCACATGCAATATTTCAAAATAATCATTCCAACAAACACTCATCTTCAATGGTATTAATACTCTTTGTTGCCAAGTAAAGGATGTCATTTATCATATCCTTTGCTTTTATACAAGGGTACCTACACATACCTATTAAAATTAAGACCGCGAGGCGGATGTGTCACAATGGCATCAGCTACTGCCATCAACAGCACTCAAAAGGGTCAAAACAGAGTAGACCGTACTGATTTGATCGATAATTTGATCGATGATTAGAATTCTCGATCCAGATATATAATACTAGTACAGGATAACACCCCTCACCATGCCAATGCTGTAGGAATTGGCGTTTTTTCTTGTTCTAGTCGACTATCTTCATCGATTCGCTACCTAGAACTTTGCACTTCTCCTTTCGTCTCCTCTCACCATCCATTGAGTGTACAGCAGAAAAAACGGCTTCCTGATCAGTGGGTATCACGGTGCCTTGCGTCCCAGTCAACTACTTCGTCTTCTTCGGCTTTTCCTCCGCTCTCTTATCGGGATCTATAACAGCAATCCATTAGCCCAATCATCCAAGCATTTACCAGAATCCGAGACTGGGAGAATCCAAGACCACATACCCGACCAAAACCCCTTCGGCACCTTATCCTGCGGCGCATCGTCCACCGACACCGACACCGCCGCCCGCTCCGCCCGCGTGTCCATCTCCCGATTATGCTGCTTCACGTCCTCCGCCTGGTCCTTCTCCAGTGGCGGGTCCTCATCTAGGATCTTGGGTTTCGCGCCGTGCACGGCTTTCTTGTCTTTGTCGGGCTTGTCGGTGTCCCGAAGCGTGGAGGCGGATGAGAAGGGGCGAGGGGCGGCGGTGGGTGGGAGGAGGGAGGAGGGGGGGGTGCGCTTGGGGAAGCTGGGGAGGTGGTTCCGGGAGGGTTGGAGCCGCGTAAGGGCCTTTGGAATGGATCGGCCGAATGTAGCGGACATGATGAAGGTGAGCGGCGATATGACTTGGTCGATTGACTTGGATGATTGGCTTCAACGATTAGCGTCGAGGATTGGCTTAGAAGATCGATTTGTGAAAGAGCATCCAGTCAAATGAGAATGAATGTTATCTGAAAGTTCGTATAAAGTAGAGGAGAGAGTGAAGGCATCACTGATTGTAGATATCACTGAAGGTAGGTTTTTTGTTGATTGTTACTCCATTCGGCAGGGGCTGCCAACCCCCCTCTACGTCATCGTCACCGCCTGCATGGTCTGCATATTATTGTCGATGAGTCGTGCCTTCCTCGCGAAATCAATGTAAACATTGTATTGTCTCCTTTCAAATTCAATATCAAAAATCCCTTGATATAACCGCCAAAGAATCTCTCCTATTTCATCAATTGTCCGCTTTCAGGAAAGCTAGATGTACTCTCTTCGGCTCATTCCCGTGCGGCAGTCATCCCTAAGACCGCGAAATCCCGGGTTGCCGGTTTGATGTGGACCTTCTTTCTAACCGGGGACTGGGGGGAGAAGGGAGCTCATATTAGCATTTAGCACATGCAGACTGTACTGTACAACTACATATTGAGTCCATCACCAAAGTTTAACCAACACGTGAAATTTCCATCGTGAATAGATATCCCAGCTAACTCCTCGACCTTCTCCCCCCCTTTGATAGCATCAATTGCATCGTGTCGTCATTTTCCCACCTCACCATGGCATCCATCACCCCCCGCTTCCTCCGACCCGCCCTCCGCCAACCGACCCCATGGCAATGCAGAAACTTCAGCGTCTCTCGCACCGTCGCTGCCGTCCAGGTGAACAAGCTGGGCGTCATCGGTGCAGGCCAGATGGTATGTCCGGAGGAATTGAGCGGTGACATCGCAGCCAATTGACATCCTCCAGGGTCTCGGGATCGCTCTCGTCGCCGCGAATAAAGCTGGGCTGCCGGTCGTGTTGCTGGATAACTCGCAGGCATCGCTGGATAAGGGATTGAAGTTTGCGGGTGAGTAGTCAGGTTCCGGTGGAGCGGGCATGGCTGATGAAGGTACAGACAAGTTACTCGAGAAAGACGTCGCGAAGCAGCGGATCTCCAAGGACGATGCTGTACAAGTCCGCGGCAGGCTTTCTGCCACCACGAAGATGGACGATCTCTCCGACGTGGACTTCGTAATTGAAGCGGTCCCGGTACGTTTACAACAATCCCACCTCATCTCCCACCTCCCGAAACATTTAACTAACCAAGCTTCCCAGGAAATCCTTGACCTCAAAACTGCCATCTTCTCCGCCCTCGCCCAAACCTGCAAACCCACCACCATCCTCGCCACCAACACCTCCTCCATCTCCATCACCAAAATCGCCGCCTCCACCACCACCTCCCCCACCGACCTCTCCGCCCCCTCCCGCGTCATCTCCACCCACTTCATGAACCCGGTCCCCATCCAAAAAGGCGTCGAGATCATCACCGGCCTGCAAACTTCCCAGAGCACCATCGACACCGCCATCGCCCTCTGCACCCGCATGGGGAAGATCCCCTCCCGCAGTGCCGACTCGCCAGGGTTCCTTGCGAACCGCATCTTGATGCCTTATATCAACGAGGCGATCATCTGTTTGGAGACGGGGGTGGGCGGGAAGGAGGACATCGATCAGATCATGAAGAACGGGACGAATGTGCCGATGGGGCCGTTGCAATTGGCGGATTTCATTGGGTTGGATACGTGTTTGGCCATCATGAGGGTGTTGCATGGGGAGACGGGGGATAGCAAGTATCGGCCGGCGGTGTTGTTGGCGAAGATGGTGGATGCGGGGTGGTTGGGGAAGAAGAGTGGGAAGGGGTTTTATGATTATTGAGCGATAGAAAATCTGTGTTCGAGATTGTTTGAGATATGCTTTGGGGATAGGAATATATATCTTGACGTAGTATTTAGAGAATGTTGGCTCATAGACTACCATAATGGTGAATTCAATACGGCCACCACCACTGTTTTTCAATGTATACCGTAGGAGCGTAAAACCGTACGCTTCTACCATAAAGAACATTCCCATATATTGGTATTACAAACCAAAATGCATCCAAAACCACCATTTAAATCCAAACTCGACACCCAATTGTCCAATCACATCGTGTGATGTTCCCATCCGCTAAATCCCTGCTGATGATGCAAATGTTAACCATCCGAACTTCACCGAGACCGGAGGTCAACATGAATATAAATTCACTCCGACGACCTAGAGCAGAACGTGAATTATAAACAAGAGCATAGGATACAGGATTGTATAAAGAGGCCACCCATTTCATATCTCCAACCGGCCAATTCCTTTTCGATTTTACTTTTCCCCGTCAATATATCCCCACCACTCCACCGACCATCCCATATCGAACCCTCGACCAGCCATCATTATAGCTACCCAGCAACCATGGCCTCACTCACCGATGCCGAGCTCCGCGAGATCCACAATTTCCTCATCAACATTGCAGAAAGAGCCGGGAAGATGATCACTGCGGCGCACCCGCAGGCGGGGGACGTGGGGCTGAAGAAGAATTCGGTGGACTTGGTGACGGAGACAGATCAGGCGGTGGAGAAGATGGTGTCGACGGCGTTGAAGGAGCGGTATCCGGATTTTAAGTACGTGGGATTATGATTCTTAATTCCACACACTAAACCCCCTAGATTTATGGGCGAAGAAACCTACCAACCCGGCGACGTCCTCACCCCCTCCCCCACCTTCATCGTCGACCCCATCGACGGCACCACCAACTTCGTCCACTCCTACCCCTACGCCTGCATTTCCCTCGGCCTCGCCATCCACCGCCGCCCCGCCATCGGCGTCATCTACAACCCCTTCACCCGCCTCCTCTACCATGCCATCTCCGGCCACGGCGCCTTCCTCACCGACAAATCCACCGCCTCCCCTCCCCGCCGCCTCCCCCTCCAGTCCCCCGCACCCCTCGCCAGCCTCGCGGGGTCTCTTGTGATTGTCGAGTGGGGCTCCGACCGCGCGGGCAACGACTTCGCCGTGAAGCTCGACACGTTCGGGGCGCTAGCGCGCGCGCGGGAGGAGGGCGGCGCGATGGTTCATTCGCTGCGGTCGTGTGGGTCGGCGGCGCTGAATATGTGTGCGGTGGCGGCGGGGCAGGCGGATGCGTATTGGGAGGCGGGGTGCTGGGCGTGGGATGTGTGTGCGGGGTGGTGCGTGTTGGAGGAGGCGGGGGGGTACGTGGTGGATGCAAATCCCGGGGGATGGGAGCCGAAGGTGGAGGGGAGGAGGTATTTGTGTGTTAGGGGTGGAGAGGGGAAGAAAGAGTTTGTGGAGGAGTTTTGGAGGGTGGTGAAGGGGAGGTTTGAGGTGGGGGTGGAGTAGGGGATGGATAGAAAATATTGATGAGGTAGACGTTTTGGGAGAGGATTTGCTCTATCAGTCCTCGCGGTGTCGATACACCTTCATATGTAAAGCATAAAGTAGACGTGCTATACATGGAATAAAAGCACTTATCATGCCTTCGGGCCTTCTACCCAGTCTATAGAACCTCGATTATCTGGTCGTCTTCATCATCTTCTTCCTCTTCTACCTCCTTGATCTGCGACTGGCTCGGGGTCGTCAGCAAACCCCGTGCCCCTGGGCCGGGCCCCTCAGGAAGTGACTCCGCTTCCCCTTCCTCTCCCCTCATCAACACCTGTACAAGCCGATCACACGCCTCCGTAACATCGTCATCCTCGACGTGGACATGACATTCTCGTACAATCGGATATGTCTTGATCCTTCGCAGCGTTTCCCGTCCATCTTTGGTGGTGGTGAGCAGTAGCAGGGTCTCCAGATGCGTTTTGACGATATCTGGCTCCGGCTCGCGTCGTTTGTCCGGCGGCAGGAGTTGCAGGTCTTCGAGCATCTCCTCCGTGTCTTGGTCGCTGTATTCTTCTGGACCCATGAGCGGGAGGAGGATGTAGGGAAGCAGGTTAGCTCCTTCGTCAGGGAAGTCGCTTGGGGTGGGGAGTCTTGGTGGGATGGGGGATAGGAGTTGTGGATGCGTGGGGATGGCAAAGGCGAGGTTCTTGATGGTCGAGGCAACTCCACGACGGCGGATGACTGAAGAATGCTCCGTGAAGACGGTGAGTTTGGTCACCGGGATTATATCCTCATCGTCTTTCCTTGGCCGCGTGAAATATTGCTGTCCCTCAGGGTACTATTATCGCGTCAGTATCTATACAGAGGAATCCCCACCTCACTGCTTACCTGTGCAAGATCCGCCATGGCGTATGACAGATAATCAAAATTGGCATGTTTATTATATCCCCCTTCTGCCCCTTTCACGAAACAGTCCATTAACTGGTCCATTGCATTTTGCGATCTTGACAGTTCTTTTCGCTCGGGAACCTTTGTATCCAGCAGTCCCTTCAGCTTTTCGGACTTCGTAAGATTCGATAGCAGCATCGCTATTAAGTCCGCTGATTCTTCTTTAGGGTTCTGCCGATCTCAAGGTTAGACGTCGCTTTTTCAATTGGATGTAGCGGCATAGAAAATCGTACAGTGATTCTTGATAAGAGAGACATTATAAACTCGTTATCCCCTGACAGATTCTCAAGGATATCTGCACCCTCGGTCAGGTTGATGAGCATCGTCAACGCATTTTTGGCTATCGGCTGTAACTGTCAGAAATTACCTCCAACTCCACGAGAATCGACTCCCATACCGGATAGTCTTTGACGAGGAGTTTGAGGTCCTTGATGGGCTCATGCTCCCGTGCCCTGAATAAATCTGGTTGCGCGGTGGAGAATCCAACGAGGTTCTCAACAGCTGGAAGAGTCGAAGTCAGTCCTCGTCCAATCGAACCAGAATTGATCTCGATGCTCGTTCAGATTCCATGCTCTTACCTATCTGTCGGACTTGGGTGTTGCCATGATGAAGAAATTCCACCAGCTAGACTCCAGTCAGTATTCGGATTAAATCATCACATTCTTCCTGACTTACATCTTCTAGTTCGGTGGACATCTTACATCAAAGTTTCCAAACAGATTCTTTAATAGAGAGAGTTCTTTTACCTGGTAGGTCTATCCTAGTCTATTATAAAATCAACAATATTTTGTTAGGAGTAGCAGGAATATAATGTCATTGAAAGTGCAAAATCGAGATGTTAGGGAGCATCCAAGTTGTGGCGATGTGTGGGAGTTTTTCGAACGTCATCTCATCCGAATTCCATTCTTCTACTGCGTTTCAACTCTCCTACTTCCATGATAATATCTCCGTATTGATGAAAATGTTGCTTCACCGTCACCGATAACCTCCATAGAATGCATGTGTCCAAATTCTGGGATTCTGACCGGCAGAATATTGCAAGGCTGATATTCGTCGAGATGCCTTTGACCGGTCAGCCGGAAACGGGCAAGGCGTCGATTTAGCCAATTCCAGGCGTAGAAGTGTAGGGGGTATATATCTAATCCAATATGCAGACTATATAATCATGAGATCGGACGTCGACCGCAAACTGAAAGCTCCTTGGAATCAATTTTGGACGATTGAGCCCTATTGGCCGAGGTTTCATCCGCATCTTAACATACCGCTGCACATTTTCTATTATCTTATTGTCTACTGGTGATCTCTTCTTTACTGTCTCTAGTCCATACCAATTTACCTCTTTCCTCATATTTTCGTGGAGCTTCAAATCATGGCTGAGAGCCCGAATCTGCGGGACCTCTCTACGTCATTCGTGGAGACCCATGTTGATTATCGCGACACAATCCCACTCATCAAGAGTGTCTCAAGAATCCTGTACAACATCGATCATGAGATTCTAGTTCTTGGGGTCCTCATCAGGCAGGTCGCCAGATGGGTTGAGCCTATTGAAGACCAGGAACCAGACAGTGGTGGTCCCGATGAGGCTTCGACGAAGGAAAACCGCGACAGGCAATCGAGCCTTCTTAAAGATTTTGAAAGGCTGAAGATCTGTAAGAGGCTTCAAAAGCACGCCGACGCACTCGACAAGGCACTCTCTTCCTATCTCCACCAACTCTCCCCACTTCGAGATGACCTTCACCGAAGAAGGCCAGTACGACGCTCTTCATCCGGCAGAGGAGACTACTGGACCGATCTCAGTCGAGCCATGAGTCGAGTGAGTACCGGAGTTTTCACCGACTCTGCGAACCTCGTGGCACAAGAAATACGCAAGCTTCACTTTGCGATAACGTGCCTTCTTTCTATCATCAGCCTTGCGGAGCAGCAAGACAGACTAGAAGAGAAATGGAGCCGAAATGTCAAAATCACTGACGATGATTTGAAAGAGGTTGAAATCTTGAGGAACGAGGTGGAATCTACGCGGAATGTCGGTGTTCGGATCGGAAATGAGTGCCTTGCCATGCATGAAGACGGAAAGGTATCAAGGAGCTTGAGACGGCTCTACAAGGAGGAAAACGATGTGTTGCCAGTTGTTGTCGAACTGGCAGATGCACGGATTGACACGAAGAAAAGACACGGCCGAAAGCATCGTCACCCCCGAAATGATCGGCGGGAGCATGGCGATCGGCGTCCTACTAGTGAGTGTTACAAGGAGGAAGAAAGGATTACTGTCCACAATGTATGAACGCGTGCATACTAGATGGCGGGTGGGACTTCGAATTCGCGCGTCATATTGACTGAGGTATCGAAAGCTGGTTATCATTCACTGATCCTGAGCCTCCTTACACGTGTCTCAAGGGCGAGGGTCTCGTATATGATGATATTTTCATGTGCGCTCTGGTTTCATCGACACAACTCGCAAATTTCTCTCATGGCCTGTTGTGATTCTTTTCCTTCCATTTTCCTTACCACCTAACAGTCAAGTTGCCGCCATACCTGACTGAGATACTTGCAGAATCCTGGCTCGAGGTAAGGTCTTACCTACCTACTTACTAATCTACCTGCTTAGTACCTAGGATTGTTCATTTAGGACTAACATTTGCGAATATAGAACTACCTTGCGATTGAATTCGAATCAACCCGACAACCTTGAAGAAGGGAGACTTAGCTCCGCGTCAATATCAGAAGATCGCATTCTCTCCCATTTATTACTATGTCCCGACTACCTCTTTACAATATGGGAACATAACCGGTATGTTTATGTAGTATACCTATTAGGTGTCTGAGAGTCATGAAATCAAAACCTCATCGGAGTATTATTTCATTCGCCAAGCTTCGAGGTTTCGGAAGAGGGCCCTTGCAGTGATCGAATTCAGTCTGTTGAGAAGCCTTTGCTCGCTTTGGACACAACTAGCGATTGGCAGTCTTGGCGTCAACGTCCAGCCAACATCTGCTCCAGCATTATTAGACAGCGGCAAGTTGGGACTGCTGATTGGCATGCCTCGCGGAATGCATTCACCAGCTGAGGATGAGCCTCATTTAGGCTGGAACTCACTCTGAAAATATGCGTGCGCGTACGCGACAATATACGCAGCTAGAGATAACAGCTGGCAATGAAACTTAACGTCGCTAGTCCGAGTCATGGCGGGCAGCACGCAAAACATCAGCGACTTGTCTGTAAGTTACCATTCTCAGCTTTTCGCTGGTCAGGCCCGCGATGTGTATTTTGGCAAAAGTAAAGTGAGTGTGCTTAGCTGGCAAATCCTCGAAGCAGCAAGGACGCGACGGTCCGGCTGCAGACGCTCGAGGGCCATTCGGGCGAGGTCCGCGCCATGGCCTTCTCGCCAGACGGCAAGACGCTGGTGTCGGCATCATGGGATAAGACGGTCCGGCTGTGAGACGCCGAGTCAGGCGCCGCGCTGCAGACGCTCGAGGTTGGAGCCATCGTCTACAATATCTATTTCTCCAATGATGGCACCTCTCTCCAGACGAATCGTGAACTCTGGCCTATTTCATCACCTTTATCTGATGGTACAGGTGTGATCAGTCTACAGACTACAACATCCATCTTCTATCTTTGTCAATGACCAATGAGTAGCCATACCCAGCGGATCCTTTGGCTTCCTCCCGAGTATCGGCCAAGTTGCATTGCTATTCATAATGGTATTATCGCTTTCGGATATACATCTGGAAGAGTTATAACTATGGAACTTGCTTTGTGATATTTTCCCAAGATTTCTTCAACCTTCTCTCCGCCCATCCTCCTTATAGATGACGACTTTATATAATGTAGAGCAGCACGAGTGGCGACAGCCGATAAGTAATGTTTGATTAGAAATCCAAAAGCTTCGAGACCAAACTGCGCCATAAGGCGATAGCAACTGACGTGATTGAAACCTGATTGGTGCTATTATTAGCTAAGTGTTTGTGAAAAGGTGCCTTTCCCAACTGACTCCTTGATATAATCCTCCATGCCATCCACTAGCCACATCCCTGTGGCGTCAGCCATGCTCAAGGGCCCAGGCCACAGGCCCGGGACCATAACAACTCCTGGTATTATAGTTATCAAAATTCTTACTTGGTCCAACATATCCCTGAATAGCAATTCTCTGGCGCACAGAAAAGGTCTGTCGCTCCGCAGTAGCCATAATGCGAGCAGCAAGGCCCGAACCGAGTCCCGGGGCAGATTTTGTTTCCCGCAAATAACAGCCCAAATTCTCCAATTGTGCTCAGTCCACCGTCCTCTGTATCACAGGCGCCTGAGTAGCAATTATCCACACGTGTACCACAATAGATGGCAGTGCTCTCACTGTCCCACAGTATCCATAGATGGGGCAACAACTTGCCAAAGTTAGATAATGGCACAGACGCGGAGGGGTATGGATAACACTTATGGTCCAAATTCTGGGTTGGTACAGGTCGTCCCTCCGTCATGTTAGACGCTTCGATCCAGATGACCTTCCAGACACCAGTGAACCACAAATTATCCACTCGGTGTGTTCCTCGGGGATTTTCACCAACGGGTCTGGAAGTCTTTCGTTCCTCTCCTTGACAAAATCTCCCCACTGGGTCGCAATCGGCAATACACTCTCAAGGATTGCGTATTCCCAGAAACGTTGCACTACACCTCACAGGTGGTTGACGATTAGTTGGTCCCATGTTAACTCACTGACTTCAAGAGCTGCCTGTCTTGGCCCTCTATTACTATCCACAATTGCTTTAGGTGTTGGGAGGCAAGTGGTCGCCTGCTGGGTTGAAGGACGGTAAGGGAAGGAAGGGAGGAACCCATACTCTATTTGATGGGTAAATAGTTCCGTTCGATCTTCAATCCTTTGAATCTGTAGACTATTTGTATGTGTGAAATTATGATTGAGACCGGAAGCTTAATCAGCACAAGAACGCCGACTACAGCGGTATCAAATATGACCCACTGATATGCAGTCAGAGAATTCTTATTGCAGAATGGAGGCATATATCAAGTGTATTCCTTTCATCGTTCCGAGTTGCTGATATTTTATACATGCCGTGTTAATCACGGCTGATTTTTGGGTATTGTACAGAACGTTCAATCCGCCGAAGCGTTATATCATTTCAGAGTCATGGCTACTGGTATCCAAACGCCACGATACCATTTAACCAAGGTCATCAATCATTCATCCATTCAATTCATTGCCTCCTCTGCAGAAGGGGAGGCACGATCAGTCTTTCCGGGACTCCATCCTGCGTCCTCTTCCTCATGAACCCATTGCACTCCTCCACGCAGTGATACCACTCCATGAGCGCTCGTCCGATGAACTTTTCATACTCCGCCGCACACCCACGAGGAGCTTCCGCCGCGAGACTCTCAGGATCGCTTAACATATTAAGGTCTTTAAGGTAGAGGTGCGCAGGTAGGGGGAGACGAGGCGGTGGGACCCAACTAGGGGGAGGTTGCTTCCAGGGAACGTAGCCAGGGTTATGGAGAGGCATCGGATCTCGGTTTTCGGTTCCGATAGCCTTAGATTCTAGGTGGTTTCCCACCGCTGGCGTGGGTTGAGCAAGACGCAGACACTCGTGTGCCAGGGGGAACAGGTTATGAGGATCTGATGGACCGAAGTCAAACCCAGGGGGCAAACGCGGTGGGTGGCGGTGTTTCAATTGGAATAAGTATATTTCCGGGAGCGCTCGGGCCTGCATCATCGGCGCGTGTGGGTTTCGTGTAACGTTCGGGTCACTCATGGCCCGATCGCGATAGAATTGATCCGGACGGAGCGCGGATGGGTCGCGGGGCCCAGCATTGGGAGCGCGGGGACTTGCGAACGGGGACGCCGGGAAGGCCGTCGATGATGAGCGGGCAAAGGAATCGGAGAGAGGACGCTTGGCTGGGAGGCTGCCGTCCCCAGCAGGAGAGGCTTCGCGTGACTTTGATTTCTTTCCCTTGATGCTACCGACGAGGCTGAATCGTTTCTTCTTCTCCGAGGGCGGAGGAGAGTTGCTGTCGTTTGAGGACAGCGACAGAGTGGAGAGCTCCTCTGGTGAAAGGGAGCTCTCCCTATTAAAGGGCTCTGCCCGCTGGCGGGAATATCGGGGCGGAACAGTTAGAGTTGGCCGGGAACCGTTCATCGTATTATCGAGGGGTAATAGGGCTGAAGCTGGGAGTCCTGGACGTGCAAGTCCGGTGTCCTGTTTGAGTATTATTCCGAACCCATAATGGATGCTGGGAATTTCAGGGAAACACGGTGGAGGGGCGATGCCCTGCGCGCTGCACCTTTGAACGTGATTACGCCAGAACGCATGCAAAGTGCCGAGACGCAAGTTCAGAATTTGCATGATCATCCTAAACGGTGTTAGCTCGGAGGAAGTTGACTGTTATCGTTATATGGAGAATCACTCACGTATCGTGTGGCCCAACTACGCCATCATACCGTGCAAAACGCCAGCACAACAAACGCATAAAATACATCCGCACCTCATGATCAACATGCAAAAAGCACGTCCAGAACACTTCCTCGTCCAAGAACACGTCCATGCAGATCGACAGCTTGATAGCCGCGGCATTGTCATGACCCAGCACCGGCCACAGCGAGTAGATGAGGGCGAAAAGATCCGTCATGCAGAATTTGTTTCTGAATTGCACGATCTTTCGGATCCATGCGCCCCAGGAATTCCAATCCAGCAGCTCGATCGCACGGCGACTCATTTCCGAATATCGCAGAAAGATGAAGATCGCCTCGGCGGAGATATCGATCAACGAACGGACAAGGGCAGGTCGTCCAACTTGAATATCGTGGGTGCTGATAAGTGCTCGAAATACACCGCTGTACGCTGCTGCTAACATGTTTCTCCCTTCAATCGCATCATGAACGAAATCAAGCAACCCAGAACGTGCGTAGCTGAGCGCCTTGTCGGTCAAACAGTCAAATCGACTCCGGGATTCCGATGCGGAAAGCAAGATGGGTTCCTCGATGTCAATTTTGCCTTTCATCGCATTCAACGGGTCGTTCCTCTCGCAGTGTCGTTGAATCTTGGCTTTGACGATGTTGAAGAGCTGCGCTTGGACTATGACCATGGCTGGGATAGCCATCATATCCCTTCGATCCAGGTCGAACGGGACGAATGAAGCCATCAGAAAATGGTAGTACCTGAAGAATATGTGGAATAGATCGGACGAGTGCCCACACCATCGCTGCAACCATGGGCCGAGCAACAATCTCTTCTTCCCTTCTGGCATATCAACAGGAAGGCATGGGAGGCGGTGCCGCATTTTCTCTTCCCCTGGCATCTCCTTCGGAATCGGATTGACCCTAAGCTCCCGCTTTAGTTTCGCGAAGCTTTCGAATGCCCAATCACGAAGACCGTCCGGGAAACGGGGCGCAAGAATATTGGAGCTGGCAGAGAGATTGTCACGCCTTTTGACATCATTGGCTTGGAGGACAGACAACACGGACTCAGGGGTGGGCTTCCACAGGAAAATGAGCAGATCCGTGGACCCAGGGCAGAAGACGAAGGCGTACGCGGAAGTCTGGCCGCAAAACTTAACGGCGCTGGCGGTCACATGCTGTTCCGACATCACTTGAATCGCGAACTCGAGTTGCCGTTCCATGGTATGGATAAACTTCTCGCGCAGGGTAGGTACGGGCCTTGCCGCTTGTGCGTTGTACTCTGGATCGGCAGCAAGGGATTCCTCCGAGGGACATTCCGGAGGGGCAAGCGATGGAACGGCGGAAACGGTGGGGTATACGTTTGAGAGAACAACACGCCACTCCGCTCGTTCCATAATAGCAGTGATCGCTGTGAAGACTTGAAGGCGGCTAGAGGCCTCCAAGCGTTGCCGATGTTCGCCAGTGACGAGGTCTAGTAGCGCAGTCCACCACTTATCTAGGGTGTTAATCCGTCGCTCAAGCTCTTCCGCAGGGAGTGATGCAAGCAACTTCGGATTGGCGGGATGCTTCGAAAGCCAGACGACAATCGTCTTATGGAGAACCGCAGCCCTGATGGGAAGGGGTTTACGGGAGAAACTGACAGGAGAATACAAATCAGTGAACTGTGTTAATGTTTTTAATGATGTAGGAGAATACATACTTAGTGAGCTCATGGTCGAGATATGCAAACAAATAGTCACCATCAGTCCGGTTCATTCCCCTCCGCGTTGAGCGCCGCCTTACGGGGGCTCCGCTGTTAGTCACGCCCGCCTCACGGTCCGTCGACTCCTCAGCTGCAGGCTCCTCAACCAAGACGGTCTCCGTATTGTTCGCAGCCCCAGGAGCGTCTCCGGCTGAGGTCGACCGCCTTCGCAAGACCGACCGCCTCCGAGAGGGATCAGAGCCTTGGCTCGATGCGCGGGAGCGCGAGCTCGAGCGCGATGGAGAACGGAAGATCGATCGAAGAGCGGAGGGCTCTTCGCCCCGTTCTTCAGCAGTTTCGGATGGGGTTAGGAGATTTGAGAATCGTCGAGTGAGGCTGGAAAGGCGTGAACGGCCGTCCTTCGAAGGAGAGGGCGAAGGCGACTTGGTATCTGTCGTGGGCTTCTTTCGTAACTTGTTCGCCAGCCGATTATTCTCGCTCTTGTCGGATGGCGCGTGGCTGCCACGCTCTCGTTCGTCGGTGCCATCGAGTCCATCTACCGGACGGTCCCCGAAGGATTGCGATATGGTCTCGAAAACCTTGTCGATTTCGCGCTGGTCGATCGGCTCTGAGACGACCGACTCCGCGCGAATGACGGGTCTGGTTTCTTTCGTCTCGGCGCCATTTGCTCGTTCAGGAAGTTGGCCAGTCTGACCCGCAATAAAGAGGTCACTGGAAGAGAAGCTCGGCTTCAGGTCGATCACCACTTCCTCATCAAACAAGGCCTCCGTGAGGTCGGTCAAGTTTGGCACGCTGGCCGGTTTGGGAAGCGGATCATCCAACTCATTTAGGTTGAATGGGGGTATGACAGGGTTGGCCTCTGTTGGGGAACGTGCAGCCATCGTATTGTTCTCGTTCTGACTATTGTTGTCCCACACTCTGTCGGCTGGTTGGGGTGAGGGTGAGAGCATTATTTCACACAATGCGAAGGGACCCTCGTAACAGGACCATGGGGTCTCGGGGCCAAGAGGTGAACAAGCAAGAGTCTCTTATTTACTCTGAGCAGCTCATATCCTTCGTCTCTCGTTCAAGTCACCTCGATGTTCCCCTGGGTGCGATACCTTTTCCCCAGTGTCGAGTGAAGGCCACAGTCTAGTGAACGTATTACTACAATCGCGCATGGTCAGCAAACAGAACGGCAAAGGGTTTGTCTCCTAATTGCAGTAATCATATACGGGAGCTTTCTTACCCTCTTTACTCATCCCTCAACTCGATTCGCTTTGTTGGAAAGGTGTCACTTGTGTGACATGCGGTTCGCCGTGGTGGAGTAAACTCCGGAGTCGTGTCAATATATACCTATGAATTCGCCGTCAGTAACCCGAAAAGTTAAAATTTTATAATTCGACGAGCCTCGGAGGTACCCAGGGAAGACCTCTTACCTTATGTCACCATCGAATAAGCTGAGGTTGTAGTGTCGTCGTCGAACTGAAAGATCCCGATAGAACGAACGTAGAAGTTACGGGTCGATCTGGGAGAGAACCAAACACAGCATATGGAGAAAATCGCTTGTAAGGGTCCAGACGAGTCAACAAGATCCCCCAAATATATTCCGGTGTGTTTCTTCCTTAGGCAGCGCTGTCGTCGTGGTCGAAACGAGAGGTCGTGCTGGCGAGAAAGCGGACTCCGAGGGTTGATATGTGGGACATGAGGGGGAGGTCGGGTGAAGACAGAGAACGCAACAACGACAACGATGACAAGCAACGAACTGTGAGCGGTTCACTTCATGCGACACTTCCGCAGGCACCAACACGAGCAATTGAAGCGACAGAATGGGCCTCAGCCCCGGGTTGAAGATGGGAGATTGGAGTTCGGGCGTTGTCAATCCGCGAGATGGGGCGGGTGTCATATCCTTGCTGGATGCGTTAATACCGTACTGTCTGCAGCAGGGATCCCACCAGCATCAAACGATTAATCTGCGGATTGGCGGAATTACTGTACTTTCGTGAAAGTACTAAAGGTTAAAAGCAGGCCGTATCCCAGGAATTGCTGATGGGCTGCCTGTTCGGTCGCTTCATTCCTAAAGCTGTCCTCTCTCCTGATACCTCATGCTCTCAGCTACCTCCACCTGGCTGGTAACCACTCTGCACAAGCGAAGGATCTGGAGCTCCCGGTTCCAAATGATGTGATATGCAGATATGTCCTCTGCATCGAGGTGAGCGTCTGTTTGGAACCCGATGATTCGTTCCCAGGGGACAGGGACGTCCGGCGTGGCGCAGGGTCTAAAGTCAAAGATCTGGCGTTATTGGAAATGCATCATGATCATGCACGACGACCATTCTAGGCAGTTCTGGATCGCTTCTTTCACCGATTTCGCTCGTTTCGAGCATTCGATTGACTGCCGACTCATCATCCTAGAACCACACGAGGCGTCGTCCGGATTGGTATGAGATGGCGGTGGGATGTGGGTACAATCCAGCCTTCTGTTAGCCCCTTTCCACAGCCCTATCAGCTTTATCACCTCCAGACTCCAGTGAGTCCAGACTCCAAAGTTCAGAGAGTGCCACGTTGTCGGTCCATATTCATTCTGGGCTCTAGACGACTTATTCCGGACCGCTAATCCTTAATCTGAAAAGAGTCTTATGCAACTTCGCTTCTTTGGGGACATGGTATGTAGCCTGGACTTGTATAGGAGCATCTGAATGTCGCGGTAGACATGGCGTGCTGATGGTTTTTTCGGGGTTGTCGGCCTTTCACACTGGTTCCAGCCTGAATGTTTCATGCTGTACATAGTAGTTATCGGAAAAACGTAAGGATCTGTGTATGGAAGAGGTTTGAGGTTGACTGAATCAGCAGTCCTGGGTACGCTGACCATGGATAGAAAGATCGGGACCGTTCATGCATGCTACTGTTCGTTCGCCTTGTTTTTTAGAATTAGAAAGAATCAATGGAAGAATTACAAGCTATTGAGGTCCGTGCTGGGCGGAATGGTCAACCATTAACCAATTACCAAGTGTCAACTCAGGAATTTGGGTGAGAGGTACGGGCCATGGAGTACCACGCTTTCTGGGCGGAGGAATCGTCAGGGTCTTGAGAGATAATGGTATATATGTCTCTCGTAGCTTGCTAATAGGTCCCATCATAAGAACAATTAGCTCAGTAGAATATGCCCTATATCATAAGACTCAAAGCTCATATCAACTTAATTGAGAGAGCAAGAGCATTATATTCGATTGGAGCTTTTATTGGGCGGGTGGCCTTGAGGAGGGTGGATTAGACTTTAGGAACCTATCCCCGAGGACTTCGACAGACTTTTATACGAGCTTGTAAGTTCTGGTGTCCTTCACATTACCGTATTGGGAGAAGTGGACATATTCATTGCCAGATGAGTCCGGGTAAACCTCAAAAGACCGAAATGTATGTATCCGGTATCGATCTGAGGACATTGGCCCAGGCCATCAGCGGGGTCATTGTGTTCAGGCTGTTTGGATAGTGGAAGGCATCAAGTGGCAGACTGACAGGTTTTCGAATACGGTTCAAAGGAATCAGAGCATGATGTACATTCGGCATTGCATCTCGTGAGGAACTGGAGATCTCCAAAGTTCCCATCTTGGTTCCGGAGTTTTGAATCGATATTCATCTTTGAATCGCTCAATATATTGATACAATCCCCCTCTATTCACAATCTAGCCCCAATAGTTCCGGGCTTAATGTTGCGCAGAAGCCGCCTCCTCTTCCTCCTCAACAAACCAATCCTCCTCTACGACCGGCTGTCCACCTTCCTCCGCCTGGCCCTCCACCTCGACAGCCTGCGTCTCATACGCCTGCATCTCCTTCGCCAAGTCGGCCTCCTCTGGCGACGCGGGCACCTTGGGCATCGAAAACGTGTGGACGTGGCCTTCGGCGTCGGTCGCCTTGACGGGGGCGGGCTTGAAGTTGCGGAGTTCGCGGAGGTAGATGTCCTGGACCAGGTCGGCTGGACGAAACGGAGCTATCAGTATACCGACCATTTTCGGGTTCGATTATTGATGGCGACTGACCTTGTCGGACGGCGGACACCGTCAATGTTCGTCGGGAGACGGATGAGAGTTGCTGGCGGGAGAGCCGAGCCACGCATTGGCGCTGGGAAGCGGTGTTAGCGAGGCAATTGGCGGGATTGGGTCATCACGTACTGAAACTCGGAGGGATTGGGCAAGCATTTTGGATCGGGGGATGTTCCGAAGCTTCGTGTGCGAGCGCTCCTGATGAATTGTAGGTCGTGAGGTCGTGATGGACAACTGGAGATGAATGGAAAAGCTTCAAGCAATTCAAGCCGGGAGCTGCTTAATAATGTTGGTGCCTTAGTGCCTGAGGCTGAAACCGATACTAGTCGCATCAATGCACTGCACTCGACAAGATGTTGATGCCTTGCCACCTTGCTGCCTTCGAAGAGTCAACCAGAACTGCAACGACATCAGAACTGAAACCAGACACCAAGTCAGCCGTCAGAATTCACTTCTCTCCCTCATAATCCAATAACGCATTCTTTTCAGTAAAAGTTGCTGCCTCCAGGGAAGTGAATAGGGCCTTCCAGTCCTGCTACCCACACCATGACGACGCAGAGTGAATGATTTGAGTCACATTCTCCCATTACCTATCGTCCACCACCTCCATCCCTCACTTGATATCTGCCTCGCTGCACTTCGCCACCCTTTCTCTCCGGTTTATATCTTGACCCTCCCCTTCCTCTGACTTTCACAAATTACCTTCTCCATCATCGACATGGCGACCCCAGTCGACCCCCCCCAGCGCATCCTCTCACCCGGCGAAGTCCTCCCCGAGGCCGCCGCCCCGCAGGAAGAGAAATGGCGCGAAAACCTCAACATCACCATGATGTGTCCGGAATGCAAGGAGTTCCCCCCGAACATCGTCGAGGAGTTCTCCGCCGGTGACCTGATCTGCGGCAGCTGCGGTCTCGTCCTGCAAGATCGCGTCGTCGACACCCGATCCGAATGGCGCACCTTCACGAACGACAACGACTCTCGCGGCGAAGACCCCAACCGTGTGGGAGATGTGCGATACAGCGATGCACTGCTCGAAGGCGCGCAGCTGGAGACCGGGATCGGCTCCGGTGATCGCTCCGGACGAAGTCGCGAGCTGCATCGCGCGCAGAACAAGGCGATGGGTGAGAAAGGGACGACGAACCTGGCGGTGGCGTACCGCCAGATTTCGGCGCTCTGCGAGTCGTGGCACATCTCGCGGACCATCTCGGACTCGTGCAAGCTGATCTACAAGACGGTCGAGGAGAAGAAGGCGATGAAGGGGAAGAAGATGGACGCTGTCATCGCGGCCTGTATCTTCGTCGCCTGTCGCGCGAATAACAACGGACGCAGTTTCAAGGAGATCCACCGGTTGACGCGCGTGCCGAAGAAGGAGATCGGGCGGACCTTCAAGGCTTTGGAGGCGTTCTTGAAGACCGAAGATCCGACGCAGTTCATGAGCACCAAAGGTATGTATTCTGACAACATGAGCTGGCTAGAAGAAGCTTTATTAATCGAGCTTCTGCGCTAGGCGTGCATGTCAAGACCGACGAATCCCAAGCCACCGCCTACACGAAACCCGATCAAGTCATCCTTCGCTACTCCAGCCAACTGTCGCTGCCCGTTACCACGGCGAATCTCGGGATCACCCTCGTCGCGCAACTCAATGCCAACAACGCGCTGGCCGGTCGCTCGCCGCTGTCGATCGCTGCCGCGTCCATCTACATCGCCGCGTGCGTCACCAACGAGCCCCGCAGCCCCAAGGAGATTGGTCTCGTCTGCGGCGTCTCGGACGGTACCATCCGCGCGGCATACAAGCTCATCTACCAGGAGAAGGAGAAGATCTTCGACGAGGCGTGGAGGAAGGAACACCCGACGATGGAGCTGGATAAGCTGCCGGTTGCTTAATATCCTTACCTTGTGAGATTGAATGTTATTGGAGAAAGAGACTTACGGCTATTATTAGGAGCGCGTTTCTTCTAAATTCGTGTTCCCCAAATCTACTTTCTATCCGCTGGACTAATTGCACGGCGACTAGTCACGACGGGACAGGCCACTTCTCGGCGTTATATTTCATGGAGGATCATGGGATTGCGTATTCGCAGAGGCCGGGCATTTGCTATGGTCTCCAGGAGACATTCCAAGGCGTACCGGTATGGTGGATAGCATCAATGAATGTATTTAAGACATGAGAGATGCGCTCATGGTAGCTTCGACTGAAACTTATGAAGAAAATAAAAACGAATGAGTCAAATATCGCACAAGCTCGACTTTCCAATGCACATAATACCTGCAGAAGTGATACAATTGTAAGATTTATGATGCGAACGATCTATGCTGATGGGGGTAGTGCCAACCCCAAGCCGAAACCTGGTAAGTACGTAACCACAAGGATGGATCTCAACCCTGACGAATCTCTATCTCCATCCCATATTCCTCATCGATCACTATCTCAACTCCACCATCTCACCCAGATGCAGATACTTCTCACTTCATCCATTCCTTAAGACAATTCCTTTCCGTACGACCGATACTGCGATCTATAATTCTCTCCGCGCTAGCGCCATGTCCTTCGCTCCCGTGCCTCCCGCCTGATCCGCATCTCCCTGAAACTCCCTCCTGTACATACGTATCACGCCTCTCATCCATTATACAACCCTATCTCCTCTCATCCCTCCCTCCTCCTCCACTTCCTCCGCCCTCCCTCCCTCCACCATGAGCTCCAAACACCCCTACGACCCCTACCCCCCCATCCCCATCCCCACCTACGAAGAAGCCACCTCCTCCCGCCCTCCCTCCTCCACCCATCTTGGCCCCTCCGAAATCAGCGCCGATGCCGAACGACAATCCTTCCTCGCCCCCGCCTCCCGCCGCCGCACCGGATACCACGCCCCTTCCGTCCAATCCGTCCGCTCCAGCACCGACACCGCAGACTACCTCCCCGATCCCGACCCCAACTCCGACACCGACACCGACACCGACGATGGCGACGGCGACCGCCTCCGCCGCGACATGGAGGAGCTTGAGGTGCTCGACCCCGACGCGGACGAGGCGGACGGCGCGCGCCGCCGCCGCCGCGCGCGGACGCGCTTCTCGAAACGGCTGGCGAGCTTCACGTCGCGATTTTCGGGGTGGCGGATGCGGCGACCGACGTGGGCGCAGGGGCTACGGTGGCCTTCAGGGGGGTGGAGCATACCGCAGGATTACCGGCCGCGGGGGATCATCTTAGCGCGGCTGGCGGGGCTGTTCGTGTTAATGGCGCTGGTGTATTCGTTGTTCGTGCTGCAGATGGTGCCGGGGAATGGGGGGGTGATGTTTAGTCCGGAGAGCGTGCGGGCGTATGCGCAGGGGCGAGTGGAAGAGGGGCGGATCCGGGAGTATGCAAGGCATCTAAGTGGGTTTGACCATGTGGCAGGGTCGAAGGGGGATGCATATATGGCGCGGTGGGTGGAGGGGTTGTTTCGGGAGGCGGGGTTGCAGGAGGTGGAGACGGAGAGGTGAGTACGGAGTTGGGTGGAGAGGGACGACGCTGACAGGAGCAGATTCAATGTCTATCTAAACTACCCTAAGAAAGGTGGGAGACGAGTCGCGATCGTCGATCCGCCGGAGCTGGCTTGGGAGGCAAAACTGGAAGAGGATGAGGTATACCCGAACGCCATCACCCCCGTGCAGCAGGTCCCCGCCTTCCACGGCCACTCACGCGCCGGCGACGTTTCCGGCCCCTTAATCTACGTCAACTACGGCTCGCGAAAGGACTACAAGCGTCTCGCCGACAGCGGCATCGATATGAACGGCTCGATCGCACTAGTTAGATACTACGGCACCCAAGGTGATCGAGCACTCAAAGTTAAAGCGGCGGAAGAGTGGGGCTTCAAAGGCGTCCTCATCTACTCCGACCCCGAAGAAGATGGCTTCGTCAAGGGAGACGTCTGGCCCGAGGGTCGCTGGCGACCTGCTGACAGCGTCCAGCGCGGAGCCGTCAGCCTGATGAGTTGGGTTGTCGGTGACGTGCTGACACCTGGCTGGGCGAGCGTGGACGGCGCGAAACGGGTGAGCAAGGATAACAATCCGGGCTTGGTCAACATCCCGAGTCTTCCGTTGGCGTGGAGGGATGCGCAGAGATTGCTGCAGGTGCTGAAAGGACATGGGCAGCAGTTGCCGGAGGAGTGGATTGGTGGGGTGCCGGATGTGGAGGAGTGGTGGTCAGGCGATAAGACGTCGCCGGTCGTGCAGTTGAAAAACGAGCAGGACGAAGTCGATGAGCAGCCGATTTTTAACGTGTTGGGAGAGTTTCCGGGCATCGAGACGACGGCGAAGAAGGTGATTGTTGGGAATCATCGAGATGCATGGTGTTTCGGCGCCGCTGACCCTGGAAGGTACGTTAATTTGCACGACGCTGGAAAAATGGCTGCTGATGTGACACAGTGGGACGGCAGTAATGCTGGAAGTGATCAGGATCTTCGGAGACCTATGGGCCGAAGGCTGGCGACCGCTCCGAACCATCCAGTTCGCTTCCTGGGACGGCGAGGAATACAATCTCATCGGCTCGACCGAACATGTGGAAAACCGCATCGATGATCTCCGGAAAGACGCCATCGCGTACCTGAATGTCGACGTCGGCGTCACCGGCAGCAAGTTCTGGGCCGCTGCCTCGCCTCTCTTTCAAGATATCGTTCTCCGAGCCATCGGCCGCGTCGAAGATCCCGGAACCAACAGTACATCCACCGTCCGCGAACAGTGGGAAACCGACGGCGGCAAACTGCGAGGCCTCGGCGCGGGGAGCGACTATGTCGCGTTCCAAGACCTCGCCGGCTGCTCGAGCATCGACTTTGGCTTCGAAGGCCCAGGCTTCCCATACCACAGCTGCTATGAAACCTTTGAATGGATGGAGCAATATGGCGACCCAGGCTTCCAATACCACAAGTCCCTCGCGCAGATCTGGGCCCTCATGATCCTCGAGCTGACCCAGGAGAACATCATCCCGTTCGACCTCACCACATACGCGTCCGCAGTTGCGGAGTACATTGAGGCGCTGGAAACGTACGCAAACGAGAAAGGAGCGCCGTGGTCGCCGGACAAGGATGGCGTGAAGTTCGACGTGGAGCCGCTGGCGACGGCGGCGGACGGGTTCACGCAGAATGCGAACTCGTTCCATGCGTGGGAGCAGACGTGGCGGGACGAGGTCTTCGGCCGCGGCGGATTCGAAGCGAACATGGTGATGGCGCATCGGATCGCGCACAATGAGAAGATGAGCGACTTCGAGACGAACCTGCTAGACCTACCGACGGGTCCGGAGGATACGGAGCAGCATGGGGTAAGTTTTGCGCGACACTGACAGTACCGGTGATTAACCCCGTCTCAGGTTCCCGGTCGCGAGCAATTCAAGCATATCATCTTTGGACCCCAGCTCTGGTCCGGCTACGACGAAGCGTATTTCCCGGCGATCCGCGATGCGGTGGATGCGGGCGACTGGGCGCTGGCTCAGAAGCAGCTGGAAAAGGCGGCGAGGATCCTGCGGAATGCGAGCGAGCGGCTGCTGGTATAGATTCATAGGCCTCATTTGTACATTACTCCATCCGCCGTTTTGGAGGGACGACTTCACTTGCTGCCCGGTGCATAGCGATCTTTGGTTGGGATAGGGATATCACATTGTTGGGGATGGCGACTTCTGATCAAGTCCCCGTGTATAAGTTTTCCCCTGCTGCTGTTTAGTCACCCTTGGATACCAGTCATATCAGGCCCTTCTCTTTTCGAAAACTCCGGATCGACGTAAGCAAAGCCGAGATTCAAGATGTTCGGTCATCGAGTCGCATTGTTGTATGATCACGTGCCTATCTGATATACCACGCTAAGTCTAATCAGGGCTAGCGTGTTACGGTTCGGCCCGTTTCGCGAAGTGTGCCGATTGGTTGACGGGAGTGGCTGCCATTCTCGCGCCGATCCCCAGCCTCCGATCTTCGCCATTCGATATTTCCCCCCAACCACCGGCATACCACACAATAACTAACCACCAAATATTCATCTCGCCATGGCTTGTGCTACATATTCCTTTCCTCGCGGGTGTTCCACTCTTCCTCTGCACATCACCGACCTCAGTGGAGATTTCTCACTTCAACGATCCTGCAAACAACCGCCCTGAACTACAGACCAGTACACAGACATCACGAACTATCTTCCACGCCGCTACAATAACAGCAACCATGCATTCAACGCAATTCTTCGTCCTCTCGGGCTTCGTCTGCTCAACCTGCCTCGCCTCTCCCTTACGTCTCCCTAACAACCTCCGACGGAACGCTGAGCCCGCGAAGTACTCCGTCGTCAACGTCGACGGCGGATCAGCACCCTCCTCAACACCCGACGTCGTCTACCAAACAATCACGCAAACCGTATCAGATGCCGATGAGCCGACCGCGACAGTCGTCTCGACAATAATGCAAACCGTCGCCGACCCAGCCGTCTCCTCGTCCTCGAAATCGTACTATGATAGCGGGATGTGGCAGACGAACTACGAGGTGAAGAACTGGGGCACATCGAGCCTGCCGACGCCAGCTGCATCGCTACCGGATTCATCATCGCCGGGTCCGTCGTCACCGGTTTCATCAACATCGAGTTCGTCGGCAACCCCATCAGCGACCCCCACACCCGCGTTGGACGACGAGCACTGGAGACAGGCGTCGACATTCACAACGATCGTCGAGATCCCCACCTCTACGTCCTCCTTACCACCGTTACCGGTATTGGAAACCCCAGTACCCCAGTGGAAGAATACCACGCAGATCCCACACAAGCGGGAGGAGGAGTCGAGAAGGACTGTTGAGATCGTCAGTTTCGAGGGTATCGAGGAGTCATGAAGGAGGGATGACGAGGGACAGAGGTAGAAACATTGATCTCTGGGTTGATACGTGTTTCTGTTATGCGCTATGCTGGATGGTTGCATGTATACGGTACTATTGTCTTGAACTGGATAACGGGTTATGGGAAACGGTCACCGGCAGTCATTGAACAATCGAAAGACACGGCATCATGGGGGCGTTTAGAATAGATACTGGCAATATGGTGGACTTGACTTTTCAAGACTTTTGTATCAACTATGTAGATCGATTCTTAGTGAATGTCACATTCACCTTCGCTGCCTTCATCTTATGACGTGCATAGACTACACAATTCAAGGACGCCAACGTGACGAATTGAAGCCATCGATTTTCACCAACATCATCCATAATCCACCTCCTCTACCTCCCCGCCAACCTCGCCTCCACAATCCTCCCCACCATTTTCTCCAACACCGCTGCCTCCCCCCCAACCCCCACACCCTCAAAATACGCCCCCACGCTCTTCTCAACATACTTCCCCACCATATCCACCTCCACATTGACCCCCTCCCCCACCCCCTTCTTTCCCATCACCACCTTCTCCTGCGTATACGCGATCAACATCACCTCCCACCACCCCTCTAACCCATCCTCCACCTTGGTCACCGTCAAGCTCGCCCCATCCAGCGTGATGAACCCTTTCTCCACGATGTAGCGCAGCACCGAGGGGTCGCGCGGCTGGAGGCGGAAGGTCAGCGCGTTGCCGTCAGGCGTCACGGAGAGGATCGTGGCGACCGTGTCGACGTGCCCTTGGACGAAGTGCCCGCCCATCCGCGTGTGCGCGGAGACAGCGCGCTCGAGGTTGACGCCGGAGTTAGCTTTTAGATCGCCGAGGTTGGTGCGGCGGAGGGTCTCGGGGGCGACGCCGACCTTGAAGCTAGACTTGTCGAATTCCGTGACGGTGAGGCATGTGCCTGGAGGGTTGGTTTAGTCAGCGCCTACCTTTGTTTTTCTTGCCGTGATTCAATTGGATGAACGTAGACGGAGGGTACAAACCGTTGATGGAGATGCTGTCGCCGAGATGGCAGTCGCCTAGGATCTCCTCGGCATTGGAGATAGTCAGCGAGGTGCCGCTGCCGCCGCTGGAGGTTTTGTCCAGCTCCTCGAGCTTGGACACGGCTTTGGAGGTCAGCAAAACCGTGGCGACTGGACAAGCCTTTGGAGAGAGGACTTACTCCCGACGACTTCTACGATTCCCGTAAACATCTTCAAAGAGTCAATCGCGGATGGGAAGGTTTCCTGGTTCGTCCCGAAGGTTACCGGATATTCCAAGCTCTTGATAGGATCCACGTCCTGTCTGAGAAATACGTACGATTGATGCAAGCCGTTATACACAAATATTACATTCAATCGTCAAACACTTCTTCTTTCCCTTTCGGTGGCGTGTAAGGGTTAACCTGTGGTGAATATGCGTCGTAACTTCGGGAGTCATCACGCGGAATCCCAAGGAATGAATCCCACAACGGCTACCCGGTATACCGATATTTCCTAAAGCGGTTTAGCGCTTGACCTCCGTAACTGCCCCGTACCGACCCGCTACCATATAACAAAATGGAGGCTCTCCTATCGGCTAGGGAGAGCCGAGAGGTTACGAAGCCATCAGCAGGTATGGACTCTCTAGCTCTCCCAAATTTATATCTCATCTTATCACAGGGCCGCAGTATCGAAGCACCACAATCCAATCCGGACGAAAGTCTTCAAAGCTTGATTTTCCATCCCTCATGTCCTTTGAATAGTCGCTCCAAATACAAGGGCCGCCAGATAACATTACAACTGAATCCTGATGGGGCTAAATTACGAACATTATCGCCTACTGCATTCTATTCCACGCAGCCCATGCGGACTACTCCGGCGGGTTCGTCACAACACCTTCGAACTCCCGGCCCGAGATGTAATCCAGCGTCCGCTGGAAATGCTTCTTCGGGTTCTCCAGCGCGGCTGTCTGCTCGTTCGAGTTGAGGTTGGAGTGGATCAGCTCGATGAGGCCGTTGACGTATTTGGTGGTGACCTAAACGGTAAAAGTAATCCTGTTAGCATCTGGACTATGAAACTGTGGACAGAGGGAAGAGAAGTGGCGATTACGTACCATCTCGTTCTCCTGGTCAAAGTAATACACATATCGATTCAGGATCTCGACGAACAACTCGACAGACACCGCAGCATCCATGCACGCGTCCGCAACACGCAGCGCTCGTTGTAAACATTCCAGGACCCGTCGCCCATCTCGGAAAAGCTGCACAAAATATTAGCCGACCGACACCAAAGGCGTTCACCCTACTAGAAGGGATACTCACATCCTTCGGATCCTCCTCCCCTCTCGCCCTCACCTCCGTCGCCCACCACAAATGACTCGCCAAATACACCGCCCGACACTGATCCGGCTTCTTCAGCAGCTTGCTCCCATGCAACGCCGCCTTCGTGATGAGGTTATCGTAGTTCTCGCGGCCGAAGTTCCGCGTCGGGTGCAGCGCCCCGGCGATCACGCAGATCGCCTGGAACTGCGCCCGGCTGTCGCTCACCGCCTCCTCGTAGATCGTGAACGCCTGCACGAAGAACTCGTAGGCCGGCTCCTCGAAGCCGGCTTGGTCGGCAACTTGGCCAGCCGCGACGAAGAGGCGGAGGGAGAGGTCGTGGCTGGCGGTCACCCGGGTGTAAACGGCGGTGATCAGGGAGTGGATGAATTTGTACAGCGCGGTAGATTGCGTGGACCAGTTGTCGTCGAAATGTTCGCGGGTTTTGAACGCGCGAGCGAGTTTCAACGACACGGTGATGAGTGCGGGGGTGGTGTATTTGATCCGCTCGTTGCCTTCCGCGAACGCCTTTTTCGCGGTTTGCAGGAGCGCGAATTGCGTGTCGTTGGTCTCGCCTTCGATTAAATGGACAAGCCGTGCTAGCATACCCTGTTCCTCTATCGTTTCGTCGGTCTCGATGCCCTTGCGTTGCAGTGGACCACCGGCGTATGCCGCACCCTGCTGCGTGCCTTCTTTGATGAGTACCTGGAGGATCGCGAGGATGCTTTCCAGGTGTTCGACCGTGGTGATCTTCGTTTGGGTTTTGAGGAGAGTCTTGGCAATTTCGGCTGCTATGGAGCGGCGGGTAGGGTACGGTTGAGCCTGGAGGAGGGGAATGAAGTGTGGGAGGGCGAGTGCGGTGAATAGAGAAGCATATGACGTGACAGGCGCGAGGATGAGAGAGAGAACATTGGTTTGGGTGGCTTGTGAGTGGAGGTCGGCGGAATTGGTGAATTGGGAGACTTTTTCGATGGCGTAGGAGAAGACTTGGTCGACGTAGTCGAGGCGGTCGGGATAGACGGTTCTAGGACAATGTCAGCGCTGCCACATATACCCTTGAAGAAGGGACTTACAGGGCTAACCGAGCAAGAGATGCCAGTAACGCAATCGTGTCCTGTATTGACAGTCTCTGTATCCGAACCAAGCTGGACACCTGCTCTTGAAAGATCTCAAACAGTTTGATGCTGTCCGGAATCCCTCGACTCTTCTTTCCTTCCGCTTCGCCCTCATCAACTGCAGTCGGTGTCTCAGAATCCACTGTGATCTCCGAGGATGCTTCTTCAACCGGTGAGGTCGCTTCCGAGGGGTCGCCATTCTGCTGTTTTGACTCCGGCTTCTCTTTCGATAGCTTGAAATCCTCCAGCAACTTCACCGCCGCCTCCGTCTCTTTCCGCAGCCGCTCTTCAGGCGTCTCCGTCTCGGATTCTCGCGCAGCGTATGCGGATAATCGATCCATCAGCCCGATCACAATGGCCTTGACATTGACATGTGGGTTCAACCGCGCGGTTGCGGATAAAAACTGATCCAGGGTGTGCAGATGGAATTCATCGGGAAAGACCTGGGTGACAACTAAATCATGACTATTAGCATACGAACGTCCAACCCACTTCCAGCTGCATAACTCACCTTCAGATAGATACTCCTGCGCCACAACATCCCGACACTGCACTACCTGCTCCAACAACGGCGCCAAAATCTTCTTATAATTCCCCAGATCCACCAACTGACTCAACCTCACCAAATTACTCCCCACCAACAACTGCAGCTCCTGCCGCTCCTTCATCCGCTGCTCCCGTTCCCGCGAATGCCCCTGATGCTGCCACCGCACCCACAGCTTATTCATCTCCACAAAGTTCGTGAGCACGAAGCTGATGCTATCCTGCAGGTTCCCTTCGGGCCCGTCACCCTGGCCGGCAGGGAGCTGGTCGCGCGCCTGCCCGCTGAGGTAGTAGCGGAGGAAGAGGCCGCGGATCGGGTGCTGCACGCCGCGGGACATCTCCATCATATCTTTCATGATCTCCTTGACGGGGGCATCCGGGATGGACATGTAGACGGTGCCGACGGTGATCATGAGGTAGAGGCGAGGAATGATGTTGCCCGCGTATTGGACGAGCTCGTAGAGGTCGGCGAGGTGGTTGGTAGGGTGGCTATCGCGGAGATAGACGGAGAGGTGACGGAGGGCGTCGAAGATAGCCATGTAGAGTTCGTAGTATTGTTTGGGGCCGAGCGTGCTGGTGCGGAGTTCGGAGACGAGGGTGGAGCTGAAGGGACAGAGGTTAGTAAGTGATACCACCAGTGGTTAGAACGTCAATATCAGGAGCAAAGCCAGCCTGGTGAACAACGCCAAACATGAGTGACGTCCAGCAACTTCAACAGGACACCCAAGCTATCCCCCTCCGCCATGCTTGCCGTATATTCCCAAGCACCCCTCTCCAAAAGAAATCCACCACCTACCTGCATTTCAACGCATCCATCAACTTCCCTGGTGTCTCCAAGCACTTCCGCATCAACACCGTCTGCTGCCGAACCACCGCTAGCGCATCCTCCAGCAACCGCGCCTGGTCCTCGACGGTCGGCGGCGAGGCGGCCATGGTTGGGTGGGGGGTCGCGAATGTGTGGACGGTGTGTGGATTGGGCCCGGAAGAGAGGAATGGGTGGGACGGGGACCGATTGGAATAGGATATTGGAGGATGTTGGGGTCTGGGGAGGATGGATTTGGAGCTTTGGGGTGAGCTTGGGGAGGGAGGGAGGAAGTTGGGTGGTGGCTTGGCGGTAATGACGCACGTGACTGGGATGACGATTTCAACTCCTGATTTGATGATTGTGAATGTTCGTACTGTGGAGGTTGTCAAATCCATAGCAAGGTTATGTGACTATAATATCAGGTATTTGAAGAGTAATAAACAGATAGACTTCCGATAAATCCTAGTTTTGTCTAACAAATGCTACCCCCAAAGCACCACAGACAATCACCATATTGGTATATAATATGGGGGTCTGGGTGCATTCAAACACCAAAGTCATACACATAAATTATTGCCAGTACCGAAACAATGTCCTCTTCAACGGAATGAGCAACACTCTAATACACCACCAAACCCATTACGTCTCCTCCACTCCTTCCCCCCTATCGCATGGTCATGACTTCTCATCCCCATCCTTCGCCGCATCCTTCACCGTCCCCACCACCACCATTCCCCCCGTCCCCGCATTCCCCCCTTCCAAAATCGTAACCTTCTCCCGCTCCGTCTCCACCTCCGTCAACCCCGTCTGCGTACTCTGATCCATCACCTCCTCCTTCACCTCCTCCACCTCCTCCGCATCTTTCGTCTCCTTGCCCCTCCCGTTCACAATCTCCTTCTCCACCCATCCCTCCCCATCAATCTCAAACAACGTCACCGTCGGCGTGAAATCAAAAGTCACCGTCTTCGCCGCCACCGCCCCGTCCGCCGCAGGACTCACCCCCGGCCGTCTCCGCTGCGGTCCCCTCGCCCTCCCCTTCCTCGCGTCCACCAACGGCGCCTTCTCCGCCTCCGGCTCCGGTGTCACCGTGGACTCTTCCGGAGGGGACTTCTTCGGCCCCTGCGGTCCTAGCTGCAGCCGACTGTTCAAATCACTCATGAACCCGGCTTTGAGCGCTGCGAGCTTGCTCCCCACGCCGCGCGGCGGAACAACCGGCTTGGCGCGCTCGGCGCTCGGCGTCTTCTCGAGTGACGAGCCGACCGGAGCGCCTTCCGAGCTTGGGGTGCTGGGTTTGCGAGCAGGGCGCGCGGGGATGCTGGGTTTTGCGCGCTCAGGGACGGAGGGTGGTTTCTTGTCGGCCGCGGGAGGGGCGGTGTCGGCGGGTGTGGCGTCCGGGGAAGGGGAAGGGCGCACTTCGGCCACGAGTTGGGTGTAGTCGGGGGAGTCTTCCCAGATGTCTTGACTGGGGAAGCGTTGGGCAGCGGTCGGGCGGGTTTCGGATGCGACAGAGGGATGGAAGGCAGGTTTGGGGGTGGCGCCGAGGCGGGCGAGGTGGTCGGGGAGGAAGGATTGGGAGAGGGCGGAGTGGCGGGCGTGTTCGGACGCGGGGGTCTCGAAGGCCGGGTATTTGTGGTGGGCGTCTGCATCCCCGTGTGCCGGTTGCAGCGATGGCTCCGGCGTCTCGACTGCCGTCGTGTACATCAGCGACGACGGCGCGTCTTCCCACACGTCCTGGCTCGGGAATTGATGCCGCGCGAAGGACGACCGCTTCGGTTTGCCGGCCAGCGTCGCGTTATGGTGCTCCTTCGCCTTGCGCGTGTCCTCGTCGTCCTCCGGGAACAGCGACTCGTATTCGTACACATCTTCTAGCATCGTGCGGCCGGCGACCGGTGACTCCCGGCCCTCATCGTGTGACGAGGCCCGCGAGAGCGCCAGTTGTATGCTATTCGTCCGGCTGTGTGCCCGGCTGTGTGCCCGGCTGTGCGAGCGCGACCCTGCATTCTGCCGCGCCTCGTCCATCTCCAGGGCCAGTCGGTCCGGGTCAGGCGTGACGGCCGGCTGCAGGAACTCGCCGGAGGGGTTCTTCATGACCTCGTCGCCGGCGAGGATCGGGTGGATATCATCGTCGCCGGTGACGCTTTCGGGGCGGATACCGATGGCGTCGGGCGACGGCTCATACGCGGTGCCGCACATGTAGCTGCCACGCCGGGAGTCGCGGACGTGGATGACATCCTCGTCGTGGTCTTCGTGATCGGAGTCGATGGCGTGGTCGTGCTTGAGGCGGGAGACGGGGTCGGTATCGCTGGCGGGAAAGCTCATTTGGTGGAGGGGGGACTCGACGTGCACGTCTTGGCCGCTGCTGGAGCGGGGTTTGCCGCCTGCTGAGGGAGGGCGGGGGGACGCGATGCGGGACGCATACTCCTCGGCGGCGCGGTTTCCGATTTCTTCGTCGGGGGTGCCGACGGGCCCGGAACCTGAATGAGCATCGGTTAGAAAAGTTGGGTAGGAGTAACCGTAAGACTCACCACTTCCGACCGCCCGCTTCGCGCTCCCATAGACCAATTCATTCAACTCCGTACTACTCAAATGCCAATCCTTCCGATCCGCCGAAATGGCCGGTCCGTATTCTCCCTCCGTCTCCCTCGCCAACTCCTCCGGATGCTTCTGATACCACTGCTTCTCAATCTTGGTTATCTTCGGCCCAAAGCCGTGTCCATGCATCCCATAACTGCCCGGCGGTCCAGTAAACGGATCCGGAGCGGCGGTCTTGCGCGACAACTGCGGCAAACTCGTCGCCGAGTGATTTGATGGGCCTAGAGTCGGGGTAGGTGCTTGTACGTCGCCAGCATTCTTGTACAGCGGGATTTGAACACCAATTTCGGGAATGCCTTCTTCCGCGTCGTCTTTGTAGATCGACGCCGGGCGACTGCTCTGGCTATGGGACGACGTGGTCCGCGCCAAAGAAGGTCGTTCAGGAACGGACGGGCGTTCGTCGATGTCACCGACCGCCTTGCCGATGCCCGCCGCCGCCGCTTGTTGGGAGTCTGTGCGCGTGACGTTCTGGATGCGCGACTTCGCGGTGGACGACGCGAACGACGCTTTCGGGGCGTGAAGCGGGAGGTCCTCGGCGATGTTTTTCGTCTGCTCGCCGGGCGGCGTCCCGAAGGACATGTTGTCGTACTCTTCGCCTTCGTGGCCGATGGTCGGCAGGTTCACGCTTGGGGGGCGTTGGGGGAATTCTTGAGAACTCTGTTTTGAGAGGGAGAGTCCGTTTTTGTTGTGGAACGTCGGGTCGTTGAGGGGAGAGCGCGTGTAGGAGCGCTCCTCAGCGACTTCCGTCGTGCGTTTCGGACGAGCCGGAATGCAAGGGGCGTCGTTGTTGGTGGAATTGCCGGAGGATTGGCCATTTCGAGATGGACGAGGGGGGATGGTAGGAACCGTCATTGTATAGATATCGTAGTGGAGTTCGGGATTCGTTTAGAGGGATAATAGTGTTAGGGGAAGATAGATTCGTTGATTAAATGGATGGTAGAAAATGAAAACGGAACTGGAAAGCGAGTCAGCAGCTTGCCTTGCGTGTCCGAAACGTCAACAGCTGGGAAAAGTGTTGGTATCGTTGCGATCTAGATAAGGCCCTGGTTGTAGTTGAGCCGCCAATGAGCGCGGTCGAGATGGGGATCACGCTGCAGGCACATGCACCAGGCCTGGCAGACTCGAGAGCATTGATATGGAATCAAAGGTCGGTGAGAGAGGCATCCTCCTTGCCTTGTCGCGGTTGAGGCATTAAAGTGTCTTAGTTGATTGATTGAAGCTCAACAGAATCTTGCTCGCAATAACTAACTCTCAATGCCTCAGTGCTGGAGGTCTCATCCAATGCGACCAGCAATTTGACGCATGACAGCCTGGAGCCAGGTCCAGGTCACGGTCATTGCTGTTTGCCCCGAGCCTCTTCATCGCGGGGTGCTGCCGATCCGATGGTTCTGGTGGTGACGTAGCACAACATTGGGGTTGACACTCAACTGGCAGGGCAAGGGAAGGATATGCGGTGAAGGTAGAAGATAGCAACACTTACCAAGATTCTCAAAGCAAAAAGGGCTAATTAGGAGTGGTCGTGGAAGTCAATCATCAGAATAATGATGATGGTGATGATGATGATGTGGTGATAGAGGATGTAGAAGAAGTGGTGGTGATTAAGAACGATTCAACGACGAAAGGATTCAAGGAGCAAGAAGTCGAGCAAGTGGGCCTTTGGAGGGACTGAGCTATTTAAGAGACAATTGGATTTTCAATAAGGAAAACTGGATGAATCATTACAGTGAATTGTTGGCAGAGTGGGAAGCATCGTGAGTGGCAGGACTGGGGGGTGTGACGATGCAACGCCATGAGAATCACAGCTGGCGTCATTGGTGGCCCACCGACCGAAGATTAGTGCCTAGAGGCCTAAGGCAGCTCCACCGCCCGCCCCAGACCGTCTGCACATCAAACCAGAAACTGGTGCGTCTAGATTGCACGATACACCCGCTACCACTGAATTGTCCATGTGCCTAATGGCCCGAGAGCTGAGAGCTGAGAGATGTGGAAGGGGCATCATGCATGAAATCGCGCATTTTTAATTAAGACATAGATGAGCGATACTGCGTCAAATCCCTATCTATTAACTATGCCCAAATCCCTCATAGTAACGACACAGGCAGCCGCAATATTTTACCCGTCACCCGTCGCCGCACCAATTTCCATCAAATCGCGCATCCATCCAAAACTCACGATAGCCCAACGGGCCCCCCAAAAAGGCAGACTCGGAAAACTCACGGCTTAAAGAAGCCAAAAGATTCCATCGCATCACGGGGGCGACGCCTGCCAAGGCGTAGGGGCCATCCGCCCCGCTTCCCGGCTCCACCTGCATCACGATCGTGGCTGATGTGGAAATCTCTGCAAAGTGCAAACGCGGAAGGGCAGAAGGGCGCATTTGATTCGGTGCGGGAGAGGGCGGTTTGCACGGGATCAGCAGGTTTGGGTGCCGCCTTGCCGGTCGCGTTGGATCACTCATAGATGGGGAGGGTGGCCAATTGGATGGAGAGGTTGGGAAGCGATGTTAGATGGATCGTGATGCATGAATGAAATTGGAAAGGTCAGCGGGTTGGAAGCTGGCTCGCCTGTTTAGGAGTTACAGCTTCTGGGTAGGTGCTCTGTAATGCCTACAAATTGCCGACTGGCGGAGGTACCACAGTGTGACTGGAGATATCGTAAGTAGGTAAGTTATGGAGCTGGTCGGCGAGATTCCTCGATCCGTCCTTTCTCTTCAGATTTCAACGTCCTGTGTTGCTAGCTCAGCTTCTCCGCAATCCACATCCTCGCGCTGCAGAAATAGTAGCGCCATGCAACGTGAACTTGTGAGGGTAGCGCCATCGAACCACGTGCCCCACAGAACTACCACAAGTGCACGAGGAGAGATGCGTCTCCTAGCAAATCCTCACCCGAGCCGCTGTCGGTTGGTTCAGACTGCTGACTGGCATCAGGCTGTCAGCACTTGGCAAGACCGAAAGTCTGTTGCCGGCGGTCACGCTTGAAGGGACGCCAGCATTGATGGACGAAGTTCGGACTGTCGACCTTGATTTCATGTGAGCTATCTGTGGGTGAAAATGTTTGACAGATCTGTGTACTTAAGTCATTGATGACGAAGCATTGAGAAAAACGGGTTTAGGAAATCAGGTATCGCTGGAGAACGCATTGGTTTCGGTCAACATTGGTTTCGGTCAACTGGGAAAGCTTTGATGGGATTCAGGCATTCAGCCCAACATGATCGGAGAAAAATTCATCAGAGGTCGGTGTGTGCTTCGCAGTGGTGTTGGTTTGGACATCGTTCCAAACCCCCCAAAAAACCAAAAAAATTATTCCGTGTCTTCGTCATCCAAGAGCGAACGAGCTTGATAAGACATCTCGATTCTCGAGTGGATTGTCGACTGTCGTCACTCGTCCCCATTCATGTTGCAAGCGTCAGCCCCGCATTCTCGGTTTCTCACAGACAGCATGGGATCACTAGCGCATCGAGGATGTGTCGATCGGATATGCATGCGTACGATATACGATATACGACGGCTGGGGTATTGACCGGTCTGGTATGCCGTACCCTTAGGTTACAGATACAATCCAAAGTTGCCGGCCACCATGTCCCATCCCGTCGTTGGGTTCTCGTAAACTTTTTCGTTTTCACCGTTTGATGCAAGTCGCAACGTGGCGCTCTCGCTGGAGACTAGTATCCTGCATACTTGGAAAGGGGGGAACGAGGTGGTAAAAGGTAGGAATACAGAATGCTAGCTTACGAGGTTGCGGAGGTCTCGATGAGGAGGTTGATCAGGTCACTGGTGCCGCCGGTGCCGCTTGGTTCTTAGAAATCAATAAATGCGGATGGGTTCACAGTGAGTTTAGATGTGCATGGCAGAGAGTTAGAGCAAGTTCTCAACAAGTCTGCCGTTTCTTTGTTGGAGGATGCAAGGTGAACGTCCACCAATGGCGGACGAGTACATGCCTATGCAGCGATTTTGTGCTCGGGACCATCTCCCTCGTAGGTTCAGACCGTTACGTTCCTGGTTCGGAATATCCCCTATTATCATGCTGTATCCTTCCATCTAGAGTCGCTTAATTTCCTCACCTCTATCCTCCCTTCGATCCAAAATTCGATAACTTTGTTTAGAGACGTTGCACACCATCCACGTGGGGTCCTATCGCCGTGTGGCCCATTCCGCCACGCAACGATTCCCCTTGAAGCTTCGCGCCAACCGCAATCAAGCTATAACCAAGCGCCTAGCAATGACCATCCATGCGTGTGACAGGCATGGCCGCTGCCATTATCCAATCAATGTCATTCCTGCCCACATCCGATTATGGGACCCTGGCCGGTGCCTGTTGACGAAACCACGAACATGTGTGGGGTAGTGGGAGAAAGGAACCATTCAATATTCATGGTTGGGGAAAGGATGTTGCCATACCAGATTAGGAGAGATTATTGGAGGGAGAAGCGCTCCTTGCGTACTGGGGAGGAATTCCACTTTCAGCGCTCAATTTACAACATCAGGGTTCTAACGAATATTTGTTTGAGTCGTTGGGCACCGTCATCCCAATTGGCCATACATGTGAAGAGTAAAAGCTTGAGACACGGGAGGAAAAGGGAGAGAAAACGGATATGGTTTCAGCTCTGTCCTTACTCTCACCGAAGAATATCTGCTCCATCTACAGAATACAGTAAATGAGCTTCGACGAAGACGCTTTCCTTAGGAACCGCCCTTTGTGCAATATCCTGGGGGCTGGGCCATGTGGAGGAAATAAGGTTGGCTTGGCGAGGCTTAGCATTTCTTGGCGTATGGATATTGTGATTCTTGAAGTGGGACACTTGACACTTCCCCTGCCGTTCGACCTTCACGTTCCACTGTTCTACGGTCTCGTTCAACGTCCTTTCCACTACCATTACTTCAATGTATCTCCTAAATTATATCCTCATGGCCGCCATCCCTCCTGGATTGGAATGATGTTATTCTCTACAAGCCAGTGAGCATTGCTCTCAGTATAGGAACCTCGGTTACCATATGGTTTCATTGGTACAAACTAGAAGCATCGTGGTTCCTTCGCTATCTTAGCTTCGTTCCCCGGATTTCTTAGTTCTCTCCGCATCTCTGGCTGCATGTCAGCCGATTGGTCCCCGATTGTGTGCTCGTATTCTTGTGCGTTGTGCCTCACATCCATGGTGCCGGATAGGGGATGGCGGATGACATTCTTTTACCCAGTTCAACCTTCCAATAACCCAGTTCGTGTCAACTGACAGCTACAAAACGTTGAGTTCCGAGCTGGCATAACCGTACCTAGATCGCGCCATTTGCTGGGTTACCGTGAGAGCCGCGGCCTGCTGTTCTGGGATCAGAGCATTACTGGCGAATAATCAGACTTCCCTGGCATTTATATCCCGCGACGCCTGCTTTCGCTTACCGGCAATCCGTACCATTCCCTGCGTCACCGACTCGCCTGGTCCCTCCAAAGATGGTGTACGGACGTGGGGTACGGCAGATATGGCCTCCAGCCACCAATGACACGCAGCATATCTACATTTTCCCGTCTGGGCGAACAAACCGCGATTCAGGACTCTTTCAGACTTTCCATTCTACTTGAAAGAAGTAATCGACTAAACAAGTCATTTTTCCATATTGCCTCGGAGCTTGGCGTTGTTTCGCGTCTGCCATTGGCTCAACACACCCCTACCCCTCCATGAGATTTCAGGCGGCCGGCGCTCTTAGCCCAGAAACATAAAAGATGCCAAGCCGTGCACTTTTCGCGTTCGGTTCCGCTGCATACGACGACCCTGCGCATGCACCACCGTGGGCTGAGAGATACCCACGCCAGCGACCCCTGTGCCCCATGGGGTAGTGTCAACGGAGTCCACTGACGAACGGGAACCAAGTCTTAAAGTCGTTTCTAGAATCGTTCGGGCTAGAGCTGCTTGGCGACGCATTGCATACATGATTCATCTACCAGGAAATCACGGCGGTTGGGTACGAGCAGGCGATGTTCTGGACGTCGTCGTGCGCCGCCCAGCCAGCAGAGGATCAAGCCAAGTCTACGAAATGAAACTAAAGGGCCGAGCGGGGTTGTGTGGCACGGTGGGATAGAGGGTGGATCTCTCCAGGGTCATGGCAACGACCGTAAGTACATTCTCTGTACATTTATAATATTGCTCATGGCCATCTATTTCTCTGTCTCCTTTACTTCAGGTCGAGTCGTCACTGTCGTTCCTTCCTTGCAGTCCCTTCCGCACTCTATCTGTCTTGCAATCATGGGTCAATCCGACGTGGTAGACCATCCGGAGAAGACCGAGACGGTGCAAACGGAGGTTGTCCCTACTCCTACTAGCAATGATGTTAGTTCTACTACATCAGAGACAGCTGGGGGTCCCCCCGGAATGACCAAGGCGAAGTGGCTCGCCTGTATAGCCTTGGCGCTGGGGTACACGACGACCTTCCAGCAATTTGCATGCACAGGATCTATTGTCAGGCACATCGATCTTGAGCTTGGTCATTCCCCTCAGTACAATTGGATGCTGGCAGTATATACGCTAGGTCTAGCTGTATGCTTGCCCGTTACTGGTAATTTTGCCCTATTCTATACTTGAGGATTCATAACTAATTGTCCTAGGCGGTCTCTCCGATATCTTTGGACGTCGATGGTTTTTCATGGGTGGCTGCGTTGTATCCTTAATTGGAACTATCGTCTCAGTGCGAGCCGACGCCGTAAACATGGTGATTGGAGGTATGGCTCTGAAGGGCATTGGGGCTGCCGCGCAACAACTCGCGTAAGTCTCGAATTACGGTGCAGAGCCCACTTTCTCTAATGCCTTGCAGGGTGGCCGGTATTGCTGAGATCGTCCCAAATAAGCATCGAGGCACGGCTCAAGCCATTCTGGACATTATCACCACCCCCTGGACCATGTTCGGCTCGCTCGCCGGCAATGCCATGGTCAAATACCACCATCTCACGTTCAGGATCAATTGGTATGTTGGGATTGCGCTGAATATTGTGACCCTGGTCATGGCATTCTTCTTCTACTTTCCGGTAAGTTCAATATGCGCTGGAGTCCCATGGAAATGACTGACATCCACCATAGCCGCACCATCCGAACTCGCATGGCAAGTCAAAGCGTCAGCAATTCTACGAAATTGACTGGATCGGTGTTGCTCTTTGGGCCGTAAGTCTTGTCTCCAACCGACCTCGCTTTGGATGTTAACGGCGACCCTAGTCCGGGCTCACTATGCTTCTCGTCGGTATCTCCTTTGGAGGCGTGTCGTATCCATGGAAATCTGCTATTGTCCTCTGCCTGATCCTGATTGGTGCCGCTCTTCTCTTCGTTATGGGCATGTGGGAATGGAAATTTGCACCGAACCCCTTCATGGACCGGTCCCTGTTTTCCCGCGGCCGCACGTTCAGTCTGGTCCTGGTGATCATCTTCGTCGCTGGTATGGGTCTGTATGCCGGCTCTGCATTCTGGCCCCAGCAGATCTCGTTCATGTACGATGAAGATCCGATCCGCATTGGTGTCCTCACCATCGCAGGTGGTGCCGGTGGTGCTAGTAAGTGCCAAAACACTCCCATCCGCGCATTCCGTCCCTATTCTAACCTCCCTCCCTCCAGCCGGTGGCTTCGTCAGCGGCATGATCATCGGCAAACACAAGTGGCTCAAAACCCACTGGTGCGTCCTCTTCGGCGTCTTCCTTAAAGTCGTCGGCCCCGCCGGCCTCACCACCCTCACCCCCGACACCCTCTCCCGCGCCCTCGGCCTCACCTTCCTGTCTGGCTGTGGCACCGGCTGGGTCTCCGTCTCCCTGATCGTGTGCATCCAGCTCGCCTGTGACGACCACAACATCGGTCTCGCCTCCATGCTGATCGGCAGCTTCCGCGCGGCCGGCGGCACCGTCGCGCTGGCGATCTACAGTACCGTGCTCAGCAACAAGGTGCGCCAAGTCATCGGGAAGCATATCGGTGGCGCCGTCATCCCGATGGGCGTGAAGCGGGAGGATCTGGCGCGGTTCATCACCGCGATCAGCGCGGGGGATATCAAGACCGCGCTGACTATCCCCGGAGCGAACGTCGAGGTGCTATTGGCGGCCAAGGAGGCCTCCAAGTGGGCCTATGCCGAGGGATTTAAGTACGTCCGATTTTCCGTTGCCGTAATACCCTCTAGTGGGAAACATGACTGACTAACCGTCATAGGGCCCTCTACATCACGGCCTTGAGCTTCGCGGCGTTCGCTTTCGTCGTCACGCTCTTCACGAAGGACGTGTCGAAGAACATGACCTCGCATGTAGCCGTGCGCCTGGAGAATGAGGCGCCTGTCTCTGATGATGAGAAGGAGAAAGCGTTAGCGTAGGACAGAAGCGCATGGGTTAGGACGGAGGGAAACGTCTCGCCTGCACTGGGTCGATGTAGGTCAAAACATTGAATAAAGGAACCAAGGAATCAATATTACTATGGGAACTCTAATACTTTCACGATCATGTCGAACCCTTTTTTACATTTCTAAGCCGTCCATAATTTGCTATTGTGACACTCGGTCAATAACACATGTCAGCAGGTGCTTGAATTAGACCATTCTTCGGTTTTCCGCCAGTCTGCCTTTTTATCCGTTCCGTGATTGGTATTTCATGTCCCAGCACCTCAGTAGGCGGAGTTGTGAAGGAGCCCGAGATCAGCCATCTCGATTCACCTCCTCTTCCGAGGGTATTTCGCCAATGGAGCGATCTCACCAGCACCCAGGATGCTAGACCATGCCCTTCATCTAGATCTACGATAATTATATGGCTCCAATACGAGATGTTCCATCCGCATCTAGACCTTCATCAAGTATATTGCTATTAGCAGCCACAAAGTGAACGCCCTAGCTGTTTCATGTGATCCCGTTGGTCAGCCATATATGAGCGCATTGAGCGAAAGGGGTCCGGCTATAGCAGCCTTGGGTCGAACGATTGTTTCTGGTGGACGGGATGGCGGATTAAAAAAGGTCGGATCCTGATAGGCGAGTTGGAGAACAATAGGTCGCTTAGCGGAAATTGGCACGCGGCATTCACAAGCCCCAAGAAAAGCTTACGTCGTCCTCCCCTCTTTCCACGGTAAAAGAATTTTTCAAAGCTGAACGGCTGAATTGAGGCAGAACAGATGTCATCAAGCGGTAAAGCCCGATGTATCTCCTTAGCCAATAGCTCTCTCAACATTTCTATATATTGTCACCGATCACCGTGCGAGGAAGATTCTCATTGTTATCCAGAAGCGCTCAGGTACGTTTTGCGAACAACGTCTTGGTCTGTGAATTGAACGACGTCACGCTCTTCACGCGCTTGATGAACTCGCCCGTCTGATCGCTCGAAATGCGGCCACGGAACACTTCCAAGAGCCCCTTAAGCGCGATGCCTTCTGCTGGGATGGCGTTGCGGATGTCTTCGACGGTGGGGATTGCTGGGATGTGTGTTAATCATCTACGCGGCTTTCATGAAGTTTATATGGAGCTTGAGATGAGTGTCGAGAGAGGATGCTGGGTACTTACGTCGCTTCTCGGGACTGGCCGCCCGCGCTGCACCAGGGGCAGGGCTCGCTGCGCGGGAACCAATTGGCGTCCCCGTGCGCGATGGACGCTGCATTTTCGAAACTTTCCGGCGTCCACCGTCGGTCGTTTCACTGTCACTTCCAGAGGCGGCGGCACCGGAGAAAGACCCTTGGCGCGACGCGGCGAGGGAGGTTGGCTTGGGCGAGTGTGGCCGCGACGGGATCCTCGTGACAGGTGGTTGCGCGGGCATGTGGCTCTGCTTGAGGCGCTTGCGGACGGACTCGCTGTCGCTGGCGTCGGAGAGGTTGGGGGATCCGGGGCGTTTGAGGGATGCGGCGGCGGTGAGGGGCTCGCCGTGTTTTGAGGCGCGGCCGGAGGGGGTGTTGCTGCCGGTGTTGGCTCCAGAAAGTCGGTCGGTGTCTTTGCCTTTGTCGTCCTCTCCAGCCGCTTTCTTAGCTGCCTCTTCTTCCGCACGCTTGCGCTCCTCCTCTTCGGAATCGTCGCTGTCGCTCTGGTGGGTTATGTCAATACCAAGAACTTAGGAAACGGGATGAAAAGGGAGCTGGTTAAAGGAAGTAATGGTGGACTAACAGATGCAAAATAAGGGTTGCCATCCTCATCTTCGAGATAGGCGTTATTTCGTTCCTTCTTCCATAATGACTTTTTCAACTTCTTCTCCAGCTCCCTCTGTCGCTCCTCTGCCCTTTGTCGATTTTGTTCCTCTCTCTCGACCTCCTGCTCATCCGTCAAGCCGAATACGTTAGCCTGGCGCTGCTCTTTGAAAATCGCTTCTTCCGCCTCTTTCCGGGTCTCTTCATCTTCGCCAAACAGATCGCCTTCATCATCGTCATCAAAGTCGGCCTTCATGTCGAAGTCGAAATCGTGATCATTCCCAGCACCCGCCTCCTCTGTAACACGCTGTGTATCGGGCCTGGATACCACAAAACCGCGCCCACGCTCCGAGTCCTTGCTCCGTTGCTTGGAAGCAGCCATTTGGTCCTCGGCCTCTTGGACGAACCGGGGACCTTTGTACTTCTTCTTCATCTCCGCTTCCGCTTCGTCATATGTCATTGTTTTCATCTTTCCAACCTCACGGAACTTGTAGAATTTCTCGACTGGCATGACTCGGTATTGCCCTTGCTGAGTTGGACCGGGTTCGCGGACCATTACGATAAATTGATCCACGAGACCACCTTCATAGGCACCGCGCCACGTATGCTGGTTATCGAAGTCTTCCAGATGCCACGGAATGGATTCTTCGTACCGCAATTGACTTCGCTTCTGCTGTTCGGGTGTCTCGTTGAGTTCGTATGCCGACACGGCCGTAGCCTTCCGTCGCGTATTCTGCTGCTTTTGTGTCTTTGTTGATGGTGCGATCTGGGCTAGATTCTCGTCCCGGATGCGCTTCCTTTCCGCCTTGACCGCCTCAATCCGCTCGCGTTCCTGATCTGCTTCCGCGATCTCCTTGGTGTCCACATCCATGGTTTCCCCGCCAGGCATAATAGCCTGCAGGTCTCGCCGATGGAGCCGGACTGGTCGGGTCCATTCATCTTGATTCGTAGGGTCGACCGTCTGATTGCCTTGCAAGCGCATGAGATGATGCCGTAGCCCTTTCAGTATCGCCCGTTTCGTCGTGAAGACAGGAATGTCTCGGAATTTGACGTCAGGTTCATCCTTGACTCGGGGTTGGGAAGTAGTCGGGCCGTTTGCTGGTGGTGCCGGAGGGGTGCCAGTTTTCGGTCTCGGTCTTGCTGTAGGAGGTCCTCTCTGGCCAGGCTTTGGGCGGGTAATCAAAGGATTTGCCTTTGGCTTTCGTCGATATACAGGCGCGCCTCCATTGGGGGTAGAGCCGGGAGGGCCTGCTGGCGAGGCGCTCATTGCCTAAGACTGAAGTGTATCGATGGACAGCAAGCAGTTGAAGGGTGTTTGGATATCGTCCTGGAAAAGCAAATATGAGAAAGACCTGTGGGCCAAGGTGAAATTGTTAAATTGTTTGCAGAAAGGAGGATTCACGTTGGATGTGGAATGTTCATTGATTAACTCCAGGAACGGATTGACATCTGAGTGCTGAGGTCACTGACTCAGTCACGTGATAATAATATAATGCCTGAGGTAGTAAGGCAGTAATATCGCCTGAGGCAGAGAGCCTCAGAGCCAGAGGGCAGAGAGGGCGAGGGATAGGGCGAGAGCGGAGATGTCAGGGGGCAGACAGAGGCTGAGAGCCGAGAGAGGGCAGAGAGGGCGGAGAGGCTCAGAGCCGTCAGAGCCTCAGAGGCTGAGAGCCGTGAGAGCCTGAGAGCCTGAGAGGGCAGGAGGGCTAGAGGGTAGAGGGCCAGAGGGCGGCGCACTTATTTTTGTCTGTGGCACAGATATAAATTGCTAGCGCAGACCGCCTACAGTTTACTATCACTTATGATTTTGCGAACCATCTCATCAAAGAGCATCGTTATGTTTTCACCCGACTATTATGGCAGCAGCTTCCTCTCCACAGCATCAGCGCCCTAGAGGCTACCATTTGCTTTCTCGATTAATGGGAAGGTCGGAAGAACTTGCCGTCTTCCGCAAGTTCAACGATTTAAACGCTATCAGTTTGTTGAGTCTTCAAGCTGAATTGGTCCTGTTGAGAGATGAATATCATAATATTTGTGAAAGTGACGAAAAAGACGGAAGACCGTACTCAAGGAACTTCGAGAAACTTTTCCAGTCAAAGGATGATGTTACCAATGATCAATATCTCCAGCTATTGAAAATTAGAGAGAAGATGAAGGAGTATAGTAAGCAAATGTTCCCGTAATTGGCTGAAATTATTATCACCTTCATCTGACTATTATACAGATGCATTTCTACTTCAAGGTGCGCCGTCAGTGACTTTGATTTCGACGGAAAGACTCATCTATAGCAGTTGCCTCGATTCGAAACATCCACAAGCCACGAGCGAGTGACCTTGAAAAACTCCAGGAATGGCTGCGGGATCCTAAGGGGGGCAATAGGTTTCTTGCAGAGAATGAAGCCTTTACTTGGTCTAATGAGTACAAAACAGACTTCGCGACGTTAGCAACCTCAACCCCTGATGACGACATCTTTACAAATTGGCTTGTATCTTCACTAGTAAAATTGTACCACAGAGTCTGGGGTCACAGACACCCCCTCCACAGTTCCAAATTTATTGATGAAGAGAGCGGCTTAATTATGTATCACGATGGAAAGGTCGCTAGGGTCAGCAAAATTATCTCAACCACTTTGGCATCGATATTTCCGGTCATCGCTGTGCTTGGACTATATTTTGAAAAGGACTTGTTGAAGAGGATATATATCATGATTGGAATTACTGGAGCATTTTCCCTTGTCTTGTCGATTTTTAGCCAGGCTAGACGCGTGGAAATATTTGCTGTAACTACAGCGTAAGTATTACTACCTTTAGTTGAAATGGCGCTGACCTGGTTCAGGCTAGCAGCTGTGGAAGTCGTATTCATTGGCAGCACAACATCTCCTGGGGTCTGAGATTTTGGGACCATTCACTCTCACAACTAATACAACTCCTAGAAATTTCCTTGAGAAAATGGAAATTTTCTACTGCTGAAGGCATTCAACTAAACCTTTTGCTATTTATCGACGAAAGAATACATATTAATAGAAGGCTTTGAACAGGTCACAACGACTTAAGATGATCCATCGGTGTATTCCTAACCAGCTTTGGACTCGTCTAAGAGAGAGTGAGCGTGGATCCCAATCCCAATTCTTCTGTTTCCAGCGTAAAAGAGACGACGGCAGATTGGCCGCCAGAATGGCAGATTTGCTAACCGTGCACGCTCATTGGTTGATGCCCATTGTCCGAAGATTTCCCGCCTGCTTCGACCTCACATATAAATTGCGTATTCCACCATTCCCTCTTCTTCCCCTTCCCTCTACCCCTAAACCCCTCAACTACTGCGGCGACCGAGAATCTACGACCGCTCTTCATTCTTCGCTTGCTCCCCACCCCCCCTGCGTGTCTAGTTTCGCTACGTTTCCTAGCCGCCGCACTCCCTCCGGATCGCCGTCCTAAGTGTTATACTCTATCTATACGGCGCTTCGGTCTCTTCTACTGGGTATTTCATTCTTAAGGAGCTCGTCTATCTGGATTACCAGATACGCCTTGATTCGCACTGGTCTGAGGCCATAAGGCCAATTCTTCCTGAGGCCGCCAGGCCATAACCAACAGTCTAGGCATACTGCCCAAAACTCTTACAGAGTAAGCAAATCGCCGATATTTAGAAGCTCACCTCAGGTCTTAGGAGCTCCCCTGTGTCTGAGAGGCGCTGGAAGAGCTCACTTGAACTTTCGCATATCTGTTCTTATCTCTTTCAATCTTCTGTGCATCTGCTTTCTCCTTCTTCCGCTTAGCCGCTTCGATCATCTGGTACTCCTCGTGAATCCTTTCCTGTTCCTTTTCGACTTACTGAAGTCAGAAACAAGAGATCTATTATTAGAATTCCAACTCACCTGTAGACTTCTTTCTCATTTGCAATATAAGAGCTCTGCTAGCGGTGTCGCCCCGACCAGAAGTTCGGGAACCGATCCTGAAATCCCAGGGGAGTATGATATCAAACTCCGTGTCCGTGTTATCGTCGACAAAGAATTCTGTTCGTAAGGTATTATAGTTTCTGTTCACATACCATGTAAGTGAGATGCTTTGACTTGGCCTGAATGTTGCACCGCCAATGCCGTTTAAGACCTTATTCTCAACGTTCTGAAATTCAGAGCTGGGTATCTCGTCTCGCTGGAGAAGGCTTTTCGAAATGAAAAATTCCTCACTTCCAGTGTCTTTGAGAGCTCTTGCCGGGATGTACTTTATTCCGGACCCTGTTTGAAAGGCTATGGTGACATCATATCCATAATGAGACCTTGCCGAAATCGGCCCCAGACCAAGTGTCTTGCTGTCAACAGGCACTTTGACAGTTGAGCTTCTGAAGTCTTCGAGGTGGACTCCCGTTTCTTCCTCAAAATCTTCCGGGTTCCAATGCTGTATATCATCGGAGTTCACTTCTGTTTCTAGCTGCTCTGCAACTTCGGTTCTTTAGACCCATATTTAGTATCATGCACAATATAAGTAGAGGCAACGTACATGACAGAATTAAGCTGCTGACGAACTTGAATGCTTTGCAAACGTCAAAGAGGTTTGTTTAGGGTAAGATAAGCTCTTACTGTTGGCTCAAGTCCCGTAGCAAAAGCACAGAATCCCGGAATGCTTCGAAGGCCATTCTTCGTTTGGTTCTTCTCATAGACACTGCCGCCATGCGAAACCGTCTTATTTCTGGATGTTTGACCCGATATGCTTTCTGATCGCGTGATATCAAATCATAAAATTCTTCATGGCGCTGGGCGCAGAGTAACATCGCTCCCTGCATCGATTTTGGAACCTTCTCGTACTTCGATACTCCGTGGAAGGCTTCTTCTGCAACACGAAGAATCACTTCGTACTCGGAAACCTGTCGATCAAGCTCGGCAATGCCCTTGCGCGCATTTCGGCCTGCACGGATGAATTGATCCAGGAGAGCAATGCTGGAACCCACTAGGGCAAAGACTTCAATGCCTGACATAGCTTTTACAAAGACGTAAAAACGTCGGTCTCACGGTCTCATGCTTGATAGGAAGTATGGCAGGAGAAAAAAATAATGGAGCCTGACGAGTGACTTGAGCATCAAAGGAAGGGAAGCGTATGTAATGCCCTGATGAGGGAAAAATTCAAAACTCCGGTCAGCTCAAATACTCCGCCCTCTGGTTAAACGGCTCTCCGCAAATGACAACGCACTAAAGGCTGAATCAAGTCGCTGAGCCAACAAAAAGCATTTAAAGGGAGGGTTAGGCTCGGCATGTTGCCCATTGATTCGCTCAGAGTAATCCACTGCCACTTCTTCTGCAGCTCATGCACAGACCCCTTCGGCTTCTGTAGATCTAGACTGGGCTATGCTGCTATGTACCTCTTCTATACAGTCACAGGCACTTTAATTGGCGGCAGAGGCTGAGAGGCTGCAGAGGCAGCGAATCAGGCGCACGGACCAATATGATCCTGATATCTCAACCGCTGGCGAACGATTCATTCAACTGCACCACCATCTGTTATTGAAGAACAAAGCCATTATGATATTCATTACGTGTGATAAGAGGGCAATTGGGCCAAAATTATTGGCTCCCTTGAACGACTGCTTATATGAGATTGCTGACAGTGTTCAAAATCGTCTCTAGAAAGCTCTCATGCGTGTGCCGTTTAGCATCACCCTAAACCACCGCATTATCAGAACTGAAAAGTGACTGACACGGCGAGGCTTGAGGCCTTGTACAGATAGCTTACTGTTCCTTTTTATTTCACTTGAGCATTGTCTCTCAGTCTTTCTCCACGTTCCTTCATTCTCCCTCGCTTTCTTGTCATTATATCCCAACAAAAGGGGTACGGCAATCCACTGGCCTCAATGGATAACTCACAAGGTGGTCAACTTCCTCGTGGAGGATATCCTCCTCATCCACATCTTCAGCACTCTACTGCTCCGCTTCAACCTCCGGGCTTGCCTATTTTGCCAGCTCAATATGCAGCTGGTTCATTCAACAATGCTCCAAGTCCATCACAGCAAGCGTCAGCCCCTCCTCAACACGCAGTGCAACACCCACATGCAATTGGGTTAGGCCCGCAATATGATCGGGGTGAACTCAGCATGGAGGCTCCTCCAGTTTCAGATTGGCCATATCTTCAACCGAGAACGCAGCAACAACAACGATTCCCATCCGCTCCCGCACAACCTTACACAGGTGCCCAGTCGCGATTTCAACGCGCCCCTCTACCTAGTAGCATCCATCAAACTGCACCTCGCATAGCGACTGCAGAAATTAAACAAATGCCACCTACTCATCCTAATCACTTCACAAACACGTTCTCGCAACCCAACAGAGGATCTCACTTCCACCGGAATCCTCCACGACACCCCCGAAACGCGCCGCCCCGAAGAATGGCAGGTGCTGGAGGCTCCAGCTGGGTGCCATGGTATGAACATGCCAGTCCCGTCCTTTATCTGGAGCAGCTCCTTGGAAATGTCCTTAAAGAAGTGGACATGCCGCTGGAAGAACGAGATGCAAAGTTGAAATTTGCGGATCGATTGCAGTCGCTGACGCAAAAGGCTATTCTCAAAGAATATCCAAACACTCATACAAATGTTGCCCTTCGCGGCTTCGGAAGCTTTGCGTCCGGGTTCGCCCTCAAGGGTTCAGACATGGACATGGTCCTCATGATTAATGGACCTGATAAAGAGAAGCTCAATTTCAAAGACATCGCAAACGCTCTTAAGCAATCGTTTAAAGCGGATGGCCTAGGTGTCTATATCATCTCTAACACACGAGTTCCCATCATCAAGATTTGCGAAAAACCGCCGGCGTGGTTCTGGGAAGAGCAGGAGAAGCTCGAAACACAAGCTGCTGTGGAGGCTAGTGCGTTCAAGGCGGGGGATGGCAAAAATGTCGTTGGCGATGGTGCTAATAACTCTGAAACTTCGCATTCGATGACGAATGCAGGAGTCTCAGGGGAACACAGTAGCGAATCGGAAGCTGAAGACGAGGAGGAAAAGGAGGCAAGATTGCGTCGCAAACGGGTGACCGAAATGGCAAATAAGACGAATGCGCCCAAAAACTCCAAAGTGTGGTACCGTGAACGCAAACTGGGCAAGAGCGATTTCCCGAAATCCGACGCCGGAATCCTCTGCGACATTAACATGGACAATCCCATGGGCCTGGAGAACACCCACCTCCTCCGCTGCTATGCGGCCTGCGATGTTCGCGTTCACCCAATGGCCACCTTCGTCAAAGCCTGGGCATCTCGGCGCAAGATCAACAGCTCCCGCGACGGAACGCTATCATCGTATGGCTACGTCCTCATGGTTATCCACTTTCTCGTGCACATCATCCAGCCTCCCGTCCTCCCGAACCTCCAACATCCACAAGACTGGCCAGGCCTCCAAGACCTCCTCCACGACGAGCAGAGTCAATTCTTCGCCGACGCCATCAATGGTCACTGGATCCACTACGTCCGCAACGTCGACGCGCTGAACTATTACGGCAGCAAAAACATCTCCCCGAACACCATGCCCGTCGGCCGCCTCCTCACCGAATTCTTCTCCTACTATGGCGACCCGATCTCCGGCGGCCATAGCTGGCAAGGCCACGTCATCTCGCTCCGCACACGACACGGCGGGGTGCTCGACAAGGGGGAGATGGGGTGGAACCGGGCGACGTCCGAGATGGTGAACGGCATCGAGGTCCGGCAGCGGTATCTCCTCGCGATCGAGGACCCGTTCGAGACGAACCATAATGTGGGGCGAACCGTGACGAACGAGGGCGCGGGGGTGATGCGGAGGGAGTTCAAGCGCGCAGTGTCGATACTGAGGGGGATGATCGGGCGTGGGACGCCGAGGGAGGATTTGATGGAGGAGTGGGTGGATAAGGTGGTAGTGGATGAGGGGGGGCAGGGTGAGGGGAACGTTGGCAGGGGACCGGTGGCGACGGACGGTCCGCTTAGCATCACGGCGTCGCTGGCGAGGATTGGGATGTGATCGGCTGGCGAGGGTGCTGGTGATAAATGCATGGAGGGCGACAAAGACGGACGTGATGAGTCTCGAGCGGTTTATTTGCAGGTCGAGCTACTCGACACGTCTAGGGCCGAAGGATATATGCATCGGGAATGAGCATGGAGTGCTAACATAGCTGTACATTACTATTATAACGCTTCCACAAAATCTACGTGGAAACCCCGAAATCCCCATCTCTCGGCATCATTGCTTCACGTTTCTAACCATCAGACTAACCATTAGGTCCATTAATTACCTCCCCGTCCCAATGTATCTCCCCACCCTAAAAAAACTCCCTCAACTCCCTCCCCCTATCTCCACCCCTCCGACCCACCCCATGCCCCCCACCCCTCAAATTCCACCCACCCGTACACATCCCCATCAACACCTCCCGTCCCCCTCCCACCAGCTCCTCCAACCCTACCACCCCCCCATCATCCCCTCCTGCGCCCTCCCCATCCAACACATACTCCACCCGGCTCCCCACTGTCCCCATGTAATCCCGGAACGTATACACCTTCTCCACCACCCCCCGCTCCGTATCCAGCACCACGACGCGGAACCCCGGCCGTTTTCTCGCCTGCTCGATGCGCGACTGCGCCGCCTTCCGCGCTGCGATCGGGTCCCGTACGCAGTGCATATCGGCGTCCTCGATGAAGATGCTCGAGCGATCGTTGCAGGGTGAGGAGGCGTCGGGGATGTCGGCGCGCGGTTTGCAGGCGGCTTGGAGGGTGCCCTGGTAGTCGCAGGGGGCGCAGAGGGAGCGGAGTGAGGGGAAGGTGGTGGGGGAGGCGATGGCGGAGGCAAGGGCATGGAGGGCGGGGGAAGGGGTTAGGATATCCCAGTGGAGGGAGAAGAGGGAGGAGGAGGAGAAGAGGGGGGTGAGGAGGGTGGTCCCGTGGGGGAGGGAGGGGGAGCGGTCTTGGATGAGGGTGAAGTAGGTGAGGGTGAGGGTGCGGAGGATGTGGGAGATTAGGGAGAGGGAGGCGATGTTGAGGTCGATGAGGGAGAGGCGGCGGAGGGGGAGGAGGGACGGGGAAGAGATGAGGCGGAGGAGTCCTTTATCGGTGATGCCGGGGAGGGATTGGAGGCGGAGGGATCGGAGTGGGGGGAGCGCTTGAAGGGTGCGGTCGGTGAAGGAGGGGGCGGGGAGATGGGCTAGGAGGAGGTGTTGCAGGGAGGGGAGAGAGCGGAAGGTTCCGACGATGGAGCGGTAGGTCATGGTTGTGGTGGGATTTCCGATGAGGAAGAGGGTGGTGAGGGACGTCCAATTGATGTGGTGATTCATGAAGATATCGGTTGAAGGGGAGAGTCGGTCGACTGTATCGGTGGGGGTGGGCTGGGGATCCTCGTCATCCAAATCGGAGTGATCTTCGATGTTCATAATCCAAACTTTCTCTTTCAAACGTCTCCTCGTCGATAGCGAAGAAGTGATATGGTCAACCCCCCCAGTATGGGTCAAATGGAGACCCCGTAATTTCTCCAGGTATGGACATGCCATCACAATTAATGCAAGCTCGTTCATCAATCTCTCCTGCTCTTTCGTCCCTGAACGTAGCATCAAGTTTTGAATATGCTCTCCCCGAATTTCCAACACTCTTTTCGCCAGATCTGGGCGTTCCTGTAATGTGCGACGCAAAAGTTTGATACCCGAAAGTGTGTTCGACTTCGACTTTCTGTACCCATGATCCTCCGGATCAACGAATATACGCAAGGTTCGATATCTATACCATATCAGAACTATGCTTTGGGACCTGTAAGGAAATGGTGCTTACAGTTGATATTGTGCAATCCGTGCCCATCTGCGACTCGTCCGGGACAGGCTCAGGAGATCTTTCTGGTAGCATCCTGCACAGCTCTCTGACCCAGGCGCAGTATGAATCTTTTCCAGTTGCTCTGTAATGCAAGTATACACTCTATCCGGCATATTTCGGAACACACGCTCCGGTAATGTTGGATAGCTGCCCGCCGGTCTCACTGACCATCTCTTGGGGCGCTCGAGTTCCCATGGTGTCTGCACGAGCTTCGGAACGGTATCGAACCTTGCGCTCCATGATATCGTCGTCGCGGAGGAGGCTCCCGAGGAAGGCCGAGACGAGTCACTTGAGGACGTCGATATTATGCTGCTCGTGGAAGCAATTGATGGTGCATACGAGCAAATGCGTTTCAACACGTTCTTCTGGGTGCGCTGCCAAACCCGAGGCGACTGTTTGCTAATAGAGGCATTTAGCTAGAGTTGAAGGATTTCTTTGCGTAAGACCACCGGCAACGCGTACCTAGCGATTGTATCATCCAGAGATATAGAATCATGACTTCGAGATTGATATTCCAGCATTGTTACTTGGGTTGATGTTGCGGTATGCAACTTGAAGATATAGCGGTCAGATAGCAGTCAGATATCGAAGCAATTATGACAAAGCTGAATACAACTGAAACATGTCTTAGAAGAAGGGAAATAGAAGAATACAGAAACTCAACAGCCTGGAAATCACGTTGACCCATAGTCCTAGATCGAATCGACGACACTTGACAGGACGACGCAAACAGGCGCTGATCCGATAGAGCAAAGGCACCAAGCGTTAGAACCATGGCACCGATCTCCCGCCAGTAGGGATGAATTCCAAAAGCCACCCTGCTAATATTATTCGCCAGTCCTCATCGAGAGCCCCTGATAGGGCAGTTATCTGGCAATAAAGTTTGTGTCGATCGCCTTGCTTGTCCTATCCTAGTCCTAGTACATCGGAATTACGGAGATTCGGCGGGGTTACTCCGGAATGGAAACGAAACACCAAAATTTAGGGAGATCACCAACCCCGGCGGGCACGCTTGTGTACTACGTACGTAATAACTAGTAAGGGCTTCTGGCATCGACAGATCCCAGTGGTTTGATCGACAGGGACTCTGGTTTGGGCTGGCGTGGAGATGATCGTTGATGCTTCTCCATGCGCTGGGATCGTTGGGATGCCACTGCGGTTGCAAACGGAGACTAAAATTCTCCAGACTGGTCATCTTTGCGGGAATTTTGGCTGGATCATCCTGGATGAGGTGTTGATGAGAGTCGAGCTCGAGTGAGGATGGTGTTCTCCCACAACGGCCGATCTGGGAACGGTGTTCTGTACCTGCCGGATAAGGTATATGTGCAGGCCATGATCCTTATCCAGGCCTGAAGCATTGGTGCTTAACTCTGATATTATCAGTCAATTCTCAGCTCCCCAACTAGGTTCATACTCCATCGACTCTCTGGACCAATATTACTTCCTTGCTTGGTTATTATTGTGATGATCGTATTCCGTACCTCGGTGGAAATTCAATAATACAGGTAGGTACCTCCGTACCTAAGTTAGTGCGGTCAGAGGTTAGAAACGCTGCAGGGTTATCGATGGCAACTAATTCGAGAGGATATCAAGGCTTAGACAATGGTAGAAATGGTCCTATTGAGATCAAATATATACAGGTATGCTTTCATCCTATCCATGATTCGTATTCATTCTCGTAGAATTGTGAAAGTTCGACGATGGGAGGAAAAGGAGAAGTGAAGCAGAATCGAATGGCCGCTTGCTTGAGGCATCGCGGCAACAAGGCAACAAGTCATCCACTAATAGGCAGCAACGCCTGGCCATCACTCCTTCCCCAGGATCTAAAATATTATTCAACATATGTAAACAAACTCAATATCGGAAGTCTTCTACCTTTCTACTTACTTCAAACTGATATCAATTCATTCGGTGAGGATATTCAAACCAACTCCCGTTAGCCAATACTCGCCTTCGCATTCCTGTCATCATGTCTACCGACCCAAAGATTGATCTGTCTCAGCAGCCAGCCCTCAGGACGAAGCTGGAGGATCTGAGGCATGAGGACCCTACGACCACCGAACCAAAGCCCGATGCTAAGACTACCACCCCCAATGTCACTGCTCCGGAGGCCGAAAAACCGAAGGTTAAAGATCCGGCCCATGATGCCGATCTGATTACTCCTGTGGTGCCGGCCCAGGGGGCTGCTCCCGTACAGACACCTGCCGCTCCCACGGAGCCCAAATGGCCTGACCTTTCCGAAGACCACCCCATCTCCAAGTTCCGCCAAGCGCTTCCAGATATCCTGACGAAATCCGGCTACACCGAGGTCTATGGTATCCACCTCTCCGCCGATGATAGCAGCGCAACCACGGTCTTCCACACGAACCTAATCCTTCAGAAGTTCCTGCGAGCCAACGGGAACGACTTGGACAAGGCGAAGGAGCAACTCCTCGACACTTTGAAATGGCGAAAGTCATTCCAGCCGCATCTACTTGTCAACGTGACGTTCGACGAGGAGAAGTTCGGTGGACTCGGGTATATCGTCCGACTGACTAGTCAGGACACCGGGGACGAGGTGGTCACGTTCAACGTGTACGGGGCGGTCAAGGACTTCAAGAAGACCTTCGGAGACACGGAAGAGTATGTTCACCGTCTCATCCTTCCACCATCATGATACTAACCCGCCCTCCAGATTCATCCGCTGGCGCGTCGCCCTCATGGAGCGCTCCATCGCCGCCCTCCACCTCACGTCCGCCACCGAGCCCATCCCCGACTACGGCCTCGGCGAAGACCCCTACTGCGGCATCCAGGTGCACGACTATCAGAACGTCTCCTTCCTCCGCCAAGACCCGCACGTCAAGACGGCCTCGCGCAAGATCATCGACCTCTTCTCGCGCGTCTACCCGGAGACAATGTCCAAGAAGATATTCGCCAACGTCCCCTTCTACATGGCCTGGATGTTCAACGCCATGCGCTTCCTGCCTGCCCAGACCTACGCGAAGCTCGAGGCCGTGACGGATGGGAAGACGTTGAAGAAGAGCCTGGGCGGCGACGCGGTGGATGCGCAGATTCCGGCAGCGTATGGGGGTTCGGCGGCGTCGTTGGAGGAGGTCGCGGAGAAGCCGAAGTTGGAGAAGGAAGGGAGCGACCTCATCATGAAGATTTCATCCGCGGTAATGTCCGAGCCAGTCGACGGTCCTCCTGTGCATGGCGGCATTGCTGGCCTTGCTGGCACCCCTGCAGCTGACGCTTCGTCCGACACTCCGTCTCCTGTCATCGCTTCTTCTCCCACTGCTTCTCCCGCCATTGCTTCCTCTGCCAGTGCTCCCCCCGGCCCAGGGGCCACGACAGATGGCGCCACCCCGACCGTGATCGACGCTGCAGCGAGCGCCCAGGAGACGGAGCCCGCAACCACTCTCGCTGAGCAAGCCGCTCCTCCTCAGAAGGCGTAACTGGCTTCCTGCTACCACCGCGGTTCAATAGGAGCGCCCGGTCCCCTCGCGTCTGGGACAACCGCAGTTTCGGCGGTCGGATGCGGAACCGGATCGAGGAGCTCAGGTGGAAGTTATTTCCTTGGCGTTGGGCGGGTTAACTATGATGATGTAGCGTACTAAAAATACCCCTTACTGCATTATTTGGTCGTTGACGCGGGTTTCTCTGCTCACTACTTACGACATAGATGCCGGTACCTGGTACTCGGTCGCAATACAAGCCGTATTCTCACTCTTCCCGCGTTCTTAATGACAGTTCTGCTTTGTCGTCATCGACATGGTTACTATTCTTATTTTTACCTACCAGTTTCGGCAAATAGTAAATTGAATACTGACTGTGCCTCCTGTCCCGGAACTGTTTATCCTGTTGCTCTAGTTACCGGTCTAGTAGCGTAGCCCACTGCCCTCGAATTGCGGGGTACCAACAGATCCCGCATTCCGCTACCCCGCCTTCTTCCCTTTCACTGCTGACTGCTCCCTGTTCCATACGGCCTGAATCCTGGTATGTCTCTTTCCTGCCTCCTCGATCTACTACATAGTACGTACATAAGTGGTGGCCTTGCAGTAGATATTACATATTAGCCCCTTCAGGTCTTATAACTTATATTAAGCCATATTACCACATCAGGGGCCACGCGGTCACCGCCGTATGCCATGGACAATGTATAGCGTCCCATCACGTCGGAACGGACCTCGTCTTGTCCGACTGGGGGATCCTAAGACTCCCAGATGTGGCGTCTTACCCAGCGGGGTGAATACCGAGCTATCTTCGGCTTCGTGACCTGACCACCATTCTAGAACGCGGCCTTTCGGCCGGAGCTGTTCCGTAGGATTCAAAGGCGTCTGGTATATGACAGCCTCGAGTTCCTGCTTGCTTTTTCCAGTCCGTTCTAGTTCCCCCCTCTCGTTCTTTCGTCCCTTAAGATTCGAAATTCAGCGTGATTGATCGAGTATCTACTACCTTTCGGGTATATATATAGTCAAATCGGAACCACATAACTGGACGTCACCATGGCTACTGAGGCTGCCCCTGCCGCACCGGCTGCGGAACCGCAGTATGACATCCCCAAAGAATGCAAGGCCGCCGTCATCCATGATATCGGTCCGAACTTCACGGTGAAGGTGGAGATGGTGCCAGTACCAGAGCCAGGTATGTCATAGAACTCCTACCTACCTCCACCCTCCTGGCAACCTGTTCAGGATTGCACATGGAGCAATCCATAGGAGTGGTATGAAACACCGAAGCTAACTCCCGGCGTAGGTCCCGGCCAACTCCTCCTCAAACTCAACGCAACCGGTATCTGCTACTCCGACGTGCATTTCATGCTGAACGATCTGGGCGCCCCGCCCATGTCCTTCTTCGGCGTCAAGTCGCCAGGACACGAGGGTGCTGGCATCGTCGTCAAGGTGGGGGAGAACGTCAGCGGCTGGAAACTCGGAGAGCGCGCCGGCATCAAGCCGATGTGGGATACCTGCCAATCCTGTGAGCTCTGCTGGAACGACAAAGAGACAGTAAGTCCCTCCTAGTCCATAAACCCTACCCCTACCTGCTTCCCCCCCTACCCTCCCTACTAATTCTTCCCCAGTACTGCGAGAAAGTCGTCCACACCGGCCTCATGGTCACCGGCTCCTACCAACAATACGTCCTCTCCCCCGCCCGCTACACCACCCGCATCCCCGACGGCATCCCCGACCACCTCGCCGCCCCCGTCATGTGCTCCGCCTCCACCATGTATCGCTCCCTCGCCGAATCCGGCCTCCGCCCCGGCGACTGGGCCGCCTTCCCCGGCGGCGGCGGCGGCGTCGGCATCCAGGGCGTTCAGCTCGCCAAGGCCATGGGTTTCCGCCCCATCGTTGTGGACACCGGCGATGCGAAGCAGACGATGGCGCTGGAGATGGGCGCGGAGGCGTTCGTGGATTTCAAAGCGACTGAGGACGTCGCAAAGGAGGTGGCAAGGATCGCGGATGGGAAGGGTGCGCATGGCGTGTTCGTGACGGCACCAAATGCGTACGCGAATGCGATTTCGCTAGTGGGCTCGCGGATCGGGGCGAAGGTTATGTGTATCGGGTTGCCGCCACAGGAGGCGAACTGTATGTTGCAGATTCCGCCGGGGCAGTTGATCTCGAGGAACTTGACGGTGAAGGGGACGTTGGTGGCGGGGATGGGCGATACGGCGAAGGCGCTGGAATTCGCGGCGAGGGGCGCGTTGAAGCAGATTTGTGAGGTGGTGCCGGTGGATCAGTTCCCGGAGGCGATTGCGAAGTTGATGAGAGGCGAGGTTGCGGGGAGGATGGTGATCGACTTCAATGCTTGAGATGATATGCCGTGCCATAAGGCTGTGTTAGTAAATGCATATTTGGCTCTCTCTAGTTTCCATTGCTATTGTGCTCGGCACAATAGTCGGAACAATATTAGCATCCGTATCCATTGTCCAGCAATATTCGAAATCAGCGACCTGGTATGTCTCCATGGTCGATAGCATCACCAACGACAACGGCCAATTCAATTAGATTAGAACCACTATGATACCACTATCGGAGAGGTCGACCTGTCAAGTTTGAATTGGAGGAAGCAAATCCAAAAATCTCGACCGCTTCACCCACATCGCCTTCTCACCAACTGACTGCTGACAAACGTCACCGCACCTGACTCAGGTACAATATTACTATAGAATCGTCTTCGTCATGATTCTATTGAATTAACCACCACCACCAAATAAGAATCTCCAAACCTCTCAACTCTCGAGTCTCCATCCTCGAGGCACAGAGCAGATCCCTGTTCGACTTCCGTTCCTGAGGTTCCACTGCCGAGTATCAAATCGTTGGTTCACAACCAAACCGAAAGAAAGAAAAGCCGTCGACGGACCTTCCAAGTCGTGAGCATCACGCATCCACGTCACACTGTCTCCAACATCCAGCGGGATTAAGCACTGATCGTCGCGGCAGTCCCACCAATCCATCCAGTCCTTTACACAATGTGGCTTTCCTCTTCTCGTTCGTAGGCTGTCAAGTGTGGTAACTGTGGCAGATATTTCCGCTTCCGTCTTCCCCTCCCACCCCTCCCACTACCCACCCGCTTTGCATCTTGTCCACCTACCTCTCTCACGCTAGTTGTCCGCAATGGGCAGGTGCCGTTGTCGAAAGCGATCTGCGCATTTGGAAACACGGAAGGTAAATTCGAGAGACGACCCACTTCCCGTCTTTGAGTATATTCGCGAGAGATATAGCGGAGAATTATTGAAGAACTTGGAATCTGGCTATCCATTGGTTTTAGATGTCCGAGGGCATCGTGGTAACCACTCAGGCGAATTGCTATGACGGTTGTGGACGATCGTGCTGAATATATAAAGTAAATTAGGTAGCGGTGCCCTTGGTACTCGGATAGCTGGTCCTAACATCGTGAACTCAGCAGACGGGAAAGAGGACGCAGAGAAATTGATAATCGAAACAATTTCTTTCATCTCACTTCAGTCGAACATATATCCATTTGTCAAAGTCATGATGATGTTCTTCGTCTCCCTCATTACCCTCATCTTGGCCGTATCAGCCATCTCTATCCTGTGCGTCTCACTCTGAACTGGCGCCTATAAAGCACCAACTAACCACTCCAGTGAACCCCGCCAATCGTGCTCAAAAGCCCTGGCCGACGAATACATCTTCACCCTCACCCTCTCCGCCTTCCTCCTCGTCCGCGCCTCCCAAACCCCCTCCTGCTTCGACTGGACCTCCAACAACTGCACCGTGGCCCCCGACAACCCGTTCGGCTACCCGTTCAAGCACGCCTGCCAGCGCCATGACTTCGGATACCGCAACTACAAGAAGCTCGACGTCTTCACGGAGCCGAATCGGCTGAGGCTCGATGACAAGTTCAAGGAGGATTTGTATGATATTTGTGGGGACGACGCGGGTTGTACGGGGTTGGCGGACGTCTACTACGGGGCGGTTAGGGTGTGTGGGGATGGGAATTGCTTTGATATAGAAGATGAAGCGGTATAATGAGGCTGCTGCGATTTCATTATCAACCAGAGGATTCATTTTGAAAGATGACGAGCACTACTGTATTAACCAGTCTGCTGAATCTTTTGACTCCGATGTTTGGCAGATCCCCAAATACTAGGAAGCACGGTCAGTAATCGAAAAGGGGGAGGGGCACGAGAGGCCTATCCACGCACTTAAAGTTGCCTATATTATTCAACAGTGTTCCCTAATCTGTGGATCAATGTTGATATTGCCTGCTGAATTGCAAGGGATACTGTCTTGATCCTTGAGTGCCTTGCTGCTTGCCATCAAGCCAATCACTCACATTATGCCTCGCCGCCTTTGGATATACAGATTATAGGGGCCTCTTGCTAGTCAAATCAGTCGGTAGTTCAAGGGAATCTATATAGTTCGTATGCTATAGGTCCTCTAGACCACCGCAACTGCCCGGTACAATAATAAGGGATTTTGTCAACAGCACAAATGGGTTTGCCGCCCTTTCGGATCCTACTGGTAAAAGGGGAATTGAGGGATTCCGGAATACTTTACCCTCAAGTGTCATCAATATTTTTGATTGATCGTATTGTATGCCGTCTGGTGATGGCTCTGGGCGGCGGAAGCTCGACATACTGGCACGGGAATAATACAAATGCCACGTTCAATTTTCATAGTTCTTTAGACTACATAACTAATGAGTGTTGATATTCATAATTCTATAGGGCAGGCGTCGACAACTGACCGTAGCAAGGTGGATATGCTCTTCACAGTGATAGATAGATTGCCAGTCGAATGGCCAATTGTTGTGGTACAGGTATGGTAAGCGGGTAGTACTACAGTCGCTAATTGCCCGTTCCAGCAGCAACCTGCTCAGATGTTGTCTCATTTCCTGCCACCATGGACTGTTTCGCCCTCTCTCTGCGGAGTTTTGCTGAACTTGGCTAGTTCCTTGCGGAACAAGCGAGCAAACTCTGTTCTATTGGACATCTGGGCCTCCTCCATCTGGAATTTCACCATGATGTTCTCGCCGGGAAGTTACCTATCTTTTGAATCGATGACAAAGGCCAGTGTTCCTCCAGAATGGCCTGTCAGTTCCTCCCGCCATACAGCGTTGGCGAGCATGATGTAACTCTGTATTCCGAGATGATGGGCATGCTCCACCTCCGAAAACTAGCTCTATTTGCGCCAATTTGTGGACAGCCATAGCGCCGTATACGGACCAACTGTTCTGGCGATACTGATTACCTTCTTAATCCACAATTCTTTGCCAGAGCGTTGTCGGTCGCAGCGGTTGTGTGCATCAACTCGTGGAGGAACGCTTGGCCCGTGGTTTGGATCTATTCTATATTGGTTGCCAATTCCTATTTGCCTTAAGATGAACTTTCTCCGTCTCATAGGCTGTATAAGAGTTACCACAGTGAAAAGGGGCGGGCACAAGGTAATGTAAGGATTCTATTTGCATTGCCATTAAGGACTTGGTGTAATGGCCGGCAGGGCTTAGGCAGATTCGATGTTGAGTTTGATTCATTGTCCCTGAAGCTGAATATTTTGTGTTCTTAGCTCGAGCGTATCAGTCTCGGCTTCCGATCCACGCTTGGAATTTCCGGAAAAGCGGTTCCTAGAGTCCTGCACATCAGCGGTGATGCTATTCATTGTGACAGTGGCCCATGCCAATGGAAGTGTTGATAGTATCCTCACCTGCTAGAGTCGAGGACATCTAGTTCCGCGTAGGATATGCTAGCTTGAGGTCAGGAGGTCTATAGTCTGACTTACAGAGAGTTGATGGAGAGGTCCTAACCTTAGGGCTTTCTAGACCACTTCTGCAAAACCAGCAGGCCCATTTAACTGCTTGACCTCTCTGGAATCTGTCGCAAATTATAGGAAATTGACTGAACTCATAGCACTGAAACAATCTAGAAAGGTCCCAGGTTCAGCCCATCTCTGGGTTTAGATTCGATTTCTGGTAGTCGAAGAGACTGGAGTGACGGATATTGATCTAGGTAGTGTAAAAGGATATACTAAAGGAACTATGTTCAGGAAGATACTGGGCAACCAGAGATGGACAATATATATTAAGGGATACTGAGAACCAGTTTTCATATATAGAGATTGCTGAATGTAAGCTATATACCTAGGGGTAGTTAGATCAATATATGAAAGGAATTGAGTTGATGGTGACTCAGTACTTTTGCCTAAATTGGAAACCAGGTGAATTTAGGAAAACAATGCCATTAAGGTAGTATTCGCTATATGACTCATTTATGTCAGCCATGATAGGAAGAACACATCACTTTGTCGATGTTTGTTGCCACTGACGTTCCTCAACAAGGATTTCCAGCTAAAGGAAGGAGATTGCTTCAAGAAGCTTGCGCTATCTAGGATCTGCCCGGTCCACTAGCACCAACTACATGTAGAATAATGAAAAAGTGAAGGCGGTTCACAAATGCTGCTATCTGAGGGACAAATATTTACTTAACATCTTAACCTGTCACTTCAGTGCCAGTGCTATAGTATCCACTCAACAGATCTCTCCGTTCATGCTGCACACATCTCCCTGCTAACTGAACTTGCTTCTCTCTTTATCCTACACGACGTTGAGATCACCTTGTTGACAGTTGGCCTTCTTGTGGCGTTCCCTCTCGCTAGTTATAGACTGGTAGATATCCCTTTCGGTGTTGGGTACAGTTTGTCACTAGATTATGGGTTCGTTCCAGCATTATTCATGTTCGAGATCAACCATCTAACTGCGTTTGATATAGCACCACCAGCATTTACTTCCCCAATGGCACCACCGTTGATGTCGCCAAGATTGAGGGTAGTTGGGCATATAAGCTGACAATGTGAGCGGCGGAAGGCGACCCTGAACATTTCCGAGATCCAGTCATGATTCCGGATTTTACGAAGTCCGTTCAGAATCCTCTTGCTCCGCAGCTGCTTCGTGGCTTTCCACCCTCATGGGCAAGGAAAGGTAGTGAAGACATGAAGACCGAATCCATCTCTCGGATGTTGAAGACATTACACACTGCCACGGAAACCTTTCTCTACCAGACTGTCACGATCGGATACAGAAGCCTACCGTTCAGAGTCACCGATGAAATCCGGAATATCATGCAAAACGCAACTACATCTATCCCACTTGAGAATGAAAATAAACGATTCTCAGGCGCCGAACCATGGGACATACGAAATTGGCGAATTCTACAACTATGAAGAGTTTCCCCAGAACCGGGAACCTGATGACCTCTACCCTCCTGAACAGCTCATCCTTTCAGTCGACTATTCGCGAACAGCGTTGAATGCGTCCCTTAATACCGAGCAGTACTGTGTCATTGAATCTCACCATGTCCTACACGAAACACATCTCGGTGTCGACGGCCTTCGTGATGGATTAGAAGCTACTCGAACCGACCTGACTTTGCACTGCGACAATTTGCTAGGATTCCTTTCATATCGAACGCCTAAATTATTTACAGTCGTAAATTTGAGCAGATTTCCATGCTGATACGGTCGGGTGAATCAGCCGATGATGAGATGCTCATACTGCTCTCAGAAACATCCTAGGCGAGGAATATGAGAAGATGATTCTAGCCATGAGTAGAAAGATTTCGCGCACAATCGATCCTACCTTCGCTGCTGCAAGGCATATATGACACGTATCTGCTGGTTCCGTAGGCATAATCGAGCGAATTAGGCTTGCCAAATTTTTAGGAAACAATTGACGGTTGACGCCTTGATTACCATGATATATGGTAGCTAACTGTTGCAGTGCCGGATGAGTAGAGAACCAAGATAGATACGCAGATATAGCGTGGGTATCAAACAGCCCAAATTTCAACAAAAAGTAGTAGAGACTCCCCCTGGCCGTCTAACAATCATCAGAAGACATTGCCATGGGTATGACAAATTGAACCTTTTCCGCATCAACCGGATTTTATCCTTCCAGGCATATCGCCGATTCCCAAACTGAACTCATTTCAGTGATCCTGTGTCGACATCGCTTTGCTCTCCGAAAGAAGCCCGTAAATGATGGCGCCTGCGCTGAAATCCGATGCTTAAATTCCTTTTGATAGCTCGCCGATAGAACCGCCATCCCTCTCTCAGCTCGCCACATCTTCCGAAAAATACCTCTTACTTCTCACGCTCCTCCCCACCGTCTTCATCTCGGGCGGTAAGTTCGTGTGATGCACCACATGCGGCCGGTACACCGCGTCCACCGGCGGCATCCAATCGTCCAGGCCCAGCGGGAAATACTCGTACAGCAGATCGGCCGACTCGTCCGGCGATGACAGGTGATTCAACGAAAATGACGGGGCGCGGGCGAGTTTCGGTGGCTTCTGCCCCGATGTGGTGTGGATGTTGGCTTGCATCTGCGCTTGGCTGTGATGTTGGGAATGTAATTGCTGTTTGAGAACTCCTGAGGATAGGTTTAGTGGGGACTTGATGGAAGTGCTCCGTCCGTCGGTCGCTCCGTCGGCTTCGTCGTCGAGGCTGAGTTTGATCGGAGTATTTAGGTGTGACATGCCGCGGGGTAGGTTGTAGCGTAGAAGGTCGGGGGATGAGCGTGCGTAGACTGCTTCGGCGTTGTGGTGACAGAAGGCAGGGACGTCAGGAGGGAGGGCAGTCATGGCGCCACCGCTGGAGGCCAGCATGGTCTTCCATTCGAAAAATTCCGGTGTGATTTGGAGATTGGGGGTACCGTTTGGGTCGTACTGGAAAGGGAGACTAGGATTTTGATTTTGTGGAAGGGAGAGGTGATTGGGAGGACGAGTGTGGGTCGGTTGATGTTGTTGGGTACTGGTTATACTGCCAGTAGATTCAACAGTATCGGCGTGAGAAGGTTGTTGGTGATGACTGCTCGACGCAGCGCCTGCCTGGCTGTGAGCTTTCCGAGCAGCGCTGGCGGCAGCAGAGGTACCGATGGGGAAGTCTTTGCGCGATTGAAAGTTTCGCGGTGAGCGGCCGCGGACGATGATGGCGCCAGACCGGACTTCGCAGAGACTGATGCGAGCGCCGGTGGATAATGTTGCGATGACCTTCAGGTGCACAACAAAGTGTTGCTGAAGTTCTTTCCGTCGACCGTTGTTGGCTGTCGCGATGCGGAATTGGAGACGTTTCCAGGCGATAGGGAAGGAGACAAAGTCCGCGTCGATTTCTTGGCCTGCCATGAGGTCTAATGGTATTGATTGAGGCTCTTTCTCGGTCTTATCTTCAACAACTGAAGGATTGGCGGATGCCGGCGTCTTCCATGGGACGGATATGATCTTGACTGGGTTCCCTTCCACCGACTCGGTTGCGGAAACGGACAACTCCTGCCCTATAATCTGCACTCGCTCACCCTGCTCCGTGACCGCGTACCGTAGACCCCTCGGAAGCGTAATGCTGCCGGTGATTTGAAATAAATTCCGCCGATAGCAGGTCAGCTCGGTAGGCTGTGGACCTGCTTCCCCAGGCTGCGCCCACGGAGACTCGGCTAGGAAGAACATTCCATGCAACTGCGCGGACATGTTCATTGTCATGCCTCGACACGTATAGTCGAGGACACCGCAGTTGTACGTTGGTAACGAGAAACTTAATAATTTGTGTCCTTGCTCTATGGACGGACTTTCCGGACCGTTCGCTTGATCTGCTTGAACAGGTGGTTCATACCCACTCATCGCATCCGAGAAAGGATCATCGAACCCGTTTGGAAAGCGTTTGAGCGCGGCATGGCTGCCCATACTTTGACTGAAGACGCCTTCGTCGCTCCTGTGCGACGGTTAGTCCATGAACGTCCATGAGGCCTTGAACATTGAATGAGCAGATGGACTTGCCCTGCGAAAGTATCGGCGTCATAGTTCGAATGGTGATCATATTGTTCTAACGGTAATAAAGGAACATGAAGAGGATCGACCGGATTTACATTCGGCATGCTCATCGGAGCTGCCAGGTAGGACATCGTGACGGTATCAAAACCGTCCATGCTGGCAGATTTGGTACCTCTACCGGCAAGAGCAGTAGATGAGATAGAAATCGGATCGATCGCATGCGACTTGGCTCGAAGAGTAAATCGAGTAACTCGTGAATACGAAAGAGCTTCTATCTTTAGGGATCAATAGTGAGCTTGGGGAATGATCAGGACGTGTTCGAGTGCGAGAAAGGCGGGGTGGTTCTTGAAGGGGACGAAGTACTGTTGCGGGATGTGCATGCAGTGGCGCGAGGAGTTGTTCGATCAGACTTCCAGAAGAGGCCCCATGAATTTGGTCTCATGCTCCGAAGCCGTGCTAGCTGGAGCTTGTCTTGATGCGCAATGCCGTAAGGTGGAAAATTTCCCCCAGTGACCCTGGTTCCTATTTTCTCCTTCCAGGGAAGAGACTATCGGATGGCGGATGGATGTGGTGATGATGAGAAATCGGTCCACGCTCGCATGCAATCCGCAGTCAAGGACTTCCTAATATTGCCGGAAGATGAAGGTAATTCAGCACAAGCAGCTGGTCTCGCGTTTGGCTGGTCCCTCTGTCTTGGCCTGGCGTGGAGGCGATATATAATACGGGTCGAAAGGGGGCATCCGAGTATCAATCGAAGCTGCGAAATATTCAAATCACGCTGAAAGGTGCAGCGGGGGCGTCGGTTCCGCTGAGGCTAAAGGTTGAAGTTGAGGAGCACAGGGCAGGGCATGCGACTAATAATGGAAATATCGGGGCAGGCTAACGACCAACGCCTGCAAATGGCCCACTGGGGTAGTCCTTAACCCCGACGTGTTGCACAAACGAGGCGAACAGGAACAAGCAGCACAATTCCAGAAAACCAGCGGGACGAGGCCAACCCTTTGGTGCGTCACGCAGGTAGGTCGTGTAACTCAGAACGAGGACCAGTTCGGGTCACATATGGATAGGCGAAGATTGGGCAAATCAATCCCTGGCTAAGCCTGATTCTGTGCTGAGCTTCGGCAAAGCCGCTGATGATAGCATGACGGTTGCGGCCAGGGGAGGATGGGAGGGATGGAGGGTGAGATCAGGGAGGACGTGGCGACGTGGTCCGCGTTCATACCGGGAGTTGAAACTTGTGGCTAGACGAGGATTGTGGTGGATTATGAATGCGCTGGCCGATTCAGAGTGACCAGACTTCGAACATACAATGAAAATATCGTGAAATAGGGTACGACTTGGTGTTGTCCGGTGTTGCGTTCATATCCAGTATAGGCATAGAATAATCGGTACAGTAGTACGGAATACGGATAAATTGATACGCTGGATGTAGATAATTCTGCCCTCCCCACAGCAGGATAATCGTTCTTAGCGGATCGATTGGAATCATAACAGAAGACGCGAAATGGCGGCAACCCGTCACTACTAACGCTTTGTAGTTAAATCCGTTAGTAAGCCCTGCTATGCCCACCAACTTCAATCTGCCCCAAGTGCCGTCATCCGGTCTGGTCTTGAAATGGGACCCCGACCATGGGAGGGCTCCGCGGGGTAAAGGGTCAGGCACCAGGGATCTACCTATCATCTAACCGTCTTAGAGATCTCTCCATAAATAAGAGGGATATTAAAAACTCCAGACAGTCGACAGAGGCAGAGCATGGAGCAAGAAGATAGGCACCTTGCGAAGATACCTTGCGTACGTATCTGTTGGGTGTTGACAGAGCAATTCCTCCATGATGCCTCCCCAATCTCCTGAACCCTGATGCAAGACACGTATGCGCGAATCTGAAAACGGAAGGTTTCTGGATCATGTATGGAAGCTCAAAAGACGCCGCTTCAAAGCGCATATAGCGGTCCTCGCGGCTGTAGTCGGAGTTGCCCGCATCAACTGCAGCCTGTCCATTCGTCCAGCCAAGTGAGATCCATCACCAACCCTCGAGATCCTTGGAGAATATCTGCATGCGACAGCAAATGACCGCATATACATATCTGTATCTTTGCACGTGAACAGCAGCAGTCGTTCCCCCCAACCCTCGCTAAAGGCCGCGAAGTTGAGTCGAAAAGATGAGGTATCGCATGGAACTTGCGGTAAACAGGCAGCTCGGTAGATAAGGATCTGTGTAGCGAACCGACGATGCCCAGAAATAGGGAATTGACAGTGGTGACGACAAAGTCCCGCATCGAAGATCGCATTCTTGGCTGCATCTCGTCCCCACGGCGCGAACTGCAACGGGCAGCTCGAAAGCCACCCCTAGTGACCGCCAAAGTATCGAACATTCTGTTGTAACAAGCGTGTCCAATGAGCAATCCTCTCCGGATTTCGAGGCTCAGGCAGCATGGGTCCGTGGTCCAATAAATATGAGTGATACCAAAAATACTCGGTTCAATCAAATCGCCGCTACGGTCGGCTTTCTCATTCTCGTCGAGATGCGAGGCCATCATGTGGTCAATGTGCAGAGAGCTCCGAAGCCCCAAAGCTTCAATTCCCGACACGCTCGGCTGGGTGGTTGGCTGTACGCTTCACCGCTTTAGAACCATGCATTTGAGGATAGTCGGAAACTGAAGTATTGGCCGGGTATCGGGTGAAGGCAAAAAGAGGAGAGTGCTTTTATTCCAATAGCGGACGTGGTTGCTTAGATACGAGGACTGAAACAGCACTTCAGATTCATTGAGCGTTTGCGTAGTTCCATTGGTAGACTACAATGTCCGCACGACCCACCAGAAGGTTCATGAGTTTGATAAAACATTAAAAAAAAATAACTGCGACCAATACTCCGTGTGGCACGAGGTATACCAGGTGGAGGAATTCCCCCATTCTCCCCAACGCCGTTGACGTAATAATGATACCTCTGTCTGACCAAAAGCTTACGAAGCAATGGTAAGGGATATGAGACAAGACGAGGACGATAGTCTATCCCCATGGCTTGTTGACTGCCGTCCAAGTCCCGAAATTCGTCCTTGGCATCTGACAGGCAGGTTTGTCCGCAAAGCACGGATATTGGATGACCGAAAGGGGGGAAAGCAGAAGAGATGCTCCATAGTTCGACGCCCAACCGAAGAATCGCTCACCCGGAATGGCTCGTTAAGGCTTGTAAATGAAGGAGTATGGCACAGCCATCATAGAGGTGGGACCATCGTCCAAGTCGCCGCATCGCAGGATACTTCCTCGAAAGTATGCATCGGTTCAAAGCCCATAGCCGACAAGCCGTCATCGTTGCCATCGCTATCGACCTATGGCACAAGTCAGTTATTGGGCAATACCAAATCGAGCAGAACCATCCCAACGGAGTGCCAGATCCCGATCAGCAGCAAACTGAACAAACAGAAAAATAGAACTTACAATATCAAGCAAACACGCATTACACCCTTGGCTCCTAAGCTGCTTGATGCCCAGCATAATCAACCCCTGCATCAATGTCGAATACTCCGCTGCGCCAGGAAATATCACCGGACTCGAAATGCCGCCCGCAGAGTCGCCAAAGTCTCGCAACGCTGGCACGTACTCTGCTAGTCGCGAATGCGCATAATACAGCACCACCGTCCCCACGATTGCGTCATCCTCCGGCCTCTTCGCGCGGATGATGCTACACGCCGTCGGATCCGTTAGCGCCAACTTATACACCTCTGCCAGCCCTTGGCGGTTGTTCGTCTTGATATGGTCGAGGATCGGCCCGGAGTACTCCCAGCCGTAGACGAGGTCGAAGTCTGCCGGCGCGGACTTGAGGCTTTTGGCGACGGAATCAGGGGCAGCCCATTCGCGGAGATTGCGCGCCACCATGCTGCACACTGGGCGGGACAGCGCGGTGTTCCAGCCGAGGTTGGCGAACCAGGTGCGGAGGCGCTTGCGCTCGGCGGAGTGGCCGCTGGGAATGCCGAGGAAGATGTTGGGGATGCGGGTGCCGAGTTGGAAGCGCTTGATACCGTCGCGCTGGAGGAGGGTGCGGATGGCACGGTTGTGCAGGCTGTGGCCGATGGACAGCTTTCGGCGTCCGGGGTCGACGAAGAGGGAGCCGATGGCGCCGGTGCCGGTGCTAGTGAAGAAGTAGGTGGAGCAGAAGCCGTAGAGTGCTTGGGTACTGCTGTTCCGGACGACGAAGTGGGCTTCGATGACATCGGGGTTTTGTAAGAGGAAAGAATTCGACGTCGCTGATGAGAGTTCGGATCTCTGATTCGGTGGGCCTCCATGGCCTTCCACCACGGTTTTTATAAGGTTGTCTAACGCGTGAGAGTCCCGCTCTTCGTTGAATGCTTCTACGAGCCAATGATGCTTGCTCTGGTTCAGTTTCTGACTCTTGGAGATCGTTCCTGGTAGTGCGCCAGTTGGATTCAGTTCGCCATACAGCACTTTGACCAGTGAGTTCAACGCCGTTTCCGTAAAATCATAGGTACAGATGTATGTTCCGATCGTTGGATCCATAGCGAAGTCATACGGAGAGCTGACGGCGACGACAACAAGCGGCTTCTCGCGCTTCTCGCCGCCCGTGGAGTATTGCATGTTGCAAATCATCGCAACATGCTTCGTAAAGCCATGCTGATAGAGGTTGCGATTCGCATCAGCTGTCAGGATAATTATTGCACTCGCTCGATTGATCAAGTTCTCATGGATCGGCCGTACACCATTCGCGGTATAAGAAGTGTGTAATATCCGACCACTCCGCTGCCGAGCTAGTGAGCGGCCAAGCTCTCGAAACACTCGCTCGCCGCTCATGACAGAGCTACTCCTCTCCCAGGACGCTGGCTCTGGCGAACCAGCCACGAGCGTTTCTGATAGAGCTCGAGATGCTGCTGAAGCAGCGAGAGGCTTGACAAGCGGCGTTAGTAGCAACAGCTCTTCTTCGGCCTCGACAACATTAGAGAGGGGCAGTAGCCGATTCTTGTCTCGGACGACTGTGATGCTAGAGTTGTAAGCCCTCGTCGATAACGCTGTGTGAGATGGCTGAAGAGTCGACAGATAGCCGATGCCCGGTGGGTTCAACGCCTTTTCCCACGACGTGCATTTAGCCTTCATGTTAAGAACACGACGCAACGATTGCTTGATCCGTGCCTTGGAGATCATGGAATTTTCAATCCCAAGCTTCAAGCCAGCGATGGCCTCCTGCTGAACGGAAAACGATCGGCATAGCAAGACCATATCACATCCCGCATTAACCGCCATGACCGTGCCGCCCTCGACGCCGATATTATGGCTGAGTGCTTCCATCTCCAAGCACTCGGAGACCACGACGCCATTGAACTTTAGGTCCGTCCGTAGAAGTCCGTCAACGACCTGATCGGACAAACAAGCATGCATGACGTTCAAGCCGGCTGAAGACATGGCACATCCACCAACCATCATGGAATCTAGACCTTGAGCGATGGCATTGCGGAAGGGTATCAAAGCACTCAAGCTGAGTTGCTCCAGCGACTCTGTGATCAAGGGGACATCGAGGGAAGATCCAAGGAACTCAAGGTTGCCATATGAAGGGAAGTGTTTGCCTAAGGTGGCCAGGCCGACATCCTTATATCCCTTCATTGAGGCAACTCCATAGGATGAAACCTCTTGAGGGTCATCCCCTGCGCTCCTAACCCCCATTAGCTGGTTGCGGGAATTGGTAAGGACATCTAGGCACGGTCCGAAGATCCAGTTGATGCCACATGACGAAATCTCTTGGGCGGTTGCTTTCGCAACTTCATACGCCAACTCGCTAGACCCGGTGGCCGCAACGCCCATCGCGCTGGGGTACTGGCGGATATAAATCTCGTCGAAAAGGCTGTTGACGCCTCCATTCTCTTGATCGACCCCGATAGCAAGCGGAACCGGATGGCCTGCATCATAGGCGCACTTCTGGAGCTCATACACTAGCTTCGTCGTGTCCTCGGCAGCTGCTGGCAAGTTAATATAGCAAACATGAGTGTCCGGGTGTCCGGGTGCCAGGGCATATATATGCTTCGGGAAACCGGGATGTAACTCACACTTCAGATTCTTTGCCGTCAATAAAATGGAACCTAAATGATGTTGCTGAATAAGAGTACGGATCTGGGGCGTGACAGAGGTTCCATCAAATCCCATCATAAACAATTGGCCCTATACCTATTAGTCTCGCGTTCTGTAACCTCGCGGCGAAACGCTGCAACCTGACATGCCATCACGCGCGTGCGGCAATCTAGGTCGCGATGAAGGAACGTACCAAAGTCCTATAATCGAATTCATCGTAAGTCATCGCGTCAATCCAATGCCCAGGATGCTGGAACGCCGACGGTGCAGTGGAAACTGGGAAGAACTCCTGCACGGAGCCAATCCCAAACACCTTGGGCAATGTGCAAGTCATCCAACGGGAGCAGGAACGGAGTCTTACCGATCCAAATCGTCCCACACGGGATCCATCCGCTCTTCTTTCCCCACCATGGCGCCAGATCAATACGGTAGGCTTGCATAGGGGGAGTGCGAGCTCAACGTTGCAGCGAAGAGTGACAGTCTGAACGACAGCGATTTCGGTCGTTCGAGAGGACTAGGGTGGCGCTACGTCGTATCGCAAACTTGCAACAGCACGAAGGCGGGCGAGAGGGTGAAATGCAGCCCTACCGATATTGGCATGTTGTAGCGCAATCTAGGGCGTATCGACTATCAACCGCGCGTTCAAGAAAGATGATTTCTGAAAAAGATATCGTAGGTCTATTCAGCGTCTCCAAGCGCCACCGTTTGTTCGGGCTTCAGAATCATGGGGTTGCATTCGCAGCATTATTCCTATCTGACGCCACGATTTGTTATCGAATCGGCTAGTCCGCTGGTTGGGGTCCAGTTGGGGGCGGGGAAAGCGACAAATGTGGCGTAATTGAAATTGCGACGAGTCGCAGCAGACCGGGAAGATGTCCTTCGTCCCGATGATAGTACAACCCCGGATTCTTTTCCATCTAAATTCCATGTCACCATAAGAGATGACGATAGATGAGTGGGGTGTAGATAGATAAGGTACCGGTACTCAAGAATGCGACACCTACAGTTGATATCCACATACAATTGCTCCATCGGTCAGCAGGCAGTTGGACGTAACATTCGACGTCACCGAGGCGATTTTCTATTGCAACATCGCCATTCTTAGGTAATGGCTATTGGTACGGTATATACTATGCATTTCCTTCGCTGCGAATTCTTGCTGTTCCTCTTTCGTTCATTCGTGTAGGGTAGAACCTACACGAATCGTTCCTCCAATAGTACTTGTTTGTTCATCGATATGCCGGCCCAAGTTCTCCCTTCTGAGTCTTATGCGAAGAATGGCGTCGTAAAACTGACCAACTGCCGCGTTGTTCGTAGCGATCGGCTTGTTGAAGAAGATATATGGATGAGCTCACAGACGGGCAAGATCTTGAATGGGCAACGAGAGTTCTTCGACAGTCGAACAGAGCCGGATGAGACGGTTGACTTAGGAGGCCGGATCGTCTGTCCTGGCTTCATTGAGACCCAGCTCAACGGTGCATTTGGTTTTGACTTCTCTGTCGTGCCAGAAAATCTGTCAGACTACAGCAAAGGCCTGGCTCACGTCAACAACCTGCTGGCCAAGACAGGTGTAACATCCTATTTGCCCACAGTGACAAGTCAACCTGCCAGGGTCTACCAAACGGTAAACCGGAATCTAAGACTCCAAACTATCGAGGCCATATCCTGACTTTATGCAGGTCTTACCTTTCCTCGGACCCAGTGGTGCCCTCCGTTCTCCATCTATTGGTGCCGAATCACTTGGAGCTCATTGCGAAGGGCCCTTCATAAGCCCCAAGCGGAACGGCATCCACTTCCTTTCAAACATCCTAGATCCAGCTTCCGGGATCTCCTCCCTTGAGTCCTGCTATGGAACCGATAATCTCCAGGCCTCCACCACTCCTATCAAGGTCATCACCCTCGCACCTGAACTCCCCAATGCCGTTCCTGTCATCGAAGAACTATCTGCGCGTGGAATCATCCCGTCTATTGGGCACACGGATGCCACCTACGAAGAAGCCCTTGCTGGCATAAATGCGGGAGCAAAAACCGTTACTCACCTATTCAACGCCATGCGACCACTACACCACCGCAATCCAGGTGTCTTCGGTCTACTTGGCACCGCTCCATCTGCACTCGCACACTCGATCGACCTAGGTTCAGATACTCCCAGCGCTCATCACGACCCACCTGCCCATGAAACGTACACGAAGCCATACTTCGGCATCATCACTGACGGCATCCACGTCCACCCCAGCGTCGCAACCCTCGCCTACTCCTTTCACCCCGACGGCATGATCATCGTAACCGACGCCATGCCTTTCCAGACCTACCCCGACGGCCTCTACCCCGCCCCCTACGGCTCCCACATCCGCAAATCCGGGAACGTGCTCACGCTCGAAGAGTCATCCCGCCCCGCGGTTCCGAGTGGCAGCACCTCACCGGAATCGGGAAGCCCGCCCGCCACGCCGGCGGAGGGGGTTATAGCACCCCGAACCAGCTTCGCGGAGACGCAGGGGCGGCTAGCGGGGTCATCGAGCTCGTTGATTGAGTGTGTGGAGAATTTCTGGAATTGGGTCGGGCCGGAGGTGTCGTTGGCGAGGGTGTTGGCTACGGTGACGTCGACGCCGGCGAAGATGTTGGGTTGCTATGGGGCGAAGGGATGTCTTGAGCCGGGCGCGGATGCGGATGTGGTGGTGTTGAAGGGTGGGTTGGAGAGGAGTGGAAGGAAGACGTTGAGGGTGGCTGAAGTATGGAAGTTTGGCGCGCGGGTGCATAAGGGCGACGTCTAGAAGACAAATTCCGACCCAAAGTTTCTCTATGATAGAACCTCATATGGGGTAATGACGTGACTATTTAGAGAACCTAACTTCCCTGTGCAAAGTAGAATTGGGGAAGCATGCTAATTGCTATCATCATGTATATTGATGTAATCATTGGAGAGCGGGTATGAATTGAACAATGGGATTATCAAGCAGGTTCGATAGGTACGGAATGAATGCCCTCTGGACTACCATCCCATCGCCTCCAGCTGGTCCATGGAACCGCAATATCATTTAAGATTGGCCATGATCAAGCATCTCGAGGACGATTGGCTTCGACCACCACATTTCCAAGGCTCATCTTACACTCGTCCTCCATGCCCCAAAATAGAGTGCCTCCGCCTCATGGATACACGTATCGCGGGACGGGCGACAGGGGAAATCCCCAACGTACTCCTAGGTTACCGAGTCCCGACTATCGAACCCCACCTGTGGCATGGATGGTGAAAATGAAGGGATAGGTTTCATTCCTTCGGGTGTGTTCCGGGAAGAAGGTGAGAGGTACCAGATGAACGGATCTTGGAGAAGTACACCGACGATGAATAGGTATCATAGTTGAGAACTACGCAAAAGCAACAAACTATCTTAGGACTTCTCTGATTCCAACATTGGATTTGTGAAATGGTTGCTGCTTGTTTGAAGAGAGCGGATTTCGCTCAGCGGCCAGACATCTGCCATAGGGTGCCGATGGTACCTCTACCTACAAGCAAGTACAGTACTGACATACAAGAGAGCCCAGACCAATCCATGCAGGATATAAACCGCATCCGACTCATAATATCATAGGATCAATCCTCGCAATTGGCCAGCAGATTATGAAGTCCAGCCTACCGGTCTCAGGTCTCCCACGCCACCATGCTTGCGTGACTTAGACCGCTCGGTCAGCCGATGAACCGCTGCACAGCAACAATGCCAAGATCAGCGCATGCAGATGCATGAAATTCGATTTATCTGGAAGCGACGAAGTGTATACGAAAATAAGCGGGTATAAAAGCCAACTACAGAGGCTCACTACTACGAAAAAGATGGCTGAACGACCAATGGACGGTGGGCGTTTATGGAGCGTTCGGATTTACAGGGGGCAGCAATATAAATCTCATTTATGCGATACTCGGCCTCCATGTCACCCCTCAACCTCATCTCATTTTCTCCTCACTAAGGGCACAGAACCCATGGTACAGGAACGCCCGTTTCTTCCTCGCTAGCTAATGGCATCGGTCCGGAACCTGGCGGCGTTTTAAACATATTCGCGCTCGGGTTGAGGGCTCCTTCCAACGTCAGGATTCGGTAGGCATCATGGCGGTCGCATCATGACATGGAGGCGCCAAGTCTGCAGGAACGTGAAATCGTCACGCCTGTCAGACAAATCCAAGAGGAAGCTCATTTTAATAGTAGGCAAGGTCATGGTACGACGGCGGCTGTCCCCATGAGGGCTTCAGGGCGTGGCCAGCAGATAAAGTACAAAGGGCTTCACGAAGGCTCATATCTCTTGAAGTTCCTAGTCTTCACAAGTTCAAGGCATTCTGGTCCTTATCCATTCCTTCTTTGCGTACGATTTTGCAAGTCAAATTCAATTCAGTCCTTCGTTTCTATTCACCATGATTGCTAAGCCAATCGTTCTTTCCGCGCTTGCGTGTAGCGCGGCGGCTGCTCCTACGTTCGGCATGTTAAGCCGCCTCGGTGGTGGAGGTGGTGGAGGTGGTGGAGGTGGTGGGGGTTTTCCCACTGGCGGACATGCTCACGGCGGCCACGAGGGCTCACCCGCAGGGGGGAGCGGTGGCTTTTCGTTGCCATCAGGTCTGCCCTCTGGAGGCAGTGGTGGATTGGCTGGTCTATTAGGTGGTGCGGGTGGTGCCTCTGGTGGTGGCCTGCCTTCGTTGCCTTCAGGCACTCCCTCATCCGAAGACTCCGGTAGCGGCTCTGGCAGCCCTGCATCCGGACTAGGTGGCCTGAGTGGCGGTTCAGGTGGTCTGTCAGGATTGTCTGGCTTGCTTGGAGGTGGTGCGGGTGGTGGTGGTTTGTCAGGATTGTCTGGCCTTCTTGGAGGCGGCGCTGGTATGTACACCACTTCCTTGGTCCATCGAATTGGTCTAACAATTCCCAGGTGGCTCCGGCCTTAGCGGTCTCCTTGGTGGCCTTGGAGGTGCCGGAGGCGCCGGAGGCGCCGGAGGCCTCGCTGGTCTCAGCGGAGCAGGAAGCACTACAGATGCACCCACGACAACCGAAACCAACGAAGCTCCAGCCTCAGCGGGATCTTCTTCTCCTGCCCCCGCCGGGGAATCATCCGGAGAGTCTAGCGCGCCCGGTGGGCTCAGCGGTGGCGCCGGAGGCTTGAGTGGACTTAGTGGTAGGCTTTGATCAAAGTCATATTCTTAGACTCGACTGACTGGGAGTAGGATTACTCGGTGGCGCCTCTGGTGGGTCTGGCGGCCTAGGTGGACTTAGTGGTATGCCGATTGAGATTATATAGTTAGACATGACTGACTGTTACAGGATTACTCGGCGGTGGCGCTGGCGGCTCTGGCGGCTCTGGCGGCTCTGATGGCCTGGGTGCGCTTAGTGGTATGCTGAATGAACTCATTAACCTGGACTCGACTGACTGAGAGTAGGCCTGCTCGGCGGTGGCTCTGGTGGCTCTGGTGGCTCTGATGGCTCTGGTGGCTCTGGTGGACTTGGCGGTATGCTTGACTGAATCCGGATACTTGGATTTGACTGACAATAACAGGCATGCTTGGTAGCCTCGGTGGTTCCAGTGCATCCGATATCAAGGAAAACGGCGAATGTAAATCAGTCGCCCTGATCTTCGCTCGTGGAACTGGTGAGCCAGGCAACATGGGCTTCGTCGTTGGTCCCGGCCTTGGTAGCCAGCTCAAGACGGCTTTGAACAATGATGTCATGCTCCAGGGCGCGGACTATACCAGTGAGTCACATAAAAGCCGCGATGGTGGAATTATTCTAAGACATATACAGCCGACTTCAGCGGCGGTGGTGCTAAGGATATCATCGCCACTACTCAGCAACTCAAGTCACGATGCCCCGATACTAAGGTCGTCCTCGGCGGATACAGCCAAGGTGCCATGCAAGTTCATGACGCTCTGGGCCAGGTCGGTGGTGATGTCGCTGTAAGTGTCCATGGCAGAGTTCATCCATACTTCGTACTAACGAACATTAGGCCGCGGTTACCTTTGGTGACCCCTATAGCTCAGTGGGCTTCGGTGGTGGTTCCAGCCTCCTCAGCGGCTTCATGGGTGGCGCCGGATCCGGCGCCGGATCCGGCGGCGGCTCTGGCGGCAGCTTCAACGCCGAGAATGGAAAGGTGTTCTGCTCCACCGGCGACTTCATCTGTGGACTCATGCCCGGCGGCAGCGGTGGTTCCACCTCGTCTGGCTCTGGCTCTGGTGGCCATCTTTCCTACTCTAGCGATGGCAGTATCCCGGAAGCAGTGAAATTCATCGTGTCCAAGGTTGGCGGTGGAGCCGCGTAAGCGCTTGACAGATGTTTGCTTCGGTGTCAAAGATAGTGAGGAGGCTGGGTAGAATCACTTGTATTTCTAGGCGCTGTGAGCATTCTAAAGTCAATATTAAACTTGCAGTCGACATATATCAATTCTCTTAACTAGGCGTCATCCGGTATTAACAGGGCATAGCAATAACTTTCGAGATAAACAGGAAGTGGTGAAAGTTGTAGCGAGTGGATCTATTCACCTTCGTACTGGCCTTTGACCTCCCAACAGCAGTACCAGTAATATCGGCAGAGTAGTGTACTGTATACCTCATGTATGCCTTATACATATTCCATGGGTAGGTAAGTATCCAACCATGCACTTCGTATAACCGTCCCCGAAATCGGCGCGATCCACCAGTTTGGGCCTCAATTTCAACTTCGGCGCTTGACACGACATGGCCAGCCGTATGGGACGGCAGTGAATTTCGCCTTAAATGTCCAGCTCTGCCCTGGGTTCACTTGTTCAATGTCAAAGTCACGAAGCAGAGTCGCTGTGACTTTCGACACCTCCAAATGTGCTAGGTGTCGCCCGGGACATTGGTTGTATCCCGCTCCGAACTTTCACACGCTGTCAGACTCCAGTCCTCAGTTTCCAAGACAGGTAGCACTCACTGTCATAAAATATTTGTCCATGGCCCTCCAGCGTTCTTGATCCAGCCAGCGATCCGGATTAAACTTGTCCGCGTCTTGTCCAAAAATTTCCTTGTTCTTGTGGATCACATGAGAATTTACACTGAGGATTGTCTATTTGAAATTCATCAGCTCAGCATACAGGTTCCCATGGATGATGGGCGTAATCACTAACCCCTTCAGCAAAATGTCGGCCAGCTATTGTAACGCCCTCTTTAGGCGCAACTCGAGGCAGGCCAAAAGCCACTGGAGGGAAGTGACGGTATGTCTCTTTGATCTGTCTCCTCGTCAGGTGAAAGTCAAAAGCTTGGATCGAAAGTACGCACACATGCTTGAAAATATGGCAACTTCTGAGTCTCCGCGTAGCTTGGAACATCTGACAGCTCGCCCATACGAGCGGACGCATCGATCTCGGCACGAACTTTAGCCATTGCTTCCGGGTTTCGCAATAGGTGGTAAAAGAAGCTTTGTAACGTCGTGCTTATGGTATCTGCTCCAGCGCCGACATTGACCACCGCACCAGCAAGAAGTTCCTTCTCTTCCATCCGATCGGGATGGGTCCGACGCGTCTGGAGCCACTGTTCTATCATGTCTTTGCGGGCATCGGGGTTCCGTTTCCGAGCATCCACGGCCGCAAGGGCGGTATCGAAGATGTGATTGCTAGGAGCGAGATTGAAATAGTTGATGAGTGGGTTTGCCAACAGGATATCGTGGAGCCAGTAGTAATGACCAATTACTGCGATATACAGTGCCAGGAATTGGGTGTTCGCAACTGCGCCTCCGATATCTTTGCCCTGCTCGATGAAACCGAATGCGCGGGAGAAAGTGACTTCTCCTACCACATCGAAGCCAAAACTATTGAGTTAGTATCGATTCATAACGATAAGGGTGGTATATGCTTACAAGTTAAACCAGTGGTCGAAATTGATCTCCTTTCCAGCCTTTGTATACGCATCGAATTGGGCTTCCAATTTCCCCACCAACGCATCGATATACGGCTCGGCTTGAATCACATTGCTGAATGCATACCCTGAAGCGACATTACGCTGTTTTTGTATATGTCGCTTTGGATCCAATTCTCCCATTTGGTTGACATATCTTCTATCAGGAAGATTGAAGATCTGGTACCACGTCGCTTTTCGCAACGGGGCAACCAACAGCGCTTTGATTGCCTCCGGATCGCTGACGCTGACTTCACGGTGGCTAATTCGCACGAATTTGCCATATTTCTCATGTGCCTTGAGTGTTGCTGCCTCTGTATGGCCATCCCACACATGATACAGCTGCCAGAGTTTCGAGAACGAAGCCAGAAAAGGTCCTGGGATGTCGGAGACGGAGGAGAAATACCGTCTTCGTACACAAACACCGAATACGAAGCAGGTTGCGCACAGCGCGATCCATTGAGGGATCATTGCAAGCTGACGGGGTGCCGTATCCAGGCAGGATTCTGGATGTTAGATTTTGGACTGCGGAATGCGAAACACCAGCCTGACACGGTTCCACGACAGAAGTGAGGACGAGTGAGCCCTGTCAGAAATCAATCCCAACTGAATGGATTACGGAGGGGACTGGGACTCAATTCAGGTTAGCGCACCCAAGTCCGTGGGGGTTGAGGGTCCGCGTTCCTCGGGCCCCGAGAACCGGTCCCGTGTCCGTCGCCTCGGGTTGCGGCCCGGACCCCTTTACCATATTTCCCCAGCTCGACTATGGATATGCAGCCTACCCTTGATGTTCAGCTATTGTGCGTCAGAGAGTTTGAAACTGGTATCGGTCCGCTATCATCTTATTGTGCAACGTTGAAGCAGAGTTATAGCCCAATGCGAGAATCTTCCTTATCCCTTTGGCGCGAGCAGTAGAGCCAATGAGTCCATTGGCCGTTGAGCCGAGGCGGAGAGCTAGAAATATCAAAAAACCGAACTCACCTTTCAGCGATGACGGGAGCCTCAAGGAAAATTGCACCTCTCATGACACGGTCTGGATGCGCAAGATCTGTGGTTACCAAGTTCCATTAATCTAAACTAAAGAGAGAGAGAGAAGAAATCTCCCGGCACCTTTGTGCGCGAGATAGCGACTCTCCTCTCCAATGCCCTAATGCTGTGTTACCATGTTTGTTTGCTTCTCTGATATAATCCACCCACGTCTTCAGCCACAACTAACGGAACAGGCCGCAGGCCTGGGACCATAACATCTCATGCACCTACCGCTGCTGATTCAAAATACGGAAATACCACACCACAGCTAGCGATGACTTACGGTGCAAAGGTTGTATTTCAAGATTTTCGTTTTTATTGTACAGATGCATATCTGTCGCCCCTTTCCTTGTCAGTTGTGTCGATTTGAGTTTCAATGAAACCATTCCTCATGTGGCGGGCCATGTTCCAAAGACCTGGACTTTCACAAACCCAGCAGTCAATCCGGAACGTACATTCATTCCGATATTCTCGAGAGCTATGATGTTTCATTTTGCGGTCAGATTGCGCGACTCTGCCCGTGTGTTGCCTTCAATACCTGCATCCACTGCGGATATCTCAAGAGCAATGCTTGCTAACAAGTCATCAGTCATTGAGCGGTCTCCAGTCAAAATTTTCCGCTCCGTCATGTCCAGATATAGCTAGCGTACTATCATGACTAGGTGTACAGTATACTTGTCCGATTCTCTCTCCTTGACTACCACAGTTGTGGTCAGCACCCCTGAGACGTCCATAGCGTTCACACCACAACTTCTTATACGACTGAGATCGCTGTCGTAAGCACGGAGTCTCGAACTGTCACACTCCAACCTCCTGCCAGCCGTGGTCAGTCAACGCTACCTACATCTCTCATCGTGGGCTGCGGCGAGGATCTCTTCCGCTTGCTTGGAGATCGCCACGTGGACTGAGGCCGAGCCGGTGCCGACTTCTACTGAGACGGTCTACACTGTCACCATGCTGTCAGGAGGCTACGAATGCGAAAAGTGCGCTTTGCTATCGCCCGTTAGAGGGGCTCTGATTAGAGACAATCAGAGGAACACAGTATCGAATGGCAATACCCGAGGCCTTGATTGACAAGTAATATTTATTTTTTGTTCGGAGTAGAAAATTATATCATAAAGTTGAGTCATCATATTCTCCTTTCAGATTCAATATTATGTGGTATGCCTTGGTGGAAGGTATGACGTGCAAGGAATGGTGTCGATCTAGGCGAACAATATTACCATACTGTACTATGGTATACAATGCTTGAGATTCGAGGTTTACCTATTGTAAACATGACAAGAGGCTGTTACTACGAAATGACCTAATGTCGAGGGCCAAAGGCAAATTTTCATAATAATCGGGTTTCCGATGTGGCCACCATACTTAGAAGGTGAAGTCAATACCGTTCTATTTGTTGAGGTATTGATGGCTACTGCATCATCCTGAACGCCGATGCGCATAACTAAGGCAAGTATTGGGTGCAACCTTAAAGTATCCACGAGGAGCTTGCGAGGTCCAATATCCTTTCTTCAAGCTACCTATCCGCAATTAATTCAAACCCCAATTGTTGATATTTATTACACGCAATGGAACCCCAGGCCGGATGCGAGAATGAGGCCGAATACACTGCCGCCCTCAGCAATCAGCGGGTAAGCTCAATAGAGCGACAGAAGTATTTGCGAGCCGTCGTGGACATGGGAAGGTGAGGCTAAAGACTCCAAACGCTGGAATCTATCGACTAAGATCATGCTAGTAATGGCATCCGATTTTCGATATCCGACCTCGCTCCACCAACAGCGAGGGTGCTGCCAACGGTCTATTCGAGCAGAGAAGACATTGGGCTGTACGATGCTCAATTTGACCCGGACACAGGTGAAAGGATTCCAATCCCAGAATTCGTCATTTGCGCTGTTGTCGTCACGATTCTCCGCTTCCAGGTGGTGTGTGCCGATCACGGTGTCCCCAATACTCGAATCCGGATTCTCGCTACGGAAGCCACCCGGACAGCTGTCAACTCCGAGGAGTTCCGGAAATCGATTTACAATGCCACGGGACTGAGCACCGAGATGCTTCCGAAAGAAGAGGAGGGCCTCGTGGGCGCTTGGGGCATTGCGAGCGGGTTCTCGGAAGTCGAGGGCATCCTACTCGACCTTGGCGGAGGTAGTATCCAGATCTCCTGGATGATATTCCGAGGGGGCGAAATCGAGATGAGCCCGAGAGGACCGTTAAGTTTTCCATATGGCGCAGCGGCCTTGACCCGGACGCTGAAGGTTCTCGAGGACGGGAAGACCAAAGCCGAAGCCGCGAGAGCGGTGGCGGAGTTTCGACGGGAGGTGAAAGCCAGCTTTTTGCAAGCATATGGAGAGCTCCAGATCCCGTTCTCGATGTACGACAACGCGCGGATGGAGGGCGGGTTCCCATTGTATCTCTCCGGAGGCGGGTTCAGAGGATGGGGCTACTTAATTCTCTCCCGGAATCAGCAGGGTGGGCACCATTACCCAATCTCAATCATCAACGGATACACGGCCGGGAAGGACGAGTTCAGGGATACGGAGGCCTTGAAGCATACTGCGAAATCAGCGCAGAAGATCTTCCGAGTCTCTGATCGTCGGAGAGCGCAGGTACCAGCCGTGGCCTTCCTCATCGATGTCCTAGCCGAATCAATTCCGAATGGAATAAGAAACGTCCACTTCTGCCAGGGCGGGGTTCGCGAAGGCGTTTTGTTCCAAACTCTAAACAATGAGGTCCGAAAACAGGATCCACTTGAGGTCGCCACAACGGTCTTCGCTCGACCTTCCACAGAAGCGCTGTTTTACCTCCTGAAAACATTCATCCCCGCCTCCACCCAAGATTCCCAGCTCATTTTTCCAACGTCAATCAATGACCACCAAATTCGAGCGTTTATCAATGCGTTGTATGTTCACGCTCCAATGGGAAAAGAGTCCGCCTCAACCTCAGCATTGTACAGCACCAGCACTGGTATTTTGTCTGCAGCACACGGTATCTCGCACAAAGACCGCGCACTCCTAGCGCTCATGCTGGAGGAGAGGTATGAAGGCGATCTCCCTCCGCGTGAGGTCGAGTTTAAAGAGAGCCTCCGCCGACTCCTGACGCGCGAGGAGATTTGGTGGACACGGTATCTGGGAGCCGTTGGAGAGCTCATAGCGGCAATATACCCTGCAGGAGTAATTGATATGGCGAAACCACGGATAATCGCCTCCTCGAGGTGGTCGAATTCGATGGGGAAAAATAGAAATGAACTGGGGATCAATCTCACGATTACCGTGCCAAAGGATCAAGATCGCCGTATGAGGCTGAAGGATACAGTGCAGCAGTACACGAATGATATCATGAGAGTAGGGCGGAAAAAACATTGGATTGGAGAGGAACCTAAATGGGGGATCAAGGTGGACGTGGGAGTCATCGACTGATCACGAAATTGTCGATCGAGACGGATCATGATGAAATAGCTTACTATATTGATATCGGACATCGCCATCAGTGTTCGTGTAGGTGACCGTGAGTAGACGCGCAGATCGATCTGCTCGAGTGCTAATAAAGCGACAAGGTGTTGGTAGGAAAATGTCGAAATTGTATACCACCGGAAAGGCCAGATACTCTCCTGGACTATTTCTCCTGTTTGTCAAAAGCCTTCTATGCCATTTAGTTCATTCGACCCTGACTTTGTTCAACGACGGCTTCGGATTCAACATTCCAGCAAGACCCAAGCAAAGAAGCCAGAGTGGAATTGTACCAGAAAAGTAAACTAAAAATGTCCATTTCAATGCCCTAAAGTATCTAGTGACACTAAAGAGGCTGGAAACAAACGAGAGCGGTAAAAGGACGACAGCGAAAAAGGATAGTTTGGCAACGTAGTGACTCTGATCGAGCTTCTCGTAGTACTCGTCGATCGAAATACTGGCAGTTGCGACTTGTACTATATGTTGGATTCTGTTCCAGAGTCCTCCCATGTTACTCCTAAGATTGTCATAATCATCGCTGAGATTCATTATCGGATTGTTGACGTGTTGGACATGGGATTTGGAGCATCGCTCCCAGGCGGTGTTGGTTTTCAACCGTCTGCAATCTCATTGTATTGTATAGGGGCACCCAACGCCTCATGGGTGGATATTTGGCAATGAATGGTGGACTCCATAGTATGCCTCCGCAACTTCGGATGCACTATCTTCTAATTGATATGTAGAGACCCCTAACATTGCGCACGGATGATGCTAACAGTCCCAGAAGCCGGGCCTGAGGAAGGGGCTTTGGCAGATTCGGTTTCGAGTTTCGACAGACCTCTTTGTCCAGAAGACCACTTTGCTCCATGAGTGAGGAACCATAGGGCGACGCAGGAGTAACCGAGTGACAAGATCGACGTAGATAAGGAAAAAACGCGGGTTATGATCGAAACGATAAAGGGAAGACTAGACTGGGTATTGACGGTAACTTCAAGGGTTGAAAGAAGCGGGCTGAGCAAATATTCGGCCTAAAGTCCTCGATTGACTTGGAACGAGAGAGTGGTACAATGTTAGTCGTCGTCGACCTGGGAGGATGTAGTGGATTTATCCCTATCTGATTGAAACTTAGCATAATGAACGAATTCTGCATCGAGTAGATTGCTTGTTTAATAGTAAATGAAGACCGCTCCTTTAAACTTCTTTCAAAGCTCGAGGACGGTTGTCGGACAAGTACTCGATATGGAAAAGTACTCGATATGGAAACTGGAGGGAAATGTACTAAAGATCATCATCACGTGATGGTGTACAGCATCGCAACATTTTGTCGACAAAAGTTCGAGACAGCCATGCCATCATCAATCAAGACATCAAACCAACCTGAACCTTAGCAAGTTAACACAATTCCGAAATCCCAAACCATACGACCGACTCCGTGTCTTCATCCTTAATCCAACCGATCATTTCCCTAATTCCCACCACCTTCCCCTAAACCGCCGCCATGGTCAAGGTCGAAGAAGTCATCGACGAGGAATTCCTCCGCGCCCAAGAAGGCGACGAAGGCTGGGAAGACGAGATTAGCGATGACGGTATGCTCCTCCCCGTCACCCACCCCCCATAATCCCACACACCCATCGCTCCCTTCCATCGCCCATCTAATCCTCTCCCCCCCCGCAGAATCCGACGCCTCCTCCATCGACGTCCCCGAAGACGAAACCCTCTACGACCGTTTCGTCGCCCTGCGCGACATCATTCCGCCCGTCTATCGCAACCGCGTCGCCTCCGTGGCATCGGGAACCTCGTCGTTCTTCCGGTCGGGGACATCGTTCACGGCCAAGTCGCTGTACGTCTTGGCGACCACGACGCTGTTCTTGGGCGTGCCGTGGATGATTGCGTTCAGCGAGGAGCAGCAGTTGGCGGAGATGGAGAAGGAGGAGAGGATGAGGGCATTGGGGGCTGAGGTGAGTTTTACGGTATCTGAGATGGGTGTGGGGAATACTGACCAGTGTATAGGTCTTGACGCAGGGTGCGCCGGAGGAGGTGAAGCCGGCCTTGTAAATTTATCGCAGATCATGTTCGATTGGGGACTGGGAACTGCGTTCTTATTCAGGGGATCCGGATACCAGGTTTTCTTCTTGTCGGAGGATGTATCACCCATGGCATGTATATGGCGTTGGCAAAATGTAACACTACTACTCTTCTCATCCACAACATCCGTGCCCACATTTGAGGTTGCCGGCCACGCAAGCAAAACACCATCTTATATTTCTATTGTAAAACAGCCAAAAACGGAAAGCGGAGAACATTTCGCCTTTCTTCTTCTATATTTACACACACCTGCCCGCACACAATGTGCACAATGTCGCGGAGAACCCGAGCAAAATCCAAGCAAAAATGATATCCATCAGAACTTCCCCTGATGCCCGGATGACCGTAGTTCATTAGGACCATTGCGGACCGAAAATGCCATGACGCGCGAGACGAAGGGAATATGAAGGGTACGAAGGGACCGGATGGAAGGACTTTTGACTCGTGGAGTTAGGAAGGGCTCCATTAGGCATAGTGGAGGCGGTTGGTGGTAATACAAGGTAGAAAGGAAGAAAAAGCGTTAGGATGCCCTAGTTACGGGTCCTCGCGCTCTAAAAAGGAATCGACGGCCCCTCAGTCATCGACTGTTGCTGTTCCATTAATTCCGGGTCCGCGGACTCGATCGACACGGCCAACCCAACCTTCACTTGTTGCTGTTGACGGTTAGCTTGATCATCTGTCCAGTTTCGAAGGGAACCATACCTTCCACTGGTCCAGCTCTCCGGAAAACGTCACGCGCACCGGCGGAGCGATGGACTTTTCCAACAAGCACCCCATCTTGCCCTGGCTATCGATCTGCGCCCGATAGCTGCTCGCGCGGAAATCGTACTTGACGCCGAACGTCGCCACGCCCTCCTTGCCCGGCGCGCCCATCATCGCCGCCTGCGGATTCCCCATGCCCGCGAAACTCAGGTTCAGATCCGCGCCCGCCTCCACCTTCTCGCTCAGCCGCTTCCAAAAGCTCGCCTGCACGGCGCCTTGTCCCAGGACGCGCGCGGAGGCGATCCACTCCCTCGTCTTGTAGCGCCCGACGTAGCTCATCATGACGTCCGGCGGGTGCTGCATGTCGAGGCGCTGCCACATGCCCTCCATGCCGAGGGCGAGTTTGGGGGTGACGCTCTGCAGGTAGGAGCCGATGACCATGCCGGTCAGGCCACCGTTGAAGATGGAGGGGTTCATGGACTTGACGACGGCGGTGAAGTCGGCGCCGTTGTAGTCGGCTTCGGCTTGGAGCATGGGTTGCTGCATGGAGTCTTGGGGAAGGTTGACGGAGAATTTGGTGACGAGGGCGTTGGTGATGCGGCGGTTGAAGCGGCCGTTGACGGCGAGGTCCGAGTCGATGGTGGCTTGGAGGAAGTGCTGCGGGCATCGTATAAGCGACTGTTCGGATTCATCGTGGAGATTGACTCTATCATTGCACCGTCTCCGATGCGGTCGTGGCAATGCTCGGGAGTCCTAAGGAGAGGTTTTCACATACCTTCGATGAGCCGTACATCGCGTTATAACTATACGGCGGCATCCCCTGGGCGCCCATCGCAAAGGCATGCGATAACTGGAACATCGGCGACACGCCGATCACCTTGTTAAACTCCGCCCGGACGCCGGTGAAGGCCAAGTTGTTGAGGAAGACATCCTGATCGACCTCCTTGGAGATCTTCTCGACGGTCCCCGGATTCGACAGCCCCAAGCTCTCCCGCTTCTCGTGGAAGGTCCGGTACGTATTGCGCACGCGGTCGAATAGCGGGTTCGATATGACCGGCGATAAGAAGCCGGATGTTGTGCTGGTCGTTGACGATGTGGCCTCCATGACGGCGGACGGTTAACTGCTTCCCTGTCCCGGGTGGGACGAGATGGACTCCTTAAATCGGGTAAACGGGGGAAGTGATGGCAAAATCTAAGGAAGATGGAAAGGAATGGACGATATAAGGAGAGCAAGAAAGACCTGGGGTTGGGAGCGCAGTGTCTGGTGCCAATGCAAAGGATAATAGTCGTCGATGGGCAACTTGATGGATCAGAAAAATACCTGAAGCTTCGAATGTCGGAGTGGCTTGGACTTCGGCGGGCGAAAGGAACCATTTGTGCAGAGCGTGGATCATTGAGAATTTCAGGCGCAAGGTGAGTCGCAATCATTACTGAAGAGCAACACTGGGGGACTCTGCAGTTACGATATTGATTATTTCCTGGGGATATGTTGGGTTCATCTTTGTTGTTACCCCGATAATCTTTTCACTCTTGTGTTGTCTTAGTCCTTCTTACGACACTCAGTCATTTTCTCTTTATGCTCCCATATTGAAATTCCGAGGACCTGAAGTAATTACCAAGCACTGAAACATACTCCTCTCTAGCAGTAAGTATGCCATGAATCTGCCTTGTATATAAGATACTGATCTCTACAGTGGACGACATTGACCTTTACGGTATGGATTTTGGAATGTACAGGTGGCATATCACTAACACCGTCTCTAGAGGTCCTCGGCCTAGCTCGGGGTGCCTCCAAGGCTGAAGTCAAGAAGGCCTACCACAAGGTATCTCCAGAAGCTGTCACTAGGTCGTATTTATCTAACAGCAGCAGGCCGCACTATCCAGCCACCCCGACAAAGTCGCCGAAGATGACCGCCTGGAAGCCGAAGTCCGCTTCAAAGCCGTCAGCCAAGCCTACGAAATCCTCTATGACGACGACAAGCGCCACGTCTACGACACCCACGGTATGTCCGCCTTCGACGGCTCCCGTCCCGGCCCCGGCGGCGACATGGGCATGGAAGACCTCTTCGAGCAGATGTTCGGGATGAACTTCGGCGGCGCCGGCATGGGCGGGATGCCGGGCGGCCGTCCGCAGTTCGCGAGGGAGCAGCCGCGGAAAGGGCCGGATGAGGAGCAGGAATATCAGGTCACGCTCGAGGAGCTGTATAAGGGGAAGTCGAGCCGGTTCGCGGTCACGAAGAATGTCATCTGCGGGCACTGCAAAGGGTCCGGGGGGAAGGAGAAGGCGAAACCGCACGACTGCGCGTCATGCGGCGGACAAGGTTGGTTATGATCTCCGCAGCGCAGGAATCTCATATTGACATCGACAGGAATGACCGAGACGTTCCAACCCGTCGGACCCGGCCTGGTCACCCGCGCCATGAAAACGTGCGGCACCTGCAACGGCGACGGCAAGGTGTTCAAGGAGAAGGAGAAGTGCCGCAAATGCAAGGGCAAAAAGGTGGTGGAGGCGCGAAAGACCCTCGAACTCTACATCCCGCCGGGATCGCGCCAAGGCGAGAGCATCCCGCTCAAGGGCGAGGCGGACCAGGTGCCGGGCCAGGAACCGGGCGACATCATCTTCCACCTCGTCGAGGTCCCGCACGACACCTTCCGCCGCGCCGGCGCCGATCTGGCCGCCGATATTCACATCTCGCTCTCCGAGGCGTTGACGGGATTCGGGCGCGTGGTGCTGACGCACCTCGATGGGCGGGGGATCCAGATCCAGGTGGATCAGCCGGCAGGCCGGGTGCTGAAACCGGATCAGGTACTCAAGGTGAAAGGAGAGGGGATGCCGATTAAGAGGAGTGAGGGCAGGGGAGACCTCTTCCTCGTGTTGAAGATTGACTTCCCCGAGGACGGGTGGTTGAAAGATGCGGCGGCTATCAGAGCCGTGCGTGATGTGCTGCCCAAACCGAAACCAGCCATGGCGTCAGACAACGTGGATGAGGTCCAATGGGAGGATGGGGACATGGACGACTACGGCGCGGGATCTGGCGACCAAGAATGGGAGGACGACGACGAAGAGGGAGGACCCCAATGCGCAACGCAATGAGCGTGACGCCGCCACCATCTTCATTCTTTCTCCCCCTGCATTATTTTTCACATCCCACGTCATAGACCGGCTCCTCGGCGTTTGGAACTCCCCACGCCTTCGCGATATCCCGACGATTCGCATGATATAGGATATCCAACCCCTACTCCGGGTGTATAGATAGTATTGATAGCGTCCGTAGCACGCTATGCGACGATCATGATCATGACCACTTTGACCGCTCGTTCATCGCGTCAGCCTCCTGCCCCATCCGCGCCATCCACCGGTCTACCAGCTCCTTGTTCTCGTCGCGCAGTTTCTGGGACTTCGCCTCCGCGACGTTGAGCTGGAGGTTGAGCGAGAGCATCTCGTCTTGCACGTCCTAGACACTATATCAGCATCTCTCCCACTATTTCCCTAAAATAAGATAAAGAAGAGGGATATACCTCCACCAGCTTTGCCTTCGCCTTCAACTCCATATTCCGATCCTCCAGCTTCCGCTCCACCACCGCCTTCTCCCGCCCCAGCCCCTCGATCTTCCTCCGATCCCGCATCCCGGCTGCTTTCAACGCCGCCAGCTCCTTCGTCAGAGGCTCTAGCTTCGCCTGCAATTCCGCCCGGCTCTTCTGTGTGGTCGCGAGGTCCGCTCGGAGCTGCGTAAGGGCGGCCTCGACGTTGTCAGCGGTGTCTTTGCCGCGGGGTTCTTTACCTGTAGGTTTCGGGGGGCGGGGAGAGGGCGAAGATGATATGGGTTCTGCTGGGGCGGTGTCTCGTCTCGATGCGTCGGACTGCAACGCCGCTGCGCGATCGGCGAGCTGGGTGTCTAGCATGGAGTTGAGTCAACGACGAGTTACCATGGTGGGGTAGAGACGCATACAGTTCTCGATGATAGCAAGTTGGGATTTCTCAGTCGTGTCTCGGGCGGCGAGAGCGTCCATGTATTCTACCAGCCATGACGCCATTTCGCACAGTGGCCTAGGTCGCGCTCCGGTTACCGGTGATGAATCGAATGAGGCATGGGGAGACAGCAGAGCCTCAACTCTACGGTCGGGAAATGGGTTGTTTAGAAGGGGATAATGGGGATTGGAGATGGCTTCTATCCATGGACAAGCTGTGTACCTAAGGTTGGTAGGATATCAATACAAGAAACATGGTTGGGAGTGTGTTGTCAGGATGCCCTCCACTGAACTTCAACTGGTGATGTGCCCCACTTCGACAGGCTTCCAGTTTCCACAAATAGCTCCAACAGTAAACATGAATATATTAGGACTATGCCCCCCGAGTGTATATACCACCGCGACCATGGCTATACAATGAAACTACATGTCGGTATAGTAATGGTACATTGCAGGGACTTAAATTCAGCGTTGAAGCAAATTAGATTGCCCTCTGATGCTAAAAATGCTACGTCGCTCAGGTATTTGCTAATATGTATAAGATACTCCTATTCTCAAAGAGATCCGATATTGATCTGATACTCCGTAGTCGAACACGCTACTCGGCTTGGGCGATCCGGTTGCCAAAATCTGCCTTTACTCAAGTCCTATCCTACGCCCGGAAAATCACCGTCTTCCGTCCATAGACCGCATCACGGCACGCTCCCTGGCATCCGATCCTCCATAGCCTGACCGACCTCGCCTATCGCCCAAACGAGCCAGATAACCTCGAATCCGCGTCTTTATACTTATCCCCCTTCCCAATCTTCTTGAGCGACGTCGCCCCTTCACCAACCTTCTCCGCGCCCACCACGATCTTGTTCAGAATCTGCTGGACAGCCTCCCGGCCACTCGCGCTCATGCCCTTGCTCTGCTGACGGAGATCCGTCACGGCGTTGTCGATGTTTTGAACGGCGCGCGATATTTGCTGCACAGTGTTTTGATTGATTTCGCGGCGGTAGATTTCTTCGTTGTGGAGGCGGACATCGCGGGTGTCGGGGGAGTTGGGAGCGGCGTAGGCCGAGAGGGCGAGGAGGGGGAAGATGAAAAGGCTGGAGGTGAAATGCATGGTGGGTGATGGAAGACTTGGAGAGGTAGAAAGACTTCTTTCGGGAAAGTTTATCGAATGGAGATGTTTTTGTTGCTTTGGCACTGGACAGACTGTTGAGGTTGAAACGAGTGATGCTGGGAAAAACAAACAACTGGACGAAGAACAACGCTTTTATATCTCGATTCTCGACGTGTTGGCCATGAAGCAATGAAACATACTAGCAATGATCGCAAATTTAACAGGATGTGGCCGAAGTCACCGAAGCCTGTATCTCTCGTATTCTGATATTGGCCATTGCCGCTCAGGGGAACGCCAGTCTGCGATTCCGGCATTCCGCCACTCCGGGGGCCAAAGGAGGCACCAATTGCATAACAGCCACCTGCCACCAGGATCGACAGGTGCACAGAGCCTCATGCCTGTCGCCATTGGGATTGTAAGGTTACGCGAGCAGCGAGTTTGGCGAGCATAGAAGTGATATGGTCACGAATAGTGGACGAGCAGATGGCGTGTAATCGATTGGTATTTACGTATGCGTGCCTCATTTCCCAAGACTAATCCTTAAAGAAGAAGAACAATAGGAAAGTGAAGAGTTTGACTTGTGTCTTCTCATAGGGGTGGTCACGCGACCTTTCTCGGAATGTAGATTGGTGGCTTGTGGGGAAGGTTTTGTCCCGTGGCGCTAGTGTGTTAGATACACCTTACAAATTAGATTCGGTGTATTATTAGCCCACCATGCCCTATGGCGGATTGGCGGTGGCTTGGGAGTGGAATGCGCCTCGTCGGGTCTGTGCTCTGGGGTTTCTTGCGCTAGTGCGCTACAGCACTGGTGCGCTAGAGCGCTGGCTGCTGAGTGCTGAGTGCGCTCAGCGCTAACTGCTCAGCGCTCATGCGCTGGCAACGGTGCTGCGCAAATCCCGTGGGCCATGGCAATTGGCATCTCTGGATTCTTGCCTCGGGAAGATCTCGGTCTAATACCCACGGACGGACCGCAGCAGTTTGAATCACTCACTTAACCGGAGTCATCTCCAAAGACATGTCCACTGTGACGAGTACTTACCTATATCCGACGACAACGGTGAGTCAAAAGCACTTCTGCTATCCTATGAATTATACCATCAAGGCATCAAACACCAATTCCTTAAGTATTTCGTGACTCATGTAGCGTGATCATCTTCGTTGAACCTCGCTTGCAGATCCACTGCCTCAAGTTCCTGGATTGACCAGTCACCAAGACACTCAGCGCTATGGACGTATTTACATCCGCCACATCCATCGCTATATCAAGCAGTTGTTCTTCATTTCTGTCATTGTTCTATCGGTCTCGCTGAAGTCATTGCAGTACTCTTTCCTGGCGGAATCTACAAGTATTTCCAGTCCATATCGGTCTTGGTATTCGGTTTCGAGACTTCAATTGCTGTTTGGCACCATCTATTTTCAGGGCAATCCCTAGACTTGGCTCCCTCGTGTTATATTTTATTATCAGAGTTTTCCTATTATTTCAGTCGATTCTATATCAGCCAAAAGGATTTGCATAGTCTCCCACCATGGCGAATCCCGGCAACCCGGTTGACGCGATTTCTGCGACGGTCGAGAAGAATAGTTCTCGGGTTATCCCAATCACGGAGGGAGGCGAAGATGTTTCAGTGAGATTTATGGGTGTAATACTTCGTTTAGCATGAGCTGAATCTGTCTCAAGGCTAGTGATATATCTCAATCAGCACCACCAACAATGTGCCAAGCGCTGCGATTCTCAACTTCCGAGTTGCGGTGGCTACCAACTGAAGCAAGCGTCTCGCAAGCAGAAATACAGTCAATGCCGAGCCAGTTTTCATACTCGAGCTATAACGTTCTGATCGACTCTAACCATGCATCATCGACCGAACGAATTGCACTTCTGGCTGAGGCGATCTTGTCTAATGAAGCGGCTGATGATGTGCTACTTTTGCAAGAAGTATCCGACGACTTCCTCTCAAAACTCCTAGCACTCGATGCAATTCGCGAGCGTTATCCATATGTTTCACATGGACCTCCTGACCAAGATGATATCCCTTCCTTTACCAGCATGCATAGCGCTGTCGCCCTCAGCCGTTGGAATTTCAACTGGTATTCGCTTCCATTCAAGCGACAACACAAAGGAGCTGTCATCATCTCTATTCCAGAGATCTATAGGGAGGATGAAGACGAAGCATATCCCCTGGTTATTGCTGGTATCCACTTGGTCTGCGGACTGACTGATGAATCTGTCGCTGCGAAGAAGTCACAGCTGGCCACTCTGATATCTCATCTTCAAAAGCACCATCCATCGAATCCGTGGATAGTTTCTGGCGGCTTTAATCTCACGACCTCTGCATTTACCATTGATCAAGCACTGAAAACCAAGTCCATCTCCTTGCAGGCTGTCTCAACCCTCGCTTCACTCGACCACATGCTCTTCGACGCCTCTCTTCAGGATGCGTATTTTCTCGCTCCAATCAATTCCACCAGCGTGAGTAAAGTCCGCCTCACCCATGCGGCGATGGAGGAGCTGTACGAAGGCGAACAAGGCGCAACTTTCGACCCTCTTCATAACCGTATCGCAGCCGACATAGTTGGTACGGGCATGAACCGTCGTCCCCAACGGTATGATCGGATATTGTTCAAAGACGCCGACGTTTTGCGTCTCGGCTCGTTCAGTATGTTTGGATTGCCGGAAACCTTACGGGAAGGAACGGTAGGCAACGATACCCCCAAAGGGAAGGAGCAGTCACCGCAAATCGGCTATGGGAGCGGTCACTGGGGTGTCAGAACAACATTCAATGTTGCATGCAAATCTGATTCTACAGACAGCGCATCGCTATCGCTAAAGCACCCATCTTTCGTTATGCCTCCGGTACCGGCCACCATTGTTACCCACCCTCTGGATGACTTCAACGCAGTTGTCGAGTGTCTGAGGCAGAATCCTTTGCATCTCACTACAGAAGACCAGGCCAAACGCACCGAAATCTATGTTCTGCTGAAAATGATCCTGAACCAGACTCTATCAGGAACCCCCAATGCTCAACAAGGCGCATCATTTGTCAAGTTTAAGATAGAGCTAGTCGGATCTGGGGCGCTAGGTACTGCAGACGCCTTGTCCGATATCGATATCATCTGCCTCGGTGCTGTCAGCCCACCCATTTTCTTCTCCCTCGCTATTAGTCGATTAAAGAAAGCGAAAGACAATCCCTACAATGTCACGATCCTCAGAAAGGTCGATGCTTCAAGCGGTACAATGCTTGAACTTCTCGTTCGGGGAATTCGGGTCGATTTGCATTACTGCACCGCAACCAAATTCCTAGAAAGGTACGTATCTCCTGAACAAGCTGGTCCAGAGTTTTGGTTACTAATACTTGCTTCAGGTGGCCTGAATCGATTTATCTGGCTCACAACAATCTAGCTTATCGCTTGTCGGGCCAGTCCATCGACAAGCTTCAACCGTTGCGAGACATCCTCTACCTCAAGCGGACGATCCCGGATATGGCCAAGTTCCGCCTAGCAGTGCTCTTCCTCAAGGCATGGGCGAGGGGTCGAGGCATCTACAGCACCAGATTCGGATACTTGGGAGGTGTCCACATCACACTCATGCTGTCCTCCATCTACAAATCTCTGCTCCACCAAAGGGGTCATGACCTGTCGATTCCGGGATTGATTGGGACGTTCTTCACCTACTACAGCCAATTCGATTGGAATAAATACATGGTGTGTGATCCGCATATGCCATACGATGGCCGGTACTTCAGATCAGCTCAGGAACCTATGGTCATCCTGACGATGCACGCGCCAAAGAAGAATGTCGCAAAGTCAGCAACAGTGCCGACCGTGAGGGCGATCGTCTTTGAACTCTCACGCGCCGCCCACGCAGTAAGAGCGTACACCGACCCCTTGAAGTGGTTCAACTATTGCACTACTAGTTCTGAGCTCCGAGGGCCCGACTCGTTGGTTCTGCCACGTCGAGGCAAAGTCCTCTCTTGGCCCGACTTTCTCGACGACCCCGACCATGTCGATCCAAGTCGCGCTACGGGAGCTTCCGAGTTTCTTCGCAATTCTAGGACTCTTCTGCAGATAAATGTCCACTATTGGGGTGGGTCAGTGGTGAAAGGGGGCCAATTTCTCGGCTGGCTGGAGTCAAAGTTGTTGACGATATCTGTCGGTATGCTGGAATCGGTCTGGAAGGCGTCTCGGGGTTTAGAGTTGACATTTTACAGAGCTAAGCAAGGCCATCGCACCGTACTTTTGTCGAATTTGGCCTGGTCGGTTCGCACAACCTCCCCTTCTAGACTCAACTTCCTACTTTGGCTGTTATTTATTATCCATACGGCGATGCGCTCGGACAGATGGCCTGTTCCCATCTACTACGACTGTATCAGTTGCGGTTACGGAGATTTTGAGCCAATTTTGCGAAAAGTTCTGCGACCAGATCCGTCAGAATGAGAAGTATTACGATCCCGCTTCATGCGGGATCGATGCCGCACTAGTGTCTGGAAAGGAAGTCCAAGATCTCGTGCTCGATACAAGGAACTGGGGCATGCACGCCGCAGAGGATCTTCCCCCTGATGACGAGTTCGGGGAAGAGGATGATTTGGTGGTCGATGGCGACCCTTCGGCAAACGAGCCGAACAATCAATCTGGGCACTTAGCCGGCGGCCCGAGACAAGACTCAGTCGTTACCGAACGTGCTGGCCCGGTTCCTCAAACATCCCACGCTCCGTTGCGAACGTCAGCCGACGTCCTCAACCGCATTCTCTGGGACGAGATCATGGACACTGACGACTATGTCATCGGCTATGAAGATCGATTCCTCGGGGTCCAAGAGATACCCGCACGGCGGTGGAAGAAGAACACGACGGATGAAGAGTTCATTCCGATGCATCGTGTCGTCTATTTCCGCAGGAAGAGTGACGACGTCAAGGTCTGGGATAAGCCAAGTAGGACGGATTTGGTGTTTGGTACGGGCTTGACTTCTGACTCTCAGAGGGAGTCGCTTCCTCGTCTAGCTCTGCGAGTTGACGAGGATGCTTGCTTTTTGCCACAGGGGATTACTTAGAGCGAGTGAATTTTAGTGGCTGCTGTTCTCTTGAGACTAGGAGAGTCTTTATATTCTAAACATTCGCTCGTATTGTGTGCTGTCTTTGATCATATTGTCCGTATCATGCCTATTGTGCCATACAATGAGAATGCCTTCCATGGTGGTCGTGCAGGTGGAAATAGTAAACACTACAATTTTGTCCATTTTGAACCATCCTGAACATCTCAAAATTCAAGTGAAGTGAATGCGGCGTTTGATGTCCCGTCACGGTCGGCTCCGAATTCCTATTCGCGTTGGCAATTTCCCGCGATATCGGCCCACCTTGCCGACTCCACGTTTATGGGGAAGCCGTTCACGGTTCCGCATCATTTCGTAATTCGCCTCCCGAGCCGAGGGCCTGATGGATCAACATTAAATAAAACCAATATCATGAACCGCCATATTTGAATTGTCCGCTTGGATTTCCAAGACCGCCCAGCAAACAATGTCGTTCTCTATTCCTTCTATAGCCCTGCGCCGGGCATTCCCTCGGGTTGCTCACACACACGCCACGCGATGCAGGCGGCTGGCCACTACAGCGGATCCAAAGCTGCCGTTGGCTGGTATGCGGGTGTTAGATATGACCAGAGTTCTGGCAGGTGTATGTAGTCTTCCATATTGACGACCTCCTCCCCTACGCACCGACTAATTCCTCCTTAGCCATACTGCACACAGATTCTAGGAGATCTTGGGTATGACCCAGTATGAGTCAAGCGTACGAGGTGGTCAGAGGCGATAGTGCTAATTCGTAATGACTTGAAGGGCCGAAGTCATCAAAATTGAGCACCCTATCCGTGGGGATGACACAAGAGCTTGGGGTCCGCCGTACGCGAAATATAAGGATCTCACGAACCAACATGCGCCAGGGGAGAGCGCCTATTTTCTTTCCGTATGCTCCCCTCCGGGATTCAATGCTCTCAACTTACCCTATGAAAGGTCAACCGAAACAAGAAGTCTCTGGGACTCTCATTCGCCAGCCCGAAAGGCGTCGAGATCCTCCATCAACTGGCGGCGAAATGCGATATCCTGGTCGAGAACTACCTCCCCGGGGGGCTGAAGAAATACGGCATGGACTACGAGACGCTCTCGAAGATCAATCCGAAACTTATCTACGCGAGCATTACCGGCTACGGGCAAACGGGGCCGTATAGCAACCGAGCGGGCTATGATGTGATGGTCGAAGCGTAGGTGCTCTCTACCTTTTCCATCGACTCGCTCTAACATTCTGCAGCGAATTCGGACTTATGCATATTACCGGCGCACGAGACGGCCCACCGGTCAAAGTGGGCGTCGCAGTCACGGACTTGACTACGGGGTTGTACGCATCAAACTCGATAATGGCAGCGTTGCTCAGCAGAGCAAATACCGGGAAGGGACAGCATATTGACCTGGCATTGAGCGATTGCCAAGTTGCCACCCTCGCCAACATTGCAAGCTCAACCCTTATTAGTGGAGAGAAGGACTCCGGGCGGTGGGGCACAGCGCATCGTATGTCTCCTTTTATCCATGCCGCTGTCCCCTTGTCCCTCGCTGACCTATATTAGCGTCGATCGTGCCATACAAAGGCTTCGCCACCGCGGACGGCGACATTCTCATTGGCGGCGGCAATGACCGCCTATACGGCATCCTCTGCCAGAAGCTCGACCGACCAGAATGGGCGACCGATCCCCGCTTTGTGACCAACGGCCACCGCGTCCAAAACCGCAAAACTCTCGAATCCATGATCGAGATCGAAATGCGGCGCAAGACGACCGCCGAGTGGCTGCAGGTCTTTGAAGGGAGCGGTATGCCGTATGCTGCCATCAATGACGTGCAGGCGACGCTGAACCATGAGCATGTGCGCGCGCGGAACATGGTGGTGAAGGTGCAGCACGAGGCGTGTGGGGAGATGGAGTTGGTGAATACGCCGGTAAAGTTCTCGGATAGTCAGCCGGGGGTTCGGACGCCACCGCCGACGTTGGGGGAGCATACGGATGAGTTGTTGAAGGAGTTCACCAATTTGTCGGAGGAGGATGTGAGGGCGTTGAAGGAGGAGGGGATTATTGCATAGGCATCCTGGACTTATACCCTACCACATGGAATTTTTACCACAACTCCGGGGGCTTGCATTACGCAATATACCATTAGTCCGAACTACCATGGTCTACTGGGACCGACGCGATCATGAACATATTTGTGTCTATAGTCTTCCCTAACAGTATGCAAGGAGATTGGAAACCGTTACAAGAAACATTTGCTTGAAGCGGTAGCGTCGTTTTCAGCTTCCCTTTCCATCAAGATAACTGTTATGGATCTCACATTTTGGTTGAACTGATAGTGGTGGTAACGAGTAAACCTTTCCTAGGTACGAGTAAAGAAGTTTCCAAGAGGCTTGATAGGTATGTGGATATATTTAAGCAGGATAGGTCATGTAACCAAAGGAAATCAACAGGGATCCCTCACAGCACCCTATCACTCTTTCTGACGTGTTTTACTGCATCGCACAAGTGCTTTGGGCCTTTCCCGGTCGCGTACTATGACAGCGTGCAGCTTCCGTTCCGTTCTTGCGTCGGCGGCGGGACGTCCAACGCCGGATTTTTGTCGAAGAAGTTGACTGGCTTCAGGCAAACCCTCAGCGTATCGCAAGGCATGACTGGGAAATCTTCAACTCGGGGTATCTGTTATCACACGTTAATGACACTCTCTTTCGGTTGCGTAGCTACGGGGATTATATGTTGCTTACGTGGTTGATTGCGAATTGGATCCAGATCACAATGTCTTCATTGACGACTTTGTCTTTTCGATTTGCCCATGTCCTAAGTCCATCCCCTCCTCTTGACTGGTTAGTGTACCGTCCAGCAGCATAGAGCTCGTTCTTCTTGTATTTGGTCACATAGATGTTGTGGTCGGCAAACGGGGTGCGTTTGTAGTTGTATGAGCCGGGGTCGGCAATGATCTTTTGGAAATCCGGCACCACGACCTTGTAGCCAACAGGTTCCTTGTTGACCGGGTTGAGCACCTGGGAGTTCTGAATTTTGAATACTCGGCCCTTGGAGCTGTCCAAGTCGAACCCCCCGGACTTGTAAATGGCAGTTTCCTCGGTGTAGTACCCGGTTCCGTGCAGGTTGAAGTCGGATCGTGGTATCCCAAGGGCCTCCTCATATACTACACGGTTCTGAATACCGTCGATCATAGGGTCCAATCGAAGGGAGAAAAAGTGCTGATGGTGAGAGGCCAATACTCCGGGATGCATAAAAGTGCCCCAGGGGACTGATATATCTTTGTCAATCGGCTGCGTTGAAAGAATTCCCGTCGCCCGGACCTCGTAGCTAATCTCTCCTGCTTGGTTGAAGACGAAAGCGAACACGTAGTCATAATTGTTAAGGGTTATGATTGATTGAAGAACCAGTTCGCGATTTCGGGTAATTCCAGCGTTTCCCGTCCGAGGATTCGTATGTTTCCAACCGATACCATTGTCCTGTATGAAGAGCGTGAATATTCGAAACAGTGGTACCAATCTGCCAGAGGACTGACCTGTTCATGGATGCAGATGCAGTTCTCTTTCAGCATGACATCCCCATCCCCAGTGGAAAGATATGCCGAAAGGTAGTAGATAGCGCCCAGACAATCGCACCCGAGCTTCAAATTGTTGGCCGAATATCCTGCCCCGTGATCTCCAAGGTCAAAGGCACATTTCCTATGAAATGGATTTCGCGGGTCGGCGTAAGAGACGTTTAGCTCAGACAAGGAAATGCGATAAAACAGCGGTCGGCCATCATACCGGACCTATTCTTATATCAGCCGAATGCGGAAGCAGGTTAGGCCACTCTTTGCCAGAGACTGCGGCGAATAACATACATCGTACAACATCATTCCCTCTCTTCCGTTGAAGTTGATTCTGAAGTACCACTTCTGCCACTTTAGTGTTTGGGAGCCCGACTCTTCACCGATCTCAAAGCTAGCTCCATCGGGTTGAATGACGATGAGTGGTTTCAGGTCCTTTCGGAGAGTTTGGTACTGGGGCATGTACTCATTCGGTGGAGGCGGCTTGTATTGTTCTCCGGGTTTCAGAGTACGATCGGCTCCGGTGGGAAGTCGATCAATTCTTATGATTCGTTGGCCGACAGCTTCCACAACAGGAGATATAGGCAGAGGGAACGCATAGTAGTTGGAATCGAGTTCGGACGGATTCCCTGGGTCTCTAAGATAGAGATAGCACTGAAACATCCTTCTGTAATTATTAGTCGCATCCGTACCTAAAATTCCAGACTGTCAATTAAATTCTAGGACTCCTTACGACATCCATTGATAGAGAACCAATACGTACCATATATCCATACAGCACAGACTACCAGTGACATGTCGTCGATCCCAAGATTCCGGATCTCTTCATTGACGTTCGAATCTTCAAGCACCAACTTCTTGACGGCCTCGATTTCCAGCTCATCGGGCCGTCCATGGACATTCGGTCCCAGCTGGCGATTGTAAACCACCGTATCTTTCGTGACATTGAGTAGCGCTTCATAGGGTTGTTCCTAGTTTCTGTCGGCGACTACCTAATTGAAGGCAGGAGGGGCGACATACGTTCCCTTTGACATAGTAGGATACAATACTCTCCCGATCGATGACAGGTGGAGTTGGCCTCCTTGAATGCTCCGCATCGAGGAACTCCAGTACGAGTTTCTTGTTGGGTTCGTTTAAGGTGATAGACTTGAAGTCCAATCCGAACTCAGGAGGGTGTAAGGCTCGAACCAATACGCTGGACCGTCTGATTTCGTTGGCAGAGAGCTGAGAGAGGGGATGGACACGAGGTGGGGAGGGATTCGACATTTTAGACCATGGTAGACTAATATAAGAATATAGGGAGGAGTAGGTGATGGTAAATGCTTCACAACACGTAGTGTAAGACTTGTACAAGAGAAGACCCGATATATGTAGAATGGCAAGACAACGATTTAAATACCCGGAGGAAGGAGCATCCGCGATGATAGGATCAGAGCACATACCACCATTCAATGGATATTTATTCATTCCACGTAGTATCTTCTAGAAATACCGTTTTAGCACCTATCAACCGTAGTTGTGGTTGCCTTGAGACAACAGTGAAGAAATGATGAGAGTTCAAGGCTGATTCTTTGACATGCTGGAATCATAGATCCTTTAACTTAAGCGCAAAGGGTGGCTAGTATTACGATTCCGCGAATGAGTGCGATGATAATCCCAGGGTTGCTCGGATCGACACCGGGGACCTCCGCTTAGTGTTGCACTCGTACTCCCTGATATTGAGCTATCGGGCGCGGATGATGTCCTACTGTGTTGTCTCGGGGTCTCGGAGTGCCAAGGAAACCGAATGATTTGATAGAGCCAATTCAGACACCCTAGCTGTTGACTTCGTTGCTCCTTCGATTCAAGATAGCGGGAATCTAGAACCGACCTTGATATAGAAATAATGTAGTACGCTATCGACCGCATTGAGATCATTTTAGTAGAAAATCCCATTTGGCAGATGTGAAGGAAAATCTCGGTAGCATCGATTCCGTACGAGCAAGGAAAAGTGATAAACAAGCTGATATTGGCCAACATGCCTGTAGGCAGTACTGCTAGGTCTGGAAGATACTCCGAGACACAGAGGTTGTAGAGCCTAAACAGGTTTGTTGGGTACTCACAAGGTCTAGGAAAGATAATCATCCGTTGATGGGCTCTTGAAGCTTCATTCATAACTTCTCCATACTCGACTTGGTTATAGTTAACAGCATTACCAGATCTTCTACAGGAGTAGTAGAAGCAGAGTGAAGAGCCGTTGGAGCTCCAGGAGACAATGCGAGGACTGTGGGCGGAGTCTCAAACCATCTCGATGGGGAAGGCAAAACCATTTGCCAGTCGGATAATTCAAGATCGGATAGTATTCAACAGCAAGTTTCATGCTGATCTTGAATACGCAGCTTCAAGTCAATCAGGGAATTTGCACGTGACCGTCTAAAAGTTTCAGCCACAGTGTGGCACGGCACGGCACTGTGTGTCCAGCTGGCTCCAGAAACCAATGATGCAATATATCGTCGTGATATTCCGCCTTGCATTTCAATTCAAGAGCCTGGCTACTCCACACCCACGCTTTATACATTTTCCGTCTTTCCCGATCGATAAGCCCTCCACCATCCCTCCACTATGGGAAACGACGGCGGAAGCATCCCCACGCGGCGCGAACTCGTGAAAGAAGCCGCCAAAACCCCAACAACCACGCAACTCAAAGAGCGCGCCGTCGAGGCGCAATCCTACGGCTGGTCGACAGATCCATTATCCCGTAAGCCCTTACAGCCTCCGATCGTCAGCGATGCATCGGGGAAACTGTACAACAAGGACTCAGTCCTCGAGCACCTTCTGTCCGCGAACGCTGAGCCGGGGTCGCTGGCGGCACGGAGGAGGGAGGAGGCGGAGACGATCTTGGAGGGGCGGGTGAATGCGCTGAGAGATGTGGTGGGTGTGAAGTTGGAGGAGAGGGGTGATGGGGAGGAAAAGAGATTTGTGTGCCCGATTAGCGACAAGGTGCTGGGACCCGGGACGAAGTGTGTGTATATTGTTCCGTGCGGGCATGCGTTTTCGGCGGTGGCAGTCAAGGAGGTTGCGGGGGAGAAGTGTCTTGTGGTAGGTGATCTCTCATTTATTTCCTGCCGAGCTCCGACTGGGTAAAGGAGTCATGGAAGTCGGAGTATAGCTGACCAAAAGCACAGTGCAACGAGCCATATGCACCGAACGATATCATCCCGATTCTGCCAACCGATCCCCTCGACCTGGCGCGATTGTCGCTAAGAGTGAAGATACTCAAGGAGAGAGGACTATCGCATTCGCTGAAGAAGCTTCCGGGCTCCAAGAAGCGCAAGCAGGCGGCAGCAGTGGCGGCCACCGCAGCAGATTCAGATTCAGCTCTGAAATCCTCCACCTCCACCACTGTACCCGACACCGACATCACCCCGTCCACCGCTACCACCACCGCCCTATCTTCCGCACACCCGACCACCCCACCCACCACATCCCGCGTCCCTCCCCCAACGACTGCCAAATCTACCGAAAGCATCCACAACGCATCCACCCGCGCGCTAGCCAGCAAGGTGCTCTCGGAGCAAGATCTCGCGAACAAGCGACGAAAACTACAAAAGAACGAGAACTTGGAGAGCTTGTTCTCGAATAGAGGGGAGGGTGCGAATAAGGCGAATACGAAGGATTTCATGACGAGGGGGTTCTCGATTCCGGCGGGGGCGAAAAGGACGTAGGGTTGGGGGTAGGTTGGGGGGTGAGTGTGGGATGTGGGGGATGAAGAGATCACGAAGCTATATTTTCTGGTGCATTTGATGGCGTTAGGGTTGGCTTTGGGATAGAGTGACGATACTAGGCTTTTCATGACCATGGACGGCAGGTGGTGCAACGAGGGAGCAACTTTGTACACAAATGACTGGAAGGCCTGACTGAGAGATTCATCAGATGATCAATAGCACTAAATCATGCTAGCTGCTATAGGGTATGCATATCGTTTAAACACCCTCTCGCTGTGTCCCTTCTCTGCCATCGCCGTCAATCGGTTCCCAATGCTGCTGGAGGAGATTAAACATGAACATAAAGAACTCGTCGCCGTGCCGCTCTAACCAAAAACCAAAAACCGAACAAATGTTCAATCCCAACGTGAATATCGTATGTATTATGATCCCAAACTCCAGGTCATAACCTCCACCCCCTACCCAATCTCCCCCAACCACACCTCCATCTTCCCCATCTCCGACCCCTCCATCCTCGCCACCCTCCGACTCTCCATCACCGCCAACTCCAAATCATCCCGATCGCTCATCGTGATCAAATCCCCCCCCTCCTCCTTCGTCATCACCTTAAACGCGTTCCGCAACCCGAACTTCATCCGGATCCCGTCCACGAAATCCGCAAACTCCACTGCTGGCCCGATCAGCACGTACCGCGTGTCCGCCGCGTGCACCTTCACCCGGATCTTCCGCAACGTCACGCTGTTGCTGTTGCTGTTACTATTGCCATTCGACGACCGGTACCCATACTCCCCTCCTCGCCCCCCCGCCCCCGGCCCTCGCGACCGGGATCGTGACGCCCGCCTCCTCCGCCCCCCCGACCCATTCGTCCTTGCCCTTGAGACCATCTCGAAGTCCGGCTCCGACTCACTCCCGCCGAACTCGTCCTCTTCCTCGATATACCCAACAATAGCGCGCGGGGCACCGGCCGGGTTTCTCGCCTGAGATCGCCGCGCGCCGCGCCCGCCGTACAGATCGTACACATCCTCGGTGGAGGCGGTATCGTCGTCGAGGGGATCGAAGGAGCGGCGACGGGGCCCGCGCAGGCGGTCCTGGGAGGGGGTGGCGTAGCGGTCGTGGTCGCGGCGGGGGCGCTCGGACATGGAGCGCTGGGTGCCGAGGCGGGGAGGCGGGGCGGGGTTAGTGGGTTGGGGTTGGTCGAAGCCGGCGACGGAGAGGTCGAGTGGGCGGGGGTAGGGGCGGACCCCGTTTTTGACGCTCTGGGCGCGGGAGAGGGGGTCGGGGCCGGAGCGGCGTTTGTCAGGGGGGGGAGGGGGGCGGGAGTCGACTTCGGGGGGAGGAGTGGGGGGGAAGACTGTGCGGTTGATGGGGGGCTCGGATTGGAGGCGCGTGTTAGAGCGGGAGATGAGGTTGGGTTTGACGAGGTTGGTGGCGGCGTAGGACAGTTGGGATTCGGGGCGGTCGTCTTTGGCGGGGAGGGAGGTGGCGGAGGCGGCTTTGATTTCGGCGCCGGCGAAGCCGGTGTAGAGATTGTTGCGGTCGGACGCCGCGACGAGACGGGCGCGGCCGAGGTAGTCTTTGGTTTTGAGGTTTTTGACTTTGGCGGCGTTGGGACGATAGATGATGCCGACGGGGATAGAGAAGACGGTGTATCCCTGGATCATGTCAGTCAACATGTTTGGAGAAAGCTTGGAAAGGGGGGAAATTTCGGGGGGGATAAGTTACTTACTTCAGCTTCTTCCCGGATAGCGTCCTCAATGACTTCGTGATCCGGCATGGTCTTTTCGCGAGCAGCGAAGGCGAGATCCTGCATACCCGCCGTCTTTTGCTGTAGGTAAATGTAACATAACCCCCTATTAAAAAGGGCTTCGCAGGAGTGAAGCTTGAATTTGAGGCCGAGCTGCTCGTAGTCGATGTTATTGTGACCGCGAAGGTACAATAGGGTGTCGTTGAAGTTGGCCAGTGCTTCCTCGAAATCGCCCATGAGGAAATTCGAGACCCCTTGCTGGAAATAGGCCACGGCCAGGTATTTGTCGAGGGCTAACGCTCTTTGATAGCTGTCCACCTGTGATAAATTAGCCAGATCCTCTATAGGGAAGACCCAATTCTTGACATACCGCTTTCTCGTGCTCCCCTAGGGTCGCAAATATCACTCCCATGTTGAACAGGATCTTGGAGGTATCGGCGATATTTCCGAACCCCTTGAGCGCGTCATCGAACTCATTGTTGTCATAGTGGCCTAGTGCCTGTACCCACGTCTCGATTTCCTTGAGTGGATGTCAATCTCATTTTCTCTCTGCAATATCCCTGATATGTGACTGCTTACCTGTTTCAGCGACATGGCGACCGATGTTCGAGCGAATCCGCTAGCTCAACCCCCCAACGGAGGAATACTCCCGGTGTCTTTGATGCTCAACCCCTAACTCTGGTTATATCGGTACGTCGTAGGTACAAACTCGGAAATTGGCGTCTGATGTGGAGTTCCACGGTTCGCTCCCGAGATAGACCGTGCTGTGGGATGACTTCTACGAGGAGTCGATGTCGTGTATAGCTTGAATATCGTTCGAGGAATTGTCAATGGCACGGCCCCCTCTAGCTCGAGGCGCTCTTTAGGTAGAATATCTTGTATGTGGTTCGATTGACGAGCTACGGAGTTCCGGAGCGCACAAGCAGTGAGACGAGTCCAACCACCTCAAGGGAGTGTTGACGTCCAGGTGGCACAATTACTTTCTAAATGAGGGACTCGAGCGCAACGGGTATCCTTCTTCTTGTATTTCAACTCTTTCGCAGGATCCGATCCTTCCAAAGCCGAGCGGCAAAGCGGGCGGTTAACAATGTTGGTGGCCGCGAACTCGCACAGCAGAGAGGTGAAGTCTTTCGAGTGAGTGCAGTAGCGGCGGTGCAAGGGACGGAGTCGCGCAGACGGCAAGGCGGCTTTTTGAGGTTCCAGAAGATCTAGGGAGGTGTGCAATGGCGAGGACAAGTGACGAATAAAGAAAAGATACGGATGTAACCACTGAACCTGCAGAAGAAACCAAATGGTGAGTGGATGGGGACGGAATATGCGACTCTAATACATCTATGGACAACCGAGACACCAGGCCTCGACTGACGCTCACGAGATGCAAGCACTACTGAAAACTACTGCACGAATTGGGCGCGTGGGAAAAAGCTGCAGAATACATCAGACAGGACATGGCATCTCCTGGACGCCTGGACGGTCCTGCTCATAAGCTCATTCGCGGGCGGCGCACATAAAGTGATTGAAGATTGCGAGGGGCTCCGCGGGTCGAAGCGCTCGGAGCGGCGGGAGGGGCCCAGCGGGTCCATAATGGACGGGAATATTTCCAGGATGGACGAATGGGACGCATGGCGAGGATCTGGAGCGTCGAATGTCGGGGGTTTGGAGATGGGGATTGGTGAGGGATTACGGATGCTGGGAGATGCTTGGGGGGGATGTGCCACGGCGGTTAGAGAGGGGAGGGAACTGGTGGATGGACACGAGGGTTAAGAATAGACGACGGGTTTCGCTTCGCCAATGCTGTTAATGCTCTTGGTCTTCACGCTATTGATGTGCTAACAATTCATATCACAGCTTAAGATCGGAAGTCTGTCTTTCTATCGGTTGGTGCAATTCCATTACCATTGTTAATGGACAATGGTGCTGTGCTTCGTATTGTTGTCTTACTGTATTCCGTAGAATCCCCGCCTCCCCCTCGCCGTCATCGCTCACCCTCCAGCCTCCACATTCTCCAACCTCAGCGGTTACAGATCCGTTCCAGAGTGTCGCTCAAGTCCCACCTCTCCTGACCACTGCACGACCCACTCCTGATGGAATGGGAATTGCATAACCATCGCGGTTCCAGACCTGGGGAACTGCAACACTGCGGAGCTGCATGGGCCTGTTGGCGATCGCCTTTATGTGCTCGGATCCAGTTTCCGGGTTGTTAGAGAGGAAGACGATCTAGAACTGAGGAGGGGATAGGGGTCGGAAGCGCAGAAGAAGCGCGATGCATGAGCGATGGCGATGGAGATGGAGATGAGACAAGCGCAAGGTACCTACACGGTGTCTATTTAATTTCTCTCTCATCACGGAGACGATCCGGGGTGAATTTGTGACGCCAGGGTAAAAGACGAGGAATAATGAACCCGAGGCAATTCCGTTTTCCTACTCCCTATGGCTTGGTCACCACACATGAAGCAATTGATATTCATGGAGAGGAGTCCTGTTCATAAAAGCCTTGTCTCGCCCTGTTTCCGTTGATTTCACCTAGGTCAATCATGCAGTGAGGCATACATCTGCAGAATGATCATTCCCTGGCCAAATCTGTCTTGAAGCGTATCGTAATTCCGACCCGATATCACGCCGAGTGTCTTGAATAGTACTTGTGGATATGAGTAGGTGTATCCCCAAGGACCTATAGCATCTACATCTCCTCATCACTCTTGTGAATCTCCCCCCTTCACCTGCTTTCATACCCTCAAACATAGTAATCCAACAATCCACCCCTCTCACAACACCCCCCTCCCCACCGCCTCCGTCCGTTCCTCCCACACCGTCTTCCCACTACACGAACACACCGTCTTCTCATTCTCCCAAACCCCCGCACTCCGCGCCACCACCCCCACCAACGTATCCGCATCCTCCGCCGCGAACCCCTCCCGCTCCTGCGACACCACCACGCTCCGCCCTATCACCTCCCACACCTGCATCCTCCGATCCAGAAACGTCGACCCGATCCCCGCCTCATCCACCTCTACCGTCCCTAGCACCCCGCGGCCCTCCCCGGATGCCTGCTTCCCCGCCTCCCAGACTCCGCCAGTGCTCGCGGTGCCGCGGGAGATATCTCCCCCTTCCCGCACTGTCGCCCAGTATTTTCCGGGAGCCAACCCGCGGAGGCTCAGGTCGATGAGGGTGAGGTCCGAGGTCACCTGAACCATGCGCGCGAGGCCGCGGACTTGGTTAGGCACGTCGGCGTGTGTTTCAAGGATGCAGACAGCGGCAGCTAGGCGAGGTCAGTTCTGCGTGTAGAGTCTGGGAGGTATTGCAATTTCCAGGACGTACAGTTCTCCCGCCCACTTCCTCGGAGGATCGCATCGCGTCCGGTGGATTGGATGGCGGAGACGATGGCGGAGGGGGCGGCGGTGCCAGTGACGGAGACGAGTTGAGAAGGGAGGTCAGCAGCGACGGAGTGGATACCGGGGAGCTTGTGGAGGGAGGAGGAGACGTGTTTGATACACTCGTCGCAACGGAGGGGGACGGCGAAGGTGGTCTGGTGGGGGTTAGTATTCTGTATAAAGGGTTGGACTTGGGGGATGGAGGAGATAGCACACCTCGAATGGGGGTATCATGATTCGTGAAATATTCAGATGTTATAAAGGCACCGACTGCAGACTTCCAACTCTAATTATCCCTTTCATCGTAAAAATAAAAGGTCAACTCTAGCTCTCAAGTGCTGTGACGTTAGTCTAGAGCATTTGAAATCCGAATCCATTGGAGCTCCCCGAGGTCGCAAGGAGGTTTTATGCCTGAGGCGATAAGGCGACATCACAATTATCGCGACAGGGCTGGCTTGAGCTTCACATTTCTGATGATATGAGATTTTGCGGTCACCTCACGCTTCAACCATACTCTCACTTTTGTGCCCATCAACGTCCTTTAAATCTCAATCCTTCCCGTCCCTATCTTCTGCGTACCCTTGGATGGGCAACGCCTCCGCTCACGACCGCATCGTTCCGCTACACCAACTCCATCCCTAAATCACCACCTACCCTCTCGCCCATCATGTCCCAAGTAATCGGCCAGGTAAACTCCCTGAACACCGCAGAAATGACCACATAAATAACCACCATTCAGACCCGCCTCGCCTACTCCCGCCCCTGGCACCACCTCCCCCTCACCCGACACACCCCCCCCCTCGGCCGCGTCGCCTCGCGCATCGCCATCCTCCTCATGGGCAAGCACAAGCCGATCTACGACCCATCAACAGACTGCGGAGACTATGTGGTGGTGACGAACTGTCGCGGCATCAACGTGACGGGGCGGAAGAAGGAGCAGAAGCTGTATTATAGTCATACGACGCGGCCGGGCACGCTGAAGAGCATGGCGATGGGGGAGTTGATGGAGAAGTGGGGAGGCGGGGAGATTTTGCGGAGGGCGGTCAGGGGGATGTTGCCGAAGAATCGGTTGAGGGATGTGAGAATGGGGAGGTTGAAGGGTGAGTGATTTTTGTTTTTTTGGGGGAAGGAAGAGGGAAATGGGGATGGATGAGGATGAGAGGAGGAAGGCGGAGGCGTTGCGGGTTATGATCAATGGAGTGGAATGATGGCTAACATGACTACAGTATTCGAGGGCGATGCCCATCCGTACAAGAAGAACATCCTGCACTACCCCGTGGAGCAGAATCCGTCAATATTAGATACGCCCAGCGTGAAGGAGACTTTGGCCGAGGCGAAGGCATGAAAGACAGCAATCAGCATTTACGGCGTTTTGGAGAGAAGGATGTTTCAGAAGCACTGCTACGGCGATGGTCGGCATTTGCTCAAATGATCTTCATGTATTCGTATCGTGTATTTGTACAAATGAAGGTCCAAATCTAGTATCCTTAACACCCGCTCCCTAGTAGACCGTGAGATGGAAAAAAATCGAACCCTTCTCCATCTGCATTTCACAGCTTCGCCTTCGCCTTCAACCCCTTCCGGCTCACCGTACAGTCGATCAACCCATTCGGATCCGTCTGGGGCGCATACACCTCCGCATCCCCCCCCGTATTCTTCAACCCCTTATGCCAACTCAAATCCACCTCGAAATAATGCCGATTGGGCAACGTATAGCTAACATTCTCAATCCCCCCCACCGCCCCCAAAATCGCCTCGCACATCTTATACATCGTATTCTGCACGCTCGCGCTATTATCCGTCGCGAACGTACTCAACGTCACCTCCCGCGCCACCTTCCACGCCCGATCAAACTCTCCCACCTCCGCACGCACCGCGTCCACGCTCCCAAAATGCTTCCACCCCCACCGCGCCCGCACCGACGTCGACAAAATCCGATCCCATGTCTCCGGCAGCCGCGTATACTCGTCCCGATGGAACCCATGGAATGCTGACCCCGTGCTCTTCAGCACCACCAGCTTGTCGATCGCGCTGGAGAGCGTGATGCCCTTCGCGCCGCCGCCTTGCAGCTCCGAGGCGCCCTGCCCGTCGCGTACGACCGCTGCCACCTCGCGCGTCTCCTCGCCGTCGCGGATGAAGCTGTGCGGGTGGGGTTCACCGTCGACGAGGAGGCGCGACCAGCGGTGCTGGACGATGGAGACGTGGGCAGCATGGATGTGGGGGTAGCTGTCGACGAAGTGTTGGCCGACGAGGGCGGCGAAGAGCTCCGGGGGGGCGATGGGGTGCTGCTTGGCGAGGATGTAGACGGATTGCTTTTGGGTGTCGGTGGCGACGATGACGGAGTTGTCGGCGGCGGTGTAGGAGGTATCGATGGCGCCTTCGAGTTGGGTGCAGACGGTCATTTCGACGACGGTTTGGATGTTGGTGGTGGGGTCTTTGTGGACTTTGTAGAGGCGGATGTTATCTTTGCCGTAGCGGGCGGAGGTGAGTTCGGCCATTGTGATGGTGATGGTGATGGTAGTTTGGGGTCTAGGTGTAGTTCGAGTGCGGCGTGAAGCAGAAATTATGGTGTTTGCAGAGGTGATAAGATGGAATTGTCGAGCAAGATCTCACAGGCAGAATGGTCGAGCGAGGAGCAACAGTCGGGATTAGACCTTCGGATATCTAAGTCATCTAATGAAGAAAAAGGAACGGAGTCCAGAGGAAGAGAGCAGCCAATGGTTCATATATATCGGCCGTACAAGTCTTATCGCGGAACACTACGCAAAGCGGAGCTGGCCGAGAAATCCTTCCATCCAGGAATCTGCCCACTGGTTTGTGGATGTGGCCCCTCTGGACAACGCGCGATCCAGGCCTTCCGTTGCGCTATCAATGATCCAATGGCAGCTAGCGATCGAGAACCATTCCCCTCCGTTAAATTGGCACTTGATTAAGGGAATTGCGGCGTCATTGGGCGTAGAAAGCGGCAGTTTCCCCTCTCCAAAGGGAGACGGAGGTCACCGATGGCGATGGGGGAGTGGAGTTTACGGGGCACCTCACCTGAGAATCTGAGATATCGGTCGCTAGGAGTGGGATAGTTCGTATTCATGACAGATTTTAATCCATTGTTCTCCATTTTGAGCGGAATTTATCTACCATTGCGCGGAAATGTTTCACGGTTTATATCAACATATTATTAAGTTAACTAGTTATTCTAATTAGTATGACGACATGATATTTGCACATGATAATCCGCGAATATCCCCGCAAGTTCGCGACGAGAGTGGCTTCAACTTTGTGGCTGTTGCGATATTTCAGGGTTATGGAGTCTACCGTATTCCGTATCATTGGCGTAGAAGAGTTCGAATGATGCCCAGAGTCCATGCAGTGGACGATCATCTACGGAATCCTCCCTATTGTTCGGTGCACGCCTATTAGTGTTGAAGGATCGTCCTGCGTCAGATGTATCGCCTAGTCTTCGGTGGCTATTATCTCATCGTTTCTGGACGACTTGATGCTTCCTGAGGGTCCCGATGGCGTACAGGATCTATCCTCATGTATTCCATTTTCCGTTTGGCTTGATATTGCTCGAAGTCGGCCTAGACTATAGTACTCAAGCACAGTACTACCGTGCATACCCCTAGTTCATTACGCCAGGGGCATCGTCCTGCTCTGGGCATCCGCAATTGCAGTACTACACGTATAATCCATATTCGTTATAGGTCGACTCTAGCATCGATGTATGAAACTGGGGGTTAGTTCGCTCCCGACGGGATGAAACATTACAATATCTGCCATTATGCCATAAGACATGGATATTCAGAGGTGGAGGGGAGCGTCAATGACGACACTGATATCCCTAACCTTACGAAAAGGTACCTGGCTAGAAAGAGGAAAGGGGAAATCGCCATTGTCTTAGGAAACGTCCTTTGGGTAAATACCGTTGGTAGATATGTATGCCATTGAAGACAAGACATTGTCCACATCTGCGAATGATGTTATCATGATCGAGTTTGTCGGCGGATTGTGTGATGCCTGAGTAAATGGGCGAACGGGGTACATAATGAAAGCTAGTCAAACAAAGACAGTAAGCTTGAGAACATATGACACAGTATGTTGGAATGGAGAAGACTGAAGTAGGATGAAATGAATTGATGAATTGATGAATTGAATTGACGTTGTTGCTCCATATGAGAGGAATTCTGTTCCGGCATTCTTATTGGCTGACATGTCACCCTTGCTTCCACTGGCATCTCACCACGCCATACATCTCTCCATTCACCACTTACTACGGAGTACTGCTTCAATACATATCATTCAATCACCATTCTATCAGCATTCATTGCGACGAGACTGACTACTTACTTGCCCACTTACTTCACACCTCTATTCTATTATTCCCCGGTACTCTTGTACACCATCTCGCATCGGTGTCCACCTCCCACCCACCTCCTCATCGCTGAGGTTCACCTCCCTCGGATGGACTATCCTCATGCCCACCAACGGGCCGCAACCGTGGCGAGCCTGATCCGGAGATGAAGGCTGGCATGCCGGGGGACTGACTTGAAGGCATCCATTCTCCATCCACCTCCGCGCCTTTGGAGCGCTCCGCTCTCCAGATGACACCAGCCCCGCAACTCACCGTTGTCCCCGCCCATTCACAGCATGGCACGCCCTCCCAACTCGATGGGAGCGTCGCAACCGACCATCCCAATGCCCTCATGCCGCCCCCCTCGAGAAGTGGCGCGCGAGACGCCCGCTCCATGTCGTCCTCGTCCGCCCAGCCGTCGTTCCGCACCGGAGCCAGCTATGCGACCGGCCCGCCACCTGGCAGCTTCAGTTCGGAGCTCCGCACCATGACGATGCGAAGCGAGACCCCGCGACCGACCTTCAGCGCCCAAGACGGCTTTTTGGGGGAATTGGCGCGTACGACCTCCGAGCAGCGGCAGGCGGACCTGCGGGACCAGATCGTCAAAGAGGAGAAGATCAAGACCGGGTCGGAGAATTTGTTGGAGGCATTGAACAGCAAGAGCGCGAAGCAGAGCGCAAAGCAGAGCAAGGATCAGAAGAAGAGGGTGGAGGCGGAATTGAACACCGCGAATCGAAAACTGGCGGCGCTGCGACAGGGCCTGGAGGACGAGATTGCCCGGAATAAAGAGGAGGCGGCGGTCGCATCGGGGATGAGCCCGAAACCAGGAAAGGGACGGTTGAGCTTTCTGTTTCGCGCCAACGAAGCATCGCCGACGACACCAGATGTTGACGACGGAGAGAGCGAGACCGAAAGCCCGACGTTCGTGCTAGCGGAGATATTACAGGCCTTGGAAGCCGAAGGCATGTTACCGGAGTATTACGTGGAATACGCGAATAGGCTGGTCGAGCTGTTCAAGCGAAATCCGACGCTAAAGTTCGACTTGGCCTGGCCGATATTCGCCATGCGCGTACAGACGATGCTGCTAAGCGACAGCCGGGAAGTCGTCGCGGCGGGTTATCGTGTTCTGCGATATGTCATGACCGACCGACGCTCATTGCAGACCATTCGCGCCCACCAAACCGATTACCTGGTCATTGTTTCGCTGGTCAAGCAGACGAGGGCGTCCGTGGAGCGAGAACAAGCGCTCAAATTCGTTCGCGCGTTCTTGGAAGTCAAAGATGGGGTGAAAGAGATCTCGCGTTCCATCGTGCGCATTCTGGTCGCCATCGCGGAGCACACAGAAGATCGCCTTCGAAACATCGCCATTCTCACCCTCTCCGAAATTCTCATTCGAGATCCTGTTCTTCTGAAAGCCGCTGGCGGACTCGGGGCGCTCACCGATGCACTGGGAGAAGGGGTCTACCTTGCCGCCGAGAGCGTCGCTGTCTCGTTTCTCTACCTGCTAGATCTACCCAGCCGACGAAAGCACCTTACCCACGGCCGCGAAATCGAGCTCGCATTCGCATCATTCACCGAGATACCCATGAATGTTACCCATCACGAAGAGAAGCTGAAAGCGAACGTAAAAGTCATTTCCGCGTTGTTGAAAAGCTGGTCTGGGTTGTTGACATTGTGTATGGACGATTTTATGGCGACTCGATCGCTCGTCGCTTCGCTATTTATCCCGATGCCGCATTTACGAAATATTGTCCTGGAGTTGTTCATTGATTTGTTGCGGATTAAGCCACCGGCTTTCGCGTCGTCCTTCTTGGCCGGGAGGAGACTAACCACCTACCAACGAGTCACAAGACTCAAATCAACTGCTGGGACCACTACCGATTCCAAAGCTCCTGGCGAGACGGACGATGATGTCGATCAAATGAGTCTGGTCGAGCATTACACGGCGGTTCTCCTTGCCGTTTTCATACACTCCGGTCTGGTCGATGCGCTGATGCATGCGGAACAAGAATGGCTCACTCCACCTTTAAAACGAAAGACCACCCTAGTGCTTAGCGAAGTCCTACGAATGGCAAGCGAGATGCTTCCGCCTCCGATTAGCGAACAAGTTCAAATCCTTCCGCAGCTGGTACAGCAAGGCGCGAGAATGGACGACGATGACCGATTCGACTACACCTCAACCATCTACCAGATCGAGAGCGTTACGCGGACGATCTATCGCTTCGCGCCCTCGGAACAGCACGGGACGCGGCCCACGAGCGCGGGCGAGCCGAACAACGGACCACCCGAGTCGTCAAAGGCGCATTCGATGATGCAGGTCGACGAACCGGGGTTCCGGCAACTCATACTCGAAACCCATATCCTCAGCACCGTGAACTTCACGAAATGGCGCTGGGACATCATTCAGAACATCATCGAAGGGCCCCTTCTCAACGCGAAACGACTAGACGAGGCGATCCGAGCCTCGAAGTTCCTGCATCGATTGCAGGGTTTCTACCGCCCCTTCAAGCGGCGGTTCGCCGATGTGAAGAATACAAAGCCGAATCAGCGCTATGTCCGCGTTGGCGTGGCGTTAATGCGCACGCTTCTTAATAACCCCGAAGGAGCGAAATACCTCGCCGAAAGCAAACTCATCCGACAGCTCGCGGAATGTCTCGCGCAATTCGACCGTATGTCCGGCATCATGGCCGTGAGCCCGATCTTCACCCCCGAGCGGATGAATGAGACGCTTTCCGGCGGCTACTTCTCCATGCTCGGAGCGCTCAGCCGGGACCCGAAGGGCATGCTCATCATGGAGCGGTGGAAGATGTTCAACATGTTCTACCACATCGTCGAGCTCAAGGGACGAGACGATCTGATCAAGACGTTGCTGGGGGGCATGGACTACACCCTCGAAGGGCATCTGCGTATTATATTAGGGAAAGCGATGACCTGTTGCTCGAAAGATATTCGGATCTTTGCGACACGCATACTGAGGAAATATGCGGTCCGCGCTGTCTCCGGTTTGTCAGATACGGACGCCACGCAGACTGCTGAATGGGCCATCCGGCTCCTCGTTACGCAGCTATACGACCCGTCTATCGAAGTCTGCGAAGCAGCAGTCAAGATCCTCGAAGAATCGTGCAACCTGACATCATCCCTTGAGTATGTCGTCAAGTGCCGACCGGCTCTAGACCACCTTGGCGAGATCGGTGCGCCGCTTCTACTCCGCTTCCTCAGCTCCAGTGTTGGATATCACTATCTCGATGGCCTTGACTATATAACCCGCGAGATGGACGATTGGTTTCTGGGACGAAACGATACCTATGTGGCATTAGTCGAGGCATCACTTGCAAAGGCGTTCGCCGAGCCGCACGACAAGCCCGGCAGCTCATCCGCCGCCCAATATCCCGGGGTCGGCCACCATTCGCATTTCGATGAGATGATGGCCGAGCACCAAGAATACGGCTTAGTCCCCCCGCATTTCTACCGCGAGCTCACCCGCACGCACGAAGGCGTCAAGCTCCTCCGCGAGAAAGGCCACTTCGACGAGTTCGCCGCGACCATCCACGACTTCGGCCGCGAGGACGACGACGCCGAGACGATCCTCAAGCTCAAAGGCTGCCTCTGGGCAGTCGGCAACGTCGGGTCCATGGAGCTCGGTGCCCCCTTCCTCGAGACCACCGATGTCGTCCGCGACGTCGTGCAGATCGCGGAGAACTCCCTCATCATGTCTGTGCGCGGCACCGCGGTGTTCGTGCTCGGGCTGATCAGCCGGAGCGTGCATGGGCAGGAGATCTTGCTGGAGTACGGCTGGGACGGGGCGACGAATATGATGGGCGAGGCTCTAGGGTTTGCGATCCCGAAGGACCTGCGGAAGTTGTTTAGTGTGCCGGATTGGACGAGGGAGGCGAAGGCGGAGCAGCGGATGGCGGCGGCGGCGCCGTTCGATGCGGCGAAGATTTTTGTAAGGAGTGGGAGGGGGGAGAAGGATCCGGTGAAGAAGCGGCTTTTCGCGGCGGCGGAGAATTTGGGGAACTCGGTGTTGAGCAAAAAGGCGGCAGGGGAGTTGAATGCGTAAGTACATCAGCATTTTCTATTCTCCTATCCACAGTATCAAGACGGTCTATCATTAATCGTCCGCTAACAATCACGGCAGCCTAAAATCCCGCTACCCCGCCTACTTCCGCCGGCCGTCCGTCTTCCGCACCGTCCTCTCCATCCTCGAAGCTCACCACTTCCGCCTGCACGTCTGCCGCTTCCTCATCGACCTCTTCGATAAGGACGTCATGCGGCAGATCGTGCTGGAGGAAGAGAGCGACGAAGAAGCGGGAGACCGCGATGATGTGGCGCTGGATATCGACAGTCCGATCAGTCCGATCAATTCGATGGAGCGGCGGCCGTGGAGCAAAGGGAGCGAGACGAGACCACGGAGTAAGGGGTCGGGAGGCGAGCATGCACGACCGTACAGCAGGGGCACGACCGGGGCTATTGGAGGAGCGCGGGGGTGAGCCGCGAGAGATGGAACGCGAACGAAGGACATCTCGCTTCACGGCGTACGGATCATTCAAGCTCGGATGGCGATGGGCTTGACGATTCTGATTGGCGGGCGTTTCCCCACTGGGTTCGGAACCGCCACCCGTTTGCATGAGCTACGGCGTATTCATATTGCTTTGACTTTTGGGAGTGTCTGGAACTCGGGATGGGAGTCTGGGCTCGGTTTGGGACCTTGCGACGCGAAGAAGATTACGGCAACGAACCGGTGGACGGAGCAAGCGAATCATGGATGGGAAGGATGTTATTGTATACTGGGCTCGATGCTTTGCCATATAACTTGAACAATTCCAAACTAGCCACATTGCCAATGCGTGACCCTACAAGCGACGGCGCCCGAATTCCCACAACCCCACAAACCAGTGGATTTCACTTGTTAGACACCACTGACGACTCCGCTATTCCGTCGCAATAGCGGAATCTTATGATAACCACAACATAACAACATCCAGCAATCTCGTCTCGTTCCCTTCGAATTTGAAATAATATATTATTTCCCGGCCGTCCAGGCAGCCCATGTTTCCTACCAATCCGGACCCCAACATGCTCCTACTCAACGCGTTTTGTGAGGCGTTGCTCAGGGAACATCCTGCCCCAGCCCCTTTTAGGATCGCCATGCTTGCTGCTCAGCTTCTGGGTTCTGATTTCTACAACAGTAGCCCCATACGGAATACGCTGCTCTACTCGTGTAGATCAACTGATAGAGACGGGACTATCTCTTTTCTCGGTCAGGGTATCCCGTGCTGGATGACGGTTGAATCGCCTTCATTGGCGGGGAATTCACTCGATCGTCATGTAAAATATTTCAATTGGCGTTTACACTTTATACTACTGGAATCCTTTTAACACAACTGCCCATCTGGGACATTAGCGACGTCGTGTTTGTTTGCCGGTCATACTCTCGGTCATACATGGCGAACAAGCAGATTGTTCCGTTGGAACTATTCTGCTAATTATAAATACGGAAAGGGGAGTCTGATCGACTGGAGCTGGAGAAGAGTTGGGAACGCCACTGTATGGATGTCTTGGTTTAACCGAGTCATGACATGGACGACTCAGTAGGGCAACACGGGAAAGTTCAGAGTCCTTCGTAATTAACTCCGGTTCATTTCGCTTCGTTCAGGGTTCTAACACGGCCCGTGTCTCAATCATCAATCGTGCAGATGCCGCAGGGCGCATGCTGGTATCGGTCGTCCGTGCCAAGTCGTCCATTTCCTGGTTGACGGTTGTGTCCTGTAGCCTTCCCCAGTTCCCATCTCTTTGGATCGGAGCGTTCTTGCGGGGAGAACGATTAATATAACCGTATCCCCGGCTGATGGACGCTGGTCTTTCCCATTTAAAAGTTGTTTGGCTCCATCGCCAACTGACGGGCTGACTTGGCGTATGGTTCATCTTGCTTTATACTGGACATTTGCGTTTCTGTGTCGGTTTTGTTCAGTCAGTGAGGCTGAGGCTCGTTTCACTCGTACCAAGAGAAAGAATGTGACACCGGTATACTGTATATCGTATATCGGATATCGAGAATCAACACAATGGGCCGATTTCTGCAAGGGCCAGCGATTATGGTATGTCCAACGAGGTGTCATCGATAGGAACATGCGAACAGTGCAAACGGCTCGGAATTGTACGGGACTGGCGCTGACTGGCCCATAGGTGGTGGACTGGATAATGTATGGACTGGCATTCATCCTCGTGTCAATACGGCTATGGTTTCGACTCCTCTACCAGCGAGTCCGTCTCAGATTATCTGATATTCTCCTCATCATCTCGCTGTTTTTCGCCCTAGGATTAGAGATATGCCTCACGATCACATTCCAACGTGGAGGGATGGTGGAAGAAGTCGCCATGATAGGCCCTACGCCAAACAGAAAGGTGGGTGGTTCATCTCGTTCCAACTAATAGATCCTGCTCACGAAGGATTAGATTTCGTACACGTCGTCATTCCTCTACTATACCTCAGTGTACTGCGCGAAGTTTAGTCTCCTCACCCTCTACTACTTCCTCATCCCGCGGACATGGCCTAATCTACGCACCGCACTCATCGTCACCATCGTGTACACAGCCGGATCATATCTTACAACCCTATTCCTATCACTATTTTGGTGTGGGACGAACATTTTATCAAATTTCATCCCTTCCCTCACAACGTGCAGCATCTATAATCACACGTATTTCAATACGGTCTGGTCGTTGAACATTACCTCGGATTTCATGGGTACGGCAAATCCTTTGGAGCATGCAAGACACTTTCGCTGACTTATGCTGCAAGCTTTTGTACTCCCGTTTCCGATGCTAGTTGAACTCCAGTTGGCGAGGAGGCAGGTTGTAGCCTTGGCCATAACGTTTGGACTGGGCATCATCACCATGGCGGTGAGCACCGGACGGTTTGTCGCGGTCAAGAACTACTCCATCATGCCTTTGTGTACGTCCACTCTGATCCGTCCGACTATGCCAGCGCTCGCGGAAATCGGGAGTCGTTTGCTGATCTAAATCGTGCAGTTGTCTGGTCCTCGGCCGAATGCACGACAGCGATCATGGTCGCCTCGCTCCCGGCATTGAGACCTCTACTCAAACGGGCCACCAAGTCCACCCGTCGAACCACCGATGAACTGGGTGCGACCGAAATGGCGAACCATCACACCACCAAACGTGCCGTTCAATCCCATGCGAGCGTCCGTAGTACCGATTCGGCATATTCGATGACTCGCCAGCATAACCGACACAGTTTCGGCGCGTTAAGCAAAGGATGGGTGCAGATGCGGGACGATCTTTCGAATGGCTCAGACCTAAAATTGGAATCACCACGGACGGCTGCCCTACCGATGGATTCCCGACGAGGCACGGAAGAATTTGAGTTGTCTGGCCCCTCTGATACGGAGACAACCGAAGGCAGGCATCCTGTTCAAGCCAGAAATGTCTTCGAAGAACGACACCAGGTTGTCATACACGGGCCAGAAAACACCATCAATCGCAGCAGTTCATGGCGGAGAATCTGATATGTAATTTTCCTGAAGTGAGGATATTTTCCAGCATTCGATTCTTTATTCCCTTAAGGCGAAAACTGTCCGGGTTCAGGTCTTTATGGTTGGGACTCAAGATAGGAGGTTGGTTGGAGTTGGGTCGGAGTCAACCTCGGGGACATTATGATCGGTATGATTTGAACTGGCGATGGCTGGCGAACCAATGGATATTCAAAAGCGTAATTCGTCAATAGATAATTGACAGAATGCTCAATTTGGACCATGAAGCTAGACAATATCAAATATACCAAATACATATGTAAAATAGCAGCTCTTATTCCGTACGGAAACCCCTCTAGCCGTCTCGGCCAGTCGGCCTCTCCTAAGTTGCTGAGATAAGCAGCCCAGATGTCACGACTTTCTGTGGGGATCTCACGGAATTTCTCCAATCTCCATTATTAATATTCCCGTCCTCATATTTGGTTCTCCCTCCCTCCTCCACCAGCCGCATTCCGTTTAGCCATATCGCCATCGCAGTCCTCCGCTAAACACATCGGGCCCAAGATGAGCAAAATCCTCCGGCCGCGGCCCGTTTTCGCAGGCCTCAATGCCAGACCCTTGCTATCCACGGTGAATGAAGATTGGGGGTCCACTCTCCCATGATTGTTCTGGGCGATGAAGATTATTATTAACTATATATTTCTTCTTCGGCCGTTGGCGATCTCTATTGCGATATATTTCTGTGAGCGGAGCTCTAACATGATGTGAATGAAGAGCGCTTCGTCGTATTTAATCTATCCTTCCTCCTCATCGCCACGAGATCCTTATCATAGACCCCTCCAACCACTCAGCCATGGCTTCGCAACCCTCATCCCGCACGCCTCTCTCCTCGATTCTCCCTCCCCTCATCTTCGGAACCGCTACCTTCAACACCCAGTACAATAAGGACCCCTATGCGCTCGACACGAAAGGCCTCGTCAAGGAAGCCCTTGATCACGGCGTCCGCGCCTTCGATACCTCGCCTTACTACGGTCCCGCGGAGATCCTCCTCGGCGCCGCGCTCGACGTGCCCGATATCCGCGCGCGATATGCTCGACGTGAATACTTCATCCTGACGAAAGTTGGGAGGATCGCGGCGGAGGAATTCGACTACAGCCCTGAGTGGGTACGATCGTCGGTGGATCGATCATTGGAGAGGCTGAAGACCGATTACCTAGACGTGGTATATTGCCATGATGTCGAGTTCGTTAGCGAGGAGGAGGTGCTAGGGGCGGTGAAAGAGTTGCGCCGATTAAGAGATGAGGAGAGGAAGGTCAAATATATCGGGATCTCGGGGTATCCGGTCGATGTCCTTTGCTCCCTGGCCGCGAGGGTCCTCCGCGAAACGGGAGAACCACTTGATGCGGTCATGTCATATGCGAACTTCACCCTACAAAACACATTGCTCGAAACCCAAGCCATCCCTCTGTTGAAGCAAGCGGGCGTCGACGTCGTTCCGAACGCCAGCATGCTTGGTATGGGTTTATTGCGACACGACGGCCAGCCGGAAGGCGCCCAGGGCGACTGGCACCCGTCCCCGCTCGGCCTTCGGCGGGCCGTGCAAGATGCCAGCGACTTCTGCGATCGACACGACGAGCGGATCGAGGTCATTGCGATCCGATACGCACTCGAGAGCTACGTGACCGTCGGATCGATCGTCGGGTCCAGCGGCGACCCCGCGTCGGGCGTTCCGTGGAAGGAGGAAAGCATCGACGATGTCGGCGGCGGGAAGTTGGGGGTCTCGGTCATGGGCGTGAGCAATTCAGCGGAGTTGAAGAAGACGATGCAGGTGTGGCGAAGTATCCTGGACGGGCTAGAAGGCGGCGAAGCGACGGCGATGGCGGCAGGACGATGGCGACGCGATCACGAATGGAGCCTCAATCGCAAGAAAGCCGTGCAGATCTTGGCGGACGGCGTAAAGGAGGTGATGGATAAGTGGCTCGACTTCACGTGGGAGAGTCCACATAGGGATTACGTGAATGTCCGGGGGAAAACGACTGAGCAGGTATACGAGGCGAAGGAGAAGTTGAGAGCGTCGGCGTTGAAACAGGTCACGGTAGCGGCCATGTGGCCGACTCCAGCAGCGAGCCCCGAACCAGTGTCGGAGGATCGAAGGTTTCCCTTCCGATGATGGCGAATGTCGACGGTTTCATGATTTATAATGCGTTAATACAGAGGAATGGGACCTCATGAATGTCACGACGTAGCACACCGAAGGATGCCTTGGGCATGTGCTAAAGAGCGAGGATTCGAAACCCTGTCGGATCCTTTTCAGTTTGCGTACCTCGACTTTGTTTTCTTCCCCTTTTCCAAATTCCAATGCGTTCTACACGCCATAAATACCTAAGCATATCCCGCGCCATGGAGTGGTTTATATCTCCCCTAGGACATCACCATGTCCTTCCCAATCTCCATCCCCTGGATTCCCCTCCTCCACCCACTCGTGCAATGCTCCCCATCCCAACCCGCCATCACCGCCGCCCTGCCCAACCAAAGCCCAGGAACAAATAAACCTCGCTTCTGGGGGTACACCAGCAGGTCCGACTCGTGTGCATCCTCCTTCTACGGCCGTTGATCTATGCTTATACCAACCTCTTTTCAGGGTTACCCCTCTTCTGCCGAACCGACTCCACCTACGGCACCTTCGGCACTATCGTCGACTGCTGCCCCACCTCCGCCGCCTCCTGCCACCCCGCGACGCGATGCTTGTCTGGAAACATCGTCCAGCACCCGATCGGCCGCGCGGAGACATATTGGTTTGCCTTCCCTTTCTCCCTCCCCGCCCACTCTCCCCGCCTCATCTACCATTGATACTGAACCCCCTTCCATAGCTTCGACGCCTGAAACCCCGTCCTCATCCTCTCCACCGCCAACGACCCCGCCCCACACACCCAGTTCAGTTGCGCCCCCCCCCTCCATGACCCTTCTCCGCGCTATCGACGCCGCCGCCACCGCTAAGTCCCAATCGCCTCCCGCCAAAACTAGTCGCGAAGTGGGCGCAAGCCTCGTCGGCGTTATCTTCGGTTTTGTCGTTGCTGGCTTGATCGTCCTCATCCTCCCCGTGGTGGGGATCGTTTGGTTCTACCGCAGACGGAAGGTGCGGATGAACGCTTGGACGGAGCTGAGCGATGTGGCGCCAAACCGGGAGGGGGGGGAGGGGCCGGTGGACTCGAAGGGGGGGTTGGTGGAGTTCTCCGCGGAAGGGGGCGGAAAGGGGGGGTGATGGAGCTGTCGGCTGGAGGTAGACGGACTCGGGATGTGGTAGAGCTGCCGAGAGGGGGGCAGGCGGTGGAGTCGTCGGCGGGAGGGGGGAAGGGGAGGGGGGAAGGGCGGGGCGGTGAAGTTGCCGCAGCGGAGCTCGAGGGGGTATCACGAGTTGCCGGCGTAGATATGATAGGCATGTATAGATGGCATTGGGTTTGTGTTCGGCGGTATGGCGCTCGGGATTAGTGTTGGACGTTATACGGGACAAAGGGGGGCGCTCTGGCTGCCGGTCGTCGGACTGTTGAGGCTGTTAGTGCGCAATGCAAGGTCGACATCCGCTGCTATGGGATCAAACCAGGGGACCCGACAGGAGTCATGAATGATCTGAATAGGGATGCATCATAGTAGACTTGGCCACTAATCTAGCTCAGCAAAGAACGTTATAACCATGAATTTTTCGCTATTAAACACACATAACGAATCTATCTACAGCGATTTGACGCTGTCACATAATTTTTTCAGTGAAAACACATACCCGTCCCCGGATTTTGATGATACCGATAGCAGAATGTAGTTTTCATCGCATGACCATGGCTCGTCATCATGTCGCATAGCGCCCAAGCCGCGATGCAAATCAACCCGTGTAAACAAAGAGGAAAAAAAGGACAGAGGGATTCCAACAGATCTCGCTCGTCATACCGGTCGTGACACGCGCTTAAAGCACCCATACATCGGAAACATCAACACACATTCACTCCCGCCTCGTCAAGATAAACCCTCCGTCTCGCACTTCCACCCGCTCGCTCAACCGCACCGTATCGCTGGGCGACCCTTTCCCTCCCTGTCCGTTCTTCTTCTGTCCACCCTTCCCACTCCCACCCCCGATGCCGTTCCCAGATTCTCGATCCACCACCCCCACCAACCCCATCGCCACCACCCTCCTCTTCTCCCTTTCTGCAACCACTACCTCCGCCAAACCCCGCGCCCGCTCACTCCCCACCCGCTTCGCGAACGCCGGCGCCTCGAACACCTGTCTCAGCGTGCGGAACGGGATCGTCAGCAGCACGGAGGAGAACAGCGCGGTCGGCGAGGGTGCGGGGACGATCCCGTCGGGGGAAACGGAGACCTGCCCGAATTGGATTCCGGGGCGGACGCTGCGGCTGCGCGAGCGGGCATGGTGGAGATGATGGTAGGGGAAGCGTTCCATGTTGCCGGTCAGTTCGGGGGCATGGGCGTCGAACGTCAGGTCTGCGGGGAGATGTGCGATGAGGTAGTCGTTGATGGCGAGGAGGAAGTCCTTGTTGTACATGCCGTAGGCGAAGCCGCCGTGGCCGGAACCTTGGGTCGGATCCTTGCGCGCGTAGGCAAAGTCGAAGGCCATCGCGAGGGTGTCGGGACCAATCAGGGAGCGCGCGTAGTGCAGGCCGTGGTGGCAGAGGGATGGGAGCTGGAGGATGTAGCCGGCGGCGAAGTAAGCGAGGCAGCGGGAGAAGACCTCGGGGGTGTCGGTGTGCTCGAGGAGGTTGCCGTAGGGGTCCCAGGTGCGGGAGAGGTCGTCGAGGGTGAGGGGCCGGGCGCCGTAGACGTAGCGGAGAGCGTCGGTGAAGGCGTGGGGGGTGACGAAGGGGTCGTGGAGGGTGGCATGGAGGGCCTTCATGCGCTCGTAGGGGTTGAAGGATTGGGAGGGGGAGAGGAGAAGGCGGGATAGGGTGGGGCTTTGGGAGATGATGATGGAGTGGACGGGGAAGGTCATGAAGAGGCGGTCGAGGCGGGAATCGTGGAGGATAAGGATATAGTCGGCGAGCACATCGGTGCCAAACATGTTGAGGATGCTGGTACGCATGAGGGACATATGTTCCATATCCGAATATTCGCCAGGTCCGGCCACCAGTTGGTTCAGAGCCGGGTCGGGGTACGCAATGGCATCCTTGGAGGAGCCATTCGACCATCGGTGCTTGTCCTGGTCCTGATACAGAAGAGAAAGATCGGTGTAGTTTTCCGCGGGCGATGGCTGCATCGGAGGCACAGCAAACCCTCCATCCTGCGGGGACATCGTCCGTGTTCCATTGCGAGAGTGTGCGGGGCTCGCTACCGCCCCTCCGCCCCTGGGAGCGCCAGCGAAGGCATCTTGTTCGGTCGGAGAGTTGAGGGCGTTATTTGGTATAAACGGGACAGACGTCGGAGTCAAGACGGTCCCGTTAGGCGTTGCCGAGGGTATCGCACTGACTGGGTGTGCGTGAGCTGATGACGGGACAAACGCTGGAGCGAAGACATGGTTGTTCGTGAATCGAGGCGGTGGAAGCGATGATGGATCGAGAGGAGACTCGGGGCGGCCTCCAAAGACCAGTGGACCTCCTGGTTGGAATCGTCGAAGCGGAAGATCGTGTTGCATCGGAGCTTGGTGTGGGGGTTGGATTTCTGGTGGAGGCAACACTGAGGTTCCGTTCGAGAGACCATGGTTCCCGTTCACGGCGCCAGGAGCCTCGATGTCACCATTTGTCACCGGTATGCCGGAATGAGGCATCGCCTGTTGGTCCTGAGTGGTAGTAGAGATATCTCGGGCGGCTGGCGAACTGGTCTGGCGGGAAGCGATACCGGAGTCACGCCTCTCTGGGCTATGAGAGGGCGACGATTCTAGTTGAGGAGCAAGAGCCTCCTCTTTTACCGCAGAAGCATCACTCTCACCCTGAGCCTCAGTTGGCGGATCTTTGCGTTGTTTTGTAACCTCCCCAACCTCTGCTCGCTTGTCATCGGCTCGTGGCCCCTCGGAGGTGGGGAGCTCCGCACTGCTCGCGGTGGACAAACCAGAGATGGAATTCCTGGTTGTATGCGGACGTTTTTCGAATACCAGAGGGATAGCCGGGACAATACGGCTGGTAGGCCGCGTCTTATTTACCGCCATCGTCGGGGAAGCGTAGAGGAATGATTGTAGGGAGGACGGGAAAGGTTATGACTCCTCCGCACAACGGAAGATCGACAGCGGGGAAAAGATGGAAGGAATTCCTGAGAAAAACAAGTGCGGCTCCAAGATAATGTGCACGGGGTAAGTCCAGAGCAATTATCTTGGAGCGCAAGAAATAATTGCAGGAGACGAGAGGGACTCGTTACCGGAAAGGGAAGAGAGAGTGTTGACGAAGTGAAAGCGAGAAGAAATGGTCGTTGGGAGAACCGGAGAATCGATGGAAACATGACGAAACTGAAAGTAGTAAGGCGCTAAGGCTGTAAATTAGTGGATGCCTGATTCTCCCCGCAGCCGTAGCCGCAAACTGCAGTCGGAGCTTCAACGTCTCTCTGGCCTCTGGTCACTGTGGTTCTCACTCCCGGGAACATCAATATTCAGTACAGTACATCTGATATCCCTACACCACTGAACAAAGGCATTGACTCCTATACTTATATCACGGGGATTAATTTGTCAATATATCCCTTTTGTTCCCGCCATTCCATCCCGTGAATTGATCTACAAACATCTATCACACCGCCCGTCCCCCTCCTTGCTTGCATCATCAACGACCTGGTTGGCTGGCATCTAGAATCCTCCGAGACATCGTCAAACCCAGTCATTGACTCTTTAGAGATGGCGGAGGAAGGGCCTGCTGCGGCGGGCATAGATGGTTTACGAGAGTTGGAGCCCTCTCCAGTCGAGTCGCCGTCCAAGGAGAAGAAAGACGCTCCGTTGGTCGAGACAAGGCAAACACCAGCACACTTGCATCCAAGTAGATTAGGTCTAAACGGCAACCACGGCCCATCATATTACCGTATGTCATATCTAATATCCTCAACCCTTCCCTCCCAACTAACCTCCCAGTCTCCCGCCTCCAACGCTACTCCTCCTACACCTTCACCGTTTTCGCTGCCCTCCACTTCACCAACACCGCCCTCATCCCCCTCGCAGCCTCCTCCCTCTCCTCCGCAGACTCCTACCTCCTGCTCACCCGCCCCTACTATCAATCCCCCCTCGCCGAACCCCTCCTCGTCGCCCTCCCCCTCGCCACCCACATCGCCGCCGGCCTCGCCCTCCGCCTCGTCCGTCGCGCCCAGAACCTCCGCCGCTATGGTGCCGCGCGCTCCGACGATGCGGGCTGGTGCGCACGCCTCGCGCAGGGGTGGCCGCCGCTGAACGGAATCAGCATTCTAGGGTATGCGCTCGTGCCGATGGTGGCGGGGCATGCGTTCTTGAATCGGGGGTTGCCGTGGATCCATGACGGCGGGAGCTCGAATGTGGGTTTGGAGTACGTGGCGCATGGGTTCGCGAAGCATCCGGTGGTGAGCTTTGTGGGGTTTGCGGGGTTGGTGGGAGTGGCGGCGTGGCATTTTACGTGGGGGTGGGCGAGGTGGTTGGGGTGGTCGCCGAGTGGTGTGGCGCCGGGTGTAGTGGAGTACCGGGCGCGGAGGAAGAGGAGGTGGTATTTGGTAAATGCAGTGAGTGTGGTGGTTGCGGGGGTGTGGATGGCGGGGGGGTTGGGAGTCGTTGGTAGGGGAGGGGCGGCGACCGGGTGGGTGGGGAGGCAGTTTGATGATCTGTATTCGAAGGTTCCGATCGTGGGGAAGTGGCTTTGAGCCATTCTAGATTTCATTGCTGTTGGCCGGATGTGAAGCTCCTTTCGGAGCGGCTTGGAGATACCCTGCATAGAACACCAGCATAGCGTCCGTTCACCGACGACCGAGATCAATGTCGAGCACATGTCTTGAGTTCCGTCCGTCGTCCACGCTCTTCTCGATCCCGAAGAACGGCTTGACGGCGAGATCGATCGTGTCGTCGAAGAACCCCTGAACCACTCCCATCAAGTCATCCCCCGTCTGTCGGAAATCCGGAAACGCGTTGATCTCCAGTAACCACGGGTTCGCCTCGCCGTCCAACATAAAGTCCAATCCAAACACCTCAAACGCATTCGGTAGTGTCTGAAAATGTATCGACATGCCTCTCGCCGCCGCCTCAAACGTCTCGGCGGTGAGTTCGCAGATCTGCTCGAACACCTTCTCCTTCCATTCCCCTGGCTCTCCCGTGCCCGTCGCATTGGGCAAAACCTCGTCCAGATCCCAGAACCGCCGCACGCTTCCCTCATGCACACTCGAATCTTGTAGACACGTGTTGGTCAGATGTCCTCGCAGATCAGTGGAATCCCACGGCGCTCGGTATTCCTCCGCAGCGAAGAGCGCCAGCATGTCGCGGTAGACGTACACGTTCAGCCCGCCCACCGCGAGGACGTAGGTGCGAATATGGAACTTTCGGTTCCCTTCGGAGGCGAAGAGGAGGGCCGGGTGGATGTATGGTTGCGCGATGAAATGCCGCAGCTGCGACGTGATGATGCCGTCGCCATATGCGAGTGCCTTCTCCCCATCGCCGTCCTGACTGCGGATATCCTCCTCCTCTTCGTCCGTCAACGGCTCCTCCTCTTCCCACTCCTCGAAAATCTCCTGCAGCTCTTCCATCGAACTAAACAGCCGGATCCCCTGCCCCCGATCGCTCATCCCCGGCTTCAAGATCCACCACTCCCTCTCCTCTCTCGGAGCGGTCTCATTTTTGGCGAAACTCTCGTGCAGCTCATACGCTTCGACCAGCGCATCATCCAGAAACTCTGCAAAGTCCACCTCGAAGTCCACCCCCGCCTTGAAATGCCGCGCGAGCACGCTGTCCGGATGCTTGACCCGCCAGTTCTCCACCGTGCGCAGGAGGTAGTGTTTCCGGATCAGCGCCTTGCGGATGACATACGCGTTGATCAGCACGTTTTTCGGATGCTGCAGCGCATGTTCGAACTCGATCGATTCATATTGTCGGACTTCTAGGATCCGTGGCGAATTTCCGGGCTCTTGAGAATTTTCCTCGGTCGCTGACGCTGGAAAAATGCGGCGGAACGAGTCCGATGGGAGCCTTCGTTCGAGCGACGAGAGGACCAACGGCTCGATGTAGTCGTCTTCCAGGTTGACGAGCGTATGGATTGGGGAGGCCATTTTCGGGTCGATGACCGTGAATTTCGTAATTGTTCGTCCAAAGGTGGTTGTTGCTGGGGAGTCGTACCGCCACCCGCTGTCCGGTTTATTTACATAATTCGTATCAGGGTCCAACTTTATCCCAACATCGCCACCAGCTTTCCTTCTATCACGTCTACTGATTTATGCTTTGGTCTCGACTACCATTGTACCACATGGTATTACTGTCAGAGTTTCCCTGCGTGGGACTGCGGCAAAACGAATAGAGAGGCTTACACACATTGAGTTGGAGCCCTCAGAATTGAAGTCATTCCGCTTGCCACGTTTTCATTTTCCCTTAATTATGCCGAATGCGCATACTATGTACCTACCAATTGTACTCCAGACCCGGATGGATTGACCGCTATCAGCTTTCGGGAGCCTTACCGACAGCCTTCACATGAAGGTTGTATGATTCTCTTCTGAAAGATCATGGAGAGTTAGAAGTAAAGGGTTTGTGCAATCGCCTATGAATCCTACGAATCCTACAACAAATCCTGTCCCAGGAACGCGATCTGGGGGGCATAGCTACGCTCCCTATTTACAAATGTCGCTAATTCCGTGACTTAAAACCATTCCACGGCCTTAATGCTTTCCTTAATCAAAGTCGAATTTATATATTTCCCCCTTCTGTTCCTGTTTCTCGCGTTGCGCCATTATTCAAGAGCTTGGAGGTGTTTGCCATGTCGATACGAATGCATGAGGGGTGTGCTCTTTGGCGAACTTGACAGGATAACGGCATTTGATACTTCCAGAGACGCAATCACGCAACTAGGTATTAGCGTTGTAGGAAACTGTGCTCCAATATTTGCTGGAATCCTGGTCTTTATTTTCAATTTTCTTCAACATTCAGCTCCCTCTAAATTTAATGAAACGAGAGATCGTCAGGTTTAGTTCCTTCGCGCAATCCTTTCTCCCTGTGCCCTGGAGTGGTAGGCCCTAGGTCTGCGATCTGCAGCTGGACCAGGCACCGCCCTAGGCAACGGATGAGAGACCCCCTGGTTTTCGGATCATCCGAGAACTGGACATTGAGAATTTGGGACTTGGGATTTGAGAGTGAACAGAACCGCGATCTCCACATCATTTGCACCTGGTGAGGTCCGTGAGGGTCTTCGTCTAGTTTATTCCCGAACGTCCCTCTTCCTCATCGCGTCTTTTCTTTCCTGCTCTTCTTTCCTGCTTCCTTGGCCGTTCATTGTCCGCAGGAACGTATCACTCCTTTTTACAGTGCACGGCATCTTTGTGCCTCCACCGTTATATATACCATAAAGTTTCTTCGAACCTCACGCCCTGCAACAGTCCAATTCCTGCTCAATCGCTCCTTAATTACGCCAATGCTATCATGCGCTTTATCTCCGCCGCCGCCGCCGTCTCTTTCTTCGTCGCTCTTACCGTCGCGCAAGCAGACTTTAGAGGGCTTCCCGACTGCTCCGTAAGCTGAACCTCCTATACTCTAGAAATCCGAGTTTAAGAGCCAAATCACTAATATTCCTTCCTTGATAGCTCTCCTGCGCCATCGACACCGTCGGCAGCTGCAGTACTTCCGATGTTAAATGCATTTGCACCAACCCAGAGCTGATTAGCGAGCTCGCGTGCTGCATCTCGGACCTCTGTAGTACGGCTGACCAACAAGGTACGCTTCTCCCGCCCCTTTTAGTAGTACTATGAATATCTGAAGTACTAATACGTCGCATCTATAGCTACTATCAGCTTCATCAGTACCATCTGCAGTAGTTACGAACTATCCGTCCCTACCTCCGCATCTTGCCCTACGAGATCCTCTCAGATCTCATCTCTCAGTGCGACCGGGTTCCGTACTGGGATCCCGGCTCCCGTTGCGGCTCCTTCTGGTAGTCCCACCTCACAAGGCGATAGTACTACAACAACAGTCACCCCACCGGCCGGAACCAGTGCTGGCGGTAGTACCGGGCTCAGTACCGCCGTGAGCGCCGGGATAGGCGTCAGTGTGGCAGTTGGCGTGCTGCTCTCTTGTGCCATTGGATTTTTCATATTCCGGGTATTGGCAAAGAAACGGAAGGAGGAAACCACCAGTGGGGGAACCGACGTGGAGACGAGCTATCTGGACTTGCCAGAACTTGGTGATTCCGTTCATGGCAAGAGTATATCAGAACTTAACGATCCTGTTCGTGTCGAAGAGTTAGATGGAAGTATGAGCATATTGTCCGAAATGGGAACTAATGATGAACCGAGGGCAGAACTGGAGGGAAGCTGACAGAATAGTAAAAGGGGACGGTGGATGGGGTCAATTTATGTTGCCTTAACTTAATACAGATTTTCAATGCACCAATCTTACCGTATAGGTAATGTGGATGATGTTAGGTTACCCATTGCAGTGAGCCCAGTCTAGTGAGCGATGGCCTATGACAGGACGCTGCTCATGTGTCTAAAAGTCAGGGCATTACAGAGGCTCCTTCATTTAGTCAAATTCAAACGACTCCAGCCTTGGACCCGGCAGCACCGGCACAGGCAATAAGTAAGAGAATCCATGTTAGGCGGCAAGGGGCATCAGTTAACTGGACATTCAGATGGAACAGTGCAGCAAGGCTGCGCCTTCGGTAGCATTACAGATCTCGGCTACAGACCAGAAAGCAACGATATCGACTCCGCCTTATTTCAGCCTTTCTCCTTCCATCTTGGATGAAATAAATGGTACGTTGTTCTTGGGCCCTACCTAGCCTGCCTCCCATCTCCTCTTCTCAACACGCTTTTCGCATTTCCCAAGCTCCTTGCGCTCCCTTCATTGATCGATCTTAGATTGAACCGCTACTGAGCTGTCCTTTCTCTTGAGGGATTAAGTTTGCATTCCACAATAAAACGCTACACAACCGAGGACCATGGATGATTTAGATCTCCACCGAATCGACCAGATCAAAGCAGCTTTGAAAGACAAAAAGCTCGTCATTGTGACTGGGTCAGGAGTAACATTGAATGCCACGGCGACTCTCTCCGGCGATGCACTAGATGAGTTGTCATGGACTGGCTTGATCAATCATGGACTCGACTTTCTCGTCAAAAGCGGCAAGGTTGAGGCGGATGATGACGATTTAAGAAACGCACGAAAAAAGCTTAAAGATCCCAAGCCCAGCTCAAAACAACTGCTACGGGCAGCAGGAAGATTGAAGGAGCTTTTGGAAGACACCGACCAACTGTCAAACTGGCTGGACTATAGGTTCGGTAAGCTGTCAAAGCAAGTCAGGCATCCTGGCATCCTGAATGTTTTGAAGTCCTTCCACGAGAACGGTACTCAACTGCTCACAACAAACTACGATGATCTTCTGGAGGAAGGATATTGTAAATTAACCCGTATCGGGCGGATGGATCATCAGCAACTCCGGAAATTCCAGAGCGGAAATTTGCGCGGCGTCGTTCACCTGCACGGCAGCTTCCATGACCCCAACGACGTTATCCTCGATGCAACGGATTACTACAAAATCGCCTCGTCAAACGACATCCAGGAACTTCTGAGGTCGATTTGGAACACGCATACTATCTTATTCGTTGGTTGTGGATCCGGGTTGGAGGACCCAAACTTCGGCGCGCTGTTGGATTGGGCGAAAGAAGATCAGAAAAATATCGCGGATCGGCATTTTCTCTTGGTTTCTACTGAGGATCGGTTCGACTTCCCGCGTCTGATGCGGTTGGAATTTGGCACAAGCTATGCAGACCTAGTGCCTTTCTTACAGCGACTTCTGGACGACCCGCGACGACCAGCAGCAGGGCCAGCGTCAGGTGCGCAATCCTCTTAGTGCTTTTAGATATTCCTGTGACTCCGTGTATATCCACCGAATAGCGAATGGATCTGATGTACTCCGTATGTGTTGGTATAATGACGTGTTTTTACCGGATAGTCGATCGTTCTAAAGTCCTTGCGTCTGATGATGAGGCTCGGAGCCTCAAAAAGGAGAAAGACGGTTTGTGTCGCCCTGTCCGAACTCCAGCCTTGATTGAGAGAACTAACAGGTTACAGACTGCCTCAACTCCATCGGATTTCCCGACATCAACGCACGGAGGCTGAACATAGCCGATGCCCATCCCGATACGTGCGACTGGCTATTTCAAACCGCTGAGTTCATAGAGTGGCGGGACCGCACCGACCTACCGAACCACAATGGTGTACTCTGGATCAAAGGCAAACCGGGCGTGGGGAAGTCAACGTTGATGAAGCATGCACTGGACCACCTTGAGAACATTTTCGCCGACCACTCGATCATATCGTATTTCTTCAACGCTCGAGGCGGAATTCTCGAGAAGTCTCCTCTCGGCATGCTCCGGTCGATCGTGTACCAGCTCGTGAACAAAGATGCTGTCCTGTATGAACATTTCCTCTCCATGTTTCGTGAGAAGAAAAGACTTCAAAGACAAGAAGTCCCTGAGTGGCAAGAGTCGGAATTGAAGGACTTTATAATGTCGGAAATAAGGCAGTGGAAACGGAAGCCACTTGTCCTTCTTCTTGACGCGCTAGATGAGTGTAACGAGCCAAATGTGCGAGAGGTAGTTAGATTTCTCGAGGACCTGAGTATTTATGCTGTTAGAGCTGGTGGTACCTTGAGGACTTGTCTCTCGAGTCGTCACTATCCCCACGTTAGCATAAAAAAGAGCCTGGAATTCACGGTGGAGAGGATTAGGGATCACGATAAGGATATAGCGAGGTATACCCAAGAAAGGTTGATACAAATGTATGACGGTGTGGACCGGGAAGATATCCACAACGTCACCAAGGAGATCCGAGAAAGAGCAAATGGGATTTTCTTGTGGGTCGTCCTTGTTGTTTCTCTGCTCAATATAGCCTACGACAAGGGCCGCGTTGAAGCAATGCATAAGACATTGGAAGAAGTACCGAACGATCTCGAGGAACTGTTCAACACGATTTTGAGCAAGGGAGATGAACATAAGGACGAGACAACGCTCATGCTGCAATGGGTGCTCTTCTCTCGGCGACCGCTGGGGCCCGAAGAGCTCTTCTTCGCCGTAACTAATTGGATCGAACCCAAAGTCAGCAGCGAGGTTATCCATCGACGCATCACCGAGTCTTCTAGGGGCCTGATCGAAGTCCGAAAAGGGTATGCCTCGGTGCAATTCATTCACTTATCGGTCAAGGACTTCCTCCTTCGAAACCGTAGGCTACTGACACTGGACCCGACGCTGGGACCGGAGCCTATCAGCGCTAGTCATGGTCGATTGTGGGCGTGCTGCTGGGCCTGTATTGAGCGAGTGAACACGGGGTGATAAATCAGCAGAGCGCGTGGGCGCTAAGAAATCGACCTTTCCACGTGTATCCGGTCAGGCATGTGTTCAATCATGCAGACAAGGCAGCTTCGGAAGGTATCATGAAAGAGACTATCTCACAGTGGCTACGGAAGCACAAGGACTGGTTTGAGTGGTGGAAAACATATATCAGGGCAACAGTACATATTAGCCCAACTAGCCCCGGGATGGAGCATCTAGTGACAACAGCGGACGCACAGGTAGGACTTCTTTACACGTTATCAGTTCTTGGTCTTCAACAATTGGTCCAGTACGTTCTGACTGGGAAATACGACGACGTCAACGCGCAAGGGGGGAAATACGGCACCGCGCTCCAAGCCGCGGCGCGTTTTGACCATAACGAGGTGGTCAAGCGGCTGCTAGATAGCGGCGCCAACGTTAACGCGGAAGGCGGGGTATACGGTACCGCGCTCCAAGCCGCTGCGGCTACTGGTTACCAAGAGGTGGTCGAGCAGCTGTTAGACCGCGGCGCCAACGTTAACGAGCAAGGTGGGAAATACGGTGCCGCACTCCAAGCGGCGGCGGTTTTTGGCCACGAAAAGGTGGTCGAGCAGCTGCTGACGCGTGGCGCTAATGTGAACCCACAAGCCGGCGGGTATTACGACACCGCTTGTTGCGGCGGCAGTTTATGGCCACGAAAAGGTAGTCGAGCAGTTACTCGCGAGTGGTGCCAACGTTAACGCACAAGGCGGGAAGTCCGACACCGCACTCCAAGCAGCAGCGGCTAGAGGGCACACAAAAATAGTCGAACAGCTACGGGCACATGGTGGGAAATGAGGAGAATTGGCGATCCTTATACGACCGTCCAGTATTCAAGAGAGCTCCATTGCAACTTGTTGAGGTATTAGACTGCAATCGAGAGGATTTTGAAGACTGTTCGTTTTTTTCTCTTTCTTGACTCTCCATGTAATTGAGAGATCCACCGGGAAGGTGAGGATGGGGGACAGTTGACAGGTATTGAAAGGGTTGGGAATACGCTTCAGTGTCGTAGGAAGGAGTCGTTTAGATAGCGTAGACTAAACTTGGGCATCCTCCATGATTAAGTAAGGCAGCAAAGAAAGGCAATAGTAGGTAACCAGTTAGGGCATTGATGACTTGAAATCAGGGTTGAATTCTTGAAAGCGCTGTTGGAGACCTGATGAACAATGGGTACTTCGGCTTTCTTGTCTCAAAAGCATAGCAACGGGGACTGGATATCCATGCATTCCCCCTCCAGATTCGACAGCGACTGGATGGATGCAGCACGCAATCCCGATGCTATGTTTGGAGTATGATAGGTGGATGGGATGATGAAGTTCAAACGAGAGCTCGAAAAAGGGGGAAACTTCAGTTCGACGGCTGCCTTTAAACCTCAGGCAGCGAATCGAACAGACTTTAATGTCATGTGACATGCTCACCTGAGCAGGATGCTATTAATAACATTCGTGTAGTCATCAGAAACCTATTACCTATTGTTGTCTTCTCATAAGAGAAAATGGTATCGAAACTCGGAGATATGCCTTCCTTCTTGAGCCCGGAGTTAGGTGTCAACGATGTTACGAATACCATGATGTGCCTGCTGGGAGAATGGTCGGACAAATCGGGGGCCGACTTTGGAAGTCGGAGGTCTCGGCCACCAGTGGGCCAGTGGACTGGTTCATGTCGAAAAGGTGGTGTCCAATGTGATACGAACGGTCAAAGAGTAATATGGCCATGGCGATCGGACCTACATTTATTCATTCCTTCGTTAACTCCGGTCTATCGTTCATTTAAAGTCCTAATACCCTCACTCTTCCTGCTGCGTTAGTTGCGAACCGCTCATGTCCCGATATAAGTCTTCCATACAACGACTGCTCAAGCAGCGCAGTTTCCACCGTACAGCATTGGTGTCGTCCAGTATGACTTCCGCGATCTTGTATTCCGCGACAATATCCCCGGCGAAAATTACGGGGGCGGTGCCGGAAGATGCCCCGGAATTGGAGCACCATTTGAAGGGGAAGAAGGGGTTCAGGAATCCGTGGACATCGTGGAAGGACATCACGTTTTGGGGTGCGCTCAAACTCATATTCACAGGGTATGGCATGCCTTGGAATAATTCTACGATGACTATTAATCGATGATATGAAGTGGAATACCCAATCCAGATACCACACAGTGTACGATCCCAGTTCGCAAGCCTCAATTCCCCACCACCCGCGAAACCTCCACTCTCCGTGCAACCTGGCTCGGCCACGCCTCCTTCTACGTCGAGTTCCCCTCGGGCTTCCGCGCGCTCTTCGACCCCGTCTTCGAACCCCGGTGTTCGCCCGTGAGCTTCTTGGGACCCAAACGCTACACGCCTCCGCCCGTGGAGGTCGAGGACATCCCGATCATCGACGCGGTGATCATCTCGCACAACCACTATGACCACCTCTCGCTGCCGACGCTGACGAAGATCAAGGAGCTGCATCCGAACGTACAGTTCTTCGCGCCGCTGGGGAATAAGGAGTGGTTTGTGAGCTGCGGGTTCCATAATATTACGGAATTGGACTGGTGGGAGAGTCGGGATGTGAAGTTGTCGTCGACGGCGAAGCCGGCGGTGGCGAAGGTGGGGCATGATTTGGCTGGAGATCAGGGACAGAATGGGATTGTGCCCGACATTGAGGCGACGATTGGGTGCCTGCCGTGCCAGCATATCAGTTCCCGGACGCCATTTGACCGAGGGCATACGCTCTGGGGATCGTGGAGCGTTGAGAGCGGTGGCAAGAAGCTCTGGTTCGGAGGGTACGTGTATCATTTATCTCCCCTTTCCCCCCTATTTCGCATCCTAACCATCTCTCAGTGACACTGGCTACCGCGGCGTCCCCTCCCTCCCTCCAAGCGAAGACGACTACGGCCCAGAGCACGACTATCCCCACTGCCCCGCCTTCAAATCTATCGGTGAACTCCGCGGGCCGTTCGACCTAGGACTCATCCCCATCGGCGCCTACGAGCCACGACATTTCATGTCGCCGATGCACGCGAATCCATACGACAGCGTCAACATCTTCATCGACACGCAGTGCAAGAAAGCGCTCGGGATGCACTGGGGCACTTGGGTATTGACGGGCGAGGAGGTGATGCAGCCGCCGGAGGTGTTGAAGAAGGCGATGGCGTGGAAGGGGTTGCCAGAGACGGGAGTGTTTGATGTGTGTGATTTGGGAGAGACGAGGGAGTTTGAGGAAGAGCAATCGGTTGCGAAGTTATGATGCGCTCGTTCAATGACATAGAGGTCCTTCATCACGACTGGTTGAAGGCAGGTTGGATAGGGTGTTGGCCAGTGGAGGACTCGGCTGTGATACCCAACTTTTATTTTATACAAATTGCTAATATCTCTCACCAGGATTTCCCGGCTCCTAGCTGTTATATCCAACTCAAACGCTCTTTAATCCCATAATAACGCCTGCTCCACCAATCTCCACCAACTCCTCCTCCTCACCCTCACAACTCTGCAAACACCACCCCCATCACCACCATCATCACCATCGCCACCACCGGCACCCTCCATGCCACCACCGGCACCCTCCATGCCACATCCATCTTCTCCGCCGCCCCCGTCCCCCCTCCCTGCTCTACCACATCCCCCCCTCCACCACTAATGCTCGCCCCCTCCGTCAGCGCAAACGTCTCATTGAAAGGATCCGGCATCGCGCTCGTCGGCGCGGCCGTCTGCAGCGGGTTCACGTCCGTGAGAAGCGGCTCGTTCGAGAGGGTCATGGAGGGGTAAGTGGAGGTTTCGGCGGGTAGGAAGGTGGTGAGGAGGAAGGTGGTGGAAGGGGTGGGTTTGAGGGTGGCCATTGAGGTGGAGGGGGTTCAGAAGTGGGAGGTGAGAGAGGCTTCCGGGGGATGTATTAGTGGTGAACTCACTTTGCGGGGTGGATCGGGGAAGGGAGTGAGCAGAAGACATACTTTGTTGTTCGTGAGGACTACACTGCTCTATGATGGCTTGTTTCAGTCCGGCGATAACGGTCTCATTCTTGCAGACAGGTGGGGTCGGTCAACGCGCAGCCGCTGTCCACGATGTCGTTGAGAATATATCCTAGCTGTCCCTGCCGCTTCTATCACTTTTCAGTTTGATTTTTTCGCGCCTCCGATGCTGCGGAACATTTCGCCGGGTTGGGACAGGTGTGGAGGGTATCAAGCAGCAAACTCACTGCGCATGGTGGGAGGTCGACGAGGCTTTGCGCGACGACGATGGGCGACAATGATAGGGTGAGTAATTGTGTGAGGACAATCCGTTGGATTATCTTATTGTTGTGTTACCTCTCCCTTCTTTAGGCTTCTGCGTCTTCATCGCCTCGAGGTCCGTTGAGATGAGGATATATGACCGATGGACACACTATGGGTGCATCGTATCCCGCTATATTTTGACTAACTCCATTAATTTCTCAGATTTTTTCCTCACCCGTATGTCGATTGATGCTTTTGTCTTCTCTATTTTCGGATATGTGGTGCAGCCTTAGCTTGTACCACGTTTCCGCGTCCAGCGTCTGAGCACGCCAGGAATGTAACCGAACCACAGGTCTCACGATAGAATGTCATTACCAGCCACTCGGCACTTGCTGGACTGGAGTGCTTGTCTGTCTCTGTCGCTTCGGTTGTTCTAGACATAGTCCTCTTTGTTTTCGTGTCTGCTTGTCACCAGTCGTATGACGTAACTTGCCTTCGACAACCGTATCCATCCTTTGACGTTTGAAAGGGGAACGCCAGACAGACGCTTCTGCATTTGGGTACATTACCACATAAGAGTCGACATCACCTTCCTCCAGTATGATTCTTCAGTCAACGATCGATTCGAAGCCGAGCGACGTGGGGACCAGCGGTTTGCCTCCGGCATGTTCGCGATACCGATATATGCACGCCACTCCTTCTCGTATTTCTCCCCCAAGTCGCCAGAATACGGGGTACATAGACCAAGGATGAGTTTCGACGATCCAAAGGCGTCATACTCTCGGTATGGTTCTTCCTCTTCCCAGGAACATTCAGACGCTCTCGACTTCATGATCCCTCCTTTTGCAATGCACTTCGCTAATTATCACCTTCTCCCCTACAGGACGATGCACGCTCACACCGTCAAACAAATTGAGCATCTCTCTCCCCACATGCCGAAATCTCCACCACCGACGTTCAAACCACACAGCCCTACCTTGACCGGACTTTCCAGAACCAAGCAGCCAGGAGTGCTGCTCTGCTCCCCTCGAGTTTCGAGCGCACGTCCTAATCTTTCCGAACCCGCGACCCTGATTAGCCCATTGGCGCTGTCTTCGCTGCTTGGGAAACCGCGGTCGACATGTCATGTTGAATCCGGACTAGGGGCGAAGACGCTGCAGCCGGGACAGGGTTCGGATATGAAGACGCCTTCCAATACCACGCCGAGCAAAGAAGAGGGGGGAGAGCGGAGTGGCGCTGAAGCAGATGAAACGAGCCAGGGAAGAAGACCTGAGAACGGTCGCCAATGTCAGGGATCGAGGATACCAGGAGGATGAGTTTGGGGAATCCGGCAATGCTGGAGTTGGAGGGGGGAAAGAAGAATCGGAATCGAAATCGTTTGGGACTGAGGTTGGGATGGTTGGGGAGGATGCGGGAACGATGATCGAGGATTGAAGACCGGCTAGAAGCTCGAATGCACGTCGGAAATTACCTTATGAGATGTGATTTAATGAGATGTGGTGTGTATGCATGTTGAGCGAGGATATGCTGTCCGTAGCTTTTGCTATTGACCTAGCATAGCGAATGCGAAATTCATCAGATGTCCCTGATCCTCATGTCCCGTTTCAGATGCGACCATTATTAATATTCCCCGACATATTATTGAGTTTCGAGGATTGGAGTTCGGACTTATTTGCTTCTCGAGTCATTGACACCCAATGACCGTCATTATTCCGTACCGATGCGGATGAGCGGATCTGCAGGGCCTTGAGCAAAGGCTAGGATGATTCCGTCCTGGTGCGTTGGTCACTTGGTCTGTTCCCTTAGACAACTTGACCATTTGACAAACTTGGAAGTTGGAACGGTAAGGTATTGTGACCTGGTGATTGATATTCCATCAAAGACCACTTCAATATCGTGCCGACGGACCTTCTGCCACGTCAACCTCCATCGCAAAACACCGTTTATATGCAGTTTTGATGCAATTGAGCAGTACGATACACCACTAAAATGGAGCCGCGACGGCCATGCACGATGACATCTTCGACGGGTACCCCTCTCGACTTGCATAAATTGTAGAGCTGGTGGCGGGCTGATGAACGGTTTATGGGTCGCTTAACCCGTCACGGTTAAGCGTCTGGTATATTCATGGATAATGGATCCTCATAATGGATTCACTACAGCAGGATCCTCCGCTAGGCCCACTTGCATCGCGTGCTTCGAACACGGACTTTGTTGGCCTGAGTCCTGGTTCATAAAGTCAATTGAACAAGATTGATAGTTACAGGAATTCCGTTACTACAGGTTCCAATATCCATTCAATGTCGATGCCAGACAAAGAGTATTCCAACACCAAATTTCATTGATCCCATCCCTTGCAGACAATAACAAGAGAATCTTAGGATCATCATCTTACCCTTTAAAAATCCGTTATCTATCTTGTCAGATGCGGATATCTACACCTTGAATCTAGAGTCTACTTACCTCTTACATATTCCTCGTCTCTCGTTATACAATTCCCCATTCTATAGATACAATCTTTTGGATACATCCTCAACATGACTACAACCCAGCTCCCCCTCTCGGAGGTCGACTCCTACGACTTCCTCATCGTCGGAGGCGGCACCGCAGGCTGCGTCATCGCATCCCGCCTCTCCGAATACCTTCCCTCGCGGCGCATCCTCGTTATCGAAGCGGGTCCCTCCGACTATATGGACGACCGAGTCCTCCTCCTCAAAGACTGGCTCTCCCTCCTCGGCGGTGAACTCGACTACGACTACGGTACAACTGAGCAGCCCATGGGCAACTCCCACATCCGGCACTCGCGCGCCAAGGTGCTCGGCGGCTGCTCCTCACACAACACCCTGATCTCGTTCCGGCCGTTCGAGCACGATTGCCAGCGCTGGGAGGCGGCGGGGTGCACGGGCTGGAGTTTCCGGACATTCACGCGGGTGCTGGATCGGTTGCGGAATCGGATCCAGCCGGTGCATGAGAGGCATCGGAATCAGTTGTGTTTGGACTGGGTAGAGTCGTGCTCGACGGCGATGGATATCCCGGTCATTCATGACTTCAATCGCGAGATTAGGAACGATGGGAAGTTGACCGAGGGGGTCGGGTTCTTTTCCGTAGCATATAATCCGGATGATGGGAGGCGGAGCAGCGCCAGTGTGGCATACATTCACCCTATTTTGAACGAATCGGAAAAGAGGCCGAATTTGACAGTGTTGACCAATGCGTGGGTCAACAATATTAATGTAGTGGGAGATAAAGTCACGGGTGTCAATCTCACGCTTCAGTCAGGGGAAACGCGTACACTAAACGCCAAGTGCGAGACGATTATTTGCTCCGGTGCTGTGGACACTCCGAGATTGCTGATGCTTTCTGGAATTGGACCGGCAGATCATTTGAAAAGCGTGGGAATTCCGGTTGTGAAGGACATCCCGGGCGTTGGGGAGAACCTCCTCGATCACCCGGAAACGATCATCATCTTCGAGCTCAACAAACCTGTCCCTCCTAACCAGACGACTATGGATTCTGATGCCGGCATATTCCTACGCCGCGAGAAGCCGAATGCAGCGGGCAAAGATGGCGATGCGGCAGATATGATGATGCACTGTTACCAGATCCCCTTCTGTCTGAACACTGCCCGGTATGTCAAACATACCCCCTATTGAAGAACAATAACAACATCACAATAGCAAGGAAAACTGACTATTGAACCCAGACTCGGCTACCCCACCCCCATCGACGCCTTCTGCATGACTCCCAACATCCCCCGCCCGCGCTCCCGCGGCCGCATCACCCTCACCTCCTCCAACCCCACCGACAAACCCGCCCTCGACTTCCGCTACTTCACCGACCCGGAAGGCTATGATGCCGCCACCTTGGTCGCCGGCCTCCGCGCCGCCCGGCGCATCGCCGCGCAAGCCCCGTTCAAGGACTGGATCGTCTCCGAAGTGGCCCCGGGGCCGAAGGTGCAGACGGATGAGGAACTGAGCGAGTATGCGCGACGGGTGGCACATACAGTGTATCATCCGGCCGGAACGACGAAGATGGGGGATGTAGCGAAGGATGCGATGGCGGTGGTGGATCCGGAGTTGAGGGTGAGGGGGTTGAAGGGGGTGAGGGTGGCAGATGCCGGCGTCTTTCCGGAGATGCCGTCAATTAATCCAATGTTGACGGTGTTGGGGGTTGGGGAACGGGCAGCAGAGCTGATCGCGGAGAGTTGGGGATGGAAGGGGGCGGAGAAGGAGAAGTTGTAGATGGGTGCTGGTTTGGGATATGGCGAGTTGTGAATTAGGGCAGCTGGGTGAGAGGTGGGTGGCATATATCCGCTCGCTCTTGCGTAGCGCTTACTTGCACAAATGAAGTACCTCCTGGAGATCTAGATGTGGTGGAATGGTAATAGAACTTTCCGTAGGTATATCTAGACCTCTAGATATACCCTAGGCCCCTCGATTAGAAAACTTCCGCAACAACCACCCCGCTCCATTCTCCAAATACTCCTCCCGCGTCACCACCACATCCTTCAACCCCTCTCCATCTCCCGCCCACCGCGCTCCCCCCATCCACGCAAACTTCACCGGATCCTCCGGCACCCCCACCCTCACCCCCCACCCCTCTGGCACCAACATCCTCAGTTCCCCACTCAACCGCTCCGCAAACCCCGCCATCTTCGCATTCCCCCCCATGACTACCACATTCGCAAGGCACCCCGCCGCGATGGCCTGTGGCACATTCTCCAGACACCGCATCGCGACGTCCGGCAGCCCCGCCTCCTGCAACCCGATATCCGTCGGCCGAAACAGCAGCTCCGGCACAGCGAACTTCTCGTTCCCGATCGGCAGCACATACTCCCTCGGGCCGGCAGGGCCGCCCAGCAGATTCCGGCGCTTCGCACTGGCGCTGGGGTCGTGCTCTCTGCAGACGATCTCCGACCGGGTGGAGTAATCTGGGAGGACGACGTCGACGATGGCGGTCGGGTCCGCGGCCTTCCAGTTGCGGTCGAGCTGGGTGGAGAAGTCGGCAGGGGAGACTGCGAGGTGGCACAGGCATTCTTTGATGGCGTTGACGAGGTGGAGCTCGTCGATCATGCTAAAGTTGCGGATGGAGAGGGATTCTTTGAGGAGGTTGGTGAGGAGCTTGCCGCCGATGTCGAGGCGGCGACAAGAGGATTGGAGGGGAGCGTGGGTGAGGAGGGGGGTGAGGAGGGTGTGGGAGTAGCCAGAGTCGATGAGGAGGAGGGGTTGGGTCCCGGAAGGAGGGGGTGAAGGGGTGGAGGGAGAGGGAGAGGGGGAGGGGAAGAGGGACTGGATATCATTGTGAGAGGCGAGGATGGATGCTGGAAATCGTCAATAGAGATTCGGTAGACTAATCGAGGAGTTTTGGATTTGGGGAGTTGTACCCAGAGTGCGGTGATACGCTGCGAACTCGAATTCTTCGAAAACGATCTGATCGCAATTGGTTTGCAGCGCCTGTGGACAATTCGACGCCTCCGTCAATATTAAATTCGTCTCATGTGGGTCGACCTGTCCTCCAGTTAGCATCGAAATATTCAAATCTATCGAATTTATTCTACTTTCAATCAGAAATATACGGAATTGGTCGACCTACCGGGACATCCGCTCTCGCCCCGAAAAAACTCTCCTCCCAAACCGCCCGCTCGCTCTCCCAATTTACGACGAACCCCTTCTCCACCGGCCGCCGGAATTGCATCTCCCCATAGTCTTCCGCATCGTGCAGACGGGAGCCGACATAGGTTTTCTTCTCGCGCGACCGCGCGATGCAGTTCGGGATGATTTGGCAGTCTTGGAGCGATGGGCTGGCGGAGGCGTAGCCGGCTTTGATGGTATAGCCGCCGTTGTCGACGACGAGAGTTTTGGGGGCGATGGTCCGCGGTGGAGGGGCGGCACGGCGAGGCATGGGAGAGATTTTAGTTGGGACGGTTATGGAATTATTCGGATTCGTTATATACTGTTTCGTTGCGTTGTCATAAAAGTTGTATGTATTTACTAAATTTTGATGGCCGTGGTAACTAAGCATTATCACAACTGATGAACTGAAGAAATATATCAAAATCCCCCACGAAATATATTTGGGGTGGAAGAGGATATTAAACAATCTGCCAGCACTCCTATAAAACCAAAATTTATAAAAATATTAAAGACTTACTGCAGCAAGATCAAGTAGTGAATAAGAAAATCTCATCAGTAAACCCATCCCCACCTTGGCTGCTTCGCTGTCGCGACCTTCATCCTCTCCATCTCCCTCGACTGCGCCAGCAGCATTGAACACAGTTCCTTCGCCCTCAATACCTGCAAATCCTGATCCTCATACCACACCCAATTCAACCTAGTCCTCAAATCAATCCCTATGCTCTCCAAGTCGTCCCCATCCGGGCCCTCAAGCCGATAGACATCACCCACCTCCCTACTCGTCCTCACGACCTTTTGTGACCGTGGTCGGCGCATCGCGTCATATGCCTGGAAGGCAGCTGGGAGGTCTGCCGGGCGCTTTACGTCAAGCGAGGAAAGGACCTCCGCAAGGACCAACGCGTCTTCGATGGCTTGACCGGCGCCAGCACCTTGGTGGGGTAGCGAGGCGTGGGCGGCGTCACCGATGAGGACGAGATGGTCTTTACAATAGGTAGAGAGGGGCTTGTCGGCACTATCCCAGAGAGACCAGAGGTCGACGGACTGGTCTTTCATTGCCTGGAATGGTAGCGTTAGCGAAGTTCAGGGAGTGCGAGACATGTTGTAATGCACACCTTGAGCAAGTTCTGAACATGTGGACCCCATTGTGAGAATGTCCCCTGGACGCGCTCGAATGGAACGTTTTTAATAGCCCACGCTTCACTATCCCAGCTATCCTGCTGGGTGCAGGCGACGACGTTCATCATGGCCCCTCGATCGATTGGATAGGTGAGAATATGACCGCCTGGGCCGATATACATTTCGCTAGTAGTAGCAAGCTCCTTGCCCATGGCATCCACAGCAATATGCATGGGAACAAGTGCACGATAGCAAACCGTTCGCGTGAATGATAGGTAGTCGAGGTGAGAGTTACCTCCGAACGCGAGTTGGCGAAGGGAACTTCGAATGCCATCTGCTCCGACAACCGCATTGGCAAAAGAGTTTGTGCCGTCCTCAAAGACGAGATTCATCAAGCCACTGGCTAGCTTCTCAACTCCGGTGAGGCGCTTATTGAAGTGACAGAGCTCCTTCGGGATTTGCTCGACAAGTTTGTCCATGAATGGAGCCCGTCTTGAGCCGCATATACCTGTCCGAGTCTTGTCTCGTGTCTTGACTGGGGCAACGAGAGTCGGATCCCCATACCCTAGTCGAAAGTTGATCCAAGTTCTCTCGATATCATCATCTCCTTCCGTTGGATCCTCAGTTGCCAGCTCCTTGAATGCCTTCAAGATCGTGGGATCGATCATGCCCATTGCTCTCAGGCTGTTTGGTCCGAAGCCCACTCCGAGACCAATCTCTTTAAACTCCGACGCCTGTTCATAGACTTGAAAAGAAACCCCACGCCTGAGAAGGGCGATGGCAAGACAGAGTCCGCCTATCCCTCCGCCAACAATGGCGATTGTGAATGGTGGTTGGACAACATCTGCCGATCCTTGCTTCTCGATTGCTTCCCACCAACTCTCGAACTTGCCTGGAATAGGCATAAGAAGACTAACAGGACGGTTCGACATGCCGTATGAGAATTATACTGGACGTAAGGAATATGCCAAGAAAACGAAACAGTGAGTTCTATGACAAGTAAACTGGAAACGATGCGTCTGCCTAACTTACGCCTACCTTCTGCATCCCTAATATTTAATAGATCCCTTCAAGCTAAGTGGGACTTCGGATACCAAGCCTTTCTGACTCTTCAAGAGTTTTGTTCCTTGTACGATAGCTGAGATCGCCTAAGACGGGCGTTCTGGTCGATGTCCGCCGCAGATCGGGTATGCATTCTGCCAATCGATCTTAAAACCTACCCAAGGACTTTCTCGATGAAGTATTCATCACCTCGAATTCAGACGCCAACCTGAGAATACGAAGCGAATGCATGACCTCACCTGAAGACAGAGGGTTCGGAGAAGGCGATTGTACTCCCTTCTATGTAATCGGCACATCCAGATTGTCCCACGGTGACATCTGGTGCGCCCCTTCGGCATGGCATTGGCTCCCAAAATAGTGCCTACATCGGCACGCACAGTGATTGCCTCGTGGTAGAGCAGGGAAACATCCCATCGTAACTTCCATTGTGGTGTTGTGCTGTGTTAATGGTTACAGGAGTTAAGGAAAAGCGCCAGAGGTTCGCGCCGAGAGATTGGAAGGTCTAAGCGGACAGCAATTCCGTCCACCCATGTTCCGCTCCTCCTCAATAACTTCACCTCCTTCATCGCTATTCGGGCCAACGTAGTACGTGTCGTCGATTATGTTTCGAATATTCAATATGAGGGCAAGATGCGTGTCTGACCCACAATGCCGTACGGTATCCCAGAATATCTACCATACTGGACCGGCGGACACGGAACGGACTGTGGCTTTCACGTCATCACAGTTCTATACCCCGATCGCTGGAACAAAACCTATGGTGCTCATGCTTCTTACTCAGTCGCTATATCGCCCTCAGCTTGTTAATCGGAAGAGATTGGGAATGTTTATCCGTCCCAATGACGGCTGGCCGCAATTTGTCGCGTTTCACGGTCTGGTGTCACGTTGACAGACAGCTACGAGTCCGAAGCTGATTATGTTATGGAACCCTCGGCCGAGTCAATAATCGATATCAGCACTGTCAGGCTAATTTATCGCCATTTTATGGAGACCGCTTATACGATGTTACTTCGAGAGCTTTACGAAAGCCATTGTTAACTTCTAGACTCGCTGCCAAGTTTCACCTGTACAACCATGACGACAGGACCGTCCGAGATGAGTCAGGAACTCAGCACGCATAGTGAGCGTCATTCACTTGACCGCAAGAGATCAATTTCTTGTATCGCGGGCCTTCGGAAAGATGGCTGACCGCCCGTAAGACACACTCCTCCCGCAGAGGGAGATCCAGGGCGGTCTATCAGTCTCACCGCGATGTATATTGCGACTCCGATCGACCGCTCACCCCAAAGTGATACGTTCCACATGCCGTACAGGCTTGTCGAAGTGGGGGATATCTTCTGTTCCTAGAACTTGCAATGCTGCCTTCTGGCTGAATGGCTCTCGTCACTGCCTCCATTCGGTATAGTGACCCCGATTGGATATCTGACTCTCCCTAGCTATCGATCGCGGAGAGGCCAACAGATTACGGTGTCCGATTGTAGATGCAGGCAATATATTCCATGACGTATAGACAGACAGCTGAAATATGATCAGTTTGGAGTTACGGGATATACGATGTTAAAAGGGATAAGTATGATCAGGTCCCATCGTTCAGAGTCTGTCTCGTACTGGCCAAGCCATCCTTCTATTTCATCCTCTGTGGCCCTTTTCTTCGATAGTATAATTTACCTATTTCATTCGCATGATTACTTTTCACACTCCACGCTCCAGCCATAACACGAAATGGCACCTTTCTTAGATGGTAAGTGCTATCCTTTATGACTACATGTTCTCCAAGTCTAACGACAATCCAGCCCATAATTGCCCCTCTGCTGGGTCAGTATCATCATTCGATGATCTTAGCCCAACTCCTCCCGCCATAGAAATCAATGGTCTTCGGGACACCGACGATATTGCTGTTGTCGGGATGGCATGTCGCCTTCCTGGAAAGATCAACTCCGCCGAGGACTTATGGACCGCGTTGCTGAACAAGAAGGTTGCTTCGTCAACCCTCGACCCATCAAGATGGGAGCCATATCATAGAAGAGATGCAAGGAATTCTAAGGTACTTTTACCAACAACTGTTCGATGACGGTGACGCTAATGAATTATAGATTCTGAATGAGACGACTCAGAAGGGCTATTTCCTGGATAACGTTCAAGACTTCGACGCGTCATTCTTCGGAATCTCACCCAAAGAGGCCGTCCTAATGGATCCGCAGCAGCGGATTTCTCTGGAGGTGGCATGGGAGGCGCTTGAGGACGCTGGAATTCCCCCGCAGAGTCTCGCCGGGTCGAACACCGCCTGCTTTATGGGCGTTAACAGCGATGACTACGGGAAGCTCGTCCTGGAAGATCTCCCTGGAGTTGAAGCCTGGATGGGTATCGGAACCGCATATTGCGGTGTGCCAAACCGTATCTCCTACCTGCTGGATCTTCGTGGTCCCTCTACTGCTGTCGATGCGGCTTGCGCATCCTCCCTGGTCGCCATCCATCACGGCGCCCAATCTTTGAAATTGAGAGAGTCCGACGTTGCCATTGTAGGCGGGGTCAACGCACTGTGTGGTCCAGGTCTTACCCGGGTTTTGGACAAGGCCGGCGCCATTTCAAAAGATGGTATCTGCAAATCGTTCGACGATTCCGCTAATGGATACGGTCGCGGAGAGGGCGCTGCAATCGTGGTCCTGAAACGATACCACGACGCGATCCGCAGCAATGACCGAATTTACGCCGTCCTCAAGGGTTCCGCTGTCGGCCAGGATGGCAAGACCAACGGGATCATGGCCCCTAATGGTGCTGCTCAGCAAGTCGTGGCACGAAAAGCTCTTGGCACTGTTGATCCGCTCAGTATTCAATACGTCGAAGCTCATGCTACCTCCACATCTGTCGGCGACCCTGTCGAGATCGGGGCCATGTCCGGAGTTTATGGTCAGGGACGTCCTGCTGATGCTCCCTGCTACGTCGGTAGTGTCAAAGCCAACGTTGGGCATCTCGAGGCTGGTGCTGGTGGTGTTGGGTTCATGAAAGCTGTCACTGCCATGTGCAAAGGTAGCATACCACCCCAAGCCAATCTCGTCACGCCGAATACGAAGATTGACTGGGACACTGCTGGTCTCAAAGTATCAGTCGAGCAGTTGGAATGGCCTCAGGTTGCTGGCAAGAGACGAGCAGCCATAAGCTCTTATGGGTATGGTGGTACTGTTTCCCATGCGGTCATCGAGGAAGGGCCAGCGATGCGCGATCGCCTCCTGGTTTCCGAGGGCTCATTTCCAACGGTGTTCCTGCTCACTGCCCCGCAAGAAAAACGAATTGCGATCGAAGCCGCTAGCCTGGCGGACTTCATCTCCGACGCCGGGACTCGGCACTCTGCATCCTCTATCGGAGCCACCCTTGCTACTCGGCGCGGTTTCCACGACTTCCGTGCCGGTCTCATCATCGAGGACAAAGAGCAACGTGATACCCTTCTCCGCTCACTTGCTACTAGAAAAGGCCATAACCAGATCGTCTCCAACCGTGCCAATGCCAAGGATGCGACTAAAGTCGTTTGGCTCTTCTCCGGCCATGGTGCTCAATGGCCAGACATGGGCACAGAGTTGCTCGCTCACGAACCAGTCTTCCGAACCGCTGTGCAGGACCTCGACACGGTTGTGGCCGAGATTGCCGGCTTTTCGCCGGTTAAAGCTCTTCGAACCAAGGACTTCGCCTCTTCGGATCGTGTCCAGGTCCTTACCTATGTCGTACAAGTCGGTCTGACTGCTCTGCTGCAGTCCAAGGGTAGCCGAGCAGATGCGATCATTGGCCACTCAGTTGGCGAAATAGCAGCTGCCGTGGCTGCTGGGGCGTTATCTCCGACTAAAGGTGCCGTCGTAGTCTGCAAGCGTGCTGTCCTCTATCGACGCCTCATGGGACAAGGGGCGATGGTCCTCGTCACTTTGTCCTTCGAAGAAGCTGGAAAACTTCTGAGAGACGAGAAGAATGCCTACCCGGCCATAGATGCCTCGCCAAACTCATGTGTCGTGTCTGGCACAATTGAAGCAATCGACCGCTTCTCCGCAACCTGCAAAGAGCAGGGCATCAAAGCTCTCAAAGTCAACTCCGACGTGGCTTTCCACACCCCTCTCCTTGCTTCGCTTGCCGATCCTCTTCAGAAAGAGCTGGCTGATATTGAGCCCTGCGTACCGACCATACCTCTATACTCGACCTCCGCGGTGGACAGCCGCCAGCAAATTCCACGAGATGCCGCTTATTGGATTTACAATATGATGATGCCAGTCCAGCTCACCAACGCTGTCCGCGCTGCTGTTCAAGATGGTTACCGCCTCTTCCTCGAGGTATCTGCTCACCCCATAATCGCCAACTCAGTCAACGAGACCATCATGGATATGGACATTGAAGATGCCAACGTCTTCCCAACCATGCTACGCAACAAGCCGGTCCGTACCACGATCCTCAAAGGACTTGTCAGCCTTTGGTCTAAGGGGGCAAACGTCCACTGGGACAATTTTTTCAGTGGCGTCAAGTGGGCTGATGACGTCCCGAAGACTCAATGGCAGCACAAGCCGTACTATCAGGAAGTAGGAGCTGGAACCACATCTAAAGGCCTTTTCCACGACGTTACCCATCACGCCCTACTCGGTCACAAGATCAATGTTGCTGGTGGAGACCAGACAATCTTCAGCACTCAGCTCGACAACAATTCGAAGCCGTTCCCTGGTAGCCATCCGCTTCATGGCACTGAGATTGTTCCTGCCGCGGTTCTCTTTAATACTTTCCTCCACGCTACTAGTGCTGGGCATCTCTCTGACATCCATCTTCGAGTGCCTGTAGCCATCAGTGCACCTCGTGACCTTCAAGTCATCTTCGAACCTGGTTCCGTGAAGATCATGTCTCGTTTGGTCGGCTGCGCAGAAAAGGATGACGTGAACAACTCCTGGCTTACACACACCACTGCAACCCCAAGCGCAGAGCGTATCTTTGTCGGAGAGCAGATTGACATCACCGCGACTCAGTCCAGAATTGGCAAAGAATTGCCAACAAACTTCACGGTTGACTATCTTGAGAAGGTTGGTGTTCCGCTTATGGGCTTTCCGTGGACCGTCACTCACCACGTCGGTACCACCTCTGAGATGCTTGCTCGAGTCGATGTCTGTCCAGATATTTCGGACGATGCTGTCTTCCCTTGGGATGCGAACTCCTGGGCCCCCGTTTTCGATGCCGCCACTTCGATCGGTTCTACCCTCTTCTTCAATGAGCCTCGTCTCCGCATGCCAGCTTTCGTTGACCGGGTTGCTATCCGTGAGGGCGCAATCGCTCCCAAGATCGCGTATATCCATGTCACCCTTCCTGATCAGGAGACAGAACTTGCTTGCGACGTCACTGTTCGCGATGAGTCCGGCAAAGCGCTTGCGAAATTTTTCTGTATGCGTTTCTCCGAGATCGAAGGCACTCCAGGGGCTATCATCAGCTCGGAGGGCCTCATCCACCAAGTTTCTTGGCTACCTGCTTCTATGCAGGACAAAGCTTTGCCGTTGGATAAGGTGATTATCCTTGGACAGGCATCTAGCACTCTGACGAGGAAGTACACAAAACATCTCACCAAACGTGGCATCCCTTCCCAGATCCTCGCTCCGAAGCACCTCACTCCGTCGATTCTAGAGGGCAGCACTGAAGGAACTGTCGTCGTACACATTCCTCCGCCGGTAACTCCAGCCTACGACATTACTTCCAGTGCAAACATGAATTGCATTGAACTCCTGGATATCGTTCAGCTTGTCTGTGGTGTCAACAGCCCAGCCAGGATCTACACCGTCACCGAGAACATCCTGAAGGGCGAGTCGAAGACTGCTCTTGCCCAGTCCCCACTGGTCGGCTTGAGTCGTATCATCGCATCGGAGCTACCTAAAAACTGGGGCGCTCTCATCGACGTCGACTCGAACAGCTTTCCCTTCCAGGTTATCAAACATGTTATTGGGGCTGATGTTGTCAAAGTTAAAGATGCCGTCGCCCGCGTCGCACGCCTCACTGCGCTACCGAAGACTAAGTCTGACTTCGATCAAGGCCTTAAACCACGACCAGAAGGCACTTACCTCATCACTGGCGGATTTGGCTCGCTTGGCTTAGAGGTCGCTTCCCACCTCATCGACCAAGGCGCTAAACGTATTGTTCTACTTTCCCGCCGTACCCTTCCACCGCGACGGCAATGGTCAAACATCCAAGGCGACATGGTGCAAGTCATCGACAAGATCAAATTCTTTGAAGAGAGGGGCGCCTGCATCTATACCGTTGCGCTTGATATTTCCGCGTCTGGGTCCTCTCGTGCCCTACTTGACAAGCTTGACAACCTCAACTTACCCCCTGTTCTTGGCGTCATCCACGCTGCTGGCGTCCTGGAGGACCAATTTGTCCTCAACGCCACGCCTGAAGAGTTCAAGAAAGTCATAACGCCAAAGATTGCTGGTGCAATGAATCTGCACGAGGCTTTCCCACCGACTACCATTGACTTCTTCAATATGTTCTCCTCCTGCGGTCAACTTTTCGGCTTCCCCGGCCAAGCATCTTATGCCTCTGGCAACGCATTCCTCGACGCTCTTGCTGAGCACCGTCGCCGACTTGGAGACAACGCTGTTGCCATCCAGTGGACTAGCTGGCGCGGTGTCGGTGGTATGGGCGACAATGAGTTTGTCGAGGCCGAATTGGACAGCCGTGGTTTCACCAGCATCACCCGCACTGAGGCATTCCAAGCCTGGGACGAAATCTCCGGTCGAGACTGCGCAACTGCTACAGTTCTTCGCTCGCGTGTCCTGGACGCGGATGAGATCCTTCCAGTCCCGATCTTGGAGCACATTGCCATCCGTCGAGAGGATCCTCAAACTTCCGGGGCTGCGGAAGCTTCGTCGACGAGTGCGAATAGCAATGGCGCTCCATCGCTTCCACCGCCTGGTCCTGAGCGGAACGTGTACCTTACCACTGCAATTGCCGGCTGTGTGGCATCCGTGTTGCAACTTGCCGGTGCAGATGAGGTCGATCCCAAGGCAGCATTGTCGGATTTGGGTATGGATTCGGTCATGACTGTTGCCTTTAGGAAGCAGCTGCAGCAAAATCTGAAGGTGAAAGTGCCACCAACTCTGGTTTGGGGACATCCTACGGTCTCCCACCTGGTTCGTTGGTTCGGGGAGCAGCTAGGCGCTTGACTGCGTTAAAAGTCTACTTTAATGCCCCTTTTTTCTTTTGTTCCAATATTAGGCTCATTCTTCTTTTGATATTGGGTGTGGAGTCTATGGGCTTTGATTGGATATTTTCTTTGATTTTGTTCATATCTTTCGACTTTTCTTCTAGAGTATGCCATTCTACAGCAATAACGACAAATGATCGAACAATTTATACAATTATTAACGGTTATTACTTCAACTATCTTCTACCATCAATATATCTTCTACCATCAATATACTTAGCAATAATGTTTGGGATTCCGCCCAACCTAAATTTGATTCATTCAGTCAGCATCATTTTGTTCCAGTTTCAATGGTGCCAACGCGAATATCACTACCGCCAACATGGATCGTCATCCTATACGCCCTATACCATAGCCATTAGCCGCCTTCGGGGATATTGAAAGGAAATTCGTGGTAGATTCGCGGTTCACTGGATGATGTCACTGCCAACAGCAAAGTTGCCTTACCCAAACTCGGACACACTGCGACACTTTCGCCTGCTCAGATTCTCCCTTTTCACAGCTTTCCAACCCGTCTCAGCCCAAAATGGTTGTAGTCTTGTAGAAAAATGTCCAGTCAGGGGCCACAAATTTACCTAAACCTACCCACCGGTGACAGAGCAAGCCCCCCTTTAGAGCGGACGAATGTTGAGCGAACTATTTGTATTTTTGTCTCAGTTACTGTATATTGTTGTCCCTGTTATCATTGATGCAATAATACCTATGCACTTAATCTTATAAACTCAATATATCATTCTTGTACGCGGCACAGGTTGCAATCGTTTGTAATGTTTAAGATATCTATCTCACATATACATTTTAACTACCTCAACAGTGCATCTACATTTCATTCCAGCCAGCAGATCATGTTAAGTCGCGGCCCGAAACAACTTTCGCTTGACAGCTTGGCATTGTCGCGATCATTAAGTTTATTCTTTAATTCCTACCCCTATATACTCACTCCGTTGTCAGCCAAGTGCTTGGTTCCTTAGACCCACTGCAGTGTCACTACTCCTTGATGGAACCCAATGGAAAACATCTCTAAGATTTAGTGTAACCTGCGAGGACTCGATAGTTGCGTACAACATCAGAATGCCGCCAGCTAGTGCCAGATCTCCGTCACCGGACTGGCCGTCTCACTACGTTCGGGACCTTTGTACAACCGTGATCTACACAGGTCCTCGAATGAACTCCATTTAGCAGTCCGTTTTATAGATTCATGGTACTGGTGTCCGGTCACTAGAAGCTGTACCTGTACGATAAAGCTAAATTAGCCTATGATACGCGAGAATTGCCGACTTCACCGTCGTGGATTCCCCTGATTGGTACGAATTCAGCCCCTAGGAGTCCTTCTCATGCAATTTCTCGGAATATTGAACGTTCAAGTCGGGTGGAGGACTTGACTGTTGCATTTTAATGACGACTACAACATGCTTCAGACTATGACAGCGTCGTGGCTATTCGGAGACTTCCCACAGCTGCGGATCGCTAAAGATAACTAGCGTGGCAAGCCACCTCTCAACATCGGCTTCCAGAGATATTGGTAGAAGGGTAGATATCGTTATCGTTAATCCCAGCGCTGATCTCCGTTGCTTTGCCTCCTGATATGGTGTTGGATATTGAACAGAGATGCCCACGGTGAGTGAAGGGTCAATATAAAGACATCATGGCAGCGTGATTGCAACTTGAGTAGACATTCGCATCCTCTTTCCTTTCCATATCGTTAGCAGAACACTCGCTTTCATGATGAAGGTTTCTCAGTCGATTCTGTCGTTAAGTTTGGTTCTTTTTGGCCTAGGGACAGTGGCCGCACCTCAGGGCGTTTCGATTGCCCTTGCTATTCCATCAGGTACTCCAACGCCTTCCCTCGAATTCGTGGAAGCCACGAAAGAGGAGCCGGAGACTAAGGAAGACGGAATATCATCAAATTCGAGTTCTTTGGGCAGCCCGCCGCCGGTACTGGAAATCGCTTTCTCGAAGTTGAAGAACATTTACAGGAGATATATCGCCGATGAGCTAGTGGACAGAGGATGGTCTAAGAAATGCAATTTTGGGAAAGTGATGGTGAGAAAGGAATGGTTAGTCGACTGCAATTGAACTCAGCGAAGCGCCAGATAAAGGGGCTAACAGACCCAGGGGTACTATGTCCCAATCCCAAAGGAAAAAGTATACCGACGCCGTCAAATGTCTTTACAACAGGCCGTCGCAGTCCGACCCTGTTCTGGTTCCCGGCGCGCGCAACCGTCTCGACGATTTCGTCGCTACCCATCTCACCTTCAGCAACAACATCCACTTCAATGGCTACGTCTTCGCCTGGCATCGGCACTTCACCTATCTCTACGATCAAGAACTCCGCAACGAATGCGGTTACAGCGGGCCGACCCCATACTGGGACTGGGTGATTGACAACGCTGACCCACGTCGGTCCACTGTATTCGACGGCAGCGAGTTCAGCATGGGCGGCAATGGAGAGACTATCCCGCATGGTAATACAAGTATTAATGCATTTGGAATCACATTGAGCCTCCCACCAGGCACTGGAGGTGGCTGTGTCACAGAAGGCCCGTTCACGGATCTGGTTATCAATCTAGGACTTTCGCCGAATGTGAGCGCGCCAGACCAGAACCAGACCGCTCCACCTGATGTAACATCCCATTATTTGGCACCGTTTGCGGATGCATTCAAAGGAGACACCACTGCGGCGGTCCAAAAGAGACAGAATGACGTACCCCCGGAGATCCTGCAGGGATTGAATTATAACCCACGATGCATGACGCGCGACATAAACCTGCAATGGGCAGCGCTGGCCACAACCACAGCACTGGCCCGTATCCTGTCCTGCGGCAATGTCAGATGTCTGGAGCAGCGGATTGATGGGTGGGAGGAAGGCGCTAGTGACGAACAACAGGCGAGAGACCAACTCCACGGAGGAGGCCATTTCACGATCGGCGGTTTGAACAACGATCCGTTCGCGAGCCCGGGCGATCCGGTGTTTTTCCTGCACCATGCCAATCTCGATCGTCTGTGGACAATTTGGCAAAGTCAGAATCCGACCGCCAGACTGTATGAGGTTGGAGGGACACGGACACCTTTCAACAGTAAGTGATTTTCTTCGATATAAGGCGGAAGGATAATAGACTGACTTAAACAGATCCTCCGAGTGATAACGTCAGGGAGACTGATGTGCTGAGGTACGGGGTTGTAGGGAAAGATATCATCATGCGTGATGTTGGGTCTACGCTGGACGGCCCGTATTGTTATGTCTATGCTTAAGCTGCATTTCATGAGTCGGTGCTCTTTCGCATTCATTGACCTGCCTGGGGAATGTGGCTATGTCGACCGACCGTGTCTTATTGGTACTAGAGGGTCTGTTTGGTGATGAAGAGAGAATATGGATTTCGTTTGAAGTGTAATGGGAAGCAGTTGAGAGGGGGTCCGACGAGGAAAGGGTTTTTCGGTTAATAGAAAACACGCTCCTTTAACTCTTTGGTATGCCAATGTCACTCGTTGAAGCCGACTCTGGATATTATAGTGACTTGTATGCATGCCGATAAAGTAATATGTTATACTTCACCAGTGGCTGTAAGCTGGCAGAACGTAACTAGGCGTGAGGCCGAAGAGCACCAATACTCCTCTTTTCTTGGCGGAAGGTCTGCGGTACGAAACCACGAGACATAGCGAGTTCAAGAACCATTCGCGAGGGGTTCGCAGGTTGGAGGTTTACGCCCACAGGCCGCACAGGGAGTGAACCATGGACTTAGGCGTCCACCGGGAAATTTCCCAAGCAGCTGGCATCGCTGAACCCACGGTGGCATTTTCGGGTCGGTTTCGGGATCGGCTGGTCGAAGGGATTCTCGGACTGTATGAGTGGTAGTTTCGGACCGGGCCGCGTTTATGGGTACTGTACTGCCGGAAAGCGGCTCCGGCCCCCTGTTGACTTCTGCTGCACCTCCAGAAACTGATTTTAAACCGCAATAGAGTAAGAAATCATCAAATATCTAATTGTTACGGCATACCGAAGACCTGCCATTATCATAACTATCGTCTTCAAAAGCTGGCCATCCTTTACAGCCGGATTCGTGTGAGGATGACCACTACACTCTCTGCTTCAAGATGCCGGGATTCGATCTTGCGGCGTCAAGCCAAGTCCAAGTTTAGTAAACGGCAAGACGGTGTGTTGTCATATAGAGGCCCTATGCCTCAGATATTCGGAATTGATATACAGATCTCTTCCAACCCACGCTGTTCTTTGTGGCATCGGGATGAATCGGGCCGGCCCCGAGCGCAATCACAGGACTCCCGAGTATACAGCAACGGTTTCTACTTCGCAGTTCGCGCTTTCTGAATCAAGTCTTCCAGTAATGACGCTTCTTCTTTATCCCCCTACATGCAACCACGCTCAGCCGCTCTTCCTTAAGTAATCTGTCGAAGTCCTGTTTACTACCCTCCGGTGTAGTTGGGAAAGTAAGTATCTGTATCCTCAAGCCGAAAGACTCCAGGTCAGCAGATATTATTCCAGCCTGACGATTCGAAAATTGCGCCTGTGCAGTCAATCTACAATCGTTTTAGACTTGATTCTATCACTAAATATCCTATTCTGCTCATCTCACAGCCCAGTTCGAAGCAAGTCGCTGGGCCGCTGGCAAGATGTATCAAGAGTAAGCCATAATACGATGAAGGAAACCATGAATACATAGAGACTTACTTGAAATGCCACCAGGATCTTTGCATCGGATCCCTTCACCTTCATTGTTGGCAAAGAGCAGAAGAGAGTCATCGCTCACGCCGAGGCGATTGCACGACTGTCGCGGCCACTTGGGCAGCTCATCCGTGGACCTATGAAGGAGGGCCAAGCGAAATGTGCACAGCTGGAAGACATTCAACCAGAGGATTTCATCCGGTTTTGCCAGTTTGCGTATACTGGTGACTATGCCCCAGCTCGACCTGCTCGCAAGGATTCGGAGCCGAAACCTAAAGGGGATGAGAACGCACCAGATACAAAGCCATCTGGGTCCGGCGAAAGGGCAGCCAGCCCGGAGATGTCAGATTCGGCCAGTTTGATTTCCGTCACGTCAGTCTCGGTCTCAGGGTTGCAAGGGTCCGAAGCGATGTTTGGGATCGGTATCAACTTGGACGAGGAGAAGAAGAAGACCGATGCGTGGTTGCTCAAAGGTAGTCAGGGGAAGGACCCGGTAGATTCGAAGTTGGAGGAATTACGCGAACGGTTCGGCCTGACTGTGTTCAAGGCGAATAGGGCAAAGAACGCGTTGAAGAGGCTTTGCCGGCCCTTCGGCAACAAGAATCCAGATGAGGATTTCGCGCCGGTTTTGCTCTGCCACGCTCAGCTGTACGTCTTCGGAGACAAATATGACATCAAAAACCTCCGCTGGTTGGCCCTTGAGAAACTGCGGGCGACGCTCGTGTCCTTCCAGCTGCACGAACAGCGCGTTCAAGATGTTGTGCAGTTAGTCCGATACGCCTATGGGAACACGGCAGCGTGTCCGATGGAGCCGTTGCGGGACATGCTGGCGCAGTACTTAGCAGGGAGGATCAAGGTCATTGGCTCGAATGAAGCCTTCCATGTGCTACTAAAAGAAGGGGGCGAATTCGTCACAGACTTTTGGGGACAGATACTTGCCCAGGTACTCTCGTGATTAGGTGGATAAACTCTCATTCCCAGATGGGTTGGTTACTACGGATTTGGCTTGCTCTAGTTCGGTGTCTGGCAGCTATGGATATTATTCACCCTCATTTTCGGCACGGATGTTAGATCGTGGTAGACGGTTAACGGGGCATGCCAAAGTCAGGTTTTAATTTTGCAGAGGAACTTACATCTCCGGGACATTCCATTCCTTCATATCACTATAGCATGAAAAAATGAAAACCACTCATGGCCTGCACTACTGATTTGAGTGATATAAATAAGACTGGTTTCCATATACGGCCAAGTCTACAAGCGGCACAAATACACTTGGAATTGGAAAGATTGTACAGCTGAGTACCTAGAATGACAAGTGGAAGCAGGAATCATGATCTCCAGTCTGTGATCAGGGCGTTTGAATAACATATACACATGTGTGAGTACATAGTGAATCAACACTGAATTATGTAGAGTCGGTTAAAGTCAGATTGAAGCATTTCTTTTTCGTACTAACTACACAATTTATTTATCTATAAGTGTAACTCGCATCGATTTCATCCTCTTCAGCGGTCTTGGCCCAATGATATCATCTTCTCCCCAGCTCACTTTACCTTCTTTAAGACTTTTATTCGGTTCATCCTCTACACCATCCTGCTCGGACTTCACGATCTTACATAATAACCATGCGTCCCATACAGGAAATACACCCGTTCCTGGCACAGGCTCTGCATTATACCGCGTCAGTCCTACAATAAATACCACAAGGCAAAGCACTAGTGCCGTCCCACACATCAACGCGAATGCAATCAATGTACTCCGACCGACTTCGATCTGCCATCCAATAGCCGCAATCGCGACATCCGTGTCCGGCGGCGCGATCGCCAGAAGGTCTGCCGCAAATTGTTGAATCTCCGGCGTGATTCCTGCGGATGACGCCCCACTTTCTTCTTCGCCGATATGTGATAAACCCCGTGCATAAGGAGAGGGTTGAGAGTAGTACAAGATGACTGCCAGGAGCGACTGGATGGTCTCGGCTCCGCGGGTGGCCATGGCCGGGTCGCTGTGGAGGGTGGTGACACCCTTAAGCCAGGACCAGACGAAGGCGGGGTAAACATAAAGGCTGAAGAGGTTGTTCGACTCGCTCGAATCGCCCGTGTGTGCGGTCGTACCTGTGGGCGAGAGTGGATTGTCGATTGGCCCGAAGAACAGGGAAATGAGATCCGTGAGCTCCCTGAAATTGCCACAGGCAAGACTAAGGCCGGTGAGCATTCCATTAGCGTCCACGGGTATGGGTGATGCGTTAGAAGTAAACGTGTGAGAAAGGATGCTGCCATTTTGGCGGGAGTAGGCGACGTCGGCACGGCGGAAAGAGGTTTGTAGCTTGGCAGACCAGCCGAGATTGGTGTACCAGGACGTCACGCTTTCGTTTCGGCACTGGTTTGGACTTGATACGGAAGTTGGGCAGTGAACGATGCCTAGCAGCAATTAGCAGAGTCAACGGACGTCCCCATTTCAAGGAAGACCTTACGCGCTCGCACTGTACTCGCATTCTCGTTTGCGATGCATAGATGGAACGCCGCAAATGGGAAGCCATATACTTGGCATTCATCAGCCTCGAACGTCCAGGTCGGTTCGCCTTCTGTGTATTCCAAAACATAGCCTTGCTGGTTCATCGCGAGCAGCGCACCGCTTCTCTGGTCTCCCTTGATACCACTAAAGGCATATTCCACGCCGCCCGGTAGGTAGTAGACCCTTCGACATCTTGTGGCAGTCCGGAAGTCTGGATTTTGGGCGCAGTCCGTCAGACGTTGCGTTCGAGGTGTGATATCTACTGATCGAGCAGGATCACCGACGAACATCACGGAGAGACTGACTTGGTCGGAGATCAAAGAGACATTGTTGGCGAGGGTGGCATTGAAGGGCAGGACGCCCCAACCTTTGAATGGAACCGCTCCCTTCAGAGGAGCAAAAGCAAGTTTGGTATTTATGTCACCTTGATGACTCAGTGTCTGAGTATGTTTGCATCTGGAGGAGAAGCTAGACTTACTCATAATAACTATGCCAGATATTGGTACTAACAGCATCAGCATCAGTCTCCCCAAGCTCATCACTCGGGTGAGAATTCGGACTGAACGCCATCCGCCAAAGGAGAGGTGTAAAAGACCGAGCACGCCGGTGGATGCATGCAAGCTCAGATATTCCGGGAGCATTATCCCTCCATCAGCAGACAGTATCATCCACATCAGTCTCTCCAGTGCGATAGATACAGTCACAGCTAGAGACACACCCGTGAGGCCTGATAGAACGGAGAGGACAAAGATCGTATTGCTAGAGGATGAGTATAGTAGGGGTAGGTTCAGTGAAGGCGACTTCTCAGTCGAATAGATAATCGTGAGCAGAAAGAGTATTGTCGTCATTACAAGCGAAATAGCCGCAATAGCTATTTGCCGTATCGGATGTTGCTTGTGCACGATGGTAGATCTGGATGATGAAACATCGTCAACGCTTGTGGCTCCTCCGGCATAGGGCTCATATGCCGTTTTGGTCGAGTCCTGGAACGACACTGCATCGACCGGTTTGCCGGCTCCCGGCAGGAAAGGATCGTAAAGATCAAGATTGATCTCGCGATGTTGAAAGAAGTTGTCCATTGTGACTCCGCGCTTGAATACAAATGTACAGAAAATGAGTAGAACCAGTGGCGTCAAATATAGAATTATACAGAGCATGAGCTGACCCCGCGACGAGAAAGCCGATGTTAAGGGGCCAGTATATGCGCCATATTATGCCATCCCCCATCCAGGGCCAAGTCCCACCTACCTTGCCATAATTCAGCCTCGAATAATGCCGAGGGATCCGAGTGGTATTCTTCCATGCCAAAGTCGATCGCCAGGTCGTCTACATGTGGGCAGTGCTCTTAGATTGCAGGGAAGCAATCGATGCCAATCAATCGAGCAAGCCGTGAGTACAGTTCCAAGATCTATTCCGGGACACCCTGGGCTGCATTGCATACAAATGAATGGTTGAGTAACACGGTCAAATAACCCTCCGATGATCAGTATACATCATGAAAGGTGCCGTAATAAGGTTACATCCACAGCATGCAGCCCTACAGCGATCGAAATATCAAATATGTCGATATGAGAGGATCATGCCTGAGGCAGTAAGGCAACCCATATGTCGCTGACCAGACTGACAAGCCAGACGCTAGTCTGATGCATGAGTCCATTCTCCTCAGGTTCCAGGGGATTATGCGGAACGGTATGCTGGTTTCTTTCTTCCCGAGAAACCCGTAATCAAAATCGCCCCATCCAATGTCTCCATGAACAATACGTCCAATAAATCTTGAGCCATGGACACGACTGTCAATCAATCGCACTACACAATCTCCAAGTCATCATCGTCGTCAACGTTCGTGCCTGGCACCCCCAGACTCTCCCGTCCAGGTATCCGTATGCCCTTCGTCTCCAACAAAAACCGCGCCCGCTTCCTCGGTGACATCTCTTCATTGCGAGGGCCGCTATCAGGCTTTGCTTTGCTCGGTGGCTTCGGTCGCGACGTATCCAACCAGTCGCTCTTTTTCGCCCCGCCCCAGCCCATCGGCTCCGATCCGTCTGCCCGCTTCCGCTTCCCGCGCCCAGGACTGAGCCGGATTTCGCTCGCTTTGTTGCCGAGTAGACCAAGGGCTTCCGCATCGGCGCCACCGGTATTATCTAAGGGTTCTTTCTCCCCATTGCCTACCATGGCCTCCCCGCCATCAGTGGATTCCGCTCCAGGTTCCCGCATTCGCAAGTACTGACTCCCCATCCCGGCGCCTAACTTCCCTAAACTCGACGCGAGGGCTCTTTCTTTGTCGCGCGCTACCTTTCGCTTCTTCGCCAGTTCCTCTCGGGACGGCCCTCGTTCATTGTAGGACGTAAGAGTGCCGATGAATGGATCCTCGAAAACGCTTCTGTTTTCCTCCGGTTTCTTTCTTCCACCGCGTGGAGGACCAGAGTTTCTGGAACCCATTCCCGGTGCCATGTAGAGCGTGGTGCCCGTACTTCGGTCATGGACCTTGCTGCCGGGGAGTAGCCCGGTGTTCCTGGATTGCCCGGATCCGAACGTGCTTTTGGAGGCGCCGAACATGCCTCTGCCAGCGCCGCCCCCACCGCCACCGGAAGAACCAAAATGGGGCGTGCGTCCCATGCCATTGATCTCCATTCTGCCGCGCCGCGCTTTGTCGACTTGTAAGTTGATATGGTATTCACAGAACTGCGTCTTCCGCTTGTCGATCCAGCTACCGCAAAGTTGGCCGTCACTTTTCCGGGACTCGCACCAGCCGAGATCGCGGGAGGTACCTATCTCGACGACGGTGTCTTCATTCCCGGCAAGCTTGAGACTGAATGCGTTCGTGTCTTTCCGATGGGGCAGCGGAGGGAGGATATCAGGATTGAGGATCGCGATCACGGTGCCTGGTGTGAGCTTCCACAATTTGTTGAACGCCGCACCAAATAAATAGAGGTCGATCTCCCATTTGAGATCACAGAGGTTCAGCACCATGAATTTGTTCCGGCCAGCGCCTTCACCGTCACCTTCGCCATGGCCATTTGTGCTGTTGTTTGCTAGGGCACCAACGCTGACGCCTCCACGCTTCTTGTGGTCCTGTGGGGTGGACTTTTTTGCAAGGACGGCGAGCACGACATAGGAATCGTTTGGGCAATCTGGTGGGTCGAAATCTGGGCCCTTAACGGTGGCAAGGAGTTGCGGAATCGTGAAGGTTGAGTGCGGTGTGAGGAGCCGTTGGACGGTTGCATGCGGTGTGACGCGCTTGGTCAAGTGGAGAGATGTGAAGGGATCGAATGTTGAGATCTCCTCGCTCGACCCTGATTCAGATGCTGCATTTGCATGGATATTATCTTGTTGTGTTCGCCCTGGCGCCGTCATGGAAGGTGTTGGTGCAGCCGGTGCATGGCCTTCCGGTCGTCCTCGCTCAAATGACGAAGCGGGCGTTGGCAAGTCTCGGAACCCTGATGTTGTGGACACTCTTTCATGCTGACTATTTGCGGTTAATGTCGATGATTGAGACCGTAAACTGGCTTCCTTATCCCCGACCTCATCCATAAGCTGCTTCAAACCAAACCCCTGGCTCCTAGCCCTCTCAAAACGTGCTTCTCGATCTTCCTTGGTTTTCTCCTGACGACGGACTTCCGCTATTCTCTCACTGAAAGACTTCGGTCGTTCTTGGGTCGATGAAGCTGTATTTCCGGTGATAGATCTGCTCCTAGAGATCCCATGCTTGTCGGAAGACCTGGGTATTGTACCACCGAACTTGGAGCTTGCTGCTCGCTTCAATGATACATCTTCTGCGCGTAGTCCTTTATCAATTCCAAGCCGTCGGGCTGGAGAGGCAGCTTCCACTGGAGTCTGTTCCTTCTTCACTGGCGACAATGGAACTTGGACGAAAGATCTAGAAGAGGTTGATCTTGAGTCTGTAACGAGGCTCGATCCAGCTGATATAGAAGAAGGATCTCGGTGTAGTCCAGTAACCGTACTTGGTCGCGAGGATGTTCTTGATATTGACCTATCATCACTACTTTGTGACGCCGCTTCCCGTTTTTTCGCTCTTGCGGCTTGTAATCTCTTCAACTTCAGCTTGGCTTCGATGGCTTGAAGTTTCAACTGCAGCGTCTCCTCATCTTCATCATCTTCATCCTCCAGATCGGCCTCTAGTTGGGCAATGGGTAACCGTTTCGTTGGGGAAGGGGAGGGGGAAACATTGAAGCGCTCGCGAGCTTCCTCGATCCTCTTCCGACCTCGCGGGGAGCTCTGGAGAGCTTCGAAAGGCGATTTGGGTGGCCATTTCGCTGGACTCGCATCGGCTAGTAGTCGTCAGACTATGTACCTGGAAGAATGGTGAGGAGACATACCTTTCGGCCTGTTTGATTCCCTGACAATCATGACAACGGGGACAGTAGCGTGTATGGGCAAAGACAGCGCACCATCGCAGATGATGCTTCGTCAACATCAACAGCAGTCCCTCCCGAGCATCAGTGGCGTATGACTCTATCAATCGTGCAAATTGTGGCTCTCATTGGTTTTGTATGAGATTACGGATACGGAGTACAGGTACTTAGATTGGAGTCGTGACAGGGGATTGTATTAGGTGAAATCCAGCCAATCAGCGACGGAGGAACGCGGCGCGTCAAATCGCGTCGCGTGCATCTTTTTGCGTCGAAGTTCAACATCAATGATCAATCTACGGATACTCGTCAATTACAACTAAGAGCACATGGTTTTGGAGTTTTGGATACTTGCATCTCGGAAAGATATTTTAGCCTAAAGAAGATTCATCATGAAGACTAGATCGAAGCCCGCTACTCGCAAGGCGGCCGTTAAAGGGGATACAGAGACACAATCGACTGCGACGAAGGCATTATCACCACGCGATACCAATCCTCCACGAGTCTTAATATTGCCTAAAGGAGCGTCATCGCAATCAAGGATCATCTCTCTACCACATCCAGCCACTGCACAACCAAATCGATACCTTTGTTGTCCAGAGAATGGGTTTTTCGAGTTCACAAGAATAACAGCGCCGCGGAAAATACCTAGTAGTTGGCTTATCACACATGGTCAAGAGTCGGAAAGTAGCACTGCTGCTACAAGAGGAGCAGAGACTGTGGTGCCCGATCAAAATGGAAACTCGAGTGAAGAGAAAAAAGGGGATTGCATTGATGATCCCTCGGCCTACATTTCGCAAGATGCGGATTTGCTCATCGCAACACGATACGATCCCGTCTTCTTTCTCCTACCAACATTACATCCACTAACAACGAACGCTCAACAAAAGAATATGTTCCTGTCAGACGAAGACTACCTCGACCTACTGGAATCTACATCTCGGCAATGGAAGGATGTACTTCGAGATCCACCTACCAGAAGCAGAGTCTCTAAGACCATAGAAACGATCAGCGATATCGTTGAAGCAGGAGAAGAGAAAATGTACCGCTGCTCGGATCAGAAGATAATGGGGCTATTGGTCACGCGAGCGAAGAGCATGGTTGAGAAGGGCATTCCCGCGTCTATGGAAGATCGATTCGTTTCCCGGCCCCTCCAGGCGCCTTCCAGAAGGGTTCCGGTTCCGAGTCTCGAGAAACAGTCATCTTCCAGCTCGGAGGACAAAGAATCCGTTCCAACCCTCGAATCGCAAGCTTCAACGGTTGCCACGCCATCCGAGTCCGTCGACTCTCAGAGCACGGTTTCGACTTCACAATCAGCTAGCACAGCTGCGACGTCCATCTTGTCCGAACAACCCGAGCCGCCAACACCGGCTGAGACGGAGACACCCGCATCAATTGTCCACCTGCAGCGCCTCCGTGTCGCTCTAGACCTTCTGCTGACAAACGTCCCACTTCCACTCTGTACACATTTGAACACCCAACTGTCCTCTCCTTCATCTCCGATCGACTTCGCCCCCCTCACCTCTTATCTCTCCCACGTCGCCTCGCTCCGTGCGGAGGTCGTAGCGCAATCGAGCTTCGCGGATAACGTGAGCCGCAAACGGGCGCTCGACGACAATGAAGAGGCGGCGGATCGGCGAGCAGAAAAGAAGCGGAAGAGCGAGGACGAGGAGAAGAAGCGGAAGACGGAGAGCCGAGGAGTAAAACAGCTGCGGAAGGTGGATACGAGTGGCATGAAGAAGTTGACGGGGTTCTTCAAGAAGGCGCCGGCGAAGGGTTGAACTCTGATCGTGATGCAAGCTGTTGGCTCATGCGAAGCTTCTGATTGCATATGGACGAGGGAGATACCGCATCTTCTGTCAGTCGACGCAGGATCCGACACTAGCCAAACTACACGAATCACTGAAGACGAAACCACGGAAACAAGGCGTGACTGTCGCTTGGATTGTTCCAATCTATCAATCCTTATGCTACATTGTTCTGGAATGACCGGCTAATCCACATCTCCTCAATAAGCCGTCACCATCCCGCGTCACGCCCACTCAATGAATGATGAAGCAGTTCCATTTACTAAAGCTCATCAATACCAATCGGTGCCGGAGTATGCAGTGAGCTCACCTTCGTGGGGTTGCAGGGAGTGCACTCGCAGGATGGGTCACAGTTTCCTTTGCCTCCTGGGCAAGAGGTGCAGCTGCTACAGGTCGCGTTAGTGATGGGTCCTGGTTTAGAGCCTGAAGCTTTGTGAAAGCTAGATCAAATGTTCATACCAATCGCCGGGCATTGGGACGGGTTGAATATGGATTCGGGTGTTTAAATTTCGATGATTGATGGACTGAAGGTTTGCTTCGAGCTGAGTTGGATGTTGATGACCATGAGAAGTCAATTTCCAGAGTTTATGGCATTTATATATCTTTCAGCTTCAGAAATCCATCATTTCGTCAGAACCACGACATGCTTGTTCTCATCGAGTCATCTGTTCAGCTTGCCTGTCCCTGGCGTTCCTTCTGACATCAACACTTCCTGGACAAGCAATGATAAACCTGGGAATGCGCATCTTCCAAAAATCCGGTTTCTGGGTCCCAGACAGAAATGATGGGATGAATTGTTCCGTCGACCCCGCGGATCAAACAGGGTTAAGTCCCATGGTTTATACATCGCTCTGTTTGGTAATCGGAATTCGGAGCGGATACAAGATCGAGCCACTGGATCACTCGAGCAGGGTGGATGGGCGATCATACGGACGATGCAATCCAAACATGCATCATTTATGAAAAGCAATCCGGATTTCGTTAGTAATGCGAGGATCCCATCTGACCACCTCCGTGTTCGTTTCAAGCCCTTCAAGGTCAAGATAAAACCAGTGGTCGCCTATTCGATCACGACGAGCAACAGGATATTGCACTCGCTCTCGGCTAGACAAGAATTAGAGCATTGAAAATTCCAAGGGGGTATATCCTTCCACCATTAACTCGCTCAACACTAGCTCCAAGCATCAGCAAACCAAAAATATACAAGCCCTCTTTAAAAACTACTCGGGAATACGCCCTTAAACTGACAACTAACGTCTCAGCATTAACGAGGTGTGTTGGCCAATTCCGCCGAACCAGGATTCGGACTCGGCACCGCTGCCGGCGATATCTCTGCCAGTTCAGCGCCTCGGCTCTGCCCGCTTCCGTCCGGAGTCAATTGCGCATTTACCGGCGTCGGAGGCGAGATGTTGGGCGCTGGCAATTGCACCGACGCCCGCTGCCAGTGCATAGCTTGTTCTGGGATCGGCTGCAGCGGGATCTGGCCCGCATTCGCCCCATTCGGCATGCCTTGTATCTGGGAATTATACATCTCCGCCAGTGACCCAGCTTGTCCCGGTGGAGGCGCCATATACGACGTCGGCTGCTGTTGCCCCGGGGGCCCCGGAGGGAAATATGCATTCGGGGGCATCTGCCCGGTTGGCATGGATGCCGGGACAGGGACCATTCCGGGCGGCGGTTGCGCGTAGGTCGTGAACTGCGGTTGCTTATACATGCTCATGTGCTGCTCGTTCTGCATATGTAGGAGTTGCGCTTGTTGATTGCCCGCCTGGGTGATGAGGGCGGCGAGGCGCTGGCGTTTGTGTTTGCGGCGGCGGTCGGTGTCGACGCAGGCCCAGACGAAGAGGATGAAGTGGATGATGCTGGGAGAGGGTTAGATGCGGTTTGGTGACGGGGATGGGGGAGGGGCGAACGTGAGGATAATCTTGATCGCTGCGGCGCCGATGGTCAGGTCGAACAGGTCCTCGTAATCCACGAGCAGCTGGATGAGTGCGGCGGAGAGTAATCCGCCCCAAATGATCAGATCGAGGCCGACGTGAGCGCCTGGATGGATACCCCGACCGTTCACGCATTGTGTAATGAACTCGGCGACGTTCCAGATTATGGACAGAATGGCCTACGCTGCGATCAGCCTATAAACCACCCAGGAATGAATCGAAACATACGAATGTGTAACTTTCGGGAGATACCCAGATCCCCTCGTAATCGTAGGAACATTCGTTAACAAGAGTACCGTAGTAATGGCAAGAGTACCGGTAGCCGTTCCGACTGAAAGCAGCCCCTTGCAGCGCAACGGCGATAATCGCACAGGTTACTGCTAGCGATCGAAGGGAAGTCTTGAATGTGCGTTGAAGTGGACTGCTTTTGTATGGACCAGTATCTAGAGGCTGTCCCACGGCCGGCGTGTAGGGAGGTACTTCACCCATAGTCGCCATGGTTCGAAAGTTGACAGAGCAGTGACAACGGTCCGAACGGACTGGGGGATTGGAGCACGACGGCGAATATTAAAAAGGTTAACACTCAAGAAAAATAGGACTACAGAGGTCTCAACATCATCCGACAGCGAAAGAACGAACAGACATCGAAAATACCAGTGAAGAATCAGGTCTTAAGTAGCATTAACTCCTGAAGGATCAGGCAGTGTTTCCGGTTCTGTACGTATCATGCTTGATGCTTGCAGAGTGATCAGCGTATCCATGCGCTTGTCCATTCCGATCTATTCTCATTGGATCAACGCTGCCTCTAGACATGGGCTCAATGTTACCATCCGTTAGTGTTCGTCGTGCTCGGATACGGGGAATGCTCAGTGAAACGGAAATGGACCCAGGTTCGGAAAGGATTCGCGGTTCAATCTCAAGGTAAAGTACTAACTACTGTTAACTTACTAACTACTAACTAAGTTAAGCCAAAAGTCTGCGCACAGACCCCATTCTCAGCTGAATATCTCTACACCCACCCCTTACTTTGACAATCAATAACTTTACCAAAATGAGGTCTTTTGGCACAAAAATAAGTGGTAATCGAGGGCCTAATAAGGAGTTATCGGCCGCTTAAAGAGTTGGGATTGTTCAGGCTGCTGAAGATGGGAAACCAAAGACTGAAATCGCGCGGAACTTTCGCGTCTCTAGAAGCGCGGTGTATGGGACTCTAGAGAGGTGGGAAGAACATCAAACCACCGTATCTTTACCCCGTGAAGGGTGTCCCCATAAGCTATCACGCCCTGACGAACGGCATATCGTTCAAATCGCGCGTCGATTTCTTAAAATGGAGTATGGAGAGCTCCTCGCAGGTATTTCGTACCTCCGCATTTCTAGGAAGACTATCTACCGAACCCTTAAGAAATATCACCTTACCAAATGGCGAGCGAAGAAGAGGCCTTACCTGAAGCCCCACCACGCAAAATACCGCCTCCGATTTGCCCACGAATTCCTTAAATTCGACTTCTCCCGGACCCACTCCACGGACGAGTGCTCGTATGAGAAGGGGGCGGGCAGTAAGCAGGTATGGGTATGGCGACTGTACCACGAGGCATATGATCCGCAAATGGTAGAGCCTAAGGCCTCTGGCAAGGCCATTCACAGATGATATGGGGCTCAATCTCGCGTGATGGGAGGTCAGGCCTGGTGATCATGGACCGCGACGAAACCTCCGCAAGACAGGGCTATTCCGCGAAATCCTACATCGCTACGTTAGAGGAGGGACTTCTCCCTACGTACGAACCCGGGGATGTTGTTATCCAGGAGAACGCAAGGATCCATGCGGCTAAAATCACCCAAGAATGGCTGGAGACGCACGGCATTTGGGTCATCGATTGGCCGGCCAATTCCCCAGACATCAACCCCATCGAGCACATATGGCGTCTGTTGAAATCAAAGGTCCTAGAGCTGCACCCTGAATTGAAGAATGGGCGCCTCGGAGGAGGCACGGGAGGCCATGAATGCGGCGTTAAAGGAGGCGTGGTGGGCGATCCCTCAGGAGACGATCCGAGAGCTGATCGACTCAATTCCGCGACGTCTACGGGCGGTAACCAAGGCAAAAGGGTGGCATACGAAATATTAGATATTTCCCAATTAAGAAATCAAAAAATTAGACTGAATTTGCATTTGTATGTGTTTTGCAGCGTATCTCAAGATACGGTGTATGGCGATCAGATTTGGTGAATGGTGATTTTGGGGGGTGTGCACAGACACATGTCTACTTATTGTAACCAGTGGAGCGTGGAGGATCGGCGGGATATGAATTGAGAAACAAGCCTTTTTGGAAGTCTAGGCGGGTCTTGGTACGGGGAATTTTTATACTGGAGCAATAGAAATTAAGAAATCAGGTGGGAACTTCGATAACCAAAGGGCGCGTCGCTCCAGATAAGACCGGACCGCCCCGAGCCGAGTGGAGATCCTAAGGTGGAGTGGATAAATGCAGATGATTTCCAAATCAAACAACATCATGTCTGCAGTGCGCATGGCACCGAGATTGGTTTCTGATAGGCGTCGCAATTCATGGATCATGGACAAGAACGCCCCAAACGCACACTGCTGAGATCGTGGATTTGTAATCATCAAGTCAAGATATTATTTCGAGCTACCTTACCCATCAAAAATCAGTCACCTAAATGACGGCATGGCTGATGGCGTCCAATGCCTTACTCTACTTAGGAGCCCGAGCTTTAAGAGTCTCCCTATCCAATGCCGTCACAAAATAATCCCCAAACAAGAACGCAGTATTCTCGTCGCCATACTCCTGCTGGGTTCGACGGTGGATATTCTGGACGCTACATTCCAGCGCCATCCCCGTTAAGCCCTCTTCATTCAGGACCTCCTCGACGGCCCGGACGATTGTCGACGGCGGCGTCACAACGTTCGTCGGTGCTGCAGCCATGAGGGCCGGTGTAAGGCCGGTATCGACTAAGCCTAGCCTTATGTCAGCAGTTTGAACGACACACTGTCGGGGATTTAGCAAGTACCTGGGCAGAGGCAATTCACGGTGATGGGCTCATTCCTCTTCGCGAGCTGCGCACTCAAAGCACGAGTGAGGCCGACAACCTGAATCCGATCAGCACGATGCTCTGCAGGGCGGTCAGGGGATTTCATACTCCATGCTTCGCGGCTGTGTACAGTGGGATCCCTGTCCCGGGGAACAATCCACACATGCTCGAGGTGAAGAGAAGCTTTCCACCCTTCGATGGATTCTTCCGGAAGTAGTGGAGAGCGAGATATGCACCGTAGACCATCGCATCCAGGCATACGGTCATGACATCGATATTGGGCTTGGGTGGCGGTGCGTCGTCTGCCGCTTCCACCGGAGCGTAGAAGTCGATCCGGTCGCCGATTCCCTGCGGATGATGAGTACTCGGAGACAAAGACGAGGCGGAGGGCATACAGCGTTCTGCCAGACAAAATCCAGTCGATGGAATTTCTTCCACGTTGTCTCGAATGCTTTAGCATGTTGGTCGTAGTTAGCGGTGTCGACATGGAAGAATTGGACTTGGTCTCCTAATTCCTTCGCAACTGCTTCACCTGTCGCCTTGTTGTAATCAAGAACGGAGACATTCCATCCAAGCTCGACTAGCCTCTTCACTGTTGCGAGGCCCATTCCAGATGCACCTCCGGTGATGAGAGCAACCTTTGTGCTGGATTCTCCATTGCCAGCCATGATGTGAGATATGAGACAGATTTTGATTTATTAGGTCTGAGTATAGTTTGAGGGAATTGTTAGTCCAGTACGTATAGACATATTGAACGACATCATAGCATATATGTCATGCTATGCACATAGAACCCCTCATACACTGAGGTGCTCCTCAACAGTGGCACAGTTAGCCCTCGGTTTCGGTTCAGACTCATTCAGAGCAGTAGTACGGAGGACCAAATACGACAATAAAGAATCTCCCACTTGATGGAGAGGATCACGACTGAGAGTGGAGAATCAAGCAGCCCTAGACCCTGATTGGGCAGAAGTTGAGTGCAACACATGCATCGGCTTGCAGGTCTGGGGCAGTGGCTCGGCTAGAGTGCGGATGCTGAGGAAGTTAGTCAAGCATGGGGTATACTCAGACCCGGCTACCAGCATCAAGATGGTTGCACCGGATTTTGTTTGCCCCTTTGCTCATCTAAGTATAGCGTGAACCAGAATATATGCTCGGGATCCTTCTCATCAAGCTTCGTCGAGGCGGGGTCAAACCGCCTCAAACGACCCATCCACCGAGCTCCTGCAGATGATGAGTTTTCAAAGAAGACTTGGGTAACAAAGACTGAACGGTGGCCAATGAACAGAAGCCGTAAGAGAAAATAATTATAGAGGATACCAGATTCCATCAGACTATGTTAGGCGAAGAATGTACACATTGGACAAGGAAAACGATATCCGTAGGTTACGGTTCGGTCCGGATAGAGCAAGCGAAGCGTATGTACGGCACGACGTTACATTTGACATCAACTGGAAATAATCCATAAGATCCTAGCTGGTATATCCGAATCCATGGAGTTTCCTGGAGGCCAGAGTCAAAGGGGAGTTAGAAATCCATCTGGATAGTAGAAAAGGATTGTACGTACGGAGTACATAGAAGTGGTTGGAGGTTGTCGTCATCTCTCCACTTTGTATACTCTATGGATGCCCCAGTCCAATCACATGGCATAATAAAGCCAACTGAACCTTTCAACCACCACCCCAAGATCAGATATCAGTCTTCTTCACCATCTTCATATTAACTGATCCTGATTAATTCTCCTAATATCCCACGCTGAAACCACTGACAACCGACTTGGAACTCCGTGTACTTGAACGACATCCGTCAGCTGCGCCCATCCCATACGCAATCAGCCTCCCCGCTCTCGACATGAGCTGACCTGGGGAGTGCTTGTATGGCAGCCCTCGGTGAGCATTCCAACCCGAAAGCACCGAATACAGACTGATCTCCAAACAAGACACGCCCTGGCTGGAACAGATGTCCTTTCCTTCCATGCCTAACACCACACAAGATGCCTCCACCCCATCCACCGGCGACCCCAACCCTCCCACTTTCGCCGCCTTCTCACCGAATCCCCTAGGCCACGGCGCCCTCAAACAGCGATCCACCATCCTCGTCCACCAGAAATCTCCGCTCCTCGTCGCCACACCTCCACAAATCACCCGCGCGCTCGCATATGCATACCCGTTCCTCTCCCCGCTGAACCGCGCCGCCGCCCTGCTCTCATGGACCTCCCCCGATCCGTGGGAGAGTTTTCTCCTGCTCGCCGCATTCTGGGCGATCACTTTATACGGTGACCACATCCTACGATGGGCGGGACCGATCGTGTTGATCACCGGCCTGATCTTCGGAATGTACCTTCGGCGCTACTCTCCTCTCTCCACGGGATACACCGGCGCGAAAGGGCAGGGCAGTCGCGCCCGCTCCGATTCCGACACGCGCCACCACAAGAGCCTCGACGAGATTCTCGATACCCTAAACATCTTCACCTCGCGGTGTAACATCCTGCTCGATCCGTTTCTGCGATTGACGGACTTCCTCTCCACCCAACGAACGGCGACCTCGGCCACCACACGGCCCGCGCTCACGACATTATTCATCCGCCTCCTTCTAATCACCCCGATATGGTTCGGCCTCACCCTTCCGCCACTTTACATCATCACCACCAAGCGCATAATCCTCTCAGTCGGCACCGTCGCGCTTAGCTGGCATTCCCGGCCCGCCCGCATCTCCCGCGTAATCCTCTGGCGCTCCCGCCTCATCCGACGGACATGCACCGCCCTGACCGGTCTCCACTTCAGCAACCCGGAACCATCCCCCAAAACCACGCAACCTACCGCCGCCAATTCTACCAAATCGACCAAAAAAACCGCCAACGACGTTGCCGCGTCGCTGCTCCTCAAACGCGACCCGGCAGCCCCGTCCATCCGCTTCACGTTCGCCTTGTACGAGAACCAGCGGCGATGGTTGGGGATCGGATGGACGAGCAGCATGCTGGCGTATGAGCGGGCGGCGTGGACGGACGAGCATCTGAACTCGGCACCGAACAAGGACCGGTTCGAGCTGCCGGAGGTGGACGGCGGGCATGCGGAGTGGCGGTGGGTGGATCCGGAGTGGCGGGTGGAGATGAGCTCGGAAGTGAGTCCGCGGCGGCGAAGGGGGGAGAAGGTGGATGATGAGGAGGAGAAGGAGGGGTGGATTTATTACGATAATAAGGTAAGCGGCCATTTTATCCCCGCCGTCCTTGGATTCATGCACCCGGTGTCTCACACACCGATCAATAACTAACCCTTCTTTCTACAGTGGCGCGATCCCCGCCGAGGCCGCGACTCCTGGGGCCGCTACACCCGCCGCCGCAAATGGTGCCGCGACGCCGAACTTGTCGAGATCACCCCGGCCCCAACACCCACCTCCGGCACTAAACACTCCCGCACCCCATCCGCGCAAGCAACCTACTCCAGCATCAGCACCTCGCTCGCCGAGCTCCCTGGCTCCTCCCCCTCCTCCTCAACGCTCGTGAACTCCACGCAGTTCCCGTCCACCGATGGCGCCGGCGCCGGCTCGATGACCGGGGCGAGCGTGGGTGGGAGCACAGGGAGTTTAGGCGCGGCGGGGAATAGCCATAGCACGCCGGACGCGACGAAGCGGAAGGGGTGGTTTCGGCGGACGAGCCGGGCGGCGAGCGAGAAGACGGGGAGTACGGGGAGTGCGCACGGGACGGGGACGGGGACGGGGAGTAGCGAGCGGAGGGAGAGGGAGGAGGAGGATGAGGCGGTGCCGATGGGGAGGAAGACGGTGGAGCAGCCGGGGGATTGGGGTTATGGGGAGGATGTGCGAATGGCGTTGGGGTAGTGAGATGGGAGGGGGAATGAGGTTCGGGAATACCCGATTGTACTGTAATTACATTGTTTGAGAAGCGAATTAGCTATGACATTTTGCAATGGTTTGCGTGGCGCGATATCGGTAGCGCCTATTGAAGTGAATCTGAATGGGTACTACAAGGACACTCTCATCGTCCATCACTACCTATTGTCACATCAATGATGTCACGATCATCCCTCTCACAAGCACGCCCGATTCCATTCTACAAGCTTAGGAATACGTCTCTGCATTCAGTCTAGATTCAATATACACAACGAATATAGCTAGCTACCCGCCGCCCGCTCTCCGCATTCCATGTTTTCTTTCGATTTTCGGTCAATTTGTCGGTCTCGTAGGGCAATGCATAGGAAACGTCAAAGAAGGTCGAACAGTCCGTCGTCCAGCTCGCCCCGGTGCATGTTATCGTCGGTTGGAGGTAGCAGGTTCCGACGGGTCTGATGATTTGGCGAGGTCGCTTCTCCGCGAGGTGCAGGTCGTCGTGAGGAGTCGTTCGTTGCCCCGATATGGATGAAAGTTGCCACGATCGCGGTGCCATGTCGGGTGGAATCAGAGGATCGAGGACGAGTGGCGAGGGGTGCAGTGCATTTGATTCTAAAACGCGTCAGGTTCCGTTCCAACCAGTCCAGCTCGTGCTATCTAAAGAGGACATACTAGCCGCAGCTGCATGCTCCCGGAGCGCACTGGCAGCTTCCACCACAGCAGTTGGGCTTTCCACAGGAAGAAGACATGTTGATTAGTTGGATGATGAGAGTATTTCTCGCGTCTGATTGATCGATTCAGAAATGCTATTGTGATTGAGGTTTGTAGGTGTGCAGGTGGTGAGGTCTGACATCAGATACGCTATCGGAACGCGGGGTTTCTGTCCTTTAAATAAACAAAGGCGATGCTGCTTGCCCCTCACACCTGACAAGGCTAAACCCCACTTCGAAAGGATCGAACCAATCAGCGGATCGGATCTTACTGATAAATGGGTCTATTGAGAATTTGAGGCGCCTCTCTCAGCTTGCTCACACGCACAAATCACTCGCGGCACTTGTGCGGCAGCCTAGCAACCACATTGGGGTTCACATTGACTGTTCTCACGAGATACAGAGTCCAAACCACCGCTGCCGCAATGCTTGGGGCGCTTGGGACCGTTCAATTCCGACATGGGAACGGCCCGCTCGACCGGAATAGCGCGACGTGAGCACGTTTTGATTTGGGTAGATGGAGCGACGCCGTGTGTCAACGCTGGCGGGGTGAGCAAGTTAACGCGGGTGAGGACGATGATGGAGGGTCAGACGGGTGAGCTATAGGCTGCGCAGGCGTGGGTGGATGAGCGGATTAGCAGATTGGAAGAGCAAGGAAGTCAGTCCACTGAATCTGTGACAGGAAGAGGGGACATTCCTTCGTTCCATCGCTGCTGTTAGATACTGGAGGTACGTACCTGCGCTGGGCTGATATCCTTGGCTGGGGCTGCGTGCGCATCGTGTCGTACGAGGTGCTGGTCGTCGCACTTGCGGGGTTTCCGCGATGCAGATCGGGTCACAGGTTCAGTAGTTTGATGGCTTGGGAGCTCGGTGTCCGATCTCTTCCGTGCTTCCGCCCCATGCGTGGCGGTTATATGAATCTGTTATCTCATCGATGGACATGCCTTCGACCCTAACGCCCACACAGAGGAAGCCTTGACAGACTGTAAACGATAGACGTTCAGTGGTAGAGCAACACTCTGGACTCCATGATACCTGTAATTACTAACTATTTTAGTGATAACTAGATATGTAGGTTTCTATGCGAAGGACGCAAACTTTCCCTTGGGGATAGCTTGATGATCCAGACCGTACTTCGCCTCATGATACAGCCCATCAGTGCCCACTAAGCCGGACTTCTTGAAGTCATTATCCATTAGATCCACAAGGCGTGTCCTCTCCATCAAACCCCTTCGAATCCGCCATCGTAGCAGACTGAAAGAACCCCATCTGCTGTACCTTAGCGTCGCGCATCATCTGATGCCGACGCCGCTGATCTGCCTCTCTCCAAAGCGGGATCTCAAATTTCGCTGGGAAGAACCCAGCGTACTCCCAGTCAATAACTCTCACGATCTCGAACGTCAAAGGATCCACGAATATGTTGTGAGGTCCAAGGTCATTGTGGCAGAGATTATATACTTCGGCATCCCTTTCCATTCGCGGCCATGCCTGATGATTGCGTGGGCTATATAGTGAGGCTGTGGGGATCACTGGCAGATTAACGTCGACGCTCCCTACGAAGTTGCGGCGAAGGTCACGAAGTTGGGGGAGGATGGTCGACTGGATTTGCTTGTCAACTTCTGTGATGGCGGTCTCTTGATCAGCGGGGTCCACGTCGTCCAGCAATATCGCATCGTTCGGAGCCAAGGACGTTTTGAGATGCACTAGCCCGTTTTCCTCGTATATACCCAATAGGGTCGGCACGGGGATGGTTGTCTCCGCGGCGATAAGCTTCAACGTGGCAGCTTCGTTACGTAGTCGTTCGGGGACTAAGAGCACCACTATGGAGTCCCCGTAGATGTTGTTCCCGATCTCATCGGGGTGGTTCTGCCGCTTGATGAAGGTGTGTTGGGTGAAGTAGTAGGTGGTAAGGGTGAGCTTGTAGGAAACGAGGAGGGGGTCGTCCTGGGAGAAATGCGGGGGATATTTTTCAGGGATATATTGGTCGTTTGCCCTGATGCTTTCGGAGAGTTCGTGGAGGGCTCGCAAATGTGGGCTGAGGGTCTCCATGGTGTGAAGTGTAGCTTGTCATAATTAGCTGAGTACACGGGTCGAAGTATGTTGATACTTTGACTGAGGGCGAGGCCCTGCTCCCGATAATGAGCCAGTTTGTGTATCGTGAAAGGCGGCATCCATTAAAGCAGACCTTGTATCCTTGACATCATCATATTCTAGAACGAGTTCCCGGCCTAGCCATGATCTGGAAACAATAATAAACCAGCTCATGGCATCAATTTAATTGATTAATACCTTCTCATCCAGATACGACCAATCATCAACATTCCGAATCTCCGGTCCAGATCAAACATGTCGACCTCCCTTCTCCGCATCCAGTGCCTCTGCGGCTCCTCTGCCTCGACCATCTCGCTCCCCTCATCTTCCCTCCCACTCCAAACCTACCTCTGCCACTGCAACATTTCCCGCCACATTTCTGGCTGCCTCTGCAGCTCCTACGCCCGCTACCCACCGCTCTCGCAAACCCCTAGACCCGACCTCTCTGCCCTCACGGCCTATCGCTCCTCGGACATTCTCACGCGATATTTCTGCACGACATGCGGAACGCATATGTATCTCGAATACGACGATGACGGGCACTTTGAGATCGCGACGGGGCTGCTTGCTGGTCTAGCTGTGGACCCTGATAGGCCACCGATGTCTATTGTCAAACATGTCGGGCATATGTGGATCGAGGATACTGAGGACGGAGGGGCATCGGATTGGATCTCAGACCTTAATGGAAAGAGTGCGGAGAGGTGGATGAGAGGTGCTAATAGTAGTCCGCCAGCGTCAAGGGGTTGGTCACAAAGGTCATTGGGCGACGAGAAAGATAAACCTTCAGAAAGAGAAGATGACACCGGGATGTTGTTTGCCCGCTGTTACTGTGGCGGGGTGGAGTTCGCTATCTCTAGACCAGACTCCGAGTCGTGTGTACATGACGGCACGGCCGACTTTCCAGACTTGCTGGTGCCATATAATTCCGAGAAGTCGGCGAAGAATCCCGATGGCAAGCCGTGGTGGCTGTCGAACGACGGACGGAGATACACAGCAGGTACTTGTGCGTGCGACTCATGTCGGCGCGCTGCGGGGTTCGAGATTGTCGAGTGGGCGTTCGTGCCCGCAGGAAACATCATGGTCCCGGAACTAAGGGACGCAAGCGAGCCGCCGATTTGGAGGAAATATGAAGTGGGACGAGAGTTTGGTACGGGTCTGCTGCAGAGCTTTAGTAGTTCGGATAGGGTTTTTCGTAGGTTCTGTGGAGGGTGCGGAGCGAATATCTTTTGGGAGTCATATAACCGCCCGTACATCATTGACGTCGCAGTAGGGATCCTTCGTGCCCCTGAGGGTGCGAGAGCTGAAACTTGGTTGGAATGGGTGACGGATCGAGTTAGTTTCTGCGAGGAGGGTGCTAATCCGGGCCTCGTTTATGACCTGACGAGAGGGTTAGAAGGATGGGGTAAGCGACTAAGCTTAGTATCTATGATTCCCTAATGATAATATCATCATCGTAACCGTTGCCAACCCACTCGCACTATTACTGTGTTGTCAAGTAGTTAATATAGTTGTGGGCGGAAGTTTTCAGTCCAGTTGAAGCAAACTACTCTCTGCCTACTACCGTATGCTGACGCCACAGTTAAAAGCAGGCCCAACAAGAACGCCCTTGTTTTGTCGCCAAAGTTTAGCCTCTGTATGCCCAAACGCCCATAACTTCACCGCTGGTGCGGTCCAGCATGGCTCAGCAGAGAGATCTGTCATAAACGCCGAACGCACACCAGATGCATCTTTTAGATGACGCGGATCATTTGCTTCAGGAGAAGTTGTAGGACTGTAGTGTGTGAATATGATAATCTCCTTGTGCGGTTCCGACTTGCTAATATGCAGAAACTGCTCATTCAACCAAGCGAGTTCGGAAGCATGTGCGGCCTTATGGTCCTCCACAGTCCAATCCTCGACCCACTCAAAGTCGCTGACGAATAATTGCACAGATTGCGCTTGCTCGGGAGATATGGCAGAGAATAACGTGCAACCTAGGATAGTTACATTATGACTGATGTCGAACCGTCTTTGGTCAAGGAATATGAAGCAGCCCAGTGATGGATCGGATCTGCGGCGGCGGGAAATGCTCTGCGAAAAAGAGTGGAATGCAGATTTGGCTGTGGTATAGCTAGTGTCATATGCTTCATGGTTTCCAATTACAAAAAAGATAATTTCGAATTGTTTGAGTTGCTGCGAGAGAAATTCAAAAAGGCCGATGTCGGACGCCAATCCGATGTCCCCTAAGAGAGCTAGATATGGACATGATGGAGGAATGGTAAATTCGAAATATGTAGGACGTGTGGAGGGGGTTTCAAGGTGGAGGTCGGAGAGGCGAGGAGCTCCATTGAGGTATGGGTGTGGGACTTGGGAAATGGAGGGAAAGGTTATGTAACGAAGATCGAGATAGAAGCGGTAGCCGGTAGGTAATAGGGATTAGGGAGCAAAGCAATCGTCTGGACAGCTGTTTCGTTCAATATCCCACTTTAGTGGATTTTCTGTGGACTTTATTTGGTTTAAAAGATCGCCGACTGTGACGCCACAGAGTATAGACCAAAGGCACGTGATGCGCGAATCAACTTTGAGATTTTGACAGAAACGATTCACTGTTCCACGATAACCACTAAACCACTTGTAAACGTGGAATTTCCTTTCAACAAGTACTCCTCCGAAGGTATATCTACGAAGGATTCATTGTCGATAATAATCTGCGATGAAAGTCATCTTGAAGCTAAGTTCTTGACGTTCTTCGGTTGACATTCCCGCACACGAGACTTGAAGTTCGCCATTGCAGCGCAGGTGATTGCGACTTCATCCAGAATTTCGAAAAGGAAGTCGCTCAAGGCACCAGCGCACACCAACCATCAGAACATCGTCACCTGATCATCACAGCGTCTTCCTTCAGCTCTACGGAATTCCCTGAAATCATCACTATGGCAGATTCTTATCGCCCTCCTCGGAAAGCTCCCACAGGTGCGCGAGACAACAATCCTCATCCTAAGAAGCGTGGAAAGAAGAAGACCCAGAAACCGCAAGGAAAGCCCAAGAAGGCCAACAACAACATGAGCAACAACGACATCGGCCAACAACAAAGCTTTCAAGTCCGGGGAGCCGCAGCATCGGATAACTACCGTCCTTCACAGTCCTCCAACTTCCAGAGCAGTTACCGACCAAGCCTTGAAGATCGCGTCACCAATGAGAGTCGACGACCGCGAACCGATAACTATCGTCCGAATGCCGGTTCTGCACACGACTTTGGGAACCATAATGATGGCTTCCAGTTCACCTTCGAATCGATCCAACAGCAGACGTTCGCGCCGATGGAACCGTCTGACCCAAATTCCCACAGGCGCCGATATGACGATGGCAGGAGGCACAACCAGTCCCGAGCAGCCCGTCCGAATTTTGGTGGGCGGCCGAGGTTCTCCGCGGATCGACGCGCGCTGATGACCACGAAGCGCGAGACTACCCCGGAGCGCTTGACGGGAATGGCCGGCGGCCCTGCGTCGTTCCGCAATGTAGATAATCTGTCCGAGTCCGAGGCGTCGATGGAGTTCGACTCGGATAGCGGAGATGTCGCAGACCTGAAGCAGGACCAGCCGTCGAAGAAGAGGGTTAAGCTCTCCGAAGAACCCACCAAACCGAAATGGTCCAATCCGGATCCGTACACTTCCCTCCCACCGCCTGACGCGACGGCGCAGGGGAAACGCAAGGATGTGGTGCATCTGATCCGCAAGGCGAAAATCGCCGTGGAGAATGAGCAGGCCGGTAGAAATGAAGTCTCACAGAATGCGGATTTCATCTCGCTGAATTTCGACGATGAGGACGAGGGATGGAAGGCTCCGGTATCCCCGCCTCCCCCACCTCCCCCACCTCCTGTTCACGGCCTTCCTCCAAGGCCGCCGCCTCCAACTGGTCCACGAACCATTCCTTCTGCGGCGTCCCTCAGCATCCAAATTCAACCAACCAAGGATACATTCAAGGACCGCAGGCAAGAGGCCCGGCAGAACTTCCGAGACTTCGAAGATGAGGATGAAGAAGAGGAATATGAGCCTCCTTTACCTTCAAATTGGCCAGGGCAGAATGATGTCCCTACCAAACCTGCCTTCCCCGGTCGAGAAATCAAGGCCGCAACTGGTGCCAAGCGAGGAAAGCAGAAAGCACAGGTCCCTGATGTAACGCCACTCCATACTGGTAAGAAGCGAAAGCATACGCATGTGGCGGCTGTGCTACCCGAGTGGTGGATCCCTCGTGGATCGGCTGGAACTCCTTGGTGCACCAGGGCCACTGATCACTCCAATATCGACCGCATGGTGGAGTGGCTCCATCTTGAGATGGTCGATTTCTACGACCATGTCAAGCCATGCGTATTCGAGCAGTCTCTTCGGGAAGACCTCGTAAACCGTCTTCGTAAGCACGTCCAGAAGAATAGTGGTTTGCCTTGTGATGTCAAATGCTTCGGATCGTTCGCGCAAGGAACTTACCTTCCCACTGGCGACATGGACATCGTTGTGGTGTCCAAGACATTCGAACAGACAGGCAACCGCGCCTTCGTGATGAACAACTACAAAAAGATGTACCAATTCTTTCGGACGCTGACGCGAGCTGGATTGGCTTCTCATACTGAAAATCAGATCATCGCGAAGGCTCGGGTGCCGATTATCAAGTACGTGGACCCGTACACAAGGCTCAATGTTGACATTTCTTTCGAGAATCTCAGCGGCGTCGTAGCGATCCGAACGTATCAGGATTGGGCCACCGAGTTCCCGATCTTAAATGTCTTTGTTGCCATCATCAAGCAATTCCTGAAGATGCGAGGATTGAACGAGGTCGTCAATGGTGGCATCGGGGGCTTTAGCATCTCCTGCCTAGTCTACAGCTGGCTCAAGTTGCACCCGAAGATCCTCTCGAAGGAAATCATCCCCGAGCAGTGTCTTGGTGAGCTCCTGATGGACTTCTTTGATTTCTACGGCCGCGATTTCGACGTAACTAGCACTGCTATCCAGATGCGGCCTCCTATGTACATCTCAAAGGTAAGTTACCTTCTGCTCCCATCGTTTTCCTTTCACCAATCGCCTGCACCTGCCATCGCTCCCCGCAGTCCGTATTGACACCCTCCAGAACAACCTCATCCTCGGCGGTAACGCCAAAATCAAACCCGAGCGCCTCACCATCATCGATCCCAACAACCCGACTAACGACATCTCGGGCGGCTCCAGTCGTATCTCGACGATCTTCGCCGCCTTCCGCGCCGCTCATGGAGCCCTTGAGGATCGCATGGACGAGCTGCGGAGCATGCCCATGAGCGAGCGGAAGGGCCAGAGCATCCTTGGCGTGGTCCTCGCCGGGAATTATATCACGTTCGAAACCCAGAGAGATCATTTGGAGGATACGTGGGACAGAAGGGGGAGGCGTTAGGGCGGATAGTTTCCCCCTGGAAATTTTCTAGGCGGTGGACTTCTGTGACCACCAGTGGATGTGCTAATATCACTGTATGTGCTTCGGCAACGGTGAAGACCTGTGTCCTTGACGCGGTCTGCGAGTCACTTTGGATGTACCGGCGCCTCCTGGGCACCTTTCGACTGCGGTTTCGATGTTTCGCATGACAGTCATTAGATGGGAGAACCTCACGGATGCACGAATTATCGGATAAATGGTTACGGGTGGGCGGGGTGTTGAACGCTAAAGAAGGCGTTGCTATATGGGCCATCACGGGGCGGACGACATACGGAGTATTGCTATACCAACAGCTGGATGACGGGCTGAATTACGCGGTTCCAACTTCCTCCGAGTTTCTTCCCTGGAGTGCCCTCCTGATTGCTTTTCTAAAATTCCAAGTTCTCAGTCAACCTCCCCCGTGCTACTTGATCTTCCTTTCTGTTTCGAACTTTCGCCTGGTTCGACTCTGAGTCTTCTTCACTTCAGCTTCTTTCGCTCTCTGGAGGGTCTTAGGTTGTTGTGATTAAGTCTTCTGTGGGTGAGAAGTCAATTGGAATGATGATGACCATTCGCCAGAGCATGCTTACTCTCGCAGCGTCGCACTAGCGCTCCGTTTGCATCCCAGGTACGTCGAGCCGCTTCTATCTCCTGTCCTCCATTCTCTTCGTAGATCTGGAACTTTCAGCTAACCTTGCTTAGATCCTCATCCCCTCAACCTACCAGCTCCACAGTTTCACCTGCAAACTCCCATATCCATTGATTCTCCCAATAACGGACCATCCGCGCCTTGACCTGCCCGACTACGTTAACACTAACCACCTCCCAGCAAAGAAAATCTCAGCTCGCTCGAGCACCGTGTCTCCTCCATCTCACGCCTCGCTGTCTCGCCTGCCATGGGACCGGTGTTTCTCACGTAAAACGACCCGGGTAGCTGTGGTGGAGAGAAGTGAGGTGGGTAGGAGACACCCTTTTTCTCAGCCCAGTCGCGCTTTATGCATGGCTGGGGGGAGGGAATTTGTGTCGACATCGGTTGAGCAACATGCTGGTCACTGAGCAAATTTTTCATACAGTGTATCCTGTACAGCCATTAGCAAAATTGGCTTCTTCCCTTGGGGACTCTAGAAGTTCTCAGTGCACCGCCTCTATTACGCTGTGGCGTTTGCTTTAACTATCTGTAAATGGATTACGGGATTAGCGCATAATATTTCGTATACTTTGGTTGCATTCTAATTATTATTTAGTCTGATTCGAACTCTTGCACCGCCATTGCCTGTCTCGCCAATTCTTGCCTTGGGGTCATGGCGTGGTGCAGACCCATTCAATTGCTGGCAGCCCGTTTGCTATCTTCGGAAGGTGGCTCCGATTGTGAGCAGCTATCGAAGACGACGGTCAGATAATTAGAGAGAGGGCGATTCAATCAATAATGCAAAGCTTTCATGCATTCTTGATACTTGCGTTGAACAGTATTGTGGGACACTGGGACGCGGTTAGCCACGCCGATCACTTAGTTAAGTTAATAATAGTTAACTAAGTTAAGTTAGTTAACTAACTTAGTAGTTAGTAGAGTGAGTACATAGTCCGGACCCCCGTAGTGGGTCCATATAAACTTGAGTCAACTTTGGCTAAAACAATACGGATACCTCTTTCCATAGTTAGGGAGTATTCCATAGAGATCGGATTATATGCCTTAGCCTTTCTTCTCGCCTGTGAGGGATGCGCTGATTCGCCATAGCTGTACGGAATAGGCTGTAGCCTTGGCCCTTGGGCAACAAGGCTAAAACAGACGACGTGTGGGAGACCTGGTCAGGTGCATTGCTGGCTCGGAGCATCTGCGTGGTCCCTTGCCAGAGCTGGACATTCAGATCGAACAGTGCAGCGAGGCTGCGCTTTGCGCCGCGCCGTAAAGCTCGATGGTGCTGCAGAAAGCGACGATGTCGAAACACCGTTCCGTCGCACAAGCCTTGCTCCTCAACAACTTCCACACTACTCCGCAATACTCAGTACAGATTATCATATCACCATCTGCCTCACATCTCCTTCCCTTCTCGAAGTCTTAGATTGCCAGGAGCTGCCTTCAGCGAACCGCGAATTTCCACTTTACCGATGCTGAGCGCTTAGCATCGCTTTTGATAAGTCCGAGACTATCAGGCTTCAGCGATAGCGACCCGCAACCGATCAGATATCACGAAAATCGATTGTCCGCGGGAGTCAGATCTCTCCTACCAGGGTTTTGAGTTCGGCCGTGCCTTAATGGTCAGCCAGTATTCTCCAACGATGCCAAAGAGGGAATCAGAAACTCAAACCCATCAAGTTGCAGAAAAGAGAAGAAAGATAGTTGATGATAACGATGGGACCCAACTGGCCACTACTCCTCCACAGCAACACGCAACCTCGCCACTGACGACGACAATCGAGCTCATACGTCTCGATCGAATCAGAGATGCTTTGAACAATAAAAGACTTGTTATTATGGTTGGGGCCGGAGTAACACTGAATGCCACGGCGACTAGGTCAGGCGACATGCTTGGTGAATTGTCGTGGAAAGGCTTGATACAAAATGGACTCAACTATCTCGTTGCAGATGGTCATGTTGAAGAGGACCATCGCAGTTTAAGGTTTGCACGCGACATACTTCAAGACTCTAAGTCTCAGCCCAAGGAACTGCTACAAGCTGCTGGAATACTGAAAGATTTTTTGGAAGACGCCGGTCATCTGCCTACCTGGTTGCATGATACATTTAGCGGGCTCTCTGAACAAGTCAGGCATGCTGACATCTTGAATGTTCTGAAGTCATTCCACGATAAAGGAGCTCAATTGCTCACAACAAACTACGATGATCTTCTTGAGGAAGGCCATTGTAATCTGCCCCGTATTAGGCGGACAAACCATGAGGAACTTCTGAAGTTCCAGAACAGAGATATACGTGGTGTTGTCCATGTCCATGGCAGCTTCCATGACCCTACCGACGTTATCCTAGACACGACTGACTACTACAAGATCAAAACGTCAGATGACGTTCAGAAGCTGCTGAAGACGCTTTGGAATACTTGCACCATCCTGTTCGTTGGCTGCGGATCTGGATTGGAAGACCCAAATTTCAGTGCTCTGTTGAAATGGGCGTGTGAACATCAGAACAATATCCTAAATCGACATTGTCTATTAGTTCGGACCGGAGATCCTCTCAATGTTAAGCCTCTTGTGCGATTACAATTTGGCACAAGCTATACAGATCTTGTTCCTTACTTACAGCGGCTGCTGGAAGACCCCGAGCAATCAGCAGCAGGAGGATCGACCAGGCCGAACCGTAAGTAGCGTCGGATGTGTCCTAGTGTCGAATACGTCTATCTATACCAGTAAATAGAACAGGTATATGTTATCGTGCTATGAGGCGCTAATCTAAAACAGTATATCCCTCTCCCTTCCAAGGTCAAGAAGCCGATAAAGCTGAAAGACCCCAAAAGGAAGTGGACGGTTAGTGCCAACCTCTATCCAGATGTCCATCCGAACTTTGATGGTTAACGCGTCACAGCCTGTCTCCGCTCCCTATGCTTTAGCAACATCCACGCTCGGCGGCAAGACATAGCCGCCGCCCATCCAAATACATGTGACTGGATTTTTACTACCACCGAATATAAGAAGTGGCGGGACCGTACTGACCTACAAAATCATAACGGAGTGCTTTGGATCAAGGGCAAGCCGGGAGCGGGGAAGTCGACGTTGATGAAGCATACTTTAGGCCATCTCGAAAAGACTTCCGTCGACCACTTGATTGTAGCGTATTTCTTCAACGCTCGAGGCGCCATTCTCGAGAAGACTCCTCTCGGCATGCTTCGATCGATTGTCTACCAGCTCGTTGATAAAGAAGCTCTGCTATACGAGCATTTCGCCTCTATCTTTCGCGAGAAGCAGAGAATACACACAGGAGATTGGGTGTGGCGACAGTCAGAACTGAAGGAGTTTATACTCTCGGAAATCAGGCTGTGGAAATCTAAGCCTCTCGTGCTTCTCGTTGACGCGCTGGACGAGTGCAACGAGGCAGATGTGCGAGACGTAGTTGGTTTTCTGGAGTTGCTAAGCATCCATGCTGTTGGATTTGGCGCTCCTCTGAGGATTTGTCTCTCGAGTCGTCACTATCCCAGTGTTAGAATGAAGAGGAGTCTTGAGTTGACGGTGGAAAAGAGTGAAGATCACCAAGAAGATATAGCGAGATATATCAAGGAAAGATTGACGAAAGAGGACGACGACGACGATATAGAGGATTTAGAAGATATCGAGGACGAGATCCGGAGAAGAGCGAACGGAATTTTCATGTGGGTTGTTATTGTAGTCTCTCTACTTAACAAAGCCTACGATGAGGGCCGCATTGAAGCCATGCGTAAGACGCTAGAGGAGGTACCGAGCGACCTCGAGGAGGTGTTCGGCAACCTCTTAAGAAAAGACAGTGAAGATAAGGCCGAGACAACACTCATGCTTCAATGGGTGCTGCTCTGTCAGAGGCTGCTGAAGCCTGAAGAGCTCTTCCTCGCCGTGATGACCGAAATAGCTCCGAAGACGATAGACAAATGGAACCGATCCAAGTTCGCCAGAGAAATTTTCCAGCGACGTATCACTTCGTCGTCTAGGGGCCTGATCGAAGTTCGAAAAGGATATGAAGCATCGGTGCAATTCATTCATCTATCGGTCAACGACTTCCTTCTTCGAAACCAGAGGCTGCAGAAACTAGACCAGACGCTGGGACCGGAACCTATCAGCGCCAGCCATGGCCGATTGTGGGCGTGCTGCTGGTCATATATTGAGCGAGTGGACACTACAGGCACAGGCATGAAGAAAATGAAGGAGCTGAACGACAACCATCCTTTCCTGGGGTATGCGGCGAGGCATATACTTTACCATGCCGACATGGCTCTATCAGAAGGTGTCATCGCAGAGACCATTGTACAGTGGCTTCAAAAGTATAAGGAGTGGTTTAAGTGGTGGAAAAAATTTCTTAGTGCGACTGGCGGTGAGAGTGAGTATCCATATTCGGGCGATCATATGGGTGCGGAATTAGTCTACACGTTATCACTTCGTGGTTATCAACATCTACTCCGATATGTCCTGGCCGAGGGCGCCAACATCAACGCGCAATGCGGGCGCTACGGCAACGCGCTCCAAGCAGCAGCAGTAGGGCTTGGAGGCAACAAGGAGGTGGTCGAACTGCTGCTGGCCCAGGGCGCCGATATCAACGCGCAAGGCGGGGTGCACGGCAACGCGCTCCAAGCAGCAGCAGCAGCAGGGTTTGGAGGCAACAAGGAGGTAGTCGAACTGCTACTGGCCCAGGGCGCCGATATCAATGCGCAAGGCGGGAGGTACGGCAACGCGCTCCAAGCGGCAGGGTATAGAGGCAACAAGGAGGTGGTCGAACTGCTACTGGCCCAGGGCGCCGATATCAATGTGCAAGGCGGGGAGTACGGCAACGCGCTTCAAGCAGCAGCGTATAGAGGCAACAAGAAGGTGGTCGAACTGCTACTGGCCCAGGGCGCCGATGTCAACGCGCAAGGCGGGCACTACGGCACCGCGCTCCAAGCAGCAGTAGTAAGGTTGGGAGGCAACAAGGAGGTGGTCGAACTGCTGCTGGCCCAGGGCGCCGATATCAACGCGCAAGGCGGGAAGTGCGGCAACGCGCTCCAAGCAGCAGCGTTTGGAGGCAACAAGGAGGTGGTCGAATTGCTACTGGCCCAGGGCGCCGATATCAACGCGCAAGGCGGGCACTACGGCAACGTGCTCCAAGCAGCAGCGTATGGAGGCAACAAGGAGGTGGTCGAACTGCTACTGGCCCAGGGCGCCGATATCAATGCGCAAGGCGGGGAGTACGACAACGTGCTCCAAGCAGCAGCGTATGGAGACAACAAGGAGGTGGTCGAACTGCTACTGGCCCAGGGCGCCGATATCAACGCGCAAGGCGGGCACTACGGCAACGCGCTTCAAGCAGCAGCAGTAAGGTTTGGAGGCAACAAGGAGGTGGTCGAACTGCTACTGGCCCAGGGCGCCGATATCAATGCGCAAGGCGGGCGCTACGGCAGCGCGCTTCAAGCAGCAGCGTTTGGAGACAACAAGGAGGTGGTCGAACTGCTACTGGCCCAGGGCGCCGATATCAACGCGCAAGGCGGGCACTACGGCACCGCGCTCCAAGCAGCAGCAGCAGCAGCAGCAACGTATGGAGGCACCAAGGAGCTGGTCGAGCTGCTGCTGGCCCAGGGTGCTAAATGAAAAAGTTGGCCGATGCTCTTTAACAGTGTATAGAGACTTTTCATGATATTTATTTCTAGGTCTCTATTTCATAGAGAGTTCAAGGGGAAAGAGTGTATTTAAGGTGAGAAAAGTGGATCTAGGTCAGTATATCTCACACCTTCTCGAAGCTTCCCATAATTTGGGGCATGCAATTTGAGTGATCATTGTGATGGTCTCAGGCCCGTGGAATGTTCCCCATTGTTTCTATTTGGACATGGTTTAGAGGAGGATAACCTGACTCGCAGACTTGGAAATACTACTATCCAATGTGCCTAGCGCGACTTCCTTTTCTTTTCCACTTTAGCATGACAATAAAGAAAGCTGTTCACAGCACACGTTACATCTAAACCGTCTCGGAGTCGCATGGTTTCAAATTTGCGAGGCAATGAGGCGTTGAGGAGAGGAAACCGAGAGTATTCGACGTTTTAGTTGACAATAGCAGGGATATAACTCGCAAAGTTAGAGGTATCAGTAAGTCTAGGAGAATTTCTGAATAAGGAGAAATGTTCAACGTGAAGCGGCATAGAAGGTAAGAATTAGCGAGGCAGGTAATGGGGCGCAAGGGCTGGAATCAGGGTCATGTGAAGGTGAGGGTTTGAAACGGTGTCTATAACGAAGGGCCACTTGTATCGCAATTTACGCTAACCCAACTGCAGCAGACGCAAACACCAAGGCGTAAAGGAGGCGGTGCAATGAGAATGTCTGGAGTTCGCAGGAGGAAGCAAATTTCGTTAATTAGTGACTGTAGAGTAGTTCCAGCGCCTCCTTTTCGACATCTTGACCCACGGAATCGGCCACGAGGGAAGGAATTGGTGTGTGTAACAGGTGTGTATGGGTGGAACAAAGAGAGTCCAATGTTGAAACTCATACTGCCAGGGGTATAATCATCCTACGAACCATTTTATTGGTTGATTTATTCCAGACTGACCAGGGTGGCATAATGGCCTTGTTCCTAACACTGAATCGACTGATACTCAGAATTCACTAGATGTGCACACAGATTGACAAAACAACGTCTGGAACACATTGGACTAGTCCACTGTATAATATCTTTGCGTGTTGGACGGAAATACCAGGCTCCGCACGCCCGATTTCGCGTTTCCTTTTCCGTCATTAGTCAAAAATCAAAGTAAAGACGATTATTCAGATCATCAAGACTGCAGACAATCATCTTACCAAAAACAACATCCAAGGGGTCTCAGACAACAAGTAGCAAGATGGCCGACTAGGGCGTGATAGGGGCGGGGATGGCGGTGGCAATCGACGAACCGGTCAATTTCGGTGAAGCATGGGAAACTGCTCGTGCGGACATCAGCATCATCCCCATTGACGGCGAACTTCCATCACCGCGGTTCGTAGAGTTTGCTCTATGGGTTGCATTCATTCTGCAACATCCTCCGGTGGATGCATATGTCTACCGTGGTGGGGATTACATTCTCAATGCGAGTTGGGTGGTCCAGATTCTTCGGAACAACTGGTCCCAGCTGCACTACGGCGTCGGCAATCGAAAGCGGAGCACCATCGACAGCTTGCGCGAGTACGTGTCGAATCCGCTCGGTCGACTGGTTGAGCTTGGACGTCTTGAGGAGACGGTGGTGAGGCTCTTGGGTACTACGGACACGACGCTCTGTACAAAGTGGCATGGTCACTTCGGCCACTACCCTGCCTGCGCTGAAGTCGACAGTGGTATCCATCCCGAAGTGTTGCCCCTGACAGGTACGGTGCAGTGCACTAACAACTGTGGCAGGTCTCTCTGCTACTCTTGCGTGGGCCGATCCGCTGCGGTCAAAGACCTCGAGTTTCCCCCTTGGCTCGCCACGGTCTAGATCAAGGCGCAACCGTCAACTGCTGCCTCGAGTGTGCTGCAAGGACCCCTGGCATTTGGGACCCCAAAATGCAAAGCGTGGTTAACTGTCAGTGCCCGCTGATCCCGAAAGATAGCTGTATCTGTTCGTGGTGCAGGATCGAGTGGTGGGAGAATTTGGGGAGGCTAAGGGCGGAGCATGAACTGACAGCAGTCGATATCAACGGCCAGTTCGAGGTTCCGTGCCCGAGGTGTCATGAGCGCCCTGGAAACGTGCCGCTCTGTAGGCTGTGTCTTGTCTGCAAAACGATCATCAATGCCCCAGTGGAAGGACCAACCGCATAGGACCGTCTTGTTTTCGAGGACGGCTTCCTCTTGCGCAAGGAAATTCCATTGTCGCAAGTGCCCTGGAACGCCGACGCGGTACAATACTGGGGACAGACGTATGGTATTCCATTACCTCTCGTCGACCACCCGACCATCCAACCAACGATGATGGGCATGCCGACGCTCGCTGGTGTATGGGGACAGGCAGGGATTGACTACTATACGATAGCGGACGCCCTAGAGGCTCTGGAGGCCGATCCGTCCAGCGGTGACCCCAATCCCGACAACGGTTTCGGAGCCATGGACGAATTCATCAACCTCCTTGACGTCCAGGCAGATGTGAATATTGAGCCTGCCCTTGTGGAAGGGAAAGACATGAATATCGATCCTGCCCTGCTTGAGCTGGACCAGAACCCATCCTGATTCTCTGTTCGATCTTGCAATTTTCAATAAGAGCAAATCGTTACCAACCCCGAAACCTGTCCTGGTACCCTTTCGATCTGCCAATCCCTATAAAGAGCAGATCCCCTGTTTTTGGTCAGTGGTTTTGTTTTTGGCCATGTACAACCATTGCTTTGGTTTCCTTAGGATTTATTACCTTCGAGGTTTTCCCTAGGGCTGGGTAATTGCTTTGATTTCCTAGGTTTTGTCACCTTCGAGATTTTTCCTAGGCCGGAGCAGAACTGCATCGGTTCCCTAGATTTTGTCACCCGAAAGGATTTTCCTAGGGCGGAGCAAAACTACTACTTTATTCTTAGGTTTTGCCATCTTCGAGGTTTTTCCTAGGACTCAGGCGGCGTAGTAATAGAATGGAATATGTCCTTCTCATAAGAAAGATCTGACATAGACTAAATAGGTGACATGCTATGTGACTATGAACAAGAACTTGTAGCGCTGACTCCAAATTTCTGACCAAAAACAATGAATTGACATAATAACCCATGAAGAGAAGAGAGACAAGACCATCGTATACATCCGTTTCAAAACGCCGCGAGCACCGCTCGAACATGACCAGGCTAGAGGGGAGAAAAGTCTATGTGCAGTGAGACTTCACCATCTCCATTTAACTACTTTTGCATCTTATCATCATACCAATAGTCATCCAACGCACCTCTGAACAATGCATTGTTCAAAGGGACAATCAATCCACCTCTTTTTCGTTCTTTGTTGCGTTTAACCTTGCTTCACCACCACTCGCCTTCCACCACACATCACCGCTCCACCGCATCATTCGCATGACTGCGGCGCTAGGTGTATCCACAGCCGGTCTGACATCCAAGAAAAACACCGGCATCCCATTCTCCTCCGGCGCTCCCTCATAGTAATCAATGACATACCTCACCTCCTTCGTCGTCCCGTCTTTCATTTCTCTCGTGATGAACCAATCATGTCGATCGAACGGGGCCTCGCCGCTGAACTGCCCCGGCGCCACCTGGGACGCCCACTGCATCATCTGCGCCTTGGGCGTGAGGTCCTCGGGGCGGCCCATGAATCGTGTGAGTCGGGGGACGGCGCCGTCTTTGTTCTCGTCCCAGAGTTCCTCGCTGATGGCTGCTCCGCCACGGAAACATTGCTGGACGCCGGGGAGCCAGCCACGAGCGAACCGCCGCTCCCAGTCCAGGATCTCGTCCCATGCGCCTTCGTTTAGGAAATTGTGGACCGCGACCATCGATTCGACGGCGTCGGCGGGGGTGTCGGTGAAGCCTTTTCGCAACATAGCATTGTACATTTGCTGTGGGGAGGGGTATTCCCAGTTGCCGGTGCCTGGATCGCCTTTCGGAATAGAGGAGGTTTCACGATTGATTGGAAGAGCGACCGTTTGATTCGGGGCGCGTTCGGAGGAAAGATGATAGGGCATCCAGTTTAGAGGGTTGAGTTTGGAGAGAGAGGATGTCTTTTGTTCAGGTTCTGAAGGAGTGGGAGGAATAGGCATGGAGGAGAGGGGTGTTGAGCCCGAAGGCGAGGTTCGATCAGGAGGAGTGTATGGACATGAGGACTCGGTGGATGGAGGAGCGGCAGGCTTTGGTACGGATGGTTTCTTATGCATGGGACAACCAGGCTAGACATTGTTAGCAGTGCATGCGACAAGTTGATAGTCTGTACATACCGGAGGGGACGTATCTGTCCGAATCTTTGCTGGAGTGGCCACCGGCGCGGAAGCCTCGTCGGCCCAAAACCAGCCCATGATGTAGAAATGAACAGGAATATAGCAATTAGAAGGGGATCTCGCGAATGGAAGAATCGGAATATGGGATATTAGTGGTAGAGGATATGAGGTAATGAAGGAACAAAGGAAAAGAAAGAAGGATAAGGTGACGGCGCAGAAGGAGAATCGATGAAATGAAATGTTGAAATCAATTCAATGAAATGAACCAATCCCTGTCGGGTTTAAAGTGTGGCGCAGCTACCCGCAAATGTGGCTGATATGTGGCTTGAATGCGTTGATGCCACATCGACCACCAACTACACTGAACTTCAACAAACACTGATGCCTTCATATGGCATATCCATATCCATTCCTCATTGACGTCTCAACTCACCTGCTAAACTAACCTGAACGATCCTCCGGTGACAGAACGATGCCAATCCTTCCTGTCCTGTAGTTAGCGAGCATACAACCCCCATCAACCCTCGACCATCAACACCATGTCCCAATATTACCCTCCCAACTATTCCTCCTCCAACAATCCGCAAAACCTCCAGTTCTACCCCTCCTCCTACAACACAGGACCTTCACCCGGCCACGTCTCCGGCCACTCTACGCCATTTCAAGCCTCCTACCCCGGCGGTTCGAGCTCCTCCGCGTTCCCTGGCAGCAGTTATGGCGCATCCTCCAGCGGATTCAGCGGAGCCGCCTTCGGCGCACCACCAGGCGTATCAGGGCGGATGGGCGAGCAAGGCGGTCTAAGAACAGGATGGCTAGCTGCATTCTCGACAGAAGGGTACGAAACAGAGCCGCCATTATTAGAGGAATTGGGAGTGAATTTCGGACATATAAAAACGAAGGTACGCGGCGTCAAACATAATCTAGTGCTGGCATACGATGAATGAACAAAACTAACGTAAAACACGGCAGACCCTCACTGTCCTCAACCCCTTCGCCCCCATCTCCCACCACCTCATGGACGACTCCGACCTCGCCGGCCCCCTCCTCTTCGCCCTCCTCTTCGGCTTCTTCCTCCGCGCCTCGGGCAAGACGCATTTCTCCTACATCTACGGCCTCTCCCTCCTCGGTTCCACCTCGCTACATGTCATATTATCCCTCATGTCGCCCCCACCCAGCACCGACTCGACGACCGGTCAACCACCCTACACCGCTTCCGCATCCCACTATCCGACACCCGACCCGTCGAAATCCGGCAGCTCGCACTTCGCGTCCACGCTGACATACGCCCGCAGCGCGAGCGTGCTGGGGTACTGTATGCTGCCGTTGGTTCTGGTGAGCGCGTTGGGCGTGGTGGTGAGCATGAGCACGTTCACGGGGTACATCATCACGAGCGCGGCGATCCTGTGGTGCGTGTATAGCTCGAGCGCGATATTCGTGGCGGTGGGCAGGATGGAGGGGATGAGGGGACTGGTGGCGTATCCGCTAGCACTGTTTTACATGTGTTTTGGCATTATGGCGATTTTTGGGGCGAGTAGTGCGAGTGGGGCCAAGGGTACTGCGGGGACGGGTTGAGGTTATGAGGATCAGTGGCTGGAACGAAGGGAAAGCGGGTTGCCATATCTAGTAGCTATGCTGGACGGAGCGATTTTAAACCCTGAATTGATCGGGATTCTAGGATACCAAAAGGAGCATCAACTGAAGTGGACATGGTAGCGAATCACTTTAGATTTACATGACCAAGTCGTACACATGAGTATTGAACAGTGGAATGAAAGCACTTGTATCTTCTATTATGGAAAAGGAAATTTCTAGCAGGGGTTGTCGTGATCTCAAACCGCAAAGGATTTGTTTGACTGGTAACGTCGTTGAATTGTTAAAGAAGAAAAGAAAGAAGAAGTCTCCTCTTCTCAGAACTGTTATTACATCTTTTGCTATAGGCGGCTCCTTCCTTCTCAGGCGGCTCCCATCCGTCCTTCTCAGGCCGCAAGGCTACAAACACAGACTGGGCGAAGCCCAGGACTGTCACAGGGGTTTTCAATTTGTGAATATTAGAGTATAAGGCAATTTGGAGGAATGATGGAAAAGATCAGGAACGTATCTGAAAGGTCGGACTTACCTGTACTAGTGTCGGGTGTAGCTGAGAGATTAGCATTTCTCGTCAAAGCTCAATAGTACGTGTCCATAACTACCACCACTGCGTCGGACTCGGACTCACCTGCATTCTAGGTATCGCTGGACACATCATCAAAGACCTCCTGCACCAGCTGATTGAACGCCGCGTTGTCCTTCGCAGTCTTTGTCAGGCAAGTGGATTGGTCGAGGAGGGTCTTCGCAAAGGTCCGAAAAGGCTGTCCGATCCGCCAAATGCGAGCGAGCACCTGTAATTCCGCCACAGGGCACGATTGCGGTTCCAAGAGCATGATGAATCGCGCGGCCGTGAGGGTGATTCCGGTCCCCGCAACCCCGACGGTGCTAATGAGCACGTCGATGGGCATTCTGCAGGGGTTCTAGAACTCATTGCAGATGACATCGTACTTTTTGGTGCTGCCCAACCACGAACCCATCGTCTTGATGCGCAGATGGGGGAATTGCTCCGCCAAGATATCGGCAAGAATGAACACCGTGATTAGGAATTCGGTCAGGATCACCATTCGGTCTCGCAGACTGGTGGCTCATGTGGTCTTGTCGTTGGCGTCTGTGCAAGGGGTGATCAGCGTCGTCATGGACTGGCTCTGCCTTTGTAGCATAACCATTTCCTTGACTTTGGATACCACATATCGCGCCTTGACACTCGTGGCCAGGAGACGCTCGCGATGCCTGGCGAACAGTGAGTTGGTCCAACCGTCGTGCCAGTTGTTGCCCACGATATCCTCTAAGTTGGGATTGCTAGGCGGGATTTGGAGGTTCGCGTCAAGCATCAACGTGTTCAGATATGGGAACACAATGAAGGCGCGGCCTTTGTTTGCCAGATCTCGAATCCTTTATTTATTGCCGATGGACTTCATCTTCGCAATTTGACGCAATGTACCGGGCCAATCTGCAATTTGCTTCACAGGCTATTTGGTTTCGATATCCGGATGGATGTTAGATTCCGGGATCAGTGCATGCTGTCTGGTAGGTCGTCGAGATGTCTCAGGTCACGTCGCGTCCTGAATAGCCAGGCGTTTCCAATATCTCCGGAAAATTGCTATGGATGAGAGCTTTCATTCGATCCAAACAGGTTTATGGCGCAAATAGATGCGGATGAGACAAGGACGGTAGAAACTGGTTGCATAGAATGGAGTTGGGAAGCTTTCTATGACTAAGATGAACATTCAACCCCGTCAGGACAATCTTTTGAAAATGGGCCAATCAGAGCCCCGAAATCGCGTATGACATGATGAGGTCTTGGCGGGATCTTGATCGAGCATTTCTCAGATTTATATTGTGGAAGTACTCTTTAAGACCAAGTCTATTAGCTTAGTTTAAACTCATCTATATCATCTCATCCTGACTAAACGTATTCCTAGCTTCTATACCTCTATGTAGTCCGACCAGGCATCCAACCTAGCCCCTCGGCGCAAACCGTTCCAACCAGCTCGCTGCTCCTTTGACATCTCCCCTCTCCGTCTCCAACGCCTTCACCCACCACTCCATCCTCCACCCCCCAACGCTCACCTCCCTCCCCTTCTCCTCTGCCACCTTCTTCCTCCCCTGACTCGCCTCATCTACACAGAAATGCAGCGGTCCCCCTTCACCATCCTTCTTCACCCCCTTCACAAACTCCCCCACCGCCGCCACCGCATCCTTCGCCCCTCCAATCGCCGGTATCCCCAAATTCCCCCGTCCCGTCTTACAGAACTCATTCGTGCAAAACCCCTTTCCACACCCCGCCAACAACTGCGTCAAATACCGCCTCTCCACTCTCCGACTCAGCGCCTTCCGCTCCGGGTCATACTGGCTGACATACAGCGGCCCGAAACACGTATCGCACAGCCCGACCTCCGCGCCCATCCCGTTCGCACCGCGCGGAACGGTGCGTCCGCAGTTCACGTTGCGGCAGACGGTCGGGGGCGGCTTTGCGGCGTTGTCCAGCGCGTGGAGTTGGAGGTGGGTGGAGAGGTCACGGAGACGCACGGGACGGTGGCAGATGTCGCAGTCAGAGGTGCGGGAGCCTTCGGAGAGTTCGTGAGGGGTGAGGTTGGTGAGGGCGACTTCGGCGGCGGGGGCAGAGGGGAGGGAAGGGTCGTGGGAGGTGGTGGGGGAGATGGGGTGGGAAAGATCGTGGGAGGTGGTGGCGGGGATGGGGTGGGAAAGATCGTGGGAGATGGTGGCGGGGAGATCGTATGGTTGGGATGGTTCGGTGGTGGTCGTGTAGGTTGTGTCGGAGGACGGGATGGTGCGGCCCTGGGGGACGAGGAGGTGGCAGAATTGGCAGAGGATCTCTTTGTAGGGACAGGTTGAAGTGCGGTGGCGAGCTAGTTCGAACACCGACGTGCATCGTTCGTTGCATGCGGGACAACGCGTGGCTTCATGGTAGTATGCATCGTGTTTCTGCTTTGATACGATGTTGTCGCCGTTTGCAGATGCTGGTGGAGATGTGCTCGCGTCCACGACCGGGCAGCTGGAAACGTCGCAGTGCCAGTGCGACGAGGCTTCCTCGGAGTTCTTGAGGAACACGCGGTTGCAATCAGGGCAGCGCCAGTTGTTGCGGAGGCAGAACGACGTGTGAAGATGGAGCGTGCGGGATGGGATCGAGTTCTGGCAGTTAGGGCATATCTCCTCTCCAGGCTGCGCTGGCGTCTTCTCGGCTATAATCGATGTCCCTGGAGGTTGCTGTGACTTCGAGTCGAAGGGTAGGACGCGAATGGTAAAGCTTCGCAGCCCATAGGAGGATGACGAAGTGGGGTACGCGTATACAGATACGTATATCGATTCTGCCGTCTCCAGCTCGACGTTTGTTGGGTTCAGTCGAATTCGCTTGGGATAGCGACTGGTCAAGTCTGCCCACACGAATTCATCATCTCGTGGCCTTGCTCTTTGCCTCGCTCCAGATGGGCTGATCAGCAAATCGACTTCGGCGTCTTCCACTCCGAGGTTGGCGACCAATTCGATCTCCAGTCCTTGGCTCCTGTCCCACGATGGGATCTCATAGTCCACATACTCGTCCTCTTTCACCCATCCTTCCACCTTCCGGAACAAATCCAACGTTCCACCTGCACTGCTTCCGCCTTTTTCCCCTTTCTTCTCCCGCTTCTCGACGATCCGTCGTAGCGTCTCGCGTGCCTGCTCCTCATCCAGAGCCTCGATGTCGACTTCCAGGTCCGTGTCGACGATGCATATGGCGTCGGACTCGGGCTTCAATTCGTCAATGAGAAATCGGAACTGCTCTCTGACTTTCCTCCGCTGATTTGAATCGGCATTGGTTGCAGCGACAAGTCGACCACTAGGAACGACGAGAATGGAGGACTTGGTGAGAGTGGTGTAGTTGGACCGAAGATGCTCTTGGAGGAGGGCCCGCCAGTCTTCGGGATCGTAGCCCGGTTCCAGGGGCCGCAATTTGACGTAGGTACCTTTGGGGACGGAGGTGGCGTGGACTGTTACTGCTTCTTCCTCTTCCTCTTCCTCTTCGCTGTCTTGCATTTCCACGTTCTCATCTCTCCCTCGCAACGCTTCTATCCTCGCCTCCTTGTTCTTGACCACCCCTCGTAACCCCAACGCTTCGCGTAGGAACCCACTCACCACCACCGTCCCTTCCTCCGCGCTAAACTCCCTCACCCCTGCATACACCACCCTCCCATTCCGTGGATTCACCACTCGAAATGTCAGCGGGTGCGGTAGCTGCCTCTGCCTCTCTTCTCCAATAGTGCCATACCCCCCGGCTTCGCCGCTCTGGACGCTCCTCTCGAACGCGTCCCACCGGTCCGGACTATCCCAGCGGGAAAATGCATTAGTGGAGGGGCCGCGCTGGGGACCAGTAGTCACCGGAGAAGCGGCCAGGAGTTCCTCAAGGGCGGAGGAGGGGAGGAGGAGCTTGTCGCCAGGGAGGGAGGTGGGGGAGTGGGAGATGGTGAATTGACGGGACCAGGATGGAGCAGGAAAGGGGGTGGAAGGGTTGGACATGGGGCCAATGAATAGCAATGGAGAGAAATATTAAGGTGGAGGGAGGGTATCTCAGCGCTCTAGTTCGGCGCTGAAATGGAGCTTGTTACAGTATCCTCGTAGGTAAGACGATGATACGTGTATGCCGATTGCGTTGATGTTACGTGCTCCTCAGCACGTGTGGGGCATCGACCCTAGCCTTCAGGGAACAAAGTGTGGGGGAGGAAAAACCACGGTGATGGTTTGTGGGCCGAAAATCGTTTCAGATGACCTCGACGTGGCGCTCAACCGAATGTAGGGCTTGCAGCGTGCAGGCCAAACGTGCAGGCTGCAGATGGTGGAAGCTTGAGTGATGGAGTGCTTGATGCGGAGGGTGCCGCTGCGGACTCCGGTGGTCGGTGGTAGCAGTTGAGGTGGAATGTGGGGTAGATGTGATGGCACTGGTAGTTGAGGTCAGAGATGAGAGATGGTGTTATTGAGGCGGTGTATGCGTTAGAGCAGAAACGGCTTGAAGCCAAATAGAAACAAGATTGCCGGAGGATTTCCCAGGATAGATGGTCGATGGAGTGAGGATTCCCAGATACATTGACGTCTGGTGATATTGGCGTGCCTGGAGGTGATGATCAGACAACGTTTTGAATCCCGAATTCCGGCAAGTCGGTCAATCTTGTGGATAGTTGGAATTAAACTGTGCAGATGACCTCCCTAGCGGATCGATTTAATATATTTCTCAGGATAATCAAGCCGAACCTGGAGATAGAAATTAGAAATTGCCTCTGATGTGGTTACGGGATACGCGTCGCCTCAGGCGCCTAGGCACCCACGCTTGAACATCGAGTCGTCGAGACAGGTATCTTGTCTCTTGATGAAAAATCCAACCGAATATCCAATCTACGTTCCACATCCTACATGACGTGATTTCCAACTAAACCTCTCGAAGCTTCTATATCCGCATCTGCATTATCTATGGAGTGCGGGTTGTTCAGCATTCTGCCGCCACAGATGCAGCTATCATGACCCATAGTGGCAAGTTGAAGCGGTATCCTCCTATTAGTCCACCGTCCAAAGTATCAACTGACAAACGACTGGCATTGTCCGGTCTAACGTGTTATTCGGCTGAATACCTGGTACCTTGGTGGCCACCGCATCCTCCAGCGTGACAAGACCTGGATGGCTGTCCGGGTCACTCCCCCGACCACATCATCTCACAGATTTCTCACTCTCCAATCAGCCCCAGATCATGCATCATCCTGCATCCCCCCGGCTCCCACAGCCTTTCCAAAGTCTAAACGAGCTGCAGTCTGCACCCGGTGAGCGACTCACTTAGAGCGAGGCGTGGGAGAGATGTGGTCGTGGTGGGCTGTCAGAATGCTAAGTTGCTAACCCAACGCGCGGTCTAGCCCATCGAGGCTATGTGCCGAATATCGTCCTGTGGGGACCCTTGGATGCAGCATTGCAGCTCAATCAGAAAGGCTTAATTGATATTTGATATGGTATCCCAGCCACGATGCCCACAAGTCACACTATGGTACTCACTCACAACGAAAGCGAGAGGTAGGCCAGTGGCCTGATTCGCGCGAAGGGGGGATATTCCTGGATATTCCTGGAAGTATGATGATGAGCAATCGATTACCTCGACAAATAACATGCCCAGCACCCGCCGGGGCCGCTATTAATACAGCGTTGCGAGTCGCGGGATTTAGCGTTGAGCCGATCTCAACGTTGCTTTTGGACCTTCACCCCATCCCATCTTACTCAATCTATACCTCTCCTCAACCACATCACACCTGCCTGTCTGCTTCATTTCAGCCTGCTGCATTTGCTAAAACTATTGGCGACATCGGTCAGTTTAGTTTGGAGACTGGACAAACGTTGAACGTGTGCGCATCCTCGCGTTTCGTTCATCATGGCTTCCTCAACCATCCCCCCGACTTGACTGACGTCGTCATTCAACCCCCAACGCGCTTTGATAATACCTTCAATTTCCCCTGCTCTGGCTTGAATAATACGGATCATCGACCTTTTCATTATTATTTTGCACCTTGCGATTACTTTCCGAATATTCCGAGATACCCTGAAAGACGGTCTTTGACCTTTGAGTGCGCGAAACCCGTGAACGGGGTTCAAGGTCTTCTACTCTACCTTATTGTATGGCCCCCTTAACTTGTGGAGATTACCAAAAGTATCCCTATGGGTCTCGATTCTGCTTCAACATGTTCCTCGTTCTATATACTGATCTCTTACTAGATTTCACTACTTTAATCCTAACATCTTCACCTATCCGTCGATCCGCTCCGCGTTCACCCCAATTAGAATCTTCATCGGACCAGAATGCCTTGGCTCCCACTCACCGTTGAACGCTTTCATTCATACGTCCCCCCCACAAAATGCATCCCGCAGGAGACCGTCCTGGCCGAGGACTCAATGGGCATCTTCGAGCAGGTCCACGAGCCATGCAAGCCGACGCTCACCACCATCCTCTCCAACCCGCTCCTCCTCCATCTCATATCGCCATACATCCCCCTCCCCTCCCTAATCGCCCTCTCTGCCACCTGTCATGACCTACACGGCCTCTTCGATGCCTCCCCTGTCCCCTACCGCCGTCTCGAGCTCTCCCCTCTCCGCCACGCCTATCCCCCACCCCCCCGTCCTCTCGCCATCGGCGGCACGGAACAACGCACACAGCAGATGGATGATTCGCTCACCGCGTCGGACTTCTACTCCGCCCCGCTCCGGGGGATATTCGCGCAGCTCTCCCGCAGACACATGCTCAACCACATCAGCACGATGGTTTTGGACGGTCTGGCGGTCACGGCGGAGTTGGTCCGGGAGATCATCTGCGAGGACCGCTTCAATGTGCGCGTGCTGAGCATCCGCGAGGTTAAGCATCTCAACGAGCTCGCGCTGCGGCAGACGCTCCTCTATGCCGCACGACCTGGACGCGCAGATGGCGCGTTGAAGCTTCGCGCGCTGTATGTCTTCGGGGGCCGTGATCCATTGGAGGAAGCGGAAGATAGCGGCCGAGGCGCCAGGACACGACGTGCGCGGACGCGCAGCCCGCTTCCCGCGACTGGCCGACCGGCGCCGCGGAGTCCACATCTGGAGGGCCAGGAAAAGGTTAAGGAAAAGCCCATGAAATCCTGGTATCACCCTTCGGGGCGCATCCTCCCCCGCCGACCCGATGTCGACTGGGCGACCGTCCTGCATGCCTGTGAGGGACTCATCTACTTCGACGCGGTGCTGTGTCGTGGACCCCGCCACAACCCGTGTCATTCCCTCCTCTCCTCGCCCCCCTCCTATCTTCCCGCGGCTCCAACCCCCCCCGCAACCCTTACCTACCTCCCTCCCGCCATCGCCACCATCGCCCTCGGCCACGGCTGCACTTCCTGCACCTCTTGCCCCGAATCCCCCGCGATCTACGGCTCCTCGCCCTCCCCCCAGCTGCCGCTGCTCGCGCCGCCGCCGCTGCACGCGAGCACCGTGCGCGCGGCGCAGTGCCCCCTGGGGATGCTGGAGCGGTGGAACGCGACAGAGACGGGGTACGAGAGCGCGTGGCCGCCGAGGGTGTATGCGCGGTGCGAGGCGTGCTTGAAGCAGCGGTGGTGTGAGCGGTGTGGGAAATGGTGGTGCGAGGAGTGTTACGATCCGGGACGAGGGGGTGGGGTGCATGGAGGCGGGGAAGAGGCGGAACATGTGGGTGTGCATGATCAGGGAGGGCAGGTGGAGGAGAATGAGGTGACGATGGATGAGGAGGTGGCGGATGGAGATGGACAGCCAGAGAGTGAGGATGAGGCGGATGGTATTAATTGGGCGGCGCTGGCGCTGTATGGCGATTTTGAAGAGGATGTCCGGGCGCGGTTGCGGCGTATGGGGAGAAAGCATACGCAGCCAATGGGCTCAAAGAGGGAGTGCTTTGGATGCGGTCAGACTGTGAGTTCCGTCCCTTTCCAATCTTTCATCTCTCCCCAACTGTTTCCCCTTCCTACCAAGCAGATATCGGGCTCTTATATTCGATCTTTTTTCGAGGGAATGGGTCGATCAAGCGTACTAACAATCGTCATGCAGTGCCACTCCTGCACCAAACAATTCATCCGCCCGTGCCGCACCTGCCGGAACGAATACTGCGTCCTCGATAATGACGGGAGCTCGGCGACAGACTGCGATTGGTGTCGCTACAGCGGCCGGCGGACCCTGGATCCGTACTGAGCGCCACGTGAAGGTACTTGTAAGGCGCATTGAATGCCGTCAAAGGGTGCTATTATGATATTGGGGGGTTTGTGGAGGGCTATGGACATCTCGACTCTTGGTTGCTTGCGATACCCATATCAATACAGTTGGAACGGTTTTGGGGGGGATGGCAAGCACTCTACTCACTTGCGATGAAGACTGGGACTTGGGAGCGGTAATGGTGATCGAGGAGACTAGGGAAATGAAGCGCGACGAGATTGCTTCCTGGTGTAGAGTGTGCTAAGATGTGGCACGTGGTCATCTACGAATCCGTGGCGGAGATACCGAGATGGTTCTGGATACCAACATGGACAGTGATCATGAATCACAACAAACCTTCTGCCCTACTTCTCCATCTGGGACCGCGTAGGAGTTCTGGATTTATCGTCTCTCAACGGCTTAGATTCCTACATATATACATTTCTAATATATGCCCTCTTCTACCTTCTCGACATGTTCCCATGCCTGCCATCACAGCCACCCGAGAGACAGGCACCTGGCTGCAACGAATTATGGCGCGACAATTTTCCACGGTAGAGGTCTGGTAATTTTCATGTGGCTTCTCGATATATGAATGGTCGAAGAGAATGTCCTGAACCCAAGAATAGTGAGCATATGGCCGATGTATAGACTGGCTTAGGCACTGGCACACGATAATCGAAAACTACCGATACTGCTCGAGTACAAACTCACTCCCAGCGACCCAATGGGTTAGGACACGATGCGAGACGGGTTGCTTTGTTGAGCATGTAAATCACTGTTACGGATCTGCTTCTCTCAAAATATCGGCCCTTGTGCTTTTGATTTGGTCGTTTTAGGTAGAGAACCCACTGCTGCGCTAGAAAACTGGTGAACAAGAGACACGGTGAGCTCAGCGCAATAAAATCGAGGAAAGCAGCACCGAAAACAACCGAGATACTTCATAGCCTTCTTTACCCACGAGAAATAGATCGCGTACATTGCGGTCGGAGGATTGAATTCCTTGTGATTCATTCTGTGATACAGCCCGTACGGCAATGGCACCGTGACCGTTCCGCTGCATCGGAGGCATCGAGCAGCCAGCATACATTCCCCTTCCTTATTGATGACAGGCCGATCGCAGTGTATGACCGGACACACGAGTTTGCTCTGGATGGTGTGCCCGTGGTAGAATTTCGTCGATCAGTTCGGAGGCTGTTGTAGAGGCCGTTGATGCATGTGGTGCACACTATTGCAGGTAGCACATATATGCAGGTGCTGGAGCCCGGTCCGACCTTGATAATCGCCTCGCAAGCATGTAGACGACACATGTCCACTGGACCGGAGCGATCGACAAGCTCGTTGATCGGATGCGTGAACTCGTTATTCTTCCGTTTGACGCAATCAATGCAAGTGTCTCGTGGACAGAATTGAACGTGACTTCGGATCGTGGGGAAGGGTTTATTCAGGGGGACAGTTGAGTGGTATGAGTCGGAACACGTTTTAGCTAGTCGATCGAATAGACAGTCTCTTGTCTGGTCCTGGTCCCAGTAGAGCTGCCAGCCACCCAGGCCGCCCCAAGAACATATCTCACCTAGTCAATGGCTATCTTTCCCTCTAAATCGGCTTTATCTTGTCCGCCGAAGTGTGAGTAGTAACTGTCCTTTCCTGGGTGCGCAAGGAGATAGACGACTCGGACAATGTCTTCCATCTCGAGCACGCTGGCATATCCTCGGACTGTGGGCTCATTCGATAGCCTCTGGAGTAGATGGCCGTGTTGGCTCGGGAACGTATAGATGAACAATTCGCGCGGAGGGGCAATAGAGGCGTCCGGTTTCGGCGAAGGGCTTGCTTCTGTAGTTTGCGTTAAATTATCTTCCATTGTAGGTTGTAATGGGCCGCTGTTGAGAAGCTGGGCGGCGGAGTCCATTGCAATCAGTTGAGGGTCGATGTTGGGGTAGGGTTATTCCGCGGCCTGATCAACCGCATCTTGTAGTTCCTAAGCGATTAGCGGAGAGTGAGACGCAGGGCGCTGAGTGACATGATTTGCTGCTCCTGAATCAATGTCATCAAAGTCGAGGGCTCTCTCGATTCCCTCGAAGTCGATGTCGCTGTCGATAAATTGGCTACCGATGCCGTTCATGGACGACATATTGAATTCCAACGGGGTGTCATCCATTTCTTCCCGGGACTAGCAATGAATTCGACATGAAGTGTGGGGATTTCGTGACCTTGATCAAACAAGTGATAATGGCCAGTGAGATACCAAAACAAGAGCTCTCTCTGGTATCTAGGATATAGAAATGATGCTCAGTGGTAAACAAAGAAGCCACAGTGGTAGGCTGCTCAAGAATTTCTGCGAAAGACTATTTTAATGTGTGCAGAGCAACGGAAAAGAAATAAGGGAAGGGTGAAGCAGGAAATTAGAAAGTTGGGAGGGCCTCAATTCCCTGAAAAGGTGCAATTGATTCATAACAACTAAATGACCACAAGCAAAAGTTACAGCATTCAGCATAATTCACAACATACAATATCATTTGCAATCCATTGTGTGCCTTGCATCAAACGCCCTGAAGAGCAAATCTCGGCATGAGCATGTCTCGGCGGGCAAGTCGATTTCCTCATAGCTAAGCCATGCCTATGACATTGCCCAATTCAATTACCAATCGCTGCTAAGAATGGAGGAATTGTCTAAACCTTGGGCAACAAGAACCCCATCACCGCCCTACGAAGAGAGCATGGTCGAATAGCGCCGCGATAGATAAACGATATGAACCCGGTGCACAATGTCTACCCCTTTCCAGCACGGACAACTGAGAAATAATCCTGATCGCTGTCCAAGACAAGATAAAGGGAATATAAAAATCGTAGGAAATAGAGAGGACGAGACGAATATAAAGGACACTAAAAGGAGAATGCAAGAGCGCCGTTTCAGGCAACTAAACAGGCGAATTCGAGATTATACGAGCTGAAGCCAGATTCGACTGAGAGGAAACCAAGGACAATGTATTTGCGAGCGCCTTCACGGCCGACAATAAAGTTGATAGACTATAAGGATCTACGACAGGGGCTTTGACTTGGACGAGATAGGCTATATGACATAAAGGTGCAGATATATGCTCCACTTGTCAATTGAGGAAACCTCCCCTGGCCCCGAGTTCGTCCAAGAAGTCCAAGGCAAATCTATTGGGCAGTCGAGTAGGAAATGACGCCTGGACGGATATTCCGTGGCACGGTGATTTCGGGGGAACCAGCTCACATATACGTGCAGCCAGATGTTCCGGTTCTATTCAATGTCTTTGTTCAAAAGGTCTTTTGCGTTCTGGTTCCATCAGATTATGTTAACTACTTGTGGCAATTGGGCTAACTAAGGTGAGAATGGGGCGAGGTTAGAAATCGGAAAGAGGTTTGTCCGAACCGCACACGGAGCCTTGCCACTTACCATACCAGAGAGACCGAGAGAGATTCATACGCCCGTCAGGCCTCTCTGCGAGGCTCATGTGGGGAGGAGCCTTACTATTAATAGGCAGGAAGGGCAATAATAAGGCACCACAATTCCTTCCTCCCGTACGTGCTCTTCCCATCTGCACCATTCAGGATGGCACAGTATCTGGTGTTCAGGACGTCCTTTCATCAATGGCAATTGATGAATCATGAACAGCCCTTGACGTGCACAAACTCATACGGATTGGAGTCTAAGGGCGTCTCCTGGCGTTACTCACATTGCAACATCCAAGGGGAGTCAGCCCGAATGCGACTGATTCAAGATGACTTTCGGTGGGTATTTCTGAATGGCAACCTATGAAGCCAGTTATCGCTCAAGAGCCGCGTTTCTATTATCTTACGTTATGGGAGTACTATTATTCCATACTCAAGTCCAGCTCCTTTCAGCCCTTCTGTAAATGCCTGTAGAACGGTCATCCCGGACGGGGGCCTTCTACAGGGGCTATTTGTCCCAGTTAGTGTTCGATCTACCACACTTTAAGTCACCACGATCCTATGATTCGTTTCCCTTCCTATGTCATCAGGCGCTACTACGAAGAATGTACTCGATAGTCGATAATATTGCCATTGTATCTAGTTCTCGTCAATGCACTTGGACTTGTCGTTCGTTGATTGGTTAATTCAGAGCACAACATACGCGTGTGTCAGAGCTATGCAAGCCTCATATATGGTAGTATGCTTACTGAATATGATTGTCGTTGAGCCAAACCTTCCTCATCCACCAATCCACACCGTACTCCATAATCCATACCGAATTCCCATGAGTAGGGATGGGGGCCGAGACGATCGGGTCTTAATGTGATGGCGATCTCCCGTCCTTTATAAAGTCAAAAGTCCCAATGAGTTGACCATAATTTTGTGTTATCTTTCTACGACCTTGTTTCAATATGAAAATTTATAACTGGCCAGCTCTGCTGCCGTCGATTCAGCTACTATTTGGTATCGCGGAGGCCGTGAAGCCGATCGGAAGCTCGTTTGGAGTCTCCGGAAGGGATGCCACCTTTGACTATGTCGTAGTTGGCGGAGGCACATCTGGGTTGACAATTGCCGCCCGATTAGCAGAAGAGTATTCCGTTGCTGTAATCGAGGCTGGAGGAATCTATCAAGTTGATAACGGCGTCGGCTCGACCATTCCTGGGCTGGTTGGAATCCAGTTCCTCGGATCCGATCCGGCTGACACCCATCCTGCAATCGACTGGGGTTTTGTGACTGTCCCCCAAAAGGTATGGTCGGATGAGAGAGGATTGACATATCGCAGCTGACATGGCAAGCCAGCCATTGAAAGATCGCCGTGTTCACTATGCGCGCGGGAAAACTCTAGGCGGTTCTTCCGCAAGGAACTTCATGGCCTATACTAGGTTTGTCTCGACCCCGCAGCCGTTCATATCGCCATCTGACCTTAAGTTTAGGCCCAGTAAAGGCGCCATGCAAACGTGGGCAAACGAAGTTGGAGACAAAAGTTACACATGGGAAAACACGCTGCCTTTCTTCAAGCGCAGCGTGTCCGTCACAAAGCCAGACCTGACAAAGCGATTCCCCAATGCATCCGTTGAGGAAGACTACTCGTCTTACGACAACTCTCAAAATGGCCCACTCCACATCACATGGCCGGCATGGGCATCGCCTTTCGCCTCTTGGTTCAAGAAAGCTGCATTTGCGATTGGCATGGACGGTACCAGTGGCTTTACCAATGGTAAACTCTTGGGTTCATCGTGGTTTGTTGCCACCATCAATCCCAAGACCATGGAACGAGAGTCGTCGGCGACCAGTTTCCTGAAGTATGCTACGGATACCACTGGCTTGCTAGTTTACAAACAGACATTGGCAAAGAAGATTCTGTTCAATGAAGAAAAGGCTGCCAATGCCGTTGTTGTCGAAACACTGGGACTTCGCTATACGCTTTCGGCCACAAAGGAAGTCATTCTCTCCGCCGGCGCGGTCCAGAGCCCGCAACTTCTCATGGTTTCCGGTGTTGGACCGAAGAAGGTGCTAGAGGGTCTAAATATCCCCGTCATCGCCAATCTGCCCGGTGTTGGACAGAACTTGGAAGACCATCCCCTATCATGTTCAGTTCGACGTGTCAACCTTATCACGGCATCGAGGATGCTCAACGACCCGGAATATGCGATGAAGGTTCAAAATGACTACGTTCACCATGAATCCGGCCCTCTCACCTCTCCTGCTGGCGTGATCGCTTTTGAGAAGTTCCCATCCTCGGTGCGGAAGACCTTGTCGAAATCCGCGCTGGATAAACTGAAGTCTTTTCCAGCAGATTGGCCGGACCTGGAGTACGCAGTGCTCGACGCGAGCATGGGATATAACCGCAATTACTTGACTGAAGATCCTATGGACGGAAGTAACTATGCCTCAGTCTGTGTCTCGATTCAAACAGCCTTCTCCCGCGGAAGCGTCAGCATATCCAGTACCGACATAGCAGATCCCCCTGTTCTGGATGTGGGATGGCTTTCCGACCCGGTCGACGTCGAACTTCAAATTGCCGCTTTGAGGCGCACACGACAAGTTTGGGAGGCAATGTCCGAGATAACGATTGGGTCGGAGTATTTGCCCGGCCCGAACGTCACCTCCGACGCAGAAATCCTCGATTTCCTCGTTGATAGCTTGACCTGGTTTTTCCATGCATCAGCAACGTGCAAGATGGGGAAGCCCTCGGACAAGATGGCGGTCGTGGACACCAAAGCCCGAGTATTTGGAGTCAAGAATTTGCGCGTTGTGGATGCGAGCGCGTTCCCTTTCTTGCCGCCGGGTCACCCGCAGTCGGTCTGCTATATGCTGGCTGAGAAGATCGCGGAGGATATCAAGAACGATGATACGAGGTGAGTTGCTTTGCATCGGAAGGAGACATCGTTGCTGATTTTGAGTGCAGTCGACAACCGGGTACGGGCAAATCCGAGCTTTAATTCTACGGAATTCCCATCGCCTATCATCGAGGACAGTTCGGGTGCACAAATTGATGGCGCTGAAGCACCTCCAGAATGTCAACGGTCTCATTTGCTTACTTAGCCACACATCACTTCTGGGGATCAGGAATTCCGTCCATTAAGTTCCATGGAAATTAATCAATATATTTTCCCTTTACGAAAGTCAGGAATCATGATCACGGCCGATTTGAAATCAAGTTCATCAACCACAATGCGTTTGGCTTGAATAGCGATTATAGTTATGTTTAACTAAGTTACTCAAAGTAACAAGCTCAAGCATTGGTAAGAATACCTTGTCGGTTCTTTTGAGAATAGCTCCAACACTTCAGTCGTACAAGTAAACCGGCAGGTTTGCAAAACCGCGCAACCCCCTCTGCGCGTGAAGGCTCAGCACTGAATTATCCTTTAACGACCGCCGAGGAGGCTGCCGAACCCGCCGCCGCTGCCGCCACCAAAGAGGCTGCCGAGTCCACCGCTACCGCCACCGCTGAGACCACCAAGTCCGCCGCTGAGGCCACCAAGACCACCAGCAGCGCCACCAGTAGAGCCACCAGTAGAGCCGCCAGTTGAGCCGCCAGTTGAGCCGCCAGTTGAACCGCCAGTTGAGCCACCGCCCTGCTTGGCCTTGTTGACTCCGTCGGCAAGGAATTGCGCAGCGGGGGTGATACTGTCCCCGTAGGTCATGTGGCCCACATTGACCATGAGCATGGCGCCGCAGACACCGTCGCTCTCATTGCAGAAGACCTTAACCTTCTCCGGGGGGAAATTGGGGATCTTGCCGTCGTCCTCCTGGTTCTGGGTGTCACCGAACGTAGTGACGGCGGCGATCTTGCTCTTAATATTCTCAGGGAGGCTCTCGATCGTGCGATGCATGACGGCAGCACCCTGCGAGTATCCTCCGGCGACGATGATGGAATTCGGGCACTTCGAGTTCGCCTCATTGAAGACCTTAGTAGCGATACTAATCGACGCTTTATCGGTGCCGCCCGTTTGCATATTAGGTCCAATAGATGCGTCATATTCGACACCCTGAACGGCCGTGCTTGGGACCAGTTTCTTCAGGCCCTCGGCTAAATCGGGCCCGATCAGGAAACCCTTCGTCGAATTAGTCTATGGTTCCGGATTGAAGATCGTGAGGTTTACTCACCATATTTCCAGGCTCTGTCGAACCACGCGCAAAGATGAAGATGACGTCCTTGCATGCCCCCTGGCTCAACTCGTTCGAGGACATGCCCAGCTGGCGCTCGGCCAGTTCGACTGCTGGTGCCGCCGCAGCCAGTGCGGCCAGAGAAATGGTAGACAAAAACCGCATGTTGAAGTTGAAATGGCAGACGTGTAAATGAAAGAATGAAGTTGGTCAGGATCGTGCTGCGTGCTGAAAAGGGAACCACCGAGTCCAGGACAGCCATAGTCTTTATATATGCTTTTCATCGTCCGGTAGGATCCGGATAATAGGCTGCATAAGGCATGAATAGATTGGACAACAACCCCACAATCACGGAGAGAAAGGGGCTAGGACTATCATATTGAGAATCACGCGAGCAAGGTCAACTTGGATCAATCGTCCCGTAAATGTATACTTGAAGCAATATGACTTGGAGAATGACTTGGAGAATGACTTGGCAAGGGATTCATTGGCCACCTGGACGGGCCAAACCAGGGACAAGAAGGTTTGCAACCCTGTTGGATATGCTCCAGAGGCTTAGCCTGGGGTGAATTACCGCTTCATGAAGAGCAAATATGGGCGCGGCAGCAGATTTCAGTTCCTCTTTACTCTCTTGGATATTTTCTCTCTCCGAATCTGGTAGCCAAGGCCGAGATATAGGTGTGATATATAGTCGTACATGATATCCTATCGTACACGTTTCGAGCATATGGAAAACCGCTATCCGGCAGGAGGCTCCGCAGGCATGGTTTATGCACCGGCAGCCAATGACGGCTCAGAAGGTTTCATGGAACCCCAGTCGGAAGGGATGGTGAAACGGTCGACGCTCGAGCAATCGAGGGACATGGGACGAGATCCCTCATGATGAACGGTTTGACAGACCGCTGGTGTTTCTGTTTCAGGGATGTAGCTCTTACACCTTTCGAGAAATCAGTGTTTTGGTTCCTGTCATTCAATACCATCTCCAAGAAGTGAATGCATCGTGAAAGCATTATGCGGAGTATTATCGTAGCCAAGCAACAGGCGTGCACCAGCCTGGTGGCTGGTAGAGATCTTGAGCCCACCAGCAAGTGCCAAGGACTCATCACTCAAAGTCATGGGACATCGAACAGAATTAAAAAAATCCATGCGATGCGGATCTCGTCCTGCCAGCTGACTGGTGAGCCAGATTGATTAATCCCCATTGATTTTGAGTTCGACCTCACTTCGGTAACGTAGTTCGGTCATCGCGAGGAGCGATCTATGTAAAGCGAGTGAAAGCGAGAAGGCTGATGAGATCGCCATCGACTAACTACCTAATTACAGGCTGGTGGGGATTTAGCGCCGTTGGATAATCAGCGATTCAGGGTCGGGGTGAGGAGTGATATAGATTGTTTTCGGAGGACCTGAAACACCACTCACGAAGAAAGCGAAAAACTCGTACCCTCGATCGCTTCCCCAAAGAATGCCCAGCACCACTAGCTCGTGATATATTAAAGTAGTTCAGCGCGGAAAATATTGGGTACTTGTCCATGCAGGCATTCGAGCGGCGAGATCATCTCTGATGAGGAACCTCTACACGTTCAATATCATTGTCCAAGCCATGGCATCGTATATGCGATGCGCATATCGTGACATACTGCGGCTCTCCTTTTCTGGGCAATATCTCTTTCGAGTTCTTATTCGGAAGGCCGGAGACCGGTGGGATCGTTCTCGGACTAATCCGATATTCGTCCCAGAAGGATAGGATCGGGGGATTATGGATATGGAATTGGCAGGATAAGGGCCGGGAGGATTGGCAGCTGTCAGAAGCTTCTCAAGATCGCGGAACGTCGAATTTCTCCGTCGGTAGTGGTCCTTGGAGGTAGTGAATATTCATAGGGCTAGATAAGTAAAAAGATCTCTAAAGTCCTGGGCTAAGGGATGGAGAACATCCCTTATGCTATACGCTGGTTAGTCATCGTCTTTGGCCAACGATATCCATAGGGACCGTTGTAGCTTGGATGAGAGGGAGATGTCCGCGGTCCAGTTCGATCAATTCATAATCAACATTCACAATCGGACGTCCAATTTCTTTTCTCATTCTCCTCTCATGTTCTATATTTCCTGTTCAACCTTAGTTATCGATCTATAGATGTGTAAGCGTGTCTCATGCCCCCATGAGACTAGCGAGCACTGAATGGGCTGCGGGCAGGTATCATACCGACAAACCAGGAGAACTGCCATACCGGACGATCGAGCAGAATACAATAATTGACCATTATTACAGAAAACCTCACGATTGGCCCAATGCGTGGAGAGGCATTGTGCAGAAGGCTCGTTTTCGGAATGCTGGTGTAAGAGGTGTTCATCAGGAGACAAAGAAGTCTGCGTGTCTCCTCCGACTTGCAAGTCCATCATTCCCCGTCCCATTGGCCAGCAATAGCCGCAACAACCGGAGTACTGCGTAGAAGCTTCCCACGTATCCTTTTCAAGCTTCCAACGAGGCTTCCACAGGCCACTCATTCCCGACCGTTCCCGACCAGTATCACCAGCAACTGGCCAATGTTGTTGTCGCCTATTTCGCTAGCACCTGTCTAGTCGCATCGACATAAAGGGCTGGGTATAGACCTAAACCAGGCAGAGACACCTCAAAGACGAAGAGAGTATCGGGATGGGAGCGGGCACTTGCTCGGTACTAACCCTATATGGCTGTTACATTTTGAAATGGTATACTTTGGTATAGGCAGTGATTACAGATAATGGTTCCAGAACCGCCTTCATTCAAGTAGAGCTTAGAGCCAATTCGCATAAGCCCATGCGATGCGCTTAACCACGCTTTTCTGTCTCTCCACTCCCGTTCGGATATCCACTAAATCCTCGAGCTCTTCCAAAAAGTCCCGGAGCACGCGTTTGGGCAATGTCGCACTTGCGGTTTGGCGGAGCACATGGACCTCGCAGAGCAACAGACCGTGATCTTTATAGAACAGTTCGCCATAGCCGGTTGACGATGCCGAGGTCAGGATGCGGTCGATGTTGCTGATGATGTTAGAGGGACGGTCGATAAAGGACACAAGGACGCTTACCGTAGTTCCTTCACCATCTGGCCCTTCTGATTCCGCTGTTGAATACCGCTTCGGTTTCCCATGGCTGAACTTAGCCACCAGAATACGCCGAAGCAGACAAAGAGCCCAGGGGTAAGGCCAACAAATCTACATCGGAAGTCAGCATCTGCGGAGGAGAAATGGCGGTAGTCCAGCGTATTCCATACCCAAATACCAGCTCTTGGCTCTTCAACAAACTATCAATCCCCCCAATTGCAACCTCCACATCTACCTTCGTTTTCTGCACCTGAATAAGCAGCGTTCTCACCAGCTCGCCCCTAACCGTGCCCCAGAGCGGTGACCGCATATCTCGCTCGTAAGCTTTCAGGACCGGAGTGAGATCACCCTCCCGGACTTTGACTCGCATATCGGCAATCTCTGTGTCCGACAGCCGACTTCCACTACTATTCTTCGCGTTGTCAACTGCGAACTCGACAACCATCCTCTCCAGGCTGTCACGGTCGCCTTCGAGGCTCCGTTTGCTCATGATGCTGACCTCGCTATCTTCGTCATGGCGGATGGTGCCGATGACATTGCGAATCGGCGCGATGACCCAGTTATTCCAGAAATCTTTGGCAGTGGTTCCGGAGTCCTTGAGCCACTGTACGATCTCTGCTCGTCGATTCGTGAGGATCCGAAGTACGGTGCCCGACGACAGGATGCCCACGGTCACAATTGGCCAATACCTAACCCAGCGGGGTGGACGACCGTTCTGCATGACCGCAGCATTGAAAGTATCTTGATACGCTGGCAGACCATTTTCAAGCAAGCCGAGCAGGCGGTTAATACCTGATAAGGGCTTTAGCCATGATGAGGATTCCGTGGCTTCATCGAAATCAATATCGTAGTAGGGGTCTTCTTGCGTTGCGGATGCGATGGCATCGTCGAATTTCGCAGCAGATAGAGTAGCGTCGCTCGCGCGACCTAGGACCGCATCGAGAAGCGCAATGGTTTTTGCCGTAGATGATTTCCATTTGGTGCTTATGAAATGGGGCTGTGATTGCGGATGCATGGCAGACAAGGTTGATGGGTCGGGTGTATGGATACTATCGTAGCGAATGTTAGTTGTGGTGGATTTAAAGAAAGCGGATATTCTACTAACCCTCCGGCGCTCAATCCTTCCCCAAGCAGGACACCGAGCGCATTGGCATTGACCACCCTAAGTTTCTGTAATCCTTTCCGCTTAACCGCCAACTCTCCTCTTGCAAGCATTAGTGGTCCTATGAGTTGCTTTCGCCAGTCTCGCATGTTTCTCTCACGAACCACGCTCCGCACTAGCGTGTAGAAATCGCTCCACCCACGATTCACGGCATTCCGTGTCGTCTGCACAAGAGTCGTCGACGATCGTCTCCGACTCTTTGCTTGAGCGCTTTGATCGGCGCCGGAGGTCGTGATGTTCTCGATGCGCCGCGCAACCTCTCCGTATACATCTTGAATCGAATGGAACAACCGCAACGGTGTCATCTGAACGGCGAACAGTGCCGTATATCTATAACTCGAAAGCACGTCATCGAAATAGTACAGATGCTCGCTCAGTGGTATTGTGTTCTCCAGTATTGTATCCAAAACAATTCCATACGCAGCGTTCGTTGCCTTGGCCAGAAGTAGCCATTCCAGGTCGTGCTCGAGGGATTCATCCGTATCTGTCTCCCATACTTCATCACCAATTCTTCCATTTTCCTCGTGGTCCCGATGATAGGAAGAGGCATACGAGTCGGTGGCTCCCTCTTCTGTGCCATCCGGTAGATCAGACCGGGTTCCTTCGGCTCCTAAGCCCTCCCTTTGACAGACACGGCATCCTTCTAGTCGAGAGGCTTCCTTGAGTGCTTGGACGATTCGATTGCGGTGGTGGATCAATGATCCTCTATGGGATGGTGAGTGCGAGAGGGCCTTCACAAGGGCCTGAAGCTCGCTGGTCCGGTCGGAGAGTCTCCGTTTTCGGGGGGAGGGAGCCGAGGCTGACCGTACCGCGAACTGCTCCTCTTGGATTGCATTCTCGTCGCCATGAGAGTCATACTGTGACCATGATAATTGCAGACGGTCCAACTGTGCATCAATGCGTTGTACCTGGCTGCGGCACGTTAGGACGTGGTTTCCACCCTCTACTCCAGCCAGGTTTCTGCTCGAGTGCTGGATGTGCTGTTCGTGACTTACTCCAGTACAAAGGACATGGCTTCGAGGTATCCGAACTCAATACGGCCAACAAGTGACCATACCTAACCAAGCTCGGCTTCGGAAGAGAAAGGAATGGATCTTGCGCGTTTGAGCTTCAAGAAAGTTTACCCCAGAATTTCATCCTGAAATTCTGCCCAAGCAACCAGAAAACCAAGCTCCACGTGACTCGTCGTCCGTGACATCATAACAGCTGACTTCTTCCTAGCCACCATGCAATTCCGTGCTCAGTGCTGAGCCACAGCGGGTTAGTCAGCAGCTTCCCCTGAGACTTCAGCATCAAAGAACCAACTTCCCCTGATTTACCATTTCAGTTCATAATCCCACATTCTTCGAAAGTCGTTCGGTCTTAAGGGCTTCAGGCTTCCTGAGTTGTATCCTAATCATGCAACATGGCCCAACAGAACATGTGACCTCTAAAGACATACTTTGACGGGATAGCCGAGACGAACGGTGATGATGAGTGCTCCGCTTGGTTGGGTCGGATTTGTGACGCAAAGGCTGAACTGGCAAGTTTTGTTTCCAGTCTTCGGGAAAGGGGAAATGGCGCTGGATCATTCCTATCCCGCGTGTCCACAGCAAGGGATTAACGGTGGAGAGCCCACAACAACTTGGACCATTTTATTATCCTGGATTTCATTGAGGGGACCCTTTTATTGACCGTCCTCAAGTAACCGACCGAGACTAGCGATATGGTTCTAAACCCAGATATCGGCCCAACGATATTGGATAAGATCTATCATCAAATCGCCGATTACATGTTCCAACTCTCTCAACTTGCCTTTACCCGCACCGGAGCTATCACGAAGACCGAGATTCAAAATGGACCGTCACTAAAGATCGCTAACATATAATGTGAACGAGTTGGCGACTGTCATAGGATATCCCGACGATCAATTTCCTCGCACTATTTGATCGTGCGAGAGATTACTTCAGGTCGCTGACAAACGAGCACTTAACCCACCTTTGGACAACCTCGCAGTTACCCGGGAAACCGCTCGTAAGCGGTTTATCGCTTGCCATCAGTTCACACATCTTGTCACAGAGTACTGTATTGAGGACAATGGCCCATTTTTGCCCTTCTGCGGCGATATACGGCCTGCGAACATGCTCGTGGACCCCGAAACGCTCCGTATCAGCGCGATGGTCGATTTTGAGTGTACGAATATTCTCTCGGCCCCGCTCACCTACGACCCTCCCTGGTGGCTACTTTCGACTGGGCCTGAAATATGGGTTGATCGCGGCTCTACGGATGAATTTCTAGGCCTCTATGAGCCAAGAATGGAGCAGTTCCTAAAAGCGTTAGAATGGGAGGAAGGGGAGTTGGGACTAAGGAGAAACCCAGTCGGTGGATCACTTCTCTCAGTCCGGATGTGTGACTCGTGGAGAATTGGACGTTTCTGGTTTGATTATGCCGCACGAAAGAGTTTCAAAGTAGATAGCATCTACTGGGTTGCATTGCATCACGAAGCCGCTGACCTTGAGTTGCTTCATGACAAGGCGTAGGCAGAAGGAATCACTTACGGATAGTACGATGGAGCAACTAAAGGTATATAATGAGGAATGCACTGTCCGGTTTTCCGGAACGAATGCATAAAGTTGCCGTGCACCATCCTAGATCAATGCGATTTGGATTCCATTTACCCATTGGTAAGGAAGGTAAGTATATTCCGTACACCAATCCACTCTACTCACCGTTTTCATACGAATTAAGTTGAAGTGTACTAGCTTGGGGTCAAGTATCCTAGAGAAACATCTATTGTTCCCACCAACAAAGCAGAGCCCGACCGGATATTCTACCTTATTAACGCCCCCGAACTGCATCAGAAAGGAATGGCCACTACAACGGCACACCACGATCCACGTCCTCAATTCTCAGTCGATTCGCCCCTCTTTGCTTCCGCAAATTGTTCGTATTCTCAACAACCTCCCGGTCCACCGACCACCACCAAGTCCTCCAGAACTTATCCCCAATCTCCCAATTCTTGCCGTCCATCCCATTGGGTCCCACGATCCGGAACCCTTCGGCCGGGTCATCGATATCGTAGAAGAGCTGTAGAATCGACAACGGATCCCGTGCCCCTGGTGGTCGGTGTGTGGGGGGGAGGTTGAAGACCACGACCAGCTTCGTACGGACTGACGGCCAGGGGATACAGTCGATCAGCGGATGATGGGGGATCGATTTCTGTGCATCGGTGGGTTTGAGATCGGCGGGGAGCTCCGTGATCTGCTGCATAGCTTGCATGTTCGACATGATCTTCCCGTCGAAGGTGCGCAGGGTGAAGGGGTCCCACATGGTATCGCCGGCTCCGACCATCTGGGCCACAGCCATTCCGACTTGCATGGTTTTCAGCAGCGGCACATCTATGACGGTGTCATTTGACAGCATGGGTAGGAAGCCATAGGATGAGGAAAATGGCTGATTGGAGGATTCGACCCCAGGCACCAGAGTGCTCAGATCCCAAGCGGGAGAATCGCCTAAATCTGATGCATGAGTTACGCCAAACATAACGTGAGACTTCTTCGGACTAACCGAATGGAGTTGAACCAGATCGACCGAACTCAATTGCTGGGAGATATAGCGGCTGATCGAAACTAGCTAGATCGTCGAGGATCGCGCCAGAGGATGCGGCAGGCATGGATTGATCTGTCGTGGCAAATGTTTGGAACAGGGTGGCACCGGAATCTCCTGAGCCCGACGCCTCTAGTTCAAGTTCCAGCTCATCCGATCCGCATATCATTTCATCTGAAGCTGAGGCAGAGCCTGGATAATGGGATGATGAACTGGACTTTGGTGATGTGCTGGTCGCTTTCAGCTGGGCCTCAAGCGCAGCCATCTTCTCTGCCTTTCTCCTTCCTAGCATTAAAGCATCAGACAGTGGAATACAATATGCTATCACATATCAGTACATACGATATCGTCGTTGAGCCAAGACATTTAGAGCACGCTTCCTGTCCGGATCACCCCGTGAGGGGACTGAAGCGGCTGTCAAACCACTGGCTTTAGCATTTACCATTCTGGATATCCTGAGTGTACTAGGCGTAAAGGATGAACTTCGAAATGAGCAAATCGGTTCGACTTTGACAGGAAGGTGGTAATAAAAGCCCAACGGACGGCAAGGGAATAAACATAACGTTATGCTGCCAAGAGTCATCCTCGTATTCCTCCAGGCTGGCACCGACTTGAAGCTTCAAGCTACCCGGGCCAATCAAATGCCTCGGCTCTAAAGTGCAATGGGTACCGATATGGAATATCTTTGAAAGGACGATCTCAGCCTCCGGATTTGGAATGAAGGGCGCGGATAGAGTACGGTAGACCCTAAGAAAAGTAGATCCTGTCGATCTGATGCTTGAGAGAATGAGCCCATCGTTAGGTATAATGAGATTGTAATGCGAGGTTACGTTCCGACCGATTGACATCATTCCTTCGAACAGGAATCCAGTGTATATATAATGGACGTCGGGATGTATGAATGGAACCATATCAACACAGTTACTCACCCTTAAGCCAACTTGACTCGCTATTCATTGATCTTCAACGCCATTTCGAGCCTTCAACAAACTCGTCCTACCCTCCAACCGACACCATGGCAGAGAGCATCCCAAAACCATCCAGCCCCCTCCTCCCTCATACGAGCTCACCGAGGCCTCCGCTGGGCATCATCAAGACCATCTCGATCGCCCGCGCCATCTTCGGCGGCGCATGTATCTTCACACCCCACCTCATCACGCAAATGTTCCAACTGCCTCTTCCCCGAGGCACCGAGCTGTTCCCACGACTGTTCGGCGTGCGCGACTTGGTGGTCGGAGAGCTGCTGTGGCTCACATTGCGCGGTGAACGCACGGAAGAACAACTGAAGCAAATCCGCCGTGTGGTGTGGGCCAATATTGCGATCGATTCGATTGATGTGGTGTCGACGATCTGGGAGTTTGCAATGGGAAGGATTGCCGGCGAGGCGGCGCTGGTGACGGGCGGTGGAGCCGCGGTGTTTGCGGCAGTTGGGGCCGCTGGGCTGTATCAGATTGGCTGGTGAAGTGGCTGAATGATATGTGGTGGGTCGTTGGCTGGCGTTCTGATATTTGTGGAATATTTTCTGTGCCTTCTTACTTACCTTCCCTTGACATTCATTCATTCTTTCAACTCATTTGGAAATTCCCTTGAAATTTTGACAAACGTGATGAGGCCCTACTCCATTCGATATCGCGTGCGCGCTCACTTCAGGCTTCATCAAGAAACGCCGCCAAAGTGCGGCTCGTCCACGGAACGATTGGACTCCCAAGAAATAATAACCATTGCGGATGAATATATCCAAACAAACTGGCTTAGGATCTCGTACAACGCCTGACATTCGCAACTGATCATCGTCAGACCCAAAGGGCAAAAGGGAAGCTCGAAAGGCAATCCCTCGCCACAAACGATATGGATGCATGGTCGCTTCCAGTATCATATTTTTGGGCAGCTGGTCGTGCAGAACTTCAGTTCAACTCAACTGAAACATTTTTCTTGATTGTCGGTACCGCTTGTCAATTTGAAGTCAATTTCTACCCAACTATCCTTTCCAAGTTGGTTCTCCTCGACTACTCATAGACTCTGTCCCCTCTCCACCTAACAGCTGTAGCTATCAATCCGAACCTTTTCACTGTGTCTGACAAGAGGCCCGTTCTTGTCTTTGTGTCCGAAGCATGGCATGGTCCCACGATATGGAATAGAGTCGTTCCCGATTTAGAAAACCAACGATATCGGTGTATTTCCGTGGCACTCCCAACCACATTTGGGGACCCTAGCGCGGATTTCGCCGACGATGTCCAGGCCGTTCAAAATGATATCATCGCCGAGACCCGCACAGGACGCAACATTGTAGTTGTGGTCCATTCTTACGGCGGCGTGGTTGGCCAAAGCGCGATTAGAGACCTCACCCAACACACGTCTGAAGGATGCTGCTTCTACATCCACGGATAATCTGCCCGCATCCATGTACAACCTGCCCGGCTATGTTATTGGCCTGATCATGATATCAACTGGCTTCGCCGAACGGAACACGACTGTCATCGACAGAGTTGGCAGCAAGGGTTACCATAACCCCCGCAAGAGAACTGTTTTACATTGATCTTCCCAAGGGAGAAGGCGATTACTGGGCCAGCAAATTGGCGAATCAGTCGGCAAAGGCATTTACTGAGGGAAGGTATGCTTCGTATCCGGGTTGGAAGGACGCCTCCTCTTGGTTTCTCATGGCGACGGTGGATAGGGCAATCTTCCCGAAAGTCGCAACAGGATTTTGTGAAGGCTACGAAGGGTGCTGGGGCGAGCGTTACCGTTCGAGATATTTCGAGTGGCCATACGCCTATATTGAGCAGGCCGAAGGAAACAGTGGACTTCATACTGGAGGCATTGGCGGCTTTTTTAGAATCTTTGCAGGAAACCAATTAGACTCCCTTGTTAACTCACCGCATTGCTACGCTTCAGAGTGATTCAGGCTATATGTACTGTAGCCCATCACTATCATCCATCGCTCTTTTTCATAGATAGTAGGCGAGGAGTGTTGCACTTCCCTCAAAGATGGTCAATCCAATATATCCTTAAGACGCTCAAGAAACATGCACTCACCGAATCAGTCAACCTAGACTCCAGACGGTAGGATCCATGCCTATCCATAGGGGTTAGATACTGCTCTAGACCAACACCCGGAGAGATGCTTCTGGTATCCTTACCATAAGATATCCTTTCTAGCCAGATAACCATGAGTCTGTTGCCCATGGTGATCAACCGCCGTCATGCATTGAGGTTGTGATAGTCGATGACAAGCTTCCCAGCCAACTGAGTACCAAGATGGAAGCACGATCCGTATATATCTCACTAACCGGACAGAAAAGCGTGGCCCAGATCGAGGTACAGGTTGTGAACGAATAGCATACTTCCCTGTATGTACTTGCACAAGTTCTGTCATTGCAAAAAAGAAATGTACACTGCATTCTATCAAGAGTTTGGCTAAGTCAGGGTCGGTAATGTCCTATCCCTTAATTACTACGACTTGTTGCCTGTTGGTCCTGTGTGGCTTAACCCCAGATGGATCCTTAAGAATTGACACGTGAACAAATAGATCTCTCTGAGTAACACATCTCCACTGCAAAAAACAGATGCACATCAAAACATCATGTCTTACTAAGACATACCTCTAACTACCCTCCAAAGATTAAGGTCCTAAGGGTACCTATAGGAAGAAGCCTACCCCTAACATATCTCCTTGCTGTAAAAGACACATGATGTACATAAATGTCTAACTAAGACATACCTCAACTCTCTGAAGATTAAGATCTTAAGGGTACCTTACCTATAGGAAGGAAGCTTCAAGTTACCTACCCCTAACACATCCACACTGCAAAAGACATATGATGCATATCAATGTCTTACTAAGATGTACCTCTACCTTCTAATCTCTCAGAGCTCATGAGTACCAGGGTACCTCGGAGCTACCTACCCCCCGCTCACTCGGCATACGACTGCCTAGCCTACGTTCCCCCAGCCTACACATAGATCTTCATATGGCCCGGTGAACCTGACCGGAGGAAGTTTAGACTGCTTAAAGGTTCAAACACGGGAATTATGCTTGAGAAGATACGACGCTCTAATGGATGGATTCTCCTATTAGGCGATCCTTTAATTCAGGGACGCTCGAATGGACGTCATGTTTGTTGGAAAGGGGTACGTTCTGAAGATGGGAGTGGCGAGTTTAAGCTTCAGGGGACGATGTTCAGTTCTGGGGATGATGTTCATACCTCGGGCGGATATGTTCAGACCTAAAGGCAATACTCAGGCCTTGGGGCAAGATGTTTAGTCCTGAGCGTAATGTCCAGGGCTGGAGGTGATGTTCAGGGCTCAGGCCTGGCCTAGAGTTGCCAGGGTAGGGAGTTATTCCCTGCGAAGGGATCGCCTTCGCATAACTGAGGCCGAGTCCGAACACTTGGTAATGGCTGAGGAATGGATTGGGAATGGCCGAGGGATGCCTTGGGAACGGCTTAGGAATGACTTGGGAACGGCTTGGGAACAAACAGAGGATCGGCCTATGTATTAGTAAGACATTAATTCTTCACCAGTTCTCTAAATCTTCGCATTGAAAATTGATTTTTCAAGTTCTCTGGGGAAGTCTGATGTGCACCCCAGACGCGCTGAATTTCAGTGCGTTTGGATGGTATAAACCCGTCAAAGACCACGCTGATGCCATGAAAATGCAAATCAAGTTCGCCATCGTACGTCGCCATCGTGGAGAATACTCTCAGTCGTCCAGTACGATGTTAACGTCCCAATCCTCTAATCCATCCGCCTTTCCCCCAACCACGCAATTAATTCCCTCTGCCTTTTCCGTGGGACCGCCTCTTTCGCCATGCGCACTGACAAGATGCCGCAGCAGCATCTCAACATCTTTATACCCCTCGGTTTCTTTTCCCTCCGCACAGCAGAGCAAGCATTTGTAAGCAGACTCTCCGCAATGCTTTCCAACTGTAGCCGCTTTCTGCTTCACATGGCTCTTCACCAATAACATCCAGCGATACCGCGCTGTGACCTCCTTCGTCCCACTTGCGGTCTGACTTGCCTCACTCTCCAGACCGCCCAAAAACCCCTGGATATCATCCAAGAACACTTTCACTTCTTTGATACTCTCATCTACCCCCCATCCCTTTCCGTACCTTATAGGCACCGCCGGCCCGCTGAACCCACAGGTGCGACACCGCCAGATCCGTTTGCTGTGGGAGTACCCTTCTGAGACACTGACCAAGCGGAGGCCACTAGTCAACGATTCTTGAACCGACCACGCGCCTTTGCAGAGTCCCAAATAGGAGTTGCTACGGGAAGGCCGGGGTGGGATTGCTGATTGGGGTCGAGATAGGGAGTCGGGATAAGAGGGGATATGGGACGTGCGGGAGGATAGAGATGTGGATGACCGGGACGAAAGTCGAGATTGAGAGGGTGGTTCCGGGAAGGCATTCAGGGTGTGGGACATGAACGGGAAGGCCATGCTGGGCGTAAAGGAGAATGAGGATGACCGAGAATGGTCGGGACGAATCTGGGATATTTCGGGTGTTTTTTTAGTGCGGGTTTCTTCGGTGGCAGGATTTGAGATTTTTGGGGTCGAGTCGTGGCTGGTTCTACGGCTGCAAACATCTTTTGCCTTAGATGGGGCTTCTAACTCGGGCATTTTGGGAGGCGATTCTTGATCCTCAGGAATAGTTAAGGTAAACAATGGAAGTTGCTGGGAATGTCGAGGTAGTTGAGAATGTCGGGGAATGGGCCCCGCCGGCTCTGGATCCTCTGGTATTGTGAGCGTAACGAGGTGAGTTGAGCCCTGCTGGAGACTTGACTTCGACGGTAATGGCCAATCGTGCTTCTCCGAATTTCCCGAGATTGTCAAATTTTGGACAGAAAGCTTGTCCGAAATGCCCTTCTTGTCTGGCGCGTTGGTTGAAGTTATTGACGATCGGGAGGAGGAACGAGTCTGTGTTTCGTCGAAGACGCTTGATGCAACAGTCAATCGTCCCGAATTGGTTGAATCGGTACTCTCCGTGCTCCTTGAGCAGCTAGAATCTTGTCGGCCAAGTTGGGAGACAGATCGCTGCCGCACTACCTGAGGAACTTCCATCAGGCCTGGTCCACCATATTGGCTCCAGTCCCGCCGCTCAAGTGATGCTAGAGCGGACAGGCTAGGGGCGAGGGTGGAGTGGTCGTGGCTTGGTGTTGATGGTTTGTCCGCTGGTTTTGGAGCTTTCCGTGGAGGTCGTGAAGAGAAGAGACGCCTGATCCCGCGAAGTGGAGTAGGTGTATTAATTATTATATTGGGTTCAGTCTGGCTCTTTGTAGTCGCTTCGGTTTCGAGATGAGTAATCGGAGTGGATTGCGGAAGGCTTGTTTTGGGATTGAGGATAAGAGGAATAGGTTCTTGATCCGTGTTAAGTCGCAGGTCATCTAAGGCTTTAATGGCGAATGTTCGTTGTTTTAGAGATTCGCCTTGAAGGAATAGGAGGTCCAAATCGTGGATTTCGACTTGAGATTGCTGTACCAATGGAATCACGATATTTTCTCGTATGGAGACGGCTGTCCTCAGCAGGATTTCTCGTGTAGCGACTGTACCTGTTAGTCATGGTTTTATACGGCCAGATTCGGATGACCACTTGCCATCCTTCTTCTTGAAAAGAGCTCCAAATTCTCTCCAATGCAATGCTAAAGCTTGGGCTACCTGCTCTTCACCTGCCTCCAAGGAGCCCTGCAATTCCTTCGCCCTAACCCCTCTCTCCGTTTTAACCTTCCTGTATGCATGCCGGGTACGAAGTTGCGTGAGGAATGAGGCGGCAGTGTGAAACTCGGATATGACTGATATGGACGCATCTACGACATCCGGTTCACGTTCTGCCATGCCTGTAGAGACGGGATAGGCACGGGAGCAAGCGACGTTCACGACCAGACTCAAATTTGGACATTAAGAGAAAACGATTTGACAAAATGGGTGACGCAAGTAGGAAAGACACGAAAGGAAGATTGGTACCTACAGAGGGTTGAGATCCGACCTATAATGTTTCCTCGGGACTCGAAATATAGCCATATTCGAAATCGTGCAACCGGGGACGCGGCATCTGGGATGTGGTGGTGATGTTAATAACTCGATATGATTTTGAATCTAAATAGATACTGTACCCCCATCACCTATTCGCCCAGGCGACGATCGGCTTCGACATCTCGCCACATCCTCTCGGCTCTCCATATTTGGCGCCCTGATACCACTATGTCCATGTTCCGCGTGGTTCAGGCTGATTGCACTAAGCAGTAGGCTTTCTAGATTCGTTCAGAAATGTAACATCCTGCCCGAGCGCCCGATGCAAGGCGTGCGCCATGTCCGCTGGAGTCACTTCGAATACCGTACTCTGCGGTAGCCCACGATCGAATGGCTTAGAATTAGCAGCTCATGCTGCAGGTTGTAGCCCTTGTGTCCGAAACGCCGTAAGACATTCAAAAAATGAGGACTTTCTGATGCCACAGCGGAGCGAGAAGAAAACAATTTCGAGGACAGATGGGATACGAAGAAGGAAAGCTGGTGGGATGTGAGGATCCTCACTCATCAACAGTTCACCACCCCTGGCGCAATCTTACACGTGTATTTCATGCTCTATCTCCTTTGTTAATGCCATGGATGCCTCGGGATCTCTTCATCCCCCACATGCGTCAACCAGGTGAATCATTTATTGAATATGTATTGCTTCCCGTTCTCGCTACTTTCGGTCCATTTCTGATACCACCTCCCCGCCAGCAAATGTTCGCCATCGCGGCCAGCGAGCCTGGAATCTAGCCACGCCGGGGATACAACATGCCTATGCTCTAATATCCCCATATCAGAAGTATGATTGCGTGCTAGTATCCGAATCCGGGGTATTTACCAATAGGATCGGAATTTTCGCGCGTGGTCTGATTACATGCATTACATGAAGTATGGTCTTCAGCTCGGGCGAAGTTGTTTTCGCGTCGGGATGCACAAGCAATCGCCTGAATCAAAATGGGTAGAAGTTGTGGAACATTCGGGAATTCACATCTCCACAAACGAGCTTCCTTCTGCATCGAAAAGAGGCAGCAGGACTATTTAGCTGTCTACTGGTTGGGTTTCTCTCCAAGAGCCTAACTCTAGCTGCAACACGACGAATAACTCCGTCATAATTGTAGTTTCGCCGATCACTCCTCCAGCACGACTTCAACGCCCCCAAATATGCTTCCAACAGGCTTGTTGACGGATCGAATCTTCAGCCGCGAATCTGCCACTCTCAGCACCTCTCTCCAGTCGGCAACACCTCGCTCTCTAGCGTTGAACATCTCCATCATAAGCTGTGTCTCAGTCAGCAATTTGTCCGCACTATCCCATGAATCGAAATTTCTCCAATCACTCACCATGCTGAGAGCTGTAACATGAATCTCTTCTTCCACCGTTAACTCAACCCCCTCCCCTGGCAACAGTCGCTCAACAATCAGAATCCTCGCCCCTTTCTTCATCGCTGGCACGATCTGCGCTAAAAGTTTTGCGGCCGTCTTGTCTGCATGGTTGTGTAAACACTGACGAATCAGATAGACATCTGCTTGGACACGCTGCTCCTCAAAGTAATCTTGAGCCATGAACTCTAGCCGGCTGCGGACCTCTGTCGGAAGGTTGGTGATGCGCTGTTCCTCTTTCACTTTCTCGACCACATCAGGGAGATCCTGTACTACCACGCGAAGTTCGGGGAAATGCTTCAGCAACAAAATCGACGCATGACCGGAGGATCCGCCGACGTCGACGACTGTTGCAGCTCCAATTGATGACCAGTCGTACATCTTTAGTAGATGTTCCGCCTTTTGGATATCGGATGTGGCGATGTTCTGCATTGCGACTGAGAAATCCCTAATTCGAACTGGGTCGGCGGAGATGTATTCGAAAAATGGCATGTCTGTCTTGTACGCTAGCCCAAACGCTGTCTCAGTGAGTTTATCTGTTCCACCATACTTGGTAGTGAGCTCCGGGAGCTTGGCGGCGATCGGCATGTAGAGATCCATGACCATATTAACGGACTTATTCCAGTTGGGGTTGGTAGTTATATGGTAGGAGAAAAACGAATGCGATACAGTGTTTGACTCGTTACCACGCCGGAGTAAGCCACATGCGATGACAATACTGCTTACGACCATGAGCTGTTGGAGAGGGACATTGCATTGTGCAGAGAGCTCGGGGAGGGCAATAGGACCGTTCATGGGAATGGTCTTTAGCACATTGAACTCGAAGAGCCATTTCAATGCTGCCGCGGATTGGACCTATGCCACGAATGAGTATGGGCCACGGATAACCAGGAGATGCAATGAGAAGAGGTTTTCATGACTGAAGCGTCTGGAAGCATCCCTTCGGTCCAATGACTCCAAATAAATATATAATATCATCGACTTTCAAACTAGTACTGATCACTGCTCCAACCCAGTTGATAATGAGGTATTATCACACCGCCTCGATATAGGAGATTCGTACTGACTGCTGACTGCCATGATATAAAGACATCTGGCAAAGGTCTCAAAAGCTGCTGTATCAATGTCGAAGTACCTATGACCTTCCTCATAGACTTCATCATCTCTTCAGGAGCTCCGGGTGGAACACGCAACAACGAAGGATCGCCATCAAGCGCCGGTATCGGATGGTTGGAGGCCTCGCAGTACGAGGCGTATTCCTTCGCGGCATTGCTGAGATCCTCTGCGAGCTGGAGGATGTTTCTCGAATCTGACATATTTTGAAGAATGAGAAGAAGACAAGCGTAGTAAATTGGCTAGAAATATGTACTTGTAGTTGAGGGGGAATACTAGGTTAAACACTAGAATTGGAGCTCGGGTATTGTGAAGAAAACTAACGTGTAAACCAGGAAACAGTAGATATTCGATAAGAGGATAAGAAATGTTAGAGGAATTAGAATCTCGCATTATTAGAGGTCCGGACTATTTTATATGGTCAACGGTACACAACAGTCCAGTGCTCGCTTAGAAAACGATAGGACGGCGACGCTGCTGTCATCGGCAACTATTCTGACCATCTCAATCTACGCTTCTTGATGCGTCTGCAGCTGACCACGTCTTTCTTGTATTGGCGCTAATCGTCGTCATGCATCAGGTTGCATCGGATAGGGGGTAGTAGTCGCATACACATCCATCTTCTGAAGCTTGAGGGGAGCAGTTAGGAATAGGATGGGGAGCCGAGCTCCCAAGGGTTAGAGAGCGACCTCGCCTTTCATTTCGTTCCTGTTGACCTTCTCAACAGCATCTCCATCGGCTGGCTACCGCCGGAAAACTCGCCCCAAGGCTGAACGCCCGAGGATACCGTTTTATGTTCACCGGACACCGGTCGTGGAGGGGTTTGGTTATTCAACGATCGAATTGTCGACCATCAACCTGGATTCGGCTTATTTTCAACGGCGAGTACGAAGCTTAACGGTTCGGATCTCGTCAACCGGGAAGGCGTCGAGGCGCATGCATATTCCATCTACGGATTAGGGCTGGACACGAATATTCGACTATTCGTATTCGTACGAATATTCGTAGTCGAATACGAATAAAATTTAGAATTTCCGCTTACTAATATTCGTACGAATAATATTCGCATTATTCGTAATTATTCGTAATTATTCGTCTATCTCTGAAGCTATTTCCATGTATCTCGCATCGGAGAGATGGTCGACAGAGAGCTTTAAGCTGGGGTCACTTGGCTTGCTGAATCGTCAGGAGTGATCAATTCGACGCTATTGATATGCTTTGTATCTCTTAGAGCTCAAATCCTCCAGATCGTGTTCGGGTAAACAAAAGTCGCGACTGTTGGGCATTCATTCATTGGCTCGGCTTTTGCCGAATAAGTCTTGGCATTATTTACGAATATTCGCGAATAATACGAATAAAACGTCTCAAAACTTAGTCGAATACGAATAATCGTTCAAGAGGAAAAGTCGAATACGAATAGCCAAAATCCTTATTCGTGTCCAGCCCTACTACGGATTATATGCCGAGAAGTTGAAATGCAGGGCCAGTCGTTCTGTTGGTAGAATTGATTTGCCCTTGCATTGTGTGCTTGGAGACCAGATACTCCGTGGGTCTCAAATTGATACTCAAGATGCTATCCCTACCTCCGTCCCAACATTTGGCTCGGGACTTCTGTTCATCGTCAGTTTTTAGCCGCTTGCCAAGTTTATTTCATATGGCGTCGGGTCATTTCAAACTGCTGTTTCTGTGAGCCTGAACAGAAGAACCATTTATACGGAGTACAATGCTCCACGAACCGGACTCTGGCATGGAGGTTTCTTTCTCTTCGACCTATCTTGAGCACTACCTATTCCCTTCGGCCACGGCCTGTCGAAAAGTCCTTGATACCTTCTGCCGGAACCCTATCTTCGTTGTGAAAACAGCGATTTCAGCTCAAGAGGATTGGAGCCTCGTCAACAGAATGAGTATGAAAACCAGACCGGAGATGAGGAAAGAACCAATCTAGAGGAAGGCTAATTATATGATATATGGAAGAGTCCTCTTGTTCACGCCATTCCGCGTAGCCGAATCAGCAATGGGATTTTCCTGCATCCTGGTCTATAGCTTGCTCGTGGACTTGCAACAGGTTTCGACTAGGTGTACTCCAAACAAAAGTCGGCTTACAACCCGGAGAAGCCGAATACATCAAACGATCATAACGTGATGTGCTGCAGTTCTAGAAGGTAAGCCGCAAGGAGCATGTCTAGCGACGGAACAGCCGGCCCTGCTCGAAAGTCGAAACCCAGCAAACCCCCCAAGTCCGCAACCACCTCTTCCTTTCCACACCAAACGCCTCCAATGTTTCACCAGAAGTTCAAACATCCACCGTGCGACACCGTTTCATACGACGCTCACATCGTATCGACTCCATGCGCATATAGTAGCGGTGCAACTTAAGCTTTTTCCTTTGCGACATTCCAGTTACCGGAGAGCAGCCGCCGCAAGTCTGATCGGAATCCCCGTCGCCGTCGGATGTCGCCCAGGCGCTGCGCGACCGGCATCATGACCCCCCAGCTTGTTTATTTGAGACAATGCGGTGATGCTCCTCCGCCAGATGGCTTGCCGGAAATGGATAAGTCGCGGTGGGAGCCAGTCAGCCAGGACTTTTTGTGCACAAAATCTAAGTTGCTCCGAGGGAGAACTACCGAGAACTCGCTGAGAAGAGTGCCAGGTCTAGGGATAGGCGCGGTTGGCAGCGCGGTTGGCATCGCGGATGGAATCCTTGCTTGTGTTGTGCACGACGGGGTGTCACGACCACGGCTGGTGTCGTCTGTAGAACAGTAGAAGTCTCAACGTTAAGGGCAAATATCTCTCCTCTCGTATTCTTTCTCTACTTCATCATCATCTTCTCCTCCTCCTTCCTCTCCTTCGTCAGATTTTCAGCATGAACTCGTGATGATGGCGACTGTTTTGAGATGCATGTGAAATGCATGTGCGCACCCAATATCATCATTGCCATGCCTTCAGCAGTCTTACTCAGAGTCACGTTCTTACTTCCTCTCCAGAAGTACCGCTTATGGCGACATGTGACCTATGTGATCGATATCTGCGCATATATTCTAGAACTTCAGAACTGAACCCGGGATCGAATGCCTTCGAAGCGGTTGATATGCTCTCCTTCTCTCACTACGATTTCCTATTCAACTCTACAACTCCCTGCGTAACTCCCTTCGCAACTCCCCCCGAACTCTCTTCGCACAGTGATCACCATGCAGCACTGGCTCCGATACATCGTGATCGCATTCCTCCCGATCACCGCCCTCGCCAGCGATCTGCGAATCATGCGCGATGAGCTCTCCGAACGCGACGTGCCCGGCGTAAGTTCCCACCGTCCCAGCTTTGCCCTGAGGAACGTCACTGACTCCCAATGAACCTGTCTAGCTATACGTATGCTCGGAGGAAAACTTCAAAGGCTACTGTGGCTACATAGCCCACACCGCGAACACAGGGTGCCAGTCATTCCCAGATCCCACCCCGAGTTGGTAAGTCCTCTTGCCTACCCCATCCGCCTTGATTGGATTGACAGTACTAAATACTCCTAGGCCCAGCATCAAGTCCATCGGCCCTGATCGCGGCCAAACCTGTCGCGTGTTCCAGTAACCCTCCCTGCCAACCCTCTGATTCCCCCTCCTTTATCGAAAAATTCTGACCTGATCTCTCCCACCGCAGGAATACCGGCTGCACCGGGCTCGCCGTGCGCAATCCCTCTGGAATCTCCGAGATTCAATACCCCGGGCTGGCGTCCTTCTCCACCCCGAAACTGTCGGCGTCGGATCCGGAGTGGAAGCCGCAGACCTATATCTGTTACTGAACGGACGATGAAGAAATAGTGCTGCACGGATATGCGATGCTATTGAATGGTTGATTGATTCGCAAGTTATGGAATTATGGTGCGGAATGGGTTTAGTGGCGATGTTGTACGATTCATGGAATATCAGGCAGAGAAGGCACGATATTTATGCCGTGGGACCCAGATGAGCGGCCATGAAGGTCGATGCAAGGACCGCAGGCTACCATGGGAATCTCTCCGGCTCTCTACGATTCTCCCTGCCCGCACCAGGAGCGGATGGACCAGAAACACCAAGAGAGAAAAGCATCGGATATGGGTATGCATCGGATACGGGAATGCATAATTCCCAGGGCTGAAGGCACGCTGACTTTGCGCAGTCAGTTGCTGCATCGGAAGAAGAACAACCGCTGTATCCGCCGTCTCTTGAAGAGCATGGAAAACGGATTATAGGCATGGTCATATACTTCCATAATCGAAAGCGCTGAATAGAAATGATAGCGCCGGATCGCGCAACTGAAATATTCCAATCCACATGGTGACAGTGCACATCGCATTTATTCCCCACGCCGTTCCTTCGTTTCTAGTAGTGTAAGTTTCGAATCTCCGAAGAGTGCTTGTCAGAGGTGACGGCGAGATTCGTGATCCGGATCTGCGTCGCACTGGCCGGAAGAGTTTCGGTGACTTGGTGAACTTCATTGCATCCGAGAGCCAGTCCAATCTCAGGGATCGAACTGAGCGGTTTGAAACGGATGCATCAAGGGTACCTAAACGTAATCAAGTACGCGGATACATTGATTATGGTAGTACTTTGTTGGACGGCAGAACATGCCACCACTGTTCTGCCAATGTTATAACCGTGGTAGATGATGGTATATGCCTCTCCCCTGTCCATCCCACAAATAGAGAGGAGTTATCTTATTTACGCAGGTTGGACGTCGTGATTCGGGAAACACAAAATTGAAGGATGCGCTGGATGGCTGGGGTAGACAGCCTGGCACCAGGGTTGGATCATAAAAGGGCAAGAAGGGCATTGGGTTAAAGAAAGACATCTATGGATCGAGAGGACGATAGCGATCAGTTTTGGATAGAACGGGATTGAGGAAGAGGGGGTGGAGAGCCAGGGGTGGCAGAGACGCCCAGGAGGCATAATCACCCGGACATATCGTCAGGGATGTTACCCGTCACAACAAATATAAGGTCACATTTTATCGCGAGAACATATTCAATGAGGGAACCACTGCATTTTGAGATGGCCCTCAACGGCTGTTACGCCGTTGCCTCCGCTGGCTAAGCTAATAATTGGCTAGGCCGATTATCCACTCCCTGGATCTTGCATGAAAGCGCAATCATGCATGGATGAAATAAACGCAACGCCCCAGGGCATCTGAGCAGAACAGGACAGAGAAGAGAAGGGCCAAGCCTGGCCTAACCACGGCTCGCTCGCTTCTTGCAATTGAGGACAATGATGTTGACCTCTGCCACTGCCTCAGATCTTCCCTGTGTCCATCGCTCACCTAGCAATCTGATTTCCATCCTCGCCAATAATCAATCTCTCTCTTTCTCTTCAACAACTAATGAATAAGATGCGGAACACGCATCACGGCCTCATGGTGAAGACCGAACCCGAAAAGCAACGCAAACGCAGACTAATCAACGTACAGACCCTATCCACGCCCGTTTTCAGGCATGGCGATGACGGGTAGCGAGGAACGGCAAAGGGGAAATGATGTGCGATCGAGAGACCCGTGAATCTAAGTCTGCTGTAAGGGGAAAGGAGTAAAAGAAGTAAGAAACCCCCGAGTTGCGTTTTAGTAAAGCCGACCGTTTCCGGAAAGAAGACCGAGATAACACCGTGCAATGCAGTTCTGTTGTGTAGACGATGGAGGCGGGAAAATGAAACATGGTGGTCGTGATGGGTCGGATATGGTGGGGTGGAAACGTGGGAGAATAGACCTTGAAGTAGACACCGAACTTCATGGTCCGTGGAAGGTGTCTATGGTACATCGGTGCCTTGAGAAATGAGTGATCATCCGTTGTAGACAAGTGCAGCTCATGACTTGCGGAAGTCTAGACATGTTAGAGATGGCCGGGCCAATGCGACAGCAATCGGCCATTCTTACCTGACAACACCGGATAGATCAGTTCGAATGCCTGGTAGATCTCCTCACGGACTTTTGCGCCAGTGAGGACGATCTTCCCGCTCACAAAGATGAGCAGCACGATCTTCGGCTTCATCATGCGGTAGATGAGACCCGGGAACAACTCCGGCTCGTAGGAGCTGAAGTGGTGATGGCGCGAGGCCAACCCCTCAAGTCGAATCGGGAACTTGATGTCACACGACCCAACGATATTCTGAATCTTGAAGTCGGTGAACTTGGCGTTGAACCCAAGCTTCTGAATGATGCGAGCGTACTTGCGCGAGGCAAGCTTCGAGTCATCTTCCGATTTGGCACCCGTCACGACCATCTTGCCCGAAGCGAAGATGAGAGCCGTCGTCTTGGGTTCGCGAATACGCATGATGACGGCCGCGAAACGCTAAAAGCGAATGCCAGTTCAGTAAATGTGAAGTCCAACCAAAACACTTCGGGAGATGAGTTTACCTTTGGGTTGTACTCGGCGTTGCGGGCATGCAAGGCGATGGTTTTGAGATCCAAGCGGCAATCGAGATTGACGGTGGCGACGATGTTTCTTTCGAACACATACGCATTAACACCAGACCCAACTCTTTGCAAGAACTTGAGATCAAAAAAGGATTACTCACTGCAACGTTGGAACGATGCCGCTCACTCCCTGAGTGGCACCTGGAGTCGCTGCCGGCGTCGCGGGCATCACCCCGTTGCCTGCTGAACCTCCATTAGCGACCGGCTGGGAACCGTTCACGAAGCCGTTCGCACCGTTATTCGGTTGGGACTGTCCATCTTTCTCAGACGGAGGCGTCAGATCACCGGCTCCACCAGGGAAGGACAGTGACGCGGGAGACGTGAAGGCTTTGGCCTGTTGCGCGGTCGCCGGATGTGTCGTGAGAGAATCCATGATTATTGTCGGTCGGAAACCTTCACTTGATGAGAAGTGATGGATACTTGAGTTGAACGGACAGAGGATTCGAGCGATATCGCTGATTAGCAGTCTGAGAACCAGAGATGATGTCAGGAACAAGTTATTTTGAAGAAGTAAAGATGTGTGAAGGATTTGTTTTTATGCAGTGTGGGAAGTGGAGCTGGCGAAGAGAGAAGAGAGAGGTGTCGAGTGAAGTGTGAACAGTGTTCGAGTGAAGATTGTGTTGTGAATGTGACGGCGACGATTTTGCTTTGCAATGATCGAGGTCGTGCGATCGCTCCAGCGACACAAGGTATTTCACTTCGCCTCTTTATCTCTTATCAACGGGAAAATTCGTACCGTCACTGGGAGATGAACAACTGAATGTCTCCCCTACAGTTGCTGCTGATTTCAGTTCGTCAATTCAAAGTAGTAGCGCGGTCCTGTAACCGGCTGATTGGAGACTGTAGGTCACGACCAGGTCTTTCGATCACGAGAAAGACAACAGGCGATGTCCACTAGCCGTCGGTTGTCGATGCACTTGATGGCAGTCGATGCGACCAGGCTTGGAGGTCAAGAAGTCGATAAAGATCGATGGGATACGGAGTATTGGAGGAGGTTGGGAGAGATTCGATGTTGCGAGGTTGCGATACAGAGGCCGATAGATGCCTTGTTCTGGTTCGCGACGTCGCTCCTATGACGGATTGGGTAAAGGCCCGCAATTAAATTGCAGCAGGTACCTTTTTTCGTCTCTCAGAATCCAGCCAAAATCCTCACTTGCGCGAGATCCAGCGACCGAGAAGATGGCGATTCTCAGTCCCGAATGGATATTGGGGGATGTGGAAGCGGAGAGATCGAGAGGGCGAGAGAGAGAAGGTGGTTGGGTGGAAATGAGAGGCAGCGGTTTTCTCACCCAGGGCGCAGAATGGGAAAGGGCAATGCCCGCGCGAGCGTTGGGGGTTGCGCCTCCTTAAGTACTGAATGACTCACACCTGCCCCCCTGTCGCAGTTGTCTCGCCCTTTCGCCGGCGCTGCTGCGGATTGGTCGAATGATCGAGAACCAGCGAATGGGGGCGCTGGTTGGGGGGACCGGGGTTATTAGGGGGAATTGGGAGGCGAAAATATGTGGGAAGTACCAGTCTTTGCCGCGCGCTCAGACATTCTCTGGACCAATCATTGGCTGCAATTTCTCTCTGCTTGGCCGTTACCACACAAATTTCCACAGGGCATCGTCATCCATACCGGATGCAGACTAGTGTCTTACGTCCCTCAGCCAATTATTGCACCGGCTACTCTTCCTAGCAAGAGGCCAGGTCCTTCGGCCTTCCATGATCCATCCCAACTTCTAACTCTCAACAAAACAATGTGGCCTGAACACAAACCTCCCAGACAGTTATCGTGAGTATTTGCCACGTGATTCCAGGTCCAACCTTGCAGTCAAGGTGCGAAATCTTTGTCGCATCATGATGGAAAGATGTAAGTGTCACAAATGGATATGTGCGGGTCAAACCACCGGATACGAGCGGAATGCGACCGACCGACCGCCCAATTTGATTGATCACTCGACTGCGCATCCCTTTCAATATGACGAGATCACAAACGTTTGGTTAGGCAGCAACAAACCCGTCTATCGATGAGGCTGCGAATGGATATACGCTCCATGAACCTTTAAGCAAATCCTGCATCCTAACAGTGCAAACTGTATGGATATCCCGGCACCGATGGCAGGCAAGACGGCAGTTTGTCTAGCCAATGACCGCCGAAGAGCCAGCTCTCCAATCGCGATCGACCCAGTACTACTATCAAGTATCAACAAAATGTGGCAGGATCGTCGGCCTGTAGTCAAAACTGAAGAGCCGCCTTAGATCTATGCTGCGGCCTGCGAGGAATCCCCCCACTAGAAATCGTAGGATGAGGGCAAATTATATTGGAAAGAGCATGGCAGAAATGGAGCGACTAGGTACAGATGCGAGCGCTGCTGCCTACTGGCACCCTGCCACCCGTCATCCTACAGGTTTGCTATTTGGAACGATGGCTCACTATTGACATGATGCATCGCATTCCAGTTTCCTCCGCTATACATGCGGCGAGGGTTGAAAGAGAGAAAACTGATTGTACTCGGTGCTGTCATGTCACACGAGCAAACTGCATGGCGACCGGAGGGGCAGGTTGAGAACAGGGGGGAATTTTCTAGCGACGATCTGGATCGCTTCGGTAGAATCAATGTGTGTCGCTGCCAGACCCACCGGGACATCTTATGTCGGATAGACAATCAGATTTCACCTTTCGCACGCTGGTGTCTTGGTGGCCATCGATGACGAGAGACAACTGGGGGCGGGCGCATATCTCCAGGCATCATCCGACCCCAGAAGTCCCGCAGCCTCCTGAAGGATGGCCGCTGGTATACATTCGCCATATGACAATACTCTGGTTTGATCGTAAAAAGGCATAATCACATTAACCTGGGTATCAAAAAGTAATCCATAGCAATCCAACCCTCACCTATCACGTACGAATTCCCCCAACCTCGACCGTCTTCGAACGTTCTCCCCCGCCCTCTCGCTCTCCAAGCTCGTCCCTAACCCGGAGTCTGACTTTCCACCGAACCGCTCCGCTGGCGACAGCACCGTATGACCTTCATCTTCCTCATCGTCGGCCTCCGCGCCCGCTGGCATTTCCAACTGCGGTAGCAGTTCCTCCTCGCCTTCTTCCTTCTTAATCTTCACGCTAGTAGACTGTGATGGTCCTAGTCTTGAGAATGTGGGGAAATGCCTTTCCGTATCAGACAACCCACTCTCGTCGTCTTCTTCCACCTTAACCTCCAATCCCGTCTCCTTCTTTCCGTTCCTCCCCAACCCTCTACCCTTCATTTCCCCGCCGTCCCCCTCTCCCGCAAAGTAACTCATCAACCCAACCCACACCACCAAAAACATCCCCATCTCCACCCCCCAGAACAACCCCGTCCCCACCACAAAGCTCCCTACCCGCCACCGATACATCACCCACCTTAGCCCCTCATACCTTGCCTCCACCTTCAACCTCACCTCGTATATCTGCAGCTCCGCCCCCCCGTCGCTCTCCACCGCCACCCGCGCCGCACGGGGGACGTTCAGAACCCCTTTCGCGAATTTCACTCCCGACGCCATCGGGACGGTGATTTTCTCGGACTCGTGGCGCATACCGGTGACGAGGAAGGGCAGGCGGAGGGCCTTGTGGAGCAGTTCGAAGGCGGCGGAGCGGTAGGTGAGGATGGCTGGGCGGCGGGCGTGGACAAGTGGAGGGGTATCGGAGGGGGGATCAGGCGCGGGGGCAGTGGTCGTGGTCGTGGATCCCCTCGTGGAGAGGCGCAGATCCACCATGAAGTTCCCGGCGGCGGCGTTGGATGGCGTGCGCGGCATGTGCAGCAGCACGGAGAAGTCATACGGCTGGTTCGTGGCGAGGGGGTGGGCGAGGGTAAGGTGGGCGTGGGGAGCGTGAGGAGCGTATGGAGCGGGGTGGGCATGGCGTGTGTGGAATTGGAGATAGATCGGTTGGGTGAAGCCGCGGGAGGGGATGTAGGAGAGGTAGAAGAGGATGTAGGCGAGGACGGCGACGGAGAGGAGGAGGAGGGAGGTTAGGATGAAGATGAGGGTGGTGAGGTAGGCTTTTCGGGCGGGTTTGGAGATGAAAGGGGCGATGGGGCGGAGAAGGGTGGACTGGCGGGAAGGGAACTCCGGTTAGTTGTGTCTTTCATAATATGTGCGGTTTGGGGAGCTGTTCGGATATGAATATACCTTTATGACAGCAAACAACCTGCGGTCTTCGTCCAGATCCTCCATTGCTTCCAGCTCTTAGGTATGTTCTTATCTAAAGATAATCGTATCCATTGACGCTATGTTCAAGAAACGAAGGCACGATGTGGGAGACTGGGAGTTCCGGGTGATTCCATGATCGATATTGATGTAGGGACCATGATATGACGAAACCGCATTCCAACATCTGAGGGGATAGAACATCTGAGCGCTGGAGTATCCCTGTCCCAGTCCCTCGGAGGCTCCCTCCTTCGGAGGCTCGGAGGCTCCATCCAGTCTAATAAGGCGTTCAGGCACTCAGGCACCCAGGCACCAGCCGCTCGGGCACTCTGGAGAGTGGAGACCTTTGCAGCCTGGAACGTGCCCAGAGTGTCCCTGCCAAACTGGGAAAGTCCAACCACCGCAGGGAGGCAGCAAGGACTGAAGCCTGAACTGCATACGGAGTACTCCGTATCGTCACTTCGTCTCTCGCCTGTTTATCAGCACCCTGACGACCCTTGATTCCAATGCTTATTCAAATGCGCATTCAGATCTTGTTGATAGCAGCCATTGACTGCCGCACTTGAGAAACCTCGGCTCGTAATGGGGCTGAAATATTGACACATCCATCCGTGTTCTTCTACTGCAGTCGAGTGATATCTAATTTATCACTTTCAAAAGAGCAGAGGCACTCGGGAGGGGGAATCTATTGCGACCATCTCATAGTGTCAACATCTAAGCCAGAGATATCGGTTCGCAGGATTGATGTTGAATGATCGGGGATCTTTATTGCAGGAGACTGGGAACTTCTCCTCGGATGTGAATTCACTTCACCACCACATCCGATTGATAAACTGAGTAACCGCCGCACAACACAGCGTCTTCCTTGAATCCCTTCACCTTAACCTTCACCTTTTACCTTCTTACCTTCTTTCTTCTTATCCCCCTACTCATTGAGATTCTTCGTCCATCCATTCCATCTATCAATCCATCGCACCAGCAACCAGAGCCATGGCATGCCCATTAGTCGCACTCCCCATGGAGTTACTCCTCAATATATCATCCAACTTGATCACTACCGACCTCGGCTCATTCCGACGATCATGCAAGACGATCGAGCTCTCTCTACGCCAGGACTTTGCTCTCGAGTTCTTCACCAAGAAGCAGTTCATGCTCACCTACCCGAGCCTGAAGGCCCTGAATGACATCGCCGAACACCCCTATTTCTCCAAGATCCTCAAAAATGTGGTCATTGGACTTGACCGCTACAAGAACCGCATCTCCCGCGATATTGCCGGTTCCTCTGCCGACGAGAATGACAAGTCGTACCGATTCTACAAAGGTCGCGAGGAGCAGTTCTTCCTGATCTACTCCGGCGGTGCCCGCAACTTACTGGCGAAGGCATTCCGGAATTTGCCCGCGCTTCAAACCGTCGGCCTGCGAGATGTCAACTCCAGAGGGCGGAATCGCGATGGACATAACATGCCGTGGCACAGCTACGGTGCTCCGACCATCGTTCAAGAAACGGGTCATCAGATGGTGATGAACTCCACGTTCATGAACAGCCAAGCAGAATACCCATCCCTTGCTTTCCAAATCCTTTTCCATGCCCTGGGAGACGCAGGAGCCAAACCGGAAATCGTCGAGGTGTTTTTGCGCATGTCCATGGCTGGACTCAACGCGGACGGGTTCTCGATGCCGCCGCACCTCCGCCCTGCAATGGAGCCGGTTCTTGCAGGCTTGAAGACTGTCCTCCTCGCCGTCGATGGTGCATTCCTCAATACTCATGATTCGGACGGGCTACACATTTTCCAGCAGTCCCGGAGCGACAAATTCAAACGCTTCCTACAAGCGTGCCCCAACCTCACTCACTTGCGTCTTAATTTCCAGAACAAATCGGGGATCGACGCGTTTCTAGAATGGTTCGTCGGTTGCAGCGGTTGGGAACTGGCGAGTAAGTCTCCGTGCCAGTCTCAGCACGTCCTCCCTCCCGAGTTTCCTCATTTGAAGACCCTTGACTTCGGACTCGCCGACATCACTCCCGTCATCATCCTCCTCGCTCTCAAGCGGTACCCCACCATCACCTCCATGTCGTTCTGGAAAGTCATCCTCCGCCGCGCGAAAACCACCGACTCCACGCAACTGCACACCAACCTCGGCCGCAACCTCTGGGAATGGCTGATCCTGCAACTCAGCAAGACCAAGCTCCGCCACGTCAAAATCGGCCACGTCTCCCAACGCAAGCAGGACCGCGGGTGCGATCGCGTCTGCTTCAAGAAATCCGGTCAGCGGCCCCTGAGCGCGAAGGAGTTGCTTTATGAGGTCGAACACCGGGGGTCCGATATGGAGAAATACCTGGCCACGCTGGCGGGGGACGTCGTGAGGCTGACTAAGGGGTTCCGGGAGGCCATGGTGAAGGATCATGCGGCTTATGTGGCCGCGGCGAATGGAGAGCCCCTGCCTGATGATGGGGATGCGGTCAATGTTGAAGATAACTCGGACGATGTCGACGATGAGGTCGATGATTTGGAGGACAGCGATGATGAGGATGGATATGGGCTTCTCGACGACGACTCGGAGGAGGAGATTTCGGACTTGGAGGATGAATAAGCTTTGAAACGGCACAATAGATGGATGTCATCGGATGGAAGTGCAACGATGGAGTTATCAAGGTTGGGGTCAGGTTGATAGACGGGGATTGATGCGGGATACCCACCCAGTCTGTCGAATGGAATGAACATGTTCATAGAAATCATGAGCTGGATGTACCTAGCTATTGAGCATTATGTAGCTTAAATAAGAAACATTGACGAAAGGCCGAGCGCCATGTTTGGTATGTGAGAAGCGTGGCATACCGTTTTCTCTTCCATCTAAGCGCTGAATATGACATATCCTCTTCTTCCCATTTCTTCTGCTCCCTACCTATATAAACGGTACCTTAAGTGAGATGAATTGCTCACTTGCCTCTCTGATTGACACCCACACCGGCCTTCTGCCTTCAAGCTCGTTTCAAGGAGTCGTCTGAATAGTCTTTCAATCGCACTAGTACGTCCTTCGCAACAAGTTTACAGCACATCTTCTCTCGTCGTAATCTCACTCGGGCGATGGCAATGTAGTGCTACTTAGTCAACTTCATGGAGTATAGCATCACAAGCATTGAATCTCACGCTGGGATCCTTCAAGTTTACCTCATCACAAGGTATGTCTAAATCCTCGCTCCGCATCTACTCTTGCCTATCATCATATGCAGCCCACCTCTGTACTATTCTCATCCTCTCCGTCTATGTTTACGGGCGAATGACAAGTGATATGATGTAATCCTAGTAGTATATAACGATTAATTAGAGAACCCCTAATTAGAACGGTCGGCCGAGTGGTGGGACTATATGAAGTCCTGAGGCCAGTGGATTCGCCTGTGCATTGATCAACAAACAATTCTACAGTACCAGGTCCGATCCCTGGACCTGTTCTCTTCTTTCTGTGTTTTTGGTTCTTATTTATTTTTTTCCTTCTGCTTTCATCACTTCGCATCTGAAACATATCTCCCACTCGTATGCTCCCTCACTGAAAACTTCTACCTAGTGAGACTTTCACCTTTCATGACGGTTCGCAACAACCTAAGCTAACTGACCAAATCTGACAGCCGAATCAGTGGCCGTATCATATCTTCGTGTGAATCGCCTGGCACCCTGCATCTTATTGAGTCCTCTCCCCAGCCTTACATTACTCAGACCGATCTCATCGTGAGATGGTTGGAAGCAGCTACTTAAAGCAACCCTTACATCTCATATTCTCCATGAATTAACACTGAACTCGATCGTTGCCACCTCATTCCCGATTCCATTGCCTTCTAACTCGTCCCATCGCACTAAATCCACTGATCTCGACCCCTTCCCCAATCACAATCATGCGTATCGAAGAACCTACCCCGTCATCCCGCATCGCCATGTCGAATGAGGACGATGAAGGCAACTATACTGGACCAGAGGTTACCTTTAGGGATAAATTTCTTCGCCTTATCAGATATGAGCCATCTCAATCTTTGGATACTTCCATTTCACTTTAGCCCCGCATATTACTTGCATGATGACCTCCAGATTACTGCGTTGACTTCGAACCTTCGTCCGTCGGGCCTGATAAAACGGCTACTCAACCAGGGAAATCCCTAGCAAATATAGACAAGCCTCGCCATGGTTCCCGACCCTGAGTGATCTTCCGGCTTTATTACCGGTCGGAGGGTGAGTTTGGACGTGCTTCACCAGGTGTTCACTTAAGCGACCACTGATGAATGCTCTGAGATAACTATTGAAGGCTAATGTGGGAGCAGAAGACATCATGAGCACCCAACCAAGGAATACAACAAAAATGGTCTTCGATGATCACAATGTTATCTATCTTCCTTCTACTGAGGGTAGTAATACCAACACTGAAAGCACTGATCGTAACGCCCTGTTCGTCCGAAACACCGACGATGATGATAGCGCAGAGAGGCCGGGAGGCGCCTTATCCGAAGAACCCATTACGTGTTCGGTTTTCAGAATGCTCCTTGGAAAACCCACCGACTTGCCCACTACGACGCAAAGTGGGGTGAACGGCGGGATCCTCGACGAAGACTGCCTCATCGAGTTACTTGACGAAGTCAATGCCGGACGGCTTGCCAACGGGAAGAACCCGGTAGAGTATCTAAGCGTGACAAAGCAGATGACGGGACAACCTGGGCCCAAGAAGAGAATCAGCCTACTTGGCACCCTGGAGCCTACAACGCATGGCACACCAGCGACACCTAGCTATCTACCAACACCGAAATCTGCTACGGCTCCTGCGAAGCCCAAAACCTCTCATCCGCCCAAGAATGCAACGGAAAAGTCTAAGCCAGGTCCGAAGCCTGACAAAAAGAAGCTCAACCCCATCAAGGGCTCTGGCCATAAAACCGCGAAGTGAAAAACAACACTTCCACCGACGCCGCCTCCGGCTGGGCAGCGAACGAGGGCAGGACGAGGGGGAAGAGATACAGGAGCTAGAAAAGTAACTGGATGAAAGGCGGGAGAAACTAGCAAGGTTGGAGAATGGATGGAGGAAGAAATTGGTAAGTTACATATCAAGATAGAGGTGACCAAATGGAATTCGGCTAGCAAAGTGACGTAGCGGCACAAGGAGGAGGGATTTATGTGGCAAATTCAGGAGGCCGATGAGGATATCGTGAGCTACGAGGCGGGCGACTGATGGAACTGAACTGAGGAAGTTTGATGGGATGGAGACGTGCTTCGTGGGTTGTAAATCAACGAATCGAGGCGCACAGTTGAACTGGACATATTTAATGGTATCTGGTTGGAAGCAGGTATTACTTAGGATCGCAGTTTGCTTCATGGACCATCTGACAAGCTGTTATATATGGAGATAGCAAGGCCATCGCAGCAGACCGAGTATCTAACTTAGCTCACATAATCAAATTTGATCAGGTCTTTTGAATTATTTTTCTCTCATTACATATTATACAAGGTCTAGTCGAATTGCTCCATGCCATGGATGATCGGTTCATTAGGTATCTCCTTACATCTCCGTTTCACTCCTGACCGGTTCTAACAAGTTTTTCTTTTCTTTCTATCATTCGTCCTCATCATCTCATTCCTCAACCAGCTTGGTAGAGCCCCAGAGCACGCACATGCGGGTTGATGAAAGAGAGGTTAAACGCCGTCAAGTACGGATCGTTGTCCGTTATCGCTATGAACATGGTCCCATTCACCTGCGGGTCGCCAACGAACACCTCGCCCGCTGGTTGGTACGTGGTTCCTTGCTTGTCGCCCGTTACCTCCAGTGGCGTGTACGTGAGGTTCAACTGGGAAACCCATGCCACGAACTTCGGCTCACCCGCGGTGGTGGATGTGACGTAGCTATTGTTCGGGCCAACCGGTTGGTCCGGGTCCTCCCAGGTGAGGAAGATTTGCTTCCCGGGGAAGGAGAGTGGCTCTGAACGATTTCGAGTGATAGCAGGGCCGCAACCGTATCCGGTGACGTTGAGGTTGATGCAGGATTCGTTCTTTGGGATGGTGGAGATGGAGGGGTCCGAAGTCCGGTTTCCGACAACTTCAGAGCCGTCCGGCTTGGTGTCGTTGGGTGAGAAGCGGTTGATGTTCGGTTGGTTCATGACCCTCAAGGGAGGGAAATTCTGCCATGCGAGGCGCGTGCAGTTCTCCGGACACGAGGAAATATATGGTGCGATGAAGGTCCACGCCCACGATTGGGGGATGCCGGTCTCGTGCCACACTGGCGCCGGATGCAGGCCGGACATCTGGCGGAATGACATCTGTTGACGGGATTCCACAGAAATGGATTGTGAAAGCAGTTGGGCGGCTTCGCGGCTGTCCAGATGGTTGATGAACCCCCAGACGCCAGCCTCAGCGAACTGGGTGAGCTTCTGGCTGAAATCGACGAATTCACGGACTGTGGTGAAGGGATAATTGTAGGTGCATTGCTTAGGAGCAGCGTCGCCGAGCATGTTAGCCACCACAGTCGCATGTCCGATTTCTTGATCCGACATGTATGCAATAAGAGCGCGGTCTTCGGCAGTCAGACCTGCTTCAAGGAAGTCTTCTTCGCTGAAAACGGCGAGGCCGTTGTTGAAGAGATCGAGCTCAATCCACTCAACATACTCGGTGAGGGCGAGGGATTCAAAATCGAAGTCGCTGTTGACCATGTAACGCGGTTCAGTGCCATTGGTGCCAAGTCCGCCTGGTTGCCTTAGTATATTTCAGTCTTAATAAGGATATGGCACTTACCGGCCGGCATATATGGTAGAGGAGCTGGTTGCTGTAGCAGTCCATCTGAATTGTAATATGTAGCAGTAGGATCCGGCGGCTTGGGTTCCACGGACGTCGCCAACGTTGTAGGAGCCATGACGGCACCCGTGGTAGTCGGCGTGCCCTCAAACGGACCATGGCTAGTTGGCCCGGTAAATTCGCTCTGCACAGGAGGAGGTGCTGCTCCGGACTCGGTTCCTCCAGGAGGTTCCGTTGAAACGGCGGGGACCTCTGAGTCCGGGAAGAACGATGTTGCAAGTTCTCCCTCCGGATAGGATTGTTGAATTGGGAAATCTGCATCGCTATATCCTGGGACTTGAGGTGCAGGAATAGCCAGCCCAAAGGCGGCCAGCGAGGCGACGAGCAACGCGTTCATCGAGACCATTATGCAGTATCGATACTGTCGCAAATTGGAGGAGAAAGCCTATCGCGGTTCTACAAGCTACCTTATAACCAGATATATTCTACAGATACAGGTTTACTGTACATCACGGATAACGACGGGATTGGGCGTGCAACCATACCGTCATCGAGGAGAGCCGGGCGGCGGGGACGCGCTTGGTTAGTTCAGGAACCCAACGTCGTTAGGACAATTTACCAGAGCCGAGTAAAGGGTGACGCAGAACTGACAGTAACGATACGAAGACACAGCAGAACGAATGAATTGGACAAGACAAGATGACGACTCTGCAATGAAAAGCTCACAAACGGACACCAGATGGCGTACCGTATGAGGAAAGCTGCCAGGATGGCAGTTTCGGTCCCAGACAAGAAAACAGCGATGCCATACGCGATATCTCAAGAGTGCAATAACTAGCTGCAATTAATGCTGATTTACGGTATGAGATTCTCGTGTGTAAAACGCTGATTAGTTCATTAAAAATGCCATGATGGTAAGATGGCGAAATGTTGGTGAAGAATGTTCGGAGACGAGGTCGATGACGAGGGAATGGAGTCAGGGGATTACGGCACACGCTCCGAGCCTCCCGGCCCCTACCGAACTATGTTGATACCAAGTACTGCGCCACAGATATCCTCCACGATGGGCATCGAACTCAACAATTGAAGCGCTTGATATCTATAGTTATTCAGTGCTGGGAAAGCCCAAAATCACGCCAACACGGCTTTTGGCCGTTCCTAGGGCAACAGGTTGCTACGTTGCTCGATTGCTCTTCATATTGCTTTATCCCTTCGCCCGCCTCATCGGACCCCAATTCTTCTCCGGGTTGACCTGATATCGTACATATTTCTTCACATCCATATCCTTCCCCAACTTCTCATCGAAGACGATCTTAACTTCCTTCTGCTCTTCCTCCTCGGCCCCATTTGCTGCCATATTTTTGCCCCTCCTGCCATCTCCTTGCTGTTGCTCCTCGTCGCTCAGCGGATGAATCAACCCGGCCTTGAACAAGATCCTCCATCCGGGAGAGCCCTCACTGACCGCGCCTTCTTTGATAGGTGCTTTTTGCTTGATCCATTCGGTCATGATTCGCCAGATTACCGACCAAGGTGCGTCGGTTTTGATGGCCCCTGGTCGTGCATGTGTCCGTGCAGCGCGGTATCCAGCATGTCGGAGTGCACCTTTGACCATGGCATCAGATGGCGATACGCAGTGTAGCACCTTAGCCAGAGCCGTACTCGCAATGTAAAATGGATGTCTATCGACCTCAGCAGGCTCGGACTTCTGGATAATAGGGCTCGGGTCGCCGGCCGTTGGGGGATCATTCATAGGCTTGCCGTTCGCAGTGGTAACCTTTTCGGGCCCGTTGGGATCTGGAAGGTCGGATATCCTTTCATCAAGGACATTCTGTAGCATGCCCTCGATGCGCGGTACCGTCCCGTAAGTTTCGGTATCGAGCTTTGGCAGGATGTCCAACATTTTCTGCACAAAGGAGTAGTTATGTATCGGCCCTGCATACATCGGCCCGGATAGCTACTTTGCGTCAGCGCAGATATCAGCAAGTTGGTCGTCGTCACTTACATGGGTCTTGAAACCACAATGATCACAATGCGGCTCAGCGGTCGGCGCTTGAGCAATCGAATGGCGATAATAGGGCGTCCCATTCTTGCTCCGACTATCCACGTTCCGCCCCATCAACTGCGTCGTCCACGCCCCACAGCCAGAATCACATGAGTACACTAGCATCGTCTTCCCCGCCAAAAACTTCACCTCCATCGGCGATTTATGCACGCGGACAAACACCCTCGCATAGAAATCGATCGAGAGCGATAGTAGCGGCTCGATGGCAATCCCATACTTAGCCCCGGCACTGGCGATCGCGTGGAGAATCAAGCGTAGTCCAGCTTCGTGGCCATGGAGTCCCTTGACGGGCATCCCTCCGTACAATGCGAAGGTCTTCTCGGGATACACCGCGGAGGCGAATACCCCAGCATCCGTGCACGTCACGCACATCAACCCGCCATCCTTCATGGCCTGTATGGCACCATCTAGGAATGGCGCAGCCGTCCCGTACGGATCGAGATCGATCACGTCGTAGCGATTCGGCTTATCGATACCGACTTGCGAGTACATGAGCGCCATCGCGTTTCCGGTGACCGGGATGATTTTCTTTGTGGTCTTGTTGTGCGTAGAATTGAGACCTATCATCTCGGTGGCGGCGGAAGACAGGTCGTTAGCGGTGACGGAGGTTACGAAGGGGAGTTCCATGGAGTAGCGAAGGGCGCGAAGACCGGTTGCGGAGAGGGCATCGAGGATACGGAAGGGAGGGTAGTGTGGCGAAGCTGGTTGGGCGGCGTCCCCGTACGGCTCGTCTGCAGCGCGCTCAATGGTATCCGATTTGATTTGACCATTTTCTTGCGCGCCTTGATCGTTAATCGCTCTGGAAACTGCAGCATCAGAACTCTGTACATCCCCTCCTTCCTCAGCCTGCTGTTCAGCCCCAGCCACCATTTCCTCTCCCTCTGCTCCCGTCAACCTCACTCCTCCATCTTCGGTCCTTCTCTTCTTCCTTTTCGTCTTCTGCCCGTTCTCCGTTTCCATCTTCCTTTTGCTAGGTCGAGTTGCTAGTCGGTCCTCGCCAAATGCCCGGATCCCAATCACGGTCAAATCGCGGTTAAACTGCTGAATCGGGTTGTAGAACACGGTTTTCTTCTCGGTGTCCGCATTGCCCTTTCGCTTCCCCTGCTTCTTACTGCCAGTTCCACCTTTGCTGTCTTCAGCTTCTGGTGTTTTTTGAGGCACTAGGATATGCGCTAGCCCTTCTTTGATTGTCGTGTATAAAGTGTCGTTATGCAAGATAGCTTGGCCGGCGGATGGAGTCGCGTCGAGAGAGACAGCAGTCGAGGGAATCTCGCTGGATGTGGTTGCGTCCATGGTTCGTTTTGCGAGGGCTTGATCACAGTCAAAATTTGAAGTGCTGTGTATCAATGCTATACGGTTAATGTTCAATTGAGGGGCGAAAGTTCGGGTGCCAAATGCACTTATAATCCTTTTCCGTGGTTGAGTTGGATTTGGAAACCGACAGCAGTTATGTGCCCAAAGAGCGGCCCGCCGCTGTGCAGAAGTATACCAGAGCGCCAGCCTGAAAGTAGCTGATACCCAAGAATTAACACAGCTTGGTACAAAGTGAAGGATTGACAGATTGAAAGTCAAGGCGCAAGTGACTCGATAGAAATCTTTGACGTCGAATGAAGCCAGACAATTTTTGTGGGGCCGATCGCGAACTTCCTTCACCATGAGATTGTGTCGACATGAAGACTAATATCCACTGTTGCTACGAGAGTTATGACATTATCAATTCTTATTAAATGCACACATTTCGTGGTCATCGGATATATATTATGACTTTGAATTCAATTTTTCTTGATATTCTACAAGAGATTGAAGAGTCCCAAGTTTGCCCTTCAAAAGAGTCCTACCCATAGATCCATCTCAAGGACCGTCTGGAATCCCCATTTCGTTGTCCTGATTCATGTTGACTGGGAAAACTCCGAAGTCTGGATAAGACCTTTTTGAAGCAAAGCTGGAATCGCTGTCTGATGAGTCCACTCCGTGCATTTGACAAGCGGAGGAGCTATTTCGTCTGGTCCGTAGAACGCGCCATCTGAACCGCACCGCTCGTACTTCATGGTTTGTATATTGAAGCGTCTTTGGCGTGGCGGCGTAGGGAGGGACCTGAGAAGCGCATCGAATGCTTCTGGATAGCTAGACGAGGTAACCCAGCCCAGGTAATGTACGGCGTGAAAGGTCTCCAATAGGTCTGGCTTGGATTCCATTTCTCGCAAGTAAGTCATGCCGGTTTCAGACACGACGTCGCCGTTGACATGGTGTTTATAACCAGACCCATCCGAGCCAGTCTCGACGAAGATGACGTTGTGATATCTCGTTTCTTTGAACTCGGGGTCTTGCAGGGCAAGCTTGTACTCGACTCGATACAATTTGTACGCTGAGGCCATTATCTTCGACATGCCGTGCAAATTTTGGGGCGGCTGGAGTATAGATTTGACGCCAGGATTCAAATAATACCAAAAGACTCCAATGATGAGTCCCGTCTGTTAGATTCCCTAAGGAGACTAGATGTCGAGTTTCACAAGTGCGTTGGAACCAAAAGTTGCGGCACAGCACATATGACCAGGAAAGCCAATACTACTCAACATTCTCAGTCTGATCTTTCATTTAACGTTTCAAGTCTGAGTTGATCATACATGAGCGGTTTTCAGAACCGCAATCGTGTCCTTGATATCGGGAGTCAATACTACTAATACTCCTGACGCGACTCGGTGTCCCTCATTTTCAATGACTTAGCGCCTGCCCTCCAGTGTTGGGAGCGCTGGTTTTGTATACCTAATACCTTGAGATTTTGATATTTTATGCATAGTCGCTTTTGAATTTTGAGTCTAGGTGTTTTGCTATATTTCATTCGGAATAGCGGGCTGCATGGCTTTGACCGGCGGTGCTTGAATATCTTGCAAAGGTTATCCTAATTACTTAATTCTCATCATGTACTCACTCAAATGTTTTTGCCGGATCCCGCTCTGCAGTATAAAGATTGCTTGCCCCCCAGCTCCTGTTATATATCCTCCGCATGCATTTCATATTGGACTTCGTCCAGGCATTTCAACAACAAGCACGCGCAGTTACTATGGGCATGGAGTAAGAACTTCCCCTGAACTATTCGAACCCACTGCTTAGAACATACTCATAGAACCTCACTGGGCCCAGTCGAGTATGTTGTTGCGGGAAATAATCCAGGGGAGTGGCTCGAGGTGAAACGAGCCGTGCTATTACAATCGCCGGTCTTAAAGGGATGGATCGAGGACCCCACCACCTGTCCCTTCAGGAAAGACGGGGCGATTCATCTGGACGCCTGTGAACCCGAGGTGGTGAAGGAGGTGTTTTTCCAGATGGAGAACGGTTACTTCGAGCGGCAACATGGTGCGTTGACCTACGCCAGAATTTACAAGCTTGCTCTGGCACTTGGGTATGTCGGTCGAAAGTGCTGTCGTGAAATTGCATTAACAAAATTCTTAAATCAGCCTTAGCATCCTAGGCCACGTGGCCCTGTTTGCTTTGAAAAGATGCAGTTTCAGCGCGGAAACGTTTCTGGATATTGCCATCAAAGCAGCCTCTGATGGGCTCCAAGACGACCGCGACTTTCGAGATTGGATCACAGAGACTTTTATCGATCACCGTGGGGAGATCAAGAGGTCCCATGCCTTCTCCATGGTCATTACGCAAGGAAGTCAGAATACACGCCTCTTGTACGAACTATTAATGACTTGTCTTGTGTCCGCGGAGAGGGATAGAGACATCAATAGGCACGGAGAGAAAGGTCGGCTGTCCTTATGAGAGGCTTGAGCTGGATATGAGTGGACTGCGTCTCGCAGCTCTCTATTGTTGGATTACTTTCGGATAGTAGTGTCATGCGAGTACTGGAGGATCATTGCATGCCCGTTACAATCCTCTCTACTCGGTTATCTTTTAATAGTACATAACTAGCTATGACTATTTGCGTTCATAATTCATTAATCTCGTTTCTCCTATAGGGCCATTTAACACAACCATTAAGACACGACATCAGATTTCAGGCGTACTTGACCGTTCGTTAAAGACTAGAAGTTAGACGAAGGAAATGAGCGAGCACCGTGATTCGAATATTACCCCTGACGAAGCCAGATCGATCTCAATCCCCTACTCAATCCTCAGCGTCTGCCACGACTTGCTCAGCTTCCAATCCTCAAGCTCCACACTGATCGGCCCCGTGATCGTCCTCCCCCCTCCACTTCCCATCACTGAAATCGCCCATTAGTCCCTATCATCACCCCGTTGAACACCGGCAGGCTCTTAATCTCCACCGTCCCGATCCGCTCATATACCCGATCCGCCTTCCGATCCAGCAGCAGCACGTCCGCCTTACGTCGCTTCCGGTGGCATCGGAGAAGCACGCCGGTGAACGATTCCGTCACGAGCCGCCGCGCGAGCGCCACCGAGTCGTCGCTCAGCTCAATCTTCTTGTACTCGATGCAGTCCTCCAGCACCATGTTGCCGACGTGCGCGACGCCGACGTGGTTGTAGGCGTAGTACCCCGCGTGCTGCACGATGTCACCACGCTCCATGCGCCGGATGCGGAGCTGGACGGTCCACGCCTGGAGAACCAGGATGCGCGGGAGCGACGTAAGCGGGCGGTCGCGGTCGACGAGGCGCAGGTGGATGGCGTCCCAGTCGAGGAACTTATCATCGGGGGTCCAGGCTCCGAGGATGGTGGGCGTGTCGGGATGGGTGAGATCGCAGGTGCTGCCTTGGTAGCTGTGCGTCAGCCCGTCGGAGGGGAGACCGCACTCCCAGCCGACCCACGACCAGCTTGAGAAGTTGGGCCGACGGCGGGATTTGCCTCGGTCGCTCCAGGTTAGGGCGGTCAGGAAGCAATGGATGGGCTGCCACGGGCCGAAGCGGATGTAGGAATCCTCCTTCATCAGAATCGGAATCCCCCAGAAATGCCGAAGCGTTGTCTCTGGTGTCTGTAGGTAGGCGAGCACACCCAGGAATCCGTTGAGCGAGTCGTTGTCATAGGACAGCTTGCGGCGCGAGTACTCGGAGATGTACTTCCAGACATCGAAGAGTACGAGGTTAGCGGTCGAGAGCTGGAAGATCTCTAGATTGGCGTCCATATAGTACATCTGTAGCGAGGGGTCGTGTCAGTCCGCGAGGGTTGGCGGATGCGCTTCGGTGCATTGCATACTGCGGCACTCCCAGTAGACCTGCTCTTCGGTGAAGAAGATTCGGCGTGTTGAGAGCATCGCTTCTTGGTATGCCCAGCCTCGGCTGTCCCATGTCGATTTCCAAATCTTAACCTTTGGGTGCTGCAACGTGGAGAAGAGCGTATGCCGTCCAAGGGCTGCCGTTGGCTGCTCATCTCGCTGGCGTGACTCAGCCCCTGGGAGTCCGAAGTCTGCACCATCGCCAGATGCTCCAAGGAGCGTGGCTTGTGCCTGTTTGTATATGATATCCATCTGGCTGATCTGCGAGTGCTTGGTCTGAGAATCCGTGGGTATGCAGTGCCGGTCCACCCAGAGATATCGATACCCTAGCCTCTTCGTCACATCAATAGCGTCGCGGACGGTCTGGGGTAGACGATTTCGGATCAGCGTTCCATTCTTAACCGCATCGACAGAGGCATTCGGACCCCAGACGTAGCTCAAAGCTATGTACTCCATGTTACGTGTCGCTGTGATGATTCTGTTATCCGAATTGCAATCAATCAGCTGGAATCCCTGCACAGGGTCGCCGGCCGAAATAGAGCAGAGCTGGGTGTGGTGTTTTCGGCAGAAGTTCAACCACATGGATATCTGATCGAAGTCCGCGGTCTGCCGATCTATCAACTTCCCTCTACTTGGCAAAGGAGCGCTGCCAATTGGCTTCTTCCACGAGATATAACCGGTTTTCCTCAGCCCAGGGCCCAGATCCCCCGTGTGGCAACGATCTTTGTCTTCGTCGGTCGTGACCGCGAGTAAAGGCATATCCAGTTCTCTGATGAAGCGGGAATCTACTTTCTTAAATTCCCGATCACAGAGTCGCCGCGTTAGCAATCGCAGGACATAGTAGCCTGGTCCACTTGTGTTTCGCACGGCGGCATATCGGAAGACATTGCAGAGCGGACAGGTCTTACATCAGGTCTTGTAGTCCCCAAGGTTACTGACCAGTACGCCGGAGTGTTCCTTGGGCTTATAGACGTTGGATTCGACGGCGTCCAAGAACGATTCTAGCCGCAGGCCATTACAGAGGCGGCAGAGATTTATGTCCCATCCCCGCGTGCCTTTTGGCCGGGTTGTCCGGGGACGGATCTTGGATGCCCTTTCGGTCGGGTCGCAATTTCACTTCTCGGGCGAATGGAATCGCTAGGGGAGGTGGAGCTCGTTGAACTGACATTGCATTTATGTAGTGATTACCGCATGGCAGATTGAGAGAAGAGGCATTTATGAGCCAGATCCTCTGTACACAGCCCCCGAAAGGCGCATAGCTAAACCAACATTGTGGCTGCAGGCGAAACCGCCCACCAAGCCAGCATGTCTAGCATCCATTTTGGTCACGGGTATATGGAGACTCCAAGCAATCCGGTACAAATGCAGCGAGACTCGAGAAAATAAAAGATAAAGTGAAGGTTATACCATACCTACGTCCTCGCCTATTCGCCGTTTAGCAGGCATGGGTGCTCACCAGCTCAACATAGAAGTCATCTTAATTCTTGCCGCAAGAAAATGTCCGGTTCGGATTGCTTGAGAAGCTCGGAGATGCGTATGAACCGCTGGGCGACATAACCCCATTGGGTCGTCACAGTCTTTAATGATTTGCTCGGCCATGGTGGTCGAAAACGTGTAAATGTGAGGTGGGTGAAGAGGAGATATAGAGAGAGAGAGAGAGAGAGAGAGAGAGAGAGAGAGAGAGAGAGAGAGAGAGAGAGAGAGAGACATACGCCCGTCAGGCCTCTGAAGAGGAGATATTAAGAGGAGAGTATACCGACGTCTGTTACGAAGTATTCCCTCTTCACGTGATACGGCCACGTGGAAATCCTGGTAAGCGCGATTCAGTGAATTATGGATCTTGAAATAGATCCTGAGGTTTTTGATTCTAAATTAATCAATATACGGACATTCTATGCAGATGGAGTTGACTTGACCCCCTAGTGAGAAGACTAACAATTCCTCGAGGCTGCTATGTATATGTTGTCTCATGACGACAATATCAAGACACTGGGAATTCCAATCCCAAAGGGCAAGTATTACCTTGATACAAGAGTGGTCACGGATCTTCCGTACATCCGGTTGGATTCAACGATCATCTCCACGTTCGCCAGTTGAGGTCCCACGTTGGAAAGGGCGGATTATTGTTGACGTCAAAGATCGACTTGTTCCCCTCGTTCGGAAGGTCGAGCGCGAAGGCGAATTTGATCTCCGACGCCGCGTGTTCTTGACCTTGATTCCAGCTCTCCAACATCCATTGATTATCAAACACAATAGTTACAAAATCTTAGCTAATCGCCGTCCTATCACCATCTCAACATCTGAAGGTTCAAGGTACACATGAATGCCAAGGGAGCATCCATCCAACCGCATCACCACTTCGTAATCTCACCATCCGAAGGAGCCTGGTGGAGGCTACTATGCTACAACAGCGGGGCCACCACCTGCGCAAGCGGCCACACCAACGCGTTCCTAACGCACCCCGAACCCAATTTTCCTCGAACCAAACGGCTTCCACGCCGGCTTGCAAACGGCGTTGTGATTTTCAATCGTTGGAACGTCCAGCGGCGAGCGCAGGAATAAGCCAATTACTGGAGACGTCAGTGTGAAAACCCGCGTGGTGGTTCCACCACAGTTAAAGGCACCTGCATATCTGATGCATGCTGGATTCTTGCAGGCAACAGCCACCAGGAGACAATTATTCGGTTCAGACTGCAGAGTGCAGGCAACAGAGACATTTGGAGTCTAGACCAAACCCTGAACAATGAACATAAGGAATTGGGGGTGAACGGGGAGCGTATCGGCAGGAAAAAGCTCCCCAGCTCCGGGCCCCCCTTGTCCGAAGATGCGGTGACGATATGCACAGTTTCGCCAGGCACGCGACAAGGCGGCTAGCATGATGATTGATGATCCATCCTCTGACCTCTCATCCCGACCAATTCCGTGTCGGGCTGGATGTGTTGCCGCGGGATCTCTATGGGATCACAATTTACAAAGAGGGATCGACCAATGATCTCGACGACGGTACTAAGCCGGGGAAGGGAGATACGAAGGATCCTCACTTTCTTATTTCTAGACGACCTCGAGCGTTTGATCATTGATGCAAACGGGTTTGGCGAGTTGCATGACGATAGGAGACCTGTGGGAGGTCTCAGGTCAAAGAGGCGAGAGACCGAGAGGTGAAGGGAGGAGAGTAAAAAAAAGGCATCCGTCAGACCGGTCAGCCTGGACTCTGGGCCCTCAATCGCAAAAATGGAAATGTGGAGCGAGGCCGATCGGGATTTTCGGGATGGGCTGCCATTTGACCAGGGAATCAGCGAACTAATTAACGGTGATTCCTTGCCCAAGTCGACGGATTGAATTGAAATTGATCTGACTTGTTGAGCCGCGTGTAGCTACAGGATGTTTCATCGCATGGTACGGAGGATTACCGTGGTTTGGTCGCTGGGAGACCACAAACAATCTATCTGGATAGGTTTCTGCTGCTCGTATCTAGGATGGGCTGCATGAGATAGATGTATTCCAAAGCATCACCATTCACCCGATGTTGACGAGGTGATGTTGTTGAGGCTTTAGGCTCCCCTGACTCGTCGATTTTCACCGAGCATCGCGGTTGGTATCGCACTACGTAGTAAGCCACACCAACCGGCAACAAACCACGCGAGAGGATATTATTATCCCGGGCATTCAGGCTTCCAATGGAAGGGGGAAACCGGAAAATGCAGCATTTTTTTGGAGCGGCACCAGGATGCACGATGCACGATGAAGGGAATCCTTGCATGACTGACGTTTGTGAATGGCCCATCATTCATCAATCTATCCCTCTAAACCATCACTCCATCAACCCTCCATCATCGGTTCATGTGTCCCTCGTTTCAGCCTTCTGCCTTCAGCTCCTGCTCCGTATTTCCCTCTTCCCTCAAGAACCGAGAATCAACAATCAAGGACCATTGTCGGAACAAACGAAGAATTCCTTGACAAAACTCCCCCAAACTTCCTATCATCACCGTTTGATCTCGTCCATCAGATTATTGCCGCTTGCCGGTGACACCAAGCATTCAAGCATCGGAAAAGTGGATATCGTCGACGAGGCAACAGCAGAGAAAAGAGGGAACCGAAAAGAGGAACCAGAACAGGAGGGCCCAGTCTCTTGTGTCCTTCAACTCCTGGCCATTCGGGAATCGGAGCTCAAGAGGCGAACAAAGTCGACAAGTTTGCCTTCGTTGCTCTTCATCATTCCTCATCTGGTATCCACGACTTGGTGTCTTCCGGTACGTTGCGGGATTGTTCCACGGTTCGGCAGCAGTCTTGTCGACACCTTGCATCACCATTCACATTCATCAAACGCCACCATTGCCCAATTCCCATTCTCTCATTCCTGTGTATCCAAGGAGCCACGGGGATTTGTGCCTTGCTTAAGCCTCAACTACCTATTATTATCAGTAATTCCCTTTCGGCAGCGGTACCATTCACGGAATTTACCAAGCCGTTTACTGTCTACTACGTACGTAGTAAGCTGTAACAAGCTGTCGCAGCAAGGAATAAATTCCAGGATCTAGCATTCCCATTCCATCCAATCCGCAGGCTCCCAACCATTTTAGTTTTCTCGGCCTTTTACTTCTGCCCTGTCGAAATCATCATAGCGGCATCCCCAAATCCACCGCCGCTTGACCGCTTCAAGTTCGTGGGCAAACTTTCCCGTCTTTCCTCTTTTCGCTGTTGGTGCCGTCGTGCGCTCGTGCCGTGGTTCGCCCCGTCAACTTTTCTGGTCGATTTCACCTCCGTCGAACGACCCGATTTTTGGCATTTCTCCTGGAGGCGGCGAATACTTGCGATCACCATCTCAAAACACCACTCCCAAGACCCCAAACCCAAAGCATTATTCCAAGATGCCATACAATACTCGCCGCAAGTCGTTGTCGCTGCCCTCGATGGGAATCCAGATCCCGACATCCAGAGCGCATCGTTCACCGCCGTCCACCATCTCATCCAGCTCCAGCACCACCTCGACCGCCACTCACCACCGTCACCACAACAACACAACAAACACCGCGACCGCACCCGAGCAAACATCACCACCCGCAAAACGACTCAAACGATCGCATATCTCCAGCTCGACATCTCCGCCTCCACCCACATTCCAGCGGCGACCGTCGGTAAAATTCCACGATGAGCGACCATCGGCGCATCGTCCGTCGCAACAGACGCCTCCGCCATCACCCGGGGCGAGCGACGGACTGAAGGTCGATACCGATGGCATCAACGACGACGTGGTCGTCGGCGTGATCGAGCAACTGGAGAAGACGGGCAATCGGCCGCACATGCTGAAGGAGCTTGCTGCCATTCTGCACGGGGTCGTCCCAGTGGTCCAAACGTACGTCAAACTCCCAATCCACCCCTTCAGAGTTCCATTACCCCTATCCGCCGTTCATAAGCTGATCTCTCCCAATCCAGTTCCGCCAATCCCACAGCCGTCATCTCATCCCGTCTCACCACCTACCTCCGCCGCCCCTGGACCACCCTCTCCCCCTGCCCCCTCTCCAAAGAGCTCGTCGACGTCCACCCGCGCAAAGTCTACTTCTTCCTCACCAACCAACCCCGGCAACCCATCCCCACCCTCCCGCCGGCTCTCCTCTCCACCAACCGCATCATCTCCCCCTCCCTCTCCTCCCACCCCGACGAAGAAGACGACGAATCCACCACCGCCTCCGAGGCGCTCCGCCGCCGCCAAATCTCCCCCTCCCCGGAACTCGACCTCAGCTCGCCCGAGATGGAAGACGCGACCCTACATCCTGGCCAGCGCGATGCACCCATGAGCTTCGGGTCGCATGCGCCGTCGAATCCGCGCCTCCACCACAGCCCGACCGGAATGGGCCGGCATCGCGGCGCAAGCCCGCAGGCCGAGGGCGTGGAGCGCGAGTTCGAGCAGATGGTGTCGACGCTGCGCCGGCGCAGCAAGTCGCTCAGCGTCGAGCTATCCCGCGCCTCGAAAGAGCCCCCTATATCCACCACATCCACCACCACCTCCACATCGCCCCCGAACTCCGTCGCCTCCTTTCCCCGCGCAGTCTCCTCTACTTCGACCTCCGCCTCCACCACCACCTCCGCTCACCCCCACATCAAACAAGAAGACCTCCCCGACGCCGACCACCCGACCTCCATCCCGAGCCACCCCGCCGACGTTGGCGCCAACCCCGACGCGATGCGCCTCGACCTCGACGCCGACGAGCTCGCCGCCCGCGAAATCGAGGAATCCGACGCCATCGCCGCGCTGCGTAACTCTGAGGCCGCGGCGGCGCTGTTCGGCGACGGGGCGATTTCGGTACCGGCGGGCGCGGTGGAGGATGTGCCGATGCTGATGGTGGCGGGGGGTTATGAGGGAGAGGTGGAGATGGAGGAAATACGAATGGGAATGGGGCAGGCGGGTGCTGGTACCGAAGTGGGTGGAAAGTTCGGCGAGGGCGCGCGGGTTGAGCTATCGATGGAACGGGAGGTGGAAATGGAGATAGAAACAGGAGGGTTCGAGGGGGAGTGGGAGGAGTTTCGGAGTCCGGAGGCGGTGGAGGTGGAGGAGTTGGAGGAGCTGTTTGGGGACTTCTGAAGGAGTGGTTGTTTTGGTCTTTCCTTTACCATTTCAAGAGATATTATCATATTCATCGTACGGAGCGGGACGGATGGTTGGCGGGGCAGTCTTTGATTTTTTTTCTCTCTCTCTTTTCTTGTCTCCGCGATATCGGGAAGGGAACCATGGCGCAAAAAGTAGGGAGTCCCGTGTCGCCTCCTGCATGTTTCTCTCTTCTCTGCTCACGTTGCGACTTTGCTCTCCCCCCTCACCTCAGCTCCCCCCCGGTCGCTTTCCGCAGTAATATCCAGATCATTCCGATACTCTTTTCTTTGCCTTGCTCTCCTATCTCATCTAGATCTCCGTTTGTCGCGCAAGCGAACCTGGGCTGGAGCGATGGGACGTGGTTTTAGAACCCCCTACCTGTCTGCGTCGCTTCGGATCGGATGGCGATGGCGTGACTTTTATCGCATAGTGCGAGGTGGATTTGGGTTCGAAGCCGGATGGTGGGTTGGGTGCATTAGACTTTGGATGATAGAGACGATACCTTGTTAGATGGAGCAGCGAATGCATCTGTTAAAGCATATCAGCTGGTTGGCTATTATATTACTGTGATGCGTTCCTCGATCTGTATCTGACAATTCTGGCTCCGTTGTTCCATTCTAACATCACACCGTTCCTAATGCTCGCTCGCAACCATCCCATTAATATCGTCTTGCTCCATTTAGATATCCCCTGAATTCCTCTGTCGAAATCGCACTTTGAAGAAACTCGGTGTGTGATTGGTTGCCGGAAAACAAAACCGCGATTGGCGATCTGCAGTCGGACAATCCCAGCCTCCATGATTTCCGGGCACACGACAACGCATGAAGTGAAAACGTAACGTCGCGGACTACGGGATTTTGTGGCTCCTGTGATATTTGTGAGCACTTCGTTCGGTATTAAGATTCATGTCAAGAAAATTTCGTTTGCAGCTCGAGTTTATAGCATCGCGCTTACGATTTTGTGTTCACGTCAAGAGCCGGATATCGCCCAACGTCAGCGGTACTTCACAGCAAGTCGGAGCTGCCAGGCCACTTTTGCGATTCTTAATTTTACGTGACAGCATGACTTCACCGTAGCTATTCTGTAACCCAAGTATCGCTAATATCCAGCCCTCCTTCATTTTGGCATCTCTTCCCAACCCTCACCCACCATGCCCTCTCACGTGGAAGACGAGCGCATCGTCTACGTCCGCCGCTCCGACCACCACCACCGGCACGGCAGCCGGGACGACCGGGACGATCGGGACGACGACCGCAGAGAGACGGTGATTATCAGGCGACGCGACGACGATGACCGCAGAAGAGACGATGAGCGGAGGTCGTCGTCACTGCTGCCGCGGAGGGAGGAAGACGAGGAGCGGAGGGAGGTGCTGGTGAGGAGGGAAGGGGAGGGGAGGCAGAGGCGGAGGGAGAGGAGGCATGGAGCGGGGGGACCGATTAAACGGTTGGTGGTGGCTTGTGATGGTAAGTGGGTTTTGTGAACTTTGAGGATTTCGAGATGGGGTTGCGAGAAGAGCTTGGAACGGTCTGGTGAGCAAGGGGGCTGAGAATGGAGAGATTGTGTTTCTTCATGGTCGGGGTGCGTGATTCGGAGACGAATCCACAGATTCGAGGAATTGAAGCAAGAAAGGAGGCGGTCATGGAGTCCTCATATATCGCATCAAAAAATATTGTTCGCCATCAACTAACAACGATTCCAGGAACATGGGTGAGTCGAGCGAAATGTCCCTATAGGAAATAACCCCAAGGCGCTGAATCATCCAGCTTGACTCCGACAATGGCATGATCAACGGCCAAATCGCCGTCCCTAGCAACGTTACCCGCCTCTCCCGCGCCATCAAATCCGAATCTTTCGACGGCATTCAGCAAGTCGTCTACTACCACGCCGGGGTTGGCACCTCAGGTTCTATCCTCAACCGCATCGCCGTCGGCGCCACCGGCGAGGGTATCGAGTCCGACGTCCGCGAAGGCTACTCGTTCATCTGCAACAACTGGGCACCCGGCGACGAGATCTTCCTAATGGGTTTCTCCCGCGGCGCGTTCACCGCACGCAGCATCGCCGGACTGGTCGGAGAGATCGGTGTGCTGACGAAGAAAGGGCTGCATGAGTTGGTCGAGATCTATCACGACGTCACGCATCGGAGGGATCGGAGATATCGGCCGAGGAATCCGGATCGGCCGTTTCCGAATAAGCCAAGTGCGAGTGATCCGATGTATCGGATCGAGTTGGAGAGGGTGAGTAAACGAGTTTGCGAACGTGGCGGAAGGAACTGACAATCGAAGCGCGGACTCACCACTTTAGATGTCTCTGTCAAGGCGATTGCTGTTTGGGATACGGTCGGTTCACTCGGCGCTCCTCGCGTCCCCATCCTAACGCGCTTGGGGATTCAGACCGAGGAATCCAAAGATATGCAATTCCACGACACCAAGCTTTCTATTGGCGTGGAAAATGCCTTTCAAGCGCTTGCCCTGGATGAGCGACGGGGCATGTTTTCTCCCGCGGTGTGGGAAAAGCCTAGGGGAAACAACACCACGCTTCGCCAGGTCTGGTTTCCCGGCGTCCATTCCAGCGTCGGCGGTGGGCAGGACGATATGAATCTGTCGAATATATCGCTGGCGTGGATGATGGCGCAATTGGAGCCGTTTATAGACATGGATACGGATTACGTGCTTCGACAGGAAGATATGAATATCCGATGGTATAAAGAGGGGAGGATGAGAGTGCGGCCGTGGTCGTTCGGTAAATCCCCCTGATTCGAGCGAGACAACTAGTTCATAGGCTGTTCATCCGGATCTAATCTGTCCTGCTAACAATCCCCCAGGTCATTTCCCCGAATCCATGCGAGGTGTCTATTCCATAGCCGGTGGCACAACCCGTACGCCAGGCCGCTACTACGCCATCGATCCACCCACCGGGGAAGAATCCGACCGCCCGCTCCGCGATACCTGCGAGTACGTCCACCCATCCGTCCGCACACGGATCCGGCTCCGCGGCCCAGGAAGAGATGACCGCGGACCGTACGAACCCGAGGCCTTGGACGACTGGAAACTCATGATCGAGTACCCGCCCGAGGATCCCGAAGGAAGGCACTCGAAGCCCCGAGTCTTCTGGAGAGCCAGGTTTAGAGAGGAGGCGGTTAGCACAAGGGTGCTGCCGGAGGCGCCGCTTTGGGGTGTGGAGAAGCAGTTGTTAGCACTGGATCCGGAGACGGAGGAATATGTGTATCGACCACCACCATCTAGAAGAAGGGATAGGGGATAAAGGGGTAATATGACTACGGCATTGGTCAAAGTGGCCGCAGGATAAAGGTGTTATACCAAGTGCCATACCAGACCTTTTAACAATGATACTATATTTCACTGAACACCACCTCATTCCCCGTCACCTAGTCCATCACAGCAAACTTAAGCTTCCAGTTGTTGGTGTTCGCCATTGATTAAAACTAAATCGAGTATTTTCAGGATGCACGTGACCAAATATGTGACGATTCGCACAGCGGACGACTCACGCCGCACAGGCAGTTGCAATTTATCGGAATGACGATGTGAACTTTTGACTCAGCACTTTTTTGATAGAACCAGTAAACAACCAATTGATACCTCGCCACGAATTCAAGGTCTCTGCGGTGTTTTCCCTTTCCCCAAATCCAAAATAAAGAGATTTCTGCTCTCATCCGTGCGATATGAGCGAGCCCGCGCCGGAGACGGCAACATTGCCCGAGCGGCCGAAGAAAGTGAAGGAGCCTAAGAAGCCGAAACCACCGAAGCAGCCAAAGGCGCCTAAGCCCAAAAATGAACAACAAGGCAAACCGAAGTCTAAAGCGGCAGCTGCCTTTGCACATGATCCGGATTCTATGTTCAAAGTCGGCTTCCTCTCCGATGTCTATGAAGAGAAGCCTGTATCGGACACGGTCCAGAAAATCGTGACACGATTTCCTCCTGAGCCGAATGGATTCCTACACATTGGCCATAGCAAAGCGATCGCGGTGAATTTCGGATTCGCTAGATATCATAAAGGCGATTGCTTCCTTCGCTTTGACGACACCAACCCGCAAGGAGAGGAAGCGAAGTACTTCATCGCGATCGAGGAGATCGTCCGTTGGCTCGGGTTCAGTCCGGTGCGGATCACCAACGCAAGCGATAATTTCGATCGTCTCTACGAGCTTGCTGAGGATCTTATCCAAAGAGATGGCGCTTATGTTTGCCATTGCACGAGTATGAGTAGTGTTCCGTGCAGGTAGATCCCCATGCTGACGTCTATTTAGAGGCCGAAATCAAAGCGCAACGCGGCGAGAGCGCAGAAGGCACGAGGGGACAAGCTCGATATGCGTGTACCCATCGTTCCAGACCGATTGACGAATCCCTTCAGGAGTTCCGGGCAATGCGTGACGGCAAGTACAAGCCGGGCGAAGCAGCCCTTCGCATGAAGCAAGATCTTGAAGACCCCAACCCGCAAATGTGGGATCTATTCGCCTATCGGATATTGGGTGAGGAGGAGTCTCACCATTTCCGAACCGGGGACAAGTGGAAAATCTACCCCACCTATGATTTTGCGCACTGTTTGTGCGATAGTGCCGAGGGCATCACGCATTCACTGTGCACGACCGAGTTTGAATTGTCTCGTGTCTCTTACGAGTGGCTCTGTGATAAACTTGAAATATACAAGCCGATGCAGAGGGAGTAAGTCATATGTGTTCCTTGCTCCTCCCAGCTATTAATTTGATTCAAGGTACGGCCGCCTGAATGTCTCAGGTACAGTCCTCTCCAAGCGTAAAATCGTCCAGCTCGTCAAAGAGGGCCATGTCAGGGACTGGGACGATCCGCGGCTATACACGCTTATTGCGCTGCGTCGCCGTGGTATCCCTCCTCGGGCCATTCTCAATTTTGTCAACGAGTTGGGAGTCACCAAGGCGAAGACGAACATTCAGGTGACGCGTCTGGAGCAGACAGTACGGAGGTACCTCGAAGTGACTGTCCCCCGTCTCATGGTTGTCCTGGAGCCCCTGAAAGTCGTGATCGACGAACTTCCGGATGATCACGTGGAGATGGTCGATCTTCCTTTCGGCAAGGATGAGTCGTTTGGGGTAAGCAATAGTACTTAATGCATGCACCAACGGGAGTTACTGACGGTGGACGATAGACGCACACAGTTCCATTGAGCAAAACGGTTTACATTGAGAGGAGCGATTTCCGGGAAGAGGATTCGCCAGACTACTTCCGCCTCGCGCCTGGGAAATCAGTCGGTCTCTTCAGGGCACCGTACCCGATCATCGCAACCTCCTATGATAAGGACCCTGAAACTGGCGCCGTCATTTGTGTTCATGCAAAGCTCGAGAAACCAGGTGAAGATGGGAAGATAAAGAGGCCCAAAGCGTGAGCAAGCCCCAAGCAATGTGCGCAATCTGGAAGTACACAACTAAAACCAACTCACAGCTTCGTCCACTGGGTTGCGGAAGCACCCGCCCAAGGCAGTCCACTCCGCGCCGAAGTCCGTGTCTCCAACCAGCTCTTCAAGTCCGATGATCCATCTGCGCATCCCCAAGGATTCCTCGCAGACATCAATCCCGACTCAGAAGAGATTTATCCAGATGCGATGGTTGAAACCGGATTTAAGGACATTCGGGCGTCGGCACCATGGCCGAAGGAGGGAGGGGAGAAGGAGCAGACAGGGGATTCGGTTCGCCCTGAGACGGTGAGGTTCCAAGCAATGCGCGTTGGATACTTCACGGTCGATCGTGAAACGACGGATGATAAGCTGATATTGAATCGGATCGTCAGCTTGAAATCGTCAGCTTGAAGGATGGGCAAGGGAAAATGTGATTGCTAGAGGCATAGCTGGCTGGACACACTTATGTCCTTTACGTTCGTGACGAGTTCACTGCAGAAATGCAACTATGAAATGACGGTGGACATTCCTTAAGCCATGAAGGGCTGATGGCTGTTTTTGTGACTAGGTATCCCATGTTCTTTCCTGTGGACTTGTAGTATCACGATAGATAAGACTACGAGTTTGAATGTAGCCAAAGATTCATGGTGTATCATATCCGGTGACCTAATTTTCCTATCCCCGAAATAGTTGTAAATGCGTCGGCAGCTTTGTGTTAATCATGTCCAAGTTTAGATCATCACTCCACCATGGCTAAGTGACAGGGGGCTGGATTTGTATCATGAATCTCGCCCTCCAATGCTTCAGCCAGAGCAGCTCAACTCCTGTGACAAACCACTTTCGCAGCCATGCAATCCCACCAAATTCTCACATCTAATTATCATGATCCGCGCCATCACCTCCTCCCCTCATCGTGATCTCGCATGATGCAAAAATAACCTCCAATTCCACAGTATCCCTTACCATTGTTCTACCTATTCAACATGGCCGACAATACCATTTCTCGGCGTAACTCGCCTCCTCCAGCACCAAGCCAGCTCTGGTCTCTCTCCGAGCCTCCGTTCGAGGGCTTCAAGCCGGTCGATCACGAAGGCTTCAAGCGAAGCACACCGGAAACAGCAATCGTCATTGACAATGGTACGCATATTTAGCATCGCATTATCGCCGCAGTTGCTAACTAAGGACGAAGGATCATATAATGTACGCGCAGGCTGGTCCTTCGACAAGAAACCACGCTTCACTTCCCCTCCGGTCATGGCCCGATACCGAGACCGGAAGATCAACCGAATGTACACGTTCGTGGGATCGGACATATACTCGGACGGCACGGCGCGTGGACAAGCGAAGAACGTGTATGAGCCGGGCAACAATGTTATCAACAACTGGGATGTCATGGAAGGCGTTCTGGATTGCGTGTTTAATAAACTGGGAATCGAGGCGGATCCTTCTGGTGGCATCGGACGGCCGATCCTGATGACTGAGCCCGCAGGCAACATGCCTTACTCGCGCAAGAGTGAGTGAGAACACGCGATTTCTGGCATAACCATACTGACGAGCATTCAAGCTATGACAGAAATCTTATTCGAAGCATATGGCGCGCCGTCCGTTGCATACGGCATCGATTCTCTCTTCTCCTACAAATACAATAACGGACGGACTGGTCTCGTTGTTTCCTCATCATATACCTCTACAAACATTATCCCCGTCGTCAACTCAAAAGCGATGCTCACACAAGCCTCGCGCCTCAACTGGGGCCGCTACCACACCAACGAATGCCTCCTCAAGCTCATGAAGCTCAAATACCCCCCCTTCCCCGGCAAAATTACTGATCCTCAGTCCGACGATCTGGTGCGCGAGCACTCACGAGTCAGCACCAACTTCGATGACGAGATCACCGCGTTCCTCGACTGGACGGGTCTTGAGGACCGGGATCGCATCGTACAACACCCATATACCGAGCAAGTGGTGGTGCAGAAGACCGAAGAGGAGCTCGCGCGCGCCGCAGAGAAGCGCAAAGAGAGTGGTCGACGACTACAGGAGCAGGCGGCGAAGATGCGATTAGAAAAGCTGATCCTCAAGGAGCAAGAGCTCGCGTGGTACAGAAACCTACAGGAGAAGCTCGCCAACGCCACCACAAAGAAAGAAACGAAGCGGCTGTTGGATGACGGTGATTTTAATGATGAAGGCCAGTTGGACAAGCGAGTCCGAGAGCTCGATAAGAACATCCGCAAGGCTAGGAACAAGGATGTTGGCGACGTCGAAGAGGAAGAGGAGATCCCTACATTCCCATTACTGGAGATCGCCGACGATCAGCTTGATGAGGATCAACTCAAGCAGAAGAAGCAGCAGAGATTGCATAAGAACAATTATGACGCTCGGATGCGAGCAAAGGTGGAGAAGGAGAAGGAACGCGCGCGAATCGCCGAAGACGAGCGGATCGACTCCGAAAGGCGAGAAACAGACCTGGAGGGCTGGATCGAAGAGAAACGAGCCGCTCGCGAAGTCCTCGTTGCGAGGGCCCGTGAGCGCGAGCGACTGAAAGCCGAGCTCGGCAACCGCAAGTCAATGGCAAATCAAATGCGCATGAAAACCATTGCGAATCTCGCCTCGGACACCCCGATAGGCAAAAAGCGACGTCGTGGTGGTGGCGCCGACGATGACGATTTCGGTGCCGATGATGCGGATTGGGGCGTTTATCGACAAGTCGCGACCGGCGAGGATGCGTCCGACGACGAAGAGGAGGATCTGGGTGGCACGCTGAAAAAGATCGAGGCGCAACTGCTCGAGCATGATCCGAACTTCACGGAGGAGAGTACGCGGGAGGCGCAGACGGATTGGACGAAGAGCTTGCTGCATGCTTTCTGGAGGGGACCGTGGCCGTTTGATCCCGAGCTCCCGCGCGAGACGCATCAACTCCATCTCAACGTCGAGCGAATCCGCATTCCGGAAGTGGTGTTCCAACCCAACATCGCGGGTGTCGACCAAGCCGGATTACTGGAGGTCATGGGCATGATTCTCAACGAGCGGCTCGCGGATGACCCACACAAGGCGGATATGCTGAAGGACATCTTCCTGACGGGCGGAAATACCATGTTCACCGGCTTCGACGAGCGCGTGCGGAATGAGCTGAGGGCATTGCTCCCTGTCAATGCAGAGTTGAGCGTCCGCAGAGCTGGGGAACCTTGCTTGGATGCCTGGAAGGGTGCGGCACGATGGGCAGGGGAACAGAAAAACAAGAATGCGTTTATGACCAAGGCGGAATGGAGTGAAAAGGGCGGGGATTATCTCAAGGTACTATATTCTCCCCTCTTTTCTTTGACTTCTTTCTCCTCTTTGAGTTGTGCCGGTCTAACAATGTCACAGGAGCATGACAGCGGGAACATCTGGCTCTGAAACTGACTGCGGTGATACCATCAAAATCGATCTCGACACTGGAGAAGCGGTCTCATGTAACGAGGAAGCGGACTTTAGACGTTCCAATATACCACGTACAACCCGTGCGAGCAACTTACTACCGTAGTTGCTACACTTCAAGTCGTGTTGGGCACTCAGGTTGCATCAGCCACAGGCTGCTGCCTCAGTCTTCCGGCAAGGCAAGATATCTCGAAGGCCTGGAATCAAGAGACGACATAACGTCTCATAGACCCTTAAGCCTAGACGATGCCGCCTGTGGGCACTACGTATACCGCATATGTAACACTACAAAGCCAATCTTATTTGTCTAAATGGTGAAAGCCACGTGAGATGCTGCAGCTGGGCCCGCGAATGAGGATTTCGAGTTCTTTCTGCGTCAAGTAAGGTGGACAGCAATCCGTAATCAATGACATCCGATTCGAGGAAGTTGGCTTGACAATGTGAGAAATAGGGCACACCTGGTGCTTGTATGGTTAAGCATTCCGTTGCCCACTACTTTGACGAGACAACAACCGTCTCATTCGTATTCCACTCAAACCCTCTTCGTGCCAAGTCCAGATACTTCGCAAAACACAGAACGACCGCAATCCAGTCGGTATAAATTTACTCCAGTTCTATTCTCCAAAAATTTGTTATAAATGGGACCATGATTCGCATCGCCATCAATTCGACATCGGCAAATGAAGCAAATTGGCCCGTTGTTATCGATAAGCTCCTACCCGCTAAGTCGAACCGCCGTTGGTTCGTCGCGGAGCCAAGCGAGATTAAAATGGCAGCAGACTGCAGAGGACCCATGAACCGTCCCAGCTCCAATATCATGAAACATCCTTTCGTCACGTAGCCTCATGCTTCAGCCAGTGAGCTAGTCAGCACTGCATCCCTACTAAATTCTTCCTTGTTGAACCCTCGTGGGTTCCTGCACCAGTTTTCTTGGTGGCGGAGTGGCGGACGTCAGGTTGGTTGGTGGACAGGGGATGTCCACGATGCAGGGCTACGACTGGGCCGTCAGTAGCCCTATGCGTCGATCGTGATCCTCTCATTCGAGAACGCCGTAGTCTGGGGACTACGGGCGAGGCCTCGAAATTCCGATGAACCGGGATGTGGCAGGAGATGATGTGCGAGGATGACGAGGAAACTGTTAAGTGCGAGCCTTGCATCACTCAGAGTTGCATGGCCCTGGGGCGCGGGACTGGTCGATGTCGGTCGGATTTCAAGCATTTTGGACTTTGTTCTGGCCATCGTTGCCGAAGGCTGTCAGAAGGATGCAGGGTTCGGTAATTACTTATCTTGATTTCCTGGAGGAAGCGTTCTTCGTTCCCTTCTTTTGGACCCTCGGACTTCCTCATGTCTACGCTTCGGTGACCGTCCTATTTTCCTTCTGCATCATTTTCAACTCTTCACCGTACCTTATGTGCCTAAGACCAATGGTACATCTTTTCATTTCTCACTATCCTTAACCACCTGTGGCTGCGCCTCGTTGGCCCTGAAATAGTTTCCAGGCCGTCCGCTCCTTACTCGCTTTGCGAAAAGTGTCATCGGATCACATATCTTCATTTTTCCCTTGCTTCCTTTTGGAGTATCAACGGCCTTTTATTTTATGCCCATAAACGCGACCCGTATTTTATTTGTTTCGCCCACTAGAATCGGAGGGATGCTCCAGTGATCAGCAGAATGGCACGGATGCTGGGACGATCGAAATCCTTCCGACACATCAAAAAGGACATATCACAGCCACTCCTGATTGCATCCGATGCAGTATCCCGAGACGATTTGATAGATGTCCGTAGAGACCTTGCCCCACCTCGAACTCCCTCTCCACTACGGCCGAAAACGTCAAATGGAATCACCAGAAGCAATACGACGGCCTTGTCGGGGTTGAAACCGCCTCCACATTCTCAGAGTAGACCCCTGAAAATCAAGACGGAGAGTCGAGTTTACGATTTCCCGACGCCTGGGACAGGAACCGCCGTTTATAATGTCCCACCACCAAATATGATCGACCTGACTCCCGAGATCGAGCCCCATCCAGGTCGCAAAGTACCGATTGGTGTTGCGCTGGGCAGTCCAACAGATGCTCCGGATTGGAGAAGCGGGATGAAAGAGAATGGTAATCTGGGTATAAACAGGTTGGACCGTCCCCGTTCAATATCAGCCCCATCGCCGTCGCGGGAGTACTTTCCTCAGGATGCATATAACTTCCAAGCGCCAGGAGCGCATGGCAGTTACTCGACAGCTGGCACTCACGACGACGAGCCGGCAATTGGCCACGGCATCAAGACAGTCATTGAGGCGGACCAACCGAAGCCAAAGTTGAGTCGGTGGAAGAGTATAGGAGGGCTATTTGCGAAAAGGCCCAACCATACGCCTAACCATACGCCGCGCACAATGTACATGTTGGATGAACCAGTGGCTCCATCTAAGAAGAGAGCAGTGAATACCCAGATGCCTGGTAAAGGTTTACCGAACGATTCTTTACGAAAGCCAACCGAAACGATGACGCCCAAAGAGCCAAAGTCGCCATGGCGGAGCCGGTCAGTCAAGAGAGGCAAGCCGGGTCCAGCACGGAATCAGACCCACCCGACTCCTACCGACATGTCTTTTTTGACGCAGCCCGCTGGAGTTGATGGCCGGCTCCTAGACGTCTCTATTCCGAAGTGTGAGATGGAACGGTACAGTGTCATGTTTAACCATGTCTTGGGCAAGCCAGCGGCAAACGAAACGGAGCCTCCCCTTCCTGCAAGCAGTTCACTTTTGGCAAGACGGAACCAGGCCAATGTGGAACAGCTGAAGCCCGCCAGCGGTGGAGAGTTGGAGGTAACTTTCATGACAATGGTTGCTCAATCCAGGCTTGACTAACAATCAATTAATTAGCCCATCAATATTTCGCCCAGCGCAGTACGCCCACGCCGTGCTGCCACTTCCCCGTCATCCCAGCCACAAGGCTACACATTGTTCCCTACGACTCCGGGGGACAAAATAAGAGGACCGTCTGGGTTACAGCGCTCAGCTACTACGCCAGCGCCCAGGCCTTCGAAACACCAGGAGAGCGAGATTACAGAAACCCCGATTACCAAATCTAAAGCTCAACCTCGCTCGAAGGTACCTCCACCTAGATTTCCTATGGATGTCCCGGCCAAAGCGTCGCCTCCCACTCCGCAGTTCGCTTTTGATCCTGCAGAAGACATTCTTTGGACACCGCCGGACAGTTTCCTCTCATCGTCAAGACTAGCTACATCCGGTGGCCCACCAGTACCTAGCAGTCCTGCCACTGGCTCGACATATACAGATGCTGAGACAGAGTATGAATACGAATATGTGTTCGAAGGACCAGGTGCTACCGCCGGAGATGCCGAGACATCAAAGGGCGCCATGGACCACACAACGAAACAATGGAAAGACAAAATCGAAGAAGAGGAGCCACAGTGGGAAATGATGACGACGCTAGGGAAGGATATCGCGGTTAGGAAGCCGGACCGCAACGCGCAGATAGTCCCCGTGGTCCCAACACTCCCTGAAGCCGAGACGCACACCGAGACAATCATGGAAGAGGACAGATCGAGCTCGATGTCCAGTCCCACCGAAGCGGATATTTTTCAGGCTCTTTCCACAGCTGCATTGCCCTCGCCGCCACCTTTAGCGGCCCCTGCGCCGCTTAACATTGTCAATAAGACCGTGCCGATCTCGCCAATACACACGAGAGCGCCACCATCTCCTCAGGAACTTCCTACATCTCGATATATGGACTCGATGCGAATATCAAAGGCCCCGTCGCCTCCTCCTGAGGCCGACACGATGTATCGCGCACCTCAACCGCCGCCTACGCGTCTCCCTCCATCTCCTCCACAGGAGACATATCCTCCTGCACCGGCTGTGCTAGCATCTTCCGAGAACCCAGCTGAGGCTGCGAATATGAAATCGGCACCACAGGATGCACATGAAGATTCTCAAACTCGCCCCAACATGCTTCCGGTCCCTCGCGTCATCCGCACTCTTGCCACTGGCACGATGACAGCATCCCCCTCCGGCACTGCACCAAGCGAAAAATCGAAAAAACAGTATGAGCGGGTCAAGAGCATTGTTTTGCCGCTGCAAGGAACCTCCAGGATGTACACCCATGCCACACAATCTCAAGCGCTCAGCTCCAACCCACTAACTACGGAGTCGGTTCAGGCGAGGACCATTCGAGTCGTCTCTCCAGGCTCGCAGCGAAAGGGTTCGGATGGTTTCGTTCAGCCCTCGCTCACTCAGGACGCCACTAGCAAACCAACCATTCATCCTCCAAGGACCAGCAGTCGAATGGCAAAGCCTCTGTCGATGATAAATAAATATATGCAGGACACGCACGAGGATGCCATCTTTGAATCCGACCACGAGCAATCCGCCGACGCCGCGTCCAACGCCTCCTCCGACGAATCCGAAGATTTCATCCTCCCCTTACAAGCCCCCGAACCTGCCCCTGCCACCGTCGGAATTGCTCGTCAGCTAAGCCTTACCCGGGCTCGGAGCACGTCAAGGCGGTATGGGCCAGGCGCACGTTCAAACGCTGCCGGGAACCACGCGAAGAACAATGCGTCTAATACACAGGCGGCAGCAAATCCGGCGAAGATGGTTGCGGGACCGGGGATCGTGAGTGTGCAGATGCGGCAGATTAAGAGGCGGGATCCGGCGAAGGAGAAACCAGAGGAGAGGAGGGGGGAGCATGTGGCGTTGACGCCGACGTTGGTGGATGTGTCAGCGGCGAGGAAGAGCGTCAGAGGAGTTGTAGAAGGAGTAAGTTAGATGCGTGAGGGTTATCTCATTTTCTTGTGAATGGTTGGTTCGGGTCATATTTCGCCGTCAGGGATTTTTCAGCGCGGTGTCTGGCATCGAGACTCCCCGAGCATGGACTCGGCTGGCAGTCAGGAATCGGGGGAATTTGTTGCATTCGATATCCGTCACTGGGATGACGAAGAGAGAATTTAGAAATTCAAATCATTATTCAATGCCTTGTCCGAGATGGCACCAATACCATGCAGTGATACCTAGTTCCCGTTGACCATTCCAAGTCGGGTATATCATGATCATAATGCAGCCCCCATGATGTCCTAAACGCCCTAACCAGTGCCCCCAATTCAGGGCTCAGTCTCGACGGTCTTCCTTATGCTGGATCCTGTAAATCTTGGGTGGCTAGCACAAGTCAGCAATCTACCACATGGAAACCCAGAAACATGAAGCAGGGTTGTAGATTAATCGCCGAACATGCCTTCCAGATGAAAGAGGACATTGCTTTGATAGTTCTTGAACATCTGGGCAACGAGCTCAACATTCATGTTCTGCAGGTTTATCTCTTGGAGAGATTTGTTCAAAGCAAGAACGGCTTCATTTAGCTTCTCCTGTAAGAAATGAGCAATTGGAGTAGGAGCCGGACCAGTTCCAGGCCTACCACATTGGTGATGACACGCGAAAGGAGCAGCGACTGCTGGTGCTCGTGTGGGCTTTCCTGGCCATGCGTTAGTATAATATTTAAAGAGAAATATTGAATATGATCTACCATTCTTAACAGCTTAAGGAAAATAGCGGATTTGACAGCAATGAATAGTTCTGTTGGAGATTATCCGAGACGGAACACCTTTTCGTCCTCCTTTTGTTTATCACCACGACAGCACCTCCTTATCACGTCACGTGACTTCCAGCCTCGGTAAAACATTCCACCGGGCAAATAACGTCGAACATTAGATTTTGTAAGCCAACCATCAAATTGGGAGCTCAAACCCAACAACGGACTTCAAATGTTCAACCGACGAGGGAAATCCTTCATTCCCTCCATCACCTTATCATCCTCCTAATTACGCTATGCTGATGCTTCTTTAATCCCACAATCATCCCAAAACGCCTCTCAACTCTTTACCCACTGAATACGATAACCCTGACAACGAAGACTTCTCGCGAATCAGCTCCGGAAGTCTCGACAGCATGGCTCCCATCACCAAGGAATCCGATGAGACCAACCACCTGGCCCTCCTCGACAAGCTTGACCTCTACTCTGTCGCCAAGCCCTGGCGAAATCCCAACTATAAACCCCACCCGCGCCGTAACAAAACTCTCAAGCAACTGCTCGCCGAAGAAGCACGCAAATATGAGATCCCAACCTCCGTCCTTCCTACCCAGAACAATAGCGGCGTGTCTACCCCCATACCAGGCATGACTCCTAGCGGAGCAACCGGTGCGATGACACCCGTTGGCGGAGCAAGCACCAGCGCCCCTGCGATGAATGGGAACGGAACGGTTGAGAAAGCTGCGCAGAATCTGTCCGGGCTGGCAATCGATGGGCAGGTGCCGCAACGTCCGCGCGTCACTTGGCAGGGCCTTGAGGCGACCCCGAGCTTGCTTCCGAAGAAGAAGTACTGCGATATCACGGGGCTGCCGGCATCGTACACCGATCCGAAGTCCGGGTTGAGGTACCACAATAAGGAGGTGTTTCAGTACGTCAGGACGCTGTCTCAGACTCAGGTGGAGCAATATCTCGAGTTCCGAGGCGCGCACACCGTGTTGAAATGAACGGACTTGGGATATTTTGGATATTCACCTTTGGCAGGGTTCTGCCGGCCAATGAGGGGGAGGTTGGTGCCCAGAGCACTTTGCCTCGTGTGCGAATGGTTAAGATGCATAGCGGAGGATCGAGAAGAAGAAGAACTTGACGAATACCAAACGAAAGTATGGCGCCCTTGGGGAGGGCATTATGCTATGGTTCAGGCGCCCTCTATGGAGGATGAGGTCAAGACGAGAAGATGACGGATGAGCCGTCAAGAAGATACGCGTTACGAGGTGTATGATACCACGATTTGATGCCAGTACCAGGGAATGAATGATGTTCAATCAAATCATGGAATGTGGTTTGATTGGTTCCTATCCCCATCCCGATTCGTCCCAGATCCCTCGTCATCCCTCCTAGATAGTCCCGAACTTCCTTGTGTACCCCCATGACCATGATGTACCCTCGCCCTGACAGCGACTTTCGTCGCAACTGGTGTTCAGTTCCCTTGAACTCCGGTATGTGTCAGCAGGCGAAGAGCAAAGCTATATTGAGATCACGATTAAGCCGGAGCGTCTACAGGACTTCGTCTCGAGAGAGGCTGGTCCATTGAAGGGGTTTGACTTTGATGGTCGCACATTTAAACAAAATACTGCTCACATACCTTGAGTGATGTTCATGATCTCCATCTTTTCGGTTTGGCCTTTCGGCTGCGTCTTCTTGACACCTTTGTTCAAGTTTGGGTTGAGTTCGTTCATGACGTTTTGTCTGTCGCAAGCTCGATATCTTGCCTTGTTGCCTCAGCAGTTGAGGTAGAGGCATCAAACTACTGATGCGACTGATCTTGATCAGACTGCCCCGAGTCACGAAAACCTGGTCTCTTAGCTAACGTAATCCACCACCGAGCTAGCCAAACCACCGAGTTAGCCACTTCAATACCACAATTCCAATCATCACCATCTTTTCGCAATGCCTCGACAACAACAAGTTGAATTACCTTCAAACGAAGCTAGTATCAATTTAGCTAAAATGGCTATCGAACAAGACCAAATTCGATCAAATCGAGCGGCAGCAGCAACCTACAAGGTCAGCAAAGATACGCTCCGTAACCGCCGCAATGGAATACTTCCACGAAGCGATTGCGTTCCGAATTCGAAAAAGCTCTCAAATACAGAAGAGAGGGTGATTATCGACTATTGC